ATCTGGTCTTTCCCTTTTCTTCTCTTTTTCGGTCAAATTCTATTTTGTCGAGGCTTCGTCTCGAGCATACACCCGTATACCATTGACCCGACCACCATTTACCTCATCGAGTAAATAAACAAACAGCAGACCTCCAGCCCGGCAACGCCTGCGAACCCGACCACACTTGTAGTCTTGTATTACCTACACTAACCACCTCCTTGTGCCTTTCTCATCCTCCAAATTGCAATCTAACCACAATATCCGCGACGCAACAAAGAACGCAATCAAAAACTACATTAATTAGCTAGCTACGGAGTATGATGTTCGAGAAAAAAAAAAAGCGCGACAGAGAAAGAAGGAGAACAAAGGAACTCAGCTGACTGATCGGCCCCGTCTAGTCCTAGTTCTAGTCTACCTTAGTCTAGTCTAGTCAGGGCAGGGCACGTCGCGCTGTGCCGCCCTGACCGCGACTAATCTTTTTTTTTTTTAATTTTTTCAATGGAGATGCGGATACTGCATATGATGGCTCTTACAGTAGATGTACGGATTCCTACATGATTACTAGCACTGCATATGTCATACATAAGTTGGTAGAAAAGGTGGCTTCGTTTGTGGCTTGTGTTTTTTTTTACTTTTTTTTTCTGTCTTGGAGCTTGGTTCTGGAGATCTAGATTTCGAGATCTGAGTCCATAGGTGCAAATTAAAGGGTTTTAAGAGGACACCTTTTTCATCTCTAGGTATTCGCACATAACCCCCTATAACTGATAATAACTGAGGATAGATGGACTATTTTTGAGTCTACTACCCCTTCTCTATGTCGTTTGTGCTATGAATAGGTATGATTAATCCTGACGATCAAGGCACGAGTAAGATTATGATGATTTGCATCGGTAACTACTTCCATGGGTTGGTTGGTTAGTTCTTCTAGAATCTATTTCCGTAGTACTCCGTAGGTATACACATAGCCAAACTATCTACTCAGTAGATACTAGATAGTTAGTACAGTAGGGAGCCGAGTAGTTCGCCAGTGTTCGTAAGCCATTCTCCGTAAACGACTAAAAATAAATAAGAAAAAAAAAAGCCGTTATGACGATTGACGATTGACGATTCAGTCTAGTGAAATCTCGAAGATCGTGCAATTTCATTTGCTTCTCCCGCTCCCTTGCAAGCAAGCAAGTGGATCTCGGGACCTCGTCAGTCGTCAGTCGTCACAGCTCCGCTTTCTTCTGTACAGAGGATCAATGATCGCTTTTTTCTTCTCGCGACACTCCCGGATCCGCAGGAGCTGGTAGAGTCTACCGTCTACTCCGTACGTGACGATTGTCGAGTCATGGGCATCCGCATCGATCTACCCTCTCGCGGGGCTCAGTTTCCCTTGCCCGTACCTGAGGAGTCGAGGGCGGAGGAACGGACGGAGTAGGGTAAGGATGATCGATGGGTAAACAACCCAGCCCGCTTTTTTGTTGGGTCTATGACTTCATGGACCGTTGGGAAACGAGTCAGAAAAAAGGGAAAGAAAAAAAAAAGAACAGAAAAAAGAAGAAAGAAAGAAAAATAAGATAAAGTGAAACAAATCAAGGTAAAGAACAAATCAAAAAGCTCAGACGGGAATCTTGGCAGGCATTGGGCATCAGTTTGGGAGAGCAGGTCAGGCCAAGGCAGGGTAGAATCGAGATGGAACAAAGAATATGAACGGATCGTCGAGTGCGTTTTGTGCCTGTGCCGGGCCCCAGTTCTGTGGCTGGTGAGTGCGAGATTGAGTTGGTTTTCTCGATTCTAGTGCTTTTTCCCTGCCATGATTGGTGAGGACGTCTTTTCAAAGAAAATGATAGGTAAGAAATAATAATAAGATAAATAAAATCAAAATCAGTACCGTGAATTGCCGGTGCAGAATTGCTAATCGGTGCAGTAAGCCTCTAATTTCATCCACGTTCTAGAAGCATCTCGCCAGGATGCTGAGGGAGGCTGTCATTGTCAACGATGAACCAGAGCGAGTTGGGTCAAGTTGACGAGGTCACGAGAGCGGACGAAATGAAGCAGGGTCGGCATGGTCGAAGGCAAAGTAAATGAGATGTTCCAAGATTCACAAAAGATCGAGAGAAACAAGGTTGAGCCGGTGAACTGCAACAGGTGCCCACGCTAATCCCTTTGAAGGAGGTCGATAACGACACACGGTTGCTCCGTCATCCATCTTTCATCTTCCCTCATCCTTCACCCTGTGGAACCCACTCCGGTCGGTCTGTCCAACCCAACCCAACTTCGATGCCGAAAATAAAGATAGAAAAAGGGAGTCTTCAATGAACGAAGAAAAAGGGTGACCTTTGACCAACGGGGTACACCATCCCCATTACTTCGTATTCCACACCGTTAAGGGGGAATAGGAAACCCAACCGCGAAGAACCAAGACGGAAAAAGAAAAAGGGGACGCAATTGATCCATCCAATTCATCTATCTATAGTACCCCAACTTTACTTACCTTGGTAGTCAGGCAAATCCTGCTCATCCTCCACCGGCCGACCGATGGACCAGAAGATTAAGAAACGCAACAACTAGTCATGGGCATGGCACGTTAGGATTACACGGCAGGCATCGACATCCATCAGGACCCGGCCTGGATTGACGGAATCGCGCGGACAAGTCTGGAGTGGATTGTGGGTTTCCTCGCACCCTCGCACAGCATAGCGCATTGCTCGTTAATTTTATACCTTTTTTTCCTCCCCTCGCATCCTCTCTCCTCTTGTCATCCCCCGTTTGATTCCAAGCGATCGTCCATCCCACAAATGATCTTCGTCCGGCAGGTTGAATCCCGACACTATGCAGACGCGGCTCGAGTAGCACAAATCCCGACTGGCGGACTCCACCTGGAATGGAATAGACCCGCAGGGAGGAGGGGGGAATGGAAAGATTCTGGAAGACACGTAGAACTTCTTGGAAGTGGATATCGGAGTTAGTGTCCTTGGGTGCATACGGAGTACAGGCTACGGAGTACAAGGGGAAGCCGAAGAAGGGAACCCGGATGACTCGACAGACATGGCCAGAACCTTTCGGTCAAGGGGAGTTCGTTCCACTGGCTTTCCAGAAGACTTCCAGGGTGGGTGGGGAGTCTTCTGGTTCGCTTGGTTCCGGCGGGTTTCCGTGGATGTGTGCTTCACCCCCTTTTAGAGACGTTCCATGGTTATATGGTAGGATCATGTGGTAGGATTGGACAGGGCTTATTAATATTAATTGGGCGAGATGAAAGTGGTGCTGCTTAATATCGGGCATATTATTGCTACCAGTCGGGAAAACGTCGCTGTACGGAGTACGGAGTAGGGCTTTTGCCTTGGCGGTTCGTGAGCTCGCGTGTTCGATGCTACCATTTGATCGGGACCTGCCGTCGTAGATTTCTGATTTCCCGTCAGGATGCAATAATATGCATCTTTCTTCGCTTCGTCGGTTCGGTCGGTGGATCTATACGTGCCGTACATACACCGAGTATATCGCTTGGCTCGGTAGGAGTTCTTCATACACGGCACATATCGCAGAGATTCTACGCCTTTCTACTCCAGTACATATCGAATAACATTATCCATTAATTCAAGAGCCATTCTCGTCATCTTGAACACCGCCAAGACGTCACCGCATCCTGTTTCCTCTCATTTAGGATCAAGCCCATCCATGCCGTATTTCCCAAGCAAGGGCTGACGAGCACTGATAGGTCATGTCCTGACAGCCATGAGATATATCATATCAGGCTCGATTCAATCAATCTATTGTCTTCCACACTGACCTGTATGATGTGAAGTCATCGTCCCGACTGCATGTGTCAATACAAGATTTGAACCTGCCCAACCGCTCATTTCGTCGCGTGGCTTGAAACTCTAGGTTTGTACAGATTCTTGCAGATGCATACATCACAGAGGCGCGCCACTTCTGTCAGATGTAAGGGATTCAGTGGGCAATGGTCAAGGCAAGTCAGTTAAGGTGGTTTTGCTCTGTGTGGCAGGGCCAGATGGCATTTGTGGCGGAGAGACAACATGTCTGAAACGTCATATTCCATGCAGAGGTAAAGCCACATCTGTGCGCTCTGGATGCTCTAGAATATCCCAAGTGATTCATCAATGATATTCTTCTTGATAGATTCCGCAGTGGCGAGAAACAGAAGGCCCAGGTCCGGTCGAGTCTTGAGACAGATCAGGAGTACCTTATGTGATTGGTGAAGATGTTTATCAGTAAGGGAATATAGCCAGAATCAATTGTATCATAGCTCTGGTCTGTTCTCGCCGCAAAGAAACTGCTTTCTGCCTGTGGTTTGGGGGTGTGTTCATGCGTGTGTGTTTTGATGCTACTGGCTGGCATTATCTATATAAATCCAAGGACGAACCGATTGGGCTTCTAGTTACGTTTGGGATTCTGAGCACTAAACATCGAACAAGACCTACCAACTACCAGTAAACATGTCTATATTCTTATCTCCCATTCTATCGAATCGAACGCAGCGATGTCAATTGACATACTCCCTAGTAACCTATGACCTGATATCTCAGCCTTGGCTGGGCTGCATCAACCCTCCAAGTCTATCATTGAACCAGCGATCCAGGCAAATCCATTAAGATGAGTCTAAAATAAACCAATTTTTAAAGACTGATTGTAAATCAAATGCCAATATTCTTCGGTCATCGTAAATGCAAAAGATGGAGTCGGCTTCAGAATGGATGTCACGTGTCCGACCCGTGAAATCATCGCATCGCATCCAATTCACAAGCATCACCATTTTCAACCGCAATTGAGCTACGTCGCCCACCATCCTCTCAACCAGAGCTCAAGGCGCGGGACAGTGTGCAGAGAGGATATAGGCCAGTGAGTATAACCCAGTCTGTCAACACCTATAGCAGCCAATGCCAGTCACAACTCTCGGAATCCCTTTGACATCTTATCTGATATTTTTTTTCTTAGATATCATCAACGCAAACCGGAGTCAAGCATCACCACGTTGAACGAAAACCGAGCAGACTGAAGCAAGTCACATCCACTCAACCATGGCCCTCCGACCAACTCTCACCAAACGCCTTCCCTCCCTCTCAACCCTCTCCCTCCGCACGCACTCCACCTCCGTCTCCGCAAATGAAGTCACCCATTTCTCCGCCCTCGCCAGCAGCTGGTGGGATCCCATGGGCTCCTCGCGCGTGCTGCACCTCATGAACCCCCTCCGCCACGACTTCATCGCATCCTGTCTCGCCGACGGCCTGCCCGCCCCTTCGTATTCGTCCCCCTCGTCTTCTTCCCCGAACAACCTCCGCTATCTGGACGTCGGCTGCGGAGGCGGCATCTTCGCGGAATCGTTGGCACGAACAATCCCCTCCTCCTCCTCCTCCTCCTCACAGACCCAACCAACCTCCCCAGAAGCATCAGCATCAACAGCAACACCCACCCGCGCCGCCAGCATCACCGCCATCGACCCGACGCCTCAACTCATCCAGATCGCACGCGACCACGCCCGCACAGACCCGAAAGTCGCGGCGCATCTCTCGTCGGGGAAATTCCAATACCGGAACTGTACCCTAGAGGATCTTGTCCGTGCCTATCAGCAGGCCCAAACCTCCTCTCCTAGCCCTCACTCGCAACCGCAACCGCAACCGCAACCCCAGAACCAATTCGACATCGTCACCCTCTTCGAAGTCCTCGAACACATCGACACCAACGCCACCTCCTCCCCCCTGCGCTTCCTCACCGACTGTCTCCGTCTCCTGCGCCCCGGCGGCTGGCTCATTGGCTCGACCATCTCGCGCTCCCTGCCCGCCTTCCTCGTCAACCAGGTCATTGCGGAAGCGCCGTGGCCGATCGGCGTCGTGCCTCGGGGGACGCACGATTGGGCGAAGTTTGTGAACCCGGAGGAGCTGAGGGGGTGGGCTAGGGAGGGGTTGCTGGCTTCTACTTCTTCTACTGGCCCTACTTCTTCCGGGTCTGGATCTGGGTCTGGGTCTGGGTCTGCAGCTACGGCTACCACTACCCAGAACATCAATTCCAGATCCGCTACCATGCAATGGAAATGTTCCGGGGTGATGTATTTCCCCGGAATAGGCTGGAAGATCGTTTCCGGGTCAGAGAACTGGGGGAATTATTTCTGGGCTGTGAGGAAGGGGTTATAGGTTCTCTTCGGGTTGTTTTATTTTTTTTTCCCCCACATATTGGTTTCCTATCTATCCGCTTTCTCTTATTTGGGATGGGTGGGTAGGTAGTTTGATTTGTCTAGGAAGAGGATCTATGTATTTCTACCTTTATCTCATGTGAAGAGGAAAGGGGTGGTGGTCTTTGATTGCTTGAAGTATGGAGTTTTCTTTTGTATGTATATATAACTCGGATTGTAGAATAGGTAGTATAGAATAGAAAGTGTTAGACTCCAGACTTCAAGGAAGGGTTAAGCACGTTGACCTTGATAGGTATGTATTATTATGTATCTGGTTGTGTGTATATGTACAATACAACGCTCCATCCGAACCGGCGAGAACTCCTATAACGGAACAAAGAAAGACAACGAAATGGCCACGATACAAGACCCAATCAGACGGATTAAGAAAGGAGAGAAAAGAACAAATTCAAGATAACATCCCAAGCCAGCAAAGACAAGTACACGAAAGAAGTTAAAAGGGAAACGTAAATGATAGACACGGATTCAGGGAGAAGGTCATCAAATACCAGTGACATTCATTCCCGCTCCCGCCGCTACGGCATCAGAGCCAGGAAATGGAGGACACGAACAGGAAGGCAGCGGAGTTAGGGCAGAGGGAGAAGAACGGGAGAAGAGAGACGCGGCGAGAGTGCCAGCCGTCGTCCCTTTTCCGGTGGAGAGGAGACCGAAACGCAGGAAGACTTCGGAGGTGGTGACGAGGATGGAGATGATGATGAGAATGATGATGATCCATGTTTGGTCTGATTCACAAGTGTTAGTTCATGTATATGTGAATGGATGGAGGTGGATTGGATAGCTTACGAGAGGTTTTGTTGTCGGCGATGGAATCGGAGAGGATTTCTGCGAGGTCGAGGAAGACTCGACATCGCTCGTTGAGCACTTGGATACGCGGTTTGATCTCAAGGTATTCGCGGACAGCGATATAGAGCGGGTACAGCGTTGGTTCGCTCTCCCAGAAGAAATTGGGAACGTCGAGCATGTTGGAGGCTAAGACGTAACCTAGTTTAGCTGTGGATCGAACGAAAGACTGAATGTCCGAACTTACAAAGATTGACCTCTACTCGACTCTTGAATAGCCTTCCCAAGATCCTGAAGACTTCCTCCCGTTTCATGCCCAATTGACCAGTCATGGCCAGTCGGCGCGGAATGTCTTTGGCCTCCGTCATCTGGCGAGCCATGACTTCTTCAAAGAAGCAGAGCTTGGTGCTCTGGGCGATACCGTGACTGATGGCCAGCTTGATCATGTGGTCGCCACTTCGCAGTGTGATCATATCGTTATACACGCGCGGACGAGAGATTTCAGTCGAATATTCAAAATGGAACTCTTCCGTTTCGAAATCTTCCTCCAGCAAAGGCATTGTGGCCAGCGCGATTGGAGTGCCAGTAGCGGATGACGTCGCGAAAGCCAGGTCAGCCAGGAGGTCTTTCTCCTGTTTCTCGGTAAAATTCCAAAAGACAACCACCCCGTAGCTGAACACAAACATCTCCGCCACGTTGTAGGCTAGACTTGCCGGTGTGGGAAGACCAGGAGGTAGCTCGTGACCAGCAGCACGTTCGTGAAGTGTGGCGTTGACATTGTGAGACTCAGTTCCTGGGTCCATACGAGAGCCTCCATGCTCTACATCATGATGCATCAGCCCCTCGTCTTGCCGGTTCTCGCCCTCGAGGTGCCGTGGCGAGCCATGCTCGCCACGGCCGATGACCGAGTGCTCCTCCGCTTCGACCATGTAGTCATGGTGGTCGCGCAGTTCATTTCGCTCAATTTCTTCGTCGAGGAACGATTTCCCACCGGGCCGTTTGACCATCGGGCTACTTCTCAGTCTGTAGCCTTCGATACCCTGCAACAATGGAAGATGATACGCCGTATACAAACAGTCGTCGTAAAGCTTGGTCCGCCCACCGTGCTTGTCCTTCACAAAAGAGGCCAGCGAGCTCATCTTATAAGCCTGTGCCGTGCAGTATGCAGTCACACGAGACAGCTTCTCGGCGCGCCGCGCCTTGGGCAACCGCTCTGCATAGCTTTTCGCCTTCTCCGGCGCCACCTTCCGACGCCGCAGCAGTTCCTCCTCCGCCAGCAGGGGTGCAATATCATTATCTTCGCCGAAATCCCCACCCAACCTCTTCTGCACCAGCAGCCGCTGTCTTATGGACTCCGGATCGACGTTTTTCTCGCTCGCCAATCTCTGCACGAGTTCCTCGTCCACCGCCTCTTCCTCGTCTTCATCTTCGTCTGGCGACCGTTCATCGACTCCCTCCGCCTCCGGCAACAGAACCAGCTTCTCGCTAACTTTGGTTGTCCGAGGCGGGAGACGCGGCTGGGCCGCAAGGCGCCCTATGGAGGCCGCGGAGCCTGAGGCGCTGGCGCTGCTACCGGATGGATTCACGCTGCCCCCAGCACCAATTAAGCCACCCGTTGCGGAGGCCAGACGAGATCTCGGGCGCACTCGTGCACTTTGTGCCGGAAAACGCTGCTGCATGGAGGGCACGTCGGAGGTATACTGAAGGACGTTGTCGACTGTGATAAACCGGGTGGACGGGGAACGACGACGTCGGGGTTGAGCGGACGATATTTGATCGCGCGAGTCGGTTACCTGAGGCCCGATAAAGTCACCGTGTGATTAGAAAAGGTCCCAGAACAAATTGACATGTGGTAGGAACGAGCGACACGCACCAGAACGTGAGGACTTCTTTGGCCGGGGGCCCGTCCTCTTGCGGGGACCATGATAGATAACCAGCAATAAGAATTCAAGAAATACTCCAACCCCTCTCAGGATGGAAGAAAAAGCCCGAGAGTAAACAAGGAAGACCCGTCTTCCAAAGTGATACCAGGGCTGAAAGAAGAAACGTATAAACGTCTTACAGACGCAATCAAAATCCCCGGCCGGTCGGTCGATCGGTCGCTTGAGAATTCCGATCGCAAATAATTGCGAGAGCGCTCACACCCGCAAGATTTCAGCACAGACGGTCTCAATCAATCCGCCATGTTCTCACCAATTCGAGGCTTTCATGGAAATCTCGGCCGCGTCGCAGACAAAGCGATTCTTATCACGCCTGAAGAGAAGACGATGGAGATGGACGGAGGAGCCTAATCGATTGCCAGCAAGCTCCTCACCGCCTAGGACCAGACCGCGCTAATCCCCAAATGGGATGAAGAATGACGTCGACGGAACAGCCGCTTTTCCGTCGCGGGCAATACGGTACGTACGGACAGGATACCGTATCGAAACGCCGACCCATGTCTCCGGCGAGCCACGTGCGGCGCGGGCTGAGTGGGGGCTAGAACCAGTCGGGTTTAGACTGTTTAGTGATCCATCCCAAGGTTGATCCGGGGTAAGTCAATCCCTCGCTCGGAAAGCTTCGAATCCGCTCGTCATCCCAAGATGAGGCGCTGAGACAGGGCGGTGGGAGTTCGAGTTCGAACCTAGAAACAGTATATTGCTAATGTATGTCTCTGGATCACGGGGTGGTGGACTTGATCCTGATTTGTCATCGCGGTTTCGAGGTTCGCCGTACATGAAGCTAAGGTCGGTTGCAAAGACAGCTACGGAGTACTTCGGATTACTTCTGAATACGAGCAAGAAAAGAAACCACCGCTGTACGAAGCCTAAAGGATTGACAGTTGTCCAGCGTCAAACCCTCCTTGCATATCAATCTTCCTTGCGTAAGGGTGACAGATCTCTAAATTTTGATTGATTGAATTACATGCACATGTTTGGGCTAGTACAACAGTGACAAGAGATGCAAATATGTAAATGATCAGACAAAGGAAAAACATCAACATTTAATCAAGGAAAAACATATCCATCAGAAACTCCTCGAAGCGTGTGGGAGATATATGTGGGCTTCGTCATGCTAAACTGTGCAATGAAATGGGAAATATAATGCAAATCGGTTCCGTGGATCCCTGGACTGTTCAAACCATGGTGAACAAATAGCAAAAGCGTGATTATAACCGGTCTCGCAGACGTCGATCTTCGTCCCAGATCTCTTTCTTCATGCGCTGCAACTTGGCGTGCTGCCTTTGCAAACGTTCCAAATCCGCCCGCGGGGGATCCGGATGGGCCGCCATGGAGTCGTGCAACGTGCGGTATTTGGCATAGTTCTGCTTGAACAATTGCGACTTCTCTCGCAGCTGCTGAAGAAGAATTTCCCGGCTGAGGGGAGGCGACGCGCTGCCAGTACTGCCGCTCGACGTGCTCACGGCCCGTCGGCGCTTGTGCTCCAAGTCTCCCGTGGTCCGTCCCGCCGCGAGAGGTCGCGTCACCACCGGTCGCTCCAATTCAGCCTTCCGCTTCAACGGATTGACCGCCGGGGCCGACTTCACAATCCCGTTAGTCTTGACCGGCTTCGCGGGGGTGGGTAGAGTCTTGGTGGCTTTGTTTTGCTTGGCGATCTGCGTGATCAGTGGGGAGGAGGACGAAGAGCTGGAGGAGTTGTTTTGACTGGACGAACGACTGCGATTTTGCAGCTCGGAGGCATTGGTCGGCGGCGAAGAGCCAAGCGGCGACGGCTTCTGGGGAGACTTTTGGCCCGGAGCCCGAGCGGATGGCAGTCGCTTCGACGAGACAGATTTATTGGAGGTTTGCGAGGCGGGCTCCGACTTGGACGGTGGAAACTCGGGAGCATCCACCTTGGGCGTCGGAGCATGAGAGGCTTCTCGGGGAGCGGCGTCGATCGGCTTGCTTGCGGGCTTAGGCTTGGTCTTGGTCTTTTCAAGTTTGGACTTCTCTGGCGGTGGTGCCTCTGGCATGTCCGTATCATCGTCGTCCGAATCATTGACATACTCCGCTGATTTGAATTTGCCGTCTGGTTTCGCCACCGGCTTCTTTTCCTTTTCTGCCTTTTTGGTGATCCGACCAGTCAAGGTGCTGTTGGCCGCGGTCTTGGCCTTGGCGGCCGGCTTTTTGACGGCATCCTTCTCGACAGCTTTTTTCTTCTGCGTCCCTACAACAGACTTGGGAGCAGATGTGGGCTCCGCGCTTTTGGCGGTAGAGACACTTGCACCGGTTCGGTCGGTATCCGGGCCAGTAGTGTACCCCTCTTTGCTAGCGTCATCGGCGCTTTGTACCTGAATCTTGGGAGTTTCCGGCTTCTTCTTCGGGCCCGTCTGCAGGTTCAGTCGCGAGAGGCATTTACCTTGACCCCGTTCTTCCTTGGGGAGCAGCATCTGCCAGAGCTTGTCGGTGCGAGAGATTCGCAACCGATCAAATGCTGAGATCGCATTCTCAATGGCCTCCTGGCGATCTTCCTGGGACGGGTACGGGAACTTCCACACGTCGAGCTCTTTATATGTTCGATCCTTAAGGTCAAACTTCTCCGGGTTGATCCGATTCTTGACGCCGTATTGCTGGGCGAGGGCGGCACAGTCTTCCAGAGACGCGCGGGTCTGACGAGCGAGGAATTTGGTAGAAACGGCACGGACGGCGAGGAGGTGAACGAAGGGAGTCTTGAGGGCTTCGAGGCGAATGCGATCCCGACTTTGCGAAAGCGGCGCGGAGGTAGGTGTTAGGGGAGGAATCGAGGCAGGAGAACGAGCCACGCCTAGGGCCGGACTGGAGGAGACGGAGCGATTGGGGGCATTGTTTTTCAGCAACCGGTCTTTCTCCAATTCCGCTTTGCCCGACGATCGGCCAGCCAAGAGCGCGGCCTGGCGTCCGCTGGTGGACCGACCGTCACCCGCTCGCAAAGCTCGAACGTCATCAATCATATGAGTCTTCTTGGATTCCTTCCCTCTTTCAAAGGCGTTCAAGCTCTGTTCGAGGTTGGCCAGGGCCTGATCGGTGGCCGCGGTCGCCTCCTTGGCCTTTTCCACCTCCAAACTGTGGCTCAGAAGGCCCGTGAAATATAGGTTCTCTTTGTCAGCGGAGCTGCCGCGGTAGATCTCGGAGGGAAGCGATTCGGGGAACGAGTGGAAGGGTTGGGATTTGGAGCCGTAGAAGAGAGCCGGGTGCTTCCCTAGACGGACTCGAGCGGACTGGTCGTTTCGTAAACTTTGGATCAGGTCGTCGAGAGTGTTCTGGGCCAGATTCAATCGCATGATCTGGGGAGGCTTAGCGGCCGGGTTGTCTCTGCAGAGAGACACCCCGGTCTCGGGAACGTCCAGTGCCGGCATGAGGACGAGGAGAGGCGGAGGGTGGGAGGAGCAATGAGGGAGATGGTAAAACAGCAAGAGCGAAGGTTGTACTGTGCGTCCGATCTTCGGAGGGTAACGAGGAATTGGAGGGAATGAATTGTCTTGGGGGATCCGGAACAAGGACGACAAGCAGCGTTGAAGCTGCGGGTCAGTGGCCGAATACACGGAAGGACGGGTTGAAACCCCGTTCCATAGGATCAAACAATGGAGAACAGAGGAGAGGTAAAGAGGGAGTTTGCATAAGGAAGAGCAAACGGAATCCGAGAGGCACCCAAACCCATGGCAGTAGGGTAAGGATTGGGGGGGGGGGAAGAGAGAGCCTGAACGAGTAACAAATAGTTGGTATTCGGAAAGAGAGGAGGGTGAGTAGGGTGTTCGAGGAGGGTAGACGAAGAAAGAAAGAAGAGGGTTGGTAAGGCAGAGTAAGGAAAAGAGAGAGAGGGAAAGAAAGAGAAAGGATGAGTGAGATGATGCCAAAAGAGAGCCGGACGAGAGTGTAAGGCGGCCTTGGAGCGGAGAGCGAGGACGGCGAAGGACGTGAGTGGGGAGAGAAGCAGCGGTATGGTATCGTTCAGGGTACCTTTTTCTGGGTCCCAAGGAGAAAACAGCGTTGTCAGGCCCGCTAGAGAAATGATTAATTAACCCAAAGGCTAAACCATAAAAATAAGCTGGTAACTGGTAATTCTAATACGGGAATAAACTGATGCCTCGCCTGGAATTAATTTATTCTTCCGGTTGTTACCGTCCACTACACTACAGGCTCCGGTTCTTCTCCATCAGAAGTCAGAATTGGGAATTCAGAAATAAAAGTAATAATTATCACAGTCTGTTAATCCTTTGGAATAGGAGGATATCGCGCGAGTTGATTGACTCGGGCTTTATGTATGCCCGTCGAGCCCGACGGGAGTTGAATAGCAGAAGAACGGACAATGGACTTTGATACTTTGATACTTTGATACCCTTGGATACGTTCTTTCTTCCCTTTTTGATTTCAGACGATCTCTTTCTCTCCTTTAACCCTTCAATCCTTTCTCTTCTTTCAGGGTCATTATGAGCTGAACAATCGACAAGGGCGATGGGATGCGGAGAGACAGAAAGGAAAGGGCACAGTTCCTTGCCCACATCCCTCTGGACCGGAAGAATAATCAGAAAGACGAATAAGAATAGGAAGGGGCGATGATAGTCCGGCCACTAGTACGGATGACCGCGTACCGGAGAGGAAAAGTGTATCCGTAAAATAAAAGAATTCGATTTAATCGTGTATTACATTACATACATACGGATGTCTCTTCCCCTCCATTAATATTTTTTAAGTTGATTTGGATTTACAGAGTATATAAAGTATAGGTACCTGCCTACCTACCCTACCCTTTCTCTGGAATTAACCTGAATAAAATGACGGACAGGCTGAATGGGTGCTGCTGCGGTCGGATTCTGGAACACTAACTGATCCCTACCACCGATCGATCAGATCACGGATCGAGGGCCAGGAGAACGTTGTGGTTTGGCTGCCTCTCGTTGGGACCCGTTCTTTGTGATGTGTATCAAACTCTTTCCAGCATGGAATTAATGAACTTTCGAAAGGCGATGACATCGTGAAAGAAAGAAAAAGATGGACTGATTGAATGACCGAATGACTGACCGAAGGCAGAACAAACAGGGGGATCAAGGTATTGTTCCAAGAATATAACATCATCACTAGGACTCTGAACCAAGGTTGAAAGTGTCAGTTTCCCCCTTGGGTCGTCGGTACCAAACCCGGTATCGTCTCCGCCGTAATGACCCATCGGGGTAAGGTATCTTACAAAGTTACAAATGGGTGTCTCTGACTCTTTCGAGCCCCCACCACCGCTCGTGACAGGAGTGCCCCGACCAGTCATGCAGATAGGAGCGAAGTAACATCCCCTACACTGTATACAGGGTAGAGCAGGAGGAAAAGGGCAACTAATTATGAACCAAAGAAATCATATCAAGGAAAAAGAGTCATGAGTCCATCGCTGAATAATTCAGAATTGCCCAGTCCACCTGAATAATGAGGGGGAGGGTCAACTGAGATGACAAATGATACCTGAAGAACTCGGTAATTAATCCGTCCTGCGCAATTCTCCTAATTAGGACCTCCGTCACTAGATGCCCTCTTCGACTTCTTCCTCCTGAGTCAGTGCCACTCCTGAGTCGCACACAAAAGGGGTCGCGGTAGAAAGACCGAAGGGAAAGGGAATTATCAATCTTGCCTTGCATCTTCCCACCCTAGACTGGCACCCTGAACATGTGAAATATGAACCTGACTATCCGTCCTCCGTACGGAGACTAACTCTATAAATATTTCCATATTAACCCTGTCGGATTCGGACCCCAGGCCGACAGGGCAAAAGAGTAGGTCAATACCTACCAACCGTCACCGGATCAGCATCAGAAATCACTGGTTCAGGGTGACGGGAGATCACCCGTCGCAGAAGAACCCAGCCTCGACTTTGGGACCGTTTCATTGCCTCTCCTTTTTTTTTTTTTTTTTTTTTCGTTGTTAAAATTATTTTTGCCTTTCGGTTGGTTCTCCTTCCATTTTACATTTTTTGGGGGATTTCCTGGTGTACGGTACCCGCTTGCGCGCGCGCGCCTCGCCTCGCCTCCTGTCTGACGCGCGAGCCATCGATTTTTATCTCCACCGCCAGGCAAAAAGGAATGCAAGATGGGCAAAGCTTTGCATCGGTCTAGCTAAGGAGCAGCAGCAGCAGCATCTCGTTCTCGCCGCCACTTAGTTACTTACGGAGTAGAGGTGCGGAGAAAGCATCGGGGAGACAGAAAAAAAAAACATGAAAAGAAAAAGGAAGATGGACTGATATTCGGCACTCTCAGACAGCCACATCACGTAGGTGGACGTCCGGTTACGGAATCTCCGGTGGTCCGTACATCATACCTGTCGATTATATGTGCCCGAACCAATGTGTAGGTATTATGTAGTGTGTATGTACACAGTACAAAGCCTAAGAGGTAGGTAGGTTGAGGAATTCTCCTGACTGGAACGATCTCAATCACGATGCTCTCAACGGAGGACTCTACAGCTACTACCTACAGCTACAGACGGACAAAGATGACGCTGGGCGATCCCCGGTCACAGGCCTACCTACTCCGTACATTTACAGTCGGCCGGGATCTAACCGAAACAGATGGAACCAAGCCAGACCGGTTGATCTCTCTCGCTCCACTGCAGAACCATTGGATGACAAGCTCCCTGGTGATGCGTTATTCCCTGGTTTTCTTACATTCTTCGGACATTCCTCGCAGAGCGACCTACACTACCTGACTGGTGTAGGTCAATGCTAAATTCGAATAGACCGGAAGCCCTGGGGCGAGAGTGAAGGAGGGGGGGTGTGATGAAAGACAAATAAATTAAATCCACCGGATAGTCAGTTAGTTAGTGAAAAAGTAGGTTAAAGTAGAAAGGGTAAAAAAAAAATGCCCCAAGGGAGCAATAATCATCGGTTCCGATTTGTCTGGACCTGAGGGGGAAGGGCCTCGGGACCTTTCTTTTCCCCTACTCCGTACGATCATTCCGAGCGAGTAATGAAGGGATGGTCATGGTCACATTTATCACACTACGGAGTATCGAGCTGGGCAATCGTAGTTAGTTCGGGGGGATGTGAATAGTAATGACTGGCTATGATCTTCCCTTGAGATTAATTTCTTTTTTTTCCTCTTGGTCAATCATTTCTGTGACTCGGGTCTCTTAGTTAGTCTTCAGGCATGGACTTGTTATTAGGATCTTCCATTCTATATCAGATGAGTACAGTGCTTTCCTGAGTACCTAGGTAGTGTCCATTTACCCGGATCATTTGATACGATTCCCCCTCTCTCTCAGTCTTTCTCCGGCCCCCGACCCTCCTAACTAACCACTCCAGTACGGATACTGTGTACGGTGTAAGCACCTACTCACTTGGGTATCTGTTTCCTAGGGTACGGACCAAAATCCATCGGCCCATTCGAATAAGCAGCGGGGACCCTGAAGGGCAAGAAGGAGGTGGGGAGGAATGTGCACTAAGATTGACTAACCGGGCAAGGTCAGGGAACCGATATCTCTTCTCGAACGAGAATACATGAGGGGTAATTGTACTGAGTAAGTTGTACTGACTTAATTCTTATTATTCAGTACGTGCAGATTCGGTAGCTAGTAACTACGTTGTAAGAAATGGTTAGTCAAATGTAGTCATCCAGTACGTACATGAGAGCATTAAGTTCTCGTTCGAAGTCATTGGCCACATGCGGTAATCGGGTCAGACTTGGGCACTGGAATGGTTTCCCTCGGCCGTTAATCTGGTCGGTAACTGCATTTCACTCATGCAGTATTCGATTATTTTAGAACGAGGATTATTTCGAACGAAAAGAAAAATGTAAACGAAGTCGAGTACGTCGGCTCAGCTTTCGTATCTTGCCAGTCATACTTGACCAACTGGGCAAACTGGGGTCCCGCCCTGACTTCGTGTTACGCTTCATTGGCGGCCTATCCACGTGTTTCGATGTGGGTGAGATCTTTGACCAAAGGGAGTAAGTTCGATAATATTACAGAACGTCAAAAGCGGTAACAGAAATGATATGGCAGCAATAATAACAAGAGGCAAAATCCGCTGATGCTGCTGATGATGAATGCATTGAATTTGCCACCTACAAGTCACTCCCGGCTCTTGTCAGTGTCATTCATGAGATGGAGGGGAGGGGGGAAGGTCGCCCTGCATGGATGATTGCAGTACACAGTCACAGACAGTAGTGCCTACGGAGTATCCGATTCTCTTTCCCTCCCGAATTGGCCGAATCAAATCACAAGCACTGAATCTGTGCGGACTGCGGAATACACTTTGACCCCGGAAGTAAGGAAGAACGGGAAAAACTGGAGCCATTCACTACTCGGTTCCCTGTCATCATCGACCTTTGATAGTGATACTTTCTTGCCCTGTCCTGCCCACCTCTTCTTCCTCTTCAGGTCACAAATTACCTTCATATTTAGGCTTTCCTTTCCCGGGAAGGAAGGGAGAGGAAGATCTAGAATCCAGCAGACCTAGGAGTAACCGTAGGTAGAATAATGAATATTGAAAGTCAATCAATCAATCAGTCACTCAATTCATAACTAACAACTGACCGCCGACAGAAAAGGTTACACTTACACGATGTCACCCATCACCTACCTACTTACCTCCGACTGACTCCATTTACACCCTGTACCACCCACCCTGGAGCAAGAAATACTCCAAACCAATAATAACAGAGTTTATCATGTCTGAAAGAACTGGATGCGGATTGACTCAAGCCTCTTTTTCTTTTTCTTCTTCTTTCTTTTTTTCCCCTTCGCTCTTGGTGAGGGAGGGCTGGCTGGGAAATTCATCATTGGTGGGCCCTACCAATGCGAGGGATCCGACCATCCACGGAGTATCTGTAATACATCGGTATATACCGACGGGTGACAGGGCGGTATGTACTGTATATAGTCATAGGTAACATACACTGTATCACAGGATCGTGTGCCAACGCATCCTCTACATCGGGGTACCTACAGTGGATAGGAGTAGGTCCTGCTAGGAGCTGAATGATCTCTCAGTACTAGTTCAACGATCAGTACGAGTTACTAGGAATAGCTGACTCTGAATACGAGTCAACTCCTCTCTCTAAATATACCTAGCCCTCCAAAAGAAATATACAATCAAACTGGACGATACTGATAGGTATTAATATTCTCCTACCGAAAAGTCCAAGTAATTCCGTAGTTACTCCGTCCCAGCAAGAGACGTGCCGAACCACCGTAGGCTAGCCCAACTTACCCCTGTCTCATCTGCCCGCGACACGGCAAATTCGGTGGGATTAATTAAGGTAGTCAGGAGAGAACCTGACGGTGATTCAGATTCAGATTCAGATTTAAATTCAGGTTCAGGTTCAGGTTCAGGTTCGTTTCCTTTTCGTGAACAGCTAGCTCAGACTATCCTATGGAGTAAAGCTATAGATAGGCAAACACGATCCCTTTTCTTATTTCCTTCCCCCCCCATCCTTTCTGTAGAAAAATATTTATGTATATTAAAGTGCTGCGGAATTACTATATTTACCCTTCCCTACGGAGTACCCTACATACATACCCACCCCAAATCAATCGAACCAGACTGCGCCAGAATAATGGGTCCGGATCTACGATTGCCTTGTCCCTTTTTTTTTTTACCCAAGCCTCAGCGTGCGTGCTGTGCTGTGCTGTGTTGGAGGCTGATGATGCTGCGCCGGGCGTTGCCTGCAGGCAGCTCTGGGCAGGTGGCGCCTCACTGAACCTGAATAAAATATCTTTCTTACCTTACTCCGTAGTCCGTACAGCTGTATCTTTTCTTTTCTTTTTATATCAAGAATCGTTTGGTTTGGTTTGTTTTCTTTCACTTTTGAATTGGGATCTATTCTTACCTATGTATGTTTATTTTTATTTTTATTTTTATTTTGGCAACCTTAGGCTGATGAAATGATGATCTGGACTAGTTAACTAGGTAGGAACATTGCTTACTCAGTGATACACCACTGTAATTTAAGACTATCCTATCTAATAATATCGGCACAGCCGCGCTACGCTAAGGATCAGGTGAGGATAACTAGGATTGATGGATTCATGGGTGAATAAACTTGTTAACTTAAGTGTGACTTGACTAATTAGATCATGGTATTCTGTATCGAGATAGGTACAGGAATGGTAGGTGCCACTCTTCTATTTGATTCTAGTGTTGATACTAGTCAGGATACAGACATCATTACTCTGTAGGAAGTTAGGAACAGGGGGGCTGGGAGCATTGAGTTGGAGTTGAATGTCGGAAGGGAGGAAACTCGGACTTGTGGTGGTTACTCCGTAGAGACTTTGGTTGCCTGGTTATCGTGGCCTTTCCCTTTTCTTAGTTGCTTCCCATAGCTGGTACTTACGGCTTACAATCAAGTTACATTGCTGGTAACTAAGGGATCTGATGGAGCACCCTATTTACGGAGACTGCTCCGTCCGACGGATCTCTCCTCCGACCTTTTTCTCTCTCCACTTACTTATTTAGTTATCCGAGCAACCTGCTTATTATATCCGGAGTACTGCGGCTGTCTCGTGAAGTTTTCAATTGCATGATGGTCGGTCTTATCTCTAGATTTAAAACGGTTGTTTGGTCTTAAGGATCGGGTCGTCCATGTCTTGTATTCATTTTCTCCGATCAGGAGATGTCGTTCGATTCGGGAAGTACAGTACATTGTACGGTGTACTCTGCGTAAAGGGGCAGACACACCGCAGTGTTGGGTGGGTGTTGCCTCCCTACTACGTACCAACCAAGCTCATCGACGTCGTTATTCATTATTCTCCAAATAATCGTAAGCATTCCAGCACTTCCTGCGAAGGTTCTGATTTGTCCTCCTCGGGTCCACTATGTTGAGGCTGTAAACTATCCGGGCTCTCAGATGGCAGCATGGTCGGGCTTTCTTCCAGCGTTGAGCTTGGTAGCAACGCTTCGAGGGTCCCCGATCCAAAGAAAGACAGTTCCATCGCCTCCATCCAAACCGGCGTCGATGTCTCGATGGCAGCTTCGGGCTCTGAGACCGGCGGAATGGAAAGCATGTCATGGTCAGATGCTCCGACGCCGGTTATCGGTAGCGGTCTGTCCTCGTCGGGATTGTCCTGCATGAAGAAGCATTCGTCAATGTATCGGAGGAGCCGGGTATACTCGGCCAGGCGGAGCTCAAACAGATCGAAAAAGCAGTCCGAGCGAAGCATCGTGCTGGAATCTGTATCCGTATCTGTCTCTGACATGGCGGATTGTTGGCAGAGCTGAAGAGCGGCCGAGGTGACTGCCAGAACACGCTTGGTATAGTATCTGAAACTGTAGTGGCGGTTGACTTCCATGAAGAAGACTAGCGTTACTTCGTGGCTTTGCTTGTCTTCGGGGATTCGTGAAAGCTGCGTCTTCACGCTGAGCAGGATCTGAGGTAGCATCGTATAGGCGACACTGGGGAATCGTCTCAGTATTACTCTGTGATATATGCTTAGGCAGGCTACTTACGCACTGATCGGGAGCTTGTCGGCAACTCCATTCGTCAGGAGCTGCTTCACTCTCTCCGCCGTCGAGCCAATTGCTCGTACCAGCTCTGTCCGACAGAACTCCAGCTGCTCTTGGTCTGCGGCCTTTGGGGAGCTCGTGTCGCCAATCATGAGACACTTGTGATTGCAAAGCGCGATACGGGCAGACCTGATTGCTGTGAGACACATACGAACGCCTGATCTCTGTGTGAAACAGTGACTTACTGGTAATATAGCGCAACAAGATTGGTATTTAATATCAGTGACGAATGCAGATGGAAATCGTTGTCATTAACGTGCGCCATCCAATCGAGTTCCCATTGCAACAAAGACGATTTGGCCTCTTCCAACTTTGCCAGCACACGATCGTGGCTTTCCATCTTCATAGCAGCCTTGCGTTTTGCAGGATAGAGGATCGTGAGCAACGTGGTTACCGTGGCTGCAAAATGACAGAGACTCGACAATACTTGGCATAACGCAGATTTGGTTTCTGGTCCATATACTTCAGAGTAGAATATCTCGTCTCTCATGTCGTCAATGGCCAAGCCCTGCTGATGAAGGTCGAATTCTAATGGCGTGATTTGGATTGGGCGGTGCATCCCAAGAGAGATGATCCGATCGCGAATAAGACAGCACCACCAAACTCTTTTCAGGTCCGACTGTTTTCTCGGTCCCTGGGCTTTGGGGACATAGTAACAATCGGCGCCTTCGCTTTTGGCATTCTTGATGGCAATTCGTAACCATCTTGAATTTGCGATGATCTCCGTGTTGGATGTATAGTAGGACAACAGTAAGGCCGATCGGGAGATTGTCAACGGGTCACTTTCGGTGCCACTGCGGTACAGCAACTTCGGAAGGATATTAGTTACGGAAGCGTGGATCAGACAGGTCAACTACCTTGGATCTCCGATATAGCTCATCGCGTGCAGAGATAAGAGAATCGTAGCCACACTGCTTGGCGACGTCGACCGGAATGAACTGATGAAATAAGCACTGGGCAGGTAAACATGAGAGTGTCACATACGCTGCTTGCAGCAAATAGCATTGATTGGAAAAGCAACAGGGGAATGCTTTCGTCATGGCCGGTGCTTGAGCATCGATATTGCCTCCAGAAAGCAGCCTCGTCGATCAGCGGAAGACTCGGATGTACGTATAGAAAGTAACTGCGAACGAAGCTATCCGTCACATGTCTGGCCGGTATTGACAGACATCCTTGCGAATCGAGGAAAGCCAATTCGACAGGGCCCAATCGTTTCAGCCCAGGCGCTTTGAGAAAAGTGTACGAAGAGAACGGTAGAGGAACGTTGGTGAAGGCACCTGCGCGTGTGCAAGTACAGTTAGTGAGTTGTTCAAGTAGATGGATCTCAACGCTGCAGCACGAAGGTGCCTTTCTACATACTTTCTGTTAGATTCTTCTGCGAGGAAAGGCTGTCAAGGGCTCGTGCCTCGCCGGTTGAGGTACAGGCAATACGTTCTCTAGGACGAGTCTTGAACAGATGTTTCGCGCCGATCCGTTTACCCAGGCCTGGCCGGACGGAGCAGGTGGATTCATCCAAGCGACAATTGGTGCAAGGAAAGCCATTGATAGAGCCGTCACATCGCACTTTGCGATCATGGCAGTGGTCACAGGCACGCGGAGCACGCCTTCTAGCTGGTCTATAGTTATCTTCTGCATACCGACGACGCGACTCCCATATCGAAGAGTTGGCCATATTATAGGATATGGCGCGGGTTGGTTAAGTCCCCAGTCGGAGAGAAGGGAAGGTGGGAAGAAATTGAAGCCGAGTCGAGCTCCTTTCCAGCGATCTTCCTTCCCTTCGTCCTTACAAATAAGGCGGGGAAATAAAGTATACGGGGCAGTGGGGATCCTTGCGCGTCCATCCAGTCAGACGTTGTCAATGGCAGAGCTAAACGGACCGAGGTTGAATCGGTTAAACCGAATCGAGTCGAGCAGACTTTCCCTCTCTCTCTCTCTCTCTCTCTCTCTCTCTGCCTTTTCGCCGTTCCTCTCTATTCTTCTTTGATTTCCCTGTTGTCGTATCTCCTTGTCTACGAGGAAGGCCCCTTCTTCCGCCAGGTCCGCCCTCGTCCGCCATGACATCGCCCATTCTTTCTGATTTGCTCCTGCGGAGACGACAAGTCGTTTAGTGTCGCGCTATTCTCATGATTGGCAACAAGTCGCTGGTCAATCTTGGATTCTACCAATGATACATGTCCTGGAGGGGCGACCGTAACAGAACTCCACTGCATACGTCTAATGATGAATTGTTCAGCATAATCCATTATGTATCCGGCAGATCCTCCCTTCCACGACGTCAAGACAATGTCGACCGTCTGAATAGCGAGCATCGACAGTAATCGAGGCAGAAGGCATATCGCATATAGGTAGGTCAAGGCTCCTTCGTTGGCTCGTATGAGCCCCGTGCGTGTCTGCCTGTCCGAAGTTGTCGGATCAGTTCAGTCATGGCGTAGAGCATCTCTTCGACTACGTTTGAATCGACAACAGCGATGGTGTCTGCGTCTCCGAAGTATATTAGACCCCTGAGGAAGGTGATAGAATAACAAAAGATCTGGATGATAGGATGCTAATTTGAAAGTAATTGGACAATAGGTACGTGAAGGTTTCTATGTCCGCCCCAGACCGGGGTGGTGCGCATCAGTCTAGGCCCTCAGATCTTAACATTTAGCAGTTCCTCTTTCAGCGAGATGTATCTTAGTTACTACAATGGACGATTTCATTCTGTAGAAAGTTCATAGTGATTTATTTTGAGCTGAAATATCACTGGATTGAGATTAAAGAACGGCAGAATTCCGGATATCCTCTGCTGAATATCGACGATGCGCACGGCAGCCACTTTTGTACATGGAACAACATGGAACGATATCCCAGATAGAAAATATATCGTTGAATGAATGTTATAATTGAAACAGACGTAGAATGGGCAATGTGTTGGCCAATATGTAAGACTCAAACAGTACAAAAGGAATATCCCAAATGTATACCAAGAGGTGTGTATAAGGGAAACTTCCGCCCTCACTCAAATAGAAGATTCTCTCTACATCCAGATCTGTTTACATGGACCAATCCCTTACCCTGTCAGATAGACACGTTCCAAGTGGAAAGCATCAAACGTTTGTTGAGGAGACAACCTCAAGGTACGGGACGCCCAGAGCTTTCCCCGCACTTCCTTCTCCTTTATCCTTGCAACCAGCCGCATAAGCGCCACGGTTGAGCGTTGCAACCTTCTCCTGAATAAATCTCTCTCCTTTCCAGTCCTCCATGACTGCTCAACCCTCCCAATGGTCCTATCGCCGTCATGTTGAAACCCACGAGGGCCTTCTGGAGCGTCCAGCAGATTGGCCTCCAGCCTTCCTCTCGGGGGTTAAGTTTAACGCAGCCACCGCCCTTATCGGCTTATCGCAAACGGGATGATCTGCCCACAGTCAATCACTCCAAGATCTCCCCCGACTGCAGTTTTTACCTTTACAAGTCCGACACCGAAACCGTGGCAGCATGGCTGGCAAAGACTGCCAAGGCGTATGGTTACCAGTTTGGACCCTCGACGGCCAATGCCAGCTCCACCAACAACAACGAGGAGCTGCCCCCTGCGAGCGGGACTGCTTCTCCAGTGAAACATCAACTCGCCCTCCATGAGTTCACCAAACTGGCAGACTTCATCGCCGCGGCCTCGGATCCTCCCGTCAGCGTTCCGAGGTCATTCATGAAGGCCCTGACACGTGCCATCTTCATTCGGAAGAACCACAGTTGGCAAATTATTCCCACAATACCGGAGGGCCCCGAAAAGCTGATCACGACCACTCAGCACAGACACTTCATTAACGTCCTCAAATACGTGCGGAAGGTCCTGCGCCCCAAGGTGTCGAGTCGCCGAGTGAGAGATCCGTTGGTCCGCAGCACGAGTGCTGCTGCCACGCCCGAGGTTCCCAAACCCCGGCAGGATCTGAAAAAGGCCTACCTGGGCTTTGAACTTCTGATGAAGGATTTCCGCAGCCTCCGGACGGTCATCATTCGGTCGTGGCTGGGATATCAGGATGGAACGTTTGACCTGATCGCCGTGTCGCTGGTGACGAACTCAGCTATTAACGTCGCCCGGCGAATGCAGGAGGATGTTCAAAAGCTATTCGACAAGTACGGTGGATCGTCGCAAATACTCAATGCCATTTATGTGGCGCAATGTGCCATTGATGGCGAGGACCCCAACTTCCGTGAGCGGCCGGGCGATGACCTGAACTTCCGTGTCTACGACACTGCCGAATCAATGATGTTACCGACCTTTATGCTGTTGCAGTCTTTTAACGCCCTGGTCGAGTCCGGGAACGTCCTCTCGTGTAAGCCCGGCTACTACGGGACGTTTGACCCGGCAAGCGTCCGGTCGGAGAAGAGCGTCCGGGGAAAGTACCAGGAAGACAAGATCGTGATGCTGGAGGCGCTGTCGGGATTTCTCACCTTCCACCGCGGGGTATCTCCCCAGCCATTCGAGGACCAGTTCACCCGGGGTCTCCGGCTGATGTTCAAAACCCATGATGTCCCCATCTGGCTTGTTTTCGCCGCCCAAGTCTTCCTAGACATTCATCACGCTTTGCGAGGCAATGTCAGGAAAGCCTTTTCAGATCTGAAGACCTCGGTCAGGTCCATGGGGGCCATCAAGGAGAACCTTGAATTACAATCCTCGCTAACCATTGAGGGATGGCTGAAGAAGGATGACCGGGAATACCATTCTATACTACAGGACATTTACCGGTGGGTGGACTCGGACCCCGTGAAGGAGCTCAAAGCGAGACCCGGAGAGAGGTTCAAGTTCATGAAATGGAACCCCCTCTTTTGCGGGATGCTCAACTACAACCTCCAATGTGAATATCCCAGTGTGGCTATTAGGAGCTCAGTCGGTCCTTCCAGGCTGCATGGGGATCAATTATGTATCCGGCCCACCTGCACAACGCCGTCTGCAACGATGGACTCATCTGCCCTGGACCCCTGGTCGGCTCGTCATAGAACTGATCCTGGGCTGGCACAGCGAGATCTTCGTCGCCGAGGCGTCGAGTTAGCCCGAGGAAGGAAGCGAGCGAGATATACTCCGACTCACCCGCAGCCAGGAATCGACCAAGAAGCGCTGGCAAGACCATCACAGACTCACCGCCACCGAGCTTTTCGAGAATCTGCGCGACGCTCTCCTGGGCGTGATGCTGGAGTTTAACTTTGATTGGCCCTGTATCGATCCTGCTGGCGACTGCTCCGTCAGGTTCGTGAGGTCTGCGATTCCTGGCTGGGAGATGTCTTTGGCGTCGGCTACCTGGAACGGGAGATTCAATTGGCTTTCGTCGTGGGATATATCTCATGGCCGTTGCCAACACTGACGCCACGGGTAGGAGTCTGGCGTACAAGGAAGATGTCGTAAAGAGCAAGCCATTTAATAGTAGCAGGTGGCGCGGTGGACGAGATGACCGAGAAGGGAGAGGGAACATTGGTGCTTGAATCTGTCGAGGAGAGAGGATACCCGGTAGCGTTTGAGGTTGAATGAGTATGATGTTTTGTTTCCGAGCGTACTGCATACTTTGAGATACCTAGTTATCGTTGATTTTGTCTAGATATTAGCGCAAATAAAGATTACAATACTAGATCAATATCACCCCAGCCCTTTGCCTTCTGCAGCACAAGCGCATGGAAATCCCTGAATCGTCAGCCTCGCCAACTACCGTTCTTAGCTCCAATTTCCCATAAGCATAAGCATAAGCATAAGCCCGCCCACCGCCACAATCATCATCAGCCCAGCTGAGATCCGGTTCACAGCCCTGATTTCTTCTAAATCTCCTGGATTTATTTTCCACTCGTCAGGCCCCCCTCCCCTCCACCATTCCGTTTCACCCGTCAATCATTGCCACGCCAACATCAACCTCAACCATGCAATCCACAAAAGCAATTGTCGCCAACGCACCCATAACGCCGGGATCTATTAACTGGTCCCTGCAGGATATTCAATGTCCAATTTTCTGTGGCCCTGACGAAGTGCTCGTCGAGATTGTCGCCACGGGACTCTGCCATACGGATGTCTTTGTGTCGGGTGTGCCCGACGGGACATTGGGGATACGGTATCCGAAGATTATGGGTCATGAGGGTTAGTCTTTTTTCTTCTTCTATGCTTGAACATTAAATTCATTTCTCCAGTCTGGATTGAATAGCTAGCTAACCCGTATTCTATGAACTATTCCCCCCAAAACAGGAGCTGGATATATCCGCTCCATCGGCAAGGCTAGCAGCAGCAGTAGCGACAGCAACTGCAGCAGCCACAGCAACAGTAGCGCTACCAGCAATGGCGACAGTGGTGCTACCAGCAAATTCCAAATCAACGACCCAGTTCTTCTCTCGTTCCCGTCCTGTGCGTCCTGCACGCAATGCAAACAGGGCCACCCGGCGCACTGCACAGGCATCGCGGCGGAGAAGTATACCGGGCGAAAAATCTTCACTGTCTGCGGCACCAAGCACGAGGATCCCTCCATCTGGGGCTCTTTTCTCGGTCAATCGAGTTTTGCGAGGTATACGGTTGTGAATGTGTCTAGTGTGTTTAGTTTGAGGGGTTTGCTGCGACAAAGCGAGGATTTGGCGGTGTTTGCGCCGTTGGGGTGTAGTTATCTCACGGGGTATGGGGTTGTGCAGAGGATTGCGAGGGTTAATGGTCATGGTCGTGGTCATGGTCATATCAATGGCAGCGTCAATGGCCATGTCAATGGTAACGGAGAGGGAGGGAAGAATGGTGGGGGTGATACGGTGTTGATTATGGGGTTAGGAGGGGTGGGAATGGGGGCTGTTTTGGTATCTCCATCTCCATCTCCTACTCCATCTTCTACACATACTCCTGTCTATCTGTATCATGCAGTATAGATAGCCTCTCTACCTCCCTACAGCCCTAACACCTACCCACCAACCAACTACTAACAAACGAGAAACAGGCCACTACACAATCCCACCCCCAAACCCTCATCGTCCTAGACCAACACGCCCCGCGCCTCCAACTCGCCAAAGACCTCGGCGCCACGCACACGCTGAACACGCGCTCACCCAACTTCAACCTCCAGGATGCCGTGCGCGCCATCTGTCCCGAGGGCCCGTCCGTCGTCATCGATACTACGGGCGTGCCGGAGCTCATTGAGCGCGGACTGGATGTTGCGGCGCCGAGAGGACGGATTGTCCTGGTTGGGGTTCCGCCTGTGGGTTATGTTGTTGGGATGCAGGGGTTGGGGTTTGTTGAGGTATATTTCTTCCCCTTCTTTTCCTTCGTTCTTTGGGGGTTTTGTCTGGTTCTCTCTTGTGGGTTGGCTGGGGTGGGTGTGGTTAGTTGGTGATAGAGACGGGGTTGGAGGAGGGTTGTGAAGAGACAGAGGGAGAGAAAGAAAAGAAGACTTGCTAATGGCGATGAAAATCCAGAGCGGAAAATCAGTAATGGGATGCCTAGTGGGAGATTCGGTTCCTGAGGTGGTGAGTCCATTTCCTACCAAGGAGATACATTAATCTGAATTGACAAAATCCTATCACACAGGACATCCCCCAACTCATCCAATGGTACTACGAAGGACGATTCCCTATCGATCGTCTAATCACGAAAGTTCCTGTGAGTCTGATATACCGATATCTATGGCCCGATGGAATGGATCGTGTTCATTTGCATCTTCATCTTCACCTTCATGTCGTGTTGTGTTCACGCCGGGGAAGAATGATAAACACTTCCTGAACAAACGAGCTAAGATACGTCTCATGTACAGATCGAAGATTACGAAAAAGCTTTACGAGGAACTGAAAAAGGAGAGATCATCAAGGCGGTGTTGGTTTGGGATGAGGATCAGGTCTGATCTGCCATGAATCACCTTCGAAGAGAGAGGTATGTATGTCTCTTGAACGTACTCGAGAGGGAGGAATGGGGAGAAAACCTACCTAGCTACTTATCTGCCTACATCGGAGTAGGTGAGGACAAGGCTGCAGGAGTGTAGGGAGTGGAGTTGTTGGGTTCTTTAGATGGTTGTCTGTTCTGGGCCTGTGTTTGGGAGGTTATCTATTCTTGTCGGTGTTCCTGGCAGGGGATTGATGGTGCATAAAGAGTTTAGAATAGTAGATAATATTGCTTTTAATGGCATTGCTCTTTAGATTTGATGGAACTTAGTTAATTTATGAAAGGAACACAACTCTATATTTAACAGACACGTATCAACCAATAAAATATAAACTTCAAAATTTGCTAGTGTAACAGACATCGGATATCAGTACATCGGGCTCCAAGCCCGGTAAGATCTATTTATCATAGGAATGCTTTTCTTTCCAACTTTTAACCAGTAACCTTGAAGATGGACTCGGCCAGTCTCTTGACGTTGCTGGAGGTGATACCGGCGACGGAGATACGGCCGTCCTTGGTGGCGTAGACGGAGTGCTACAGATGTCAGTAAATAAATCCCGAGATCAATGCAAACTAGATTCTTACCTCCTTGGCGAGAGCTTCCATCTGCTCGGGCTTCAGACCGGTGAAGGCGAACATGCCGATCTATCTCATGTCAGTATATGTCATGTCGTTAATTTCCAGCTAACTCACCTGGCTGGTGATGTGGGACCAGTCGTGCTTGCTGCCCAGCTGCTCCAGGTTCTCGCGCAGCAGAGCGCGCATCTCGATGATACGGTCGGCCATGCCCTTGACCTCACCCAGCCACTGCTTGTTCAGCTCGGCGTCGTTCATGATCGTCGAGGCGACACGGGCACCGTGGATGGGAGGGTTAGAGTAGAAGGGACGGATGAGAATCTTGATCTGCGACTCCACACGCTTCTTCTCCTCGGCGTTCTCACAGACAAGGGAGAAAGCACCGACACGCTCTCCGTAGAGACCCTGTCAACTGTCAGAGATGGTAACTTCAAGACACAAAACAGATCATACCATGTTCTTGGCGAAACTCTGGCACAGAGCAATGTTGTGGCCCTCCTTGACGAAGTGACGGGGAGCAAAGGCATCCTGGTCGGCGTTACCGCTGGCAAAGCCCTGGTAGGCCATGTCGAAGAAGGCAAAGTGACCCTTCTGCTTCATGACGTCGCTAATCTGGCGCCATTGGTCCTGGGTGGGATCGACACCGGTGGGGTTGTGAGCGCAAGCGTGCAGCAGGATGATGCTGTTCTCGGGAGCGGCCTTGATGTCGGCCAGCAGACCCTCAAAGTCCAGACCGATGGTGTCCTTGTTGTAGTAGCGGTACTTCTCGACCTCCAAGCCGGCGTCCTTGAAGACGGCGTTGTGGTTGGCCCAGCTGGGGGTGGGGAGGTAGACCTTCTTCGCGTGAGGGTAGAAGCGCTGCAGGAACGCACCGCCGATTCTCAGGGCGCCGGTACCGGAGATGGTCTGGGTGATGACGAGACGGTTGTCCTTGAGGACCTCGGAGTCCTTGCCGTAGGCCAGCTCGGCGGCGGCGCTGGTGAAGGTAGGGATACCGGTGATGCCGGCGTATTCCTTGTCGAAACGCGAAGCGACAACCTTGTCCTCGGCGGCACGAACGGAGGGGAGGACGTAGGGCTTGCCCTTGTCGTCACCTACGAGACTACGTTAGTTGATGTCTTTTCCCCTTTCTTCTCTCGATCGAGATCCATTGCGAAGAGACATTCGGAATCTTTCGACAATAGATTCGACCATGCAAATGCAGGAGATGCTTACGGTAGGCACCAACACCCAGGTTGATCTTCTCCTTGAAGGAGTCGGCCTTGAAAGCCTCGGTGATACCCAGAATGGCATCCTAGATGGCATTGGGTCAATTTTCGACGAGCAATGAGGTTCTCAAAATCAGGGCGCATTACCGGAGGGCCCTGAGGAACGTTGGACCAGGCCGAGGCATTTCTGGCGCCAACGATGACGGTGCGCATGCTAGCGTCACGCGTAGCAGCCTTACGGCCGGCGACTCGGAGGGTGGAGAGCATTGTGAAGGAGGGAGGAGGCCTGTGAGTCCAATGGAAGAGAGAGAGAGAGATGGAGATGGAAGGAAGTAAAGATAAGGATGGGATGGAGATAAATAAAAAGAAGAAAGGGATTGAGTCAAAGGCGAGAGAAAGTCTAGGGAGATTCCGGGGAGCCCAAGCGGCGGACGCGGATTGGCCGCCGCCTCCGCAGTCGCGGTTAAATTGGTCGATCACGGGTTTCTTACCTTATGTTTTTATGTTTTTTTTATTATATAGTTATCATTATTATTTAGGTCCATTGACTACAATTGAATGATTGTTTGTGTTAATTGTTTGTGTTAATTGTTTATTTATTTATTTTGGTAGACTTCAGGATAGTCCCATGGATCTTGAGGCACTCCATATATCCATCAACACCTACTCCGTACAGCTCACGATCTGGTCTGATATCATCTGCTGCCAGCCATCGGGGTTTTCGGTGAACGGATCGAGCATCGCCCAGAATGCCCCCACGGGTGGCCTGAGGCAGTTTCCCCTCACGGGATTTGGGGTATTTTGGAGTTCCTCTCCTGCTTTTCCATAACTCTGTAGACATCTCTCTAGCATATCAATTCAAATTAATCTCTATTAATTTTCATCTACATATATATCTATCTCTATCTTTATATAGGCCTCTCTCTCTCAAGTCCAATTCCCACAGAATCATCACCACCTCACAACAACACCATCTCGGGTCGGTTAATTTCCCCACACGCCAAGTCATCAGCGCTGTTCCTCTGGTAACCCGCAAAGACGGTCACTCAGCGCGCCCTAGGATTATTATCCTGAACTGGCTGGAGTGTTGGAGTGTTGGTTCCCCTCACGACGCAGCTAGTTGAATCCGGCAGACAGCTTCGTTCCTGAGTTCTGGCCTCTTCTTCTCAGTGATGGAGTGGGCAACTCTAGTCCGGATTCCTATACTGGATTCGATCATGCCGGCAGAGAGATCTAATCTGATCGACAGGCTTGCGTACTCGCCACTCGCGGCTGTGGGCTTATCCGCCTGCTGGCATTCTGTACTGTGCACTGCGTACGGTGTAGTGTGTCCATATCAATGGGGCTGGTTCTGCTCGATTATGGTGTAGATCGTGCGGAGTCTCCCTAATCCTGCTGTGTGTTCACTCGTTCTGGGCGGTATACTCAACAGGGTAACTCCGTTGCGAACTAAATATACCTCCTATTCCCTCCCCTGCTAGCTTTGCAAGCCAACCGACGATGGCGTTGTAACTAAGGTATGTACCCGTGGACCTTCACTGTGTTCGTATCGCAGTGTTACAGTAGATATCTGGTCTCACGGCCAACCCATTTATTCCAGCAGCTCCATCGTGGCATCATTGATGAACTTATGCTACTCGACGCCTGGCAGGAAACAGAGAAAGTGATTCTGCAGCGAGACATGCTCGTCTACTGTTAGATTGCTTTTTTTCCCTTCGATTTCTTTTTTGCTCTGCTCTGATACGTGGGAATTGAGAGCATTGGTAGGTTACTGGCAACTCTATATCTGATGCCGTAGAATGAGAACCACTTGAATTAGGAATGATCGTGGGGATGGTCACTGTAGAGGCTTGAACGCGGTGTATATAAAAGTCGATTCATGAATTGGTAGTGATCTATTCTGTCGAGCAAGCAGGGAGGGTGGAGCTGTCTAGATGATGTATGCAGATAGTCTACTTCAAAGGCAATATAGTTAAGTGTCAATTCTTACGGTATAACCCGAACTGACTCAAATTGATAAGTATATTGGTATACTGCATTGCTTTATAAAACAGAGAAGATCATTAAACTACAGTGCCCTGGCATCGCGATTGTCGTAAACCCTAACCCAGGCGCACACCGGCCTGGCGGTTCTTTTCTGCCGTCGCACCCATGGCTTTGTTCATTCCCGTACGTTGACTGCTGTCCAAGGCACTCATCGCCTCGCGCTTCTGTTCTTCCTCGATCTTCTTCAGTCGCTTCTCCGTCTTCATCTTGCCGCTGCCCTTGCCGTGGAACTGGTGACTCAGGTGCTTAAATGCCTCCTTCTGGTTCATCGAGCGCCCGTACTCGTCCGTGTACTTGAGCTGCACGTCCGGCTTGTACTCCCGGTTGAACACCTCCGCCATATGACGAGCATCCTGCTGGTCACGCTGCTTGTTCTCCCATCGCGCGTACTCTTCTCGCTCGCGAGCCGACATGCGATCCAGTTTGCCGGAGGCTCGGTCGCGCTCACGCTGCTGGCGCGCACGCTTCTCGGCCTCGGTCTCCAGACGCATCTTTTCGCTCAGGAAGCGTTGACGATCGCGGACAAGAGACGTGTGATCCGCGGCATCGGATGATTTGACCAGGCCACGCTGCTTGAGCATCGACAGCGTCGCGCCCAGACCGGAATCAAGAGTAGCTTCTTCCTCCAGTCCGGTCCCGCTGATTTGCTGATTGGCCTGGGATTCTTCGCGCTTAATTCGTTCTTTCAGGTCTTCCTCGTCCTCGATATCGTTGTATGTTCCCATTTCCACATCGCCCGTATCGTCTTGGGGCTCTCCCTTGACAGCCTCCTCTCCCGTAGTAGCCCGTGACTCTTCGCCGGGTGTTGTGGTCGCCCTTTCGCGTCGTTCGGGTAGCGTGGGTTTCTGCAGGTTGGATACGAATTCGGTGGTTTCGTCAATGATCAGTCCAGGCTCTTCCTCATTATCCCCAGGCGTCTCCACTTCCATCGGGGTCTGTGATTCTTCTTCTCTCAGTTGCCGAGCAAGGTCCTCGGGGCGCATCTTCTGTCTCTTCTTGAAGGCAGCCCGTCGCTGGCGCGTGAGCGAGGCTTGTAGGTCATCGTCATCCACGAACGAGACATCCTCTCTGGCCGGTTTCCGGGGTGCGGGTGCGGGGACCGGTTGACCATTGTTCGTGTCGATGTCCATGGAAGCGCCGTTCGGCGTCCCTGTCGATTCGCTTGTGGGGAATATGTCATCTTCGTCCAGGACAGCTCGTTGTTTGGTGGCCTTGGCCTTCTTCTTCTTGGGTTTCTTGACCTTGATCTCGCTCACGTCCATGTAATCGGATGCCGGCGTTTCGGCGGCGAAGTCAAGGCTGATAACATTCTTCTTCAACTTCTCGGATACCTCCTGGCGCTTGGCCTCTCGCTCTTCCTCGGTTGATCCCTTCGCATCCAGAGTGAGCCGCTTGCGCTTCTTGCCATCTATTTCCTCGTCGTATTGTGCCAGGATGCCGGAGTTCTCCGCTGTAGGATCGTAAACCGGTTTCTTCTTCTTCAGCTCCAGCTTCTCCGCCGTCTTATCCTTCTCCCTCAGTTCAAAATTCTCCAACTCATCGCCCTCTTCTTCGTTCTCATCCACCGTCGCATCCTTCAGCGTCAGAATATGTTCCTCGCCGCCTTCAAAATCCCCCACGCCATGCCCAACCTTAATCCCAGCCAGATCAGCAGCCGAGTATTCCGCCGCACGTTCGCGCTCCTCCAACTCCTCAGCCAGCTTGCGCGCCCGCTCCTTCTCGATCTTCTTCTGCTTCTTCTTCGTTTGCAGCAGCCACGTCTTCGTATCCACATCCATATCATTCGATTCGCCCAGCGTGGCGCCCTGCAGCTTTGCGTCCCTCTGCGCCTGTTCGCGCGCTTTCTTGATCGCGGCGTTCCGCTCCTCGCGCTTCCGTTTCGCCTCCGCTTCCTCTTGCATCTTCTGCCAGTTCGACGAGGCCGCGGCCTCCCGCGACTCTAGGGTACTGCCGGGCTCGTCATCGCCAGACGCGGAGCTGGAATCATCGGAGTCAGATTCCTGGAAGGCCAGGCCGGTGGCGTCGGCGCCGGGCACCGGGAGGGGTTTTAATCCCAGGGCCACCCGGATTTTGTTGTTCTGTTCGATGGACAGAGCGTCGGCCATGGTGGCGACTTCAGATTGAGGATCAAGTAGAGATATCGAGGAGAGAACGAGTGTGGGGGTGGGGCGAGGACAAGTCGACAATGAAAGATGTTGATGATAAGGAAATTAGGAAAGCCCATCAATGCAACCAAACCAAGCCAGACCAGACCAGTTCCGACCCGGGGACCAGAAAGGACGCCTTACGTAACTAACCCAAGCCAGCCTCGGTAAGGTTTAGCGCGCAGAAAACTCGTTAGCGCGTCCTTGGCGCCGACGATAAATAGGTCCGTCACCCATCCGTCCTCCTTTTTCCTTTTTTCTTTTCTCTCTCATGAACAACATTACGGATCTGTGTCCAGCGATCCTGTTCACGATGAACGTTTTTTCTCTCCGGAGTTGGCGGGATTTGTGTTTCGGTTGATTGCTGGACAGTTCGACGTTATACGGAGGCACTGATCTTATTATCTTGGTGTCTGGCTTTTTCCGGTCGACAGATCTCAGATTAAATGTCGATGTTGGGTATCATTCTGGTCTTGAGCTCCCGCTTTTGGTGACGTTCGGCTGGATGGCCTGATGTTCGACGGCGCCATATTCCTACTCTCTTCACCGAATCGACCGTTGGTCGCTGAGGTTAGGGAATAACCATGGCTTGCCAACATTCCTTTCTTATGATAGATTATTAGTAGTTATTGTAGGGGTTGAGTGGTTGAAAATATACGTGAACTGTAGCTATGGTGACGGAGGACCTTCATTTGTATCATCCAAGTTGAAGTGATGAGTTATCTGCGACGCGCAGGCTCGCTGGAACCTGCCTGCTTGATGCTTAATCCTTAACGCTTAATGGTTGATGCTTTCGATGTCTTGGCTTAGCCGCCGTGAAAAGACGCGATCATGAATCTTGGTATCAAATGACCACCCAAACAAAAATCGTTCCTTCGCTATGATAACGAGATAATATTTACAACAACTTCAAATGCCCCGTCACGCCATCCACCACGCTCTTAGGTCCCAAAACCCCCAGCACCGTGCGACTCCCACTGGCGATCTGAGTCCGTCCGGCATCCTGTATCACCCGCGCGCAAAGCCCCAGGCTGATGGCCTGCGCCTGCAGCAATTGCAGCTCCTCTTCGGATTTGATCTGCAGCGCAATCTTCGCTTGGCCCTGGCGTTCCCAGCGGCGCAGGATCGGTGAGTTGGGCGTATAGGCTGTGAGGTATTTGTAGCAGGCGAGGGTGGCATGGGAGCATTGGGCGGCGATTTTTCCTGCGTTGGTGGGTTGCGCTGTTAGCTTGTTTCTTTTTCTGCAGGGTGTTTGGGGTATGCGATATAGGTTGTAAGGGATTCTCCTCGACTCGTATAAAGATAAAGCAAGAACGCGTGAAAAATAGAGAAAGGGAAGGAAAGAAAAAAAAAAACCAACCTTTCGTCATTCCCAAATCCGTCCTCACCACCAGCACCAACTTCACCTCTTCATTGTTCCCCTCAAAATTGGCCAATTCGCCACCATCGCCCTCCTCCTCGCTATCCTCTTCCTCTTCCTCGTCGTCGTCTTCGTCATCACCCTCCTCGTCGGACGAGTCCCGGTGCACCTTCACATTGTAGCTATTCGGCCAGCCTTCCTTCTCTTTGGTCGAGAACAGGCCGAGCGAAGAGCCCTGACCGAGGAAATAGCCCGTGACGCCGGCGATGATGGCAGTGGCAACTACATAGGCGGTTGTTGACGGGGGAATGCGATCGAGATCGGCCATTTTTGAAGGATTGAGGGGTGTGAGGGGTTGCTTTCGAGGAAGATGTTTGGGTCGGTATTATTTTTTTGATTGTGACGTTGAGCGGGTAGCTTGGACTTGTCATGTGACAAGGTTTGTTGGTTTTCCTTGTAGATTTCCAAGGCCGAGTATTGTGTAGAGCAGACTACGGAGTCTAGTTGGGGAAGCGCTTGGACGTGTGGTCTTTCGTGTATCATAACTAGTTCTACACAGACCACTGCTTAAGCTTGGATAGTATCCTTCTAATTCGCGAGCTCATGGTACTCGCACCTATTGCTCCATACAATCTACACTCCAAGCATTACAAAGCTACTTGTATTCCGTGAAATGTAAATGGATCCCATTCCCAAAGCAAACATCTTTATTTCTTTCTCAATAAAAAAAGAATTAATAAAAGTAAACCAAAATAAACGCAACGCGTCTCATGAAAAGATGACCAAGACCAAGCAAAATCCATTTTCTCCTAAGTGTTGCTAATTCATTATATACATCCCTGACCATGGTAAATCGAAAGGTAACATCGTCATCCTCATGAGCAGCGATGTCTAATTAGCGCGAGCAGCGGGGGCCTGAGCAGGAGCCCCGGGGGTTCCAAGACGACGGCTCCTGGTATGATGGTTAGCGATATCAAGTCCAGCAGTTAGAACGATGGGCCTGGCTTACATCATGGTACGGCTGAAGAAACTGATACCAATCATGAACAGCCAGCTGGGGATGGCGCTGAATCCGTAGATGACATAGCCAACGGGGATCAAGAGGCCGTTCTGGGCAAGCCAGCTATCCGTGGGGTGGAAAGCACCCTCGTAGGCAGGCTTGTTCTCGTAGGTCTTCTCAGAGTGGATCTTGTAGATGGTTTCGGCGGTCACGGTGGTGGTGTTCAGGTTCACAGTGTGGAGCGTCGTGGAAGGACGTTCCTCGCCAAGCTGGGCCTGGGGAACCTGGAAGTGCCAAACCGACGGAGCACCGGCAGACCAGATAGAGCACAGAACCTGGTTCGATTCACAGTCCAAGCGACCGAGGTTGGGCGCGGTGGGATCGGCAGAGAACAGGAGGACGGATTCCTAGATCGGAAAGCAAAGATCGTTAGTCACTATGCACCCGGCCTAGCCCCTATATATTTGTGGCCCTTACGTTGAACGATTTATCCGCTTGGCCACAGCGTCCGAAGCAGGTCTTGTTGCCACCGGTGATATAAAGCAGCCAGTTCTGAGGGTCAGAAGAAGGCTCGAGGAGGGTCTGCCAGTTGCTCAGGTTGAAGTTGGTGACAACCTTCTCCTGAAGCTTCTGCTCAACCACCTTTTCGACCTGGGGGATCACGGGGGTGGCGGTTGGCAGGTAAGACTTGGCCTTGTTGAACCAACCCTGAACACGGTCCCCGATGGGAACCTGTTCTTGCGCCGCAGCCAAAGCTGGGAGGACGGGAAGCAGCTGGATGAAGCGCATGATGCTAAGCGGCGAGGAAGGGAAAGTAAGACGCGTTAGCGACAGGAGAACGCGAAACTGTTATGATTTGCCCGAAGGGAAGGGAATGGATCAACAAACCTGGGCTGATAATATATAACGAGGGGCGTACTTTGGAGGGAAAATGGACGATTCAGGAGGCCAAAGTACGGACAGCAGGCAGCGAGGAAGACGGGCACCTGGGTTGTGGTAGAATGAAACAGCCACGATAGACGTAAGTAGAAGGCCGAGAGGCGTCGACAGGTGGCCTAACTTGAACGGGCAAAGGCGAATCAGCAGTTCCCGTCGGTAGCGGGGAATCCGAAGCCCATGGAATCCCGCTAATTTCCAATGGAATTACTTCTTGACTTCTTTAACTTCGCTTGTTCGCTCAGGGACTCGTCACGACAACTTTTGAGTTTGCTGAATCTTATGATCTGACAACAAACCATGCATGATGAACAGCGATTGTGCTCGAGTCTTTGGCCCAAAATGTCGCTCCTTGCTTATGTCACCATGATCGCCGACAGCAGCTCGCTAGAGAGTACGAGTCATTTTGATGCGATGAATGTTTCACAATTAGTAGACAGCGGAAGCAATGAATATCCATTTTTGCCTCATTGTGACTCTCCCCCTTTGATGCTTTGAGCATCTTTTCTCGAAAGGCTGTCAGACAATCAAGATATGGTGCCACTTTTTAGGGTAAGCCATGTGACTGACAGCTGACAGGGGAACAACCATGGAAGATCCATCCAGGGACTAAATTATGAGCATTAAAATAAGATGCGTCTCATTCTCACGACTGCCTACTCTGTAATTCCGTCGTCCTTTGCGCCTTCTTGATTCAGTCACTGTCCTTGCCTAACCATATTCATACTTCACCATGGCTACTCATTTATCGTTGAGATGTTTATATGCACACAGCATGATTACTCCCGCTATAATCCATAATTGGCGACCATAGAAAATCCATTCTATTATCAACAAATTGTTGCATTTGAACTATCCATTGTCCGCATTTACTCCTTGCATACGCCATCGAGCAATGCGATCACTCCAGATCTATCGCCATATCATGATGGCGACGATGGTAGCAGCAGCATTCCTCATAGACAAGAGCTTTGGTGCTGCTACTGAATATGACTACAGTAAGCACATTTGCTATGGGACGAGCGGATGCGCTGTTGACAATGACACAACAGCACGGTTGGACATCTCTACCGCCGACACTCACGGGAATCTGTCCTCGCATCACCATGAATTTCCTCCGGGCGATTTCCCCATTTGTACGGATGTAAACGGGACCTTTGCGCCCTTCTGCCTCCCTGTGGACGGAGCAGATGTCCTGGTCGACGCGACATACTATGTGACCTGGAACGCCGACTTCTATCCTCTCAACGCGACGATCACCATTGAGTTGAGGTATTCGAACTCGACCGATGGCGATTCGGCTTTCACCTCGGAGAGAACCGACAATAGCTACGGCTACATTCCTATGCAAATGCATGGAGAATGGCTGCAAGGAAAGTCGCAGAACGCATTGACACTGTATATCATCGAGCTTGATCTTGAGTCCGATCGACGAGCGAACGCTCAGCAGGGGCCAACCGTCATACTTCGGCACAAGCCCGTTGAACATTGGCGGCCTTCTCCCCAGTTGCCATTCAACAGAATGGCACTTTATATCGGACTCCCCGTAAGTCTCGCCGTGGTAATGGCCGTTGTACTAGGCCTATTCTTTGGTATGCAAAACAGAAGAAAGATCGGGATTGGGAGCATCATGGGCTCTCGAGGTTCCGGATATGCGGTCGGAAAATCCAGGAGCCAACGCATGGGCCAAAGCCAAAAGGAGTTCGAGAGTGATGGTCCGCCGCGCTGGAAACAATTCTCGGATGAGACAGACTCGACCCTGCCCGAAATCAACCAGTCGGCCGTGTTCGATGATCTGGAACGCACGGCGAGCTACGCTTTCAACCGGAATCAGTCCAAATTCAAGAGCTGGAAGTTTTGACGAGACATTGGGCTCTGTATGAATTAGTGAGTGGGAACGAGACGAAGTATGGGCCTTCTTCCTCGCTATGCGACACGGGGGTAACGGAGTAGTTCGTTTGGAGAGTATGGATTAGAATAAACATCAACAGGTGCATTAGTACAACTCCACAATTGAGTCCAGAAGGATGGCATGAGCTTATTGCCCAGGTTTATTTCTTTACTTCTTTTTTTTTTAATTGTCTTTCCGCCTTCACCGTACTGAGTACACCGTAGTGGTGATCCTTTAGGGTCGCTGGATTGTCCTGACAAAAGGAGGCGGTCTGGTTGCCCAGCAGAGGCATTCGAGGGTCCTTTCAAGAGACTAGTAAAATATCCAACCAACGAGAAGGGCGAGAAACCGAATTAGTACGAAAGTGTAGGTATCCAAGGTGACCAACGGCGGTGTCGGAGGTGATGACGTTCGCGGAAAGAAAAATTGGAGTCATCGCGATGGAGAACAATCGATGGTTATCTCACCGGGTGATATCATACCGTAGTTAGTCCGGCATCGTTTACAAGCAGTCGGTTAGGATTCAGTCGAAGGAGTTCTAAGATGATTATTATTAAGGTTTTACAGTCTAGACTCTATGTGCATTACTTTTATGTACTATCTATTATTTCATCTTATGTTTAGTAATGTTGATGTTTGACTTTTCTCGGTCTCAAAATTGATGCCAGTCCTCGCAGGCATTTCAGCCGATGTCGGGTCCCCCAAGCCAGACCCAACCCTATCAGAGGAACTTTTTCCACCAGAACGCACTAAAATCGCTGTATTCGAATTTGGCAAATAAGGTGATGCATAAGCGAAGTATGAAGTTTCAACCTATTCCGTAGAACTATCTCCTCCCCTAACGAGCGATGGCAAAATTTTCTCAATTAAGAGTAGATCTGCCAGTGGCAAAGACAGCAAATGACGAGAACAGATTATCGGCAGTAGTAATAACCATGACTACTACCGCAGCTAGACCGTATCGAGTCCCGGGGAAAGCGCCTGTAGGAGGCACTGGGTTCCCCACACAAAGCGCTGTTCGGCGAGTGAAATTTTCATTTTCTGGGCCTGAATCAGAAGTGGCTGAAGGGCCGCCTTTTAAACCCCACCCACTTTTTGGTCGCTCGCGGCCGATGACTCTTCCCGGTCTTCCCTTCGACTTGCGCTGCTTCCTGCTGCTTTATTTCAAAGTACTCGTCTGGATTATTTTCCTGTGACTCACTGTTAGAACTGTTAGTACTTTTCCTTCCTCCTTTATTTACCTTGTTTTCCCTCTCCATCCTTCCTTTCCAATTGCTCAACTTAATACCATCTTGCACCCTCTCCAGATTCCTTTTATTCTAACATACTACTCTCTCAGTCTACCCCACCATCCCGCTTTCTTTCCACAATGTGTCCCGGTGCAGACCACGAGCCCAATGGGCAAGCCAATGGCGTTCCCACCGATGCCAATGGTAAGATCTATCGCATCTCGTTCCTACATGTCCGTAACTGATCATTCTGCAAAGGTGAACACCCTGGCTTCACGGCCGTCGAGACCCGCCAGAACCCTCACCCCTCCGCTTCTCGTAACCCCTATGGCCACAACGTCGGCGTGACCGACTTCCTCAGCAATGTCTCGCGCTTCCAGATCATCGAGAGTACACTCCGTGAGGGTGAGCAGTTCGCCAACGCTTTCTTTGATACCGAGAAGAAGATTCAGATCGCCAAGGCCCTCGACGAGTTTGGTGTCGACTACGTGAGTCATGGGACGATTGTTGATCATTCACGAAGCCTCTATACTAATGACTAGCTTCGCTATAGATTGAGCTTACCAGCCCCTGTGCTTCGGAGCAGTCGAGACAGGACTGCGAGGCCATTTGCAAGCTCGGTCTCAAGGCTAAGGTATGTTGCAACCCTACGGAAGACTGCGATCTGCTGCTAATTGCCCGCAATAGATCCTGACTCACATTCGTTGCCACATGGACGACGCTCGCGTTGCCGTCGAGACTGGTGTTGATGGAGTGTAAGTGGAATCTCACGTATTAAAGCATCAAAAAGTCATTATCTAACGAGGAATAGTGATGTCGTTATTGGAACCTCTTCCTACCTCCGGGAACACTCCCACGGTAAGGATATGACTTACATCAAGAACGCCGCCATCGAGGTCATCGAATTCGTCAAGTCCAAGGGCATTGAGATCCGATTCTCCAGTGAGGACTCTTTCCGTTCGGACCTGGTTGACCTTTTGTCCATCTACTCCGCCGTCGACAAGGTTGGCGTGAACCGTGTCGGTATCGCCGATACCGTTGGCTGTGCCTCTCCCCGTCAGGTCTACGAGCTCGTCCGTGTCCTGCGAGGCGTTGTCGGATGTGACATCGAGACTCACTTCCACAACGATACTGGTTGCGCCATTGCCAACGCCTACTGCGCTTTGGAGGCCGGTGCCACCCACATCGATACCTCCGTCCTCGGTATTGGTGAGCGTAACGGTATCACCCCTCTCGGTGGTCTCATGGCCCGCATGATGGTCGCCGATCCCGAATACGTCAAGAGCAAGTACAGGCTGGAGAAGATCAAGGACATTGAGGATCTCGTGGCCGAGGCTGTCGAGGTTAACATTCCCTTCAACAACTACATCACCGGTTTCTGTGCCTTCACCCACAAGGCCGGTATCCACGCCAAGGCTATCCTCAACAACCCCAGCACCTACGAGATCATCAACCCCGCCGACTTTGGCATGTCCCGATACGTCCACTTCGCCTCTCGTCTGACTGGATGGAACGCCATCAAGTCCCGTGCTCAGCAGCTCAACATTGCGATGACCGACAACCAGTACAAGGAGTGCACGGCTAAGATCAAGGCTCTTGCCGATATCCGACCCATTGCTGTCGATGATGCCGACAGTATCATCCGCGCCTACTACCGCAACCTCAAGTCCGGAGAGGACAAGCCCCTTCTTGATCTGACGGCTGATGAGCAGGCTCAGTTTGCCGCAAAGGAGAAGGAGTTGGCTGCTCAGGCTGCCAGCGGCGTCCCCGTCTAAACATGACGTCTTCTGCCTTTCTCTATCTCTCTCTGCAAATCCTTTCGGAATGAGAAAGTTCCTCGTGTTTTTTTAGAGCTTTGATCATACTCCCTCAGCGGCTCCCAAGAAGGGAAGATCTTATTTTTCCTTTGCTCATTTTTCCTTTGCTCATTTTTCCTTTATGATCTGATGTTATTTATGTGTCTCGGGATTCATTGGTTATGGGGTGTTTAAAAGCCTTCTTTTGTTGTCTCAACGAGAAAGAAAAAAAGGATGGAAATCCGGTGTTTGTCTCTTGGAAGAATCTTGTATATAAGCAGGCCGCGGAGTGGTTGGCTGCATTTCCTACAATAAACCGAATGGATAAATTTGGTAGCTTTCCGATCTTCCCATGTAAAATATCTCCTCGTAATATAGCGCAGCGGTTAAAATCTAGCTGTGATCTGGAGAAAGTCCGTGTCTGGATTTCTAGATGCCTGCAAGTCATGCAAGGTTGCATGTGGGAACCGAGGCTGCTATTTAGTCATTTCCTGGAACATCCGATCTTTCCACTTCTTCTCCTCCCCCATCGTCGTTCTTTCTGGAGGACACCCCCCCTTCATTCGATTCCTTCGATCGCATCCACGTCAACATGGCTTCGTCGGTTCTTCCGGTTGCCCTGCAGAATAAACTGCTTGGCTACCGCCGAACTCCCAACGCGCAGTTGGCCGCCCTGAACTTGGACCTGTGAGTTCTCCGCCCCCGCTCTCAGTTCCCCGATCTCCGTTCATCGCGATTGCAGTCTAATCAACTAACGTCGTCAACGCAGCCTTCGGAACATCGTTTTTATCCTTTTTATCTTCCGCTGGCTTCGCAAGGCGTTTTACGCTGTTCGTGGTTATGGTATCTTCGGTAGCATTCGCAATGTCTACGCCGCCGTCCGTCTCTTTTTCTACTCCATCTTCCTACGAATCCCCGGTGTCCGCGGCCAAGTCGACAAGCAGGTTTCGACCGCGATTGAGAATCTCGAGTCGAAACTCGTGCCGAGTGGTCCTGGCGTTACGAGATACTTGGAGCTCCCCAAGGAAGGATGGACGCCCGAGCAGATCCGCGCCGAGCTCGAAAAGCTGGTGAACATGGAGCATACCCGATGGGAAGATGGTCGCGTTAGCGGTGCCGTGTATCACGGTGGAAAGGACCTGTTGAAGCTTCAGACTGAGGCTTTTGGACAGTTTGGCGTGGCCAACCCAATTCATCCGGATGTTTTCCCTGGTGTTCGCAAGATGGAGGCCGAAGTCGTGGCCATGGTATGTTCCTCTCTACCAGGTCCTTTGAGGTAGACATGATGGTTGATTGATGGAATAGGTTCTTGCTTTGTTCAATGGACCCTCGGATGGCGCTGGTGTGACTACCAGTGGCGGTACTGAGTCTATTCTGATGGCCTGCTTGGGAGCTCGCAACAAGGCGTATGCAGAACGCGGTGTCACCGAACCCGAAATGTGAGTCGACGGGCTTCCTTCGCATACTGGTTATCATGAGAAATACTAATTACCACTTAAGGATCATCCCCGATACTGCCCACGCTGCCTTCATCAAGGCCTCGAACTACTTCGGAATCAAGCTGCACCGCGTGCCCTGCCCGGCTCCGGATTTTAAGGTCCACATCCCCTCCGTTCGCCGGTTGATCAACTCCAACACTGTTCTCCTGGTCGGATCCGCACCGAATTTCCCTCATGGAATCATCGATGACATCCCTGCCTTGTCGCGACTGGCTACCTCATACAAGATCCCTCTTCACGTGGATTGCTGCTTGGGTTCTTTTGTTATTGCTTTCCTCAAGAAGGCTGGATTCCCGTCTCCCTACGAGGAGGAAGGCGGATTTGACTTCCGTCTTCCCGGTGTGACTAGTATCAGTGTCGACACGCACAAGTACGGATTCGCTCCCAAGGGCAACTCCGTGGTGCTGTATCGAAACAGGGTCTACCGTAGCCACCAGTACTTCATCTACCCCGATTGGTCCGGTGGTGTCTACGCATCTCCATCCGTGGCTGGGTCCCGTCCTGGTGCGTTGATTGCGGGCTGCTGGACCAGTCTGATGAGTGTTGGTGAGGCCGGGTATATCAACAGCTGCTTGGAGATCGTTGGCGCAGCGAAGAAGTTCGAAACCACCATCAAGGAGCACCCCCTTCTCTCCAAGAATCTCGAAATCGTCGGAAAGCCCATGGTTAGCGTCGTGGCTTTCACGAGCAAGAATGGCGGCGTTGACGTCTATGACATGGCCGACGCTTTGTCCTCGAAGGGGTGGCATCTCAACGCCCTTCAGTCCCCTGCTGCTATTCACGTAGCGTTCACCATTCCCACCGCCTCTGCCATTGACAAATTGACCACAGACCTTATTGAAGTCGTCGAGAAGGAGCTAGACAAGGCCGAGGAGCGAAAGAAGCAGGGCAAGTCCTATGTCATCAAGCGTGGTGACACGGCGGCCCTCTACGGTGTAGCCGGTAGCATGCCTGACAAGAGTATCGTGAGCCGTCTGGCAGAAGGCTTCCTTGACACCCTGTACAAAGCATAGATGGGTTCACTTCTTGGCTGAAAGGATTCCATTGTTCATAATTTTTTAAAAGCGAGCTGTTTATATGGGGATCTCGTCCCGGACTTTTCAATCGCTCCTATGTCTACAAATAGTCGGTATTTTGGTGTTTAGGTGTCGCAGTTGGGTAATACATTAATCGATTGTTGGTGCGAGTACATATCAATGGCTTTCAGTTTGGTTTAATTGCCACGTAGAATCCAAATCTCAATATAATATGATAACACAGTATGTATAGTACAAGAAGTCGTTCAGACGCGACCCCATCCACGAGACGAGACGATATCCTCCATATCTCGACACCTCAGAGTATATCAAGCAAGACAAAGAAAATACAAAATCGCTTCATGCAAATAAAAGAAACAAAACAGACGGACATAGAAGGTGATATACCGTTCTCATCCCAAACGGCCCAAACCCCTCCAGCCAGAAATCAACCCGATCTCTCAATCAAGCCTACGAAGCAGAGTCTCTCGAAGAGAAATTCTCAGGGCTTTGACAATCGCTTATTCGATCAAACCAAGCAGGCCGACAACAAACAGTTCATTGCTTCCGAGTCTCCTTCCACACCTGACGCGCCTGCGTCTCGATGTAGTAACCCGGATCGGGCTTCCGCTCCAAATGCACCTCCTCCTTCGATAACCGTCTATCGACCTCCTTGACCTCGACGAGTTCCTTGACGCGCATGATCTGACCGGCCACGGACGACGAGACGGGGTGGAAAACGGTGCCCATGCGCTTCTTGAGGCCGAGTGCCTTGAGCACGTCTGTTGTTCGGCGCGGCAGACCGATCGCGGAGCGGACAAGGGTGATGCGGAAGTAGGACATTTTTTGCTGTTCTTTTTTGTAACAATTGGAATTGGGATTGGAATTGGAGGTGGATTCGGTGTGGTATAGTTATTCGGGGTTTGGTGGAAGTTTGGATCGGAAGGTCGTGTGTTTTTTTTTTCTTCTTCCGGAGGGGATTGCGAGGCAGTTGGGTTCGGGGGAACTGGGAGATTTTGATTTTCGCTGGTCTGATCTTGACACTTCAGCGGAATTCGAGTTCAATGGACCGTTCACTCCGCGGCAGATAATGGAGCTGGGGAAACTGTCGATTATCTCGAAGAGCGCGGGATTTTTGCTTTCCCAATTCAGTCTCGGCCTGGGCGGGGAGTCACGTGCGCTGCGTTCTGCCGTGCCGTGAGAGCGGAAGTGCTGGGTTATGCACCAGACTACATCACTATCTTGACGGCGAGTCTAGCTAGAGGGGGGCTTGGTGATAAGATATCTGTGCTGTGGATTACCTACTTCTGTCATTTATTTGTTAATTGACTGTCATCTTGCTGGTCAATTTGAGTTCTTCAACTCCTTGACAGCTCATGAGGGGCTGCCGCGCATACTGACACCTTGTCTACTACATCTGCATCAGGACACTCCGCTTATTTAATTTCCTGGCTTTTACCTTCGGACAAAGCGCTTCCAGTCGATCCAACAGTATACATACCACGCCTATATACAGTCACCATGGCGCGTGCAGCGGACCCCGACGCAACGGTAGCCATGCCCCGGCTCGAAGACATCCTGCGTCACCCCGAAGACCTCGACAAGATCGCCGGACTAAAGGCCGAATACACGCGCAAGAAAGCCGCCGTCGACTCACAGCTCCGCGAGGGCCTTCGAAGCCAACTCGAGTCCGTGCAACGCAGCATCAACTCCCTCACGGAAGGCCAACGGCAAGTCTCAAAGACCAAAGACGAGCTGCAGGGGATCGACAAGCTCTGCGCGGAATCGCAGACCAGCGTCGACGACTTCTCGCAGATCGACCGACTGGCCAAGATCCAGCGGAATTTCGAAGCGATCTTGACGATGAAAAAGGGCCTGGAGAACTTCAGCGAGGACCTGGCGGAGGTGGAGTCGCTGTTGCGAGAGGACGACGATGATCTGGAGAATCAGCCGAACTTGCTGCGGGCGCACATGCAGATCTCGCGGTTGCGGGACTTTCGCGACGAGGCGATGGATCAGATTCGGAAGGTCCAGGACCCGAGTAGTGAGTCGGCGCTGGATGATTTCTTCCAGGGCTTGGACTCGGTGATTGATTGGTTCGACGACCATCTGGGCACGGCTTGTATGAATATCATCCCGCTGGTGCAGTCGGATAACCCGAGCATGGTGGTGCGATTGGCGGTGGTTGTGATGCATGAGGAGAAGAACGACGAGACGGTTCGAGCCCTGCAGGAGGCGCAGAAGGACCATCAGGACCTGGCGGGTCGGTTCAAGTCCATGAATGTCGGTCCGAAGACGGTCAAGGGCTACAAGGAGAAGTTCATGCAAGCGATCGAGTTCTATGCGCAGAACCAATTCGAGAACACCAAGGAGGATTTCCTGGGCAACCCGGATAACCTGGACAAGAGCTTCCGGTGGTTCTTCAACGATCTATTTACCGTCCAGCAAGGCATGCAGTCGTTGATGCCGAAGAAGTGGAAGATTTACAAGACGTATACCGATATCTACCATCGGATGATGCACGATTTCCTGGTCGGGCTGATCGATGATCCGGAGTTGCCCGCCGACAACTTGCTCTCGATCATCCACTGGACCGAGAAATACTACAAGAAGATGAACAAGCTTGGCTGGAAGCAGGCCGATCTTCGACCCAACGTTCTCGACGACCGCGAGCCTGATCTCATCCGGAAGTGGCAGAACGTCATCATTAGCGCCGTCGAGGACTGGATGGACCGAATCACGGAGTCCGACAGAAGGGGTCTGATAGAGAGGTCGCCCGACGTTATTGAAACCACTTCCGAAGGCTTCTTCCGGACCAAGACTCTCCCTGACATGTGGCGCATGATCCGCGAGCAGATCGTCGCCTCCAGCTCCTCCTCTCGCGCCGATGTGGTCGAGGGCATTATTGACGCCATGTTCCGCGTGCTGAAAGCCCGTCAAACCACCTGGCAGACCCTCATCGACGAGGAATGCAACAAATACAAAGCCCCCGGCGGCGACCAGCTCGACGGCCTGCAGCTGCTGCAGGACTACCTTGTCGCAGTGGCGAACGACCAGATCGCCTGCATCGACGACAACGAAGAGACCGGCCAGATGGGGTACCTCTCACGATTCAAGCGCGACTTGGAACCCATCGTCGACCCGAAGTACATGGCGTCGCGGGCCCTCCCGGAACTGGACGCCCTGCGCGACGGCTACGTCGACCTCAGCACTTACTGCCTCTCGCAGTTCGTGGACACCATCTTCGCCACCGACTTCCGCACCACGATCCCCGATTTCTTCACGCAGCGCTGGTACGGCGATTTCGCTATCAAACGCATCACCTCAACCTTCGAAGACTACATGGCCGACTACAGCCCCGTTCTGCACCCCTCGCTCACCGACATCCTGGTCGAAGAGCTCTCGGACGAGCTGCTGGTCCGCTACCTCTCGTCCGTGCACAACCGCGGCGTCAAATTCCGCCGTCACGCCGACCCCTACACGGATAAGTTCAAGGACGACGTGCTCACCGTGTTCGCCTTCTTCCAGAAATATCCGGACTCGTTCGCCAGCACCATCAAGGACAAATGGCGCCTGGTCGAGTGGCTGGTGCGTCTGCTGGAGGCCGAAAAGGGTCCTCCCGTCGTGGCCGTCTACGAGAGCTTCAAGACCGAGTATTGGGATCTGCAGCTGTCGTGGGTCGAGTCGGTCTTGCGGTCCCGGGATGATTTTGAGAGGAGTATGGTGAGTGCGGTGAAGGCCAAGGCGGCTGAGTTGTCGGTCGAACGGGGGATGGAGACTCTTATGGGCAAGGTGCGGTAGAGTTGGTTTTGTTTGATTGTTGGATGGTGGGAGCTGTTGTGGGCTGGTAGGACAGAGGTTATGGGAGATATCATGGCGTCTTTAGGGAAGCGCGGCGTTTGGTGTTCAGTTTAGTTCTGGCATATTATATTTTCAGACCAGCATGGCAGACAGCCTGCGCTGTAGATAGACAATGTAAAACACGTCTATGTACATCACACTCGATTCTAGTATAGGACGGGGTATATCCAAGCCTCAAAAATACTTCTGTAAAATCCACCACTCCCAAATATGAAACCCAAACCCGAGGATAAGATCAGAAATCCAAACTCTTCTCCGCAACAACCATATATTTCTCTCTTAACCTCGCATTCAACCCATCCTCGTCTCCTTCAGGATCCAATTTCTTAGCCCCCATCTCACAGATGCAAACAGATTCGATAGGAAAATCACGAGCCCATACGAACGGGTTCGGAGCGCCGTTCTCGACTGCATCATCTAGGCCATCATCTTTACCCCGGACAGCTTGGTCTTTGTCACTATTATCGCCGTCTTTCCGGTGACCGTTTGCAGTGATCGTAGTGCCTATAGTAGAAGGTCGCGGTATCGTTCTACCACCGTCGAGATAGTAATCCTTATATCGCGCAAGCAGGTCCCTTGCATCGAACGAATACCGACTGTTCTTGCGGCTCTTGCCCCCGCCGCCTGGTCCTCGAGATCGACCCTTGATGTAGATGGTATTGACGACCGTGGCGTGGAGGAGAAGCGGTCGAGGTTTCGGTTTGGATTTTGGTTTCGGGGCCAGAGACTCATGTTTCGACGACGTGTGCGTGTTTGTGACAAGGGGGTCTGATTCTCTCACAACATCTTCTGCTACGTCGACGGGCATCTCTTCAAGAAGAGAAGGCTCCGTCTCGACTAGACGCTGTGCAGTTGCGCCGTCGTCACTCCCTGCAGGGTTTGTCTCTGCGCTGGGGCCCTGCTGCTGCTGCTGCTGCTGGGACGTATCATCATTTTTAACCTCCCCCTGTAGAAACCCAGCGTCTAGAAACCGATCCCTCAACAGCTCGCAGAACGGATACAGTCGCGCCGTCGAGTCCACCGGCGCGGCATGCAATACGGTCGCCGAGCGTGCGCGCGGCAGCGCATGCAATGATTCCAAAGAGATGGTGAACGGGCTAGGAGGAGTAGTAGTGTGCTGCTTTTCGGTTTCATTTCTCGCGATCTCGCCATGCGCTGACTCGTTCGTTTCATCTCTGTTGGTTCTGTGAGACCCTGATGGAGATGCTCGATGGGGTGCCCGGTTCGTCCGGTGTTGTGCGCGTGCGCGCGCAATCGTCTCCGCTTCACGGACTAGAGCGACTAGATCGAGGGTTTGTAAGAGGTGGATTGCGGCGTCGAGGCGCTCTTTGCTAGGGAGGCTCATCACGCCGAGGGTCAGGTGGAGGGTGCCGACGGGGCGGATTGCGGCATCGGGAATGAGTGGTTGGGTTGGTTTGGCGGGTTCTTGGGCTTGGTGGGATGTTGTCGCAGGTGGTATATCAGCTTTGAAAGCTGCGAGGGAGGATTCGAGTTGAGGGAGAGACGTGGAGTTGACGAGTGGGAGACAGAGGAAGTGCGTGAGTTGCGGTCGTTTTTCTTTCTTTGCGCGGGGGTTGTTGGGTTTGAAATTCCCTGATTTCTGGTGCTGGGGAGACATTGCGAGGGATTGGCTTGGGTGGAAGGATCGGATTGCCGAGTTCAGCAGGAGTCTGGGGACGGATCGAGGCCGGAATGGCCTGGGGAAGGAGATCATCTACTGGCGTTGGTGATGATCAGATGTATGACGTCGAGCATCTCTAGTGAAGTGACTTGGAGAGAAGTGTAAAATGGCAATTGGAATGAGATGGATATAGTTCCAACAATAGGTTGAGCATCAAGTCTATCAATCCAATCAAACCAGCATAAATGTCCAAAAAGAAAGACAGACGGAAGGAGTTGGAGAAGAAAAGCCGGCAAAGCGGAGAAGGCGAAGAAGCTATGATGTGATGATCACCACTCGTTCCCTTCCACTCCTCTTTTCCCTCTTCCTTCTTCCCTCCCCGGACTTTCAAACCCACACTCTACTCGATCAATCACTTCCCATCGACTACAAACACCACTTCATCTATCCGCTCTAGACACCATCTAAGCTATCACCATCAACCATGCTCTCCCGCATCCCCCGCGCTCTCCGACCCTCTGCCATCCGCTCTCTCCGAGTCGGCCGCATCACAGCTCCCACAGCTTCAGCTTTCCACCAGCCTCAGTCTCAATCTACGCCTCTCCGTCGAGGCTTCCAATCCTCCTCGTCCGTTCGCAAGGGTCTTCACCCGGAATCCGCTGATCCTCCCGCCCCGAACCCGCAGTCTAGTAATGTCGCCGGCGCCGCAACCCACGTCACCGAGCCGTCGCCGTTGACGGACGGCCAGTACCACGAGTATGCCGAACATTATCTAAATGTGCTGGAGAAGGAGGTGGAGAGGACTCAGGAGGAGGGGTCGGAGATTGAGGCCGAGTATAGCGTGAGTTTTTCCCTCTCCCAGAAGGATCTCGAAGACCGGAGGACAAGAGAACTTCTTATTCTTTCTTCCCTCTCATCCTCAAACCCATCAAAAAAGACAAACAACAAACCCACTCAATCCCTCTAAAACTAACACTCCATCTGTCAGGCCGGAGTCCTCAACATCAGCGTCCCCGCCGTCGGCACCTACGTCCTGAACAAGCAGCCCCCCAACAAACAGATCTGGCTGAGCTCGCCGATCTCCGGACCCAAGCGCTACGACTGGGTTGTGGTGGGCGACCAGATGCACGAGAAGCAGGACACGCGGCCGTTTGTCAACGGGCAGTGGATTTACCTGCGCGACGGGTCGAATCTAACGGATTTGTTGAACTCCGAGTTGACGCTGAATATTCCGAGGGATGTTTATAGTGAGGAGTCTTCATAGATCCAAATACTTACTTAGGGCATGGGGGTTGTTGGCTGTGATTGTGGTTGTGAATGCGATGAGATGGATCGTGGATGATGGATTGGGGAGGTTATCTGTCGAGGCATATATGGAGAAGAGATGTAGGATAGGATATGACGGTCTTTGATATATTTGCAGAAAGAGCAAGAAAGTTCATATATTTCGGCACCAGGGACTTTTTGTTCATACTGGATGCGCAGATATCAGAAGTAAATGTTATAATAATACTATCGCTTGTTTTAACAGGTTCGTCAAAAATGTATCTAGACTGTAACTGTCTTCGGAGCTTGAAGCCTGGACGTATGACCATCTAGATATAACCCTTTTGCTCCTAGTAACCAGGTATTGTAGGGGAATCGGCGACCCCGAATGAAGTTCCATACCAATCTTGTCACTGCCAATTCCCTCCGATGCAAGATACAACCAGCCCCCTCAGCTGATGATCAATATCTCGACAGTGGCCATCTCGACCGCGACTCGCCGTCGCCCGGACGCCCGGACGCCGTTTCGTCCTTGATCCTGCGACTGCGACTCCATCTCCTTCTCTGGCGGGGTTGATAGATCTGTCGCAGAGACAGCCAAGTCGAGCCGTGTTATGTCGCCACCAGCACACGGACTGACGACCGTTCACTTTGACTTCCCGATAGATAGCGTGGCGTGGCGAGAGAGAAAGACGCTGTGCCGTCCCTTCAAAGCCAGGCCCGCATGCGCATTAACCAAGCCCATGACATGTATCCGTATCCAACCCCGAACACAATCGAATAGAAACAAATCCACTCGCCTCCGCTCGTGTCATTTAAGCCTGCACGGGCACCGCGCCAGCGGATCCATTCTTATCGTCCTGGGCGAGATCGGACTATATCCAGCACAAGCATGTTAGAAACGGTCGCTAACGGAACCAGTCCCGGACAGGACAAGACGAGAAGAACGGGAGGGGAACATACCGGATCAAAAATCACACGAATCATCAAACTGCAGCTAGGACACACGGCGATCTCCTCGCCGTCGCGCAGGTCGTCGATGGCGATCTCGAATCGGTCGCCGCAGGGACACGGGTAGTGGTAGATTTGGATGGCGGGGTCGAAGGTCATGTCTTCGATTTCGATCTCGTCGTAGATGGAGAGAGCGTCGTCGGCCATTTTGATAATATTTTAGCTTGAGGATGCGAAACGAAGGGGAACGAAATGTGAGACTGAGAACTAGAAGGATGATTTGTTTAATCTTATCGGAGGAAAACTTTTGGCGGGCGGAGTCAGGTGACTGCGGGGTGGCGTTCGCGGTCTTAGCAGTTCTTAGCAGCCTGAGTAATGTGGTTGAGTAGTATGGACAGGTTATCATTCCATATATACTGACAGATCATAAATAACAGGGGTATCTCAGCAAACTAATCAAGACATCTACCGCCGCAATCTCTCAATCTCCGACTTCACCTCCTCTATCTCATCGAGCAACGTCCCATACCGTCGCGCAATCTCCCTCATCGGCCCCGATCCCAAATGCGCCTTACTTCGCGTTCTAGCCGCAGGGGCCTCCGAATCCACGTCCTCGTAGGCCCTGAGATCCTCCAGCGCGAGTGCCTGACGCTCTTCCAACCCTTCCCGAGTATCATGAAGGTGCTGACGGTATCGACCGAGCGCGGCGACAGTCTCGGGCGTGTATATCGTTGCTGAAATATCCAATTTCATGACGCTGTGTCGGTTGATCATCAGCCCTGTTCTGATTCTTCCTTGTTCTATTATATCCAGGAACGTGTCGGACAGGCATACCTAAGTTTCCCTTCCACGCCCTGCGCCACCGTAGCCAGATGCTCGGCCTTCGCTTTCGTAGCCCGCGCCAACGCCCCGTGTTTTGCGCGCTCCAGCAGCACCACAGTCCGTTCCATCACGGCCGCCCGTGCCGCCATAACCTGCGTTGCCGTCGCGGCCATCCGTGCCCGCGCCGCCGGGAGCTCCGATAATTGTAGGTGTCGAAGGTTTCGGGCCCGTTCGTCGAGCCGCGACGAGAGAGGAGGAGCGCGGACCACGGCGTGACGGGCTCGGGTCCGCGATCGTGTCGGCTCCGTCGACTGTCCTGTGCTCGTGGGATCGCCCGCGTTCGCGATCTTTCGCAGGTCATGAAGGATACTCGATAGAGACTTGGAGAAATGCGGGATGAGCGCCGGTAGGTTGGAATAGAAGGCGTCAATGTCCGGGGCGAGCAGCGTCAGCGCGGTTGCTGTGTCTCCTGGGTCGGTTTCGAGGTCTAATTGTCGGGGGGAGGAGTCGAGGTAGAGGGATACGATGGCCATGGAGTCTCGATCCTGTTAAAATAGATGTGTTTCGGGTCAGTGATGATCAGAAGATGCTTTTTTGCTTTGGTATATTCATTGAATGGTTGTTCGCACCTCATCTGGGACTCCGCTGTCGGGATCGAAAGCTAGCTTCCGGATGGTCTGCTTCTTGATTTCTTTCTTGGCATGACGAATGCGACAGTTCTTCAGTTCCTATTCAAGTAGAGCGCTGTCAGATATGCATCGTTATTAAGTATGGTTTCAATCCTGCGAGATCGGGGAGGTCCTTCAAGCCTGGACGCACTTCGAGGGCTACTTTTCGAGCCGGTTGCGCATCGTTGGCACGGGTCGATCCATCTGGATGAAGTAATGTTGTCGTTAGATGCTGGTGAAGTCGTTTGAATTGTGGATTGCTCTCTAGGATTGCCGGGTCACAGGGTGGAATCATATTGGGGGTTCGGGGAGGAAGATGATTGATGGAGGGACTCCGGCGGAGAACTAAGTAGACAGAGCTCGGCGTGTTTTGACTGCGTCACCGCCGAATCACTTGCCGATCCTCGCTGCTACGATGAGAATCAACATTCAAGAACATCAAGCCATAGATAACCTGCTGAGTTGCAAAATATGTTTAAAAGTACAAAAGCTTCGGGTGTTCGCTTCCATTTTCACATTTCTTTCGTAATCATACATGCACTTGGTGCTATCGCAACCCTCTTCCCTGTCACCGAAAACCATGTCGACATGATCTCGCCGCAACGAGGAAATCAACCATCTGGAGCTGACCCGGCGTACAAGAAAGCATTCCGAGCCTCAACTTCGCGGGTTAGGATGATTCCTCTTGCTCAGAGAACCGACGGCATATTCAAACAACTTCAAGTAACCCAAGGTATGAGTACTCAGAAAATCTTATTCTGAGCACCATGCCTTCGTGTGAGCAAGGGCGGAAGGGGGAATTAAGGACGGAGAAAAAGGTGGCAGACGAAAAAGGAAAAGAAACAGGCGGAGAACGGCAGGTAGCCACGCACAAACCATAGGGAGGTCCATGTTGTGTCGTGGCATAGGGGGATTTCGCGAAGATCCGAAAACGCAGTGCCAAACGGAACGTGGGAAACCCAGACGCGGCGTTAAGAACTCGAGGAAGGTAAGAAAAAAAAAGAAGAAAGGACTATGTACAGAAATCTTCTGCGCCTGATGCGTAGACAAGACCATCTTCCAACACCAAGCGGGTCGCTAAAAAGAAAAAAAAAAAAAAAAAAAAAAAAAGGGAAGAAAAGACAAACAACAACAGCAAGAGCTTCGTTTGATAGCACATGCAACTAGTCACGGCGATGACAGCCCAGGAATGAAAGCGACGTAGCAAAGAGAACAGTGTCTCGGTACTTTTCACCGAAGCATTACTCGGCCCGGATCTACTCCTCTTCACTCTCTTCGGAATCATCGTCGGAGTCGTCGCTACTTTCATTCGCTTCGACGGAGGGCATCGGATCGGGCGAGCGTCCACCGCCTCCCTGGAAACGGGACAGGTTGCTCTCCAGCATGTTGATCTGAGCTTCCTGCTCATACTTGCTCATGGGCTTGTTCTTCTTGGGCTTAGGGGGCGCAGCATGATGGTTGGCGTTGGTGGTGGCAGGGGCTGGCGCTTCCTCTTCTTCCATGACGTGAGGTGCGTTCTTCTTGACAAACTTGAGCAGCATCAGAAGAACATCATTGGGCAACTCATCAATATCAAGTTCAATTTCCGTCTCTTGGGTGCCCTTTTGAATGATGGTTAGCTGCGGCTGACAGAGATGGATATAGGTAACATACCTTGAGACTTGGAACATTGCTCTGGATGATCTTGAGAGCCTCTTGCATCTTCTTGTCGGGAAGGCTACTGATGCCATTAGAAATAACCTGCTTTTCGTTGTACGTGACCCAGCGAGGCTTTTCAGGCTTGGAATGTTTCGAGCTAATGCTCTTCTTGTCCTTCTTGGCCGGGTTCACGGAGACGGGCTTCTTGGCCTCCTTCTTGCTGGCGGATTTCCCTTTACCTCCTCCTCCAATCTTCTTGGATCCGGGAGGGGTCTTCTTCTTCTTCTGCGTGATGGCTTCTACTTGACGCGACATCTCCTCAATCTGCTTCTGCAACAGACCCAGTTTCTCATTGTCAGACTCGCTTTCCTCAGCTTCCTCCTCGCTCTCATCGGAAGAAGCGGCGCTGTGGTGCTCTGGGTGCGGTTCGTGTGCTTCCAAATAGCGGCCCTTCTGCGCCCATTTCTCGTTGAAAACCTCCTGGAATTTCTGGCCCGCCAAATAGGTCGGATCACCCGCAATGTTGAATTTGAAGCAGTTTTTGAAGATCTGGCGCATATCAAGCTCGAACTCCTTGGCGTTCTCATACTGACCGGTTTTCAATTTTTGTTTCATGGTCGACATATCCATCGGTTTCTTGATGATGCTGTGGTATGTCGGGATGTTTAAGGCGACCGGATCCACAGGGAAGTAAAACGGCACGGCGTAGCTGTAATGCTTTGATTTGTGCAGATCATCCAGCAGCTCCTGACAGAACCTCAGCTCCCATTGATACTTCTTCTTCTTTGGCTTCGTCGAGTAAGGAAGATCTCGCTTGGGAGGGTGGATGGACCGTTTAGGCCGTCCGTCGACAGTGGTAGAATCGCGACGGATGGTCGGCAGACCTTCCGGCCCCAGGGCGAAGGTTGTTGCTTGGGGTGAGTTGCCAGTCGGACGCGCAGGGGGATTGTGCCCGATACTTGTTCGTGGCTCCCTACGGGCAGCCGAGGTCTTCTGCGATATTTTCTTGGGTTTCTTTTCCTCAACTTCATCGGGCTTGGGCAAGTTAACCATCTGTTTGTCGAAGGTGGCCTTGAGCTTTTGTCCCTCTTGCGTAACGATGTGATCGGGGCCGTTGAACTGCAAAGCATTATTCACCATAAGAGCAAAGTCATCAACAACTGCCTGCGCCGACTTGTACTCATTGTGCTTCAATTTGCGCTCGATGGTTCCAAGATCCATGGGATGCTTGATGAAGTGGGGATAGTGGGGGATGTTCATCCTAACGGGGTCGACAGGCTCCCGGTAGAAACGTGAGTCGTTCATACGCTTGAGGCTCTGAATACCCTTCAAGAGGAACTTGTGCTGAACCTTGGTCATGCTAGCATCCCCGTTGGTCTTTCGCTCCGCGGGTGCTTCAGTCGTCGGCGTAGGGGGCTCGGGAGCTTTGAATTCCACGGGCGCCGACGCCTCATCCCCGATCTTGGTACGCTTTGCGGCTGGCTCGTCGGCGGGATCTGGCTCACGCTCCCGCGACACTTTCGTCGGAGAGGCCGGAGCTTCCGGCGCATCCTTCATCTCCTGATCTGTAGTCTGCAGAGGGGGGACAGACGGCGCACTGCTGGCAGGAGCATCATTCGATACGCTGTCAGGTTTGGCACTGGTGGGAGGATGGTGAGGAAGTTCAGTTTTCACCGAAGGGGATTCTTGTGGCTGCTGCGCTTGTCCTTCGCCACTGGTACCAGACGAGGGTTCTTCTGCCGACGGCTTCGCAACATCCTGGGAGGGTTGGGGGTCACTGGGGGCAGGCTTGTCTGCGCTGGCGCCGTTAGAAGGCTCCTGCGCGGTCGGTCCACTTGAAGTAGGCTTATCTCCGACTGTTTCTTGGGTGACATCATCGGTCGCAGCAGAATCCATGTTCGAAGGTTTAGCTGCTTCGGATGATGCGGTTTGTTGAGGCGAGGCATCAGCAGGAGTGTGAGCCGGGGACTTGGGAGGCGATGCTGCTTCGGCACCATTGGTAGGGGTATTCTCTGCACCGTGGCCATTCACCGCAGCAGGCTTAGGCGACGTGGGTTTTTCTGCCCCATTCACTGACGCGTCTGGTTTGGCATCGGTAACGGGAGTATCCACGCTGATAAGAGAAAAAGGAGCCATGTTAGTGATCTCAAAGCATGCGCAGTAGACAAAACAAATGTGAGAGAGAACATACCCTGTGGGACCACCATCAGATACGCCATTTGGCGACGGCGGCAGTTGAGGCTTCTCCTCCTTAAGAACGGAAGGAGCCTCTGGAGGCGGCGTCGCCATTTGAGGTCGCGATTATGACGCCCGCGCTGGGGACCGGAATACAAAAAGATCTAATGAGCAACGGAGCAGGTGACAGCTGGACTGAGTTATCGGAGAGGTTTTAAAAAGCGCCAACAAAAATAGAACTGAATGAGTAATCTCTGCGCTATCACAGACTAAAATGAATCGAATTTTCGGTAACCGGCGAGCAGCAAAAGAAACACAGTCCCTGATTAGATGACAGATTAAACAACAGAAACGCTGTTGTCTTGGCAGTGAAAGGGCTGCGACACCGCGACGTTAGAAAAATACAGGAAAGATGAGAATTAGCGCGGGTCGGAAGTGGAGAATGCGACAGGAAGGAGGAATTTATATCGCCAAGAGGCGGCAGCCTGGAAAGGAGTCACGTGGGCGGCGAGGTGGTGACTCAGCGGGTGGCAGATTCGCGATGGCGGGAGATTCCGAGAAAGAAAAGGCAACAGAAAATAAAAGAAAAAGAAAAAGAGTCGGGGTGGAGAGATAAAAGGTTGATCAGGTGATCCGCGGGCTGAGGAAGTTACGAGAATCTCCACACGTGCCAGACCGGGTGCCTGAGGCAATTAATCAAGCTCCTTGGTTTGAAAGAAAGGCACCAAAAAAAAGAGGAGGGTAAAATTAATGAGAAAATAAAAATAAAAATAAAAAGGTCAAGGGGGCAGTTGCAAAAGGTGGCCGGGATGGAAGGGCGAATTTAAGAGCGCGACGCGAACTAAGACGCGTGCAGTCAAGGACCAGGGGAAAAGAGGTGGTCGGTGTGGACAAGGGCGGTCAGAGGCAGGGAAAGGGGTAAGGTAGGCGTGACCGGCGCGCAGCTCTCAGCTCAGCTCCAGAAACAGAGAGTGAGGAAATCGGAGGGGGTGCTAGAATCCTTAAGTACGAACGGCCGCGTCGCGCTCGTCCGCCCTCTCCCGCTAACTCCATCGGCCGCGCTAATCCCAATTATTCTAGTTCAAGCCATTTAGCACTCGCTGATTGGCTCACCGATGACGCGTTCTACGAGTCATTCCTGGTCATTGGTCGGTGGCTTCCACGATGTGGGTACATTCGTCCCAGAAGTTGTCCAGGTCGGGAATATCTTGGGAAGAAGGGGAAAGAAAAAAAAAAAAAAAAGATTTGTACCTTTCAGTTCGGTCATGGTCACAACAACAACTTTTGGCACCAGCCTTATCAATGTGAAATCATGTTAGAAAAAAGGGAGCAAAAAAAAATATAAAAAAAATATAAATATAATCATAATGATCTTGACCCAGGAAGTTTCCCCCACTGTCCAGTGGGTCTTACCATGGGAGCACCAGCAAGATTACTTTCATGATACTCCGTAGTGACATCTTGGGTGAGATCAGATATGACATACCAAAACTATTTTTTGTTAGGCATTCAAGACGGTCGGTCGGTATAGAATGGGATGCATCATGATTTGGTCCGGGTTGATTGCTACACCGCCCGATCCGGGATGTGGTGGTCTGCTGACCAGCGGAAACCCCAGGGTTCAAGCCCTGAACCCTCTCCTTGCCGCGGAATAGGCCTAGCGCAGAGGACTGATGCAACCACTCCACCAGTCCAATCCGGTTCTACGGTTGCTACGGAGTACACAAGTAAACAGATGGTCCAGCCTCATCTTTCTGTCGGACTTGGCTTTCTTTTCGTTTGCTTGCTTTCTGCAATTGCAACATGCCATTGTTGACCTATTGCAACCCAAATAATACGTACAAGGCGCTGTAAACCAAGAGAACTCGCAGATGGCGCCCGTCGCATCCCTTGTTTAGTAGTCTCGGGAGAACTATATATATCAACGACATGGTGCTCTGTGCATTTGTCCAAATCAAACGTGTCTCGCCCACCTTTATGACTCCTCGCTTTGCACAGAGCACTGGACTGAAACATGTAGCGTTTGAAATCCAGAGATTGTGAATTCCTATGAGTCAACAGTCGATCGCGAGGGATCACGCAGATCCGCCAGGCAGACGCAGTAAACGGGAGCAGTGATGCCTACGAACAGGAACTTCTGTGGCAGGGTTCTGGAGTAGTATTGTAATAATAATAGCCACAAGCCTGGAGCAAACGGTGTTGGTATTGTAGGCGTTCTTTAGGTTGAAATAAGAGGAAACGCCTAAACCAGCTCCACAATAAAGAAAGAGAAGAAGAATACACAAGGTTTCGGAAGTATGAGCAGACAAGATATGTGAGTCGGCCAGAGCAGGCGATTAGATAAGACGCAGACGCCGGAGCGGAAGTTCACAGGCGGCTAATCCCAAACGGGCCAAGCGCATCTGCCGGCTTCTACAGAACTTTTTTTTCAACACCGCCCAAGAGTCCAGCGACGGACTGCAGCTCAACTTACTCCTTCCTGTTGTTGCTCCTAGTCGAACCCGGACTAGATCTCTTTTCTTTTCTCCCGGGATCGCTATCTTCCCGATTACTTTATCACTTTTAATTCATACGATTTCGCCTTAGAATCAGTCGAAAATGGGGAAGAGAGTGTCTCGTCCGCCCGCTACGAAAACTTCCTCCGCCGCGGTATCTGGCGGATCCAACGCGGGGAATAAGACTTCGATCTTACGGGCGTCGTTTGCGCCGTCGGACTATCAATTGGCGCTTTTCGCCTCGGTAATTCAGGGCCTGGAGGGCCAGCATATTCGAATTCACGACACGAATACGGGCCGACTACAGTGTGAGCATGTCTTGGGCCCGCGGGAGACGGTGACTTCTCTGGACTGGGGTTATTACCAGAGCAAGCCAAAGGAACAGCCCAAGAAAAAGAGAAAGCGCCACTCCGGCGTCAATGGCGGCGCCGATGGATTTGAGCAGGGAGATGTAGTCGTTGCGTTCGGCACAAGCGCCTCCGACATCCGGCTGTACTCCCCAACAGAGGACAAGATCGTGGGAACTCTATCGGGCGGACATGAAAAGGGAGTCAAGGATTTCAAGTTCACCTCCAACCGACCCGGCCAGGAGGGATGGAGTATCGGCGGGGACAACAAACTCGTGCAGTGGGATCTGCGTACCGGGAAACCTACGAAGTGAGTTCCTCGGTTGTTTAAACCTTCTGCTTGCCCAGCTAGCTCGGGTATCTAACAAGTATCTTTTTCAAGAACAATTCCCATGCCTGCGTCGTCGGTGCTCTCCGGTCTTTCGCGTCCTCTCCCTTCGAACCCGCCCGTTATCTGTGCATCCGAGAAGGCGTACATCGTCGACGTGGAGAATGACGTGCCTCCTACTCCCTTCCCGGACATGCGCAACCCCATTCAAACTATCCTCACATCCTCTACAGAATCCGCAGCTGCAGGACTATTCCTCGCGTCCGATAACGACCGGTTCCTCAACATCTATGACCCCCAGAGCCAGAAACTCCTCATGAACCTTGTCGCTGATAACGAAGTGTCTTCACTATCCTTATATACCGCCACAGACAAGGAAGCAACCGATGTATCTCTTGAGAAGCAAGTTTTGGCCGCTGTGACCGAGGATGGCACCATTGAACTTTTCACGAGACCATTCGTGAAGCCCGCCGAGCCGCAGGGTTCCAGGGGCTCCAGCTTGAAGGCGAAGCGTCAGCTTGCCACGAAGCGGGCCGAGGCTTCCATCAAGCTCGTTCGTTCCGAAGGCTCGAATGCGCTTGCATCTGTGGTCAAGGTGCAATTCCAGGGCTCCGACCTGATCGTCGCTAGTGCCGAAGGAGGCTCAATTCCCGTTTTCGAGCGGATCAAGTGGCTCAACGAGGAGACGGATGAGCTGTTGTTTACCGGCACGAGGACGATCGCGAAGACTCAATCCGCCCATATCCTTGCATCGGCGACTACTAACGGAGCCAAGAGCGCCCGCGAGACCCAGGTTGACGATACCAAGGCCGGTGTGGAACAAGGAGCTTTTGCGGAGGATGACGTGGAAATGCAAGACTCTAAGCAGGATGCCGCTTCTGTTGCCGATAGCGAGCAGGACGATTCGGATGATGACGACCAACAGCCCGAGCAGTCCACGGAGAAGGCTGTCCAGAAGCAAAAAGAGGCGGCCGACAGCGACGTTGATATGGACAATGCCCCAGGATCAGACCAGGAAAATGAGGAAGAGGAAGAAACGGGTGAGCCCTCCTTCGGCGAGCTTATGCGGGCCCACACCGCAGGAGAAATCGACGTTGAAGCCGAGCTGGAGGATGGAGTGCGCATCGGGTCTCTCGTCCCAGGCAAGCCCAGCGCCGCCGTTCAGCCCGTGCCCACGGGAGTCTCGCTGTCCACCGTCCTGACCCAGTCTCTTAAAACCAACGACAATGCCATGCTGGAGTCCTGCTTCCACACCGGCGACACTACCATTATCCGAACCACCATCCAGCGACTCGAGTCGTCTCTTGCCGCCACCCTCCTTCAGAAACTGGCGGAGCGTATTTCTTCCCGGCCCGGCCGATACGGACACCTGTTGGTGTGGGTGCAATGGACGTGCGTTGCCCACGGAGGTGCTCTCGCCGGCAAACCGGAGCTTCTGAAGCGGATGTCGACCCTTTTCAAGGTCATGGACCAGCGTTCCTCCAGTCTGCCCTCGTTGCTCTTGCTCAAGGGCAAACTCGACATGCTGGATGCGCAGCTAGGACTGAGAAAATCCATCCGCAGCGGAGCCGAAGACATGGACAGCGAAGACGAGGACAACATCATTTACGTCGAGGGACAGGAGGAAGAGGAGGAGGACAGCGACGCCGAGAACAAGAACAACGCCACGCCGCGGACCAAGTTGATCCGCGACCAAACGTTCGACGACGACGAATCGATGGTGAACGGCGTGCACTCGGGCATTGACGATTCGGACAACGAGGAAGACGAAGAGGAAGAAGACGAGGACGAGAATGTGCTGGATGTCGAGGCCGAAGAATCCGCCGGATCCTCGGACGCCGAGGAGTCGCCGGACGAGGACGAGGAGGATGACGAAGACGCAGAGAGCGTGGGATCGATGGCGGACTTCATCGCAGACACCGAGGACGAGGCCTCGGACGACGAGGGGGCCGCCGTATCTCAACAACCGCCGTCCAAGAAGGCCAAGTTGGGCGGAGGAAAGGGGAAGAACAAGGCCAGGAAATAGATTAGAGAAATGTTTATACCCTGATCTTTCTCTGCTTTGGTTTTGTATCTTTTTCCTTTTTGTTGTTCTTTTTGACCACCCTATTTCCTATTTCTATCTCATTTTTTCAATCCGGATTTCTACAAAAGTAAGGAATACATTTATTCATTCATGTGTTTTTATCTTGTCGGTGTTGGTCCATAGTATAGATCATGATTTCCTTTTATTGATCTCTTGCCTGACTTCCCTTGGAATCTGTATGTACTAATATTCATGAATGCTTGCAAGTCCATCCATCCATACATCATGACACAAGTCTGTATAGAGATCTCAATTAACCATCTTTCACCCACCCACCCACTCACTCACTCGAACAGAACAAACAAACAAATTCCAAATACCCCAATAAAATCCCCAACTCACCACCCCATCTCCTCCCTCCTACACCCACCCCCATGCAAGACCCGATGTCCCGGGATCTTAGCCAACGGCACCTCCACAACCACCGTCTCCTCGTCCGACGGATAATCCGTCAAATGCCCATCGCTCCGATCCGGCGTATCGAGCGCCAGGATCGCGCCGTACTTTCCGCCCCGGATATACGCTTCCTCGTGGGAATGGGGGAGCGCGATGTGTGCGAGGCCGGAGAGGAAGATTACCCATCTTTGTAAGTTAGCGCTAGCTTCTGCGGTCTTGAATGTTTGGGGATAAGATGGATGGTGTCGTGTCCCGTAAGTAGGTAAGTAGATGGATAGTGATAATACGTACTGAGCACTCGGCGCGTTATGCTGCCCATTATCAGTCCTCGGCTGAATAACCATATACGAGACGTTCCCTGCCGCAGGACCCATCGCCTGCAACATGTTCTGTTCGGTGCCGGGTTGCGTGGAGTGCGCGAAGCCAGGGGTCAGGGCCCAGCATTCCAGAGTGGACTGGTTGTTGTGGGCGCCGATGACGGTGATGTTGAGCGTGGAGTTGATGGATGCTGCAGCTGCGGTGATGGTGCCTGTGAGGGCGATGACGGCGGTCAGGAGGTTGCGGAGGGAGACCATTGTGTAACTGTTGGAATTATCTTATATTATTATTGATGGGGTGTTGTGTTGTCTTCTACTGTGGAAGATAGTATGTATGTACCTATGGATGTATGGAATAGATGATGGCCGTGGAGGGAATGAAGGGAGAGAAAATATCCTCATGTCTAAAAGCGAGATCTCGAGTGAGACCTGGAGATCACCACCCACATGCTGAAGAAGCAAAGACAGATCTGCAAGCTGACTAGCGGGATTCATTGGAATCGGAGAATTGCCTGGCTGCAACTATTATTGGTGATCCATGTTCCATCGCTCCATGCGGTGACGATCGTCTGGATAGCGCGGAACTACGGAGTAATTGTCACTATGGTTCGTAGTCTTTAAAAACGAAAGCGTGGTCTTTCCGCGCTGCGTGTAAGTGCCTTAGGGCAATTTCTCTAGTTATAGATATTGGTGCCTTGTTCTACACTCGGCGCGTACACCAAATGAGTAGACAGATTTATATAAAGCCCGGGTGTAGCCTCGTAGAGTTATAATCTAATAGCTATTTACTTAGGTTAGTTATACAGCATCGGAAGTCCTTCTCTTTTTATGTCCTGGAATGTTTTTTTGTGTATGCCTTCGCTGATTCCATATTAATTCTAGATTCTCGTCTAAATTGAACCCGCCTGGATAAGAGTACCAAGCGCTTCCCGAGCGGGTTAGTTTACATATGCCAGATCATCTGCTAATTCGGAAAGAGAAATTGGGAACTAAATAGCACTGAACTTGATATAGGCCTGGATATGTGGGGCCCATGATATTAAATACATGTCTTGGGGCTTTTTAAACTTTTTTTTATTTTTATTCCCCACCCCCCTTTTTGTGATGTCTCCTGGTCATCATGAAGTAATTCTTGTCTACCAATCAAGATCATTATCGACGACTCCAGGGGGACTGCTCGGTGTCGTCGACATTGTCGGGCAGAGCACGAGGGCACGGGACAATGAGATCATTGTCCAACAAGTGCTTCCAATGGACAAGTATCTCTGGGGGCACCTTTTCCTTGGTCTCATCGCCGTCGAGTCTATCGTTGTTGATAATTTGCCCATTCGCGACAACGATGAGGCAGGCTCGCGCGCGGGTTAACGCAACATTGGCGCGGCGATTATCGGAGCCGAAGCCCAAGTTCCTCGACTCCCCAGAAGTGATGACCCAGTCGACGATGACAATATCGGCTTGGTTTCCCTGCATTGAGTCGACCGTAGAAACGGAAACCATATCCTCCCAGGCGACTCCAAGCTTCTTAGACAGAGCGATCATCCCCTCTACATATGCTTTCTTTTGATCGGCATACGTAGGTAGAATACAACAGGACATCCCGTTGAGGGCGTTGTTGGAGATCAGGTGTTCAATCAAGTTCATGACCTCTTCAATATTCCGCTTGTTCGATCTGGAGAATGTGGTTTGGTTGATCTCAACCTCGCCATCGCCCACGTCAAGCCCGACAAGCTCCAACCCATTTCTGAATTTGACATCGTTGGCTTTGGACTTGAGCCATTCGAGAAGATTCTGGGAAAATATTGGACTCAGTGTAATTGATTTTACGGATGGATCATTTGTCATCCTGCCCTCGTATGTGAAGTCAGAAGGGAACTTGGAAAGACGAGGATGCATGCGGTGTTGTTGTGATACAATGACCACTGGAAATCCCGCACAGCGGAGTCTATCGAATAATGATCTTCCGATTTGAGCACCGAACTCATTGTATCCAGGATATTCAGCTGCTGTTGTAACCAAAGGTGGGAGCTGATGCTTATCTTCTCCCCTAAACATTCCAACAACTTTGTCTGCGTTATCGAGAGACACTAGAGGGATAATGGCGTCGGGCTCAGTGGCTTGGCCATCCTCATCTGCGATAATGATGATTTTTCTCCCGTTGGCACTGAAGTTTCGTCTGACAAGGTCGGTGCCCGCTAGATTGTTCGTGCAAGCAACCACACGAGCCTCTTGGGTTATCAGTTCTGAAACCGCATCGTACGATTTCTTGAATGCAGTTTCTCTCTTGTACCAATGCTCAAGATCGTCTTCGGACGCGTCCTTGGGCCGGGGGACCTTCGGCTGGCTGACGTACTCATGAACCACGCGATAGGCGTTTTGCAAGTCGACCGGCGAGTCAGGTTTGGCGCCATCGAGGGTTGCTGTCTGCTGTTTCGGGGCATCCTTGGCGACATTCAGGATGAGTTCCTCTCCGGAAGCGAGAGCGCTGTCACATTTGTGCAGAACCCAAGACAAAACGCTCTGCTCCAAATCTCCCTGCACCCGTCGGGAACGAATCTCCTTTAGAGTCGTGAGCAGGCCGATAAGAGCAGTATGCCTTTCAATCTCTGCTTGTCTCTCATTGCCATCATCAGCTTCCCTGGGGTTTGCCGTTGCTCTGGAACGTTTCTCAACTTCGCCACGACGCACACGAACATAGTCAAGATCAGGTCTCAGCTCTTTAAACCCTCTAGTCAAGGCATCCACGGCTGCGTTGCTGGGTCCAACGAGGAGTATATTGAATCCACACAGATAGAAGAAGATTGCGATTGCAGCCAGGACTGTGGTCTTGCCACATCCCGGAAACCCCTCTAGGAGGGAGCAGCCCGCCTTTGTCTTACGGAGAGAGCGAAACGCGTTGATTTGCTCGGAATTCCACTGCTTTAGCTTAAGGAGATGCCGCAGCGCTGACTCGACGACTTCCGGATCGGTGTCGCGGAGAAGGTCAACGCCGGGCAAAGCATTGGGCTCATGATTGAGTAAAAGCGGGAACCATCTCGCAACTCCATTCTCGTTGGCTTTGAGCTTCGCGAGAGCATTTATCGACCTTTTGATCGGTGCTTTGTTGATTCCAAACTTGAGAGACCCAGGCAGTTGGACGCTGGCATTGTCCTCGTCGGTGTTCAAGAGTTCTCCAAGACGTGCGCCGTAGAGGACGATTTGAATGGCATCAGGGGCTTCATTCTCTATGTATTCAGGCACCGTGAATCCACTAGCGGTCCATTCAGTACCTGGTCCTGAGCCCGAGCCTTTATGCACACGGACAATCACTTGGACCTCGGTGAACTGGGGCAGAATCACGTCCATTCCCTTCAACTCAGGTGGGAGGAGATCTTCCTTGAAGGCAGATCTCTCCAGCATGGCAATAGCGACAATCGATCCACCGATATTTTTCAACTTGATCAAAGCTGGAATCAGTTGAATTCTTTTGATCATCTCATAAGGCCGTCTCCATTCGTGTACAGCGCCATAGGCCATTTTGACCAAATAAGTATCGATATCGTAGAAGTGCGCTTGCGAACGGAACTTCACCATCTCCGAGCCCCAGGCTTGGTGGACAATAAGACGAGGTTTCTGCTGCCCAAAAAGGATCCGGAGTTCTCCACCGTGTGCGCGATAAGGGTACCAAGCTGCTGACGTAGGAAGTGAGTTGGATACATCGCCCAGTGCTTCGAGAAATCCGGTGAGTCTTGGTACATCATGAGGGTCAACATCGACGCGAAACTTGACGGTACGGAGCTTGGTGGAGGCAGCCCTTGTCAGACTGTACATGTACGCGAAGAGCTCGGTGGTCTCGCTGTTGAACTCGTGCCCATCTAGAAGGCCTTGAGATACCCCGCCGGTAGTCTCGAACTCAATGCCAATGTAACATGGAGCAATATATTCGACTTCGTTTCCGCTGTTGGTCTCATCACCTTCCTTTGCCTTGGTAGGGAGATGTTCAGTATAACAGAAGTTTTGGACACAACGTTGGACACGTCGGTCAACAAAGGGATGAAGGTCGAACTCGAGCCGGGCGGAGTGAGCAACGTTCTCAGGATGTAACTCTTTCTTTACAGGAGACTTTGCACGAGTCACGAAAGCCTGGAAAGCCAGCTTACCGGCGACTGGTCGATCAGAAATCCGAAGACAAACTGCCGTGTCACCATGTGTGAACTTCGCTTTCGCTGGTAGAAATTTCGGTTCGCTGGAGGAGGAGGGCTCGTTTGACATCTTGAAACGAATCCACCTCTCTCTAGGTCCATGGAAGTGGTTCCATTCCGGTGACTTCGCTCTGGCCAGTGCGATGATGTTATCCTGAGTCTGGTCATTGTTGTCTTCTCTGACTTCGGGGGCATCTTTCGTATCCTGTTTCATCATGACCGTCGGTTAGTGGCCATTGGAAAACTGATGTGTGCTACAGACAAATCTCACCACGAAAGCACCGGAGGCGTCAGCAGTCCAGAAATCTTCCACGGGGTCCTAAACTAGGAGTTAAAACAAATTCAATGAATATTAGTGTGAATGTTGTCTTACCTGATCTTCGGCCGCATTGCCGTTTGCGAGATGTGGGTTGGCTTCAGGACGCGCTTCAACTTCGTCGCCGCTCTGGAATGAATGGTTAGAATTGGTACTGGCACTGGTTAAAGCTCTATGTTTCAACTAACGGGCTCATTTTGAAGAACCCCGCTGCCTGTAGGCGACTTTTGCTGGGAGGAGCCCTTCTGCTCGTCGAGATCATGGTAGACGAACAACGGTGCCTCAGGGTTGAGTCTCATGGTAGAGTCTGCCATTGCTGTCTTCTCAGGTCAGCATGGGCTCCCAAAATTTTGATGAAACTGTGAGACTCACCGTGTTAAGGGTAGAAGCTGCACGTCAGCAAATAAGACAAGGTTTTGAGACAGATAAAGAGGGGTTGAGGGGAGTGAGGGGACAGGGACGTGAGAGTTGAGGTAGAGAAGAAAGGGTCAAAATCGGTAGAGAGAAGAGAGTCTGGAAGAACAGGGGGAATAGAAGAAGGTTGTAGCTGTGAGATGTGAGAGATGAGATGGGGTATGCTTTTTTTTTTTCTTTTTTTTAGTTTGAGATCTTTTTTCCTGAAGCTTTGAACGAGGTCAGTTCTGGATATGTTGGACCTGGGGAGAGAGAGAGGAGGAGAGAGGAGGAGAGAGGAGGAAGAGGAGGAAGAAGAGGAAGAGGAAGAAGAAGGAAACAAAGGAGAGGGAGTAACACAAGAGTAGTGAAAGATTTTCAGCGTGGGTGAGTGAAGGAGGAAGTGAAGGACGAGGTAAGCAGGTCATTCACATCGCAGAACCTCAGAGAGTCTTTCACATTTTTATTCCTCTATCTCCAAATAGGGAGGCTTTAACAGCATCATAGCAGTATGTATTCAATGCTAGACTATGAACAGTTTTATGTATGTCAATGGCCTCAGCCAGTTTGGTTTGACACCTTCACTGTCTTTGGTATCTTATATTGTTTTAGTATACGCTAGCTGTCACCATTCCACAGTAGTAGTAGGAGCAGGAGTAGGAGTCATAAACCCGAAATAGCTCACCCAGTGCCTGCTGCGTGGGTGTTCCCTACTCGCCTGGAATGATGCTATTCAGCCACATACAAAAGAGATATCTCAACGAAAGGTACAGCGGCCAGGTCCCCCAGATTCCACGGCCACGCCAGCTTGACCGTCACCAGCCTGCACATCAAGAAGCCTCATCATCGCCACACGGCCATACATCGAAAAGCAATTGAAGAGCTTACCCTTCCACTGTACTCCGCCGCGACGTCTCCTCTTCATGCTACCTAGTATACCTACCGGATGCAGTAATTAGCCGTTACCGCAGAATACGGAGTATACTTATGGTGTAGTTTGCCATGATTCCATCTTGCCTTGAACCATTATAATATACCATTTTTTGTTCAGTCGTAGGAATATTAATACCGATGATTATAAACAACGCAGTCATAGTCTTCCCAAGTCGTGATAATGATGCCTTCTACCGGATGATTTCGCTGCCTGGCTTCTCCAATCCTTCCAGTCCGTCGAAAATCCCACCTCCGTCCGGCTCCAATACCGCTGCTGGTCTTTTCGCTGAGTTGCTCCAGACTTCGTGGAATTTCACGCTCTCGTCGCTGGACGCCACGATTATACACCCCTCATCCATTGTACGCGAGCACCACAGACCCCCTTCCTTCGCTCGAGGTTGCACGGCTGCCCGTTGATCGATGCGCGTACGCCGGGCATTTCGTGCCCTTCGCGGGGGTCGGCGGCCTTGTCCTTTAGATGATGAAGAATCTCTAGAGTGTTCAAGCCCCCCGAATTCTCGAGGAGGCGACCGCCCAGGGTAGCTAACTGCGCAGAGAGCTCGACCACAATCGCCATGGGCCCCATTCTCCGGTCCATCCCAGCTACTCCCATATGGCCCCCAGGGAATTGCCGCAATTTGCTCGCAACTTGGCCACGCAAAGACCGCGATTCGGAACGGATGCTCGGGCTGTGCAAACCCAAAGGTCGCGGCAAGTTCTCGGCGGGTCTGGCTCCAAATAAGACTCGTCACTTGAGCAAATACATTAATAGTAGCCAGACACGCCCCGGAGGGTGCGTGATAAAAATGGATGGCTCGGTCGTTTGAACCGCCGCCGGTGGCTAGAAGAGATGACTGCCAGGGTGCGAATGCAATCGCCTTCACGGCTGCGGAGTGAACCAGCCTATGTTTCTGTCGATTGGGCCCGACCAATGTTGTGCGACAACCCCCATTAACAACAGACCCGACCAGAACGAGGAGGGAGGTGGACAACGGCTCGGATTGATGAGAATAGGCCCATACCGGAGGCAAGTGGCAGACGAGGGGGTACCTGATCAAAAGGTGATGGCTGACATCTGAAGCCGACGAAGGGAAGGCGCCTGGGATGTCTGCCGTGGCGCCTAGGTCTGGAGCGGGAATGATATCGTGGAGTTCAAAGATCAGACACACATTGTCATTACCACCAGTTGCCAGAATATTGCCATCCGGTGACCAAGTAATGCCACAGACCTGCTGTGTGTGAGCGGCGACTTTAGCAAGCAGGACCATCGTTCCCGGCCAGCGATAGTGGTCCCGAGTTTGACTGTCTGGCCACTCGACTGAGTAGTACCAGATATTGCCAGCATCATCGCCAACGGCTAGATCCTCTGTATCTACCTCGAGATTCCGGAAACGCTCTGACAGCCGGCGTGTTTTGGTCTGCTTGAATGCTACGCATGTGATCATATCCGGTTGGCTAAGCACGAACCGCGCTTCCTTGTCATAAGCGCTCCAGAGACATAATGTCCCTGAATGTCGACCCACGGCCAGAATGCCTTTACCGCCATTTTCAGAGGAGAACGCCAAGGAAGTCACATAATTTGAAGGGTGCTGAGGCTCGAGGGGTGGATTCTGTACGCCATAGGCCTCAGACCAGAGATAGACGCGATGGTTTAAGCCGACTGCGAGAGCCTCAGTGGTCGACGAATACGCCAGGGTGGTGCAGTAGAAGTCATCTCGCAGGAATGGCGCATCTAGGATGCGAAACGGGCGAGTCGGAAGCACCCTTACCTTTCCCTCCGTTGGTGCTCCTATAGTCCCTGTAATAAAGTAAAATTAGCACTTTGAGACCAATGTTGGATTTCAAAAGCCATAAATCCACAGACACGGTGAACAGTTTGCGCATCCTCACTGATTATGAACAGGAAAGGAAGGCTGCTATATAAGCGACAAAAAGGGAATCATGTATCGCCAATGATAAGTGTTTGGAACGTAAATGCCTGGAACCTACAATTTTCTCTTCCTGCTTTTGTCCAAGTATTGTTTTCCCACGTAAACGGACATCGTGTGGACCCGATAAAAGGCTTGCACTGTTTCAGCAGTCTCGTTGTTGGGTCAATATCTAACGCAAGTGCCACTCTCGATTCAAACTTCCTTTTGTCTTCAGAGGATGCAAGATGAGGTATAAATCGCGCATTGTACATAGGAGCATTCGATCTGCTTGCAAGAACAACCCGAGAACGGGTAAAGTCTGCCATGCGCTGTTGTCCAACTGCAGCAGAATTGCCACCCACCTGCCACACGGCCCCATTGCTGACTTGCCTAGGAACTGTTGTTGTCGACTCTTGGTGCCTGCCAGTGGGCATGATCGCCGGGTCGTTCACAAGATGAGGGCCATAACGGGCAGTGTTCACGCGGCCCGAGACAATACGCCGTCTGCTTATTAGATTTCTGCGCCGTGCAGGCATGAAAGGGTCCTCCCCGGGTAAACGGTGCCGCAACAATTTCTCTTCAGATGATAGTTCCTGGGGAGCTTTGCCCACGCGAAATGGCGACGACGGCGAGTTTATAAATTCGCGATCGGGAATAAACCTGTCCGGCGGGACTGGATCTGGTCCATTTTGACTCCTTGCCGCTGTGCTGGCAACCACACTTCTTCTGCTCTTAGGTTTCTGTTTTCTCGTCGGAGACTGTACAGTAAGAGATGGATGTCTATATATTGGGGGGTGTTGTGACTTGTCAACAGTCTGCTTTTCATTGTTCTTCGTTGGGAGCGGCGAAATTGACTTTTCGATGTTCACATCGAAGAGATAAGGAAACTTAGTACGGATATCCTCTTTGGAGCGAGCGTGATGCCTTGTCAGAGGCGGGGGAGTGAAAGCGAGTTCGAAAGACGCCTCGGACTCATCGTCTTCGGAGGTGCCAGAGAAGAGCTCCGGGGGCGAGAGGCTACCAGCTGACGATGAATCTGGTGTCCGTAATGAACGGCATCCTGAATGTATCATCACTGAACTAGCTGCAGGCCTGGATGTATGATAAAAACAATGAGCGTAGTAGAGTAACAAATGAAATTCAAAATAACTCTGGAGTATCCCAGAGGCCAAGGGAATGGGACAACCAGGCTGATGGGTAAGATAGATGGAAGGCCTTACTGGGCCCCAGCAATAAGTGTGTGTCTATCAGTGCGACGCATTGTAAGCATTGCGAAACCACCTGGAATGATGGAAGGAGGGAGAAGAGAGAAGAGAGAAGGGAGACGAGAAGGACGGTATAGAGCGGGTGCACGTGACAGTGCCCGATGGGGAAAGTGGCAGCGGCTTCTCGTCGCAGGCGACCGTCGGTCTTTCCGCTCCTCTCCCGTTGATCGTTCAATAACCTTTTACTGTTGGAGAATCGCTGTTCCATCTAGTCGCCATGAGTGTAAATCTCTCCCCAGCCCCTTTCAAGTGTGCTCATCCCCTTAACTGATGGCTGGGTCGGTAGCATGGAATCCCCCGCCACAGCGCGAAAGCAGAGCGGTCCGAGGAAGCATACCAACAAGAACTCCGGAAAATCGAAAGTTATCGAGAACTTGATCAATTAGTTCGCGGAAAGGTAGATTCTTTTCTGTTTTCAGGAGCGTATACCCTGTGCCGGATTCTAATTCGGACCAGATCGCAGAGCATCAGTATACACCCGAAACGCTAGAGAAAATATCCGAATTACTGGGCAGAAACCCAGAGTACTACACCGTGTGGAACTACCGACGCCAAGTTCTGCGGCATGAGTTCTCACGAGCACTGTCAAGCGACTCGGAGGTTTCTGCAGCTGATCAGATTACTGCCTGGATCAAAAAGGATTTACTGTTTTTGATCCCGCTTCTACGCAGCTTTCCTAAGTGTTATTGGATCTGGAACTACCGGCTATGGCTGCTCGACGAAGCCAAGCGCCTTCTTCCGCTGCCTATCGCCCGCAGAATATGGGAAGAGGAACTTGCGCTAGCCGGCAAGATGTTAAGCTTAGATAGCAGAAACTTCCATGGTTGGGGTTACCGGCACTTTGTCGTGCAAACTCTAGAGCAATTGACGTCCAGAGAGACCGGCAAGGGCAGCATGACGCAAACCGAGTTCGAGTATGCGAAGAAGATGGTCGGCGCAAATCTGTCGAATTTCTCTGCATGGCATTATCGGACGAAGCTCATCCAACGGCTATTGGACGAGCAATCGGCCAGCGACGAGGAACGAAGAAAGATACTGAATGACGGTAAGGTTGCCCCTTCGGCCATCCGCACCGGCGCATTGGCTAATGAGACATGGCTCTGTAGAGCTTGAGCTCATCCATCGCGCCCTTTGTGACCCATATGATCAGTCGCTGTGGTTTTACCACCAAAATCTCATGTGCACCTTCGACCCGGCACTGTCAGGGCAGACGATGGCTCCCAATCTAACGAATCCCGAGCGGCGGGAGTACATTCGACGTGAGATTGAGGAAATCGAAGAAATGCTGGACGGTGCCGAAGACTGCAAGTACATCTACCAGGCGCTGATCGACTGTACGGTGTTGGCGTCCAAGGTGGAAGGCCGCATGAGCAGTGATGACCAGCAGAAAATCCGGGGCTGGCTCTCCGAATTGAAGCAGCTGGACCCGCTGCGACAGGGACGATGGCTAGATTTCGAGCGATCACTGTGCAGATGAGGGTCATCCCTTACCTCGATGCATGTAGGATGTAGGCAATGATAGCGGTGCTGCTGGGTCTACGCCCATCTACTTATAGAAATTCGCGACGACGATGATTACGACAGTTAAACTATGAATAATTGCCTTTCTAACAGACAGGGATAAAGACTCCGTGGTCGTCTAGGGATCTGCTGCATGGCTGAGGGAAGGGGGAATTCGGAAATGTTTCAGAATAACAAGTGGCCACAGCGGCGTTCAACGATTGCCATCGGGACTGGGAATCCATGTCAATCCGCTTTAAGGGCTAGAGAAACGAAGGGAAAATATGAAGTATAGAGAGAAACACCAAGAAACCCACAGGATCCGTGTCGAAAGACAGGCAGTCCGATCAGGCTATGTCCCCATACTCCGTAGTAAACGGCAGTAAACAAAAGACCGCAACGGTCGAGAAGCCGCCAAGCTTTCCCTCCTCCGTCTTTCTCCTCCTTCAACGTTCCTTTCGCTTTTTCTTGGACCCCAAGAAATTTAACATCCTAAAATAAATAAAAAAAGAATACTTCGCTCACTTGCATACAATCTCACGGGGCTCCTTTCTCGGGGGCGAATCGAAATTCTTTCGCCCTTCTCCCTCGTTCAGTAGGCCCATTCCACCGGTGGCTTTGGGTCTTCCCTCCATTCCATCTAAACTTCCCCCCTTCTTCATCCATCCATTTGTCCATCGTTGGCTGGCTGCCACTTCAAACGGCTTTCCTTCAACCTCCCCCTTTCTCCTTACCATGGCCTGTCCGTTGCTCTAAAAACTGGCTTCGTTGACTTAAAATCTCGTGTGATTTTCGTTGTTTCGTGTTTTGTTCTCCTGAACCTTTGAAAGCGCTTGTCTATCGATTTGTCCGAACTCCCCCTGGGGGCTAGATTGAACACAACACAAAATGTCTTCCTCTAGACGAAACAGCGGAGATCACGAAGGGGTGAGAAACTGCCATTGTCTCAGTTCTCATATTACAATGTCTGACTGGATTGTTTTTTTCTTTTTGTTTCCATTTAGGACTCCTTCGACGATGCCCCCGAAGCACCGGACACTCACAACAACCTCACGGTTTCCATTCCCCAGAGTTCTTCGACCCGTTCCTTGACAGACAGCCCCCCAAGTGGCTCCGCGTCCACTCCTCAGCAGACCGAAGCCCCGGCGTTGCCATCAGAACCTCATGGAGAGAATAACCAGAGTGAAGAGGAGGCCCATCCGGACAACCAGTCGGAGGCCGAAACCCCGCGTAAACAGAAAGCGCAGAAATCTCCCCTCCTGACCGCCCACCGGCTGTCCACGACGTCTCTGGACGATGTAAATCTGGCTGGCGGGAGTAAGGATGACGAGTCGGAGTGGCCCAAGCCCGAGGTCCTGGGCGCGGAGGCGAAGAACGACGCTACTGCGGCGGTTCCTTCTAGGGATTCCGTATCTACTCAGAACTCGCAGATCCAGGGCCCACCGGCCAATTCACCGCCGGAAAATAAACTTCCAGCTCCTGCACCGCCTGCGCCTCTCACGCGGAAACTCACCGGTCCGTTTGCGTGGCTTTCACGGAGCTCAACGTCGAGTCGGGAGGTCAAATCGCCGCCTCCGCAATCCGGCCGCCGGAACACCGCTGCTTCTATCTCGACGATTTCCAGTAACCCTGAAACAGCGGGCCGATCGAACGACGAGGACGCGGACGGAAACCGGAAACCGAGGCGCAACAGTTTGAAGGATCAGTTCAAGCTGCTCAGAATGCGAGAAGAAGGACTAGCCGCGGAGAATGACGAAACAAGTGTCACGTCAGGACGTGCGAGCATAAGTCATTCCGCCGGTAGTCCTCCCAGTATCCCGGAAGAGGGTGAGAACGGTTCGGCGGCCGCGCCCCCTGCCGTGTCGCCCGCGGCCTCGCCGCCCAACGGAACGTCCACGATCAACCCCAATCTCGCACCGGGAACCGTGTCCGGGTTTTCGACCTCCGCGACCGACGCATCGGCACCTGTTGACTGGGAGCTCTGGCAGCAGCTGGTCAATAACGGCCCGCAGGCGTTGAAAGGCACCAATTCCGAAGAGTTGAATGCCGCCATCAAGCGAGGCATTCCGCAAACAATCCGAGGAGTGATCTGGCAGATTCTAGCGGACAGCAAACCTGTCGAGTTTGAGGAGACGTACAGGGAGCTCGTCGCGCGCGGTACGGACAAGGAAAAGCAGCTGACTCCCAATGGTACCGTTAATGGCACCGGGGAGAAGGATTCGGCGGCTTCTTCATCGCGATCATCTATCCGATCGGAGAATTCTACCTCCATCGCTCATTCGAACGCTGGGTCCTCTCCGAGCCCTTCCCAAGAGTTGGATCCTGAGAAGTTGGCAAAGGAGCAAGCGGCCAGCGAGACGGCCCGGAAGAAGAAAGCAAAGGACGATGCTGCGGCGCTGCAGAAGCTGGAGAAAACTATCCGCCGGGACTTGGGCGCTCGGACTAGTTATTCGCGTTACTTTGTGTCGCAAGGGAACCAGGAAGGTCTATTTGGCCTGTGCAAGGCATATGCCCTGTACGACGAGGCCGTCGGATACGCCCAAGGCATGAACTTCATTGCGATGCCATTACTATTCAATCTGGATGAAGTCGAGGCGTTCGCTCTTCTGGTGAAGTTAATGAACCAATACGGGCTGCGTGAGCTGTTTGTTCAGGATATGCCTGGACTCCACCGCAGCCTGTATCTCTTCGAACGCTTCCTTGAGGACATGGAACCTGCACTCTGCTGTCACCTTCGCCGGCGAGGGGTCAATCCACAGCTGTACGCTACGCAGTGGTTCCTCACTCTTTTCGCCTACCGGTTCCCCTTGCAGTTGGTCCTTCGCATCTACGATCTCATTTTTGAAGAGGGTCTGGAGAGCACGATCCTGAAATTCGCGCTCGCTATCATGCGCAGAAACGCGGAAGCTTTGCTGGAAATGAAAGATATGACGCCATTGACGGTTTTCCTTAAGGAGCGCCTGTTCGATACCTATATCGACAAACAGCCTTCCGCATCTTCGATTCTTGAATCCGGATTCTTCGGCAGCTCCGGATCCGCCGACAAAGAGATCTACCGGGCAGATATCCTGGTGCAGGATGCCTGCGCTGTGACGCTCGAGCCGGGGCTGATCAGCGCCTACACCGCCGAGTGGGAGGAAAAAGAGCGAATCGAGAAAGAGCGCGATGCTGAAATCGACAACCTCCGACACACGGCATCCGTCCAAAGTGCCCGGATCCGGCTCCTGGAAGAACAGACCGAGGCATCGGACAAGGAACATGTTCAACTTGCGTCGGAGCTCGTTCATCTCAAGGTCGAAAACGAGGAGCTGACCGATCTGAACGACGCGATGAAGATGCAAGTGACCGAGCTCAAGATCGTGGTAGATAAACAGCCCCAGGAGGTGGAGGAGAAGCTCCAGACCGAGATGGATCGGATTATGAAGCGCAATGTGGAAGTGCAGAATGAGAACCGTTCTCTGATGGAGCAGATGGCCGAGATGGAACGGGAGCTGGTGGAAGCGAAGATGAAATGGGCGGAGGTAAGCATCATTGCGCGAGGTTTACGATCGCATTTCAACTGACTGAACATTCTCAGATCCACGAGAACCATGAGAACCTGAAACAGAAATGGAATGATCTCCGCAAGGCTCTTGGCTAACCGCGAGGAAGTCTTTTTGGTTTGTATATTTGTTGGCCCGTGATATCCGGAAACAGCCCTGCTCTCGCCGGTCCATCAATCTCTCTTGCGACTTTGATTTCGTGTACATTTAACAGGTCTGGGCATCTGTTCCGTTTACAGCAACTCCGGGCGAGGATAAAGCTGTCATTGTATCATCATCTCATCCCTCTCTCCCTTGGACATTGTGCGAGCTCCAGGCTCGCGATCTTTATGATCCGGTATCGTATGAAACATTCGTCACGCCATATATTGGTGCATAACCCACCTGTGTCTATTGTGCCCCCTTCTATTCGTTTTTTTGTTGTCCTAATTAGCACCGATGCATTTCCCATGTATGCAGTGTATATCATGAAATAGATCTTATTCAGGATATGATATAAAAATATATAACCTTCCGTGCATTTCCCATCTATCTAATTCATACATCATAACCAACTCCCTCTCCCCCTCAAAAGGAGAGAGAGAGATAAGAAAACAATCAAATCACACTCTCAAAGTACGTCGACAAAATATCCTCCTTGACCGGCCCCGCAACCGCCTTTAACGCTTTATGCGCCTCGCACTCGCTATCATAATACTGCATGTCCTCCAGCGACGCGAACGTCGTCTTCACCGACACATTGAAGCCCTTGTTCCGAGGGTCCGGGAACGATTGGCCGACTGCGACGTTGGTGATGTAGGGTTTTCCGTCCTGGAGGGTGGGGGTTGAAATGTTAGAGTCGTCATGTAGGTAGGATAGATAAGTGCATATGTGCATACCTTGACGGCGGTCTTTGCGAGAACCTTGTATTGCTCGAGGACGCGGAGGCGGTCTTCTTCGTTGGGGATTTTGAAGAGGGTGATGCGTTCGATCGGGGCCATTTTTCCTTTCGCTTCTGGGCTTCTTTTGGTAGGGAAATGGTAGACGCGACGCTGGGATGTTTGAGTATTGAGTTGGTAGATAGTGATAGTACAGAATTAGTTATAGGGAAGGATGTGAGGCAAGAAGTAGGTAGTATGTACACGGTGAATCTCCGAATCACAAAAGTCCGTCCCGTGAGATCAGCTTATATATGACATTTCAGGCACTGCGGGGTAGAAAAGAGGAGACGGAATAATACAAAGGAATTATAATTTTAACAACTCCGAAAGGGAGAAAGCAAGTCCTAGCAGACAGTGAACAACTCCGTCGATTCCTTTGGGACTTGTCCATGGATCGGAACGGTTGGCCTCGGCTGTCCATTTTAGGCGATGACGGAACAAGGACGGCGGAATTCCGCGACATTCGGGTATTTCTTTTGCAGGTCGGTTACGGACTTATACTATGTGGAGAGATGCGATGAGGCGTGTTCAGATAAAGATGGATTTAGGTTCTATTATTTAGTCTGCACTCTATAGATTCCCCCGTTGCGCCTGCTCGCTCTCAAATGCCTCAAACAAGCTCTTGAAATTCCCAGCGCCGAACCCGTCGAAGTTGTTCCGTTGGATAATTTCGATAAACACCGTCGGCCGATCGAGGACGTGTTTGGAGAAGATCTGAAGTAGGTAGCCTTTCTCATCGAAGTCTACTAGCACTTGAAGCTTCTCCAGCATGTCGATGTCCTCTTCGAGCTGCAAGTCCGCCGCGGATAACTTCTTGCGGAGGCTGGCATAATATTCACTCGGTATGCGGAGGAAGGACACACCCCGTTGCCGGAGGTGAGCGACGGTTGTGACGAGATCGTGGGTTCGCAAGGCGATGTGCTGCACCCCGGCGCTGTTGTAGTAGTCGACGAACCTATCTTGCTTATCAGCTTACATGTACCTTCGCGTGTCATCTTGGAAACTCTTACTCTTCGATCTGTGACTTTTTCTCGCCATGGGCCGGCTCATTCATCGGCATTTTGACTGCTCCGTTAGGAGACGAGACGACAATCGACCGCAAGGCAGAATAGTCCCCACACATGCTCTTGTCATCTACCGTCCAGTATCGGTGAAAATCAAGGCATTCTTCGTAACTCCCGAGTAGTCAGCAGGTTGCCCATGTACATGACGGTGATTCCATCATACTATTTAACAACAGGGTCGACTCCATTCCACGGCTGGTTGCCCACACAATGATCAATATCGATAACGTCGATTTGGGGCAGGAGGTTGTTTATGGGATCCTCCTCGGTGACCTTGTCATATCCCGGCAGGAACGGACCGGTATATCCCTCCCGATTGACTAGAGAGTGCGCCGTGTCCGCGTAAGTTCCTATCGTCGCCAAGGTAATCGAGCCGTGTCCATTCTTGTGCAATATGGTAGGAGGCGAAGTCGAGGTTGCGCCGTGACCGACAGCTTTCTTCCAGACCTCCTTGATATCTCCATTGATCCTAAAGGCAACGTCCTTAACCCCGTCCCCATGTTTAGTCAAGTGATCATGGATCTCGGCGAGCAGATCAGCGTCCTCCTCGGAGACATGGTCGTCCCATTCAAGACCTGGGGCGCAATTCGGAGAGGTGAGAACAAAGACCGCTTCGCCATTGGAGACCACGTATGATACTATGACACGCGAACCAGTTTCAGGGCCACGATATGCGATGTGTTTAAACCCCATCCGGGTAACGTAAAAGGATGCTGCCTGTTTGGCATTCCCAACATACCAGGCGATATGGTCGAAACCCACATATTCTGGACCCAGACTGGAGAGGAAAAGACTCTTATCGAAGGCAGGAGTAACCACCATGATGGACGGCTCTGTTGAGAAATGCCAAAAGGATTTGCGACTGGAGATGTGGTCTCAGGGCCATTAAGTACCCAAATAGCCAGGTAGCTAGACCCATATTAGGCAATTACCTGAAAGGACCGCACTGGGGTTTATGAAATTATACCAAAGCTTAGCAGGCCCCCAGCTTGTTCTATAAAGTTATGCTTTCGTCATGACAAGCTAGAGACGCCAGTTCCCGGTAGCCGTATGACAGGGGAACCAAGCCTAGCCTGGTAATCAAAGTGCATATTTAACCATTGAAGAAGGACCATAAAAGACGGTGCCTTTTATTCTCCAATTGCCAAGAGCAGTTGATCGTTCCTTCCTTGCATATGTCTGATCGAAACTTGAGAAGAGAGACGACCAAAGGGCCATCCTTCCTCCAGTACTCGTAATCGATCCGGATCTCGGTATTTCCCCAAAGACCGTCAACTCCCCAAGCGAATCAATTGTCATTGACAGGCTCAGGTCGGTTCTTGAAAAGCAGTTTAAACTTCACAATCTCAACGATCTCCAACTCGTCGCTGTCCGTATTCGGTCGCTTCTGAACCACAGCAAGCGGTTGAGGCAATTTCTTCACTTCCCCTGTCATCCGCTGATATCTGCCAACGTATAGATAGACGCGTTTCATCCACATAGTGTCATCCGGGCTCGTAGTTTGGGGCGAGTAATCCGGGAACATGAGCTTTCCGACCGGGGTTTCGAACGCGGGGATATTCGGGTCGCTGGGATCGCTGTCTGTTCCAGCCGGATCAGACACATCTTCTTGACCGTCTTGAGACGGCACGTTTATTGTGCCCTGTAGTTCAAGGATTGCGAGTCCAGAGGGCGTCTGAAGCAGCTGGGGGAGGGGGTTGGTGGGGGAGGAAGGGGAATCGGCCGCGGAAGACGCGCGAGGATGGAGAGGGATCGAGGGCATGTTGCTGTAGTTTGCACCGAGAACAGAGCTTCAATCTCCAATGTAGCGTAGAAGTAAGACGACCTGATATGATTGCGCGTCCAAGTCGGCACTAAGCAGTGTTTGAATGGAAGTTTTGGTTGAGATTAGCACGTTGGACGCGGAGAGAAGGAATTTGAGCGGAAATTAGCGCGCGTTGAGATTATGATGTTATCTCAGCCGGCTTGGCCCACTCAGTCTAAATAATGCTGATTGATCTAGTACTAGCATTTTTGAATTGTTGGATTGCTTTTGGATAAGTATATTTTTTCTTATTAGAGAGCCTAAGTTTAGATCTTTATGATTTTCAGAATTTTTCTAAGAAATATTCTATCAAACTAGAGCCGGTCTACCCAGGTGCATGTAGACTTTGCCCACCGTGCCTCAACTGAGGAGCGTACGACGCAAAACGCCCTTCTATCATCTCTGTGACAGCATATATTAGACCGCGGCGAAGAGAGGGCCAGGAACGTTGCCTTGACAATGATTTCCGGAACCCCTTCAGGACGCGTAATGCACTCTCCTGGTTGACCAACATACCCACACCTTTCAGGTACATGGGGGCGTCTGATACGCCTAGTATCCACGACCTTTTCTCGCATGGCGAGAGATGCTTATCTAGGCGAAGAGGACGACAGGGCCTATTACTGCTATCTACCCGTCCGGTCCCTTCTATACCAAGGTTATAATAAGCCCAGATATAGAGTGTCGCAATGAGAAATGCAAGATGATGGAACCCGGCTCCGCTGCCTGCATCATAGAGATCATTGTAAAGTGAGGCTGCATGAACAAGACTCTCTCTTGCGAAAATCGGGTTTTGCTGCATCCATCGCGAGAGACTGATTGCCGCGATACTCATCTGCTCAAGATTGGCCTGCCACCCGCTTAGGGCATATAAGCAACGCAGTGGCGTGCGTCGAAGGATATTGATAGTATGATAAGTTACCTTCGTAATCAGGTTTGGTGAGCTCTGATATGCAGTCACAAGCCCCTCAAATCGTTCGATGATGGGGTCACAACATCGATCAGTGGAGGTTTTCAGGGCGACAAGATCATCCGGCCATTCAAAGAATGCTCGACCTCGAATATCGAGAACCCGCTCGGGCGCAAACCACGGTTGGAAAGAACCTAGGACACGTCGTTCTTCAACATAAAAAGTGATGAATGTCACCAGGTCCCGCAACTTTGACGTATTATCAAATAGGTGGTCGATACACCGAGGGTTAATCAACACGGTTCTCAGGCTCGATAGCTCCGAAACACCTGTAGACAAAGGACTGTTACCACAAGCGTCGCTAACCCAGTGATAGGAGGGCTCACTTACTTCTGCTTTCTAAGAGCCTTCTATGCCATTCTTGCGGATTAGAGTTCCATAGCTCGTCACTACTGGGGAGGGGTATGCGGAAATGATCCAGAGTGAGTGACGAAGGTACGTCTCTAAATATAAAATGGAAGCTTTCCATAACTGATGGGAATGTCAGTTATTGTGCCTGATTTCTTTGTGCTACCAGACTCACCCCAGATACAATATAAAGTTCGCCTTCGCGTCTCGGCCAAAACCCATTGACGCCATGATTTGTAGAGTCCAGAGGAGGCGCCTGACGGGTTATCTTCTCGTATATCATCATCTAAGCATATTGACTGAGTAAGTGTGGCTAGCATGCTTTTCTGATACTGTGCGGTACGGTTGTCGTCTTCGTGCCCACTGAATAGGAGGCCCACGTCACGCAAGATAAGACACTGAGCAAAGGCCAGTTGATGAAATGAGGAAGCTTCCATTTCCTGGGTTTTTATTAGAACACCTAAATAAAAATCAAGCAAGGGAGGGAAGAAGGGGTAGTAGTATACGGTAGTGTTCAAAGCTCTTTGCAGAAGGCCACGCAGTCCAAAAAGGTAAACTTCGGAGTTTTTCATATCAGAATACTGACAGCCGACAGATGCGACGGCCAGAACAAGGACCCAAGGTATGTTACTATCATCAAACATAGAAGGGTGCAAAAAGGGCATCCACGGGTCATAATGCTCATAATACAGCTGAATCATGGTGTTCAAAAGGAGAAGGCTGATAAAGGAAGCATCTTGGCAAGTGGCTTCGCATTGGGCGCATTGCTGAGTCCTCCAAAATCCCAGGAGCAGTGTATATGTTGTCTCGGAAATGCTTGCGGTGTGGCCAAAATTCTCAGCCGCGACAACTTCATCGTCTTCTGGAAGCTTCTCAGGGAACTGAATGCAGGTGCACTTTTCCGAACCCGATCTTTGCTGATGTACAGCAAGGTCGCAGCTGCTTGAGGAAGAGTTTGCGTTGGTTAATAAGGAACATGCTTGCTCGATGGTAGTTCCAGCACCATGTGAGGTGCGTGAATGCTCATTGACATCTTGCTGACTGATGAGAGGAAAAAGGTCAATTGCATGTTCGCCAACGTTGGTAAACAGTGTATCTTGGGCCCCTTGATTGAGTGAAACCGGCTCGAGGCCATCATGTACAGCAGTATCTAGTGACCATGGATTTGCTTCGTTAAGGGTCCGCATGCTAGCTGCGATGGTAGGCATCTCCACATGATGCTGGCTAAGCGTGTCATAGCCGTCGCCGCTCAACGAATTAAGCATAGACGCCGAGGCCGGGTCAGTGTCTTGCGAGCCCATCGCGTCCAGTGAGGTGGCCGGCTCGCATGGGAAATTCTTTCGGGTACATCGAAGACATGGCCAGGCTCCGTTACAACGTTGCTTGGCCCGGGCGCAGTTACGACATGCCCGTTGGGATCTGGGCCGTCCGTAGGTCCAATGGCGACCATCATCAACGTTGTCTGTTTGGTGAATGAATCGGTGTCTTGCCAGAGTGTCCCTGTAGCCACAAGGTTCCAGACGTCATTTCAAGATTCAAGATCTGGGAAAGGTCTCGTCCAGGATGCGTACCTTCTAGAAAATGCACGGGAACAGAGTTCGCATCGAAATGGTCTCAAACCTAGGTGACGGGCTTCATGTCGCTGGAGATGCTCCTTCCGACTAAATTCCTCTGAGCAATATCCACATGTCCAGGATCTCGACGAACCAGTCTCCACCAAGGGTGGCATTCCGGTTATTGTAGCCGGGTGCCTGGGACATCAAATTCCAGGCAATCCAATCCGATCATCGGCAATTTCGATGGGGACAGGACTAGGAAGCCAGACGACAGGGCCCCTGTGAAGAAAGGTGTACCTACTAAGTGCTTACTCACTTGCTCCCCTGTCTCCAGTCTTCTCCATCTTCTCTTCTGGTAGTATGGAGCGAGTCGCGGTGGGAGACTGTGAATTCATCGACGGAGACTGCGCTGTGGAAGAACAACTTCATTGTTTGCCCCTCAAATCTTGGTGGTCCGCTTAGTCAACTATCAGTTATTCTTTGCCCGCCACAGGTTTCGTAGGACCTTTGAACTGTCAACGTCCAGAATCTAGATGGAAGTTTTGTCATATCCTGCTTCTCCTATGCAAGAACTTTGGCCGATCATGCTAATGACCGAATGCATCGCCTTAGGAGGAACCATAACCAGTTAACTTACTACTCGATATTGCAATGACCTTGTGCAATGAGTAAGCGGAAGACATGTCGATCAGCGTGGGGAAGCCCGACGCTCCCAGTGCTCTGTTATTGTACCTACTGTGTGGAGATCCCCGTCGGCCCGACGGGGGCTCTTTCAGCAGCACGCCAAATCCGACTTTCAACAAATTGAAACAGATGCAAATTTTTCCTGTCAATATCCTTGCATTCCGCTGAGTAATATCGGAAAGATGAGACGTCTGGGACCAGAATTGACGATGTTTAAATGGAGCTGCTTGTCAGTCTTCAAATGTCACTCAACCAGATTCCAAAGTACGAGGAAGTTACCTACGATACCTCATCGGCATGGCTAGCCTTTACCGTCATTTGGAAGACTGGATGGTACTAGAGGGCCTCCCAGTCATGAAGATCGGTATCATTCAGATTCTTACAGTCGCCGTTGTCACCTTGGTCCTGGTTGCGTTGATCAAACACCTCTACTATCGCGCTTGGCACCCATTGGCCTCGTTCAAGGGCCCTTCAGCAGCTGCTACGTCCCGACATTGGATCTACCGAGTGACAGACCGTGGCTTTCCCGAGGAGGAACTCGAAAAGCTCCATGAAGAGTACCGTGAGTCAATCAGCCAGCGCGCGATTTCTGGGGTCGGAAATTAATCTGGATACCGCTCGATTCACAATAGAAACGCAAGCCCTACGGATTGGTCCCAACGAGCTGCATATCAGCGATGTCTCGCAATACAAGGTCATCTACAGTCAAAACAAGCCGTTCCCGAAACATGGACCCTTCTATGATGGCTTCAACACCCCCCATACGGTCTTTACCGAAACCGACGCGGGGATGCATAAAGAGCGCCGACGGCTGCTGAATCCTCTGTTCTCCCGTGCGGGCGTCTTCAAACTCGAGCCCATTATTCACGCGAAGACGGGGGTGTTGATGCAAAAGATCCGTCGTCTGCAAGATACTCATGATATCAATGTCTATGATGCGTTTAGGTGAGCACCCATTGGAGTCGCTCTGATTGGTTATTGAGGAGAACGCCTCGCGGACAGGGCTGGGATGTGGCTAAGCAAAGTTGGCAGATGTCTAACTACGGAGATCATTATGGAGTTCGCCTTTGCTAAATCGGCTAATATGCTGGAAGAGAGCTCAACTACATTCCAATCGTGGTTTCTTACCGCGTTCGACGCCGTGGCCCGAAGCTTCTGGAAATTGCAGGAATGGCCTCTCGCTCGGAAAGCCGCTGGGATCCTGCCCATAGGCGTAGTAACCCTCATAGATCCCCAAATCGCGAATGTAATCAAGATGTTGAAGGTAGGAGCCCACTGTCATATAGTGACCCCTCCCCATCCTCCCATCCCCAATTTCAAGCGAGGAGTGCTGACACAAATATCCCCATCTACGCAGTTTGCAGAAACCTGTCTCCAACACTATGAACGTAACGGAAACACAACCTCTCATCCTGTTGTATTCGACAATCTATCTTCTGTTCCGTATGATTTGAAGGTCACCGAGGCAGTTGATATCCTGATTGCCGGGGCAGACACGACGGCATCAACGCTCACTGCTGGACTAATGAACATACTGTCAAACCCAGGCATTCATTCAAAGTTGGTGAATGCTGTGCGCGGCGCAGACATAGATGTCGATGGCCATTCGGACTATCAGCTTTTGGAATTGGAAAAAGTGGCTTACCTGGTAAGTGAGGTCATTCTCAATGCCCGAATGATGGCACCTTCAACTGACTATCGGCCAGTCTGCCTGCGTCAAGGAATCTCTCAGGATCGCCATGCCTGTGCCCGGACGCCTTCCAAGGGTCGTTCCGCATGACCTTGCTCAGCCTTTTGTCGTCGACAATCAAGTAATCCCGCCCGGCGTAAGTCCACCTCGATCCTAATCAGAAACGAGCTGTGCTCTTCTAATAACCTTCTCAAGACTGTTGTTTCCATGTCCGCCTACACGATGCATACCAGCGAGGAGATTTGGGGACCTGACGCACGCGTCTTCAACCCTGACCGCTGGCTGCAGCCGGAAGCCAAAGCACTCGAGCAGTATCTCTGTACATTTTCCAAAGGCGCTCGGATGTGCATTGGTCAAAAGTTTGTTCTGCTCTCTACCCCCTACTGCTCATCCGCATATCGCTAATGATGATCCATAGTGTCGCTTATGCTGAGGTTACGATTGTGATGGCGTACCTATTCAGGAACTTCGATATCCGCTTGCCTTCGGACTTTCGTCCGCCCCAGAGAAAAGATCTGTTCACTATGGAATACTCGAAGCCGGGCTTGCCCCTGAAGTTTTCTAGTCGTGCAGAAAGGTAATATGAACGTGAAATGCAGGCTTATTGCCTTTCTCTGCTCGGTAATTCCCAATGGAGGCGCAGGTGGTGGGAATTCGGATACAGCCAGCTAAATTGCCGAGATTCATAGACAAACAAAAAATGGGGCTGGCAGTCCTTCCGCAATTAAAGTACAATTCACTATAACTCTTCATTTTAAATACAAAGCAGCACTATACTATTGAAGTGGATGCTGGAGCACTAATTTCCCCAAGCCACGGCCATGACTCGACACCGCGAGAACCTGGTCCATGGCCTCTTCTGCACTTCCATTGAAAATCTCCACAAAAGGGAACTGAAACTGTGCACCATAGTGTGCAACAACCCACTGGAACGCCTCCCATGCGCGCTCGTAATCTGCTTTCCGCGCAGGAATCGTGATCGGGTGAGGGACTCCCTTCAACTGGATCCGCACGTCGCTGTTAGGAGTGGCCAGTGGCATTTTGAAGCGAGGATCCTGCTGCACGACCACAGATACCAGTGTCGCGTCTTTGGACACACAAGCCGCCATCGACTGCGCCGAGCCTAAGCCTGCCTCACTTCCCACTGCATCGAATCCCTGCGTGACTGGACCCCATCCTTCCTGGACCAAGGCTGACTGGATATCCAAGACTACGTGGGCACACTTGTAGTCAAAGCAGCGAGTGGCACCCAGACGTAACAAGAGCGGATGATTCTGCGGTGATGCCGTCACAAGGATCGGGTAGATGCCACTGGCGCGAGCGAGTTGCACAGCCGACAGCCCGACACTACTAGATGCACCCCAGATAAGAAGCGGGCCTGCTTCGTTCGGTCCCGGAGTCTCCGCGGGCAGAAGGAATCTGAAGATATTGTAGAGGGCATCACATGCCGTCATTGTCACGACGCTCAAGCATGCGGCATGATGAGGCGGGAGATTCGGAGGCACTGAGAACAGCATGTCCTCTGGACATACCAGGCCTCGTTGATGCGTCCCGTATTTGGCCGGTCTGCCGACTCCGGTGGGAGTGTATCCAGCAACGAGGTCTCCGGGCTGGAACTTGGAGCCTGCTGGGACTTCGAGGACCTTGCCGCAGAAGTCGTAACCAAGGACCGCCGGATAGATGCCGAGTTGCGTGGCGTGCTTCACATCTGCTGGGTTGATGCCGGAGTAGATCGTTTTGATCCGGAGCTCGCCATCCCCTGGGGTATAGCTGTCCGTCTCTCGACGAACGACAAAGGAGATGTTCTCATTACAGTAAAGCGCTGTGTTCGCCATGGAGCTCATTGGGATCGTCGACAGGGTACGGAAAGTTTGATGAATTCCTTGCAAACTGATGGGGTGCGACGAGAACGGGGGTTATATCCCAGCAATGCCAGATCTTGATGGAAATGTAGTCGACATCTTTATATTTCTCAAAGCGCGAAATGACCGCAATAGTCCGCCGTACGCAAAATTAGGAGAACAAAGCTCATTAGTTGGTGTCTCCCCACCGGATCATCTGCCGGCAATGGTGGAGCTTCCCCGTCGGCTTCGTGAACGGATCACCAGGACATTTCCCTGCTCCAGTAGGTGCAGCTCGGCTTTCCAGCACCGAATCTCTGCCTCTTCCGCTTACTAAATAAGCGCGATCCGATAATTCTGACTACTCTACATTGAAGATTGTATAGAATTGTATAAAGGAATCTGGGATCTCCGTATAGTTGATATGCACCATGCCGCTTCATCGCCTGAGCACCACTTCCGATATCCCAAACCGAGCACATATCTCTGACTCTACGATCTCTTTAACATGTCTGTTCAAGAAAAGCTTAGCCAGCGGTTCCCCGACACCGTGTACACAGCCTTAGTCCCCCCGGATCAACACTTGGGGTTCAAATATACCGGCTTCCATCCTGGAAAAACCCAGAAGCTCCCCAAGGGCCATGTCAAAACTCCCGGTCTTCAGGCTTTCCCGGTGGACGTGACCTGGGAACAAGATGTGGCGATTCCCATGCGGGATGGAATCAAGCTGTATGCGGACGTCTTCCGACCAGAAAACGAGGACGTGCAGGTGCCCGCCATTATCCCCTGGAGTCCGTACGGTAAAGTCGGCACGAGCACACTGAACTTAGACAACATGGGGTCATGGAATATTGGAATACCGTATCAGAATATTAGCGGATACGAAACCTTTGAGGTATGTGTTAGGTATCCCTGGCGGGACTCTCAAATATCTAGACGCGTTTCGCTCACTTTGATTACCTTGACCGAAGGGCCCGAACCCTGCGGAATGGTGCTCCAGGAGTTATGCTATCGTCGACGTGGACGCCCGAGGCAGCGGTAATTCAGAGGGAGATCTCATGTTTTGGGGAGAACAGGTCAGTTTTGCAGCAGGACAAGTGCCATGGTTTGCTTGCTGACCAAAGGATAGGAAGCGACTGATGTTTACGACTCTATCACCTGGGCTGCTCAGCAGCCATGGTGCAACGGTTCGGTGGTCATGATGTATGCCGATTCGCAAGACGTGTTCGTTCGAGTTGATCTGATGAATTCCGCTAACATCCTGTAGGGGAAACTCCTGGCTCGCTATCTCGCAGATCAATTTCGCCTCTCGCTTCAATCACCCGAACCTCAAGGCCATCGCTCCATGGGAAGGACTGACCGATCCCTACGGACAGCAGTCCTGTCGAGGTGGAATCCCGAAACTGGGTTTTGGTGATATGATCATCCAAGCATTTGCAGGTAGGAATGACCCTTCCTTTACCCACATACCGAAATGATAGGGTCTTATGGCTGACATATACACTACCTAACTATTGGCAATGATCCAGGCCGAGGCAAAGCCGAGAATCTGAGCGCGATGGCCAAATCGCGACCTCTATTCGATGACTACTGGGAAGAGAAACTAATCAGACCGGAAAACATCCATGACATTCCGATATATCTTACAGCCTCATACTCCACTGGTCTGCACTGTGAAGGCTCCTTCCAGACGTTTGAACGGGCACAAACGGCTCGCAAGTGGCTTCGTGTCCACGCATCACAGGAATGGCATGACCTGTACCAACCACATGCCACGGACGACCTGCAGCGTTTCTTCGATTACTACGCGAAGGGCATCCAGAATGGGTGGGAGGAGGACACACCTCCGGTCCGACTTAGCTTGCTGGGATACGACGGCAGCTATGCCAGCACGGTGGTAGAGCGTGCGGAGCAACAATGGCCTCCTGCTCGTCAACACATGAGGCGATATTATCTGGATACAGGCAACCTTACCAGGACGAAGCCAAGCACTGCTTCCCAGGTGGTTCATGAAGGCCATTCGCTGAGTGATTCCTCAGTAGGTTCCAATTCTAAAGAACGTTAGCTATATCTGCTAATTGCACCTGGAATCATTACAGGACTTCGTCGTCTACTTCGACAGATACACCGAGGTCTGCGGACGGCCATTCGTGAAGCTCTACATGTCCTGCGACGCAGCCGATGATTTCGACGTAGTCGTACAGATCCGCAAGATCTCCTCATCCGGAGAGCTCCTTGAGTCCCTGAACTGGTCCCCGATGCCCAAGCCCGGACCCGATGTCCCAAATACCAACGTTGCGAAGCATCTTGGCCAGCAGGGAATGCTTCGCGCGTCTCACCACGTCAGCTTGCGGCCGCGTCAAAGCGACGATGAGGGCCCACAGTACGATCACAAGTCTCGACAGCCCATTACCCCCGGTGTAGTTGTCCCTTTGCTTATTCCTGTCTGGCCGGTCGGGATGGTCTTCGAGGCTGGGGAGGGTTTGATGCTCCGGATCTCTGGCCATGATATGGCTCTTCCTGAGGCCGAAGCTCTGCGGTTGACAAGCCCTGTTGATGAGAATCAGGGTACACATACTGTATATACTGGTGGAGAGTATGACAGTTACATCGTGCTTCCTGTGATTACCATCTAGGGAATGTCTTTGGTTTTGTTCTCGGATAACGGATTTTGTGGGTTTCTTTTGCCAGGCCTCTGCATGTTCTGTTCCTTCTTCGTCACGAGCGTAGGTGCATTCAGTCCCCACAAAGCTCATAATACGGGTCGATGTTATAGACTGGGTTTGTATAAGTTACCGGAAGCCGGAAGCATCGCAGACACCATAAGTCGAAGTGTAGCCTTGAACGGGCCCGGAGCTTGAGCGTTCGCTGGCGCATCAAAATCTGAAAACTCATGGTCTGTTCCTGCTGGATGAAGACTAGATGGCGGTATTGGAAGAGACAGTGTGGGCCTAGGGAACTCTCGACTTGATGGGAGAAGTTGTATTCTGATGTCCAGAGTGGTAAGAATCGGACGTGGTCGGGGAGTTTCGCTCGGTAGAGACTGGTGGAAACGTTTGGGATGAAGCCGGGGGGTGGTGTCGAATTATATGGTTGTGCCTTGCGACGAGTACGACCAATTAGTTATCAGTGTGGTTCTGGAAAGCCATGGGCGTGCAAAGGAGAGGGAACAACAGCTTGGAAGTGGAAGAGAGGAAGAGTCACTCCTCAAGTCGGATGAAGACGGACAGTGGATGACGGAACTCAGGAGCAGAGCAGTTTACAGTCAAGATGGCTCCAGAGGTAGCGCCAGGAGTGTCTCGCCATCCTGAAGAGATGGATGATGAGAAGTGAATTAATGCATGGAGATAGATTGCGAGGTAGTTTGGTGGAAAAGAGTTGGTCTTTATCTCCACATGACCTTGTCACGTAAACAATGGATCCATCTTTACCGGTGGCATTAGGCCTAGCCACTATTGGCGTTGATGAATCTCATATCATTCACCCAAGGGCCTATTGCATGTCGGAATCTATTAATATCCATATAAAATAGGAAAGTGAAGAGTGAATTAGAATCTACATAGAGCGCCCTGCATTTACCACAAAAACCCGCAAGAGCAAAGACACGAAGATGTAAAATCATGAACCCAAGGGTTTCTCCGGCGTTTGGGATATCGACATGAGCCTCCAGCGCCTGGTGACATGTTTCCTGGCCTGCTGTCGCTGTCCCAAGCAGTCATGAGACTATTCACCGGCGCGGTCGACCCTCCTCCCAGCAGACGAAATCAGAAAAGTCATCCACCAAAATGTCGCACAGTGCCTCAAGAACATGGATTTCAGATGAAATAAAACGACACGAGGCCTACAAGAAAGTCTCGGGCCAGTTTCATCACATTGCACCCAAGTCACCGTTTTTGCCAACCAGCTTCAAGGAATGTCTTGCTCATCAAGAGGCCATGATTGAGCAAGATAAGGCAGACAAACAACGCGAGATCCAAAAACGAGAGGCATATAACGCGAGACGAGGAGGATTTAAAAAGAGAAGGGAAGATCCAAAGCCAGTGTTCGACGTCACGAAGTTCAATGATGGTCGATCATCCGTTCTTGCCATGCAATCAATTTGGGTGTCTCGATGCATCGAGCAAGCGAAACCCCACGCTGCCTGGCCAACAAATGACGAACTAAAACATCACGGTATCCACCGCGCACCTTCCGGACAGTGTCGCACCCTCCCTCATCCGCGTAGGGATGCGGACCCCTCCGTGAAATGGAATGAGAGGCCCCTGGTCGCACTCTTCCGCTTCGATGGGTCTAGCCCAGATGAGGGCGAAAACAATACTATAAATATCACGGACGGGGAACTTTCCCTTGGGCTTGAACTGTCGAAAGAGTTGGATAGGTGATGGGCACGGTATCAAAACTTGTGGGCCACCAAGATGGTTCAATGCAACGGAGTTGGTGGAGGGAGTCTTTAGCGAATTCCTTTCCTTTGTTTGGGACATGTGCAAACTATTTGCTCGTTTAAAATGCTTGGCTTATCCCATTCAGGGCCCATGACATGTCACATAAATCCTGCCGTATTCTCTCCTTCAAATATCGTTTAGCTGCATGGTCGGTAGGAGCTTGTCGCTGCTCGTAGACAGCGAGAGTAACTCCGGGACAGTCTTGGTTGATAGACTCAGGATATTTCCAAGCTTCTGTTGCCGTGAATACGCAAAAAGCCCGATGTTCAAAGAGTCTGACGGAAACTATCGGCCACGAAATGATTACGCTCTTAAGCAGTAGTAGTCGCGAGGCCCTGCTTCATGCACGCTAGAGTCCGGTCAAGTATGCATTTCGTTCCCCTTGTTCTTCTGGTTCCCCGGGGCTAGGCCTTGTTGTTGTAGCAAGCATTTTCGAGATTTCGAAGACCTTTGATGGCTTCATTGACCACTTCTTCCCCGGTAGTCCCAGCAGGGCCCTGCATCTTCCCATAACGAAGATCGCTCAATTCGCCGACCGTGGAATTGAGCTCGGAGAGAAGGTTGCTCGCATCTTTGTCCACGCCTTCAATGTCCTGCTCAATGCTTGAACAAGCCGCTTCCATTGCTGACAGGAGACTAGGCATGGAATGATATTCCCGTGGGGCAGCGGTCGACGTTTGGCCGAAAAGTTGAATGTCCAAGTCCATTTCGCGCTGATCGTCCGCACTCAAGCCATCGACGCCGGCTTCCATCATTGCTTTGCGGAGATCCGCTTTCTGGATCTCCCCTTGATCAATTTCCTTGTCGATATTTTCATTGACTAAATCCATGTCTTGTTCACGCAATTGCTGCAACTCGCGATACAGCACTCTGACATGGGGATGGGAGCGCAATCGTTTCGGAAACAGCTCGGTAAATTTTTGCAGCGACATGACAGTCGGCAATGAAGCCGGAGTCAAGAGAAAATTACTCAGAATCGATGCCTCGGAAGGGGCCATGTTGATGGATCTGGACAGTGTGCCCCCACTGGAGCAATAGTCTAGGGAAAAGATAATTATATGGATGACCTCTGATAGACAATCTAATCAATTTTTCGCCGAGGATCAGAGCGGAGGGTCTTGGGAACACTAGCGTAGATAGTAGGATGGAGGAATGGAGGAGAGAAGTTGAATATTGTGATGGAGCCGCCATTTAGCCTTTTTCGGAGGACGCGTCGCTTCCGCTTCCCTGCCTCGCTTTCTTGGCTTCTTTCCCTCCGCACGCGCCGAACGACTGCCTCCTATCCACCTGCGCAACGCAAATCGAACTCTCTCCTCCTAGACCCTTCCATTGTCCACTGGCTCGTCGAGCTCGGAAGAATTAGAGCAGAGTAGGACCCACACCCTTGCTGTGTCTTCCGCCATCGCTTGGTGCAAGGTGGTGGCCTCCCTATCCGAAAAGCCATATCTTTGATAGTCCTGACTTACAGAAAATCTTAGCAGGTCTCAAGTGTCTCCGTCGCACTCTGTGTCTAACCTTCGCCTGGGTTGGCAGTAGTTCTTGCTTCAAGTGCGTTAAGGGATCAGCTAATTGGAGAAATCCTAGCTGCGGTGTTGCCTCTTCACCTTTACCAATATCTGGGTGGCTCCGAATCATCCCTTCTACTGTCCTCGTCTCTCTTCCACTTGTTGGCCCACTCAATTCATTATCCTCTTCCACCTTGAAAATGGCTCCAGCAGCCCAGATGTCTTATCAAAAGGATGAGAAGGTCCTTTGCTTCCACCATGAGATCTTGTATGAAGCCAAGATTCTCGATGTAAAGCACACTGTCCCCGACGACCGCAAAAGCCCTGTTGAGTACTTGGTCCACTACAAGGGCTGGAAGAACACGTAAGTGATTTTTCCCCTTTCGTTATTCGCCATGTGCTCCCACCTATTCTCAGGTTTCTTGCCAAGAGCGAGAATCAAAAAAGGGATGTTTTTTTTTTCATCCGAACGTTACACAGACGTGAACTTGACTAACACCGCACTTATCGGCTAAATCCAGCTGGGATGACTGGGTGCCCCAAGATCGTCTACGTAAATTCACAGAGGAGAACCGAGAGTTGGCAACTACCCTTCGCCGAGATGCGGAGGCCGCTTACCGTCAGAAAACCGCGAAACCGTCCATGAAAAGGCGAAGAGGCTCTGACCCCAGCTCTGTTCGGGGAAGCGAGGAGCGCCAGTTGTCCGTTCCTGGTCGCAACAATAAGAGAGCCAGAGAGAATGACATTGAAAAGGTATACTTTCTAGTTCCTTTTTCTTTCCCGCTCGTATTGAGTCATTGTCACCTGGAAATTACCATGGGGGTGGCCAGATTGAAACCCTCGTAATGGTGAAAAAAAGGCAGAGCTGACGAGTATCCAGGAGGATGCTTTCTATACTCGGCCATCAGTGCGAATCGTCATGCCTGATAACTTAAAATCGCTCCTTGTTGATGACTGGGAGAATATCACCAAGAATCAGCAAGTCGTGGCATTACCCGCGAAATGTTCCGTCAATCAGATTTTTGAGGACTACGAGGCCGAAGAAAAGCCCAAGCGGACGACCGGAGCCGACACTGATGTCCTCGAAGAAGTGATCTCGGGGATTAAAGAATACTTCGACAAAGCCCTGGACAAGATTCTTCTTTACAGATTTGAGCGCGAACAGTACCGTACCCTTCGCAAAGAGTGGGAGAAAGGCTCTGGGAATCTGGCCGATAAATCGCCACTCGATATCTATGGTGCCGAACATCTGACTCGACTGTTTGGTGAGCGCTCACTCACTTATCGCATCCGTGCTTTGTTCTAGATTCAAGTTTAACTAACAAAAAGTAGCTACTATGCCCGAGCTCATTGCGCAAACAAACATGGACATGCAGTCCACCAACCGACTTCGTGAGGAACTTTCCAAATTCACGCTCTGGCTAAGTAAAAACTCCAACAAGTATTTTGCAACGCGCTACATGACCATGAGCAATGAGTACGTCGACAAGGCTAGGGGTGTCCCAAACCCGAATCCCGGAACTGCCACCTCGCATTTAGTTTGAAAAATGTCTTTTGAACATGATGAAAGATACCTGTGATCCCTACCCCTACTGTCCGATTGATTAGCTCTGCAATTCTTTATTTTGTCTCTCCTGCCTTTTCTCGACCTAATGTCGGCTGCGACAAGCACAATGTTCTGGATACCATGGTGGGACAAGACTTTATGCGAACTACGGTTTCAATGAGTTTGAGTTGGGGTAACTTGTAACATAAGTATAGAACTGGCGAATCATGGATGGATTTGCTTGATGCAGCTACTTCGATTGTATTGGTTATCAACTTAGAGGCGGGAACAGAGGTCGTGATGATTCTAAGATACCGATTTCTTACTAATTTGGAAACATACGCGTCTTTCCAGACCAGAAGGGAAACAGAAGAGTGAGAAGGAGTAAATGCAACTATCTAAATTTTCCTGGACATCCACCCGGGACTCCTAACTTCCATCATCATCACACCTTTTTTTATAAACAAATGGTCCAAATGCCAAGTCAGCATGAACGAGAAAGTAAACCAACAGCATACAATTGAAAAGAGAAAACGATAAAAAAGGAACTTGGAAGTAAGAAAGAGAAAGAACATATAATGGCCTTCGAAAACCACAACCATGTACACATCCCCCCCTTACACCACCAACTGCCTCGCATCATCCACCGCACATCGCGCCGCCCGCTTCAATTCCGGCTTCCAGTCTGTCTCGCGGTATCGTGTCCAAGCGCTCAGTCCGTCAGGGGACTGGATACTCAGCGTTTCGTACCCCTGCTTGATAATCCGGTGGACCTCACGGGGACTCAGATTCTTCTTCTGTGTAGCCGGAATCGGCGCTGTGCTTTGGGCGTCGGGTTTCGCGTCGGCGCTCTGGTCCGGGTTGAACAGGAGGGTGTAGAAGTGCGTGGAGACGGAGATCAGGGTGTCGATGGCAGCGACGTGGACGTCCTTGGTAGTCGTGGTGGTGGGGTCCGCGGCCTTGATTGAGGCGGGAGTACTAGACGAGGACTTGGCGATGTAGACGTCGCGGAACTTGGAGATGATGGGGCCGGTCTCGACGAGCTTGTAGAAGAGGTCGTCGTAGGAGGATGGGTCCGGGAGGAAGGTGTCGCCGGTGGAGACGCAGAAGGCGATCAGGTCGACGAGGGTAGTGGCGAGTGTGTCGATGTGTGGGCTGCCGGAGAGGTCGGAGACGTAGGTGGTGAGGAACCGCATGAGGGAGAGCAGCGTGCGCCAGAGCTCGGACCAGTGGTAGTTGAGGCGGATTTTGTTCATGGAGAGGTAGGTGAAAAGGCGGAGGAGGATTGCGATTGCTTGGCTGCGGAGAGAGCAGGGTTAATTGTGATGTCTTGGAATGAGGGAGGGGAGAAGGAAGGGGAAGGGGGTGGGGAGGTAGGTACCTGTAGAGGTTGATGTCTAGACGTCGTCGGAGGTTGTGAGAGATGGTGTCGATCATCATGTCGAAGATAGCGGTTGCAAGAACGCGATCTCCAGTGACGAGGGGAAGATAGGGCTGTCTCTGCCGACAGAGACGGATCTTTCGTTTGGTTTCCTCGCTGCAGAGTTGCTTGCATAGGGAAGAGTCCTCGGCAAGGATACGTAGAGTGAAGAGGTTGAGTTCTGCATACCGGGCCACTCTGGGTGATCGGTAGGCGTGCTGCAGGAGATAGGAAGTCACGGAGAGGAAGGTCGCGAAAGGGGACTCCTCGTTATCTTTTTCAGGGGCAGAGGTGATGAGATGATAGCCAAAGAGCTTGTTGGCGTTAGTGAAGTCGTAGGTAGCTAGGAGGATAGCTGCCTGCTGAGCGGGTCTGTTTAACGGCATCAGCGGGGTGAAGTTTACAGATTGGAGTTCCTCAAGTGGAGGCTTACAGTGCCGTGAACATCTCCTTCGCCTCTTCCGCAGTGGGAGGACTAGAGCGGTCTCTTCGATTGGGAGCAAGCACGCCCAACCCGAAGTAGATCAAAGTGCTAATCAACGACCATCCTTCGGGGGCGTCATCCTGCACGGCAACGTAGCCGTTTCTCAAGGCGCCGCACGACAAACCGACACCGTTGACGATTTTGCGAATGCTTGACTCATTGACGAAGTCATCGAGTCGGAGCTGGTAGGGGTTCTGAAACTCGAATTTGTTGTAGTTTGCCAACAGCCCCAGCAGGAGGAAAGGCTCGAACCCTTGAATGGAAGTTTCAGAGTCTTGTATGAACTGTAGGGCAAGTCAGCCTTCAATCCTACGAGCAAATAAGCAGTGCCTTGCACTTGCCTGAGGAGACAAACCTTCATAAGCGACGGGAAGAGGTCACGATGTGTGAAGTAAGAGACAAGGCTCGTCTTGTATGCCCCACTGATCATGGCAATAGCAGTTTTGATGGCTTTCATTCGAAATTCAACTAAAATACGGTCAGCTACCGAGTACGAAGAGTTCATTGGGAGCTACTCACAGCTACTGCCATTGCGAATGATGCCATCCAAGACGGTAACGAAGTTCGAAATGACATGGTCCACATCATCGAGTCCGGCAAGAACAGTGATGATATCGGAACTCGGATTGGTATACTTCTTTCTCAAGACGCAAGCTAGAAAGACCGCCAAGGTCTGAGTCACTACTTAGAGGTTGACGTACAATAACTCTTGCGAAGAACATACCTCGAGCGCATAGGAGTCCGCGGGCTTGTTGCCCGAAGCTGCCTCACGGATTGCGCGAGCAAAGAGTTGTTGGGTTTGAGCCTGGGGGCGAGTTAGCAAATCGACGATAAAGAAAGGCAGCATGAAGAATGAAAGAAAATCAGAGAAGGGACCGAGAGCCCACCTGCAAGTTCAAAATCTCATCGGGACTGAGCTGGTCTAAAATGGACCGAAGCTGCGCGCGATCAGGCGGCAACAAGAAGAATTCCTTCCAGAACCCCTCGGAGGGGTCCGCATAATCGGTTGTCTACCGGGGGCAGGTCAGTATCAGGGAATACAGAAGCAGGTGGGTGCGCATACTTGAAAGAGGTTCTCGTATAGTTGCACGATCTTAGGTTTGAAATAATCGGGTCTACTTTGCTGGGTTAAGGGGGATTCCATGATTTTAGAAAGGACGTTCGACGATCCGCACAGAACACGGGATCATCGCTAGCATGGCAGAGGGAACCGAGAGGCTAGAAGGGGACTGGATAACAATAGGGTGAGAAGCGATGGTGATATCCGTCCCATCGCTTTGATCCACGTTGCCCGTCGTATTATTATTCTCGCCCTTTTTCGGCCTTTTTTGGGGTAATCCACATCAGCCACGTACGCCATCTGCAGTTCACCAGCCACACTTTCACCGTTTGGCCACAGGTGATTTCTTCTATCAATGTACAGAATTTACAAAGTAGATATTTACAATTGCGATCAGGATATTTGATATAATTCCTACAAACGTCTCATAAATAAGAGCGTCTTCCTACGGTTTGCCTCAAACACGCAGAGAGCGACCGGGGGACGATGACATAATAAGGGGTAGTCGAAGTCAATTGCACGAACCTCGAAGATGATATGACTTAAGAAGGGGAATGTCGTCAGCCTTGTCTCGCCTGAATTATCTACTGAGGTGCACAGTGTAAGGGGGAAAGAACAGGCATGAAATTTCAATTATGGCTATTCAATAATATACATACCTACGGTGTACTCTGAAGGCCGATGGAAGTCGACCGAAAACAATGAGTCAGCAGGACTTGAATGCCTGAGGCTGTATCGGGAGGAGCAGGAACGGCCAGACCAATGCGGTAAGTCGAAAAGTTGGTCACAAAGCAATGGTCAGCATCCGTCGACTGCCCGTTCAGGGCCACAATGAAGGCCATTCCCCGACCAGTCCAGACGATCCTTCACTGCATGGACCTGACAGACAATGATCAAATATTGTTGAACTAAACCTAGATAATATACTCCGGAAGGAATTAATAATAGTTCTTCCCCGTCAGACGACCAAAGTGGCGCCACCGAACTTGTGTAGAAACACCTGACTGCTGATTGGCCGACGGAGAGCCGGACCCCCGTGCGTGCCTTAGGTTTAGCCGACGCCCGTCCGCCTTCAAAACAGAACTCAACGGACCTTCGATCTTCAGACTCATCTTCACACACCCCACTCACTTGCTACCCACGGCGATACACCCACTCTTTCGCATGCAACCATAGCATTTTCTGGCTCCTATAACCCTATAGAGCATCTTACATCTCACATTCACATCTTACACCCATCATGTCGTTCTGCAGAGCCGTTCACCACCCGGTGACATCATCCGCCACAATGGCTGCTTCTCTAAGAAAACCTTCCACCACGCTGTCGACGAGAAGCCTTCGTCTGTTCTCGTCCTACGGAAACGTCTATCGGTCATCGAGGCGGGACATGCAGACCCAGACTGCCTATCGTCCGCATTCTCTGCCTACCTCCTTTCCCATGCCCCGGAACGCTGGAGTTCCCGACACCTCGATTGCCGCCGATTTCCCATCGACTCCCTTTCAGCATGTCCCGGAGAAGCAACACACCTCGTCCAACATAAGCTACCGTGAGAGCGAGGCGCAAAAGTCGAAGCCCGTCGAGTCCAAACCCGCCACCGCCCCCAAGCCCGCGGAAAAGCCGCGGCGGAAGTTGCGCCCTAGGAAGGCCGCTATGAAGCTGACTCCCTTGGCCATCGAGCAGCTCCGTAAGCTTGTTGCTCAGCCGGATCCCAAATTCATTCGAGTTGGAGTCAAGAACAAGGGCTGCTCGGGTCTCGCCTACCACCTGGAATACGTGGAAAAGCCCGGGGCGTTCGACGAGGTGGTGGAACAGGAAGGCGTGAAGGTCCTGATTGACAGCAAAGCCTTGTTCAGCATCATTGGCAGTGAAATGGACTGGCAAGAAGACAAGCTGAGCAAGCGATTCGTTTTCCGGAACCCCAACATCAGTAAGTCTCCCTCGTTTTCATTGACTTCTCAACATATCGCTAACGTACTTTACCAGAGGAATCATGCGGATGCGGCGAATCCTTTATGGTCTAATCGATTACTTCCGTTTCGTTTCCCTACCCGGTTTTTTGCGGAGTCCCTTTTAAACGGTGCATCGGATGGCGTTCTTAGATTACGGATGGTTCTTGGGTTTCCGGATTGCTGTTTCACCACATTGTCGAATATACCTCACCGATTCCCCGGTCATTTATCCCGCTCACTGCTTTCATTTGTGTGATGCTTTTTCTCTCTTTCCCCCCCTGGAATTCGATTTCCGCGACACCTACTGGGTCGTCTGCAAGGGGATTTGTACAACAATATTAATGACATTGAAATTAAAGACGCGATGTTTTTCCAAGACTTTTTTACTGTAGCTTGCCGCCTGTACTTGGTTGCAATATTTCTTCTGCATGTTTTTCTTTTTGCGAACGTTTTCCGCCCGGCAACACAAGTTTTCCGATATGACGTTGAGCGGAGAATCAATGGACACCACCAATAATTTAGCCAATTAAGCATTATTCTATATGAGCAATGGCCTTCAGATCTGAAACCTAATCTAAAAGTACCGTACTTGTAAAACAATTCTGAAACTCCCATATGGTACATTTGCTACATCATCGGCATCACGTGGCTCAAGACCGGGAAATCTATCGGAGTATCGGAGCTGCTTATCGAAACACCGCCTTCAGCTGGCATTCCAGGGTCGTTTATCTATCATACTGGACCACCCAAATACAGCCTGGCAATCCAACCCCTCCACGAGTCATGACAACGCCGTCCTTCCTAACCCCCGATCCAAACCATGGGGCAGAGGCAGAGGCAGAGACAGACCCAGCATCCAACCCCCTCTACCTTACGATCCGCTTCTCAGCCTCAATAGCCGATCTCCCTCTCGACGTTCTATACCCCGAAACCACCACCGCAGCAGGCCTGAAGCAATTAATCCGCACTCGTCTCCCTCCGAACCTCTCCTCCCACCGTCTCCGTCTTATCTACTCCGGTCGTGGTCTCGAAGATACCGTCGCTCTCGCTGCTTCCCTGAAACTGCCCCCGTCGTCGCCGGCTCGTTCGCCTAGGGCGGTCCCGCAGAATGACGATTCCGATACTACTCCCCTCGACCCCAAAGGCAAAGGCAAGGCGCCTGTTCGCGACCCGCCTCGTCTCTATATCCACTGCTCCATCGGCGACATCGTTCTCTCGGCGACGGATCTAGCCGCCGAAGCCGCTGCGTCGTCGACGCTGCAACAGCAGCAACAAGACTCGGGGAAGGATGATGCATCTGCACAGCGTTCGGGACTCCATACCACGCACCACCACCAGCAGAGACAGTCGCAACAACAACCCCACGGGTCCACAACGACGCCCGCGCCTCGTGGCTTCGACCGGCTGCTCTCGGCGGGGTTTACGGCGGCGGAGGTCTCGGCGCTGCGGTCACAATTCATGGCGATTCAGTCCGTGTCGCGAACGCCGGATACGATGCCAAGCGGGGCAGAGCTGCGCGAGCTCGAGGACCGATGGATGGACGAGGGCTCGTCGTCCATGACGGCTGGAGCGGGAGGTGGAGGAGGGACGGCGCTGGCGGACGACGACGATGGCGGGTTTGGGGCGGGATCTCGAGGCGCGATGGACGATATGCTGTGGGGGGCGGTGATGGGGTTTTTCTGGCCGGTCGGGTGCGCGATGTGGTTGCGACGAGAGGAGGGGGTTTGGAGCTGGCGGAAAGGGTTGGCGGTGTTTGTTGGGGTGGTGGTGAATGTTGCGTTTGGGGCGATGCGGATGATGAATTGATGGATGGATGGGTGTTTTTTGTTCGTTTGTCCTGTTGGAATACCTGTGCTGTTCATAATTGTGTTGTACATACTATTGATGATACCCCCCTCTACTTATTAAACCGGCAGATATTTGATTCAAGCCCACTGGGTAGTTTCTTCAAGAAGCTACAGGCATCAGAGTAATATCATACAAATGTTCCGTGGCAGTAATAGTGTATCTGCGACTGCAGCTGCAGGCCAAAAGATGTCGTAAGATAAGAAGAAAAAAATTGATAAAGCAACGCCCTCGCAACGCCCGTTAAAGCCCGACGCTCAATGAAACTTGCTGTAGATAACAGCGACAATCAACAGGACCAACACAGTAATGATCGCAATTGTAATTATCCGATTCGTAGCCATCCTGTAAGAAGGAAGAACAAGATACGTTAGTATTCACCACCTATCAAGGTCAGGATCGATAGATATCGCATCCGACAGGGGCTGTAGAAGGTGACAGTACCTACGAGCCATTCCCCTCAATGTCTTGATACTGGTATCCACGTATCCTTCACTCTGCAGCAGTCCCGACCGCGTATGCATGATGGTCTCCCGCTGCTGGTTCAGATCAGCCAGCGTGTTGCGACCGATATCTTCGGTTTCGAGAGCGATTCGCTGACTGTCCCGCAGTCTAGAGGAGCTGCGCTCCAGGCGGTCCGTGCCGGAGAGAAGCTGCTGTCTCTGCTCCAAATGCTCATCCTGAGGGTCGTCTGTGTAGCGATCGCCGAAGAGCGCTTTACGGTCGTCCGAGAGAGACTTAAGTTTGCGTTTAGACTCGTCAACATCCGAGGAGTAGTTGCGAAACCGGACGTTGACTTTAGATCGGGCCGCTGAGGGGATGTTCTGCTTCTCCAGGCGCATTGAATCCAACTAGCGTCGAGTATTAGCAATGATGGGAGGGGATTATGGGGTTCTTCTTGACCCTACCAACTCCGTGGCCTCGTCCAGAGACTGCTCCGCGGCTCTGATCGCGGACTTCCGTTGTTCCCCGCTAGACTCGGCAATTTGATCCAGCTTCTGGTTCAAATCGGCCTGTATGAGTTTCAGCTCGGTCTCGTAGCTGCTAAACAGCTCCGAGCCGGCATCGGTATCCAACGGGTTCGACATTGTGATGGGTGAGAGTGATTCAGGGGGAGATGCCAGGAGAGAGAAAGTCTGTGTGTCGTAGGCTAGGTTCTCCCACGATTGTAAGCGGCCGGAGGTGGTCTCTAGGCTGACGGGAACTGTGGCCACCTTATCTAGCGGTGGCTGGTGGCTAGTGGCACTATGTGGCTCGAGAAAGGAAGTATTAGCGGATTTTCGGACGTATTCCGTCGTCCGTGTAGGTAGATGAAGTCTCGAGACCGAGACTGTGTCGAATTAGCTCGGAAGGGGCGGATGATGACACTGCTAATGACAGGGAGACGCATTAATGCACTATTGCGATGGATTGATTGACGGATTGCTCAATGAACTTCCCGCACGGGGACAGGCCCACGTGACCTGCGGCCGAGGTTGATGTTTCCGTCTGGCATTTCCCCGTACCAAGTTAATTAATCGTTGTCATTCTTTCATCCATCGGGCTAATTTACTGCCACAATCCACGCCTTTCGTCAGCTACCCCCGGAGTACTTCGAATTCTTCATGTGATCCGCATGCAATGTTGTATTTCCCAGGTTGCAAACGCTGAGATCGCCAGCCGCAGATGACTATTATTAACCTCATCCTGGATCGGTGGAGCACTGAATGGACCCCCGTAATCCAGTTCTCCATACCATTTGGGCCAATGAACGCCTAGGATACCGTCATAATCGCCATGCATCTCTGGGGTCTCTCCTCCTTCAAGCTACTGCGCTGCTTACTACCTATCATCTGATATGATCACACTCGCCTTCCACATGCGGATCGAATCTACGAAACATGAGGGTGTCTGTGCGGATCAATAAAAGATCTCCTTGGCCGCTCTATTCATGATTCATGTCTGTCTTTTGGTTTGAATTGACTTCCTGGCCCTTGTCGAACACTTCATTTCTCTTCAGAGAGAAACTACCTGAACTATTGATTCATTCCGTGCACTGCGACATACTCTGCAAGCGCACGGTGGCTTTCGAAGTGGTCTAATTGACCTCTTTAGTTGGCTTGGAATCGTTGGCTTCATGGACAATCAAAAGACAGCAAGCCCTCGTCCTCATGCCGCTCCCGAATACTGAACGCGTGGCGATTGTTGGAGGTGGCTGCACTGGAATCACCTGTTTCTGGGCTCTGCAAAATTCTATCCACGATGTTCATTTATTTGAAGCGTCCTCGGCCTTGGGCGGTCGCATCAGGGCTATTCCTTATGAGCATGACAAAAACCGAGTCGATGTAAACACGGAGTCTCCCTTGTTCCATGTTGAGAACTCACGTCAGTGTTATTCCACTGAATCATGTTTCGAAACTAACAGAGATACATAGCCAACCTTACTTCCATGCTTGGTCATCTTGGAGTTGCCACTTCCCCAGCGCCGTTCTTTTTCAACTCATCGGACGGTAGCAACACTTTTGAATGGGGCGGCAGCTTTCTCAAAAGCATCCTGCTCAAACCTTGGATATTGTGCAGTATTGAAACATATCGCCTCCTGGTTGACTTCGTCTGGCTAAAGTATTGGGCTTTGGATTCATTGACTTCTAAGTCTTGGGCTCTCCGTACTCCCGACTCTCAAGCCTCGCTCAGTACACAAGATTACCTCTCAAATGAGGGATATTCGAGCACTTTCTATGACGGCTACCTCTCGCCATTGTTCTCGACACTGTGGAAAACAAATGCGGGCAGATTTCTTCCGCAATTTCCTTTTGACGCTCTCATGCATTGTCTGAATGACTATCAAATCATTTCCCCGCGTCATACTGCATCTAGGTGGCAGCGCATAAACATGGGTGTACACCATTTTGTCAAATCAATGACCAGGGAATTCCCTTCTGCAAAGGTCCACCTCAAGACTAGGGTTCGCGAAGTATCCCCCGTTGGTAAAAAGGGATACATTCTCCTCACGTCTGACGCTCAGCCGATGTATTTCGATCATGTTGTTTTCGCTGTGGACAGCCAAGAAACATTGCAATTGCTCCATCCAAAGCTCAGTTCTGGAGAAAGAGAAATTATCCAAAGCTTCAAGACTGCTCAAAACGTCGCTGTCCTACACTCGGACGTGATGGTGCGTATTTCACTTATTCCTGCTTGATCGTGATCCTAAATTATCGGGCGCCTTTCTTTTGTCTGAACCACTGCTCATCGCTTCATTAGCTTTCACCCAGTGTATCTCGATCGTGGCCGGCACACGATTACATTATACCACAGAGCAGTCACAACCAGCATCATTGCTGCTCTACTTTGGAACCAGCGACCGGAAAATCGTCCCTCACACACAATGTAAATACTCTCCAAGATATCTCGACCTGTCTTTTTGGTCGTATCTTCATCACCTTGAACCCGTTCACTCCGCCACATCCTCATCTCGTTCAGGGGGTATGGGAATTCACGGACCCTGAACCCAACCCTGAGTACCTCTACGCACAAACCCAGTTACACTCCATCCAGAACAAGTGCGGACTCAGCTACGGTTTCCGCTGGACAGGTCGCGGCTTTCTGGAGGATTCAGTTACCGCTGGCCTGGAGATTGCGGTAGATCATTTGGGTGCTACGGTACCCTTCGAGGTTGACCATCGACATGCTTTGGATTCGTCGCCATTCTCCCTGGGCTTGGGCATATCAGAGCACATCGTTCGGTTGATTTTGGTTTCTTTCCGTGTCTGTTTCCAAATGCTTGAGCTTGGTTTGATTCTGCTGGGTACCTCCTTGTTGGCTTTCCCAAACATCAGGACCCTGATCAGGCGTTGGAACAAGGATAGAGCGTTCAGCCAGCTCTAAAGCCGATTTTTCCTTAGTATATATACTCGAATAGAAGAACAATAAAATCTACGAAACATCACATAAGCAAAGAAGCCGATGTAACAATCGAACCTGGTTGACATTAACATAAAACAGCTATGAAATTCGCCTTTCCGATACATGAAAACACCACCGACTCTCATCACACATGGTATACAAAGTCATTTGTTTGTGCTGAAGCTTTCTTTTTTGTTTTCTCTTTTCCCCTTAAGTGTTATAAGGGTATCGTTCAACTTCGATATCCCATAAAATAGAAATATAACTCGTTCTCCCATCGCACCATTACAGCAATCGATCGACCGAACAAAAGGTTCTTCTTCTCCTTAAAGGAACTTGTCACTATCCTGGTTCACGATCGTCGCACTTCTCTTCGCATCCAGGAACAGATCCTCGCATTCCGCGACGTCAGCCTCCTCGATGCCTCCCGGGCGTCCGTTGACGCGCGCAAGGATGCTGGCAGGAGTCAGCAGCTGCAGGGCATACCGCAGACTGACCTTGCTGCCGTGTTCGGAGACCTTCTCTAGGGCCGGGTCGGTGATGTTGATGCCTTCTGTCTTGGCGCGCAGACGGATGATCGTCTTGATTTCGTCGGGCGTGTACGGGTGCGTGGGGATGATGAGGAGACGGGCGAGAAGGTCGGAGGGGACGCCGTGCGCGGCGGTGACGTCTTCGGAGCCGCGGATGACCGTGTGGCCGCGGTTGGAGGCAAGGATGACAATGGGGGAGATGGTGGATTCGAGGGCTCGGTTCAGGTAGGTGAAGCATTCGAGGTCGAGCATGTGGACCTGAGAGGTAGCGACGGGTTAGTGGGGATTGATATAGGTGAGAAAGGGAAGTCCTTCTAAGCGACAGGTGCTTTGACACATACCTCATCGATGAAGAGCACACCGGGGACAAGTTCGGCAACGCCCTGGTCGATGTAGCGATTGACCACCTTGTTGATCTCCTGACGCAGCTTCTCCGTGATTTCGGTCTTCTTGGGCTTCATCAGTTGGCCCATCATGCTCATGACGTCCTGTCCGCCCTGTGGCCGGGCGTTGGCCATATCCAGATCATGTAGCGTCACATCCTGCACAATTTCCTTCTTCTTGTGGACCTCTCCCTTCGGAACAGGGACGTACTCTTCGGCTTCGAGATCGAATTCGGTGGCATAGGCGTCCGATCGGCCGACGCGCTTGCAAGCTCCGGTGTTCGCTTCAATGTAGATGACGTCTCCGACGGTGACTCGTTCCTTCTGGATAGCTTCGTAGATGCTGGGGTCCAGGCGCAGCTTCTTGGTACCCTTCGCGGACTTCAATCCGATGATCAAATGGGAGATTGTCCGACCGTAGCCTCCCAATGGGTTTTCGGTTTCTTCGGGCGTGAGTTCCGTCACTTCACCTTCGTACACTTCTTTCGTTTCACGGACTCGGAGACCTAAAGACATATTAGCCGATCCAATACATACGATCCCAAGTGGGTTCGGCATTGTCGCATACCGATCGCCCGTCGGAAGTTCTCCATCAGCGCCTCGGTCTTCTTCACCTCGGCGGAGTAAATCTCACTACCCACGATGGGACAGAACGGGACCTTGGTACCCAGTTCTTGCGACACGGCGAGGGCCAGGGCCGTCTTTCCAGTTCCGGGACCACCGGCCAGGAGAACGGCACGTCCAGCCATCTTCTTCGCTTTGATCAGGTCGACCACGACACCGCATGCCTAATACACAAGAAAAAGTACTGTTAGATGCCATGGAAGTCTTCAAATGCTGCGGAAGAAGAAAAGAAAGTTGCGCACCTCACGGGCAGCGGCCTGACCGATGAAACCATCTCCAGTCGTTTCGGCATTGCCATCGGAGCGCAATCCAAGACCCTTGATATGCGTGTGCGCGGCCGTTCTGTTCTCGCGCGAATTGCCCTTGACTTCGCTAATCTGAACCATGATGGAAGGATTGCGACCTCACTCGGAAGTCACAGGGTAGTAGGGTGATGAGCAACAAGACGACTGAGATTAGAAATTAAGCAAAGAACAGGTATCTGAAAGAGAGACGAAAAGGCAGACGACGTAGAGAGAAGCAGCAAGACGATGATTGCTTCTGGCCGAAATTCCGGCAAAGCTCAAGGGATCGATCAATGAAGCGATCCGTTGCCAAAGGCGGTCAGGCCGACCCCCAAATTCTTTCGCCAACACCAAAAGTTGATCTGCCCGAACTTCCAACACGATCTCCCTCTCCCTCTGTCGACCACCGCCTTAGGGATTGCGTTCCTATTTTCCCTTTTTCTTCTCGACCATTCTCCCTCCTGTCATGGTCGATTGCCCCGTATCGACCTCTTGATTCATCACAATGGCAGGATTGCAGTCTCGCTCGGCCATGTCTCTGCCGTTTTCCCTCTCTTCGGCATTTCGCAACCTCTCGTTGACGGCCTCGAAAAGATCGTTTTCCTCCACTCCCGTCGCGCAGAAGATCCCCAAGCTACCGGAATACATCCCTCCTTATCCCTATGGCCCGAACTACATGTACCGACAGTCGAATACCGGTCTCTACGGCGGCGTGACGATTCAATTCGGAAACAAGATCTCGCAGGGTCGGAATGAGGGGAAAACCCGCCGAGAGTGGAAGCCGAACGTTCGAAGGAAGAAGATCTACAGCGAGGCTCTGGACGAGCATCTGTTTATCAAGGTCACGCGGAAGGCCTTGCGGACGATCCACAAGTCCGGCGGACTCGACAAGTACCTGCTAGACGACCGGCCCGCGCGGATAAAGGAGCTGGGTCTCTTCGGATGGCGGTTGAGATGGCAGGTGATGCAGACGCCGAAGATCCAGGAGCAATTCCGACAAGAGCGAAAGAAGCTGGGTCTCCCCGAGCCCCCGACGTTTGAAGAGTGGGTGGCGCAGAAGGAGGCGGAGATCAAGGCCAAGGCGGAGGACCAGACCAACATCAAGGAAGCCACGAAGCCGATCTACAACAAGAAGCTGTACTAGATGCGAGAGGATCATGGAAAGGCGAGGGGGATGAACAATGGATTTGTCTTAATTTGCGGTGACCAATGGATGGGCGTCTGTATCATTATATCTGTTATGGTCGACAATGTCTCGCGCATACCACTTCGGACGTTGTCGGTAGCTGCTGAGTGACCATTCGGTTGCTCATTGATTTGACCAGACTTGCATGATTAGCTTTTCAGTGTATTTATATTTCCTTTCTTGTTCAATGCTACTACATTTGGGATACTACATCTACCCTCTCCTCTGTACTCCGTAGCGGGTTGCCCAGAAGCCATGTACAACATGACATGTCCCACGACATTGCTTCTAGAGACCCTGGACTTGTTGCAGCAAGCTTCTTACCAATGCTCTAAATTATACCAAATAATGTTCCGGAGTGTTCCCTCTAATCCTGAGACAACAACCAGGAACGTTGCCATCGGGCCATCGATGATCCGCAGTGAATTTCCGGATCCGGCAGAGCATCTAGTGCCGTTCCTGATGAACTCCAGATGAGCGGCGATAATAACTACCACTTTCTAGCATGCTCTGATCCAAGGACCGTTTCTTCATCAACGTTCAATAGCTCAGCAACTGGTCGCTGGGGGCGCGCAGTTCCGCCATGCAGTTTGCCCTACCTCCTCGGAAGAATGCCCATATTCTTCCCTACGCCCGCTCTCCCCGGATTTCGTTCCAGCGCAGGAAACAACTCAAAGCGGCCGCGATCCTAGGCTTCGCCCTTGTCCTTGTCTTCTTTCTTCTATCGCAGTTCTTCACCTCGAGTACCGGGACGACGGCCGTTCCGGCTGGCACCCCGAGCGTCGTCATCGTCACCCTACTAGACCGCGCGCTCTTCAGCAGCGAGTACATCCAGAAGATCGTCAAGAACAGAGAAGACTACGCCAAGCGACATGGTACATACACTCCCCCGGGGATACACACACCCATACAGAAACTAACAGACCCTCGCGCACAGGCTACGTGAACTTCTTCGCCAACCTCTCCGACTACGAGACCTCGCTCGACCATGCGCCGCGAAGCTGGGGCGTCGTCCCCGCCGTCCGCCACGCGATGGCCACCCATCCGCACTCGAACTACTTCTTCCACCTAGACGCTCACGCGCTATTCATGAATCCGACCAAGTCGCTCGAATCCAGCCTCCTTGACAACCGCCGGCTCGAGGCCCTCATGCGCAAAGACGTCCCCGTCGTGCCGCCCGACAGCATCATCAAGACCTTCTCGCACCTCAAGCCCCAGGACATTGACTTGATTGTTAGCACGGATAACGAGGACCTCAGCGCAGGGAGCTTCGTGGTTAAACAGGGGGATTTTGCGCGCTTCTTCCTTGATTTCTGGTTCGATCCGTTGTATCGCGGTTATAACTTTGCGAAGGCGGAGATACATGCTTTGGTAGGGGACCTCTTTGCAAGGAATATTGGGGACTATGGTGTACGTTCTCAAGATGCTAATGCTATCTCTTTTTCTGCAGGATCATATCGTCCAATGGCACCCTACTGTCCTGGCCCGGCTGGCCTTGATCCCCCAGCGTGTCATCAACTCTTATAGTAAAGACTCCTCCGGCGCGGCCGTGGATGGAACATACAAGGAAGGGGATCTAGTCCTCCGATTCTTTGGGTGCGACACGGATCCGAAACGAAACTGTGAGAAGGAGATGGAACCCTATTACCATCTGTGGGCGAAGAACTTGAAACCCGAGTGAGCTATGGATAGTATTCTGGTGTTCTTGGCTCGTGCCGACTTTATGACTTGTAAGACATTGTGTGTTTTCTATTTAATTGCTGGTTGTTCCCCTTGCGACGTCGGGTGGAGGTTTCCATGTTTTGGAGTTCACTGGGAAATGAACAGGGTGGAACGAGCTACTTTCCTTCTTGTTATCTTTGACTTTGGTGTTTTGGGAGCTTCTAGGGGGTTACGAAACGAGTTTCATATAGAGTATTGTTAGTCTGCGGCATAGTGTTCAATAATGAGTGCGTTAGATATTACTATTATCGCCAAAATACTTTTTAACAAGACACTCGTGGTTTGAATCGCGTTGCGCGTTGCTGATTCGTACTCGATATCAACAGACACAAGAGCCCGGTCAAGGCATTGTTGGTTTCACAGCTACCGCTATGAAGCCCAACGCCTATTGACAGGTCTCTGCAGCTATGAGCAAAGCGCCAGGGTGAACCCGTAGCCCCGTTCGCAAGCCCATGCATGGTCAACTTAGTTGTAGATGTGCAACTTCCCATATCTGGCCAGCACCACATCTTCACAAGAGACATTGTCTCGGCCGTTTAAATGAGACCGGGAAGCATGACAAACTTCTTGTTCTTGTACTTGTCGCCGAACTCCTTGCGGTAGCGACGTTCCTTCTTCTTGGCCCAGCTGATCATCTGCGCACCGCCAACCAGGATAAAGAACAGCACACTCCAGCTCATTCCGCTGACCAGGTAAACACCCAGCCAGGCGATCACTTCGAACAGGTAGTTGGGGCAAGTCACGAGACCGAATCCCAGACCGACAGGAATACCGCGCTCCGTGCTACCGGGGCGGCGGAGATCACGCAGAATCAGGTGCGCGTTGAAGTTGGCCAGTTCACCGAAGACGAACAGCGCGAGTCCCGGGTAGAAGAGGTACGGGTTAGGGTGGCTCGTCATGGAGGCGGCGTCGGGACGGAAGACCCAGTAGGCGATGTTGAAGCCGGCCAAGATCCAGTAGTGAGCGCTGTTCTTGACGATGTTGCGGGCCGGCATGGTGGCATTGCTGAAGCGGTGAACGTAGACGGTTTCGAACTCGCGCTTCAAGAAATGGACCGTCAGGAGCTCGCAGACGAAGAGCTGCAGGCTGGATCGTTCGGGCAGAGGCTGGTCGAAGTTGTAGTAGATCAACGATCGCAGCGGGTAAAGGAAGAGGATCGGGATGAGCAGAGGTCCAAGGTACTCGATGATGAACACGGTGCGCCAGCTGATCTGGGGGCCTGTACGATTGCGATAAAGGTACTGGTTAGCTTTTCTGTTCTTTTCCGTCTGGCTCTAGTCTTTGCTGAGTGTCGATTCTCGTCCACATACCAAGATCCTTGACATGGATAACGCTCTTGTCCTTCAATCCCAGATCATCGATAATGGTGTTGCGCGAATTGGGCACAACACTGCGGTCGCTTCCCTTGGTGATCCTCAGGCGATGGATAGAGAAGCCTGAGGTTTGCGCGAGCGAGTCGTAGATCCCGGCCGTTGAGACATTGGAGGCGATTTCGAGCTCACTGGGAAGACCCTTGATTGGCTTTCCTACTCGCCAGGTAGGTCAGTATGTGCGAAACCAATTCTTGGGTAAAGGAAAGAATCATACCTCGTGGCTGAACAACCAATGTAATGGTTGCCGACGACATTGCAATCGAGGCCTGAAATAGATTCTCTTATTATTATTTTTTGTTGCAAGGGTTCTGAGTAGTGGGTGGTCGCTTTTCCCCGATAGAGGTAAGAAGCAGTAATATTTTTCCAGCCACCGATAAGCTGACCCAAGAACCAAGAGGGCGTCAAGAGGGGAAGACGGGCTAATGGAAGAGCTCAAAACACGAGGCAATTCTTGAGGACCAACGCGGAGGAATCGGGATGGGGGCCTCGGTCCACGACAGTCACGTGATCTCAACGTTTCCACGGAGGATATTCTGGAGTGATGTTCGCCCTATGGAGGTAGGTATACCGTATGACAGACATCTAGATGCTCGTGGTTTGAAACATGAGATAATGCATTGGGATACAAGTTGCGTTTCGCCACCTTGAGCGATCATGCTTAATGTCCTTTGTGCTGACACTGAGCTTAGCGCATGCAGTCAGCTGCGCATGAGTAGCTCCGAGTCCGTGGGAATACGAGTCTCGTCGGTTTTCTCCGAGTCTAGGTATATCAGACGTGTTTTGATTCGATCGGCGAATTTGGTTTGGTTTTGGGCTTGATCGTTCGAAATTTTGTTCCAGACTCTCGGTCATAAAGAAAAGCATTCAGCGGTGGAGAGAAAATAATATATTTCTCGACATAGTACGACCTACTATATCGGGAGCCAGCACGAGTATGGCTGGCCAGAAACGTTGATTCTATGTCGATGAATATGATAGCCACTCTGCAGTCCTACCATGGTAACAAGGGGGCACTGATTCACCTCGTGCATGGCTCTCCTATCCTGAGATCTACACAGGAAGGGAAGGAACATTAGGGTCCCAAGCTAATCGTTCGTACGGAGTGTACTCGCCTAGTTCGCCTGGAGGCCAATCGTTTTATTATTCCAATTCTCCGGCCAAGATTATAAATTTGGAATTATCTCTAGTGGCCAATTAACAGTTTCATGATTATTATTAAATTATGGTGCCATGATTTTCATCATCCTTGAACATTCATATTAATATAATCTCTAGTAAAGACTGCGAAGTACTTGGGCCTTACGGTACCAGTAAATACGGACCCGGTATCCACCGCATCATCGACTTCTCCTCTTTTCTCTCCTCTTTTCTCTCCTCTTCCTCAATCCGAGTCCAGGGCTGCGAGAAAGTGATGGGAAGCCTCAATTGACCCCCTTGTCATAATCTCGCTAATGATAATGATGACAATGGTGCAGAATTGCCACTGCAAGACTTTTCAAATCAATCGGGCTCATCCTTGTCTTGATTCAGCTGGCCTGTAGCAGCCGAAGGCACGTATAAGTCTTAAGTGGATATCAGAGAATGCAAATCCCCATATGCCAGCCAGCCATTATGAGATATCAGCTGCCATTGATGCAATAGAAAACGCAATAACCGTGGTTTCTTTCTTCCGATTACTGAATTGCGGGGAACGGGCTAGCATTCCATCAAATTCCTGAGTCTGGTCGATCAGCTCCGGCCGGTTTGCTGGCTAGGGATGCTTGGAGATGCTGTCAACCCTCCGGGCCTAAGCACGAATCAAATTGCCCTTCTTACAAAAACACCCGTCAGTGGGGCACCCCTCGTCAGGTGGATACAGTTCACGCGAGCTTATCGATAGGCTCGCTTGAGCCGTTTCATAATGTGGGTCCGCCAAGGCTTGATTTATAAGCAGAACGATTCGCGCGACCTTAAATATCTTACAGTAATCCGCTTTCCATGAAAAATTCAACTTTCTTTCTTATTTCTTCACCACTCCCTATTCCGGTCCGTCAAGCGCTTCTTAAGCGATTACAAAGTACTTTCTTACAAGTCATACTATGGATTCTACTGCAGATCCCTTGAATGAAGTAATCGATGTGGATGCTTTGACTACAGTAGGGAAAACTCCCAAGCTTGCCGGCGCTTGGTAACCGCTTACTAAGTGCTTATAGGAACCCGAAGATGACATTCCAATTCCGTTGACTCATGCGAAAACAAAGCCTCTTACTACACTAAAGGTTGAATATATTGATGATCTTCCTGAATACCCTCAATCTCATTTGCAAGGATATTCATATATTGTTGCATCAAGAGGAAGATCATATGATGTGCTTTATTGAAGAAAGAAAGAAGGGGGGGGGTCGAAGAAGGTGGGTTGAATACGAAGGTAAGGTGGTGTAAGAGGTCGTGCGAATTGAAAAGAAAAAATTTGGTGGTGCGAACGTCACGTGACCAAATCCTGCTTAATAAGCGTTTTCGGCTCGCGGGACCCACTTTCAAGAGGTCAGGTCAGCTGCAACCACCTCGTCAGGATGCATACGAGCAAAAAAGGCGGAATAATAATGCTCAAAGTACGTCTGGAAACGGCATGGGTGGCTGGGCAGTCTAGGGGTGGCATGAACAGCATTTCACCCCTCAAGGTCAGGTCTGTCTGTCTCCGAGAATTTTGCCTCTGTAGATTGGATGAGAGAATTTTTTTTTCTGTTCAGCCGCAGTAGGCTTACCTCAAATCACGCAAGGTCTACTTCGTATAAAACCCTGTCTGGCCGTTATCTTTCATCATCATATTGTCCATTCCCAACCCCTTTGGCTCCTACAGACAACCCTTGGTTCTTGTATTGGCACTGGCTGGGAGCCCGAATAATTGACTTTCCCCCACCTGTTGTTCATATGCTTCTGACGCACGCCTGTTTTTAGGTTTCCGGTGATTTGTATAGTATAGCATAGGCTTTGACAGAACCTACTATTTTGATTGCGTTCTTTGCAGCTTGTCTGTTGTCCTGCTTGCTCTGCCGGATTCCTGGGTATCTCATTATATTCCTTGATTCCGCTATTGGAAGATCGACTAGCGCCGACAGTCCTATCGCCATATATATATATCCTGTCTTGCATTTTCCGCGCCTCGGCCCACAATGGCTGAGTTGAATGGCAATTCAACCATGAACGGGGTTGGCCAATCTATCCAGCAGATCGAGAAGGTCATCTCTGCATCGTTGCGGCCATTGCCTACTGAAACAGGGGATGGCACATATGTGACTTCGGCAACCAAAACGCGCCTTGTCGAGGATATCAGCCGTCTCGATCTCGGCGATTTCAAGACCATTGCGAATGTTGCGAAGAGTGCTGCCACGGGTGAGCCGCTTGACGATAAGCGTTATATCACGGAGAAGTTGATACAGGTCAGCTCGACTCTCATCCAGTGGATGAATTCTGTACTAAACCAGCCCCTAGCTTGTTGCTGGACTGCCCTCGACATCTCGAACAGGGAGCGAATTGACGAACAACTTTCTCAATCAATTGTGGAATGATTTGGAACATCCACCAATCTCGTAAGTTGGACCCTGATTCACGACTCGTGGTGGAAGCAACGAATTGACCAAATTATACAGCTATCTGGGCCGTGATCATGCGTACCGCGAGGCTGATGGTTCAGGGAATGTATGTCCCTTGACACTCTTGAGCTAACAAAAGGGCACTCACTAATCAATCGCAAAGAACATACTCTGGCCCCAGATTGGAGCTGCTGGCTCCCATTACGCAAGATCTGTGAGGCCTCAGACAATGCAGTCCCCCGCGCTCCCCGATCCTGAATCCCTCTTTGATTCCCTCCTCGCGCGAAAGGACTTCAAAGAGCACCCGAACAAGATTTCCAGCATTTTGTTCTATATAGCGTCCATTATAATTCATGGTAGGTTCCAGTTGAGATTTTACTGTTATCAGTTCTGCCGCTGATGAGAACGAAGATCTGTTTCAGACGGATCGTAATGATGGAACAACATCTGTCACATCGTCGTATCTGGATCTCGCACCACTGTATGGCAACAACTCAGACGAGCAACGTCTTGTCCGAACATTCAAGGACGGAAAGTTGAAACCGGATTGCTTCTCCTCGCGGCGCGCACTGGGCTTTCCCCCAGGTGTTTGTGTGATTCTGATCATGTTCAACCGTTTCCACAACCACGTGGTTGAAGAATTGGCCTCGATCAATGAAAACGGTCGATTTACAAAACCGGACGAATTGAATGTCAAGGAGTATGCAAAGTACGACAACGACCTGTTCCAGACTGGACGACTTGTTACCTGTGGATTATACGTCAACATCATTCTCAAAGACTACGTTCGAACGATCCTGAATATCAATCGCATTGACAGCGCCTGGAGCTTGGATCCTCGCGCGGAAATCAAAGACGGCCTGCTTGGACAGGCAGCTGCTCGAGCTACAGGCAACCAGATATCTGCCGAGTTCAATCTTGTCTATCGTTGGCATTCTTGCATATCCAAGCGCGATGAGAAATGGACACAAGATTTGTATAGCAAGATATTCCCCGGAAGGGACCCCAACAATATCCCACTGCAAGAATTCGTCCGAGGTCTTGGTAAATGGGACGCAGAAATGTCGGATCAACCGAATGAGCGCGAGTTTGCTGGACTGCAGCGCAATGCGAATGGAAGTTTTGATGATGATGCTTTGGTCGAGATCTTCAGGCAAAGTGTAGAGGACTGCGCAGGCGCATTCGGAGCATCCAATGTTCCAACCGTCTTCAGAAGTGTGGAAGCGCTTGGAATCATGCAAGCCCGTTCCTGGAATTTGGCCACTTTGAACGAGCTTCGGAAATATTTCAACCTGGCTGCTCACAAGACGTTCGAAGACATCAACCCGAATCCCTACATCGCTGATCAATTGAGGCGGCTGTATGACCACCCCGATCTCGTTGAAATATACCCTGGTGTCATTGTTGAGGATACGAAGGAACCGATGGTACCCGGCAGCGGCCTTTGCACCAATTTCACAACATCAAGGGTCATTCTCTCCGATGCAGTGGCATTAGTACGTGGCGATCGATTTTACACGGTTGATTACACACCAAAACACCTGACCAACTGGGCTTTCAAAGAAATCCAGCCACAAGACTCTGTTGACCAAGGTCATGTCTTCTACAAATTGGTGCTGCGGGCATTTCCTAATCACTTCAGAGGAGATTCTATCTATGCGCACTTTCCTATGGTCATTCCATCCGAGAACAAGCAGATCTTGACAAAGCTCGGATTTGCTGAACAATACAGTTGGGACAGTCCCATATTTGTTCCTCATCCTCGATTCATCAATTCCCATTCTGCATGCATGTCGATCCTATTGAACCAAGAGACATTCAAAGTGACCTGGGGCGAGAAGATTGAATTCCTCATGCGGCGCGGTAATCATCCGTATGGCAAAAATTTCATGCTGTCTGGGGATGATGCACCAAATGCGTCGTCGCGTAAGATGATGGGAGCAGCTTTATACCGAACGAGATGGGAGGAGGAGGTGAAAGACTTCTATGAGCAGATTACTTTGAAGCTCTTGCACAAAAACTCCTACAAGATCGCCGGCGTCAACCAGGTCGATTTCGTACGTGATATTGCAAACATTGCTCAGGTGCACTTCTGTGCGACCGTTTTCTCGTTACCCTTGAAAACTGACGCCAATCCCCGGGGAGTTTTCACGGAAGTTGAGCTCTATAAAATCATGGCAGTTGTTTTCATTGCTATCTTCAATGATGCTGATGTTGCGAAGTCATTCGAGTTGAACCAGACAGCTCGAGCGATGACCCAGCAGCTTGGACAGTTGACTATGGCCAATGTGGAGTTTGTGGCCAAATCTGGCTTTATCGCTAATCTGGTCCATAGTCTCCATCGCCATGACGCTTTGACTGACTACGGTGTCCATATGATCCAACGTCTGCTAGCCAGTGGTCTTCCCGCGGACGAGATCGTATGGACTCATCTATTGCCAACTGCTGGTGGCATGGTGGCAAACCAAGGACAACTCATCTCTCAGTGTCTTGACTATTATCTTTCTGAGGAAGGTTCGATTCATTTACCCGACATAAATCGACTCGCCAAGGAAGATACGCCAAAGGCCGATAGTATTTTGCTCCGCTAGTAAGAACAATCATCCCTCCCTCCGAACCCTAAGCTGTTCCGAATTGGCTTACTAACCCTGTCCTTTCTTTTCTTCACGACAGTTTCATGGAAGGTGCTCGCCTGGGGTCATCTGTTGGTGTATTTCGAATGGCAGCCAAGTCCGCCGTCGTCGAGGACAGCGGAGAGAAGGTGAACTTGAAGCCAGGACAGCACGTACTCTGCAACTTGGTAAGTAAACCCATTCCACGGAACCACGTCTGGGTTGTTGCATGCAATGTTACTGACATTCGGTATCTTACACAGGTATCTGCGTCGAAGGATCCTGCTGCTTTCCCGGAACCGGAGAAAGTCAGACTCGATCGTGACATGAATCTCTATGCCCACTTTGGCTTCGGAGCGCACCAATGCCTTGGAATCGGACTCTGCAAGCTGGCACTTACGACGATGCTCAAGGTGGTCGGGCGCCTCGACAATCTTCGCCGGGCACCCGGGCCTCAAGGGCGACTCCAAAAGCTCCCAGGACCTGGTGGGATTTCCAAACACCTGACAGCAGACCAGAGTGGATTTTCGCCCTTCCCAACCACCATGAAAATTCAGTGGGACGGAGAGCTGCCCGAGCTTAGAGTGAAGCAGTAGCCGGTGCTACGGAGTACACAGTAGCTACTACACATTAGGAGGATGAATCGAGGGCATGTATGTATGGGTAGTGACAAGTTTGGCTTGGGGGATGAAATTTTTTTTCTCGTTTCCCCTTTGTTTCTTTCTTTTTTGAGTTGACTGACAGTATTCACCCTGTGAAATACCTGGAAAGACTGTGTACGCTGTACTACGTGTAATATGGGGCGTGTGTTGAAGGTGGATCAGATTCGGCTGCGGTGAATGAAATATCTTGTCTTTAGTGAAGGATTCCCACCCTCTGATGTCATCCTTCTGTCAAGGTCTCAGGTCTCGACTCTCGCAACATCAGGAAGTAATCAGCCGGTCGCATGCCGGTCAGGGACGCATCCCCATGTAACGACACATATGAACTATCATCTTGGGTAGAGACTGTAGAGCATCCACACGTAATTGCCTAGGAAATAGTCGGTCACTGCCAGTATGTACATACTACATTATATTTATGGGATTGGGCATCACGGGGAATACCTCGGCGGGGAAAAGAGACTTCCCTCTGCTCCATAACCCTGTATTGTCCAGAAGTGAATCCCATTGCCAACCGGAATTTCTCATCTACAAGCCGGAAGTTCATAGTTACTAGGTAATAATTAGGAAGGTAACTACCAAAAGGCAGGGCTGACCTAGAAGTTCGGCGGGGGAGAAGACCCGCTCCGGCAGCAGCTCCCAGAGTCTTAGTGAGCCACAACCGCGACCCAAAAACGACCAGAAGCCGCCCGGAGCTCCATCCCATTTCATCGGGATAATTTCACGAACCTTCCAACTGATCCCATTTCCTCTTCCTCTTCCCGCTCTCTCATCTTCCTCTTCCATCCATCTCTTCCACTCCTCCCTTTTCACCTCCCCCACCATCCACGCCTGATTTTTACTGACTCCCCTTCCCCTCTTTTTGATCCAGCTTGGCTGTTGAAGCTTCAGGGTTGACGACCTGCACCCGTTTTCCCTGTCTCTTTTGGCCCCAGCGGTAACTGTTAGGTGAAGCCGCATCTTTCGATCCGCCCTCCGTCTGACCTCATTTGTCCTAACCCATCCCAGAGGGCGAAAATTCTTCTTGTACTCCCCTCGATTCTAATCTAGGTCATTTTCACACTCCTTTATCTACTCACTCGACGGTCGCTTTTGCCCGATCGGTCATCTATCCAACTCTCCCCTCTCATTTCCGCTCGTTAGGTTTTCGCTGAAGGAGAGCCGCCAAAAACGTCATACGGCTCACTCGCGACACTCCGCGACTCGGTCCTGACGACCTCCCCACCCTCACTAGGAGGAATCCTCCTGGACACTTTTTCTTCCTTTCTACTTGATGATCTAATGTCTTTTTGAGTGTCATAATGGGGAGAATTAAGAAGGTGGCCAGCCAAAAACACGAGGCTACGATCGTAAGTTTGTCCATCCTGCTCCCCCACCTCTCAGCATTGGATTTGCAATCGAACTAAAAATTTTTTCCCTTTTCTTTCACTTGATAGTCACCCTACCTGGCGGAATTCGTATCTCGTGCCACGACTATCCCGGTCCCCGAGCTTGCCTCCCACCTCCGCACTTTTCCGCGGCTATGGCCTTTCCCTAGAGGAGACCTGTATCATTGGATCAATGTTCTGAATCGCTTCGACGAAATCTTGGCCTCGGTCATCGAAAAGTACGAACTCAACAATGGACCTCAAACAAAACCCTTCGGTAGAATTGTTCTCGTCGAGGCTTATGCCGGTAACGAAAGTAACGCGGGTTCCGGGGATGTTGATTCTCGACTGAATACTCTTGGGTACGGTCCGGATGGCGATAGAGAACTTCTTGAAGTCGTGCTTGATTTTTCTAGACTCCTATTGGAGAAGTGTGGCAACCGCAGCCTCTACAGTAGCAGTGAACGCCTTGGGGAACTTCTGAATACCACCTCGCTGTCCCTCTTACAGTCCACGCTGCGTCTGTCCCTCTCGTTGGCCCAACGATATCATTTCAGGCAACGCGGCGGCTCTCATCTCCAACAGAGCTTGCTAGCAGCCCATTTTAATATCGATTTGGAGAAAATGCAGAAGATTGCCGCACCGTTCCCTCGCCCTTCTGCGCCCGCCTCCGGTAAAGTCACGACGGTGTCATCACCGGCTCTGGCAACCAAGGGCAAAGAGAAAGGCCCGCAAACGAAGTACGATGCCAACGATCTAGTGTCTCTCACTCGAGAAAATGACGGTTGGGAGGAATGGGGCCATGTGCACCAGCTTTATTACCCGTCCGGTTCTTCTGAGCAGGTGAAGACGACATCGGAAAGTGCTCAAGGCGGGGCGGCACCAACGCAAACTCCTACGACCCCGACGCCTCTGCGCAGGAGTCACACCCACCCCACCCCACGCCTGAGTCGCTCGTCGATCATTGATGACTCTCCCAGCTCGGTAGCCAATACTCCCGGAAAATCCGAAGAAGCGCCGCGAGGTGGTAAAACTCTCGATATCCCCTATTCGAAGATTTCTTCGCCCTCGAATACCGAGGATATCCTTGCGTCGCATTTGGAGGAACTACCGGAAGACTCGAAATATGAGCTCCTTCACCGGCTTCGAACAGCTCGAGGATTGACAACGTCTGACTCCACCCGGGAGCAGATTCTTGCAATTAGGATCCTTGCGATCACGAATTTGGCTTACGTCTATCCCGAGTCGTTGTTCCAACATAAAATCCTCCAGTATGATATGGAACTGCCGAAGCGTCTCCAGATTGCCTACCAGCTGGGTGAATTGGTCCATCTCGGTGCAAGTGGCGATCTCAGGGTTTCGCGGTCGCTCCAGACGCTGGCTCTTATGGCTCTTGACTCGTTAGCCAAACATAAAGCACGCGCGATTGACGTTTGTGCGGCACTGAGTGTCAACGTAAATCACGGTGTTCTTATGTTCTTGACCCGCAAAGCAGTCAATGAGCTAGGATCTGACGACAACGAAGGGAATGATGGCAGCCAAGATGAATGGCGGGATGCTTTGCTTTCTCTCCTGCGAACGCTTCCTGGCTCTAGCTCCAGAACCCCGGAGACTCTAGTCTCGGCTGGTTTGATACCTATGTTTGTCGATGTTCTGAACTTGCGTACGGAGAAAGCGCGCCGGGTTTACTCTCGCGTCATGGAGTTCCTCGACACTTTTGTTCACACAGTGCGTGATGCCCTCGGCACGCTTACTAGTGCAAAGGGATTCGACGCTATCTCAGACCTGATTGACTACGAAACAAAGACGTCTTTCGAAAACGTATCCCGCGGCGCGGGGATCCCCTCGCAACACAAAACGCCGTCTATTGATTACCAGATTCCGTACTTCCAGCAGCAGACGCTTCGGTGGATGTTTAGATTCGTGAATCACATAATGCAGCATAACGGCGGGGGTTTCGATCGAATCCTCCGAAACCTCATCGACTCGCCTCAGCTCCTTACATCTCTCCGATTGGTGTTTGAACATGCGCGCATCTTCGGTTCTCACGTCTGGAGCAATGCGGTCAACATCCTCAGCAGCTTCATTCATAACGAGCCTACCAGTTACGCTGTCATTGCCGAGGCTGGGTTGAGTAAGAGCTTCTTAGAGGCCGTGACTCTTCAGGAGCTCAAGAACCCCGAGAAGCCGCCCATTCCACCAGAGGACGCTGAGGCCGAGGCCGAGCCTTCTTCTGAACCGTCAACATCAAATGCTCCAGCTGGTCCCTCTGCGGGCTCGGAGCAAAAGCCTCGTGAGTACGAAATTGCGAGACCCCGGGATGCTAAGTTGGCCCCTGGTATTATGCCAGCCGCAGAAGCTTTGTCCTGTGTCCCGTCAGGGTTCGGGGCTATCTGCTTAAACGCCTCTGGACTGGAACTATTCCAATCATCCCATGCCTTGGAGAGCTTCTTCGAAATTTTCGAAAGCCCCGAGCATGTGAAGTGCTTGAAGGATGATCCCAACTTGGTCCGTTCACTGGGTACTACATTTGATGAGTTAGTGCGTCATCATCCAGCGCTGAAGTCGTCCATTATGAGTGCCGTGATTGTGATGGTCGCACGCGTGGGTCTTTTGGCTAGAAGTAAGGCCTGGACAGAAGGTGCCGGAGCTAAGTTGTGGACGGAAGACTCACAGGGGAAACCGGTCGTTTCAGGACCCTTCAGTCATCTTTACAGAAAGATTGGTGCCCCCATGACAGACGACGCAATCAGTGGACCTGACCTTGGAGTTCGTGGTCTTAAGTCCAATTCCCTTCCCGATGGCAGCAAGTTGACTATGCAGAATGTGGACCAGGTTCTTCCGTCCGGTCAGAATGTTGAACCGAAGGATCAAGATGCCCACGGACTAACGGCGACCGATTATCTCTATCCTGTCTTGAGGTTCTTGGGTGCTTTTTTTGAAAATCAAACCAACTGCTCGCATTTTATTGAATCTGGTGGCGTGGAATTCATTCTTGATTTTGCGACGCTGCAAAGTCTTCCCTTTGATTTCCACAATACCGATGCCAACCAAGAGCTTACTGTCTTGGTGCATATGCTGGCAGAAACAAAGCCTCATCTCGTCGTCCCCGGACTTGTTGATCGCCTTGACTCAATTGTCGAAATGCTCTCCGGTTTCTGGCGCTTATCTGGACCCAGGGAATCTGGCTTTTTCTCGCCGCTGATCAAGCCTGCTTCTGAAAAGGCCCCCGATGCCGAAAACGATGAAGCCTCGAAACTGGCCAAGCGCAATGGAACGTATTATGCGAAACATATGGTTGCTGCTCTTATTTTGACGGATCTGCTCCGTGAGGTCTTTTCCATGCCCCTGTATCAGACTCGCCCAAGTCAGCAAACCTCGACCTTTTCGCAGGTCAATTTGGCCGACCGTTGGTGCTCTCTTGTTTCCAAGCTGGGTGGTCTGCATGCGGCCTGTGTGTGGGAGGAGATTCTGTTGGCGAAGAACATCCCAGACACCTGGGACCGAGCAACCAAGGTGCAATCAAACAGCCCAGGCTCCGAACGTCCTAGTGATCCTATGGCGCCTGTGAACGTGGACGGCACGCCCAGCGCGACCGCAGAAAACTCCCAAGAAGACCCGACCACCACTGATGCCGCTGCGACCGCTCCGACGAGATCCAGCCAGGAGCCAAAGGATGGTCCCGCCAAATCCCCCGAAGGTGGCATGGCTTTCAAGAACGTCCAAGCGCTTCGATATCTCCTGAGCTCATTGCCATCATCAACCACGGGCTTTTTCCATAATTTGGGTCTTGGTTTGCTCGGAAAAAGGAGAATCGATTCATATCAAAGACAAAATGCGACAATGGTGGCTGAGGCTATTGCTGAGGCCGTGATCGAACAACTCAAACTTAGCCCCCCTAACTCGAGTGCTAACCCTAAGCTTCGATTCGCCTACCTCATCGTCATTCTTTCTTCTTTCACTCACCTGCTCTTTGAAGGTACGTGTTTTATGCTTCCCCTCAAGCCTCTGTTTGATCCAAGATCCTAATTTTTGTTGCAGTCACAGCGGATCGCCCTCACTCGCACTACCTTACGTTGGTCCTCTTTGCGTTTAAGAGAAGCCAAGGCCTGAAACTCTTGAAAGAAATATGCGATACTTTCATGCGGGAGGTTAAGGCCTTAAGCCCACCTGCCTCTGTTCCCGAAACTGAGAACGATGTCTCCGCTCGGCTCACTTCCGCTTACGGCGGCATTAAAATCATCCTTGGCTTCTTCTCTGAGCTTGCTTCCGGAAAGAATATCGTTGATTCTAGTCAGACCCAGGCCATGACAAGCAGTGATCGAGAACGTGATCGGCCTGATTATTTCCAGCCGGGACAGTTCCTCGTGGATCTTCGCATGGAGATTCTTCCGATGGCCAAGGAAATGTGGAATTCTGACTTCGCGACCCAGTCGTCCAGCTCCGTCATAAAATGTCTCATCGATATTCTTCGATCCTCACTGGATGGTGAATACGAAACAGGGGCTGCTCGCCGCGCCGATACCCCTCCGGCCTTGATAGAAGTGTCGAAGAGGACTTTCCTGGTTAACAATGACCGCGTTAGTTCACTGCAGGAGAAAGGATTTGATGATCTCGATCTCGTCAAGGAGGCCATGTACCGCTGCAATAACTCGATTCTTGCTGCTGAAGAATACTGCAGAGCACAGAACTGGTTGCTGCCACCACCAAGGATGACGCCTCCCCCCAACGACATTGAGTCGGTTCGCTCCAGCACTGCCGGTGGAGAGCCTTCAGAGGACTCGGCTGTCGGAGATGCACCGCCGTTTGACAGCAGTATCCTTGAGCGTTCTGCTCTTGCCATGCTCCTGGCGCAAGCGTCGGGTCGAACGGATGACGGTTCTCGTCAGGATCAGAATCAAGGAGGAGCAGAGGATAGTCAAGTCAGACACGGTACTGAATTCTTAGCACGAGCTTTGACCAATATTCTTAATGATGAGCATGGCGCAGGTGACAACGATCGAGACGAGCCCTCGGGCAGTAGCGCTCGCACCCCTGGGCATGCCGCTGGAGAGCCCTCGGAATCGCCGAATAATGCTGCTAATCAGTCCTCGGAGCAACAGGCAGAGCAACCTTTACGACGCCGTGAGGTTACCACAGTTGAGGATTTGGATGTAGAGCGCGAGAAAGTCCGCTCGAATCTGATTGAGCGTTGTCTAGACATCTTAAATGAGCACCATGACGTATCATTTGAATTGGCTGACCTCATTGCTTCTGCTACTAAGAAGCACCGGGACCCTGAATCTTTCCGCAGGGACGTTGGTGAGATTCTGGTTCAGTCGTTGGTTTCGCTGCAGATGGAGAACTTCCAAGCATCCGGCAAAAAGGTAGCTGCTTACGCCCATCTCCTTGCCCTGGTGGTCCAAGACAGGGAAATGTACAATGCGACGCTGGGAGAAATCAAGGAATGCTTCACCACTTTCCTCGGGTTTATCAAATTGTCACCCGAAAGTACGGCCTCGTCGGAAAAGTCATCCGATGAGTCACTCCCATGGATCGGGCATGTACTTCTCATCCTTGAGAAGTTGCTTTCTGATGACACACAGCCTCCTCAGATTCAATGGAGCTTGCCAGATAGCAATAATCCTAACGGTCAGGATGACGGCCCCGCTCATCTGGAGGAACCTCTTGTTTCTCGGGACCAGAAAGAAATGCTGTTTGAGGCACTGGTTGAAATTCTTCCTAAGATTGGAAAGGACGATACCCTAGCCCTCTCCGTGTCTCGTATTCTTGTCATTCTTACTCGCGATCGCAAAATCGCGTCCCGCTTAGGTGAAAAGCGCAGCTTGCAGCGTCTCTTCGTTATGGTCAAACAGCTATCGAGCGCGACAAATGACAAACTCCAAGGTGCTTTCATGCTGATTTTGAGACACATCATCGAAGACGAAGACACTATTCGGCAAATCATGCGAAGCGAGATTGTCGCCAACTTCGAGTCTAAGTCATCCCGCCAGATTGACACTACGGGCTTTGTGCGACAAATGTATCATCTCGTCCTGAGATCGCCTGAGTTGTTTGTGGAAGTGTCCAATGAAAAGCTCAAATTGCAACGATATGACAGCCGACAACGCCCGCAGGTCCTTACTCTAAAGGCCGACAAGAACAGTGGCGCACCTGCGCCTGCATCAACTCAACAGGGAGCGCAAAGTGCACCCCGCACCGGCGAAGACTCGGCAGGCGACGTGCCATCCGAAGATAAAGATAAGGGCAAGAATGTGGACTTGAAGGCCCCTGTTGTGGAGAACCCGGACGGTGTTATTCATTACCTTCTCTCCGAACTCCTGTCCTACAAAGACGTAGATGACAAGGAGCCTTCAACCGAAGCTGGAGACTCTGCAGCTCCAGAGCAAACAGAGAGTCAGACCGACGTGGAGATGTCAACTGAAGAACCCTCGCCGTCTGTGTCTACTACCGATCTGCAGGCTACGCGCAACGCTAAGAAATCAGACAAACCAGCATTTAAAGCGGATGACCACCCGATCTATATCTACCGATGCTTCCTCTTGCAGTGCTTGACTGAGCTCCTTTCGTCGTACAACCGCACGAAGGTTGAATTCATCAATTTCTCCCGCAAAGCAGACCCTCTTGCTACTACCCCATCGAAGCCACGCTCGGGAATATTGAACTACCTTCTGAACGCTCTGGTTCCTATTGGTACCATGGATCATGACGAATCTGTTGCTTTTAAGAAGCGTAGTAACACTTCCTCCTGGACTATGCGTGTTCTTGTTGCTCTATGCACCAAGACCGGTGAGTTTGGCGGCACCGGCAGACGCCGCGAACAAAATATGAACGAAGAAGATGAACCTGAGCTTGCTTTTGTGCGACGATTCGTCTTGGAGCATGCGCTGCGAGCATACAAGGAAGCCAACACGTCAAATGAGCCCCTTGACGCCAAGTATTCTCGGTTAATGTCGTTGGCCGATCTGTTCGACAAAATGCTTAGCGGCTATGCCTTTGTTTCCGGAGATACTGCTTTCCCGTCGTCTACCCGACAACTCGCCAGAACCATGTTTGAAAAGAATTTCATTGCTGCTCTGACTGCGTCGGTTGCCGAAATTGATCTCAACTTCCCCGCATCCAAACGCGTCATCAAGTACATCCTCCGTCCGCTTAACAAACTTACACAGACTGCCGTGGTCTTGAGCGAGACCTCGGACATCTCTACTGTTGGAGATGCAGAAGAGGATGAGATCTCGTCAGCTACCTCGGTTTCCGACATGGACGATGAGCGCGAAGAGACGCCTGACCTATTCCGCCATTCTACCCTTGGTATGTTGGAGCCTCGTCACGAAGAAGAGACCAGCGAGGAAGAGTCCGAGGAAGAGGACGATGAAATGTATGATGATGAATATGGCGATGAAATGGACTACGATGAGGATCTTCCAGAGGACGATGGCGAGGTGGTCAGTGACGAAGAAGACGAGATCGATGGCGTCGGGCCCGTCGAAGGGCTCCCCGGTGATTCGGGCATGGACATCGAAGTTGTTCTTGACGATGAGGACGACGACGACGAGGATGACGATGAGGACGATGATGAAGATGATGACAGATCCGACATGGACGACGATGAAATCCTCGCTGGCGAGATCACTGGCGATCGGGACAATGAGAGTTTGGGAGATGACGAGGACGATGAGTGGGAAAGCGAGGATATGTCCGAAGATGATGAAGAAGCCGAAATCATGAACCAATTCGAAGATGAATTGGCCGATATTCGACAAGCCGACCAGCACGGTGATGGTCAGAGATTCGACGACCTGTTCCGCGTGCTTAACGAGGCTGCGGGTGGCGTGGAGAATTTGCAGGGCGATAGTCTTGGGGATCTTCACGAGGACATTGTGGATGATGATTTGAACGAGGATGATGGTCAGTCTAAATTCGGATTCTTTTTGGTACGGTGGTATGATGGGGCAGTCACTAACGATGCTTAGAAGATGAAGAGATCGATGAGCTTGAGGAGGATCTTGATGACGTTGACGATGATCAAGGATCCTACGCAGGTTTCGACGATGGTAAATTCTTACATTGATATCATGCATACGAACCAACTACTAACCCCGTCAATAGATGAAGATCTCATTGAACCCTGGGGATGGGATGGCGACGAGCCCCCAATGCCCCGTGGGCACCATCACCATCGCTTCCGTCCTCAGCCAGGATGGGCTGCAGTCACGGGAATTATGCCCAGCAGAGGTGGAATCGTTCCAGTTCAACCATATCGGTTCCATCGTACCCAGATTCCCGCTCGGGGAACTGATGATGGGACAAACCCCCTCCTTGTTCGGACCGATCGCGGACCGGAAGCCGGTCAACCACGAGGGCCTGGCAACGAAGCTTTTACTGACTGGGTCCACGGCATGGAACCCGTGTCTGCTGGGCGCTCGCTCCCCATGGATAGTCCAGTCAGCTTCATGAATGCCATTATGCAAGCCATTGGTGGACAAGGCGCACCCGGCTTTGGAGTCATCACCCGTCCAGACGGAATCCACGTTCACGTTGATCGTCGGGCCCTTTTGCCCAACCGCATCCAGGACATGTTTGGACTCGGTAGACAACAGGCTCCTCCTTCTCGCACCCGAGATGATCCGTCTCAAGCCGTGAGTTTCGCTCTGGCAACAACCAGGGGTCGCTGGCAAGAGGAAGCTCGCATCTTATTCAGCAGTACATACGTGGAGAAGACACAACGCGTGGTCAACTCTTTGCTGAAGGTCTTGGTACCTCCTGCGATTGAAGAGGAGAAGGAACGCAAGAAGCAGGAAGAAGAGGAGCTCAAGCGACGAGAAGAAGAGCGAGCCGAGCGAGAACGCCAAGAACGAATCGCCCGTGAAGAAGAGGAGAAAGAGCGGAAGCGCAAGGAGGAAGAAGAGAATGCTAGGCGACAGCAGGAACTGGAACAGCAGGAAGCAGAGCGACAAGCTTCAGGCGCTGTTCCTGAGCCTATGGACGATGTTCAACAAACTGATACCTCCGGCGAACAAGCAGCAATTCCAGCCGAGGCTGAAAGTGGTCCCTCAGAGCCTGAGCGCCGGGTGCACACAACTATCCGAGGTCGTCAGCTTGACATCACTGGAATGGAAATCGATCCTGAATACCTTGAAGCCCTTCCTGAAGAGTTGAGGGAGGAAGTGATCATGCAGCAGCTCGCAGAGCAGCGTTCTCAAGCCACTGCGGCCGGCGAAGAGCCTAGCGAAATCAACCCGGAGTTCCTCGAAGCATTGCCCGCAGAGATCCGTGAGGAATTGCTTCAACAAGAAGCGGCCGATCGCCGCCGCCGAGAACGTGATACTGCACGAAGACAAGCGGTACCCACGGGCGTCGCGCCGACTCATGCTGAGGACATGGACCCTGCCAGCTTCCTCGCCACTCTGGACCCATCCTTACGCCAGGCCGTTCTTGCTGATCAGCCTGAGGAGATTCTAGCAACCCTGGGCCCGGAGTTTGTTACTGAAGCACGTGCTCTTCCTGGAAGACGGCTTGCACAGTTTGGTGATATCCATAGATCCGAGCATCGCCATAGACATGAACCAGCCGACGACGACGACCAGGAGCCAAAGAAACAGCAACGGCGTCAAATTGTTCAGATGCTGGACAAGGCTGGCATTGCCACGTTGCTTCGCTTGATGTTCATGCCCCTCCAGGGTAATGCGCGCCACCAACTCAATGACATTCTCCACAATGTTTGTGAGAATCGGCAGAACCGAATGGAGGTTATCAGCTTGCTTCTGTCTGTTTTGCAAGACGGTAGTTCCGATGTCTCAGCGATTGAGCGTAGCTTTGCTCAGCTTTCGCTACGTGCCAAGCCCTCCTCTGTTCAAAAGACGCCTCAGTCTGTCAAACGCAACCTTTCTTTCCAGACATCTTCGAGCGTCAGCAGTGAAGTAACCCCCATCATGGTGGTGCAGCAGTGCCTGGGCACGCTCTCTTTCCTGTCTCAATACAACCCTCACATTGCGTGGTTCTTCTTGACTGAGCATGACCCGTCGTCAACTCTCAAGCTGAAGGCATTCCGCAAGGGCAAGGGCAAGGAGAACAAGGCCAACAAGTTTGCTCTTAACGCGTTGCTTACTCTACTTGACCGGAAGTTGATCATGGAAAACCCTAACTGTATGGAACAACTGTCTAGCCTGCTTAGCAGCATTACGCAGCCTCTTACCATACTGCTTCGTCGCGAGAAAGAGAAAGAAGAAGAAGAAAAGGACAAGAAGACAGAAAAGCCCGAGGGCCAAGCACAGCCGGAGGATCAAGAACAGCGCCCGCAGCCTCAGACGTCCGAAACCACTGCGGCTGCGGCGGACGCAACCATGACAGATGCTCCAGAGGGCACCGAGTCCCAAGGCGCAGTTAATTCGTCTGAGCCCCAGGAAGAGAACAAGACGGCTGAAGACACTAAGGCCGAGACAGCTAAGGGCAAAACGCAAGAGGAGAAGCACAAGAAGAAGGTCATTGAACCCCCTGTTGTTCCTGACCACAATCTGCAGCTGGTCGTCCATATTCTGGCTGCCCGTGAGTGCAATGGCAAGACATTCCGAGAGACACTGTCGACAATCAATAACCTTTCGGCCGTTCCTGGAGCAAGAGACGTAATTGGAAATGAGCTGGTTAGCCAGGCTCAAACGCTAAGCACCACGATCTTGACCGACCTGGACGAACTGTTAACCCACATCGACCAAGCTCAGACCGGTACAGATATGCAAGGTTTGGCTTTGGCCAAGTTCTCGCCGGCAAGCTCCGATCAAGCAAAACTATTGCGTGTCTTGACGGCTCTGGATTACCTGTTTGATCCAAACCGTGCTGACAAGGTCAAAGGACCTGAGCCCGATAGCACGTCCAAGGAGGATGTTCTGCAAACCTTGTACGAGAGTTCGACTTTCGGACCTCTGTGGACCAGGTTGGGCGAATGCTTGATCCTTATTCGACAGAAACAGAACATGCTGAACGTGGCAACTATCCTCCTACCTTTGATCGAAGCGTTGATGGTTGTTTGCAAGAACACCACCTTGAAGGATACTTCACTTTCCCGGAACAGCCGAGAATTGTCTGTGTCGAGTACTTCGGCGGAGGCTGGTCTGAACATGGAGAGCCTCTTCTTCAAATTTACTGAAGAGCACCGCAAGATCCTCAACGAACTTGTTCGTCAAAACCCTCGCTTGATGAGTGGCACCTTCTCTCTGCTTGTGAAGAACCCCAAGGTCTTGGAGTTTGACAACAAGCGCAACTACTTCACACGCCGAATTCACTCGCGCGGGGCCGAACCTCGTCACCCCCATCCTCCTCTCCAGCTTTCTGTCAGGAGAGATCAAGTTTTCCTTGACTCGTTCAAGTCTCTCTATTTCAAGACGGCAGATGAGCTGAAATATGGTAAATTGAATGTTCGCTTCCATGGAGAAGAGGGTGTTGATGCTGGAGGTGTGACAAGGGAGTGGTTCCAAGTGCTAGCCCGTGGCATGTTTAACCCGAACTACGCGTTGTTCATTCCCGTTGCTGCCGATCGCACAACTTTCCACCCCAATCGCCTAAGTGGGGTCAACTCGGAGCATCTGATGTTCTTCAAGTTCATCGGACGCATCATCGGCAAGGCGTTGTACGAGGGTCGGGTCCTTGACTGTCACTTCAGTCGTGCGGTTTACAAATGTATTCTCGGCCGGTCAGTATCTATCAAGGACATGGAAACGCTCGACCTCGACTACTACAAGTCGCTCCTCTGGATGCTTGAGAACGACATCACCGACATCATCACCGAGACCTTCGCGGTGGAGACCGATGACTTTGGAGAAAAGCAGGTCATTGATCTTATCGAGAATGGAAGCAACATCCCGGTGACTCAGGAGAACAAGGAGGAGTATGTGCAGCGTGTTGTTGACTATCGCTTGGTCCGATCCGTGAAGGAGCAGCTTGACAACTTCCTCAAAGGTACAGTTTATCTCTTTATTTCGAATCTTTCTTCCAGAGTCACGGCTAACAGGTAACTTGCAGGATTCCATGAGATTATCCCACCCGATCTTATCTCCATATTCAATGAACAGGAGCTTGAGCTGCTGATCTCTGGTCTTCCCGAAATTGAAGTGGATGACTGGAAGGTCAACACCGAATACCATAACTACTCGGCCTCGTCGCCCCAAATCCAGTGGTTCTGGCGTGCCGTGCGTTCTTTCGATAAGGAAGAGCGGGCTAAGCTGCTACAATTCGTCACTGGTACAAGTAAGGTTCCACTCAACGGCTTCAAGGAACTGGAAGGTATGAACGGTGTCAGCCGGTTCAACATCCATCGCGATTATGGCAACAAAGATCGCCTCCCAAGCTCTCACACATGCTTCAACCGTAAGTTTTTTCCTCTCCTGTTCGATGGCTATATCGCAGTGTACTAACTTGGCATGCCAGAGCTTGATCTTCCGGAATACGAGAGCTACGAGACTTTGAGGCAGCGTCTGTATACTGCAATGACAGCGGGCAGCGAATATTTCGGGTTTGCATAAATTGCGAGCGCTTGTTGGCATGGGCCAATGATTTGACGAGTTTGCGTTTCCTATTTACTTTTTTTTTATTTACTTTGTCTTTGCTCTATTGCAGGTGCATTTGACGGCGTTCGACGCATCTTATTTCCACTAGTTTGTACCATGTGGGTTGATTGTTACTGGAGGAAGCGGCGGAGGGCTGTGACCGGAAAACTGGTTGAAGTGCAGGTCAACCGGAAGTCACGGTGATAGAGCAGCCAATTCTCTGGTCGTGATGGGAGAGAAAAATATTTCATTGTGTTTATCCATTGTTTCCTGAATTTGCATTTGTATGTACTGAGTACTTAACTTGGGCTTTGTCTCCTAGAGAGATGCAAACCAATCCACTTCACTGCGTTTCCCCATGACTAAGCCCCAGTATCACATGCAGGCGGTGAGCCACCCCCGGTCACGGGACACAGCATTTTCTGCTGGGGAAAAAAAGTCACGCGGGGCAGCTTCAGTCACCGGAGATTTCCATTCTTCTCTCAGGCATGACCTCTCGCCGTCTCTGTTTATAGCCATCTCACTCAACTCCTTCCTATCTGCCGTCTATTCTGACTGGCCTTGATTCTCCACTCACCCCATCATCTTCTTCTACCTCCCTAATACCTCTCTACCATGGCGGCCAACTCGATCAAGCTCTTGACTGGTAACAGTCACCCCGAGCTCGCAAAGCTCGTGGCTGATCGGTATGAACACTCGATGCCGTCGCCTCAGAGGCGGTCGTCTGCCTTGCTAAAGTCTTGAACCATTGGACTAACGGTTTACCCTTTTGGGTGGGATCGACAGGCTCGGCATTGAGCTGACCAAGATCATGGTCCTCCAGTACTCCAACCAGGAAACCAGTGTCACAATCGGTGAAAGTGTACGAGATGAGGATGTCTTCATCCTGCAGTCTACGCGGCCCAACGATATCAACGACGGGTTGATGGAGTTGCTCATCATGATCAATGCTTGCAAGACCGCCTCGGCGAGGCGCATCACGGCCGTCATCCCCAACTTCCCATATGCGCGCCAGGACAAGAAGGATAAGAGTCGTGCGCCGATCACTGCCAAACTTATGGCCAACATGCTTCAAACTGCTGGCTGTAACCACGTCATCACTATGGATCTTCACGCCAGTCAGATCCAGGGCTTCTTCAACGTCCCCGTCGATAACTTGTACGCTGAGCCCAGCATGCTGAAGTGGATCCGGGAGCACCTGGATGTTAACAACTGCGTCATCGTGAGTCCCGATGCGGGTGGTGCTAAGCGGTAAGTAACCAGAAGTAACAAACCCATCATTCGATAAAGACCCATATGTTGACTGGTTTTGTTCAATGTTCACAGTGCCACCGGCATCGCCGATCGCCTGGATCTGCAATTCGCTTTGATCCACAAGGAGCGTCCTCGCCCCAACGAAGTCTCGCGCATGGTTCTTGTCGGAAACGTGAAAGACAAGGTCGCCATCATCGTGGACGATATGGCCGACACCTGCGGAACCCTCGTCAAGGCCGCCGACACCGTGATGCAGCACGGTGCCAAGGAGGTCAACGCCATCGTTGTCCACGGTATCCTCTCGGGCAAGGCCATTGACAACGTGAACAACAGCTGCCTCAAGCGTATTGTGGTCACCAACACTGTTCCCCACGAGGACAAGAAGGAGGTCTGCGACAAGATCGACACCATCGACATCAGCCCCACACTTGCCGAGGCCTGCCGACGTACGCACAACGGCGAGTCCGTCAGCTTCCTCTTCTCTCACGCTGTTGCATAAATTTCTGTTTCGGGGAAACAATGACAAGGCGAGGGGACTGGGCCTGGTCTCTAGACTGGGGTGGCAGGGAAGATTGTTGGAGCGGATCATCTCTTTTTCATTTGTCCGAGACGAAAGGAAATGGAACCCTCTAGCCCTCTATCTCCCCATTGTCTACTTTGCTTGCCTGCTACGCTAGCTAGCTAGCTAGCTAGTCCTGCACCACTTGACCAACTAACCATTTGTGGGGCTTTGAGAGATTACGATATGAATCCCTTTATAGACTATCGACAATGGGGTTTATCCATTTTATTTGTTTGCTTGTTTGCTTATAACCCTGGAATGACTTGAGATCAGAATGATCGGAGTAAGAAGAAAGCATCTGCCCGATCGCCGTCTCACCGACAAGTCATCCTTTCATTTTCTTTTTTCTCTTTTCATCTTTTTCTTTAACGCGCTTACAAGACATGATGCATGCACGAATCCACAAAGAGGGGAAATGGGAAAACAATGGAGGAAAATGGCCAAAAAAGACCTTAAAAGTTTGCTGTGCCGATTTTTCTATCTTAAGACAAGACCCAGACAAACCGAATCTGTTTCATTTTTATTATCCTTTTTGCACTGTATATATGTTATGAAATGATATTTCAATACTTTGGTTCTTGCTTCTTTGGTGGTTTGTTTGCTCTAGATGGGTTGGTTTACTTATCAGTCCGTTATATACTTCTGAGAACCTATAATGGAAATAAGCAAGATTCAAATTCTATATCAATTATGACTCCAAGACACAAAAACGTCCATGTTAACCATATATACCTACCAAACCTATATATCCTCCAGTCCATACATATACAACCCCACAGCCAACACAGAAACATAGAACAAGGAAAGATAAAAGAGAAACCCCACTACATACTCCGAACAACCACCCCAGATATTAATTGTCAACCGGACATTAACTAGCTAGCTAGCTAACTAGTAGTTAGTTGCCACGGATTAGAAACCCAACTAGTCCAACCCAGCCTACTACTACCTCCTACATACGCTACTAGGCGACCACTGACCGACCAAAAGTACGTTCCATCCAGAAAAAAAAAGCAAAACGCAGCAGCAAACAGACAGACAATCCGCAGCCTGCAGGTTTCGAAATGACAGACAATCAACACCGAACACACCGATCAAGCCACCCTGCAACTTGGGTCACACAGAGCTATCCCGCTAGGTAGAGGTAAGGGTGGAAGAAAAACCGGGTATGGAGCAGAGCGTGGCAAATTTTAGATTTACAATGTAGCACGAGGAAACAATGGTGATCATGGTGACGAGGGGTATGAAGGGGCAAAAAAAAAAAAAAATAAGATGTGGATAGGAAACAACACAAAAAGTACAGGAATTTGGGGTTTTTTTTTTTTTTTTCCTCTCTTCGCTACTTTCTTCTCATCATACTTTGACCGTGGCTCCTGGGGACATGCATATGTCAGTAGATACAGGAATAGCACTTCTTCCCGGTTGTTGGGAGTGCTTGCTTATTTTTATCGCTCGGATAGAAACTACGGTATGTATGTATGGAGGTGCTTGCGTAGGTGTGTCATTTTTTTGTTCTCTGGTGTGCTAGATAAGTGATGTTAGGCTGGGGTACTGTGGGTTAGGGTATGCTTGCTAAAGACACTTAGAACTACTTACTCCCTCCACGTAAACGGCAGATCAGAATAAAGCACAGAACAAGAAAGTTAAAAAAAAAGAAATTGATATAAAATTTGCAAGTAGTTCAGACTAACAAAAAAGAGAATTCATTTCATTTCCTTGGTTTGTTTCGTCGAGTCCCAAGAAGAAGAACAAGACAGTTACACGCTTCCCTGAGCCCCGATGGAATCGTCAACTTGCTTTTTTTCTTTCCTTTCCGCTAAGAGAGAATAAGACAAGAGAAGAGTGACCCCAAGAGACCCTCTCTTGAAAGGGCACCTTCTATGAAAGATTTTGACCCCTTTCCCGTTTTCCACATATTTCGTTATGTATGATGGAATATGGCTTTTCTTTTTTTCATTGTAGATAAAAAAAAAAATCTGCACGCCAAAGTCTCTTGTCATCCTGGGTCACACAACAACCCTTGCCCATTCACTTGGAACTCAACAAATAAGAAAGAAAAAAAAAACCCCTTTTCCCGGTCCGACGCTGAGATTTTTTTTTCCTAGCCATAATAGAGACGTAACCCGACCATTAAACCCCCGGTGAAAAGAACATTTACTTTCTCATCGAAGACGCCCGACGCTTGCGGAGCTCGTCACGCTTGGCCTTCTCCTCGTGGACACGACCGGCCAGGAGCTTGGCGTAGTCGTTACTGTTGGGTTGGAGGTTAGAAATCATACCATAAGATGATACTGATAAAAAGGGGAAGGGATCGCTTACGCAGCCTCGCGGGAAGCCTCAGCGCGGCGGCGCTTGATGGCGCTCTGGTGACGCTTGCGCTGGAGACGCTGGGGAGTAACCAGACGCTGGATCTTGGGGGCCTTGGTGTAGTCCTTCTTGCCCTCGCGGGTGACGGTACGGCGGATGACGAACTGGCGGACATCATCCTTCTTGTCGAGACCGAAGAAGCTGCGGATCTTGGTGGCACGCTTGGGGCCGAGTCTCTTGGGGACAACGGTGTCGGTGATACCGGGGATCTCACCCTCACCCTGCTTGACGATGCTCAGGGCGAGAACGGCAAGGTCGAAACCGGTGATGGCTGTAGAAGAAAAAACTCGCGTCAACGAAAACCATATTCTTCCATGCGCAAAACGGGGACTCTTAATCCATCGGGTTGCGGAACGTACCACCACGGACACTCTTGCGCTTGCGCTCTCCGGTGCGGCGGGGGCGGTAGCAGCTGTGGCCTTCGGCAAGCAGAAGGCGGGTACGGGTGGGAAGGAGAACTGGAAGAATTATCGATGAGTTTCTGGTTTCAAGATTGCTGATTGTGGGTTTCGTCGAGTCGGTCGGTACATACCACCCTGCTTCATGGGGAAACCTGGAAACGTGCAATGTTAGCAAATTTCATATCCTTTTGAATCTTTGTCCGGTTTCCGATCTCCAACAGCCCAGCGTATCGTCCTTCTCCCACTCCATTCAATTCCAAAAACTTAACATCCGGAGATAAAGGTCGAGTCGTACCTTGCTTATCGTTACCACCGGTGATCTTGAAGAGGTAGCCCTTGAATTCGTCACCAAGGGAGTCGCCGGGGATCTAATTTCATATCCGCAATCAGCCTCATGTTTTCCGCAATATCCAAAATCGAGTTGTGTGTAGATGTTGCGGGTGGTGGAAAAACCAAAGAGAAAACAGAAATTGAACTGTGTGCATCTTTCCGTTCTTCTTCGATTCTTCGCAAAAGGCGTCTGGATGGGTGTAGGGACACGGGGTTGCTAACTTCAGTTCCCATGCGCTTCTCCATGAAGGGACGGAGCTTGCGCTCATCATCGACCTCGATGATCTTCTGCGACCCATTGGCCGGGTAGGAGATGTTGAGCTTCATCTTGACGGAGCTGCGCGGTCAAGACGGAGGGCGCGGGTTTGTCGACAGGTCGAGGTGTTCAGGATCTCGTCGGGGATTCGTCTTGTGGAATTTTTGGTGGTGTAGCGAGATTTCCCTGTGTGGGCGGCTGACTAACCCCGCTAACCTGGCTGGGACTAGCGCTCGGTAGGGCTTCTTATGTCAGCTACTTGGGCCTGTTGTGGACTAGCGTCTTTTTGCGGTTTCCACGCTGCGGATGCCTGATAAAATAGGCTTCCAGGCACACTCGATGTCTTTTTTTATTCATCCATCTGACTGTTCATAATTCACTCAACACTCACCATGCAGACTACAGCACCTGTAGGATCTAGAAGCTCACCTGAGATTCACCTGTCCTGTATATTCCCCTCCTCCCTTACAGTACTAGTTAGCCTGTGATGTCTTCCAATCAACCGATTCGTGAATTCTAGATGTGACATAACTAGGAAATTATACATCAGTCACCATGAATACGTGGTGGCTTCCAGAGCCAGAAACACGAATTATGAAAGTTATCACCCACGGCGGTTCCTTATCGGCGCCGGGGTTCAGCTTGGGCCCCCCGTCAAGCCGCACCCGTGCGTACTAGATGGCTGTGCTGGATTGAACACATCAACGCCTTACTTCCCTCTCTGACTTCTCCTCTCTACGTTAATAAATAGTAATATATACTCGAGACTGTCACACCGCCGCGGATAAAACTGAATGAAGAAGAGGCCCGAGGAACGTGCTCGTCTTTCTCTATACAATCTGCACCACATGCCGCATTGGGAAATGTAAGAGAGATAGATGTACTGTACACCGTCCGGAGGTAACGGTGACAAGGACTCGTAGATGACAGAATAGCGTCATCAGTGGATGGGTCCTGCTTATGCTTTACTGGGTTAGTGTCTCTTTGTCGGGGCCAAGACAAACGCCATGGGGGGGCCTCGGATCGGTCGGTTCTCTTGCTGGAATTTTGCTGGAAGCAGGGCATGCTTTTTTTAGATTTTACGGGGTGTCGATGGATGAAGTTGGATATCATGGGGGGATCAGCTTCATATCATGCATTTTATGATATAGATTGTTCCAACGGTGCAAAAGATCATCGGGGTAGAATTGATGGAGGCTGACGCAAGAGAGCACGCGACTGGTTAACCAATCCGGAATTGGATTGGGGATTTGCCGCAGCCTTATGGAGAATTTCATGCCGTGTGGGAATTAAAAAAGGAAATGAAAATCAGAAGAGTTGGGGGGATAAGGAGATAGAAAGAAAGTGCATACTCTGTAAAATAATTAATATTTATCGTTCCCGTCTGAAGACAGATCGCAAGTCGACTGACTGGTTGGCCGTTCGCTTTCTCGCCCCCATTTCCGGACAAGTCTTGATCGAACACTGCCCGTCCCTCCAGTTATCATCTTACTGTACTCGTACTCTCCTTTTACTTAATTTTTTTTTTCTCCCCTTCTCGTTTCTCTCTTTCCTTTTCTTCCTTCCCCTCTCCCTCCTTCTCCTTATTTCGGTTTTCTTTTCTTTCTTCCACCCTTTCAGGAATTCATTTCCACCACGCGCCATTAGGGAGGAGAAATCTTTCGTTGCCTTCTCCCCACCCACCCATTCGGGCACGCTAGTTTCTCTCCTGACTCTGCATCTTGCCGTCGGAGATACGCGCGTATCCTCATCTTCCTTGGATTCACGAGATCGCTCCGTTTGATTTGATCCAGCGCCTTTCGTTCATCGCTCTACGACTTTTCTTTTTATTTAATTCAACCTACTTTTCGGTTGCCTTCTAGCCTGTGAAACGACACACCACAGCGGGTCGGGCCTAACGTTCACCAAACCGACGGATGCAAGCAGCAGGTAAAGAAGCTGAAGATTAAGATCCAAGAAGTATAGGGGGCCTAGCGATCCAGACGATCGATCAGTTGACCCCTCCATCACAACTTTCTCTTCCCGCCTTCCGATTTGCCCGTGTCGCACTTTCATTCCTTTTGTGTCGGAACCATGATTCTCTCTTCGATGCGACTGTTCAACAAATTCCACGCCGTATGCGCCTTGGCTGTGTGCAGTATTCTTCTCTCGGCATGGCTTCTCGCCTCGCAACATTACTACCGCCGAGCGATCTCGACCGATGCTGAATATGGCTTCCGTACCGTGAAGACGTTCGACCGGAGGTTGGTGGTCTTTGGCGATTCGTGGAGTGACGATGAAAATGGAGGCGTCGACGTTCAAGGGTCCGTGTGGACGGTATGGCTTTGCTCGATGGTATGGAACCCCACCTGGCTGGAGAGAAAGAGAGACCAGAGGAGAGACAAAACGACTCAAGGTCAAACACAACAACCAAGTGAATTGTATGCGCTAATACCCAATTTTTTAGTTTTCGTGTCACCATGAAAATCTGGCAAAGACGGCCCAGTCGCTCCGCGGCACGCAGATTGGCTCGGTCGTAGACAACGCCGAGCTATCAGGCATTTTGCTCAGCTTGTCCAAGTCGCCGGTGGCGGATTTCAAAACTCAGGTGAACCGATGGACGGCTGCGGAGTCTCAGGTATTGGAGGAATTGGCCGGCGACGAGGACGCAATCAGCAGCCGCATGAATCATACCATAGTGACCGTTTCCTTCGGTGTGTGGGACATCTGGAACATGATCGGGAAGGACCACGACACCGCCGTCAAATCGGTCGATCACTGCGTGGAGACGATTATGGACCAGCTGGACTCGTTGTCTCGGGCTTTGGGCACGGACGATCTGAAGGTCATTCTGACGCTGGCGCCAGATGTGACCTTCCTTCCCGCATTCAGGGATGCGGCGGAGCAGCGTGTCACTCGCCACAAGGATACCGTCTTGATCACCGAATACTGGAACAAGAAGCTCCGGGAATCGGCCGAAAAATGGGACCACGGCTTGATCTACCTCTTCGACACCAATGCATTCTTGGTGGATTTGATCCGGGATCGGCAGCTTTATGACGCCGGCATTGAGGAGCCCAATGGACTGGGAAAGAACGTTGACCCCGGATGGGAAAACGTTGACGACTCCTGCGTCAGGCAGGCAGCGATGACATCAGAGGTCAAGCAATGTGACACTCCGGAGAAGTATCTTTTCTGGTAAGAACAAGGCCGGCGGTCTTTTCCCCACCCATTGACTCGATCTAGACTAATGCGGATTTCTTCAGGAACGATATGCATTTGGGCCCATCGGCCCACCGACTCATGGGCACCGAAGTGTACCAAGGAATCGAGAAGATGTGGATCAAGTAAGGGGGGAATGAAAACCTCATCGAAGATAATAAAAAGCAAGACCGTCACAACTGTTCTCCACCCACAAAGGATGGGAGATTTCCGAATCAAGATGTAAATGTTGCCGTCCGATCACGGCGTGCGCGTTATTGTACATACAGAAAACAAGACTAGGACAACGGCTGGTTCCCGAATTCCTGACCGATCAAATGCGCGGAGATGTGTGTCAGAGAGAGAGACAGGGCAAGAGCGAGCGGACGAACCAGGAACACGCGCAGTCCATGACCGGTGAACCCGCAAGGCAGTCCTTTGTACGGAGGACACCCGATCAAGACCGAAGGTGTCTAAGACTTGGCTTTTGGGAAGCCAATCCGGGACCTTGGAGGGCGTTGTGTCATTTGTGGCTTTCGCGAGAGACAAAGTAGTCTTCCGAATTTAATGAAGGATCATCAAAGACAAAGCACCCATTTTGCATACCAATAGCATTTAATCTCCCAATCAGGGGAGCAAGACATCAAACCCGAAGGTAGACAAGGAAAAAGGCAAAAGGTTCTCAGACCGAGGAATTGTCAAGGTGGTATGTCTCATCTTCGGACCCAAGGGTCTGAAGTCTCAAAAGGAAGAGGAAGAGGAAGAGGGAAAGAGGAAGTGACATCTGCACCCGCGTCGATTGCAACGTGACTGTGGAGCGGATCGGAATGCGATCGCCGAAAAGGGATCGACCCAAGATGACAGGGGCTGCAACATCAACGTGTCACTGTCAAAGGGTCCTCTTTTTTGAATCTTATTTTATTTTATCTCATTTTCAGGTTTTTCCTGCCTCGTCCTTTCCTGGACCCTCAGGTTCCGATTCGAAGGGTCTAACTAATCTGGCGAGAGAAGGAGGAAGAATGAAGAAGAAGAAGAAAAAGAAGGAGAAGGGAAAAGTTCTTTTTCTTTGTTTGAGGGACGACCGAGGGATTGCGGCGCAGTTCTCCTGGGCCAGCCTGCCTGCCCTACGGTCTACTCCGTATGTACATGTAACTAGGCATGCCCGGAGCATGCTCATTCTGATTTGGTTTGGTTTTAGCTTGGTTTGGATTCATCTATTTTATTTAATTAAGTACTGTTATTATTATTATTATTTATTTGTGCCCTGGTAGTTAATTTCGGGGGGGTGAATTAATTGATTTCAAATATCTCGGTTGTCTTCTTTGTTTCAATTAATTGCTAGGATGAACATGCGATGAATGGCGTAGGAACGAGGTCACCGGTACCTCCTCGCTGGGAGATAGTCGGCGTTAGACATGCGGCACTTGTCCCGACCGGTGCTAGGCTTGTCCCTGCTTTGAGAGAATGAATAGAACAGAAAAGAAAAAGCCGAAAATCCATGAAAAAGTGCAAACCAATTTCCAAATTTCGTACTTCCTCAACCAACCAGGGAGCTTTCGGGTCGAAGCTCACCTGACCCGAACAGGCAAGTGTCACTGGCCGGGGCGGGGCGACAATCATCGGGGACGATGCCCTGCGTGGGCCCTGATTGGCCCGGGACCCCTGCAGCACACCGCATGCGGGTGCCGGGCAGACAAAGGGAAGGCTAAACCCAAACATCGAAAACAATACCTTACCTTCTTTCTTCCCTGCCCTTCCCCCCCTCTTGGTCCGGGAAAAGAAAAAAAAAAAAAAAAAAAACCAACGCTATCCCGTTTCGTGGACATGAGGTTGAAAGAGGGGGAATTGATGGATCGATTGCTCTGGACTGGTCCAATTGTGGCTGACTTCACCTTCACTTTTTACTTGTTGCCAGTTAACTGAACTGCGCTGGTGCCACTCGCTAGTCGGAGTTGGCATACCATTCGGCCTTGTCTTTTTCTTTTTCTTTTTTTTTTTTTTTTTTTTTTTCACTGCCTCCCTCCCTCCCTTTCCCCTGCCTGGTCCCCGGGAGGGTTCCTAGGTACCTAAGGTTGTATGTATCATTACACCATTGCACTTGTACCTGTCCCCAGCTGCGGTACCTTTGGTTCATCTCTTCCATTTGGCTGTCTTGCATGCACCCGGTCTCGGAGACTGCTCCAATAGTTCCCCAGTCATCGGGATCTTGGTGAAATTGCTACCTCCCGGTCCCTCCTTAGTCCCTATTCTCCGCCGTATTGGTTCCAGGTGATGTTCCATTGTTCCAGATTCAGCATTCGATGATCCTGGAAACCGAACTTTTTCGCTGTCTCTGCGGCCTCTCGTCCAACTGCGTGTCACGATTGGGAAAATGGTGGTGGGGGGCGCTAAAGGAAAGGGTTCCGAGGGGGATGTGATCAGTTGTGTTGGTAGTAGCATCCAGACAAAGAAAACCCGGTTCCTTAGGCTGGTTCAGGAGGAGGGGAGGGGGGCAAGGCCTGGCAAAGTCAGGAAAATGGCACCAAACATAGATTTGTAACAAAGCACTTGAAAAAGCCAAATCCTGGCTTTATCATCGGGCTCTCTCCCACCTGGTTGGTTCGGTCTGAATAGAAACATTGTCAAAGAAGAAAAAATAATAATAACAAGCCATATTAAAATTTAAATTAAAAAAAAAAAAAAAGAATAAAAGCCAGAGAAGAATTTATTATCATTGAAAGACAAAAAAAAAAAAGAAAAGATAATAAAGAAAGGGAAAAGAAAAGAGAAAAAAGAAGCCTAACCTGATCCTCTGGAGCAAAGAAAAGAAAAAAAGGGCTTCGTTCTTGCACCAGGATTCGCTCTCTATAACTTTATATCTTGTTTCTTTCTTTCGCTTCATTCCTTTTTTTTTTTTTTTCTTTTCTATTATTCTCCCTTGTCCTGGTCGTCTTCTTCTATAATCAGCCGCTTTCATCTGGTGACCCCCTTCTTTCACCCCGTCAATACGATACTTTTGCCAACAGAAGAGGGGTCTGGTTCTTTCTTCCATTCTTAAATGTCTTACGACCGAGTTCTCCCCAAGCCGGCTGCTTTACATTATGATTCTCCACAGGCTACTCTTTCAAGACCAACCAGTAACCTTCTCGAGCACAAGATCATGAACGACGAGACCTCTCCAGTATCTATGATGGATCATCACGTCGAGAACATTCCTGTCGGGGCTTCCTGTCGCTATCCTACCGATGGGTTACCGCAGGTTCACCTGTCCTCCATCAACCGAGCCAAAATCGCCTTGAATAAAATCGCCTCCAGTGCGCCTCTCGAGCCTCTAAAGCCCAAGCCCATTCCCTTTCGTGAACGCACTTCGGCATCGGAGCGCTCTTCTTCATCTAGTCCCGGAAAATCCACCACGTCCCGGGAGCCTGTCACGCAATTCTGTCTCTGCCAGCCAGATCCTAAGATCCCTAGGCCTCGCAATGGTAAGCTTGACAAGCTTCTTACCGTCGAATGATGTCATATGAGCTTGCTGTGTATGTGTTCGCTGCAGAAAGCTAATTCTTCCTTTCAGCTTTTATCTTGTACCGTCAGCACTATCAAGCAGCGGTGGTGGCACAAAACCCCGGTCTTGCAAATCCTGATATTTCCAAGATCATTGGGGAGCAGTGGCGAAAGCTTCCTCAGGAGACGAAGGATGAATGGAAGGCTCTAGCGGAGGTAAGAGGATTGAATGGTGGCTGAGGATCCCGCTCCTTTGGTTTGGTCATGCTAATACGTGCGGCAGGAGGAGAAAGCTCGTCATCAACAACAGTATCCCGAATACCGATATCAGCCTCGTCGCTATGGTCGGGACGGTAGCATTCGGAATGCGAGCTCCGGCATCAGTCATAACCCTCCCGGCTCTACTGTCTGCAATCGTTGCGGCGGCCGGGTCATGAATCCACCAGTGTCCCCGGAGGCGCCTTTTACCCCCAATGGAGCCCCGAATGTGAATGGGCCCACATCGCAGCCGGATTCAATCACCATTCGAAGCTACCAGTGTCGGACAAAAGACCCCGATCGTGCGCCAAACCCCATCAAGATAGGGACTAACAGCCTGGAGTCGCTTCCACCTCGTCAGCGCCATTGGGAAGAGAATGGGAGTCGGTCTCCAGACTCGAAGCGTCGCCGTTTCAACCCCCAAGGGATGTTCAAGCCCAACATCCACCGTGAAAAGAGCCCCGAGACTTCATATCCGTTGTCGCCGTATACGCCTCGTCCGGATCCATCCACCCCCCGGGCTTTTCAGATGCTCCAGCCACCCCGGCCGTACAGACAAGCGAAGGAGTATCCTACGCCGGACCCCAGCCTGAAGCTCCCACCGTTGCAAACAAATGGGCCATCGGCCGGGGGTGTGCTGCCAATGACCCCCTTTCCCCAGGAGAACTCGGCCAGCTTGGAGGCCACGGTGATGACCATACCTTTTCTGAACAAGATCAAAGTCCTCGCCAAGATCTCGCCTCCTCTGGTGCCTTCATTACGTGACGGTGCCTTGCAACGGCGAGGACCCGTTATCGCCGTGGATGGACAGGATCCTGCTGCGGTCCGGACCATGGTCGACTATCTCAACCATGTGCTGCAGAAGGAGGGAAAGTATCAAACGCGGATCTTCGGAGGGCCCGAAATCCGGCAGAGAGAGAGTTGCTCCGAGTCGGGGCAGATGGGAGACGCCACGGTCGATTACCTGAACACGATCTCCGTATGGCACCGCATCTCCGATGAGATCGTCAGCTTTATCAAATCCTCGCCCGAGTCCCCGGAAATGAAGCAGGCGGACGATGGCGAGAGCCACTCCGGGGTGTCACCCAAGGGTATCATTCCCAAGACAGCCGACATGCAAATCAGCTCGCCGGCGCCGCCCAGCGAGAGCGGATCGGTATCCGTTTCTTCATCGACGGGAACGGCGTCTTGTTCGGTCCCGGTAGCAATTGTTCCTCGATATCAGCTTACCACGGCCGATTCATTTGCCTGCTCGGTGCCTATCAATGACTCCTACGCACCACTGGACCACTGGCAGTGGATGGCATCACTCTGGCGTGCCTGCGTCGGGCCCGACATTACCGTCTACATCCGGGAATGTGAGAAAGACGAAATGGAGCGCTTTGCAGGGAACCCGGTCGAGGTACGCCTACAGGATGCGCGCACGGTTGTTGTGCGGAGGGGTGCGGGTTCTCCGAAAGAACTCGAAGAAAAGTCTCTGAAACGTGTGGGATTCGAAATTGAAGACTATCTCACTCAATAAGTTTAGTATGCATTCGTTGGGGAATTTCTTGGGGTATTTCTTCTTTCTCTCTTCATACTCCTTTTTCCTAAAATTCTTTTTTCTTTCTTTTTTTCTATCTTCCTTCTTTTCTTCTTCTATTTCTCTCCTTTATTCTCTTCTATTCTCTTTTCGGGTGTTTATCTTCTCTAGGGTCGGCTGTTTGTGTTCTCGTGGTTGGTTAGCATTTGCGGTGAGGCTGGCTAAATGTGGGATTGGCTTTTTGAATTACAGATTACCCACATAGCTCTGATTTCGACCGGAGGTCACTTTTGTTTCGATACTCGAGATTGTTGATGTGACAATGCACAGGATCAGTACATGGCATACATATATTTATTGTGTCTTGGAGTTGTGGATCCCTGTTTTGGTTCTTTAGGACTTTGTAATAATGACACTTGTTGATGAGTCAAACCCACCTATTTGTTACTAGCAAGGTATCTCAGATTAAACTGAAATGGACGTCTAACTCACATTCAGTTGGAGATACCTCCTTACGGCAACTCCGAGGCTGAGCATTCACTGACACTTCCCAAACGGGCGAGCCGAAGGCGGTCAGCTTCCCCAGCCAATGACCCGCTTTTGATACGGACCGGCTGACTCTTATCGGGGCTTACATAAGACCGGAGGGCGATCGAGGTTCGTTGGCTCTTTGATTCTTCTTTTCTTCTCTCAATGGATGCGATCACGTTGAGGGGAGTGAAGCAGTGCCCTGGGGAGATGCCGCAGCAGTGTAAAGCTGATCCAGCATGATGACCCCTTGCAATCCGCCCCATTCGTCCTCTTGTTAAGTATCATTGCTGCTGTTCTGGCTCATCGTCAAGTGTCGCTTCCGTCCCCGGCCGTTCCTGTTTCCCCTGTCTGCCAAAAGACGTTTGTTTCCCTGGGGGTTGTCCGATTCCATCTCTGAGGTACCCTGTTTCAACAATTCTGTGCAAATAGAAGCACTTTCGACATCATGTCTTCTAGACATCGGTCTCCTTCCGCCCAAGAGTCTTCAACAGACTCGGTGTCTAACGTCTCTACTCCCGCGACTTCGGTGTCTGCGCCTTCCGTGAGATCTCCAGTTCTGGAAGTTCAGCCCCTAGTCTTCCCGCAAGCCAGCCCAGAACCGCAGCCCCTGATGTATGATCGGGAAGCATATATCCCAGTGGGTGTTCTGAGAAAGCGCACTGGCCCAATCACCGCGGCTTGGGCAACAGAGGACTCAACGGACAACTACCCCGAGGCCGAGGTCGCTTTATTAGAGGAGAATCAATGGATCTGGACCAGCATCTTTGCCTACCACCGATTTCCCGACTGGAGCTTTGTTCGTGTATATGTTCTACCCGATGACCGAGGTCGTGGGGAGATTCCACGTTCGAGCACGGCTTTAAGGCGCGCGCTTAAGGCTGTCATGTCCCGAATCGACCAGTCGCCTCACGCATGGTCCGGGTACCTCCCTGCGGATTGGAATCAGAACCAGCGCGTCAACGACAACTCGCAAGACGAGTCATTATGGTATATTTTCAACACACTCGAGAACCCGGCGCCCCAAGTCGAGACGATGAAAGACCCGTACGCAAAGAGCGCCATGCAGGCCTTATTGTCTGCTGCGATTCCTGACAATGGTGATGGCAAAGAGGTAATATCACAAGCCACCCCCGCTGTGATGGGTCTCAAAACGCCCCTGTATCCATACCAGTGCCGTTCAGCTGCTACGATGGTTCAGCGAGAGGCGGAACCGGCACAGATGCTAGATCCACGACTGCAGAAGTTCACCACTCCAACAGGGCGCGAGTACTATTACGACAAGGAGGAAGGCAGTATTGTTCACGAGAAAAGGATGTACTCAGAGGCTTGTGGAGGTATGGTAATCCAATATCTGCCAATTGCCTTTTGGCAACTTCTGACTTTGTTTTCTCCCTCCAGGCATTCTTGCAGAAACTATGGGCTGCGGAAAAACTTTGATTTGTTTGGCTGTTATCCTGGCGACACGTGGACATTTCCCTCAGATCCCCTTGGAGTACCAGGAGATGACGAATCCTGTCCGTGAGAAAACAGCAAGTCTGGTCCAAATGGCAGCTGCGGCCGCAGGTCGGTTCTCACTACCGTGGAAAAGTCACTTCGGATCGTTGGGACAGTTAGGTTCTGTTTACGCTAGATGCGTTCAAGCATGCGAAGAGAATTGCGGCGAATACACCATGCCACCACCACCGGCACGACACAACAGCAGAAATGGCGTCCCCTATCCCAGACCGCCCCCGTTACGCCTTCGTTTATGTTCGGCAACCTTGATCATTGTACCCCCTAACCTTGTGAATCATTGGTTGCATGAGATTCAACGTCACACCGAAGGGCTTAAAGTGTACGTTTTACGCGACAGCTCCGATGCAACCCCCTCCCCTGAGGTGATCCTGCAGCAGGACATCATTCTGTTCTCGCGAATTCGCTTTGAAAGAGAAGCGGGCGACGCGTTGCATATTAGACGTCAATCAGGAAACCTCGCGGAGTCTCCCCTGACCCAAGTCCACTGGTTTCGGATCATTGTTGACGAAGGTCACAACGTGGCTGGCCACGGACACCGCACCAACATGGTGCATATGATCGATAAACTTCATGTCGAGCGCAGGTGGATTGTGTCGGGAACGCCGTCCAGTGGATTGTACGGGGTAGAGGTTAGCCTGGCTTCGCAGGAAACGAACACCAGTGACACAGATTTAACCGAGGCCACCACGGCTGTGCTTCACGGGAGGAGAAGAACGGGAAACCTCATTGATAACGAGCTCAAAGACCTTGACAAGCTCAAACTCATCGTCACGCAGTTTCTTGATGTGAAGCCGTGGTCGAATTCTCGTGCCAACGATCCGGCTAACTGGACCAAATACATCAAGCCTGTTGGCGAGGATGGGAGACGCCGGAAGGCACCCTCGCTCCGTGCCACACTGCAGGGACTGGTCGTACGGCATCGAATGGAGACTATCCATACCCAAATCACTTTGCCGCGGTTGCACAACAAGGTTGTACACCTCGAACCAACCTTCTACGACAAGCTGAATCTGAACCTGTTCATTTTCATACTGGCGGTCAACGCGATCACTTCGGAGCGCAAGGACCAGGACTACATGTTCCATCCCCGCAATAGAAAGCATTTGACCACGTTGATCGGCAATCTCCGACAGGCCGGCTTCTGGTGGGCAGGATCTGACGGAGATCTCTCCGGGACTATCGACACCGCTCAGAAGTACATGGAGAAGAATCGGGCGCAGATGACGGAGGACGACATAGCTTTGCTGACAGAAGGAATTCGCATTGCCCAGAAAGCACTTTCTTGCGAGAGTTGGAACGCGTTCAAGGAATTTCATGAGCTAGGGGTTTTTATCCAGGATTTCCCTTCCCACGCTCGCAACATGTGGGCGCTAACCGGATCCCGATCTCTCCTGGAGCCGCTTCTCATCGGCATCACTCAGGCTCACCATGCCCAGAGATTTATCACGGCACATCTGAATTCGTTCGACCCCGCCGAGGGCCTCGCTGGCGCCGGGATCAAAATTCGTCATCAACTCCAAAAGCGAAAGCAACAGGGCCCAGACTCTTCTAGCACCCACAAGACTATCCCCGATAAGCCCATCACCACGCGGTCGCCCAAGAAATCTTTTTCCAAAGGACTCTCCAAGAGCCTACCGACGGAGTCTCCGCTTAAGAAGACCAAGCTCGTCGCAACTGCGTCGGCCAAACTGACATACCTGCTTGAACAGGTCCTTCATCTCCACAAGGAAGAGAAGATCATTATCTTTTATGACAACAACAACTCGGCATTCTGGATCGCCGAAGGACTGGAGCTTCTCGGGGTCGAGTTCCGTATCTACGCTAGCACTCTGAAACCCGCCCAGCGGGCCGAATACCTCGCCATGTTCGAGGGGACTGAGGACATCCGAGTCCTTTTAATGGATCTGGGCCAAGCGTCTCACGGGCTACACATTGCCAGCGCGTCGCGCGTGTTCATCATAAACCCCATCTGGCAGCCCAACGTGGAAAGCCAAGCCATCAAGCGAGCCCATCGTATTGGACAAACGCGCCCGGTATTCGTCGAGACTCTCGTACTCAAGGACACCCTAGAGGACAAGATCCTGCAGCGACGAAAAGCTATGTCGGACACTGAGATCCAGCACGCCGAGCGCGACCTACTTGACGATAATATCATGAGCAATATTATCCAAAACGAGCATTTCATTCCCATGTCCGAAGACGAAGACCCTGCGTCGGCGCACCTGGCATTTTTCAAGACTCCGTCCGGCTTCTTTGATCGTCACAAACTGTCCATCCCGGATGACGAAGACGGCAGTGAGCCCCAAACCCCGGTTCGCAAATTCTCGTTGAAGCGGAAACGGCCTTCTCCTGTCGCTCTTGACATGGACGCCGAAAGCTCTTCCGGGCCGGATCTCCTGACTCCTCAGCGACGCAGGACCACCGTGCAGCCGGTCCTCTCACCGAATGGGATCCTGATGACTCCGGGACGAGTGCGCTCTAAATCGCCCTGGTCGTCACCGTCGGTGATCAGCTCGACCGAAGACCATGGCGGGAGCACCGAGGGGATGGGGAGGGGTGAATCGAGCGAAGGGCCGAAGAAAAAGAAGAAGACGGTGTCTATTTTCGGATAATAATTTTGTTACTTTCGGTGTACTATAAATTTATTGGTGAGGGATATGATTTGTGGGATAGTAATTAACGGACATGTTATGATGGAGGAGAATTATGAGTATTAGGATTAGGGAAGCTGACGATTTAAATTTAGGGATTATTTATGTATACGAAAATGTACGTAGAAGTATCTCTAATACCGCATAGTAATGAGTAGTCCAACCCCCTCTTGATCATCACTCTCAACGACCTGATTAGAACTATAGACATTCAATACTAGAAGTAACTATACTATTGTCTTATAATAAGTAGCACAGTGTAACTCTAACTACACCGTTAGAACCAAGTGGATCCAAGAGTGGGTCAACAGCTTCATGAAGTATTAAGCTACGAAAGATCATCTATCTTAATATGACGCCCTATTATGAGATGTACTGCGCATGGTTTGTGTAATCCAGGCAATGAGCAGTACTATTAGAATCGTATAAGTAAGTCAGAAGAACTAAACTGTCTTAAAAACTGGCCATAGACCGCATTCAAAAATAATCGTCTTAACGTCCTCGACAATGGATAGTAGTCAGTGATGATCGATGATGACATACCGAAACCCAAGACCCGATGACTAACAGTATCGATAAGATAAGAACACTATCTAATCACCACGTGACAACCACCCCTCTCTTCTCGTCCCACTCCGCTCCCTCCTCCGCTCCTCCCCGCCGACGGTCAACCTTCGCATTTCCAATCCCATTCAATTCCCTCGAACCAATCCCTCAGGGTATCTATGGAAGAGAGAGAATGGCCAGTATAATCGGACTCTCTGGCCCGTCGTCATCCGGCAAAACTACTCTCACGAGACTTTTACAACGCATCTTTAACTCCTCCTCGTCTTCTTCCTCGTCGGACGTACCTGGTTCTAATTCTACTTCCGATTCTGATCACGAACGTTCTCCCCTTCGGACTTTCATTATTCATGAAGATGATTTCTATCATTCTGATGATCGGTATTTAGTCTCTCCTTTCTTTCCCTTCGTTTTTAACTCAACTAAACCCATTCCATTCCCTTCCCCACCACTACTCCCCATCCTAACCCAAACCCAATCCTAACCCAAGCCTAAACCCGATCCAACTCAATAACTACACTATCCAATCCCAAACCAAACCAAACAAACCACCCCCCTCCTACCCTACCCTCAATTGACTCAGACTCAAAAATCCAAAACCCTAGAATCCCAATAACAACCCTCCCCTCGGGCCAAACAATCCAAGACTGGGACTGCGCCGGTGCAATCGACATCCCGTTTCTCCGGGCATCGCTAGCCCACGTCCGCGCGACGGGGTCCCTGCCACCGAGACTACTCAGCAAGGAGGATTTGAATGAAGTTACGGATTCGGGGGTCCCCGAGGAGGTGGTACTTCGATTGCGAGGGGATGTGCAGAGGAGATTACAGAAGCAGATGAAGGGGAAGGGGAAGGATGATGATGAGGGGGCAGCAAGGACTCGCGTGGTGGCGTTCCTGGAGGGGTTTTTGTTATTTGCCCCCACGCCGTCGGTGTCTTCGTCACCATCGTTGTCACCGTCGAGAAAGGAGGACGACGAGGGTCACCGCCATCCCCTACGATCCGTGCACGAATTACTATCCGTCCGATTATTCCTCCCCGCGCCCTACGACAAGGTCAAAAAGAGACGGGAGAGTCGCAGTGGATATGTGACGATTGGACCGGCGCCGACGCCGACCCCCACATCTTCCACCACCACAGGTTCAACCACGGAGGGAAACTCCGAAGAAGAAGAAGTGGATATACACGCAGAAGATGATCGGCCACCGCAGAACTTCTGGACCGATCCGCCCGGTTATGTGGATGATATTGTATGGCCGCGGTATGTGCAGGATCATGCGTGGTTGTTGTTACCAGAGAAGACATCCGGACAGGAAGGGACGAGTTGTCGTGGGGTTGATCCCCAGGAGGCGGTGAAGCTGGTGGGACAAGGTGTTAATGTGAGGACTGATGCTGGAGTTACGGTGGCTCCGGGTCAGGGAGAGTTGCCGATGGTGGATATCCTGCAGTGGGCGGTAGAGGAGGTGATGAAATACTTAGAAGGGACCCAATGAATCAATAGACCAATCAAAATACTTTTGTAGATATTAAATACACGCTTATCGAATATGCAGATTTGGTATCATCTCGCTATGCTCCACAATCCTATCCATCCCGGGTGCTCTGGGCTTGCTCTCATCCAAGCAAATGAAGCATGTCACCGTCAGCTTCACGCCCCGTGATTAACAGGTCCTCTCCATCCAAGCCAGTAGTCGATCGTGTCTCTGAAGGAGGTGGATGTGGTCTCGTCGGAGTCCGCCTCCTCTCCCCTATCGGTGTCGTCTGCGCTCTCAACTAGCGCTTGTCTTTCGCTGTCAGTGCCTTTCTCTGTGTCAACAACAATAGCCTCGGATACCCTAATGCTAAGGTAGTCTGGCTTGAAGACACTGTCGTCAATCAAGGCAGGTAGTCCCCCGTCTTGGTTCGCCATCGTGAGGTTCGCGGTACCAATTTCGCTCGGATTCAGAGAAAACGATTTGTTTTGAACTGTGTTTAAAACGTCGAGACCCGCGTCTTTGACGAAGAACCATACCAACAAGCCCAGCAGACCATATATAGCACCAAAAACCAGAATGAGCCGTGCCATGCTCGAGCAAGTCCAGTCGTACAAACTAGACAGAAATAGTCGGGCAGTCTTGACGCGGCTTTTGGTAAACTGTGAGGCATTGGCCACGAGAGTCGAAACCAATAAGCGGAACAAAAGACGCACCCCAGGGGCCTCGGGAAGATCAGGATTGGAGGGATCTGGATCGATACTTGCTTTATCATCCGATATGTGGCCTTCTTTATCAGGACCCGTGTCTTCGTCTGGTGACTGCTTGTCATCTTCTTTGGCAATTCGAAAGAAATCCCTGCTGCTCAATTCGGTAAATGTGTCGCGTAGACCGTCTCGATTCTCTTCGAGGCGGCTGGGAGATTTTGGATAAATGCGAGGAAGCCAGTGATCGGCGTGTCGATCAGTTGAGGGAATGGACCATGCCAAACAGAACATTCCCAGATCCTTCGGAGAGCAGATGACTTGAACACGAGAAATCCCAACGGAGGTATAGTCGCCATGGGGAATTTGAATCATCTGCAGCCCTGCCTTTTGTTCGAGCTTACAAACAAAGAATCCATCTGGGCCTCCGTCCACATAGAAAGAAAAGCCGCATCTCTCAGAGCAGATATAGCGTCGGTTGAATCTCAGCGAGCACATGGCATAGTAGTTGATCGATCCATCATTTTCTGCCCCTGATTTAGCTACCGCATGACGGGCGATGATCTCTTGGTCTAAGACAATGTGCTTGAGAAAACCGTAGAACTTGCGACCACATATGCGCATGGAAACGGCCAGGTACCCGGAGTTGATGAATTCAGCAAAAAAGCAGTTCTCCACCACCATACATCGTTGCTTGTCTGTAGTACGGAATTCGAGGCCACGATCTTCCGGAAGACGAAAGAAAAAAGACCCAGTCTCTTTGGTCTGCAGAGAAGGAAGTCCCGGTAGCAATATTGTGCTCCATCCTTTGGCATAGTCATCGTCCACATAAACGGTCAAGCTGACCTCTATCTTGTATGTGGCCTGCTGGGTTTTGCTAGAAAACTTCATGATGAGATCCCCATTGGAGAGGACCAATTTGGGATCACTCCAAGAGAACTCTATGAGCGGTTGAGTTTCAACTTCATCGTCTCCGTCTGTCTCCTCTATTAGATAATGATTTCCCCAGGCCTCGGGTTTGGAGTTAGGGGGCTCCGGCGAACTGGATAGGAGGGGATAGGGACTCGGCGGACGCGTGTTCGCATCGCCGCTCAGACCCTCTGGTATTCCAAAATCATTACCAGGCGATGCTGACACTCCAGTAATGCTGCTTTCTTGGTCGCAAGGAGTGTGGGCTCGGGGTTCTGGACTACTGTTGTAGAACCTTTCCATTGTTGGGGATTCTTCTCTCGGGGGTATATTCGACGACTCAGCCACGCAGGTAGATTGACCATCGACATCCTCAATGCTAGTCACACCATCTGCCTCAGTCCTGCTATCATCCGGATTTCTTTCCTCCAGATATGACTCGCTATCCCCTGTACCAATGACTCCCTCATCCAAGGGCTCACCTCCATGCTGTTGTCCTGCTGTCTCCAACCAGGCCTCAAGACCGATAAGTTTCTCAGACCTGATATTCTCTCCACCGGTTGCCGAAAAAGAGGCGAGAGTCATAGTTTTCTGCGTGTCATCACTGGAGTCATGCCTTTTGTGCGTTGGTGCGTCGTCCGATTCGGAATCCGTTAAGCATGCATCTGCAGCACTTCTTTTCACCAGTTGTGGCGACTTGGTCAGGTCATCGTACTCCGCGACGTTGACACACAGATCGGAGAACTTTTCTGCACGAGGGATGTCCGCAGCATTCGTGTCTCGACAATTCGTAATATATTTCATGACGGAAAGGCTTGGAAGGGGAGGGCCATCTTGCGACACTGAGAAGGCTTCTTCACTGTTGGGAGGTCTCTCTGCAGAAACTCGGCGGGCCCCTTTCAGTTTATCAGAATCCGGGGTAGAAAAGGCGAATAAAGAGCTGCTGTCGTTCGATTCATCAGATAGAAGACGCGCTGATGCAGTTTTGAGGAAGATGGCTGAAGATTTGGTGTCCAGAAGCCGCAGCTCCGTGTCGGGTGCAGACTGAATCTGTAATTTCTGATCAGAACGAGAACATCCTATGCAAAAAGGCCATACATACTTCCAGAGAGATCCTAAGTCTTACTGGTCCCTCAAACTCGCCATCCCACGACCCGGAAATTTCAAGATTGTGGAACTTTGGCTGCATCGATTTGGAGTCCATCTTGTCTTGGATAGATGCACAGGTCCGTAGAGGGAAAAGTCCAGGAAGAGAAAGACAAGAGCGAAGAGTAGAAAATGAGAAGAGAAGGAAAAGAGGGGCAAAGGAGGAAGTCAAGTGAGAAGAAATAGGAAGGAAGTGAGTAGATGCCCCAGGCAGCGTGGGCAGTTTAAGGGCACTTTCCGTATCACTCACTTACTTGGACTAGACTTACTGGGACTAGACAAACATTCATGTAGTTGATGATGGATTCCAGAATCCTACCCAGCACGTCAGACAGCTTAATCTGCTGATTTTGCGAGGAAGTAAAAAACTAGTAATATGTACAGGGGTAAAAAAAAGAAAAAGAAGCAAACATCACCTGAGTCAAGCAAAAGACCGCACCGAGTGAGAATGAAAGAAAAGGAGAGAAGAAACACCTCGCTAAGGTAATCCTTTTTATGCCCCCCAGGCGCCATGTATCCCCCAAAACCAACCATTCTGTTTCCATAAAACAAGATCAAACACCCGTTCCACAGTCTATCCAGAATTTTTGAAAATCACACACAAAAAAAAAAAAAGGTTGTTGAATCCAGAACATCCCACGCGGCACACCGCGGTTTCCAAAACATAAGATCAGAAGAAAGAGAGAGCAACATATCGGAGCATTAGTGCAGGCAAAAAGCACAAAGAACAATAAAAGGGAAAAGAGCATGATCATGACTGAGACAGCATCCAACGCACCCTATTGTTCCTCGGGGTGAAAGAGTCTCCAGGTAATGAATATTTATCGAGGGGTTCCATTGGATGAGCCTGGATGTTCGAAAGCTGTCTGACCGGGTGCTGAACCATAACGATCTGCTTCGTTTGTGCCAATGGGTTGAGAGGGCAAGATCGGAGTAGCCGCTTGCGACGGCTGCTCAAAGTAGCCCCGAGCCGTAGCAGCACCATTAGTCCCTTGTGGGTAGTTGCCTCTCCGCTGCAAAGGAGGGAGAATCGTAGAGCTGCTTGGGTATTGCGCGCGCGGATAACCTTGAGGCATCATGGTATCCGCTGTCTGTTCCAAAGGAAAATCCAAATTCAACGGTCGTCAGCTATGTGTCCTTGAGAGTTGGGGGTCGACGTCGTCCGTACGGGAGTACCTGTCGGATTCACCATTCCCAGAGACTGCATGGTGGCCTGTTGACTGGCCCGGCTATGGCCCGCCGGGTCTTGCATTGGGGAAACTTGGGCCGAGGGGATACCGTATGAAATCTGCGCTCCGTGTAAGCCAGGTGCATAGCCAGGAAGCCCGAGCTCCGAAGACGTCACTGTACCCGTGGATGGACTGTCAAATGACGTGGGAGTTGGTACGGGCTGAGGCTGACGAACCGCGTATTCAGGAACTCCGGTGTGGCCTGTGGGATACTGCATCATAGGCGTTCCATAAGGTCCGGGTTGGTTCGAGTACATGGTCGCAGCCTGCGGGTACGCTTCCATTTGACGCATTCGTGAATCGGCATCGTACATTGCTCGATTGCCGTAGTCGATCGACGTGCGCTGCCGTTTGACAGGTCCCCCGTAGTAACCATAATCTCGTCCCGCTGTTGGATAACCACCAAACGCATTCCCTGACATTTGAATTGCAGTCCGATCTGGGGAGCGAGGAGGAAGTGGCTGTGGGAAATCCTCGGCACGAGGGATCGGCCGTTTTCTAGCAAGAGATTAGGTCAGTACTTCTGAGTTCTCTGGTAAAAGAGGCGAGTGGAGCAGAATTTCCCTCGTTGCGCCTGCTTGCTAACTCACATTAATGTGCGGGGTTCCTTTCGAATCCTCAATTTCACCCCTTGATCTGCAAAAGATCTAGACAAGAATGTTGACTCCGCCATTCCCGGGAAGCTCTTCGGCGGCGATACTACGAAGAGGGTCAGCATGCGCCGGAAGAAAAAGAAGAAAGGCAAGATCTCACCAGTAAAACGCTCGGAAATTATCGACTTCAAATAATGCACTGTGTCCCTACACGTGGCAGTCAGTACCAACCAGTCTTGTTGTGCAATTTGCTTGCGCGCGCGCATTTGAAGTCCTTACCGCCGCATCTCGAAGAGTGTGAATTTCAACCGAAAATCGCCCTCCACCTTCACAGACAAATCTCCGAATACGAAAAATCCCCCGTCTGAGGTTTATCGCGGTCAGTCTCCAATGTTTCCGCCTTCTTCTTTTGACCGGAGAGTTCGGACTTTTGACTTACCGGTATTGTCCACATCCTTCAACCGATGAAGAGAGGAAACCAGGGTGCCCGTCAAAGCTGTGGACGGGGACACGGGAACTGGGCTGTCTTCCGAGCCATCGTACAAGCTGCAGCACATAAAATAGTAGGGACTTTGCAGATAGTGCCTAGTAAGCAACCTTGGTTAGCAGAGCACGGGTCGACTTCGCTCGTTCAACGCTGGTGTCAACCTACTGCGAGAGATAAGTCCCCTCCTCTCTTACCCGGATTTGCACAATCGGTGGGGGATCCACTGGCTTGCGCTCTGTAGCAATCGCCGATCATACGAGTCAGTCACAACTCGCCAAAAACAAGAGGATGCGCGCCAGGCACATTTCGAGGATCAATCATGAAGAAGCGATGGGTTCACACACCTTTCTCTTTCCCACCAGCCACGCGCGCCCGAGTGGGCTGCTGGCGAATGTTCAAGTCAAATTCAGAACTGGGGGACAGCATAGTCAGCGGGAAGCTCTGAGCAGCGGCACGAGGAAAAGGAAACAAGAGAATCCAGCGAAGAAGCGAAAGAGAAAAAGATAGTATACACACCCTGGGGGATCGCGAGCAAGAGAGGCGTCCGCAAACGACGACGCACTCATCAAGGCGAGATCGGCGGACTAAGAACCAGAAGATGGAAGGAACCAAAGAACCAAGTCGGGAGATCCGTGAGAACAGACCGCAGCGTACCACGAATAGATCAAATCAGGATAAACCAGGGGGGTTGTGCTTATTTAAAAAGAACAAAGGACGGGGTAGTGCCGACGGGAGTTGCAGCAAGGTCAAGGGTCCGACGAACGAACAAGAAAAAATATTAAGAGAAAGAAGAGGCCGGGACCTTGCAAGGATGACTTTGTGGTTCAAAGAAGCACTAGAAGAAAGGAATGATACACAGGTGGGGGGGATAAGGAAGAAGGAAAGAGGGGAGAATGGGGGGTGGTGGTGGTGTTAAGGACAGACGCGACGGTATGATTTGATTATTAGTTAGGTAGGGTAGGTTAGGTAGATAGGTAGGTAAGTCTTAGTTTCGGAGAGCTCGCCCAGGGCCCCAAGTTATCCGGGAGTGGAGACAAGCCAAGAAGACAGCCTGAGCTGCAGGATGCAGGGTAGCAGAGTAGCAGGGGAGCAGGTAGGGTAAAGTTGCAGGGGAGCGAAAGCGGGAGGTTACTGAAAACGGGCAGTGAGGAACGAAAAAGGTGGTAGCAAGAGTCAGTCCAGGCGAGAATGAGTTCCGTGAATGAATGATGGTGTCGTCAGAATGCAAGCGGCAAGAGTCAACCGAGCACGGTTCCAGACAAACCTTAACCCGGAAGAAGTGCCTTTGCGACTTCTTTTTCTCGCTTTTTTTTTTCTTGTTTTTCCTTTTTCCCTTTTCTTGTTATTTCCTCGGGGACAAGTCAAGTCTGCAATGAAACGTCACCGTTGAGGAATTCCTGGAATAGAAAAAAGTACAAAAAAAGAAAAGAGAGAGAAAAAAAAAGAAGAAGAAAAAAGAAAAGAAGAAAAAAAAAAGAAAAAAAGAAAAAAAAAAAAAATCGGAGGTGCTGCAGGAACCCCCCAATGAAACTTGCCGACCGTGTGTATACGGGGTTTTCCAATAGGTCTGGATCTAGGTCGGAAGAGAAGAAAAGAGGCCAATAATATCTGACGAATAATCAAATCACAGCAGAGAATCCAGAATTAATCAATAATCTTTTTAGAAAAAAAATAATAACTGTGAAAGTCAAACTGTAAGGCAAAACCCGCAGCAAAGTGGCGGGAGGTGAGGGCCGATAAGACGAGAGCTGAACGATGGGTCAAGAAGTCGCCTCTTGACAGGCCACTGACGCACAGTGCGAGAAATTTTTGACCAGAGGGTGGGAGGGAGAAAATATTATCAAATAAATTGTTCAAAAGAAAAATAGAAGGAGAAAAAAAAAAGAGTAAGGGAAAATCGATTGGAAAATAAAATTTGTATGAGGGTCAACAAATGAGAAGCCTCCAACGGGAGAAAAAAAGAATTGGTTTGGAGGGGGGGAGGATTCTCTGGCAATTCAACCACAGCTGAACCAGACAGAATGATGATTAGTGGAGCTGTACCAAAGCAAGAGAGCAACGCCGGTCACTTTTCGGCCGTCAAATGGTGTCGTTACCGGCGCTGGTCGACCACGGTTGAGTAGACGGGCTAAAGGGTGTATCAGTCTCGACGATCCGACAGGAACCGTAACGACATAGAGAGATGATGCGCACATTGGCAGCTCCCTGAGGACCAGAATGACGAAGTGCAAGCAGAGAGCTTCTTGCTCTTATCTTCCTCTCGTTGCTTTCTGCTCTCTCCCTCGAGGTGAGATCACGCGCAAGGCTCCAGAGTCTAGTGGCCGTATCTAGACCGAGAACTGATTGACGATTGACGATTGAGATCGACCTAAGAGGCATGAAATCCACCGCGTGTGCGGCAAATCACCACTCGCTTCCCCGAAAGGAAGACTCCCCCCAAAAAAACCCACAGGCGCAACGGTTTAGCCTCGTGCGCGCGGAGATGGTGCCGGCTATGCAAGTGATCAGACCCGTATCTAGGCGCCACGCAGGGTCTCCGAAGACTCCGATTCTCTTTCTTGACTCCAGAGCGAGAATCGTGGCTGGTCGGTGCGCGCGCCTAAGCATTCCAGTCAGAAACTCATTCCCGTAGTCCCATCAGTCATTTGCATCTGTTACCGACTTGGTCCAAGGCCGTGTTCTTAAACTTTGATTAGGGGGAAGGGAGGGAATCGGTCCCTCATGCGTAGATCTGGCTCCTTTTGTTTCGTTTCCGATTAGTCTTGGTCAATCCGGCCCTTCTTGTTGGTTCTCCCTGGGCCAGTCTTCTCTTTCTTCCTTCCCTTTTTTTCGTTTTGCTTGGTTTTTCTTCCCCCAACTCTTCTGGCCGACCACAGAGTCAGCGTTCAACTTGCCATGGGACACACCAGCGACGACGAGCTATTCCTCAAAGAACCCCCCCCCTTTCTCGAATAAACGTTAATCGATATCAGATAATACGAACCTTGACTCTTTCAACGTCATGCAGTGATTGGGTCCGGGTTCCAAAACGACGCGATCCAAGGGCGCAAGAACGGTCAGCAGGGAGGAATCCAGGGCACCAGAAGGCCCACTCGAGAACCGTTCCCTTTTGTTCACCTAAGGACTAAATAAATATTAACGGATGGATCGCAAGATGGTTTCCTCTAACGCCGAAAGGGCATTTACCTTGATGATTGTCCTTACCGATGAGACTTTTGGGGGGGGGGTAAAAAGAAGATCAAAATCAAGAACGGAGGAGGGGCAGACAGGCCAACGAGGCGAAATGGCCGAACAGGAATCCTTGAACGTGATGGGATAACGTGAGTCGTGTCACGAGATGCCCACTCGCTTCTCCTTTCCTTTCCTCTCCTTTTCTCTCCCTCTTCTTTGTTCTTCTAGTCGGTGACGGCAAAGGAGGTCCGAGTACAATCCCCGGTAAAGATTCGTCGCCCTTCCCTCTCAGACTCGTCCACGTCTTCACGCCGGACCTATGCAAAGAACGCGATTTTCCTGCGAATTCGGCGAGCGTCGCAAGAGGAAACTCTCGGAAGTTCAGAAACCTTCGGTGCGCGCGAATAAGCCTCGAGAGAATCGTTGGCGGTGGAGAGACCACGTTACTCGGCGAAGAGTCGGAGGACACACTGCATCTCGCAAACAAGAAGAAGAAACAGGATAATAAAACCAGGACAAGATGATGTGGGAGTGGGCCCCTTTTCAACGTGCAGTCGTGGAGAAAACAAGAAAAGCGAGAGAGAAAAAAAGGAAGATCAGGCTCGAACTTCAGCCCTTTTTAGCCGCTGCGTTCTAGGATCTAGCTTGTTGGATGCATCACATCAGCTGGGTCTTGACATGCAGGTCGCAGATGCCGCGCTCCCTCCACCCCACATACGCACACCCGCACACACGCCGATGTCGTCCAGGCCGTTGCGCTGGGGGTTGCTTTGAATGATTGGATCTGAGGAATGGGAATTGGGAACAACCTCAATAAGGCGCGGCCAACCAAAGATCGGATCAGTCAATCGACAGGAGTGGCGTAGGGGGGGCAATGACCCAGTCCACACGATCTGTCTCTAAGGGAAACCGATCGCCATTGACGAATGGTCCTGACGAGCTAGCCTTACTTGAAATGGTGTCGGTCATCTTGTTGGACTACGCTGTCTCGCATGCATGATCTGAGGGTGCCTGGAAATCGATGTGGGAATAGGAAAAGAGAAGAAAAAGAAAAGAAAAGAAAAGACCAGACAAGAAAAAAAGAAAAAAACGCGATGAAAGATTATGTCTTTTTGCCCTTTGTTTCTTTTTCTCTTTTTCTTTTCCTTTTTTTTCTTTTTCTTTTCCTCCCCCTTCCTTCTCAATAGCGTTGTTGACCATCTCTCCAGATACAGCTTGCTGCATCTCCGATGCATACGGATCCTGGAACTTAATAGGTGGCAGCTGCATCTAGCCGCATCAGCTGCGAAGCTACTGGCATCAGAGGCCCCACAATAGCGTTTTTTGCACAATCGTCGGGCAAACATTTAGGGAGGAAGAGGGGGAACAATCAGCCATGCAAGACTGTCGTTCTGTATAGCTGGACACGGCCTCTCGGGGCCTGCATGGTCCCTTCTGACGAAACATCACCGGTAAGATGAGTCAACCGGGATCAGCAAGCAGCGACGGTGTTGGCGATGTTCATGCAAGGGTGAGCATTAGATCCTGATTCGTAAGAGACACGGGAGACAGATGCTCATGCCGGAAGAGCGAGGATTCAATCATCAAATAAATCCTGCATCGTCGGCCGATATTCATTACCTTATTTGGAGATATTCCAGAACGGGTAGGGAAGATAGCAGACGAGAGGGGGGAGAGGTTCGCTGAAAAAGAAAGAAGAAAGAAGAAAGAAAGAAGAGGAAAGGAAAGGAAGAGAGGAAGAAAAAGTCCCAAACCTACCGCTGCCGCTTATGATGGAATCTAGCCGCCCACCAGTCCTTCGCACAACACTAGGAGTTAAGTGATATCATCTGAATCAGGAGATTGCGGGATGATCACCGATTCACACACATTTTCATCCTCAAGGGCAATGGATATTTTACTTTGCCTGCCTCCTTCCTCCACTCTCGATGGACGCCTCCCCGAGGACCTGTCAGCAAGTCTCCGGATGATACCATGACTGACTGCAGCTTGAGAAAATCTCCTGCACCGACAGATACAAGTAATGCCACGTTTCGACAGCGTGTGCACTGTGCACTGTCCGGGGAGTGGCCGGGTCAAAAGCACCAATTTATCCGCGACTCTCGTTGGTCAATCGGTTGTTGGAGAAAAAAAAGGAAAGAAAAGAGGAAAGAAAGAAAAGTACCATGTTGTACGTGAAACCAAGGGAAAACGCTTCCCGGTTCGTGGCTGAACAGTCCAGTTCGCTAGGCAGGAGTGGATTGGCATGTCAGATTAAAGAACATCGGATATATTTGTTTTCTTACTGCCACGACCGTTGATCGCTTAGGCAGGGAAGAAGGAACTGTGAGCGAAACCTGACTAAGGACAAGCGAGGAAAAAGAAGATATCAAAACCACTCTAAAAAAAGGGAAAAAAAGAAAAAGAAAGAAAAAAAAAAAAAAAAAAAAAAAGCCAGAAAGAAAGTACGAAAATAAACTCCGAAGGTAAGTAAGGGGGGGAAGATAAGGAGGAAGGTTTCCTTGTCTGAGAAATAAAAGAAAAGGAAAAGGAAAAGGAAAATGGACAATAAAAAAATTAGAATGAGAAAAATAAAAATCCGAATTGGCTCTAGAAAAAAAAGAAAAAAAAATCTTCTCTTTTGGTCCCTCTACAGCAGCCGGTGGGGAATGGATGAGATGCACGATGAAGTGTTCGCCGGTCCTTAGCGGTTGCCTTCTTGGTCTTCTTTCCCCGGCCAGAATGGAATCTTAATTAATTCTAATTTATTCCATCAGGATATCCCGGCCGGAATCGAATCAATCGAGTCCATGACAGCGGGCTTTCTCCATGGTGTACCAGACTTTCGCAGGCGCTTAAATCTACGCTACAGTTATGCTTATTCGAGCCCTGGGTTGAGTTCCCGTTTCTTGACAGCCCCGGATCCATGGTCTTCTGCTGGCCTTTTTTTAGGGGTCTTGGATCCTGATCGACGATCCCTCGACATTCCCGTCCTTGGGCCTGACAGTTCCACGGTCAACCGCTGTCGTTCTTTGTTCCTCTCATCTACTCGAGGACCGGCGTGGTCAATCATGTGTCTGAACACGATCACCACTCGAGAATTCCCATTCTTCAGGAGAGAGCGGGTTTCCGAACAAAATGGCCACCTCCTACTCCGTAGACGGATCCACTTCAGTAGGGCCACAAAAAGAGGAAGGAAAAATCAAATTAATTACCGGAAAGGAGGGATGAGCAAGAAAAGGGAAAAGAAAAGGCACGTCAAAATAATCGCAACGATTCCTGATAGATCAGATTCTGCTGTATCGCGTCAATTAGGATCAATCGGAGTATGCACCCGGCCACAAAAGATCAAAAATGCCACTGAAAATTAGGTGAATCACAAAATTCGGGTTTCAATCGGTCGAACATGCTTGCAATATTATCCCCTAATATTACTGCTCGTCCAGACTCAATAACAACGCCTATATACAGCAGGGTGTCCACGGTAAGCAGCATTCCCTCCGCCACAGGATCCGAGTACTCCGTAGAATCAATAATATTCTGCATGTTGAACATCGGGATTAATCTCATCTCGGTCTTTGCATTGAATGCAAATCCCTTTCATCCACATTTTCAGCTCTCAGCCTCGATGGATCCCCCTCGCGAGTGGCCATTTCTTAGCCCCGGGAATTGCCATGCATTGCTACCAGTCGCCATATGGACATTGGAGCATTCTCTCTAGCGTGCCACATCTGATCTCGCTTCTGCTCGCCTTCGGCTTTCATGAATCATCCTATCGACTCCCTACCGTGTGCATACACCTACACATTTATCTACATTGGATGACGCAGGATTCCCCGTGGCTCCACTCATCTATCCTGGTATGATCCTGCTGCGCACATACATCGGTGTACTGTACATCTATCCACGCTTGTGTCGCATTCGACGTGTCGACACAGAGCATAAAGTACTATTCGCTGTGTGCATAAATGAATAAATCATACACTGTGTACAGCCCACCACAAACTCTCTGTATGGACTCACGGAGTAAACCCACCAGTAGTCACTGCGGACAGGTCGGTATCCGTACTTCAAATGATTGCACTAAGCCCTTCCCCCCCTCCCCTGCATGCATCAGACACCATCATTTCCTGGTTTTCATCATCTGCACCTACTACGTAGTCTCGACGGGTCAAGATTCTTCCTATATTCTTTTATCTTTTCCTTTTTCTGTGTCTCGCTTTTTTTTCTACATTATTATCATTTTCAAATCCCTCCTGCCATTCCTCTCCTTGGATAATCCATGAATTCCATGTATTCTTCTTTGTTCTACTCGCTTTCCCACTTTTCTACTTCCTATCTCCATCTTTTTCGGCATCCTTGTCTCTCTCCCTGCTATAGTGACGCATACGTACAGACAACCACAAACAGTCTAGACCGACCCGACCCGACCCGACCCAACACCCAACCAAACAAATGCAATTCTTTACTATGGCTATGCAACTGCAGTAGCAGACAACAAATAAAACAAGCCAGCCTTTTATTCTTCTATTTGCTCAATTACGCACTGTACCTTTTATCGCCTATTTCTCCTAACACACACACACACACACACACACACACACACACACACACACACACACACACACACACACACACACACACACACACACCCTAAGACCCCCTCCTCATTTCGTCAATCGTAGTTAGTTAGAAATCTTTCCCCCATCTCTCGGTATACTCCGTTCAAATAACTAATTCCCCAAAGAAAAAGAAAAGTATCTAATTCATAGTTCGAGTTAATTACATACATACACACAGCGAACAAAAGCACCACCAACAAGAAAAAGAAAACTGATAGATCAGATCCATCGTACGATGGACTGACAAAAGACCACGAATAATGATTCAGATTCGGAGACATGCGACGGACATGAACTGCACACCCTGTCTGCTTTGCTGCCTTGGGTTGCGATGCAGAAGTACAGTACATACAGCACATACTTCTGGACTGGCCGTTTGAGGCTACACAGCATATGTCATACGCATTTTTATTTGCTCTTCTTCCGCTTGAGAAAAAGAAAGGGCACGGTTTTTTCCCTTCCAGTCATTTTTGAATCAGACAAAAGGATGATAAATAAACTGTAGTATTCTGCATAAACTATCTATCATGTGCTCGAGAGGACTCCCTCATAGGGAGCGGAGAAGATAACTAATGGATCAGTTAGAACGAATGCATCCACTCGGAAACATCTTGATTCCCATACCTAATACATAGAACGCTAACATCATTATGAGGATCCCTCCCGGTGCATCGAATCAAACATCCTAGAGGACCGAGAAGAAGGAAAAATAAACATAGGACCTCTAAAAGACAGGAATAACAGAAGATAAAGGAGCACTAGACAGTAAGTAAAAGCAACAAGGTCTCGAAGAATAATCAGTAAGTTCCTTCCTGTGTCCGACGGAAGGAAGACGGTCAGACCGATTGGTTCATGGAAGGTCGCATCAAATGATAGCCAGAAATCCAGATGAAAATAAAACTCCAAAAGTCCCGCCTACTCCTTGCTTGAAAACATTAAGATCAGCAAAAGCCAAAGAAAAGTGCCAAGTCATGAATGGTATCCCGTCAGGGAGAATAAACCAGCTAAAAATAGGGAAGAAAATCGAATCCCGACAGAAAGAAACACGGTAACGCCCTATTCAAAATGCCTTGAAAGGTCGATTCAAGGCATCGATAGTACTTTTCCGCTATTCACTCATTCATCTTGCCTAAATGAGCAGCGAGCTTTTGTACTGCAAGAATCACGCCTCCATGACTGCATCCCCGTCGCGATCCGTGCCGTTCAACTCGACCTGGTTGATGTCCACACCATTCGTCTGGTGGGCATTTGGTGGGCTGTCGGCAGGGATGACCATTTCAAGCTGCTCCACAATGGATTTTCGGTTCACAGATCTGGTGAGCTTTGCATGACCATTGGCACCCTTGCCTTTGGATGGGGTCGTGGGACCGGGCGCGGGAGTCCCTGTACTCTCCACTGCGTCATCGCCTGATGCCTCGGTTCCATTGGTGTTGACTAGTTCTTCCCCCCCTTCCGTGTGACTGGTTCCTGCTTCTACTACCGGTGGCGCCGGCTCCAATTTGGAATCGGGATCTGGTTGTTCTCCAGCAGTCATCTCTTCCAAGACTTGCGCTTGGTCGGTGTCAACCCCATTGGTGATGACGTCCACCTGCTCCGTGGCAGGGGAATCCGCGAGCTTTGCGCTGCGACCCCGCCTGACGCTCGACGGATTAGCGGTCGGGGTCGCCGAGCTTAAGACGGAAGATCTCTTAGGCGTGCTGCGGCCACTAGTCCGGGCCGTTGTTGGTGTGACCGTTACTTTGCCATAGGTGGTCTTGCTGCCGAAAGGTCGGCCTGGGCGGCGTTTCAACACGGGCGCTTGAACAGGCGGATAGATCTCAAATCGCCAGGCAGGAATGTCGTTGGCGGGGGTTGTTTCCGCCGGGGGGTTGAGATCGGTAGAAGTGGTGCTTTCATGACGAAAGCCGTTAACGTTGGAAAGAGCGTTTGTTGACGGAGGTCCGGCTGGCTCGGTGAAGATTTCCGCCGGCTCAGTCTGCTTGGTACCGTTGACTGCGAGAGTCGAGACCTCGCCATTCGGCTTGGATTGCTGCTCTTCGTCATTCCCCGAGTCTTTCGCATCCTCGACTTCGTCATCCTCTTCTTCCTCCAGTCCCTCTCGCGGGGCGACCGCGTGGAGGGGAGCCCGATCAAATTGCGATTGATTGCTTCGGCCCATGACATACGGAGTCCACACCAGCGCGTCGGGATTCAGCTGCACATACCCCTTGCTTTCCCAGTTGCGAATACATTCTTCGAAGTAGTTGTAGTCGAGACGTAGTGCATAAGTCTTCGTGACCGGGTCTCGGACGAGGGCGCGCAAGGCTTCCAGGCCGGACACAATGTCATCCGCCGTCATGCCCGTCCGCTCGGAGAGATCCACTATACTCAGTGGTTTCGTCTGGTCACGCAGTTTGTAGGACAGAATGAGGCGCCAGTAGTTTCGATAGGAGACAAGACCCATATCGGACAGTGGCTTCTCCGGTGAGCCCGTCTTGCCCTCGATACGCGTGAGGAGGTACGAGAAGTCAATAAGAAGATTCCCGTAGCCTTTGCGCTGATGAATAGGCAAGGTGAGAATGCAGGAAACGTTGTTTGCCGAGCTTGGCCGTTTCTCTTTGCTGAAATAGCCCACAAAATGACAACCCAGGTCATCATACTCGGTCATGACATAGAAGAGGAAGGGTTCAACGTCATAGTAGAGCGTTTTGGACCCGAGGAATAACTTGGCAAGCAGACAGAGGTTCTGGCAATACACGGGGTTCTTGCGCCCGTCCACTTCGAAGATGGAGATGGAACCATGGCGGTAAATTTCATCCCCAGGAGGATGCTTTGCTGGGCATTTGAGTTTGTGGCGCCAGGCGACATAGTCGGAGTTCATGTATTTCAAACAGAACTCGCAGATGAACAGAACTCGATTGCGGCTGTATTCCTCGGGATACGGCGCGGCGTACCAGGTTTCAATCTCGTATCCCCCGAAGTTGATGCACTTGATCTTGGACGGGGGCCCCGAGACCTTCTGCGATGCGTGTTGGAAGGGCTCGCCACTACTTTCGGCCTCCATGGCTCGTAGTTGCCACTCCTCCTCAGCTTTTTGACGCGCGGCTTCAAATCTTTCGCGGTCCGCGTGCATCGGCAGAGTCTTGGTCGTGTCCGCATCAGCTTCTGATAGAATCCCACCGTAAGGTTTGGATTTCGATTCGTCGGTCTCGCGATCGTTGAACGAATAGAACGGCGATACGTAGGAGGTTGATGTGATTGGTGCGAAATGAGCCTGGGTCTCATGCACGACAGGCGGTGGTTTGGGAACTTTCCGAGTCTTAATCTGCGATCTGCTGCGAGAGTTGAGAATTTTAGAAACTTTGGCCTCGTTGAGACGAAACGCCATAACTAGTCGCCCAAACTGCTTCAATAATACACGGCATGCGTCCTTCTCACCCGTGCGCGTGCGTCGAGAGCGAGTGCGAACAGGAGACTGCGTGTCCGAGGTCTCGGGCATCGGGTCTCTCGAATCGGCGCGCTCGGGCCGCAGTGACTGCCGCTGTCTCTTCCGAAGCACTGGAGTATGTTCAGGAACATCGACTGACGAAGCTTTCCGCTTGCGCAGAGAGCGTGAGCTATTCAGAAGGTCGTCGTTGACATTTACAGTATTGAAGATGGAGTGAAATCCCGAGCCTTCTTCCCCGACATGCGCCGGTAAAAGCTCTTTGCTCATGTTCTTGGGCCCCAGCTTTCGCTGATGCGAACCAGGGTCTAGAGCCCCCGGTTGCAAATTCTCGCGCACGCACGGAACACATCTCCAAGTACTCGAGTCTAGATCCAATTTAGCACATGAACTCTGGTTTGAGGCTAATATCAGAAGTAGGGCACACCTTCTGCATCATCTAATGCACCTTGCTCGCGGGCACATTGCCGATGTGCTGTAGGATACCGAGTTAGTAAAGATCGTCGTTGACAGAAGTCTGAAGCTTGCTGGGTCACGTCTTGGAAAGACCCGCATATACCAACTTACAGTGATCGCCACAGACTGTACATGATAAATATTCCTCAAACTCCTCGCTCGGGTCGTTATCCTCGTCCTGGTGACAAAACCTGCATCTAGTCAGCACAGCACGTTTTAGGGGTTTTTTTTTTTTTTTTTTGGATGAAACAGCATCAACAGCATCCAATGACTAGCTGACTGTCCAGTTCTCCAACAGTAATACAAAGAGACTTACACGCAGTTCCCTCGCGTCGTGTTGTTATCCGCCTCCCCATCTTCATTTTCATTACTCCCTTCTTCCCAATCATCGTCCACATCGGACTCCTGATGACTATTTGACGACGAGCTCGAGGCATCGCTGTCGCTTTGGTTTTCGAATGCCGGATCGGCGTCGGCAGAACCCGCCGCCAAGTCCTCATTGCCGGGCGAAGGTACTCCGTCTGGCAGCTTGACAGCACCCACAGGCTCGGTGTCATCAATCTCCCCTTCCAGATGTAGCTCGGTATCAGGTACACCTTCCGCATCTGCTTCCTCCCCGGGGTCGACCTTTTCCACGGCCTCTTCCCCCGAATATGCCCTGTGCACAGCGTCCTGGAGCTGTTGGTCCATGTGGTATAGGTCGGCGCCCTCTTCCTCTTCCTCCCCCTCGGCGTCCTGGTCACTATCCACCACGTCTGCGGGCGGTCTCATCTCGGTATCATGGTCGGCCGGCGGCACGGTTGCCGGCATGGTGTAGGTCACTGTGATCGCCAGGTTGTGCGGCTCTCGGCGTCTCGATAAGGTAGATAGGTTGGTTTTATAATGAAATGACAACGGTCAAAGGCCTGACAACGGTTTTGAGGTCAGGCGATTCAAGGCTCTCCGTTTAAATAGACAATCATCTGGCGCCGCATGCAACGGGCATCGGGAACATGAGCGACTGGTCGTTGGACACAGGAGATGCGGCACAATGACAGGCGCAAAAGAGATTTAGATCGAAATCAACCGCCGGTTTAAGATATGTTTTCCCCCTGAAGAAGGCGCAAACCAAGTAACGGTCAGTAAAACAGAAAAGCTAGAAGGCCAAAAGAAAGGGTGGTTGATTTGGGGGGTGGGTGAGGAGGAAGAGGGAGGAAGGCAGAGGAACAATGGCAAACAACGCGTGGAAGGAAGCGACGAGACGCATACCCCATAGACCAGGAGGTCAGCAAGAGACAGTCGAAATGAAGCGAACGCGTCGATCAGCGGCGGAAACGACGTCCGAGGCCTTATCCAGCTCCAGCGTCCAGACTCCAGAGCCATCGGCCTGTCGCCCCTTCTACGAGGTTGACGGAGGCGGCTGACTCAGCCGGCTGGACCCCCGGTCACGGGCTAAACCGCTTCGGGCCACATCCGGACCTCGATTCCCGCGAGTCTCTCGTTTGAACTCTCTCTCTCTCTCTCTCTTCTGTCTCCACGCTCATTGCGCTTGCCTTTCTTCCGCTCCTCTTTCCCCCACTCCTTCACGAGAACACACAATGGGCGTTCCATTCGAGGCTTTGCTCCCTTATGGGATCATCATCGGCGTGCGTTGACTCCCACCTTCAATCCCTCCCCTCCCGTGGATCCTCGACGGTCCAATCATTCGCCGGAGGTTACCAATTCACTAACGATCGAGATGCGCACGATAGTTTATGGGCGTCACCGGTGCCGGTCTCACCGCCGTCAAGTACTGGTCGAACGAAGGAAAGACCGCTCGTTGGAACCGGGATCTGTGGGATAGAGTAAGTTGATTGTCGTTTGCTACAAATCGGACCAGTATGGCTAACCTCCACGCAGCAAAGTATGTGACCTTCCCGGCGTCGACCTACCAATTGAACCCTCCCCTCGCCAGAATCGCCTGTCACGTTCATGCGAACACCAGAAGTCATATGGAAGCTAACCGCTCGTGTCCGAACCCACAGTGATGGAGAGAGATCTGAGACTGACGGGAACCATGCGAGGTCAATCAAGCAACGAGGTGGCCCCCAAGGGATTCGAGCTCAGCAATCCCTGGAAGGTATGGTTTTATCGTCTTCAGCAACTTGCCGGAGGAAGTGAACCAACATGCTAACGTCCGTATTCCAGCTCGAAAAACGGATCTACTAGGCCGGATCGACATGGGTCGAAGTTCGGCGTTATGTCCTTGTCCACGTTGTCATTCTGTTTAGCCGCAATTTTCCTTGATTTCCTGAAATACATATCCACAAGCTCTAGAAGAAATTCTATCTGTACAACACTTGCTCATCCAAGACCCGGACCTGGATAGATCTTAACTCATCTGTCTATTTAATCTGGGACACCAATCCCTGGATCCCCTCGACCTCGTCATCCCGGAAGTGCAAACCAAACCACTTCCCCAACCCGGCGACGCGATCATCCTCGGTCTCGAACGTAGCCACCACCTCTGTCTGCCCCTGCAATCTCTTCTTAACCTCCTGCCCGACCAGAACAAACAGCCCCTGCGGCTGGGTGCCCGTCTCCTCGTCCAGGATGACGCGCGCGCAGACGAGACTCTGCGTAAACCAACTGTTGCGCCCCGTGCTGGTGGCATAGTTCATGACGCCGAAGTCCTGCGGCAGAAATTCGACTTCCGAGAACGCGTAGTGCGGCAGCCACTCGCTGTCCGGCGTGTATCGGATCTGGTAGATCCAGACCTTCTGCGTCTTGTCTACGGACTCGGGTAGACTGTCGCGGATCAGACGCGATTCCGAGGGCGCGATGCAGGTGGAAACGACGTCTTCCTCGAGAAGCAAGGGACTGGTCGGTCCGTTGTTGCCGAAGCCGACGTCCGTCTTATTGTAGAATTAGTTGGTAAATTCAACTGGCATGATAAAGACGAGAGAACTATAGAAAAGGAGAGAAAGAAAGAAAGAGAAAGCACTTACCATGTACTTCTTCCCATCAATCGTCACAATCAGAATCATGTGTCCCCTATATGCATAATCGTGTCGATTAGCCCACCGAACAACACAATCCCCACAATCCACATGACAAATGACACATACAGCGCAAAAAACTTCTCCTTCCCCGGATTCCGAACCGCCCCGGCCGCAGCCTCACAGACCCTCCCACCGGTCGGATACACCGTGTAGCCCAAGGAGCGCAGCACGCCGTAGAACAGATTCGTGTTTTCCATACAGTAGCCATCCAGACGGCGACGGACCAGCTTATCGAAGACGGCCGTCGGGTGGATGGAGATGGCCTTGTGCTGGGAATAATGTAGCGCCGAATTGCCCCAAGGGATGGCGCCGAGGTGACGGCGTTGCAGCTCGGTCAGGGCCGCCAGGGCGTTTGTGGCGATGGACTCCTGCGCATGTTGGAGGCGGGTGGCGTTGGCGGGTTCGGGGTATTGGATGCGCTCGAGGTATAAGTTGAGTTGATCGGTGGTGTATGGTGGAGATGACATTGTGTGTAGAATGTATAGAAGTATGTAGTACGTTCTAGGTACTTTAGTATTATGAGTAACACCTGGTAGGAACCGAAGTCAGAAGTTGAATGGATTGAAAAGAAGGGTCTGGTGGATACGCTGCCTGGATCCGTGGGGACGAAGGACACTAAAGAGGAGCCACCAGAATCGTCTAGAGCGCCTTGCTTACTCTAGTCTTAATCAGAAGTTGAATTGCGCTTATCACTACGGAGTACAAACAACGGAGTACTCCCTATTTGTTTGTTATCATTACTGAATACTACGGACCTGGAATGGCATGCTGATCGGATTAGCCCTAACTGGAGGCATTCCAGGCCCTGGTATTTATAAACAGGACTCATCAGACCGCAGAAACTAGGCAAATAGATAACAATAAAGATAACAAGAAATATAGTGTTGATTTCCTCCGATCCTCCGAAGTCAAAGCATCAAACGAAAGTACTCCGCCGGTTCCTGAATCGACCGGACGATGATGTCAACGCTTTTTCCCGATCCTCGGTTATTCAACCTCAGGCAGTACAACAATGCATCGTAGTCTATTTCAACTTCATACTTCCTCTTTCGCATAATCGTTCATCATATCAAATTCCCCAGACGTACCATGGCCACCACAATCCAGCAGAAGATCGATGCCCTACGGGAGTATTCCGCCTGCGATGTATGTAACCTTTTCCTTTTCCCCTCCTAATGTACATAGTAACTCCAAGAACCTACATACTAACCCTACTATCCAGGTCTCCGACGCACTCCTCAAACTCCAAAAACCCTCTCCAGGAACCACTCCCCGAGCAGGCCACCTCGCAGACTTCAGTGCGTACTCTTCTATCTCACCACAATCAACCTATTTAACCATCCCCAACCAGCCCCCTTCTCCCCCACTCTCGGCCGCAACACCACCTCCCCCAAGATCATCGCCCCAGCATCCACCTTCAAATTCATCCCCAAAGCATCCTCCGACGTCGACACGTCCGACGCGCACGGCTTCCCGGAAGGCACGCACTGGGTGGACTGGGCGCAGGCGGACACCGTCGCGGTGGTGGAGCAGCCACCGGACCAGTACTGCGCCGTGGTGGGCGGGATCATGGCGGTTCGGATGAAGGCGTTGGGCGTGCAGGGCGTCGTCGTGAATGGAAGGATTAGGGATCTGGAGGAGATGAGGGGGTGTGGGATTTCGGTACGTTTCCCCTCCCCCTTCTTTTTTTTCCCATTCTGTGTTACCCTATATATTGCGAACTATATACCTAACTAACTCTCACGATCTTCAATAACTAACAATAACGGTAGGTCTGGGCACACGGAACCTCGACGGTCGGTACCGCGGCAGAGGCAAAGCCAGGGGCGAGAAATGTGCCCGTCAACCTGGGTGGTGTGGTGGTGTGTCCGGTACGTCTCTCTCTCTCTCTCTCTCTCTCTCTTCCCCCCTTCTCCATGTGTTATGGAGAATGGTAGGTATAGACCCAGCTGACAGTTCAGGGCGACATCATCTTCTGTGACCCACTGGAAGGCGTGGTTGCTATTCCACGGGACCTGCTGGATCCGGTGCTGGAGTTGATGCCGAAGCTGGTGGCCATGGACGATCGGGTCAAGGAGGCGGTGGTGCAGGGGTCTAGCGTGTTTGAAGCTTTTCAGAAGTTTCGGACGAAGATTTAATTCTCTCCTCCTCTCCTTCTTGTGTGGAGGGGCCCGGGATCATATAATGGTTTGTTCTGAAGCCATTATTTACGATGAGAAGTCCTATCGCACTCATGATTGATCATATCAATTTGAAACTAAAGTACATGAAGAACTGTCATGTGTATATAAATCGCTGCACTAAAACCGAAGGAAAAGACATGGTAGAAAGAGAAAGGGGATGTATACATTTTACTCGCGAACCCAGACTGCAGCCATACCCATTCCGGTACCGACACACATGCTGGTGACACCGATCTTCTTGTCGGTGCGCTTCAGCTCCGTCAGCAACGTGCTGACCTGGCGCGAGCCCGTGCAGCCCAGCGGGTGGCCAAACGCGATGGCACCTCCCTTGGGGTTGATCTTCTCCTTGGGCAAGCCCAGCTCGTTGGCACACCACACGCACTGCGAGGCGAAGGCCTCGTTGATCTCGTAGATATCAACGTCCTCCTTGGAAATGCCGGCCTTCTCCAGCGCCACAGGGATGGCCTTCCAGGGCCCGATACCCATGAGCAGGGGCTTCACGCCCACCACGCTGGCCGCCACGTACTTGCCGAGGATCTTCTGGCCCAGGCGCTCGGCGGTGGACCGCTTCATCAGCAAGACGGCGGCAGCACCGTCGGAGATCTGGGACGCGTTGCCGGCGTGGATGGAGCCGTCCTTGGCGAAGGCGGGACGGATCTTACCCAGAGACTCGGCGGTCATGCCGTCTCGGATGCCGTCGTCGGCCTTGACGGTGATGGTCTTCTCCTCGCCAGACTTGGGGTCGGTCCACTTGACCTCGAGGGGAGCGATCTCCTCGTTGAACAGGCCGGCCTTCTGGGCCTTGACGGCCTTCTGGTAGGAGGAAGCGGCGAAAGCGTCCTGCTCGGCACGAGAGATCTTGCGGTCCTTGGCCATCTGCTCCGACAGAACGCCCATGGGGACCTTGCAGTTGGCAGACTCGGGGTGGTTCTCGAGAAGATCCGAGAACTCGGTAACAGCGCCGGGTCTGTGAAAAGAAAGCCCATAGTCAGAATCCAGCTCGAAACATGAAAAGGTAACCGTCGACATCATGACTTACCCGTATTGAGAGGACATGCTCTCCACACCCGCACCGATACCGACTTCGATCATATCCGATTTCAGCGCGTTGGCAATATCCACAATAGCCTGCAGACCGCTGGAACATTGACGGTTCAAGCTGCGGACGGCCGTCGACTCGGGGAAGCCAGCCACGAGGGCGGCCGCACGAAATTCAGTGGCACCGCCACCAGGGGGAAGGACAGAACCGACGGCAACGTCGTTGACGGCACTAGGGTCGATGCCACTCTTATCGATCACGGCCTTGAAAACACCGGCCAACAGATCGGCAGCCGCCGTGTCCTTGAAGCCGCCCTTTCCACCCTTGGTCAGAGCAGTACGCAGAGCGCATGTGACAACGATATCGTCGGGGTGTTTCTCGGTGATGCCGGCGACGCCCTTCTTGCCACCAGGGCCGAAGTGGGAAGCCACCTGGGTCAAACGTTGCTGTGCTAAAGACGAAAAAGTAGTTAGATGATTCTGCAAAGGCCATGTATATCTATACTCCAGTTCCCATACTCCATGGGCCAAGCGACTTACCAGAAGACATGATGACGTCAAGATATTGAGCCCGACTAGACAGAAGAAAGGGTGTAAAAGTAGAAGATAAAAATCAGGTCAGATCGAGATCACAAGAAAAGAGCAACAGGAACCCTCTTTATAAGGCAAACCCGGGGCAGAGAAACGTGGAGTAGAGGAATATCCACTCGGTCGGTCGTGTTGCCCTTTTGTACGCTCTTCCCCGGTCCTGTGAAAGTGCCGAGGTCCAGCCGCATCATCGTTGTTCCGCGTGTCAGAGTCACGGGACCTGCGGCTGTTGCCCAGATTTCATGTGAAGAAAGACGCGATGATTAATCGGCTTCAGGGACGAGTTTCTATCTTGTGATCGATGATGATCGGGAGTCGGTTGGAGACGGCAACGTGGGCAGTCCCATGTTCCAGGCCCAAATGATTGCCGTCAGTGACTGATAAGTCGGCCGAAACTTATGAATTGCTCCGGCATCGATATCAACCACTATATACGCTTATTGTTTAGTAGTGAGTAGTAAACTGGGTAAGTACTACGTTAGGCCTAGTTATTGAGATTGGGTTCGATCCACAGGTGACCTCGAATAGGGGAGATATGCTGAACATACTTAGTAGAGGTAAACGTAAACCCGATGAAATAGAGCCAAATAACTCAGTCCAGGATCTTTACAGAAGAAAGGGAACCTACTTTATATAGGAAAGTCGGATGTATCAGTAATTATAAGTTTCAGTACATATAAAAGATCATCACCAACTCCAAGAAAAAGGCGCTAATGGTCAAGTGGCTACACGCGAGGCCAGTTATCCCGAGGCACTTGGTATTCCAAGTATGCGCTCTCTCCTCTCCACGGAAGGTAGTACTAAAAAAGAGGAGCAACGCGTGGTTACTGTACATAACCTTTCCCTGAGGCCGTTCATCTAGATTACTGTTACTGTCTGTCCTAAATAACAGTATCATGTAGTACACGTCTGATCAAGGAACCAGGTTATCACGTCGGAAGACTCCAGGAGATCCATTGGTCTTTTTTGTAAACATCGAGAATGTTGGGATGCACTTCGGGGAAGCTTCTTCAGTTCTTTATTCGTAGTATCTATCTGTGATACACTTCGGGTGGAGCTTCTTCAGTTCTGTTATTCACAGTACTCATAGTACACACCAAGGATATCGTGATGCCTTTCGGGGAGCTTCTTCAGTTCTGTTATTCCTAGTACACATTGAGGATGACACACTTCGGGGGGGAGCTGCTTCAGTTCTTTTGTTCGTAGTATCTATCTGTGATATACTTGGGGGAGAGCTTCATCAGTTCTGTTATTCATAGTACAAATCGAGGATATGGCGATGCACTTCGGAGGAGCCTCTTCAGTTCTGTTATTCACAGTACACATCGAGGATATGGCGATGACATGTGGGAGGAGTAATGGATGCGACTGACGGCGTGCTGCCTAGTTATCGCAGCCTCATCGCAGCTGAGAAGAAACATTAGTGGCACTGAAGGGTATGTACTGATGATAAACATACCTTGTACTGTTAGGTCTTTCGCCTGCTCTAAACTGAGAGCGAGAGCTCCTTTAGTATCGACAGGCCATCCGAGATCGGTCCCTCATGTGTGAGCCTCATCTAGGTAGATGAGGTATTCATTCAAATCATCCGCAAATGGTGTTGCAAGCAGGGGAATCAGTATCCCTTCCCTGAAATCCACGCAAGCAAGAGACAGCTGTCTCGTTCGGCGAAAGCTTTGCACAGCCAAATTCGCGTGCCTGGAAGAACTGCAAAAGACACGGTAGCTTGACCTTGCCGTGTCGTGTCTTTTCTCCAGCCGAACCTTGGCCAGTGTCCGGTTATTCATCTCAAGAATGCAGGTCCCGCATCGATGTGAGCCCCAATCCTTCTTTCTATTGGATGTTCCGATCGCGGTCTTCGCCAAAGAAATACGTTAGCATTTGCGGTCAAGAGGGGCGGATCTGAGGGGACTTCCTCTTACCTTGAGTCGGACGTGATCGTCGCACACATAGTGTTTCCTATCGTACAGACCTGTCCCATATATCAGTTTGTATGCTATGATTTCCCACTGTTGCTGCTAGGTCTTTCCATTCCTCATCCTGAACTTACCTAAGGCAAGGACATCAAGGTGTGTCTCTAACTCAGACAGGATGAAAGCCTAGCAGTCGAGCAATGAGCCCGTCGACTCATTGATCTCGGTAGATTACGTGCTGTTCAATAGCCATGAGTTTCAGGTCTCATCTTGCAATGCTATCTGACACTGCCGCTGAGGAGAAGGTGGAGGGGAATAAGAAGTAACTGTCGGATCCAGGCTTGTGTCGCCGGAGTGAGGTAGAGGCTAACGCGTTGGCTTGAGAGAGCTCACTACTGCCGGACTAGATGAGCTAGAAGAGAAGAGTTAAACCACGGACAAGGACATCCGACGGGCCAAAGGGAAATAGGGAATAGCAGTGAGATGAACGAACAGGGAGAAGGCAGATAGATTCTAGGGAATATTCACTGGAGTCCAAGTGATAAGGAAGGAAGGAGGGGCTCACTTCACTCACTTGTAAGGTGGACGGTCAAGTGCCTGCTGTCATGTGAGTGTACTGTGTGAGAAATTGCTGCCTAGGTGGGTGCCTTACGTGTTATGGCTCGGTTTGTATACAAATTCCAGGATCTGTCGAGGAAGTTTCGATGATAGATTTACTTTCCATAGTTACTTCTTGGGCTCTAAAGCAAGTAACATTCCTCTATCTACTGAGATATTCTAGTTCGTATGGGCTGTGGGATGAATCCTGACTGGGTTTAAAAGAAGCCAAGATGAACCAACACTTTCAGCTTCTTGAGACTGGATTAACTCTAATAGAACCTGTCTACTATCGAAAGCTTCCTGCCAAATACTGGTCTCACAGCGACCTCCATTCACGACTGGCTCGGACCAGACAACTCCATCTGGAAAAGAGTCTCCCTCATCGAAGCCATCACCAGCGGCGTGATCCTCGACGGCCTCAGCCGAACAGGAAGCCATCATGTCTTCGCCAAATCACCCCAACCATCCTCCTCCTGGTCCACAGCGGACTACACGCTCTTCCCAAACCTCGCCTCACGAGTCCTCGCCAACCTCCCCGCCATCCAAGAACCCAACGCCCTCGCCCCGGGCCAACTCACCAGCATCCCCGCGGAGATGAACATCACAGCGGCTTCTCCATGCAAAACCTCCTAGCCAGTTATCTACCTCTCCATGTCCATCCTTCTCATCCACGTCCTCCTCACCACACTGCACGTTCTCTCTCTTACGTCGTCCGCAACCACCATACCTCGTGCAGCTGGAGCACCGTCGGGCGAGCTGCTCGCGCTCTCCCAAAACCGGCAGCCTGCGTCCACTGTGCTGCAAGCTGCAGAACATCGGGGGCGGGATCGCCCGCTCGAGCACATAGCGCAGATCGCGAACATTCGCGTTCGGCAGACACTCGGGTTGATGGCGGATCACGGCGACGAACACGCACATGCACAGCAACACGTCGAGTTGGTATTCGGCGAAAGCCCGCAAGCCCTGATTCGTGATATGCAAGGAGTCCTGTCGGCGTAGCGCATGGCTCCGCGAGAAGTTGCATCTACGTCATCCGGCTCTGTGGCCGGACCGGCGCTTCGGGGTGTTGATGTCTGCGTCAGCGGAGAGACTGGGGCCGCAGATCTCGTCGGAGAGTCAGACGATGATTGGGATAGTCCTGTTGAGTCGTTTGTATGGATGAGAGGCTTCCCGGTGTTGTCTGGGCTTGCCTTGAAGACGGAGTGTCGTGAGTAACGAGACATAACCTTTGTATGAATGTGTGTAGATAGTGAGTACATATTTCAACTGAGTAGCGTCAGCTCTGTTTTCGTCCGGTCTGGAGACAGTGTATAAAGATGTAAGATGAGATTATTACCTACATGCAAGTAGGTGCAGATCAAGCAAGCGGTGGTGAACACTAGAAAGAAAACATGTGACTGGATCAATTATCAACCAAGCGATATTATTGACAACCTGGCATCACATGATCTATCTTTGATACCTTATCGTAGAGCAGTGCCAATTCATGACATCTACTGCATAACCCAAACATCATACCCACTTGTATAAACTACAACACAGCCAAGACAGGAATTGCAAATCGAAAGTGATGTTTCATTCGTTATGTCAAGTCAAGTCAAGGGAAAGAAAGAATTAGAAATCCGAGCAGGATATCATTGCTCATCACGTAGATAAGGGGTATTTCTGTGCATGCCAAAAGAGCTCATCCGTTCATGACTTTTTCTGAGTTGTTGGGAAAGATTGAATAAGAGAGCCAGGGGAAGAAGAAAGAAGCACATGGTATATTGAGTTTCAAGAGGCATATATCATCGTTTCTAATTCTCCATATGTTCAACAACCCAAGAACAAGAAATAAAGTGATAGCGAGAAAAAAAAAAAAGGAAATAACGTTAAGAGGTTGAAAAAAAGGAAAACACACAACACTCAACTCAAGCTTAAGACTCCCCAAAGTACTTGCGGAGGAATTTCTCTACTTCCTTGTAATCCTTCTTGGCCTGTGTGAGGGTCTTCTGGATGTTCTTCAGGGACACCTCGTCGTCGGGTTCGTCGGTCGAGCCCGTCTCGTCCTTGCCGGCGCCGAAGTGCTGGATCTTCTCGCATGCGTCCTTGACCTTGATCAGGCCCAGAGTGGCGGACGATCCTTTCAGGAAGTGACCGAGTGACGAGAGCTCTGCCAGTTTCTTTTCCTCTCTGTTGGATGGTTAGTCTAGTCTGTTTTCTCTAACTCAAAACCAGCTGAAACCATCCGAATGATAAAACACTTACAAGGCCTTCTCCATCTTGTCAAAGGTGCTTTCCGCCTGGTCGAAGAAGCCAAAAACAATGCCCTTACTGAACTCCCGGTCGTCGTCGTCGTCGTCCATCTCGAGAATCTGGTCGAATGTGTTCTGGTCGATGAGGTCTGTCATTGAATCAAGGTCGGCGGGAGTGTCCTCCTCCTTCGGCTGCTGCTGAGTCTGAGGCTGAGATTGAGACTGCGACTGCGACTGGGGCTGAGACTGAGACTTGGGCTGGAGGACAGTTAGCGGAGTCAGACGCACAGACTGACGCCTTCATGAATGTGCACACGACATACAGGTTCCTCCACGGTCTTGGTGGTAGTGGTCGGCGCCATGGTGTGAGATATGTGATCTGCAAGTCTCCCTTGAACGGTGATGATTTGTAATAAAAACTAAACACCCCTCACAACAGATCGCAAACACTAATGTAGTGACGGTCCGATGGTTGCCGAACGGTGAATATTCGTCAAGAGTAGGGCGCGTAGTTATTCGCCTGTTTTAAGTGTTCCGGATCCCCAGAGGGAGTTTTCCTTTTTTTTTTTTTTAATGTCCACGCGAGTACTGAAATTACAGAGCGATCTGCGAGATTCAAAAAAATTCGAGGTCAGTTTGACAGTCCACGAATCCATGACGAACGTTACAGAAGCTCGACTTGATCTGGATTTGCAACATGTTGCCCTACGCAATAAGGATATTACGCGGGAAGGGCGCAGAGAGGAGGGGCAGAAGAAAAGGCACAAGGGGAAAGAAGGTCAACGAGGCAATAGAACGGTTTACAAGAGTCAAGATAGGGTAGGACAGACGATGGATTCACCAGAGGGGAAGCAGGTGGCGTGGCAAAAGGGCACACACAGATCGAGAAGTAGAGCAGGGGTGTGGATGGATAAGAGGACAGGGAAATTCCGAATTCAACAAGAGAGAAAGAAATCCAACGAGTCTGACAGGTAGATCTCGACGGAAGAGGAGGAACAAGGGGAGTTGAGTTGAAATGAAGGGTGGGTGAGAAGAGCAGAACCCGAGAGCCAATATCAACCAGCCACAGCCCGAAGTGGATGATGGGTCCACATGGGAAGGATGAAGAGGTCAGGTCGAAGAGGAAGAAGTACAATCAGACGAGGGAAAAAGGGCAAGAAAGACGAAGGGAGGGGTAGGTAAGGTCAGGTAGATTGACGGCATTCCCATCCAATCAGTCCGGCAATGATTTAATTCCATCAAATCAAATCATGTCGAATCGCGTAGAGCAGAAGCATGGAAGCAAGCAAATCCATCGTCAAGACGAGCATCCATTCGTTCATCAGAAACAAACGTCGAGGGGTATTGGATTTTTTTTTTTCCCACCTGATGCCAGTTCGCCCCAACGCCGGGTATATTGCGAAATGAGGCTGCTAATTAAGCCGAAAATAAACGGTATCAAAGTGACAAGATAAAGAAAAGTCAAAAAGAATAAAAAACAATTATGAAAAAAAATGCGGGAATAAAAAAAAAATCAAACGGAAGGAAAAGAGGGGGAGAGGAAGAGAGAAGAAAGAGAAGAGGATGGATTAGGTAGACCGTAGATTAGGCTGGTGGGTGTTCAGAGTGGAGGAGGCAGCCAAAGTCAAGAGGAGTGACGCCGATGGAAGCAGAGAAGAAGGAAGAGAAAAAGAGCAACCGATGGGTTTATCGGCGGGCCTTTTTCTTTTTTCTTTTCTTTTCTTTTTTTTTTTTTTTTTCTTCTCTTCTTCTTTTCTATTTTCTCCTTAAGCGCGTTGGCGATGAACCAAAGAAAGTGGAGGGGAAGGGAGAAAAAAAAAAGAAAAGGAGGGGAGGAACAAAGTGGGTTTGCCGTCGCATGTCCGAGACTTCGTTCTGAAGGCCTCCCCCAGGTACCGTTGGATTAATGATTATTGATTATTGGTCTGGGGGAATTAAATCATCGTACCAAAGAAATTACGTTCTTACATCTGGAATTGAAGTCCTGGAAGTGTTCACCCATCAATCACCCTGAGTTCCGTCTCGTTCGGAATTCTTCGTCGACCGATTTCTCAAGAGGCGGTCAACCTCATTGGACACCGACCAAGTGGACTGCGCCTAATGAGGTCGGTATAGAAGGGGGGGGAATGGAGGCTCGACTGGTGGGGAATCGCATTGCAGACCGACGATGATCAATCCGTCTGTGGTTTGGTCGAGCAGAGAGTCGAGAAGGAGAGGAGAATATGGCGGATTAAAAGAGAGGAAACTTTAGCAGTAGATATGCTGCAAGGTTGATGCCAGAGGTTGAATTCCCTATCAGATTGAATATATCTTCCGTACGGTGCATGCGGTTGTTTGAATACCGCCTACGCTGCCCTGTGAGGTTGGAAATTGCGATATATCATATCATCGTCATTGCTGGGATTTTTTTCAATTGAAAGACATGCTAAACATCCCACCACAACCAGGGCAACCGATTGGACTATTATTGTGGGGAATCACTAGAAAAAAAGAAAAAGGATAAGAAGAAAACAAAGGCAAACAATCACACCAATTCTGTTCATATTTTGTCTTTTCTCGACCCCTCGAGATAATGTTTCTATCATTCTAGCGCCCTTTTTCTTCCTTCAAATTTCTAACAATTCTTCCGCAGGGGATCCCCAGGAGGGTCGAAGATCTAAAATGAAAGATTGTGTAGGGCCAAAAGCAGCGCAAACCCCACTTCTGTGTGGGATGCACGTTGAACTCATCGGACCACCGCTGACGTCGTTTGAGATCGAATGCCCACCGGCCATTGGTCGCATGCAGCCAGACCCACCCACCCTTCCGAACCTACGGCTCTGACTAATCGCTTTACATCATCGGAAGCTGACCCTGCCAATGACGACGCTGGACACGTGGGAAGGCATCGTGAGCCCGTGACGATGCTCGAAGGTGTATAACATTTGCCTGCACCGTGGATGGCCGTCGGACCACTCCGAGGTTTCTTTTGTTGTTTGCGGTCAGTTTGAAAGGGTCGGACGAAATCAAGAAAAATAAAGCGAGAAGAGGAAAACAAGGGAGGACAGGTTGCAGCATCGTGATCCCCGAGAAATGGCGCAGACCAGCCACCCAGATCACCGCAGGACGGACCCTACCTTTTCTTTTTCTTTTTACCTTCATTTTTGGTTTCCAGTTCCCCGAGGGGAGGGTCTGGCCCCTCCGGGACCGGTCCAAATTTAGTCCTGGAGTTTGCTCGGCCGGAGGAGGCAAAACAAGGGAGTTTCACCCGAGTCTTGCAAGGGATTCAGTGGCCTGTACCAGCCATGCCAACTGCGGGGTGACGGTTCAACCATAAGGCTATAATGAGCAATCACCAGCCCGTCCGATGAATGACGGAGTCGCTACGAGACTGGCGTACATTTGCAAACGGGCGACCTGCTGAATGCGACGGGCTGGGATTCTGTTCTGGAATCTGGATTCTGAATTCTGGTGACTTTTTCTACGCTTCCCAGCCGAACCAGCAGGCAATCGTGGGGTTCATAAAGGCGAGCCGTGAACTCGAGGAGGCTAGACCCGGCCTATCACGAGAGGTCCAGTGGAGCCATGACATCAGGGCGGGGCTGACCAGCCGCCAATCCGCGGCCGCCGCTGACGTTGGCGGATGCCGTGCCAAGACCGCCGAAGCTTGGGCCGCATTCCAGACTGAGATGGCATTTCAACAATGTAAATTGCCATTCACTGCCATTCACTGTACGGAGTACACCGCACAGTGTAACCCTCTCCGTACTCCATATACTCTGTAGTCTATACAGCAGAATGGCTCGTGCAGGCCCTGTCAGGCCCTGTCAGGCAACTGGGGTTAGCCTTCGCTCCACTCCTCGAAGAATTTACACGGTTTAAACATTATTCACCTCGATCCACCTGGCAAAGATTATCCCAGTTAAGCATCCCAACGGTCCTCGGTTGGAGGCTGTCTGGCCAGATATATAGTTATCGCCGTCCATCCCTCCATCTGGACTGGTGATGTCGGTGGAGGGACTGGAATCCTTCCATCTGCGTGTGATCCGATGCAGCCTCCGTCCGACCCATGACATCACCCTGCAGCCCAAGGGAACTGACGTATGTCGTACTTTTTCCCGTCAGCTTACGGTGTACGGATACTCCCAATGGACTGCCAGAAACTATCGCAGTCGACGGCTCTTACTCTTTTGGTTAAGAGCAGGAGGTAGTACGACTGGCACTGAAATTGGCATCAATTAGCGATATGCCGAGGAGTGCCCCGTCTCATGATCCCTACCGTTAATGGTCTGGTCTTTTGCCGGAAATCTCTACTGCCGATGCACCCACTGTACGGAGTACACCGTACTCAGTATACACCTATACACTTACCTCCATCTCGTCCATCCATCTACCATATACGTGACCTACATTATCTCCCAGATCAACCCTAATGATGATAAACAGTCTCAATATTCCGTCTTTCCAGGCTCAAAAACCATCAATCGGCCGACCAATCACAGCCCGCCATCCAGAACAACCTCGGACCAAACATGCCTTACATAAGCGCGCGCGCTCAACCTCAACAATTCAACATGCGGACAGATTGGCTCCACGAAGATTTGGTTTCGCGTCGCCGAGTCTCATCCATCGACAGTCCTAGTGTTCGGTTCTCTCACCTTGAAGACACCGACCAGAGAAGTCAATCGATACAACCCAATTGACAATCCACCATCCAGACCAACCAGTCCGACTCAACAGCCTCTATCCGACCACCCAAAATGCCTTCCAAACAACCCTCCAAAGGCCCCAAAGGCCTCACCCGCCTCTACCTCATCCTCTACAATGCCCTCAGCTTCGCCCTCTGGGCCACCTGCACCGTCCGCGGCCTCTACCTCCTCGTCACCACCATGATCCTCCCCGCGACCAGCAGCAGCAGCAGCAGCGACAGCGAAACCATCATCAACACCGCCCTCCCCGCCATCTTCAACGACATCTACTCCCCGCTGCTCCTGGGCACGCAATCCCTCGCCACGCTCGAGATCCTACATAGTCTGCTCGGCCTCGTGCGCGCGCCCATCTTCACCACCGCCATGCAAGTCGCTAGTCGGCTGCTGGTCGTTTGGGGCGTTATGTTCCTGTTTGGCGGCGAGAGCGGCAAGGGGGCCATCGTGGGTAGTGTGCAGAAGGGCGCGCAGACGGGCGATTTCGCTTTCTTGGGTTGTTTGACCGCGTGGGGTGTTACCGAGTGTATTCGGTATGGGTTCTTTGCGTTGCAGGTTCTTGGGTCGGGGGTGCCGGGGTGGTGGACTTGGTTGAGGTTCGTTTTTTTTTGTCCCATTATTTCCCTTCGTGTTCTTGCACCCATATTTTCCTCCTTACATTCTTGTTGTTTTCTGGAGGGGGTGGTTCTAGGGCGTGGTGATGGTGATGAGGGACTGACGACTGACTGGTTCCAGATATAACACGTTCTACATCCTCTATCCGCTCGGCATCACCAGCGAATGTGTACTTGTCGTCAAGGCGCTTGCGCCGGCGGGTGAGTTGGAGCCGCTATATCAGTGGTTTTTGATTGCTGTGTTGGGGATTTATGTTCCTGGTATGTTTATTTCCCTCTTTCCTCTTCCCCTAGTTTATAGTGTTCAGTGGTGTTGGGTTTGGGTTCGCCTGGGTTGTTATTGGTTTAAACTGGAGCATGTCCACCTGGTAAGGACTAGTGCTGACTGGTACGATAGGATCGTATATTCTGTACACGCATATGATTGCGCAGCGGAAGAAGGTGCTGAAGAAGAGGGCGGAGTAGATGGTCCTGATTTCTTTTCTTTAGACGGTTGTGTTCTCTGGGATATGGGAACAGGGTCTGGTTTAGATATCTACCGAGAGGGACTGGTGGTATGGTTGTGACTGGTTGAGTGGACGAGAAGTGCTGTAGCATGGCATACTTAGACAGATAGGAGATAATACTACTGGTAATGTAGTATACAGTTTATCACTAGCTACAGGTCACTAGATGGTATGCTATATGCTATCCATATTCATAGCCTAGATCATATCTCCTTCATGATATCTCGTACAGCCTTGGCCGCGAATCGTTTGCGTTCATGTTCGGGTAATTCCTCGCTCATATCTGGTCATCGTCAGTCAGGCAGTCCGTATCTCAGTAAACCAAAACAAGAGTACATGAGGATAGACAATGGAAATCGCAAATGGTAAGAAGAGACGGGGGGAAGAGAGGGAAATACCTCTAATAGCAGCCATCCTTAACATCAACGCCTCGACCGCATCAACCCTCAACTCATCATCACCTTCATGCTCCGAATCCTCGTCCGGCCGCCCACTCCCTCCACCTCGCTCAATCGCAAACCGCAACCCCACCATCTCGCGCTCCAGCTCGTTAACTTCCAGCCCAAAACCCGTGTCCTCGTCCTCGTCGGCGTCCGCACCGAGCAGCATCTTCTCGATCTCGTCGGCCTCGACATCGCCGTCCTTGTCTTCGTCGTCAGAAAGAGACAATGGCGCCCAGTCGTGCGTTTCTAGGACTTCGCGGATGCGGCGCAGGCCTTGGTATTCTGTTTCCTGTTAGCCGTCTATCCATGCACCCCAACAATGTCTACACAGCAGAGCTTGCAAGGGACAAAAAGAGGTGTGTTAAGGGAGAGAACATACCTCCAAACTGATTCCTCTCCTCCGTCTCCTCCCCCCCTCCAGCCTTCGGATCCCAACTCACAACTTCCATCCCAATCAACCCCATCTCATATAATTGATCTTCCCACCAGGGGACAGAGAACGGTTCCTCGGCATCGACATCCAGATCTAGATCGCCACCTAGATCGGCACTTAAATCACCCATCCCTGAGCCCTGCCCTCCTCCTCCTCCTCCTCTCCCACCCCCTAGATCCTGTTTCTTCTGCTGGCCCGTCGCACCTTGCCCCCCTCCTCCCACCAAAACAACCAGTCCAGGTACATCCCCCAACCCACCCCTCTCCTCCTCAATCAAAGCGCGCACGTCCCCAACCGCGCGCAGAAACTCCCTAAGTCGATCAACCTGCGTCTGCGTCTCCGGCGCTATCTCCGTCTTTGAACTTGACCCGGAAGCACCAGAAGAAGAAGAAGAAGAAGAGGCCCCGGGGGTCGGATTCACGATACACAAAACCACCGCGCCAATAGCATCCCTCACGACTTGGGCTTCTGGGCCGGAGAATTCTTTTTTCCAGAGCGAGGGCGTGGTTATGGGTTCTTCTATTTGTTCTTGTTCTCCTTCGAATTTGTTCGCGGACTGGGGCTGTGCTGGCTCTGCTGTTGCTGTTGAGGTTGAAACTGGGGGCAAGGATGACTCTCCCTCCAGCGCAATCTCATCAACCCAAACCGGCACCTCAGCGACATAATACCGATTACGGATCTGCAGGGGCGGATGGGTCGTGTAGCCTGCGAAACTCGGTGTTGTTGTAGATGTAGCTGTGGCTGTAGCTGTAGACGGGGCCTCGAGGACCGGGGTACCGGTGAGGGCGTGCAGGAAGGGAGGAATGGTGGTGGGGGAATGCGAAGAGGGCGAGAGGATGAGGAGGCGGCGGGGGTTAGGGATTCGTTGTTGTTTTTGTTGGTGTTGCTGGGACGGGTCTTGGGAGGTGGTGGTGGGCATTTTGGATGTTTATTGTCGGTTAGATCATGAGCTTTTTGGTTATGCGGTTTGGATTGAGAAAGGTAGGTGGTTAAGGGAGTTGTACCTAGAGGAAGAAGAAGAAGGATGAATGCGGGGAGAAGACGAGACGAGCGGAGAGCAAAAAGCTCCGTCGGACTTCTTCCTCAGTCCCTGACCATCAGTAGACCAACAGCTCAGCTCTACACACCATGCAACCTCCTATAATTGAACAAACCACTACAAGAACCTTAATCATCAAAACGATTTCAAACTAGGTATTTTCTTCTTTTCCTCGACCAATCTAAAGTAGATAGATAGATAGACCGACCGACCGATCAAACCCATTAAACAAAACAAAAGAAACGCCGCCATTTATTCAGTAATAAAAAGAATAATATAAAAAAAGGAACCCCCTCAATCAACATCAAACTCATCTACCCTCTCCTCTGGCCCCTCGCGCGCTGCACCGTGGCCTTACCACGAGCAAGACCGACACCTCTGCCGCGCTGGCCTCGAGAACGGAACATGGGCGCGTTTCTATGATCAATTAGCATCCTCACTTATTGCCATTCGGATCCTCTTAAATCCACCAAGGGTATATATAGAAGAGGAACATACCGCAACATGTCCGGCACGATGAAGAACCGCACGTGGCTGCCGCGGATATACACCTGGTCGAGATGCGACACGCGACCGTCGCGCGCAGTGACAGTGATATCTTTCAGTTGGACGTTCATGTTATCTTCGGCTGTATTTCAAGAACACGGTCAGCGCTCGTTTACATGACTTTATTTGTTTTGACACCGGTGTATCGATCGAATTGCATGATTTGGGGGGGGGGGAGGTAAGGTAAAGTCGAGTGAAGGAAGAAAGACGAACCCTCAAGAAGTTTTCCGCGATACACCACCCCCGAAGTGATTTCTAGCGTGACGACGTGGCCCTGTCAGAGGTATGTTAGCTATTGCCCCTTCAAATGTATGACCGGACTAGAAGCAGAGTATAGGGGATGCGAACGAACCTGCGCCTCATTGAGCAATTTGATCGGGATTCCGATCGTGCTGGTGAGCTTGCCCATTCTGTGTCGTGGTTTGACTCGAACTGACGGGTCAAGGAAAAGAAGGCAAGAAGGTCGCTCGAACAACAACGAGCGCAATTGACTAGGTCTGGAACACGACCTGTTGAACAGGGGAAAGAAAAAAAGGTGAGATGGAAGACCGACAGACGTGGAGTGGAGGACAGAAGAGGGAGGGAAGTTTCCGCCGGCGGGAAGTTTTGCGGCTCTGCTTAGCTTGCTTTGCTGGGTTTCCGCCCGGCAGGATCTCCTCTCTTCCACCCTCTTGCTATTTACATCTACATTCAATTCCTCCACACCAACCAATGAAGTGAATCAAACAGAATGAACCCCCCAAACACCAATCTCCGAGCCTTCAACCTCGCCGTCTCCACCCTCCTAAAAAGCCCCGCCCAATTCCTCCCACACCTCACCATCCCGACCATCACGCATCTCCCCGAACAAATCGGTCCTGTCCTCGAATCGACCTACGCCAACACCACCTCCCAAGAGAAACCCAAACCCATCACCATAAAAGCCCTAATCCTTGACAAAGACGCGACCCTCTGCGCCCCAAAAACAACCACCTTCCCCCCTCAAATCCTCGCCAAACTAAACCACCTCCGAACATCCCCCACCTCGCCCTTCAACAAAACCACCGCCCCAGATTCAATCCTAATCGTGTCGAACCGCGCGGGCTCCCACCCAACCTACGATGCCGAGATCAGCGCTCTCGAAAAGAACGGACTCCAGGGGCTGGGGATCCCCATATTCAGACTCCCCCAGGGGAGCGCAAAGAAGCCGTTTTGCGGGGCGGAGGTACTGGCCTGGTTCCGAGAGCGGGGGGTCGTGAAGGGACCAGAGGAGATTGCCGTCGTGGGGGATCGGTTGGGGACGGATGTGTTGATGGCGAAGGAGATGGGGGCGTGGAGTATTTGGTGCAAGGATGGGGTGACGGAGGGGGTTGATCCGAGGAGGGAGAGGGAGGGGTTGAATATCCTGGAGAAGATGGAGGCGTGGGTGGAGAGGTATTTGCGGGAGTCGAGGGGGTTGAAGGCTCCGGCGCCAAAGGGGTGGTTGGATCAGTGATGCGGAGCTGTTCAACTGGGGAGGTGAACTGTGTTTAGAGATACCCATGTAGACTAGCTAGACTGTATCTATACTCCATGGTCAAGTGCCACGGACTACTGATATTACTGATACTCTTCGTCAAGGCCTACAATGATTACTCGGAAGCAGGTGGAGCTTGATCTGACTGGATTGTTCCTCGACTGTCGTGCGAAGAATATCTCAGCTTCGCAACGACCAGTGCCGTTTATCTAGCTAATGCATCGACAGGATCCAACTCAGACCAGACACCAAAAGATGACCATCACAAAGGGAAAATGCAAACAATTCCTAACCCGCCGACCCAAAAGAACCAAGGAAAAGGAAATCCAAGAGAATCTCGCCATCTGGATGGCTTTCTGGCATAACCACGTTAAAAGGCCCCGGTCCAATATATAAAAGAAGAGAAAAAGATAAAAGGGGAGAAGAATGGAAAAGCCCAGTCAGACTGGGTAAAAGGTAGGGAAAACGCTCAAGGACCAGCCCTACAGGAGAAGGGTATTAATACACCAAAAAAAAAAGAAATCCAAAAGGGATCAAAAGAAGAATGGAAGAAATCAAAAAAGTCCCAAAGAGAAATGGAAAGTTCCAAAAAGAAAAGAAAAAAAAATGGGAGCATATCAGAAGAAAGAATAGATATGTCCTCTTCATCATCATCAACAGATGAGGTACAGAGCTACCTCAAATTGCCGATCCCTCAAAAGGGACGTTCGCGTAAAATGATAAGGCAACAAGGTTGCCTGTTGGATATAGATGATATCCTTGTCGTTTAAGAAAGACCTTCGCATACGAGGATCGAGCCATAACGCCAGATTCTGTCATATCAAGAGCAGTAGCTGACAGACATGGTCTCAACATCAGACTAAGTCACTCGGACTAGCGGTATCAGATAGGTTGTTCACGACCTCGGGCCCAGAGTGTTCGGATCGACATTGTCCAAAGAGCTCATGCCTTGGTAGTCGCCCTGGACGCCAGGGGAAGAATGGCTTCCAACACTCTGAATGGGCAGATCAAAAGTATTGCCTTCATATCCCATCGAGGTCGGCACGGTGAAGTTCATGTTATGCTTGGGATACATGTTGTTCATCGACATGCCCTCGTCGGCAAAGTTGGCTTGGTGGTCGTTGCCCAAACCATAAATTTCCTGGGATGCGTGATGCATCGTTGACAGCGGAGGCGAATGATCCGCGATCAAGGGGTCAGCGTGGCCGACGGCGGAGTACGGAGACGCCGACTGCGCCAGGCTCGACGAGTCAACCTGGGGAGAAACGAAGGACATGTTGAACGGGGTGCCCATGTTCGAGGCAACGGGAGTGGAATCACCATGCCCAGCGGTGAACAGGCCAGGACTGGCGAAATCGGAAGGAGAGGCCGTTGTGGCAGCCGACATGGGATGGCGCGGGTCAAATCCGTAGGCGGCAGAGGTATCGATACGGAGGTTCATCGCCAACGGATGCGCCTGCTGAGGCACCGGCGCATAGATGCTCGTCTCCGCGTGGTGGAAAGGGGACGGGGTCTGGGGCATGTTGTACGAAGGCAGCGGCGCCTGCATGGCAGAAAAGTCCACGGCCACTGGAACGGACCGGCTGCGCTGACGCTTGTGTCCTCGAGCCGCCTGGACGGTCAGATGCGAGTGGTTGTCCTGGAACATGCCCAGGAAGGGCGGCGGCTGCACGAACTGGTTCGGTTGCGAGGCGGGCCGTTGAATGAAGGGAGGCGTGGAGACGGGTGCGCTCATGGGAAAGCTGCCGTATGCCAGGCGGTTCTGGAAAGACTCCAAAGACACCAGCTTGGCTAATTGAACGCTGAGAACTTTGGGGTGACCTCCGAGGTGGTGAACCATCAACTGACTCGCCTGCTGGTCCTCTGTGAAATCGCCGCACTGGTAAAAACCACCCGAGTTGGAGGAATCCATGTAGAACATGGGTGGGCGGTTGAGTTCCACCACGAGACCACCAGGACGAGGAGGGACACCGTTAGCCTGGTTGGATTGGTCTCCGGACTCCAGGGTGATGTTCTTGATGTGGGAAAAGGGGTATTCGATCTTGTATCCGGCCGAGTCGTTGTTGATGTAATAGGTCATGCAGGCCTTCTCCGGGGAGTAAAAGACCACCAGGTCCATGGCATTCTGTCCGATGCGCCGCCAGCTACCGATTGTCAAGGATCGACAGGTGAAGTGGTGGATCACCACCTTACCCGAGGGAGTGGCTTCGTTGGGGAATCCGCCGCTGGTTCCGTAACCTCCGGTGCGGCCAAAAGGATCGCGCGCACCAGGTTTGCTGGGATCGAATTGCATAGCCAAGTATTGGCGCATCGATTCAGGGATTGAGTCGCAGCCTTCGCCGGTTTCAATGCTCTTCTTCGCAAGCATCTTGATCTTGGCACGTCTAAACTGCCGTTAGCAAACCTGCTAGTCCCACCATGAACTGCGCAACAATTCCTGATAACGCACCTGTTTTGAAACCAAATCTGAACCGACCGCTCAGTCATGTTGATATCCTGGGCAATTCTTTCCCGCGTGGCCGCCGTCGGCGTAGGGTTCTTGTTGAATTCCAGTTCCAGAGTGACCAATTGGTCTTGGGTGGCGCGTTGGCGCTTGTTGTTCTTCTGTTGTTGGGTCAAGGTGCTCTTTCGCTGAGGGCGCCGGTTGGCGGAGGCCGTGGTGGCATTCGAGACCGTAGGGGATGGGGTCGAGTCGGCGGATGAAGGAGACTGGGTAGTCGGGGCCATAGCAGTGGAAATAGTCGGCGTAGCCGACGGATCAGGAACGTCTGTCGAAGACATGGTTTGCAGGGATTGACCGAGAAAAAAAGGATAGATAATGGAAATGAGGTAGGGAAAGAGGATTCGACCAATTGATGGGAGTGAAGTAGATGAGCTTTTGAAGAAACTCTCAATAGGAGAGAATGTTGTGACGATCCGGTCGACAAGGTCAAAAAGTAAAAGAAAGGAGATGTCTGATACTCTCGATGGCAGCTTCAAGCGCCAAAGAGGAGTCAAAAAAGGATGGGTTGTTTTCAAACGAGTGGCAGCGCTTAGGCAGGAAGTTGAGATGGAGTCGGTCCGGGAGATTTACCAGACCAGCAAGCTTAAGCGGATATAGATGATCGCGTCGCAGAAGCGTCAAGAAAAGAATCTTTCGGGGGAAAAGGATAAAAATAAGCCGACCTATGCAGCTTGGGCAGGTGAAAGAAATTCAGGATCTTCGCAGCTGGGGGAAGGATCGAACAAGGTTCTGATATTGAAGGAGAACAGATGAGCGATCACCGTCCAGAGGTAAGCGAGAAAAAGTGCGCAAGATACTGAGTAAGGGGAGGTCGATCGTGAAAGAGTGAAACGATCGACTGGGGTGAGGATAAACGAGAGAATAGAAAGGAAAACAAAAAAGAGTGAATGGGGGGGAAGAAAAAAGAAGGAAAGATGGTCGATGGGAGAAGGAAAAGAAGGAAAAGAGAGGAAGAGAAGAAGAAGAAGAGAAGGGAAGAAGGAGAAGGAGAGACAAACGGGTGGAGGAGAGAGAGACAGAGAGAGAGTCAGTCAGGAGATGGGGGGCCTCGATCGGGACTAGTGGCAGGCCTGGTCGCGCTGGTTGTTTTGGCACCGGCGGTTCCTGACTTCTCCGTGGGGCTTTTTTTTTTTCTTTTTTCTTTTTCCTTTTTTTGACCTGCCCTGTTCGGTCTCTGTTGCCTGGCCAGATTTTAGGAAACAAAAAAGAAAAACCGGTTGTTACGGGAGTCGATCCCTAATACACAACGATCGAGAACAAGACGGATAATAAATTAATTCCTGGATGTACTGAGAATCATTAATTCCAGACCGTCGACCGGTGCTTATATCATATCCCAGGAACTCTACTCCGGACTGGGTCTTGCCTTATCTGAGGGCGAGAAATCACTAGAAAACAAATAACTCCCCGAATGCAGACCTCCACCTCTTCACACCCTCTTGCTGGAAACTCCCCTGGATTTGGCCCCTGCATCCACGCACATCCGAGGCCTGCTGCCCAATGCTGTTTAGGATGACCCAGCACCCAATGACAACCCACCCCGATGTACCCTGGATGCACACGATGCAGAGGGCTCATGCACCTAAGCCGACCTACCGACCAGCACGGACTAATCGCTCGTCTCCATTTCGCGCCAGCCTTGAACCGAATGGGAGGGAGGATGAAGAAGAGGGGGTGACGCTGACAGCTCAGGACTAGTAAACTATTTCTCCAACTACCAGTCATATACTAAGCTTATCGACGTAGGATTCGTAAGAATATGACAGGTTAACAGTTAACCGTCCGGTCCGACCGTTGCTGGACGGTAACCATGTTGATCGGTTAATGTGAACCTTGACCTGTAAATAAAAAATACTAGTAACAGACAGGAGAACATGAATCGTGGTCCGTAAGAATAAATTCTGTCTGCTAATGTTCGGGGAAAGATGACCCCTTCGGGTCGGTCGATGGCTCTATGGAAGACGGAAGACCGATAGTCGAATCCACCAGACCCCGTTCAGGCCATAGTGCCGGTTAGGATGAACCAGACAAACGGATGAAGAAAACGGAAGAAGACCTGGGCCGTTCGGAGAAATAAATTAATTCCATCTGGCCAGCCTCGTTTATTCTACGAGGACGAGAACACCTTGCACTGAGGCAGTACGGCGTAGGCAGGGAGAACGGAGAATAAAGTACTTCCCAGCCCATGTCCCTTGACTTCAGCTAACGCCAGCTTGGAGGACCTCGTACACCCTACTCCGTACAGTGTACGGTGCACACAGCACGTAGGCGCAGTGATCGGATCCGAAGGAAAGGGTTTCCCAAAAGTGGAGCCAGTAAGCACACCAAGCACGATCACAACCTCTGCCGAATTGACGGTACTTCACGAAAAGATCCTCTGTCGGGTTCTCTCAGACCAGTAGGGTAGGTCAGTAACGGACTACGGAGTGCCGACTCCGTTCACGGCTTAGGGGAGTGGACACACTCGTAGTCATCAGGAGCAGGGGAAGTGGGATGGAAGCGGAAGTGGAAGTGGGAGTTGGGAGAGTGGGAAAGGGGAGAGAGCCGAGAGAAACGCTAGGAAGGGGGAAAAAAAAAAAGAAAAAGAAAAAGGGAGAGAAAAAAGCAAAAAGAAAAGAGAAAAAGAAAAAAGAAAAAAGAGGCTAAGCGCAGACCAAGAACCACACAGTGAACACTCAAATAATGCTAAATCCTCACCCCTCGTGGAACGCAGACCAGCGACTAAGGAGTAACGCACCTGCGACCGAACTGGTTTTACTTCAGGGTCTTGTTTCAAATGATCCGGTTCTCCCTTTGCATCCGTACAGTCTGACGGAGTACAGTAAATGCTGACCGGGTACCTTAACTAGAGCACTTTCCCGCCGAGGATCCATGGTCAACCAAAGTCAATTCTGCTGCTGTGACGTACCGGTCCCTGATCCATCATACCAGCTCTAAGCCCGAGTCTTCCGTCGGAACTACAGTACTACAGTACTACAGTACGGAGTAGCTGCTTGAGCAAGGTCGCTAAGTAAGGTGCACATCCCGAGCATTTCTTTACTATTAATAAATGATGTGTACGGTGTACGGTGCAAGGCACAGCCTTTCCAGCCAGCCAGTTCTTTGGTGAATCGATCCAGGTACCCGCCCTTCCCCGTCGCCACTACGAGCGCCGTGATTGGCGACAAGGACATGACAGCGCCAGGGGTGGAGCGGTCGGCACTCGTGTGCCTGACTAGCATGTATTGTTACATACCTTACCTCGGAGACCGGAATCCAGCCCAGCCTTAAGTACAGGTATATCCTATAACAGTAAAAGAAAAAGGAAAAGATGAAACCAAACTCAGCTACACTTCACACACACCCTGCACGTCGTATCCTGTAAGGTACATGCATAATCCCTGCCCGTTCCATCCCCATCCAGTCTAGTCCCCCAAGCCCAATGATCCGTGCCCGCTAAATGCCTCGGTCTCCATTGGCCCGTCGCCCTCATCGCGGGAACTGGAACCGGAACAAGTCAACTAGCGGCAAACCTACAGCATCAAGTCCCCGACACTAACGGATTTCCTGCTTTGACTTGACTTGACTTGGACTTGGTCAAGGCTGGCAACGTCAGGGACTCTGCGTTGATTCTCGCGGACCGGCGGAGTTGCCATTTCTCTGTACTGTACGTCAAGGTGCAGATATAATTATAGAAGCGACTGTCTTTCTTTACTAGGATGGTTATTTATAAACTTTCGTCTACAGAACAGAGTGCCTACGGTGTATGTAGGTGTACTATGCGTGCAGCAGAATTCAAGGAGCCAGTAAAACTAATCCGAGCAGCCAAACTATAATAAATCAAAACGGACATGCGATTCTATTTCCGGCCAAGTCTGTCTGCCACCTGCCCACCCGCAGTTAGGTACTAGAATCTAGTATCTACATAGTGCAATCCTAGCCTCTCCTTAGTACTATACTAAGCAGTTCATCTCTGTACACATCTACCGAGCCGATCCAACATTTAACACTAGACACATAGCACTACTATTTTACTAAGTACACCTAGACTTCCAGTAGGCCCATCGGACTGTGGAAAACAATCAAAATTAATATATCCCCGGAGCCGACAAACGAGCTAGCCAGAGCCAAGCAGGTTAGTTTCCCGACTCGGTCGTCCTTCACGACCTGCTGATCTATTTTTGACTGGAGGATTGTTCTATGGGTGTCTGGTCCAATGGGAAGTGGTTGATCTATTCTCCTGTCTACTTTTTTTTCACCACTAGTATGGGCTATGGGGTGTTGGGCGATCGGTAAAAATACATACTACTACAACGTGTGAACTTGCATTCGATGATTCTATCTGGGGAATTCTATTTTTGTCTTTCATCGTCTATTTATCCATGTATCTAGCCAGTACGGTGTAGTACATTATCAATCTACAATACCATGTGCATACACATACACAGGATATATGCAAAGTTCGCCACCCTACTTACCCTACCTCGAATTTCCATTCTATTATTGCCTGAGAGGTACCGTACCCGATACCCATAGTAACACAAACAAATCGACCTCGGCCGATCGCATCGCATGATTCAAACAAAGGAAACGTCAAATTGGTTATCCTGCGGTGGGGATCTAATTTGCCCTGCCTTGCCCTGCCTAGTAGATCCCGGATCGATCGTATGACAAGATCGGGCTTTGCTAATACCCAACCAACACTTTCCCTAGTACCTACAGTACGAAGTTGGTTGTTACACGGCGATTCCCAAGGAGGTATGTAGTACCATAGGTAGAAGAGAACAGGCGACTCCCAAGTAAGTATGTAGTACAGTATCATGGTAGAAGATGTTCTAGGTTGTTGGGTTTAATGACCTCGGCGGAAGGGAAATTATACCGAGATAGGGATATATTGCGATTGGATTGTGGTTGTGGGATGGTACCGTCGGTACTGTGCATACATGTCCTCGAATATATCTATAAATGAGTGGAGGGATTTTGGCTTTCCGTTTCATGTGGATAGTACCTACAAAGCAGATCTCTTAGTATCATAGTCACGTACATATCTACGGAGAGTTTTATAATTGATGCGAGTGCTAGTTACAGAGTAACACAAGTGGTTTTATGGGAAGAGTATCTACCTACCTACCACCTTACCTGACGCCTCTCTCTGGCTGATGTTGGATACAGTACCAGCAATTCTATCTATCCTCTTTCCACTCAGCAATAGTTACCCGTCATGGTCGTTCTGGTCATGTGGATCTGGTTGAAAGAAATATATATAGCCGACATTACGGCCAGTATGCTTGTTAATAGAAAAAGCTAGTAGCTTGCCCTCAACTTCATGTCACCTACTATCTGCATATATATACATGCTATGCATTTCAATTTGCTTGCGAGGTCTGATACTATCCGTGTTCAGCCAGACACCGAATAGCTAATCATAAGTTAATAAGCAAAGCAAAACACCCCATTTACTTCTACCAAGTTTATGTTTAAACACCGGAACACCAGTCGAAGTAATATAAGTATGTATTCACACCTCATCATCAATGCCATATACACATGTAGTAACATAATGCAATACTGCCACCATCACCATCATCATCACCATCAACACAGCAACGTACAGTATCAAAAAGGAGCGACAAATAATATCCGGGGTATCCACTTGCCAACGCCAGAACGCTGATAAAGTCAATAGTACAGGACAGAACAGGAACAGAGAAGAAAAGAACCACACCAGGCAAAAAGAAGCAAAATAAAACTATTAACAATAGATGGAGGTGTAGTAAGTAGAAAGAAAGAGAAATAAACAGGTGTATGTATACAGCCATAGGCACCTTTAGCCTCCGCTGCGCTCGTGCTCATTCTTGGAGGTCACTTCAATTGACCCTTCCGGATAGCACCATACCCCTTCGTAAACAGTTCATGGACTTCGACGGATCGTCGCCGAGCATGGCTGACCTCATCATCGGCCACGCTGACAGCAGCTTGCCCGCCAGCCGGACCGTCAACTTCTTCCATTTCGACGTGTCCGTCACCGGTCTTGCTCATGACTCTTGGCCGGGCCAGCAATTCCTGGACCTGTTTCTCGCGAGCCTCAGACTCCGCGACGTCGCGCGCGATCTCGAAGCTGGATTTCTTTTTGCCGTGGTCCCAGCCCTGCTGCAGCTCGGAGGCGGCGGCCTCTTCGAAACGTTTGCGAATCTCCAGGTCCTGCTCGTACTCCTGGAAGATGTCGACGTCGGACGGGAAGAATAACGCGCGAAGGGCGGAAACGGTCATTTCAAAAACGACGACCGCGATGACTGTCAGGAGCAGAACGGCCCAGAAGGCGAGATCGTGGCCCGATTGGAAGATAAAGTTACCCGGGACGTGGTAGATGCCATCGCCGGAGCTGATGTCGTACTGGCGTGACAGGATCAGGTTCCAGACGAACCAGCCGCCGATGGAGATGATCATGACGGCGAGGGAGAGATAGGTCTTGTTGTGCACTTCCAGGGCCTGCAGTTTGGTATTGATGATGATGACGCAGGCGGAGTAGGTCAGAAGACCAGAGGTAAAGATGTCGCTGCCGGTGTGCGTGAAAAGGACGTTGGCGAAGAGCCCGAACATAATAAAGTAGACGGCCATCGCCTCGCAAGTCGCCATGAACGTCCAGCCAAGGTACAGCCGGATATTGAACCCGCCGTGTTGTTGACCCTTGGTGTACAGCTCAGGAACGGCAAGCAATGTCGATGCGGACAGGTCTTTGGTGAAGATACCCAGGAAGATGACGGCTAGCGAGGTGAACAAGGTATTGAACATACTCAAGCCCCATGGCTCGTACAGACTGGTCCCCGTATATCCGTTCCAGCGCTGGTACAGAGCCTGCGTCAAGTAGAACAGCATTTCCTTCCAGAACGTGCCCAAAGTGTACTTGCACGCTCGCATGTAGTTCCATCGTCCGTGTACGAGCAACAATTTCAGCAAGAACCGGAACTGAGCGATAGAGTAGTCTGAAATGCGCGCCGCTTGCAGTCCTTCCTTTCCGGTGATACCAATGCCGACGTGGGCCTCCTGGATCATGGCAATATCGTTGGCACCGTCGCCAATCGCCAAAGTTACAGAATCCTTCACCTGCGTGCGGATCGACTTGACAAGGAACGCCTTTTGCTTGGGACTGGCGCGACAGCAGATGACCGAGTCCACCATGATGGCCAGATTGAAGAACTGAACCCTCAAAGTCTCGTCAGCCTCGATCATACCCAGCGTTTGTCCGTCAACGACCACCACTGAATGCGCAATCGTGCGTTTAGTGAGGTCTGCCGTCAGCTTGACAATCGACTGTTCAACCTCGCCGGTCTCGTGGTCCAGAATCACGAGCGTCGAGTAATCTTTGACCAAGCGACACGAATGGCCGACGTTGATGGCAGTCTCCCGCTTATCACCAGTCAGCATCCACATCTTGATGTTCGCCCGTCTCAGCTTATCCATAGCCTCGGGGACGCCCTTTTGCAATTTATCCTCGATGGCCGTGGCACCGGTCAGCTCGAGTTGCGCCTCGATCTGCTGGCCGACCTGCTCGATTTTCTCCTGTCGGTCGACCAGGCTGGTACAGGCTTCGCGGTATGCCGATTTCCAGGTAGTGTACGTATTCTCGTCGATGAAACGATGACCATACAGCAATGTCCGCAGACCCTCCGTCGCAAAATCATTCAAATGCTGGAAGCAGCGTTCAAAGACAGCGGCTTCATTGACGACCAGACCCTCCTCGACCAGGTCCTCATCATCTTCATTGACCGAACTGCCCGAATCAGAAACGGTAGTAGACGGCCGACCAGTCTGAGTCGACGGCCGAGGGCTGTAATACTCGGCGTCGTTACTCCGATTCAAAATCCCACCGTCCGTCTCCCGATCGCGCAGCCAGACGTCCACGCTGTCCCTCAGGGCGGACACGCGGTGTCCCGAAACGCTCGACCGTCGATGCGTCATGCTAGGCCGACTGAAGCTGGGCCGGGGCCCGCTATCCTTGCGGCTCTGGTATTCGCTGTTGCGTCGGATGACCTCGTTAGCCTCGACCGCCTTGCGTTTGCTGGCACGCCGTTCGATTTCGATCACTTTCTCTTGCGCCAGAGACGCCCGCTTAAGCAGCTGCATCAGAACGCTATCCGCTCCTTTGCAGAGCACGCAGATGCGCTGGTCAGGCATGCGCACAACAACCGACATCCTTTTGCGGGCACTGGAGAACTCGATCACGTCCATGACCTCGTAGACCTCATCGCAAGCCTGACCTCTGTGCCCATTAGGGAAAGTGCGGATGGTCAGTGTGTTGGGTTGACGATCCCAGACAAGGAACCCAAGCTCCTGAGCGGCCATAACCAAGGCCAACTCGTCAGGAGATGCGGCCTGGAAAGTAGTGTGTCCGTGCTCATCAGTTTCCGGGATACAGGTGTGGCACAGGGCGATGGAGAGGATGAACATCTTGGCCTTCCGGGCAAAGACCGTGTACGGCTTGCGCTGGATGTACCTCAGCATGTCGGTCGTGCGGTTGTTCGAATTCGATTGGCCGAATGCCGGCATTCCACGCGCAATCGACGCTGAGCCGGCTCGTGCGAGGTACGACCTAGCCTCTGAAGCATTGGACTTGCGGCCGATGGCCTTCTTGCCCTTGGCGCTGCGCTTCTTGTGGATGAGTTTCTCCCGATCCCCTTCTTTGGCGGCTTCTTCGCGAAGGTCGAAATCGTGGTACCATGCCGTGCCGGCAACACTCATCTTGCGGAAGCGCATAGAGTTGTTGGTGAGTGTGCCGGTCTTGTCGGAGAAGATGTAGCTAACTTGGCCCAGCTCCTCGTTGATGGTCGACGTGCGCGCCTCAATAGGAGTGTCCGTCTCCGGATCATACATGTCGATGTCGGCGTTCAGGAGAAGCATCTGGGCGACCTTGACGATTTCCATACTGACGTAGAGCGAGATGGGAATCATCGTGTTGAACATGATCAGAAACGAGGTGAAGATCGGACCGTAGTCGACGTTGGCTTCGGCGAGGTACCAGGCGTGGCTCTCGACGTCGCGGGACCAGTACTTGTACGCGACCGTGCAGGCCACGGCGAGCAAGACCACGAGAAGCACGATGAGCATCACCACCCGGTTCACCTTGGCCTGGAGGGAAGGGGACTTGATGCGCGGGTTCTTGTTCGCGTTCATACGGATCTTGCACTCCTCACCGGTGTAGATGATCATGCCGATAGCTTGCTCTGTGTTGCGGAGAATGCTGCCGCGGTAGACGATCTCATTGTTGGTCAAAGGCAGCTTCTCATTAGCGGCGATCATCACATTGCCGTCAAACTTGTAAAGGTCCATGTTCGGGTCTTCGACCGCAAAGTGGATCGCGCTACTGCAGATACCGTCGACGGTGCTGCATACCTTAGCCACGGGCTGGCAAGGCTGCTTGTTCTTGAGGTTGGTTTCGCCATCGAGGGCCATGGTCTCGATGTAGGCCACGCCATTGGGCCCGTCCGCGTGAAGCAGGACCATGTCCGCGGGTACCGGCTGATCACGCTCCAGCTTGACGACATCCCCGACTTTGATATCTTCCCATTTGACGGGAGCCCAGTTCCGATCCTCACTTGATATCGAAGCGTTGTCGTCGGTTGGTGACTGATCCGCAAATGCGACGCCCGGACGGAGCACAGAGGCAAAGCGGTTATTTTCCTCTTTATCCAGACGATACCGGCGCCAGTCATCAAAACCTTCCTTGCCCATGGAAATTCCAACAAAGATCAGAAGCGGGATCAGCGTGGTGAAGGTACCCGTAGTACTCAAGCCGGGAATCATCTGCAGAATCGCCACGACCAGGAAATAGAAGTTAGCCAGCTTGGTGAACTGTGCCCACAGCTGCCGAGGGAAGAAACTCCAGAAACTGTATCGACTGGAACGGATCCAATTGCCCACATAGGCCTTCCCCGTTCGCTCATCGACCAGAGTCTCCGTGCGCGTAGGGTCGAGATCGACGTGGCGACCATCCTTGCTCGGCGGGATTTCCTTGATCTGAAGGATGGTCTTGCGCACAGCTTCAAGCATGGCCTCAATGCGGGCCTGAAACGTCGCAATCATGGCTCTCTTCTTCAACCAGCGCTCATGCGAAATCGACATGGAAAGATGTCTGCCTTGCTTGAGGCCCTCGGACGGTTCCGAGACGTAAGTGGTCGAAGTCCCATCTGCCGAATTGGACTCGGGCATCGACGTCTGTGCTACCAGGACATGGCTCTTCTCGGTTTCCGTCGAAATACGAGGTTGTCTCGCGACGTCGTCTTGCTTCTGCGGGCTTTCCGGCAGCGAGGGTTCCTGCGGACTTTCAGCCTGCGGACTCACGGCGTCGCCCAATTCGATAGCCCCAGGCGAGGTCCCGCCCGACTGGGTCTGGATATTTTTCGCAAAGATCGTTCGTCGCAGCGAGTATCCACGATTTCGGGATCGAGAACGACCGGCCGAGTCCGGGCTCTGGGGCGAGGTAGGAGAGAGAGCATTTCGAGGCGAGAGAGGAGAGGTAGTGCTTCGTTCCGGAGACCTGCCGGAGGAAGTTTGCTGCGCGATATCTGTATTGATGGACAGCCCTCGAGAGCGTCGTCGATCCGTCCGGGGCTGTTGTTGCTGTTGCTGGCTAATCTCCTCCGCTGTGGGACGTTCGAGGTCGGTCGAAAAACGCACATGGTGCTGATGGGACGAGCGTCGCCCGGAATCCGACAGCGTTCGCGAAGGAGGCATGGACGGGCGTGAAGAGACGAGGGACGGTCGGCCCTGCCCGATACTATGTCGCGCGGGAATCACATTCAGAGAATGACTCCGCGGAAGAGACCCCGATCTCGACCCCGGGGCAGAATTCCCCGTGGGCTCGGATTCCCCAGACATTGGCCTTGTGTGTTCGGTCTCGGTGGTCGTTTCCTGCGGATATCGATTCGACTGCGTCTCCGCATCTTTGTCGGACATAGCGAGGCAATTGGTGTGTCTCGATCGGATCGGCCTAAAAACAAGGTGGAATGTGTATGCTCAACCGGTTCTGCGAACGAGTTGCCGGATTATTTTCCGAGCAGGAAACAGTCTTCCTTCCCAATCTCACGCAACGTATATCCTCAAAGAGATATATAGCTCGAACAGCTGAAACAGCGAATGGGTGGTGCAGGTATAGTTGCGATTCTGGCTCGGGAGAATATAGCCTTGGCTCATTCTTTCAATCTGGCGGAGAAAAAAAAAAGGGAAAAGAAAAACGTTCCCTTTCACAACATCCACATGGGTTGCCCAATGACGTCGAGATCGGCGACCAGGTGATAGCGAACCTTGCAGCGTAATTATAATCTTCCGCAGAGCAGTGGAGGCAGTCGAAGACAAAGCGCGATAGGAGCGAGCGAGGGATTTGCGAGAGCGCGAATGAGGCCCAACGGAAACGACAGTGGGGGAAGGTCGGGCTGTAGGTGGTGCCGTCGAAGGCGGGAGGACTGTACGGAGTAAAAGTTGAGTCCCTGGGTCCCGAAAGAATAAACAAACGAAGGAGAGCGACGGCTGGGAGAGGGCAGAGAGATAAGAGCAATGCAAAGAGCAGAGCAGAACGGGGAAAAATGTCAACAGGACCAGCGACCGCAGGCGGCGAAGAGTCAATTTGGGTTGAGTTTGGAGACGACCGAATCCGGTAAGATGCCCGAAAATAGAGAGCCGCCCGCCACCACTGCAGGCACTTGCGGAGTAATGTCCTTGCTAATAGGAAAGGGAAATGGGAAGTAGTTGGAAGCAGCAGAGAATGATCAAGAAGAAAAAGAAGAACCTTTCAACCTACGGTGTAATTCCCCCACTACCAAGACCCAACCCTCCGAGAAACAAAAAGTAAGTCCAGTCCCTGAAAGGCCACGGTTGAGAGACCCACGACCAAAAAGCACCTTAAATTGGCGGCCGTCCAGTCATGGCCGTTGGAGCGGGCGGTGGTGGCTTGGAGGGGCCACGCAAGATGGAGCCGGGATGTAACCACGGGTTTGTCTGGTTCTCTTGTTCTCCGGCAGCCTAAGAGAAACCTTATAGCCATTCTGGATTATATTCCATAACAAGAAATAATTAATCCTGTTGACTGCGAGAAGCGCATGTCACCTTACCTCACCTGCGTCACACAGCCCCCCTTGCCTACTACCTACTTTCTACATACATCTTCCCGTGGCAACCCCTCAAGGCTCCATTATTGTCTCCCACCGGTTGCGTCCCAGGGGAACACATGCAGTGTCACTGCAGACACGGAAGTCTGAACAAGTGGATTGGAAACATTTCCACTCAACCTACCAAGTAGGCCGCCTTATTTTAAAATTAGGTATTGGCCAGGAATCGTCCCCTGCTGTCTCAACCGTGGACACATGGAGAAAGAAGGCGACTCACGCCCTTCCAAGTTGGACCCATCGACCGAGTCTAGACTAGACTGGATTCAGGACACGCAGCCCTGTGGAGGAAGAAGTGGGAGCCTGAGGGTGGCAAAACCAAGGACGGCGGAGTCTTGGCAGTGGGCAGGTTTCCCCGTCTGGCTGCGAAGGCCTGACAACAAATGACACGATGTCTGAGTCTGAGTCTGACTGCTGATGGGATCGAACAATGATGACGGATTGGGATCCCCGTTTACTAACCTCAGGTGTCGAACAATCGACCTACACAGTTGGTACACATCGTCCACCGTACTCGGTGGCTCTCCTCACGTGGAGTGGGCCCATGTTGGAGAATGGACCCTGGTCTTAAGGTACGCGACTACCGACGTCATTCTGGCTCGTAAGCGAACAAAGGACCTCTGAGCGATCATCAAATACGGAGTCGTTGGTGATTAGTGAAAACCCGGGTTGAAGTACAGAAAAGGCGAAAATAAGACCATACGGCATCCTCTACCGGATCCCCTCCGTCCATTCAATCTTCTTCGGCTCGTTGGTACAAGATTTTGGTGTCATTAAAATAAACCAGGCAATTGCGTCGTCATAATGCATACAGACCCGACCGGACCCCAGCCTGTAATCAAAGAAAAGGCACACAAAAGGGGCAAAGAGATAATAGGAAAAAGAAAAAAAAAAGAGTTAAGTCGCGTCAGGCATCATCGTCGTGATCGGCCATCTTTCATGTCATCATTTTAGTACCGGGGTGGAGGCGGAGGACCCTGTCCGTAGCCCTGAGGAGGGTATCCCCGAGGCGCACCGGCGGGACCACCGCTGGGAGGTGCTCCATACCCAGAAGGTGCAGGAGAGCCGGATCCATACCCACCGTAGCTTTGTCCGTAGCCGGGTTGCGGGGCTTGACCCTGGCTGGGAGGGTAGGGTGCCTGCTGACCATATCCGGGACCGGGACTGTACGGCGCGGGTTGGTTGTAACCCGCGGCGGGAGGCTGGTTGTAATATCCTGGCTGGCCCTGACCGGGGGCCGGGATATAACCACCGTACTGGCCGGGCGGAGGTCCGCTGGAGGGAGGAGGGGCGACTGCACCACCGGGGCCGCCAGCGCCACCGGCCGCCTTCTCGTCCTTGGTATCGTATGACGAATCGATGGCACCGAGCATCAATTTAGCGCACTGTGATTGACCATTAGATTTGTCTCACAGAACGAGGGCGGAAGCTACTTACCCAGAGTTCTCGCGTCAGATGGATGGGTGGGTTGGCACGCGACATCTCGTCTTGCTCGACCTCAAAGTCTAAGGCACTCGTTAGTATGGATTCTTCACGAGAAACACCAAGCACACTTACTAGAGGTACAGTCAATCAAGTTGCCGATCTGCGGGTCCTCGTCCAGGCTGGAAAGGAAGTCGCGGGCCTTGGTGTCGTTGCCAACCTGCGAAAACTGGAAGGAAACGGCGCCGCGTCCATAAGGCGTGCGAGAGACCTCGCCGATGGCGTAGCGGATGGAGTTGGCCACGGTGTCGAGAGGTTCGCCGGCGGGTTGGCCGTCCGTGATGGTGATCACCAAGGCGGGCTTCTGCAAGCGGCCAGACCGGGCAGGTCCCACGACCATGGGGTCGAGGACCTTGTTCCTAAGGCCGGTTCCCAGCGGAGTAAGACCTGCGAAGCGGACCCGGGACACGAGCATGTTGACATCGTCGGCGTTGCGGATCCCGTCGCCGTTCTCCATATTGTTCATAAATCGCACGGAAATACCGTCCTCGTCGAAGGTGGACGCGGCCGTCGCGACTATGCCGATGATCTGCCTGAGCTGCTCCTTTCTCACGCCCTTCTCCTCGAATTCGATCGATCCGCTGTCATCCACGTAGAGAATGACGTCGAAAAGAGCAAGCTTGATGATGTCCGTGGCGACCTCCATGGGAACGGCCCATTCGTGCATCAATTTGTTGCATTTGCCGGGGGCATCGCGGGCGAGTGCCTGGACAAGCCGGTCCAATTTATCGGGGGGATAGAAGTGCTCCAGGTTCTTCTCTCGGATGGTCGCAATCAAAAGCTGGCGATAAGCGGCGATCTGCTGGTCGGTGGCAGGGCCTACAGGAGGCGCACCTCCCGGAGCTCCGTATCCGGGGCCGGGAGGACCGCCTTGCGGAGGGCGAACGGGACCGCCGGGGTAAGGTGCATTCTGCGGGGGGTACGGGGGAGCCTATTGATGAACCGAGAGTTAGTAAGGGAATTGCAACGTCATGAAAGATCAAAATGAAATGAACAGGACACGAAAGCTAAAGAAGAGAAAATTGATATAACAAAGGGCCGGTTGGAATCGTGTGTACATTGGAAGAAGGCTGCGGAGGGTATCCCCGAGCTCCATAAGGCTGAGGCTGCACGGGGGATTGGGGAGGCTGTCCGTAGCCTTGGGGCTGCCCGTAACCCTGGGGTTGTCCATAGCCTGAAGGAGGTTGCCCGTAACCTGAAGGAGGCTGTCCATAGCCTGATGGGGGTTGTCCGTAGCCCGGAGGTTGACCATAGCCAGAGCCTTGGGGCGGGCCATATCGAGGATCGGAACCGTACTGGGGAGCGGAAGGGTAGCCCGGCTGCTGCGGCGGGGCCGACCCGTAGGGCGAGGGAGGAAAGGCCGGTGACATGGGCGATTGGGAGGGCGGAGGACCCGAATAACCAGCGGGAGCCGGCGAAGCTGAGGGGACTGGTTTATTTGGCGGCACAGACGGAGGCACGCCGGCGGGAGAATATGCTCGATATTGTGGCTGCTGCTGTGGGGGCGGCGTCGGAGCTACCGGTGACATGGGATGGGGAGACTGAGCTGAATCGGGGCGCGGGGGTGGATATCCCTGATATCCCTGGGGGTTGTAATAAGGTCGCGACATGGTGGCGGGATGTTGTCGAGATCAGCGGGGATACAAAGAAACGACGAAGGAAGTAGCGCCGCTCACGGGTCCAGCCGATATAAGGCGACGATGGTAATGGCCAGGGCGAGGAAAAACCAACAGACGATCCCAGAGTGCTCTTGTCATGCGACGGACGGAAGGAGGGGGGAAGAGGAGGGGGGAGAAGAAAGAGGAAGCAAGGAAAGGTGACGATCGAAGTTGAAAGACCAAGAAAGAAAACAAGAAAAAGAAAAGAAAAAAAATGAAAAAGATTAGTCGAAGCTTACCGAAGGATGATTGCCAGAAGGAGGAGGGGCGCCCGGATAAGCCTGATATTGCTGCGGCTGTGGATGAGTCAAAACAAAGATTTCGATGACGATGGAGGGGCAGTAGGGCAGGCACTACTTACGGTGTATCCACCGGCATTCCCAGGCTGCAGCGCTGAGGGCGGCCCTCCGGGATAGGGAGCGTTGTTCCCACTCATGTTCGCGGGGGGTTGTTGACTACTGGCGATCTTGGAAGCAAACTGGAAATGTCATGCATGCAGATGATCAGTCTCGGTCGAATTCCTCGCAGTGATGGCAGGAATGTGCAGCTTGGCTGGAAGCGGGGCAGAGACAAAGGGAGGTGTGTGCGTGAGAGAGAGAGAGAGGAAGAGAAAGAGTAGACTTACCCCCATGGTGGATAGAGAAAGGAAGGAAGGAAAGAACTGGATGCGAAAGTGTGACAAGAATGGAAGTCCGAAGGTGACGGGAAGATGAGGAAGAAGAAGTAAATAATGATGAAGATGATAAATTATGATGATGGACTTATGCAGAGTGACGAGAGGCGGATCCGTTCGTCATCAGACCCGCCCTAACTAGTCTGATTTTAGCCGCCTTCTTCTCACGCCTTCCACCTTTCCTATTCTTTATTATTCCCGTTATTATCTACGATGTAAACATGATCTATACAGAATACCTCCACGGAGTATATCGCTACAATGCCTCTCTTCCCCGTCCCAAATGAACCTTTTTCGTCGCAGGCATCAAGCAAAGCATAAAGAACAGAATGCCAAATACGAATCATGCACCGCCTCATCTCGCATCATCTGACGACTTCCAACTTAACCTTGAGCTTCATGCGTCATGTCAGCAATTATTCCTCGGAAAATCCATTCTAACTCGCGAAATTCGAACCTTCGAATGAGGGTTCCTTGGATACTACGTCATATCAGATAGACAAACACGAGGGTCAAAGTATATATATGGACGCATCACTCGTCATGGCATCAATAATTCTGGTGAAGGAATCAGCAATATCAATGAAGGTCAGAAAGAATATGATGGACACAGAGAACTAACCGCAGGATGCTCGCTGCACGGTCGGGAGTGGCGTCGATCCAGTTGTATAGCGACACGCATGCAGCGATTCGACATTCCGCTTCTACATCGTCGATCCGGATTAATCGCACGTTCACTGTGTATATCACTCGAATAAAATCTAAATATATCCAAATATATCCGGATCAGTAACAGACACCCAGAAATCAAGCATCAAAGCAATGTCATGCACGGGCGCAGGATCGATATACTTCCCAGTCCCGGCGGCACGGGCGCGAATAGCTTCAACCCTGCGACCAAACCCCCCCTGGTTGGAATCCTTGGCACACGGAGACTTGACATGCAGTTCGTGCAGGTGACATAAATATGACTGCCAGATAACAAAACTCGCCGACCAACAAACCCGTCACCCACGAATCATGGGTTGGATTGCGAATCCATCCACGCCAATTGAAAAGGATGCGATGAACGACTATCGAAGGATGATATCAGACCGCCGCTGATGTCACCCGGATTAGGCAAAGGAATCGATCCCTTGCGTCGAATTCTCCTTCTGTCGAGTTGGCAATTAAACCGTCTATCCCTTTCTTATCTCTGGTTTCTTAATTACCCTCTCGCCCTTCTCTCGGCCCTTTTTCTCGGTCGACTCTAGTCTATACCAGGACACGGAGTATACCAACATGACTCAAAAGCCCCTCACCGTGGGCATTCTTACCACGCAGCCTCTAACCCTGTATCTCCCCATCCTACAATCCCTGCCCTACTATCAAATCGCCATCATCTACGATGTCTCCAACAAAAGCGCCATCTGCCCAAAGGATAAGGCCACCAACGACTCCGCCAACACCACAACGTCCATCGCGCAAGCGTCCTCCCCCGACGCCGTAATCAACCATCCCTCCGTGGACCTAGTCCTCAACTTCATGACCCCTTCTTTGCGCGAGAAATACACCCTCGCCGCCCTGTCGGTCAACAAACACGTTCTCGTCGAAAGCCCCGTCGGCGTCAGTCTACCCAGCGCGCACCGCATCATCGACGCTAAGCGGAAATCCCGGGGTCGAGTCTTCGTCGCCTCGGCGAGACGATACGCCCCTTGCTTCGAGACCTTCAAGACCGAGGTTGCCGGCCTGGAGAGAATTTACTACGCCCGGTGTCGGAACATACAAGGCGGAGTGGCACAACCAGCCCCAGATGTAAATGGACATGGAGAGCCAGACACATCAGCATCATCAACATCAACGACAACCCTAACCGCCAACGACACCGTCCCCTCCTTCCCTCTCGAAGCCACCAACACCTTCCACGCTCTCCTCCAAGAAGCCTTCCTGGGCCAAGACCTCACCACCGAACGCATCCTCCTCTCGCGCCTCCTGACCGGACCCCGTGGCTGTTCCGACCTATCAGTCATGCGGGAAACGCTAGGCACCCCGGACGCGGTATCCAACATTGCAGTCAACGAGCCCTTCTACTCCGCTATCTTCCACTATAGTGGACACGACCAGGACGACCTCCCCAGCACCAGCACCAGCGATCACGGCCCCACCCAAAACCGAACCGCATACATGCTCACCTACGAATACGGAACGGATGCCGTCCCTCGCTGCGACGCCCACCTAGCCGTGTACGGGGACGGCAAGACCGTGACGCTCGAATACGACGGCGCAACGGTGCGAGTAGTCATCGAGACAGCGGACGAGAAAGTCCCCGGGAAGGTGTCGCGTCGTGAAACTTCGAGTTCCATGGAGCAGGCATATGCGGCGGAGTTGGAGGCGTTGTATACGTTCCTCGTGGAGGGGAAGGAGGTCAAGACTACGGTGAAGGACTCGATGGGGGATCTCAGGTTGTTTAGGGAGATTTTTGAACAGTATGACCGACAGTGTGGGACTATTCGGACGCCATTGGGGTAACATGTTCGTGTTTTTCTTTTCTTATTTTCTGTGATCTAAGGGGAGATGGGGTAATGAATATACTTACTATACGTACCTGTTTTTCTACAACAGCGTATATTTCCTATTCGAGGTCCTGCTACTTTAGTATGATATCACGATCGGGTGGACCGTGTAGGGGTGCCGGTTTTAGGAACGCTGTTGAACACAATGGAGGGTTTGATTACAGAGTCGAGGTAAATCATTCCAAATGATGGTCGTAATGGAGGATAGATCTCGGTGCCAGTACATACGATTTGATCAAGGCTACAAGGAATAAGACTCCGTCTTGGGTGCCTATCCATGTTACATGGATTAAACTATACTAACTGGCTGAATAGTAGGTACTCATGCCGGGTGCAATAAACGAGGCGCACAATAGACCTAATTACTTGGCCATTGCTTTGATAAAACTGCAAGGCTCCCATGATCACTCTAAGCCTTTATATGCCTCATCAGGTTCAGCTGGCTGTCTAGCGGCTTACAACTTATCTTGGCTACGAAGAAAAGCGGGGTTGGGGTGGAAAAGAAGCAAATAACTATCTCAGCCTTGCTTCATAGCCTCGCTGTGAAAGGCTTGTGAGCCCTCGAAAGCTGCAAATCGCTTCCTTAATATAGATAGAAACGAAATTTCGCGTCTAGAATACGGGTAAGGTCTCCTTTCTATTTGTCAGGATGCAGGCAGGGATCTCCGCCACCCAGATCGAGGTCTGTCCGTGCCTTTCTTCTCCAGGGAAGGTCACGAACAGGTGGTTCCCTACATCGTATTCGGCATAAGCGGAGTCCCAACATCAGGCTCTGTAACAGGGTTCTGTGTTGCTTGGACACATTCGTGCAGTAGTTCGAGCCACTGGGCAGTGTATCCTTTTATATCCGGTAGTTCTAGATTTAGGAGCTGGAATTTGGTATATACCTACTACAGTCTGCCAACAATCCTTTTGACCATCCACCACAAAAACATGCCTTTGTATTCTTCCCTTGACAGGAGAAGTTGATATTCAACAACAACAACAACGACTACTACTACATCCCTTTGACTGCCAGCCTGAGATACTTTTCCATTTTCTACTTCTGTTTGTCAACTAGCCAAAATGACATCTCCGCAGGATGAGGTTGTCACGGACCAGGATACAGGGCAACACCTGATAGAGCACGAGGAACGTGAAGAGTCCCACCATGGCTCCGAGACCTCAGGGTCTGGGACACAAGAAAACAAGGAAAAGGACCAAATGGAGCGATTCTACTGGCACAGCCTTTGTCTTTGTCTCATTCCACCTTTGGTCGCAGCCTACTTTGTGGTCATCTGGCTGAAATATTTGAGCCGGGACTCCAATCCGGTGAGATATGGATCAACACAAGAGATATGGGTTTATTATTCATGGATCGTCATCTGTGTGTTCGGCATTGGATGGTCAAAGTATGGGCTCGCTGGCGTCGAGCTGGCGATGCTTCAAAGGCGCCAGTTCGGAGCCCCCGACACCGCGACATTGGTCATGCACAGCGGCAATAGCTGGAGTGGTCCAGATGGCTGGCTGAGACTTCTTAACCGTCTGCTCCGGGGCACGCCAGTTCATGTTCACCTCCCGTGGTATGTGCTGGCCTTCTTCAGCGCGCTGCCCTATGTCGCTTTTCCCATTTCCGGACTGTGCATGGAACTGTCTGATGGGTACATCTTCTCAGCTGCTTCTCCCAAGACGATTGGATACAACTCGACACTCTTCAATAACAGACAGTATCTTCAGACTGTCGAACGGGGCAAACGTCGCTGGGAATCAGGATCATCGGGCCAGCTGCCTGGCATTGGGGTCCTGTATACTCCTGATTATCATTCGCGTGACCAGCTCGATGGGCTTGATAGGACCCCAAATAGGTTTCCAGAAAACGAATCGGTCCCGGAGGTTTTTGTTGCACCACAGGCTGAAGTCCCCATTGGTGGTCGTGTCTGGGGATTGAGGGTGGGATATAACTGCTCCGTTGTCGATCACATATCACAATTCACTCTTGTCACGGATAAGAGGCGGGTGTCGAAGCATGCTGAAATGACCGAACAGTCATATGATTCAGTTATCCTTTCCACGAAGTCTAAAGGCTCCGTGTACGTCTATAACAGCAGTTTGATCGATCCTAAACAGTCTTCGAACCTCTTCGCCTACCTTGAGATGGGAATCAGTAACGTAACTGAAGCCCTATTCTATGACGGGACCGAACCGAACACTTTTGACCCCCGGGATATCTCCAAGGCTGATATTCTCGAATTGATTATATGGCAAGTGAGACACGAAAGTAGCTATGAGGAGCAACTACCACCAGATCTTACTTACAACGATACAATCAACGAGCCAGTTTTGGGTGCAGCCCAGCCCATCATCCATCATCCTAACGGAACCATCCAAACGAACTCATCCTTCTTCGACCCCGAATACGGTCCAGATGGACTCGAAGGCTACGCGAACACGGGGGTATACCCGGTCAAATCCGTCGCGCCCCCCATCGGTGTAAGATGTACGCGGTTCTCAGCCCTTGGATACGCAAACCTGGATGCCAGAGCTAGCACCTTCCACAATTTCACCATCGGAGCATATCCCCACTTCGACCTATCTCGAGAAGAGTCACTCGTGCAACGGTTCGGCTTTGCCGCCAACAACATCCTCCTGCGGCAGTATTTCAACATTTACGAATCCATCAGCTCCCCGACTCCCACGACGCATTCGAACTCGGTGGTGTATCGGCGGTTCCTTCAGGCGCGAGAGCTACAGAAGTCTGTCATGTTGGCACACGCCATCGATGCCCTGCAGCTCATGTATGACGGGGTAGATAGTTTCGAGCACGCAACTATCAATCCAGACCTGAGCTCCTCGCGCCCCGGCAAGGTGCTTACCTCGGGTGTTGTGCCCGCGCTATGCCCGGTAGTCTTGTTCTTGGTATGGGCGACAGGATGCCTGTTGCTTGGGTTGAGATATGGGTTTGTTCGACGATGGTCAGATACATTAGACGGATATTATCTGCTCAGCGTTGGGGTCAATGATTGGGCTAATACGGATGCTCGGGTTCGAGGGTAGAATAATCACTTCTGGAGGGCGTGCGGGCGTCATTGATGGGCTCAGAGAGTGGGTTAATACGGCTAATCAGTGGATGAACATCAGATTAATGTGGCTTTGACCAAGGTAGATGGCGATCGGAACGTCTGGCATCCGACATGATAGCTGATTCAGGCTGTCCAGGCCTTCATTTTTTTATTGTTTATATTTATATTATACTCCATATCTGGCGATTTATTAATGCAGGGCGGTAGTAGAATCTGGAATATATCACTAGCCAAATATTCGCCGTGCAATAGCCTCTTTAGCTAAGTGTGGTAACTACCTGAGATATGTAGAAAATCCAGTACGTATGTTTATGTGGCTGGGTATGTCAGTTGCGCTAGTTGCAGTTGCTATAATGATATGGTTCTTTCTACTTGAAGAAACAGACCGAAACAGAAAGTCTCGTGATAAGTGATGTAATGCGTTGCATAATCTAACCATGATCATCATGATGGGATTTTCTTCCTTGTCCGACATTCAAAATAAATAAAGTCTGTACATGAACGAGCCCCGGGGGGAGATGGAAGATTCCACTACCGCTTGCCCTTCTTCTTGTTCTTCTTCGACGCTCCGCCGCCGCCGCCGCCTTGGTTACGCTGCTGACTAGCCGACGCGTTAGCTTCCTCCGTCTTCTCGGTGACCGCGCCGCCCTGGGTTCGCTCGGCGGCGCGCTGCTTGCCCTTCCGGCCACGAGGACGGTAGGAGGATCGGTCGCGCAAAGGGAGCCAGCGCTCCGGGTCGGCCGTCTTGCTGGGGTCGTAGTCCTTGGGGAGACGGGATTTGCGCACACGCTTCGTGACGCGGCCCTGGTGCTGCTTGTCGGCGGCCGAACGCTTCCGGGCGCTGGCGATGGTCGCGGCGGCGGCGGCGGCTGTCGCGGAGGAAGGTGACACGCCGGCGGCTTCGAGGGCTGAGACGTCGATGCCTGAGACTAGGTCGGGGACGGCGGGGAGGCGGTCGACGTGCGACGCGACCTTGTTGTAATCCAGGGTGGCATGGGACGCGACGTAGCCGGCGGAGGCGTAGCGGTCGGACGAGTCCTTCTGGTACAGGTATTGGAAGAGGTCGCTGGCGGTGACGAGGTCCGCGGGGTCCGAGGAGTAGAGGAGCGAGGAGGCGGCGGCGCGTAGGAGGGAGGAGGGCGCGTCGGCCTGGCTGCGCCAGTAGGCGGCGGCTTTGCCGAGCTCGGTGCGGATCTGCACCTTGCGGCCCTCGAGCTTGTAGAGGGAGACGAGGACGCCGAGGAGGCCTGGGTTGAAGCGCACTTCCTTGTCCTGATCCGAGATCGACTCGTCGAGGAGGTGCAGCGATTTCTCGAGGGTGGCGATGGCGGCGGTGGTGTTGCCAGTGCTGACGTAGAGCTGAGCGGCGGTTAGCACCAGTCCAATGTCCTTGGGACGTCGCTCCAGCGCGGGCAGAATGGCTTTCAGAGCCTTGGCGCCCGTCTGGCCGCGGGCGAGGGCGGCAGCGTTAAAGACCGACAGGAGGTTGATGCTGGATTCGGTAGAGGGGTAGGGTGCTTGGGCGCGCGCTTTAGATGTCGATCGGATGATGCCGTCATACTTGTGAACCAGGAGGTCGGCGGCGTTAAAGTTGCTGCTGATTATGTTGTTCTGAAAGTCGAAGAGTCGGTCGTTGCCGGTAGAGACTGGAGTCTCGTGCAGCGCCTTGTAGAGGATGAAGGGGTTGGCGGCCGTGTCCCGGATGAGGGTGACGTTGTTTTCGGCGATCTTCTTGGTCGAAAGCTCGGGGATACTGCATCGAGGTCAGTTGACTGAAGGACGGGGGTGTGGCATGTTCGCGAAAGGCAACATACTCTTTGACCGAGATTTCCTGCAGGACAGACTCGGCTTCCTCCGATTTCCCTTGACGGATCAGTACGTAGAGCTGCTGCACGGAGATCGGCAGCAGTTCCGCGTCTCTGTCCTCCGGCGTGAGGTCTTCTGAAGTTCGGCATAGCTCTGATCGATGATTAGCGACCATGGTCTCACATGGCTAGCGGGGGCACAAACCCTTTGCCCGCTTCAACAGCACTTCTCCTTGACCAAACTCTCCCTTGGCGATGCTCAGACAGGCCGCATTGTAGGTCGTCTCAAAGGCCTCTAGGTCATCTCTCGTCGGACGGTTATGACGGACAGATTCGGAGTATCCTTTCCACTGTAACTGAGCGTCGGCAGCCCAGGCATTGATGCGGAGATCGTTTTCCTCGTTGTCCAAGGCCGACTGGTCCTTGGTCAGGTCTTCGTAGACTTCGGCGGTACGGCGGAATTTTTCTGAACGATAGCTCTAACGGTCGGATCCGCATTAGCACAATCCATGAAGAATAGGTATGTAATTTGGAACCGCCACATACAGCTTGAGCCTCCAAGTGACGAGCACCCCGGCTGTTGGTGATCTTCGAGACGATCTCGATCGCGGCATCCAGCTGTCCGGTCTTGTACAGAGCGTAGGCATATTCCAGAGCCGCGCGCTTCTTCAGAGAATCGCCACCATCTTCAAACACCCGTAGGCAATCGTCGTAGCGGTCGAGCTTCACCAAAGCCACCACCTTGGCATGTTGAGCCTGGACGTCCGACTTGGACTTTGCCAGAGCGGCATTGGCAGACTGGAGGAGTTCATCGTGATCGTCGATGGAGGCGTGCTGCAGCAACGAGCTCAATTTCTGCGTCGCCATGGCGGAGGACAGTCGGAAGCGACGGATCTGCGAGGCGGAAACGGTGCGATCTCCTCGACTCGATGGTGAGCTGGCCGGACTTCGGTGGACTTGTGGGAATGGTGATATTTCCCCATTGGGGAATTCTGCACAGTTGGTCCTAAAAAGTCCCGTACGCTGCCTCCCCTGACCGCCTACCAGATTGATGCCGCACCGGACAAACTATACGGAACATTCAGGAGACTTGGATCTACAGATACCGAAAGTTATCGGTGGACCAGTGCTCCGATAGCTGACGTTTACCTCCATGGAGGACACTCCGGAGAGAGGAAAATTAGTCTTTACTTCGGGGTCACGAGGCAATTACAAATTCTGGTCGAATTCTCAGTTCTGCTCGCCTCATGTTCGGTAAGCGGTAAGGAACGGCAGTACCTGGCTGAGCACAGACTGCCATCATTATTGTTGTGATTCAAGACGATCATAATAATGGATAGATAGGATTTATGAACACCAAGAGTTATGTTGTACACAGTATGTACAATCTACAGTGTATCTAACTATCTGGTTAGTACCTGAGCAGTTATATTGCTGATGGGGCCATTCGAGATAGTGCATATCTCGTGAGAGATTGCCCCGTACGGACATTGCCAGTTCGGCTTAGCCACAGCAGTAGTCGACGGTGGCTGCTTGGCCTCCGGGGCCATCTTGGCCAGAGTGTCGGCACCGACCGATAATATTGCAGTGATCCCTTGGGACATGTTGGGCGAGGTGGAGGGTAAGACCGCCCCTGATCAGGCGAACAGACATTCATCCGGGGAGCGGAGAAAAAGCGAGATGGTTCTCGAGTCTAGATGTCCGTTCGCGGCGGAGTCAAGGAGGGTGACATGAGAGTTGAGAGTTGAGACCTTGCTGCAACCCCCTAGATTGGGCCCTTGGGGCTATCTTTAGCATCGTCGGTTTTGGACGACTCACTTGGTGGCTTTGGGTCGAGAAGCATCTATTGTTGTTAGTGGTCAAGACTCAAATGAGCAGAATAATGAACTGATCTGTACGAGAATCCTGAAGATACTCTACTCTGTAAGGACTGTAGTGAAGTATAGTTATTCTACCGAATAGATACTTGTGCTCAGAGTATAGTTGGTTGTACCTGGAAAAGACCCTGAAGCGCGGATGACATAACCACCGCTGACTAAGATCCCGCCGCTTTGTTCGACTGTTCGTCTTTCTTCTTTCTTCCCTCTTTGTTTCTTTGATGCTTCAAACCTTGAGGCACTCTATTTATATCCATGTGCAAGACATGCATCGGCATGCTGCGTACAACGATGGTCTGGATGATGCTCCGTATGCTCTCCATCGTACAACGGTCACTCGCAAACCGCCACTCTACTCCGTGTAGTGTGCTAGTCTCCAAGTCCACACTAATTACCCGCCAAGTGCCTCGCCTGCGACCGTCGTCATCATCCCGTGTGGCCCCCGCCGACCAGCGATCGCCTCCGTGGAATGTCGTCCGCGCGTCTTGGGTGGATGTCTCGGCATCGTCTCTACAGCGTCGCTGGCTCGACTCTGATTGATTCATCCTCCCCCCAAACCACCTGCATGCGGTGCCAATGTCGTCCCGGATGCGATAGGTAGGGCTGGTGCAAACGGCCACCACCCACACGCTGTAACACCCACACCACGCAGAACTCCCCCCCTTCGGACGACAAGACAGTCAATAATTCGCAGGGACCCCTAAATAGATCATCTTATTCTCCTATTCTTGGTCCGGATCCACACAGCCGATCTTACCCCTGTGTGTAAAACTGTCGTTGGCCTGGCTTAGTTGCATGCTGTCGGAATAGCAGGTGCGGTCCTCTCCCAGGACGCCCTCTCATTCGGCCCTCATCTCCATCTTCTCCTCCGGAGGGCCCAGAAAATCCTGTCCCATGGTCGATCCTTAGCTCTTCTCCGCCTGCTTTGTCGTCAGTTTTCTTCTGTTCTGCCCGCCAGAAATCCGGAATTCAGAGTGCTGGCTCACCCAGCCATGGTTCTGGGTCCCTTTTGATCGCTGTCTTTCTTCGTTCCTTTGGTCCAACCACTGACATTATCACCTGCTCGTTTGCCATATCGATCATCGGGTTTATTTTATTTTATTTATTTTTTGGGGTGTTATTATTCCCCTCTCTCCCCTTTGCCGTCCGCCGCCGCCATCCCGATTCCGTACTTTCCCTCACAAGTTTCGGTTTCAAGGGTCCCGATTTTTTTTTTTAATCGTCTTTTTTCTCTCACGCCTCGCCCGTCCTGGCCCTTCCTCTTTCCACTTCTACTTTCTTTCTCTACTTTACCTCCCCTCTTACTCGTACACACAACCTCCACCGTCATACCTCACGTCTCCCTCTTCGTTTCTTCCCACCGCTTTCTGGACCGCACTACTTGCTCATCCTTTCCCCGCCGTCCTACACGGGGGACCGATGTGCATATGATCTTCTAGTCTCTTGGCTTATACCTGTTCTCTCTCTTTCTTTCCGATACAGAACATATCACTCCGCCTCCGATGTACTTGAAAGGGGAGAAACCCCGACCCAGAGGGGCGTCGTGGGTATGGAAGAAGAAATTGATGCGCTTCGTCGTCGCCGTCTGCTTGGTGGGTGGCTTCACTTTCCTGCTGTGGCCTCACCTCGGCAGGGAGCAGGTGGTGATGCAAGATCCGGTTTCCAACATTACCGTTACCTCGGGCGTTCACTGTGAGCCCGACTTCGATCTCCTCCGTCGTCTCGATATCAAGAAACTTTCCGGCTACGTGAAGCGCGAGATCGTGGCTACGCCGACCTCTGAAACGTTACCGATCAGACAACATCTCGACAAACCTCTGTTTGAACCAATCGAGAGCCCCAATCCCATCTCGACTCCGCAATCGCAGGACGGTTGCTTGATCCCGCAGCCGGTCTCTTTACGGGTTCCCAAGCCTCCCGTCAAGGTGGACGCCTCGCATATCGACTTCGGTGTGGCGACGACGTTGGGTCGGTTGAATGACTCGATAGACGCATTTTCCCACTGGGCTGGCTACACTCAAACTCGCATCTTCGCTCTCATTGAGTCGGATAAGAAGGAGCGGATCAAGGAGGTCCAGATGAAGGCAGATGCAATGGGGATCAATTTGTTTGTGACGGAATCGAATGAAGAATATCAACGCCGATACTTCTCACTGGTCTCCCATCTGGCACAGAACATGCAGCGGAAGACACAATGGTCCGTCGTGATTGATGATGATACGTTTTTCTTGTCGATGACGGAGCTGGTGAAGGCGCTCGGCGAGTACGACGCACGTCAGCCCATGTACGTTGGTGGCCTGTCAGAGAGTATCCCGCAGGTGGGCAACTTTGGTCTGATGGGATTTGGAGGCGCCGGCGTCTTCATGTCTCGGCCTCTTATTCAACAAATCAGCGAGCCGGTCATATACAATGACTGCATAAACACCCCCCATACTGGCGACCGGAAGATTTCTCTGTGCATCTACCAAAACACTCCGACGCGGCTGACCATAAATCACCGCCTGCACCAACTCGACATGACGGACGACGTGTCCGGCTTCTTCGAGGCGATGCGCCCGCCGCCCCTATCTGTCCACCACTGGAAGTCATGGTTCCATGCCGACATGGCCAAGCTTAGCGTGGTCGGCGAGCTATGCGGCGATGACTGTCTTCTGCGACAGTTCAAATTTGGAGATGGATGGGTTCTGACCAACGGTTTCTCTGTGGTGAAATACAGCACGGACATTGATCCTAACGATCCTTCCATGGAGCTGACCTGGGGTGGTCCCGTCGAACAGTACCTTCACGAGCTTGGACCATTGCGTCTCAAGGACAATGATAAGTTCAGTTATTCGATGGTAGACTCTGTACTGGACGGAGACACGGTACGACAGTACTACGTCCACCGTGACGCCGAAAAGGGCGATCAGCTCTTAGAATTGATCTGGCGAGCTTGAGTGAGGATTGGGATGTTTCCCCGCGTCTAACTCATAAACCTCCGGGTGGTTTGCCTATTTCCCACACATCCCGCCTTTACATATCCACGCCCCCCACACCCCTCTACGCCTTCCCATCTCCCATAAAAGGGACTGATCGACAGCAAATTCGACGTCCCCAGGGAAGATCGCATATACATCGAATTCTGCCCTTGCCTATAGATGGAAAGAGATCCCGCTCTCTTCGGAACACCTTACGCGGTCTAATTGTCATGGCGTATAGATTATGATTTGGCTTTTTCATTTCTCATTCGAAAAGCTCTGATGATTTTTTCACTGGTGCGATGTCAACCAAAAATGAGTTGAGAATCTTGTTTGGAGATATCCACCATGTCACCCGAGAGCTTTCCCATGCCCCAGCAACGGTATCTGGGTGCTTTGTACAGTGAAACACTTGGTGATTACTAGCTCGCTTTGGATGCAACATGCAAGAGCAAAACGGATTGATTGTTCATACTTTTATTTTGGAAGCTTCTGCTTATTATTTTCGGTTTGATCTGGAATCAGTTGGTTAACATGTTTATTTACTTTTCTTTTGGTGTCATGTACATTAAATACCCTTCAGTCAATTCTATTCATTTATATCATCATTGCATACATTAACTAGAGTAAAGACTGGCTATATATCATATGTCGACTCCATCCATCATTCATGCATGTTTTTTCTCCGTTTATATACAGATCGCAAAACCTGAGAGGTATGTATGTACTAAACTCGAGCGGAAGGGAAAATCATAAACATAACGATCACAACATCACAATGTGAGCACCCATAGATACCCAAGATGTACACCGTAAGTAGTACTCCATACGACGAGCCCGTTACCATGCAAAATACCCACCCCACACTTCACCCGGGCAGCCACCAAATAAACACAATGACATCATCCTGCATATCCAGCCACCGACTGACAGACAGCCCCAGCGCTCGGACCAAGCCCAGCCGACTCGAAGCGAGTCAGTCCAATAATCAATTAGACTGTCACGCGGCGGGCGAGCAGGCTAAGTGAATAAACTCGCTCGTCGGAATGTCATTTCTGCAGGGATCGTCGATGACGACATTATCTGAGACACCGGGTCCGGGCCCACCACTGGTATTGCCGAGCGACGCTGCCCCTCCTCTGCCGAGTCTTCTTCTGCTGAGTCTTCTGAGATGATCCGGGGCTCGCGGAGGTCGTCCCAGCTTGTGTCGCTAGTTGGCCAGGGGATTGGGAGTTCATCGGTTGAGGTTGACGATGAAGAGGTGGTTGTGGTGGAGGATGAGGAAGAAGAAGAGGAGTTGGAGGTAGTTGATGCGGGAGGGGGAGGAGGGGCAGTAACGACAGCGGATGGTCCAGCGGTGTCTGTGATAGCGGGAGGGAGAAGATTGAGATTGGGATTACTACCGCTGATACTGATAGAGGAGGACAGCGGGAACTCGAAGCCTAAGATGCCCTTGCATCGTTGCAGAAGGGCGGGAAAGAGGTAGGATTCGGAGCCGCGAATGCGCGCGAGAGTGTTGAGAATGCCCCAGAGGAGATCGCGCGGGTCGACGGCGGATTCGGCCAGGCGTTGCGCGGCTTTGGTGTTGAGGGAGCGAGAGACGTCGGCGACGGAGGTGCCAAGGTCGAAGAGTTTTTGTTCCTGGAGGGAGGGGGTGTTAATTTGATGGATTTGAGGCTCGACTTTTGACTTTTGATATTTCGCTTCTTTTTCTTCGGTTTCTTGTTTTTTGTTTTGAAAACCAGGGAAGGGAAGGTCATGCTTACCATTCCGATACCGTGCGCATCCACGGCGCCTTGCGATGCAGCGCTGATGACGCCCATCACGGCCTTTCCGACCAGCACGGGTAGATGAAATGGGAGGACGGTTTCGTCGCGGGAGCCGGGCTGCGTAGCGCGCGTCATGGATAGTTTCCACATCATGGCTTGCAGCCACTGCTGCGTGATGAGAATATCGACTTTCTGGATCTCCGAGACCCCGTCAAGAGACACAGATTTGCACAGGCTGGATTGGATGGATGAGGTCGGGGGCATTTCGAAGATGCCGTCGCCGCCCCCGGCGGAGACCCAGTCGTACAGGTTCACGGTAAGTTTTTCGAAGATACTGATGAGGTTGATGAAGCCGTAGGCGAGGATGGGGTCGTTGGAAGAGAGGACTTGGGGCTTGTGGATGGAATTGCGTAACATGACGGGCTTTGCTTGTTGCAGGGCATAGCCGCTGAAAGATTCATTGGGTTAGAAGTTTGGTTACAGAGGGGAAGGTCTGCAATATCAGGGCCTACCGTTCTGTCACAAAGAGCAGCCAGAAGATGCGCCGTTTTTCTTCGGCGTCTTCGGTGCTCATTTCGGAATATGTGGACTCGCGATGGAGACCTAGCGTGAACACCATGGAGGTCGCCTGGCAGAGGTAGAACCAGGCGTGGTCCTGTTTGTCCAGATTGCCGTATGCTGCGAAGAGAAAGAAGGATGTAAGTAGGCTCTCGATGCTCATTTCATCGACCAAGTCGCAGTCTTTCCGCGCGCGCACGGCTTCGGCTAGTAATTCCTCCCCGGACATGATCGAATGGCCGTCGACACTGGCCTGCGGATGCGGAGGATTGGATGCCGACATGGCACCGTCGAGCTTTAGCTGAATGTGGGTGAGTGCACAGAGCGAGGCTAGAAATGCATATCGTTGGGAAGACAACTGCTCGGGCTGGTGGCAGTCCTGCTGCAGCCGTTCCCGCCGCACCACCGGCATGATTGGAAATAGGTACTTCAAGAACACGTTGACGTGCGCCAGCAGAACCGGTGCTGAGAGCCGACGTGCCGACGAAAACACGGCGGCAATCAGGGATTCTGACAGCGAGTTTGTCGAGTCGGGGGAGGAGACCAACTCTGGGGGTGGCAGTCCCATACTCGAATCCGACAGCTCAGCCGTTATACATTGGGCGTCGGGTACCGTGAACGGTGGCGATATCGGGGACCCCGGACCCGGTACTGCATAGACCCCAGACTCAGAGGGCCACTCGGTATCGAGTGAATGCTTCTGCGGAACACAGCGGAGGTCATCTCGGCGGCGCGATACCAGGGGATGGATAGGCGCCAGAGGATAGAGCGTGCGGAATTTGGGCCCCTTTCGACGCAAAACATCACTGTAAGAGCAGGAGAGAAGCAGACGTTGACACTTGTCGCATGGCAACTCTCGGGAGCATTTGATCTTGCGGCGACGACAATTGTCGCAGGCCTGCTTGAAAGATTTCCGGCTCGGAGATGGCTGGGAGTCCATTGGCGAAGTCGACTCCGGGGAAGGAATTCGAGGTGGGTCAGAGAATCACGACAGGGGAAGAGGATTTAGGACTCGTTACACTCCATAACCGATGGAGAAGCTGTTGAACGTAAGCGACAGGCCATTCCCATTGACGAGGGATGTGGAAATGAAAAGTCCAAAAGAAAAAAAAAGGGACGGGAAAGGAAGGAAATCCGGGGAAGTCGGCGGGGAGGATGCCTGGAATTGCAGGCTGCAAGAGCCCCCGCATGGGCTGTCCCGATGGGGCTTAGCGTGCGGCCGGTGGATCTTTGGCTTCTTCACTTTTTTGCCCTTCGTCTCCCTCCTTTTCCACATTCCCCTCGTTCCCACTCTGGCTGGTCTCTCTATTGCAAGGACCGGGTTGATCACGGCGTCATTGTTCTCGGGTTCCAGGGTAGTCACTAGGTGTCCAGGAAGGGAAAAATGACCGTCAGGGGAGAATCCGTTGCAGGCCGATGCGGCATTTTCCAGATCTCCACCCCTGCATGACCGTGCCAACACGAGGCAAATTGCTTGACATGTGCAAATCTCGGGTCAGACCATGCTGGGCTGATTGGTGCATGGGCTCCTCCTTGGTCCTGGCAATATGAACTTCGGGAAGCCGATATTATCAAGGTAGTAGATGGGTCGAGGGTGGTAAGACCGAGACATGGGAGACCGGGTTTAATAGTATGCGCGCACTAAAGAATCGATCCAAGGTCGGGACTGGGCAGCAGCGGTGACTGGGGGCACTTGAGTTGAATTGTTCAGGGCATTCCTTCTCCAGTTTCCCCACACTCTGCATGCATTTCGAGACTCTGAGCATGATAACGAATCTCACCGAGATATTCTTCCGGCAAGGCGTTGACGGCCTGAGTGCCTGACGAAGTGTCTGCCTCAGGCCAACAGCCAATCGGGCATTTGTCGGACGACGGACCAATCAGTCAGATGATCGGCAGATGGACAGGCACCTTTCCTCACTCCTAAGGGTACTCTACCCTGGTCGACAATCCCTGTCGGCCTCTACAGACATCCTCGCTTATAATGCTGGCCTGATTACCCCACTCGGCCCGACATCGTCGACGCTCGTTGGTGTCTCCCCTCCTGGGTCCATCCCTTGCGTCCGGGAATTCAACGGAGCAATCGAGCCTCTTCTTGCCTCTGGGGCGAGATGGTGGCACAGATGGAGTCTTCGCACTCAATGACCCCTCACAGTATTTCCCCGGAGAACCGGTTGGCAATCTCATATAAAGCACGGCCGATGCGAGAGGGTAGCGGCGCTTTCTTCTGAACCAACCACGGAGCCGTCGGCTAGCTAGTAGTTGTCTTTCCCTCATCCTTTCGCCATGGTCCATTTCACGGCCCTCTTGGCCGGTGCCTGGCTGTTCCCAGTGGCGTATGGGGCGAGTCACTCGCTAGCCTCGAGCACCACGCCTCCGCGTTCCCAGTTTACGATCCCGGCATCAGCCGACGTGGGTGCCCAGTTGATCGCCAACGTAGACGACCCCCAAGCTGTCAATGCACAGTCCGTCTGCCCTGGCTACAAGGCATCCAACGTGAAACACACCGTGGATGGCTTCACGGCAGATCTGAAACTGTCCGGGAAGCCATGCAATGTGTACGGGACGGATGTCGACTTGTTGACCTTGACGGTGGAGTACCAGGCAAAGGATCGCCTGAACATCCAGATTGTCCCTTCGCATGTCGACTCCTCGAATGCGTCTTGGTATCACCTGTCCGAAGACACGGTTCCCAGGCCTAAGGTCTCTCCAAATGCCTCGATCCCTCAAAGTGACATTTTTGTCTCGTGGTCCAATGAACCCTCGTTCAATTTCAAGGTGATCCGCAAAGCCACCGGCGATGCCCTTTTCGACACTGAAGGGTCGGTGCTGGTGTATGAGGATCAATTCATTGAGTTCGTCACCTCGCTGCCCGAGGACTACAACCTGTACGGCCTCGGCGAGCGGATGAGCCAGCTTCGGCTCCTGAAGAACGCCAACCTCACCATGTATGCGGCGGATATTGCGGACCCGATCGACAGGTATGTTTCCCGTTGTTGCCATCCCGGCCGTAACTCACAGGATGCAGCAACATCTATGGCCAGCACCCGTTCTATTTGGACACGAGATATTACAAGGCAAATGAGCAATATGGCCCGCACTCTCGGGCGCGGAGTAGCGAGATCGACCCGTCGCAAGAATACGTATCCTATTCCCATGGTGTTTTCTTGAGGAACGCTCATGGACAAGAGGTTCTACTGCGGTCCGAAAAGTTGATCTGGCGGACATTGGGTGGCAGCGTTGATCTGACCTTCTATGCCGGGCCGACCCAGGCGGATGTGACCAAGCAGTATCAGATTAGCACGGTCGGATTGCCAGCCATGCAGCAGTACAACACTCTCGGTTTCCACCAGTGTCGCTGGGGCTACAACAACTGGACGGAGTTTGAAGAGGTAGTTGCCAATTTCGAAAAATTCGAGATCCCCCTAGAATACGTCTGGTAGGTGCTGGATCGTCGCGTTTGGACTTGGCCATTTTCTGATATACTTAGGGCGGACATTGATTACATGCATGGATATCGCAATTTCGATAACGACAAGCATCGCTTTTCTTACGAAGAAGGCGAGAAGTTCCTGAGCAAACTACACGATGGAGGACGTCGCTGGGTGCCGATTGTGGATGCGGCGCTTTATATTCCCAACCCGGAAAACGCATCGGACGCGTGAGTGCCTCCGTCCCTTGATAAGACTTTTGCTAATAGCTATCAAGATATGAAACGTACACTCGAGGAGATGCCGACGATGTCTTCCTCAAGAACCCCGATGGCAGTCTCTACATCGGAGCCGTCTGGCCTGGGTACACGGTCTACCCCGACTGGCATCATCCCAAGGCCGTTGAGTACTGGGCCAATGAACTGTTGATCTGGTGGAAGAAACTGGCCTATGACGGCGTCTGGTATGACATGGCTGAGGTGTCTTCCTTCTGCGTGGGAAGCTGCGGCACTGGCAACCTGACCCTGAATCCCGCCCATCCTCCTTTCTCACTGCCAGGTGAGCCCGGGAACGTGGTCTTTGATTATCCGGAGGGCTTCAATATCACGAATGCGACGGAAGCAGCGTCAGCATCTGCCGGTGCGTCCAGCCAGGCCGCTGCAGGAGGATCTGGGTCGCCCACAAAAACATCGTATCTGCGAACAACCCCCACTGCGGGTGCCCGCGACGTCGACCACCCTCCCTACGTGATCAACCATGTCCAAGCCGGACACGACCTCGCGGTCCATGCTGTGGCTCCCAACGCAACCCACGCGGATGGCGTTGAGGAATATGACGTGCATAGTCTTTACGGCCACCAGGGCCTCAACGCCACTTACCAGGGGCTGCTCAAGGTCTGGCCGGAAAAGCGTCCCTTCATCATCGGTCGATCCACCTTTGCAGGCTCGGGGAAGTGGGCTGGACACTGGGGCGGCGACAACTTCTCCAAATGGGGATCGATGTACTTTTCCATCTCGCAGGCCCTTTCTTTCTCTCTGTTCGGCATCCCCATGTTCGGGGTTGACACCTGCGGGTTCAACGGAAACAGTGCCGAGGAGCTCTGCAACCGCTGGATGCAGTTGTCCGCCTTCTTCCCCTTCTACCGCAACCACAACGTGCTGTCCGCCATCCCCCAGGAGCCATACCGCTGGGCCTCGGTGATCGACGCCTCCAAAGCCGCGATGAAGATCCGGTACTCGATCCTGCCCTACTTCTACACACTGTTCCATCTCGCCCACACCACCGGATCGACGGTCATGCGCGCCCTGGCCTGGGAGTTCCCACACGACCCCAGCCTTGCCGCCATCGACACGCAGTTCCTCGTCGGCCCATCCGTCATGGTCGTCCCCGTTCTGGAACCGCAGGTCGACACGGTCAAGGGCGTGTTCCCGGGCGTCGGACACGGCGAGGTCTGGTACGACTGGTACACGCAACAGGCCGTGGACGCCCAACCCGGCGTTAACACCACCATCCCGGCGCCGTTGGGCCACATCCCCGTTTTCATCCGCGGCGGCAGCGTTCTGCCCATGCAGGAGCCTGCTCTGACGACCCGGGACGCGCGCCAAACGCCCTGGTCTCTCCTGGCGTCGCTGAGCACCAAGGGTACCGCGTCGGGCCAACTGTACCTGGACGACGGCGAGAGCATCCATCCGACGGATACGCTGTCCGTGGACTTTGTAGCCACTGGATCGAGCCTCCGGGCGTCGGCACGTGGGACGTGGACCGAGAAGAACGCGCTCGCCAACGTGACTATTCTCGGCGTGCAGGAGAAGCCAGGCGATGTCAGCTTCAATGGCAAGAAGATTGCCGATGGGTCGGTTCAGTACAATGCCAGCTCGAAGGCTTTGCATGTGGGAGGACTACAGAAGTTGACTGCGAAGGGGGCGTGGAGCAGAGATTGGGTTCTGGAGTGGTGAACGTAATGTTTGTATTTGGAACATTCTGATAAATGACAAGTATGATGCCTCCTCCCTTACTGATCATGATTCATAAACCCGACAATCTGCCTGTAGTACAAAGTCTGCTGCCCTACCGAAACATACATATCTCTTTCTCCCCCAACCTCCATCATACTCAACTCAGGCTACAACCCCAACCTATCCCTCAAAATTATACCCCCTCCAAACATCATTAACCCTCCCAACCGCACACCCCTCCAACCCACCCCTTCCATCCCTAACAACCCCCCTTCGATTGCCCCCTTCCTCCCAAACAACGTCCCCCGCACCCTCCTCCCCTCGTCTAAAGAACTTATACTCGTACTCCATAGCCCCGCGTAGCCCTTCGTCCACAATGACATACCACAACGGCATATCGACGCTGTACTCGTCCGCGCGCATCTTCAACGCCTTGTCCACGGCCCAGGAGCCTAGTGCGGGGAGCGAACCGGCCAGGTAGATGTATTCTCCTAGGCGGGTTGAGGAGAGGATGTTGAATCTTATTGATATGGGACTTGGAGTTTTGCAAGATGGAGGTATAGGGAACGGGATTGTTTTATTTACAGGGGGGTTGATGTAGGGTCCTTTGGCGGAAGATGGGAGACATGTAGGTGGGAGAGAAGGGGTTGGATTTGGGGATGGAACTGGGGATAGAGCCGGGGAAGTTGAGGATGCGCTTTGACGGGCTCGCGCAGCTGTCAATAAGGCGGCGTAGGACCAGGTCAGGTCGCGTGCTGAGATGGGGAGGCCGTCGTGGCGGGAGAATTGTTCGGAGAGGGCGCCATTGGGGGGTGTATAATTTTGCTGAATGGGGTGGTATCAGTTCTTTTTGTTGTTCTGAGAGAAGTTGGGATGGGATGAGGAGGACACTATCCAACATGCATAGAAATTCCCCAAGAGGAAGAATGAAGAAGAATGAACATACCACAATTCGCAAATACCCATCTGCATAGTGCATCACTGCGCGTAGTATCCCCTCATATACATCTCCATCTCCATCTTCTCCTCGTTGATACACACCAACCTCAACGCTACGATCATACACGTCACCAAAAAACCCCAAACTCAAATCCGTGACCGTTACCTCCCCAAACCTCTTCCACTGCTCAACAGCTCGATACAAATGCTCCGCCGCAGCCAGGGTAGTCAAATACCACGGCTGCCCACCCATGTACACATCTTCCGGGTAGCGACCGAACGCGATCGGTTGGTTCACAGGTACCCCTCGATTGATTGGATACAGTCGACGAAAAGAATCCGCAACAACCTTATGATTGGCGAGGGCGCGCGACGAACAAGGCTGGAAAGTGAGGTCTGAGCAATCGGGCGCGAGCGGGTCGAAGGTGTGAATGGCTGCGAGAATGGTATTGACGTCTTTGCCGGACCGGAAGGGGGCGTGATGGTTGGCGAAGATGTGTGAGTTGTCTGGAGACCAGAAGGATTGGAGAAAGCAGAGAGTTTGAGGCGCTTGAGACAGACAGTTGGGACAGCTGGTGTTGAGGCGGGTGGCGAGGGTAGAGCCTAGGGTGAGAGAGGAGTATTGGACGGAGGTGGTGAAGAAGGAGGAGCCGAGGGTTTCTTCCCAGAGATCTGGTTAGGGGGTTAGTTGGATATAAGAGGAATGATGAAAGGGAAGGGAAATACCAAAGGTAGTGGAGTTCCAGTACTCGGAGACGTACGAGAGATCGTTGCGGATGATGGGCCAGATGGTCTCCGCGACGGAGGAGTGGTTATGATCCTGTGTTATTCGTCAGCCGTACTGTTCACTGATTCAGTCTGCCTGACACGAAGAATCATACAATCAGCCAGTTTGCATAGGTGATCAAAGTCACTGCCCGCAGCGCAGGCCCGTCTCTCTGCGGTCGTCCCCAATCGCCGGTGAAGGCCGATCCATCGACATGGAACTTGGGCTCGCCGAGACCTCCTGTGTCCAGACGACCAGACGGATTGGAAATAGACTGTAGCTGAGCTTGAAACGAGACGTATTGCTGAACGGCCGTGTGGACCGTCGCATCGTCCGTCGCGATGGCAATGTCGACGAGGCAGCGAACCGTCAGAGCGGCATCGCGCGTCCACGTAAAGAAGTCTAGACATGTCAACGCACGATCTCAAGCCGAGGAACGGGGAGACGCACAGTCCGGATTAGCCTTGCTAGGACTCGCTACGACGGAGCCCGGGTTTGCTCCGATCGATTTGGCCCCATCGGCGCCGAGATTATTCAGGACGCCATCTAGAGCGTAGGGAGTTTGGCGCGCCAGCCACGAGTCTAACGGTTCGGTGGCGTCCGCAAGGGGCACCTGGGCGGGGAATGACGAGGCGTTAGCCTGCTCCGGCACTAGAAGCAGATACAGGCACAGCGAGAAGATCAGCATCGTCGCCATGGCCGTTTTGAACACGGACAATGCCGAAGAGGGCGATGGAAGGATGCCGAGAGATGATGAATGTCGATCAGCGACCAGGGGCGGGAATTCGCAGGAAATTAATCGCCCTCACAGCGAATCACGTTGGACGTCACGTTGCATCGATTCGCATGTGAGCTGTTATATAAACAGGTCTTGTCGCAGTGATTTCACCTTCCTCACCATCCCGTTTACATCTGTTGATCAAAATGAAGTGGTCGATTCTCAGTTTGTTGGCCTCGACTGCTCTGGCGGCCACTCCGGCGCAATGGCGCTCGCAGTCCATCTACTTCTTGTTGACCGATCGCTTTGCCCGCGACGATGGCTCAACCACAGCTGCTTGTGATACCGAGGATAGGGTGTGTATCTTTTTAATGGCAGATGATCAGGGCTGACTGGAAGATTGTGTAGAAATACTGTGGTGGTACCTGGCAGGGCATCATCGACCAGCTGGACTACATCCAGGGCATGGGCTTCACGGCCATCTGGATCACTCCAGTGACAGCCCAGTTGACCGAGGACACCAAGTACGGCGATGCCTATCATGGCTACTGGCAGCAGGATATGTACGTTCCTGTTCCTTCTCTTCAATGACAGGGACCTAGACTGATTACGCGCATAGATACTCGCTGAACGAGAATTACGGCACCGCCGACGACCTTAAGGCTCTGGCCGACGCTCTGCACAAGCGCGACATGTATCTCATGGTCGACGTGGTAGCGAACCACATGGTATGTCTCTATTCTTATTATCTATGCATATGGACGTTAACTGGAAGTAGGGCTACGCGGGTGCCGGAGACTCGGTCGACTATAGTGTTTTCAACCCCTTCAACTCCCAGGACTACTTCCACTCCTTCTGTCTAATCCAAGACTACAATGATCAGACACAGTCAGAGGACTGTTGGCTGGGCGACAATTCTGTTTCCTTACCGGATCTCGACACCACCAAGTCCGAAGTCCAGGATATCTGGTACGACTGGGTGGGAGGCCTTGTGTCCAACTACTCCAGTGAGCATCTTCCCGAGCCACTCAATACGTAAAGCACTTACTGACCAAACCAAGTCGATGGTCTGCGAATCGACACCGTCAAGCACGTCCAGAAGGACTTCTGGCCCGGCTACAACGACGCCGCGGGCGTGTACTGCATCGGAGAGATCCTCGACGGAGACACCTCCTACACCTGCCCCTACCAGGAGGTCCTCGACGGTGTACTTAACTACCCGATCTACTACCCGCTGCTCAACGCCTTTAAATCCACCAGCGGCAGCATCAGCGACCTCTACAACATGATCAACACGGTCAAGTCCGACTGTCCGGATTCCACTCTCATGGGGACCTTCATTGAGAACCACGACAATCCCCGATTCGCCTCCTACACCGACGATATCGCGCTGGCCAAGAACGTCGCCGCCTTCACCATCCTGGCAGACGGGATCCCGATCATCTATGCCGGTCAAGAACAGCATTACGCTGGCGGAGAAGACCCCGCTAACCGCGAGGCGACCTGGCTGGGCAAGTATAACACCGACAGTGAGCTGTATAAGTTGATTGCGGCGTCGAATGCCATCCGTAACCATGCGATCAGCACTGATAAGGAATATGTGAACTACCAGGTAGGCTTGGCTGTGCCTTGCAGACTACGTGAACCAAGCTAATAGAGTATAGAACAACCCTATTTACAAAGACGACTCCACCATCGCTATGCGCAAGGGCTTCGACGGCGCGCAGATCATCACCGTCCTGTCAAACCAAGGCTCCTCCGGATCTTCGTATACCTTGTCGCTTGGTGACACTGGATTCTCGTCTGGAGATAAGGTCACCGAGATCTACACCTGCACCGCCTTGACGGTGGATTCGGACGGAAAGGTCCCCGTGCCGATGGATGGCGGAGCGCCCCGCGCGCTGTTCCCGACTGAGAAGTTGAGCGGAAGTAGCCTGTGCAGTGAATCGGATTGAGCGTGGTATCAATGACGTTGATTGAAGAGTACAAAAGACGTACATGAGTACATGATGGTGGATCAAGGCGTGGGGACAAATGTTGGGTATATAGCTATAGTCCTAGACAAGAGTATCTTGCTTCCGACAAGGAATACCCATACTCTGCACATCAGGAAAAATAGAAGTCCTAGGTCACCAAACTATGATGAAACCCATTCATCCAGCTTCTCAACACATCCATCCCCCTCGCAATCCAATACCGCACGGCACTCCCGAATCCTTTCACCCACCCCCTTTGATAGAACTCCCCAAACCAGATACTTTGCCTCCAATTTACATATGTCTTCCTCGTGATCCGCCTCTCCCACTCCCTCCACCCCATCTCCCCTTTCACCAGCCCCTCCGTCAACTGTGCCTGCTCTGCTGCCTGGCTCGTCGCATAGGCAGTATGCGGACGAAGCAACGCCGAGGCATCACCTACCAGCAGCACCTTTCCGTTTAGGAACGCAGTCCGCGGCGACCAGAAATCAGTGATGAGATGTACGAACGGCGAGGAGATCTGGTTCATGATTTCAAGGTGCGCTTCTGGAAGCGAGTCTCTTGCTATAGATCGTTGGCGGGCCCAAATCGACGATTGAAAGTGTTCCGGGGATAACGAGATCCGATGTCGTTTGCCGGACGCATCGGTCATGACTTCGTCGAGTGAGGATGAAGGAACATTGGTGTACCAGGCGAAGTTTAAGAGACGGGTCCCCAGCTCGATGGAGCCGTTGGGGCTGGGGATGTTATACCTACATGGGTTAAGTTAGCAGGGTGAGACTGCAATAGATTATGTGTATGTAGTGGATAGGATGTCAACATACACAATGACATGCGTGCCATTCAAGATCGAATAGGTGATGTTCCGACTAAACACCCTCCTCGTAGCCTCGCTGACCTGGCTCTCCGGCACAACACCCCGCCACACAACGTAGCCCGCATACTGTCTATCACCGTCCCCATTCCCGGACCCTGAAAAGATTTTCCGAACGATTGAATTCGCCCCGTCAGCCGCGATCACCAGATCGGCTAGAAGCTGATACTCGCGTCCGGTCGCGGGCTCGGTCTCGCCTCGACAATCCTGCACCGCGACACGGACACGACCAACCGTGTCTTCTTCCACGCCTACAACCCTCTGCCCAATCTCATACTTTGCCCTCGCAGACGCGCTCTCAATGCTTTCTCCATGCTGGGCCCGCGGACCCGGCGGCTCTGCGACGTACTCACTGCGCAGACCGTCGAAGTTGGCGCGTAGCCGGAAGTACAGCGCATCCCAGGATGTCATGAGACGGGGGAGGCGAAGGAAGGGACGGACGTGACCTGTTGCGTCTAGAGTCTGGAGAGAGTCTGATGGGATGCCGAGGGGGATATCACTTGCGCGGTCGAACCGGGATAGCAGGTCTAGGACGGCAGGGCCGATGGCGATGCCGGCCATGTGTGAGGGAGGGGCGTGGGAGGGGGTTTGTTCGAGGATGAGGACCGAGCAACCGAGATGGTGGAGGGTGAGGGCGTGCATGAGAGATGAGAGGGAGCCGCCGATCTGGAGGGCGGGGTTAGTAGGTGATCGGGAAATTGGAAGATAGGTTCTTTGGGTGTTGGGATTCTGGATAGTGGACGGAGCTGATAGATGGAGTTGGAGGGAGAGAGTAAGGGGACGCACAATAATTACATCCTTGGTGACAGTGGTGGCCGTGGTCTTGTTGAGAGGCATTGTAATCATCAGAGAGCTGGTTTGATAGCGAATCACTGAATGAGACATTAGAATAGAACGGGATGGAGTGAGGATAACGTTGGACACGGTCGTATCCCTTGCTACTACCCCTTACTTCAGTACTGTGACACGTAAACTTCGATATCGCAGCAGCTGTACACAAGAGCACAATGATCCGTCACTCTTTTCCGACATCGTGAATGTCAATCACATGGCATAGCTTCATTAGATAGGTGATCAGGTCGGACGTTCCGAAAGGGTCCCGGTTCATTGATAGCCCCGGTTCAACCAGAGCAAGACGACACAGCGAAGAGAGAGCCGGACAGTTGGGGTTGGATATTGTGCCGACTGGCTAAACACACATAGCCCTGGTTGACGGCAGGAAAGTGTGAGTACTGAAAGCAAGATGATTCAGGAATAGTGAACGTCAGGCGGGTTGCTTTCCTAGGCTACCCCCACATAGACCTTAAGTCGATAGGGAGTGCTGTCTCACTCTGGTCGGCCAGATCGAAGATTTTTAATCTCCCTTCCGATGCAACTAGCGCGCACTCATCCCATAATGCTGAATGCGCCGTATTCACAATGAGTCGAAGTAACGCGGCAAGCTTCTGCAATTTGTTCTGGTGGCCTTTCTCCCACTCGCTGAGCTTTCCCGACTCTAAACAGTTCTCTTCAGTGACATCGGTAAACAAGCCGGACTCATCGTATCTTCCGGAACAAAGAATGGGCGTGTCAGCAAGCCAAAGCTGTTCTAGAGTCTTCGTGCCGTTCAGCCTCCTTCTGATGGGCCCCGTTTTTATCTCAACAATTTGTGATGGGTCGACCAACGCCCCCCATTTGCGGATTTGGGTACCCGTCGAAGACTTTCCACTAGAGGATAGAACCGATTGTCGAGAAAGGCCTTTCCCAGAGGCAGTGCAGCCATCGGCCTCGTATCGGAGGATGGTCCTGACATCCCCTATCGTGTAGCTAATAACCCGATGGTGAGTATGGCTATGATTGAGGAGTGACGGTCGGCGGGTATACACCTTTTCAAACTCATAGCCATGTCCTTGGAAATTGCGAGCGCGTATCATTGCCCTTCGGTCCGATGCACAGGAGAACAATATTGTGTTTTTGAAAACTCCTACCCCGATGCGAAAGGGCCTCTGCGTTCTGCCACCCACAAAGTCCAGCAACTGGCGGAGATTACGTCGGTCCGTGATCAGATCGACATTGTTCAATTTCATCTCCGGCTTCGTGATCCGCAATGCCCGGAACAGCGGCTCCAGAGGAAACTTAGGATACCAATGCCGTGCCGGGTCCATTAGGTATGTGCCTCTATCGGGCTTGACCTTTTTGGGCGCATTGGCGGGGTGCCAGATGGGCGGGAACCCTGCGCATGATGAGTCCTATGTTATCAGATATGATACATGGAATCGATCTCACGCACCAGGCACCACCGTCGATCCTTTCCAAAGTAGATTGTACGACGTTAGCACTTGCAGGCCGGCTTTCGTGACGGCTTCTCTCTCCGCCGGACGGATGGCGTTGAGGGTGATTTCTCCCAATTGCTCGCCTAGGCCCTGGAAAAGACGATCTTTTCTCATTGTGAGAGATCGCCGGGCGCATGCGACGCGTCGACGGAAGACAAAGCAGTCAGCCAGACAACGATGCCACGTCGCGGTCACCCGTCGGCAATCACATGATCCCCAATCCCTGCTCGCATGTCCCTTTTCGGTTATCCAGACAGCCATCATGTATTCAGAAGGCGGTATGGAATATCTGGCAGAACCCTGCCCGCCTTGTCTAAGCGCCTCTGCCCGCTCATAACCGAAGGCAAATAAGACATTCACCACTTGCTTGATTCTACCTCTTGGAACCCTGTGAGAGTTCTGAAGTATCCAAAATTCTCTTCTCGATATTTTTTGCCAAAAGAGGCTGGCAGTACAGAGTCCCATAGAAGAAAAAGTCACCGATTAGCATTACGGCTCTCTGATCGAGAATACTTGAGGCTTATACGAAACTCATTGCTGAGGCTGTCAAATCAGACAAGGACAAATGGGCTGTTGACACCCCGGGCACACAAGTTGCGATTGAAATGAAAGATCCAGACTGAACATTAGGGCTGATGGAAGACGCGGTAAAAGGAGGGGATTCGATGCTTTCGTTGATATAAATCGATCAGATCAGACAAAGGGTTGAACTCACCACACCCTCTACGCTGTATGCGCCTATGCTAGGTCCTGGCATGAAACGCCAATAGTCGGATTCTTCATAGAAGTTGAAGCTTTTAATCTGGCATATTTCAAAAGAGGACTCTCAGGCTCCATGTCAGTGGGACTCGTATCGAGAGCCTACGGTGTACGGGGCCCCATCGTTTACGTGGACCTGATTGGCGATCCAGCAATCTCGGCCTTGCTAGCTGAATATGTGGAGCCAAGCCGGGGATTGTGTGGAGCAATTGGAATTGTGTTTCGTGCTAAAGTCCATCCCCGAGGCACTAAAGGTGGCCTCGAGACGGTGTCAAACCCCTGGCGCCCAAGAGAGTGGTAAGCGTTGGGGCTGTGTAGAAGTCTACGGAGTATCTTGCCGAAAGTCCATCGCGAAGGAGCTTTGCTATTCGATTACCACAATTAGGTCGGAGAACTTCCTGTCTACATCATATTGTCTTCATCAAACCCGATTTTCTCCAGATCGGCACCAGCGGGAGTATGGGGGACTGAGGGTAACCCTAACCCTATGAGGAGTACTCCATGTCCCATGGATAGAGTCAACAGGAGCCGAGCACATGGGGATGCTACAAGTGGGGCTCCAGAACGCGGGGTAATCAATGATAAACGCCCAGGAATATTTAGTTAATGGATTCGTAGTGTCCTCGAAGCGAAACCAAAACAGCCGTAAAGCCCCAATGAATCCTGCGAGCACCGCACGACAGAGCTCAACGGCGGGAGACATCACCAGAGGCACCAAGCGTCGCCGGATCAGACCGTCTCGTGCCCGCGGCTTGAGAACGAGAACCGGATGGTGAGTAAATAGGGAGCTGAGTCAACTCTAAATGTATCCCTTAAGCGAGCATTTCATTCGCTTACACGCACGACAGCCTCACTTGCAGAGAGAGACGAGTGAAGTGCGACGACGGTAAGCCCACATGCCTGCGATGCTCCAAGTCGAATCGAATCTGTCGATATGCCTCTATCGGACACGCAACCGACCCCGAGCCACCAAGAACACAGCCAGGTCCTCAAGAGCAGCAGCCGAGTGATGATGTGGTAGCATACCTCCAGGATACCTGCCCAGCCCCTGCTGAAGCTTCGGTTGCACTCCACCCCAACGGTGCGATTGAGACGCCTCAGAGTGACCAGGGGCTGCCCGGGTTGGACTCTGGTCTCTCGACCTCTCCACTTTCACTCAGCCAGGTATCCTTGCTAAACATCTCCCCCTTGGAGTGGTACGATTTGCTAGCCCGGGATGCAATCAGCAATATTCAACGCCGGAACGATGCTCCAACGGGCGATCCACGATGGAAGTTCCCCGATCTGGCCCTTTCTCGTAGACAGTCACCAGCGCCTGATCTGGAGGACCACTATGAGCTAGCTGACCGGCGCTCCGAGCAGCAGCAGCACGTTTCGCAATACCAAGACGGGGCAATCGAAGCTTCTCTCGTGGGTCATCCCCAGGTGCTGGAGCCTTGGAACACAGCGAATAGGATAGAACTATCGGCAGTAGATTTTGAATTCTTTCAATATTACATTGAAGTTGTCGGACCCATCCTAGACTTGTTCGATCCTGCTCGACACTTTATCAATGTCGTTCCACATCTTGCACTGCGAAATACAGGGCTCTTGAAGTCCATACTTGCTGTCGGGGCCAAGCACAAGTCTCTCGGTCTGAACCATGTACCGAGCGAAAGTCCCCCGGGCGATCCTGCTGCTTCAAATGTGAATACGCCATCCTCGCTGGCAACAGCAGCGGCAACAGCAACTGGCCAGCCGCCTGAACCAACCCCTACTCCAGCACACATGGCTACACATTATTACTACGAAACGCTACAATACCTCTCACAAACATTACTCTATCCCTCCTACACAGACTCCCGAGAAATCCTAGCGACTGCCACCATGATCAGCACGTACGAGATGTTCGACGCCGACAGCGCCGCAACCAGCACCAGCGGAGACTGGGAGAAGCACCTACGAGGCTCTTTCTGGATCCAGCGATCTCAAGACAACGACGGCGAGTCGGTGGACGGTTTGAGACGGGCCGTCTGGTGGGCATGGTTGCGACAGGATATCTGGGCAGCCTTTCGAGCAGGGAGACCAACACTAACGTTCTGGCGAGCTCGGAAACCGCTCGAGGAGCTAGACTCTGATGCGCTGGCCACTAGAATTGTCTATATCTGCGGCCAGTGTGTCGCGTATGCCGCGTCGGATGACACAGCAGATCGAGATCCTAGACCCAGAATTGAGCATGGGGATAGACTCTTGCGTGCACTCGATGATTGGTATCGTGTTCTTCCTGCTTCATATCAGCCTGTCACAGTGGGTGTTGCAGGGAATTGTGACTCGCAGGTAACATTCCCGCCGATATGGATTCATCCACCGAGCCACGCAGGCGCGATGCAGATGTACAGTTTCGCACGTGCCACAGTGTTACTCAATCAGCCTACTAGGGGTGGACTAAATGCGTATAGTCAGCGCGAGAAGCAGCTGACCGACAGTGTAAAGATGGTGTGCGGGATTGCCAACGCCTGCGGGGAGCATGAATCTGCAATGGCGTTTGTGAATGTGCAGGCTTTGTTTGGCGGTAAGTTCTGCTTTGACTGCGCTGTGTACTTTGCTGACGAGACTCTTCCAGTTGGCCAATTTGTTCGGTCGCCTGAGATGCGCGGCGAGTTGCTTCGTATTCTAGAGAGAATGTTGAGGATTAGCAAGTTTCCAGCTCGGGGGCTTGTAGGTGAGCTCAGAAGATTGTGGCAGGAATGAAGCTACGGTGCTTGCCAGGCTTCTGTCATGGGGAGCTATGTATACGGCGGAGCTGGAATAAACGAACTGGAGATATCTATTTTGAATACTATTTCATTCGAATCGTCACTGCTCTCCATTCATATCACAAATCCAAACACCTACCACGCCCCCACAATCCCAGCAACCGGAATATCAATACCAGTCGTATACGAAGCACCATCAGAAAGCAGATAGACATAAGCACCTCCTAGCTCCTTTGGATCCGCCAATCTCGGCATTCCCCCGTAATACTGCATCTTGAGATCCCAGTCCGGCGCCTGATCCACAAAGTAAGTCATAGCAGTCTTGATAAAACCTGGCGAGATAGAGTTGACACGAATGCCATGCTTTGCCCACTCCATGGCTAGCGTATGTGTCATATTGCGCACAGCAGCCTTGGTAGCACCGTAGGGTGCCGAAGGCGCCGCACGGTTAGGGCGATACGAAGTCATAGAGGCCGTGAAGACGATGGAACCCTTAATACCGAGATCAATGAAGCGGCGGGCGACGGTCGTCGCGCAGGAGTAGGCGCCGAACACGTTGAGATTGAATAATTGATCGAGCTGAGCTCGGCTGAAGTCAAAGGCTGGTTGGTGCTTCGTCATGCCGGCGTTGGCGATGAAGCCGTGGATGGCGCCGCGTGCGGTGATAACGGCGTCGATTGCGGAGCTGACGCTCTCCTCGGAGGTCACGTCGCAGTGAATGTAGGATAGACGTTTTGGGTTGGTCTTTTGCAGCGAGGTGAATTCTTCGCCGGGCTCGAATACGTCCAGGCTGAAGACGGCCGCTGCGTCGTTCGCTAGGCAAACTTGTGCAAGGGCAAGTCCGATGCCTCGGTTGGCGCCGGTGATGGCAATGACTTTGTCTTTCAGGGTGATCTTCCAGTCGTGATCAGGTCCCGGCTGAGTGTCGAGGAAAACGGGTGATTTTTCAGCGGTCATTTTGTCGATCATATCTGAAGGCATTGTAATGTAGTTGTGAGGTGAAAACTTTTAATAAATTGAATGAAGTGGCATGGAACTTGGATACGAGCGTCCTATTTTAAGTCTGCTATAGCTCTACGTTCAGCTCGATGACAATGGAGTCGCCAAATAGGCGAAGTAATTCCTCTCAGCCGTGCAAGTAAAGTAATCGACTAATTGTCAAGGCAATTGGGGCCTTCGAAGCGAGCAACTCCACCGTGCAATGTCTGCCCGTCCCTCGCATCGAGTCCATGCGGCGCGAATATTGGCCGAGTCAGCCTCTATACTCCCCAAGGCTCATATGCACGATTCTTAGCCATTCAGCATCTGGATGATTTAAGTTTTGATCTGAAATATTGACAGAATTGGAATTTAGACTTCTGGGACTGACACGGCAATCTTGGGGTGTTACTAGGCCATGTAGTGCGTCGAATCTATTTCTGAATTTCTCTACCTAAGCACTATATCACAGACTCATATCTAACCACCACCTTCATTCTGTTACCCCATCCGACGTCCCAGTAATGGCTAATGAATGTTGCCCGACCGTAGCTGGTGACGGAACCAGATATGCAAGAACAAATACACGACAACGCCGACTGCTAGCATGGCCGAAATGACAGAAAACCCCATAATATATTTCGGACTATCATCTTCCGGAAACAAGTACTGTGGTGTTATCAGTTAGTCCAGTAGCCAAACTGGGAGACAACTGTAAATTGGCGAGATACATACCGATCCGTAAATCTGAGCCAAATTACCCAGTGCGTTCACCATAGCCAGAGCAACACCTCGAGCCTGCGGATGCATCCCAGCAAAGGCAGACGAGGCATAAGCTAATGTCCCTCCATTTGTTGCCCAAAGGCCGGCAGCCATGAGAACCAGAAGAACATAGCGAGCAGTGTAGTTGTACACTGTACACACGATAATCGAACAGGTCAGAGAGACGGATAACCAGGCAGCAATGATCAATCCACGCCATGTAGGAACCATGTCGCTGTAGTAAGCCGTTATGCCGGTAGCTATAAAAGCCACGCCATAGATCGGGACAGTCAATAGGTTAACCTTCTTGGTGGATGCGTCCCCGAACAGTCCTTCTACGAGGGTAGGGTAGAAGTACGTCAAGGTACTCGAACCAACGATGACCTATAAAGAATCACAATGTCAGCTAGACTAAAGAGAAGAGGCAGGATTGGGGTTATCGACGAACCATGTACCCAATAACGAATGCCCAGGTGCGCCAATCACGACAGGCCACTTTACAAGCATCCAGGTTGCTCAGGTGCTCGCTATTGGCGGTGGCAGCCGTCACATTGTCAGTTGCCAGACGTGCCACAGCAACCTGCCTCTCGCGCTCAGAGAGACGCCGCGACGTCGCCGGAAAGTCTGGAAGAAGGAAAAGAGAGATTATAGCAAATCCAACAGTAGCGGCACCTTCAATGATAAACAGCCAACGCCACCCACGAATACCATGAACACCCTCAAGGCCGTCGACAATGCCGGCGGCAATCAAGCCTCCAAAGGCACCGGACAGAACAGCTGCCGAGATAAACACACCGAAACGCTTCGACTGCTCGGCTTGTTTGTACCATGATGATAGGAGAAGTATCACTCCAGGCGCAAATCCAGCCTCAACGCATCCAAGGATAACTCGGAGGGCCACTAGATGGGAGAAGTCTTTGATAACGGCCATCACGCAAGTCAAAGCACCCCAGAGAATCATTATTGACGGGAGAAAGATAGACGGTCGGGATCGGCCCAGGGCAAGGCTGTAGAGATGGGCAGTCAGTGGTAATGTTTCGAGATTAAGGACTAAGAACTGTTGATATGAGGATCATACTTGCTAGGCACTTCGAAAACCACGTAGCCTATGAAAAAAACAACCAGGGCAATGGAGTACTGGTTTGAACTCAAGTCGAGATCGACCTCCATGCCAGAGATCTTTGCATTGCCAATACTGCACACACATAACCGTTAGTCGGCTAGGCAGAACCCAAACCTTCAAGTCAGATATGTTCCCCTTACTTGGTTCTATCCAAATAGGACAGAAGATACATGATCCAGATGGTCGGCAGAAGGGTGAGATCAATCTTCCTCACTAACGCCTTCTCCTCCTCGGGACTGATAGAAATTGCCTCTGCGATATTGACATTTTCGATCTCATGAGAAGAGACGTCCTTCAATTGACCTTCAACGTCCACGCGGTCCATGATCACTTATTGTAACAGCTCGGATGTGAGAAGAGTAAGAAACAAGGAGGAAAACTCGACCTCATCCTTGCTCGGTGTTTATGTTTCATTCAGCTACTCAAAATACACGAGGCTAGGGCTTTGGGGCTCATGGCCGTTGGGCTCATCATACAATCCGTCAATCCCCGGACTCCCCATATCCACCTCCACAGCTTCAGAGTCAACATTTCCCGCTCTCCGCAGCCTGGGCAACCACATCCGATTGGTTCATGAGGGGGCCATCGCATCGAGGCCCATGTGGAACCTTTCGTTAGCGTCAATCCTGGCTCCCGGATCGGTTGGTATGATTAAGGATGGCCATGATAGTTTTTACCATACAGCTGAACAGACACACTAAGACGTCAGACAAAACCCAATCCGTCTGTAAAAGCTTGTGTCCTTTGCCGCGAAGCAGGAGTATTTTCCAGGTAGCATTCGTTGGAGACTATTGCTGTTTGCCGTTAAGGATTAGTTCCTTGCCCTTAGTAGACATTCCTGTTAGCACTTAATTTTGGTCTGCTGCTACGGTGATTTACATATCGGCTGGAGCAAAATTGGGAAAGGAGGTCACGCTTCCGTCGATGGTGACATGCCATTAGAGAAAATGCTATATTTCTCAACGTAAGACACAATATACTCATTCTAGGTGTGTCATTATATACAATCTTATCATGCGCATCATCCATGAGTTGCGTCACCGATCTAATGCCCCAACCCAACCTGCAGACACCCATTAAAGTCCCTGAAGTCACCCCTCAAAATGCCGATACCATCACGCCTAACTTCCTCCACCAGGTCTTTGACTTTCGGTGCGATGCTCTCCGGCGCAAATCCAAAATGCTCATAGGTCTCCTTAGAAGGAAGACTCTTGCCAAAGCGGTTCATCGAAACCGAAGCATCAGCATAGCGCTCCCATCCGTTCGACGGGTACGCCTCGATTACGACCGTAGGCTTCTCGGCGCGCGGCTTTAGAACTGATTGCTTGTACTCCCTCGACTGTTGCTCAAAGAGCCTTGTGCAAGGGAAGGACAAAACTCGTGCCTTGATATCATAGTCCTTTAGAAGCAGTTCTCGAGTCTGCATTGCGTAGGCCATCTCAGAGCCGACACCGATCAAAGTCACGTCAAAGTCGTCACTGTCGCTTTCGGTGAAGACGTATCCGCCCTTCATTGCACCCTCCCGCGATGAGTACTGAGGGTACTGGGTCAGATTCTGTCGGGAGAGGGAGATGACGGTTGGCGTCTCGGTAGCCTGGATAGCCGCGATATAGGCACCGGCTACTTCTTCAGCGTCGCATGGACGGATGTAGAGGAGGTTGGGCATCGCTCGCCAGAGCGCAGAAACAGCGATGGGCTGATGCGTGGGTCCGTTCTCGCCGACACCGATGCTGTCGTGGGTGGCAATATGGATCTGCTGGAGGCCTTGAAGCGCAGCCATGCGTATAGCGGCCGCGGCATAGAGGTGGAAGACTAAGTACGTGCTCGTCATGGGGATGAATGTGCCCTTGTTGAAGGCCGCAAGCCCGTTGGTAATGGCGCACATGGCGTGTTCGCGGATTCCGTAGTGGATGTATCGTCCGCTGTAATTTCCATTCAGACCACAAGTAGTTCTAAGGTCAGGCTAGTTATATGTTAGCAAATCACTGGCCTGTTCGGAGGGGGATTCAGGGGCGATGAGCATATAGACTCACCGATTGGAAATCGACTTTGTTCTTGTAGGCGATATTACACGAAGGAGTAAGATCCGCCGTGCCAACCAAGAAGGAATTAATTCCCTCTCCAAGCGCGTTGGTAATGACGCCGGCAGACTTGCGCGATGCAGTTGGCGCAGTTGGCTGCTCCTCCTTGCGGGGAATACATTTGGTCCAGTCCTCGGGCATCTTTCCTGCGACACGCAGCGCAAATTCAGCTGCTAGCTCTGGGTAATCTTCACGATATCTCAAACGAGCTACTTGCCAGGCCGCCTCGTGGGCCTCACCGCGGCTCGGAAGATCCCTGAAGAAGCTGTAAACGTCTTCGGGAATCTGGAAGTGCTCGTCAGGGTTGAGACCGAATCGCCTCTTGAAGTTAGCCACTTCGTCGACTCCGAGCGCAGCTCCGTGCACGTCCGCAGTGCCGGCTTTGGCCGATCCGAAGCCAATTGTGGTGCGGATGTTCAGGAATGTGGGCCTGTCACTCAGTCGAGCGCTGGCAAGGGCTCGTGCCACAGCTGGTATGTGTGAGCGGAGCTTTGATTACCAGGCTAAACGATATGTAAGGCTTACCGACAACGTCCGAGTCACCATTGGACACATCCATCACGTTGAAACCAGTAGCTCGCATTTTGGCGTTGATGTTCTCGGTGTTGGCAACGTCTGCAGATCCATCACACGTAACAGAGTTGTTGTCGAATATAACGCACAGATTGTTCAGCTTCCAGTGGCCAGCGAGAGAGAGCGCCTCGAGTCCAACTCCTTCCTGCAGGCACGCATCCCCGACCATGCACCATGTCATGTTATTTACCATCTCATGGCCAGGTCTGTTGTATGTGGCGGCAAGGTTCTTGGTGGCCATGGCAAGGCCAACGGCATTGGCGAGGCCCTGGCCGAGGGGTCCGGTTGTGACCTCCACACCCTCATGCTCTATCTCAGGGTGGCCGGGACAAAGCGAGTCGAGCCTCGATGAGTGGTAGGTCTTGAGCTGCTCGTGTGTCATGCTCTTGACGCCAACCAGGTGCATGAATAGGTACTGCCATAGACAAGCATGGCCTACGACACTTCATGGTAAGCCACATGCGCTTGTTTCACGGGGGTGAGGAGGGTGTTGAATAGGACGTACCATTCGAAAGAACAAATCGATCCCGGTTGAAGTAGTCGCAGTTGTTTGGAGAATATCTCATCACATATTTATACAGGGCAATACCAATAGCTGCCATACCCATGGGAGATCTAAAATTCAGTCAGCCCTATTCTTTGATGACTATCTCAAGCAAATGTCAATTTACCCAGCATGGCCTTCGCCGTATTGCTGGCAAACATCAGCAATGAAGGCTCGGAAAACGTTCATCACTCGTTGATGCGTATCTGCGCTCTCAAATCTGGGGTTAGCAGCAGAAAAGGCTCCATTTCCGATGCTTGAAACTGCCTTGACTGGCAGTTTCTCAGTAGGGCTCTCGAGGAGTTCCAGCGCAGGTGCCATGGCGTAAAACTGAGTGTTGGCTGTAGCACTGGAGACAATTGTTTTAGTATAGCACTTGATAATACTAGACCGCAGTCGGCAGGCAAAGCAGCTAGAGCCGACAGCCAGTTCTTATACTCCAGACATGATCCCATACCTTTCGCCTCTCCGAAAATCAAACCATTATGTTGACGTTGAATAAAGGTTGTTGGACATCGAGACGAAGTCATGGGCCATTGAATGTTGATAGTACCCTTCGGTAGTAAATTCTCTCGCTGGGGTAAATCCACGCAATACTGCTACTGCGGTAGGGTGGCCATGATACCCGGAGTGAGTCCCTCGCTTCGAGGCCAGCGGGCCCTCGCATCGAGAACCCACCGACTACGTTTTCTCAGAGGTTAGTCGGTGCACAAGATCGGATACCAGTGAATACTTTGTTGCTCACGACCCGTATCCTAATTTGTATACCTATCGCTTCCGTGCCATTGTAATGTTTCTCTTTGTTGTCGAACCTAGGGATAGGTGGACCAACGCTGCCTGAGGCAGTCAGGCACCAAGAAGATGCAACAACTATGGCGGGCTTACGAAGGCCTAAACCTATGTTGTCCTTCCAATCCTCGGACATACTGCTATCATCGAACAATCAAATCCCTGGATAGTAGACCTTCGCTCTTTCATCTTGTCACGGAACTGGTATAGCCCTTCTCGCTTGGTCTGTCTATTCTACAATAGATGTGAGTGTCCGATGTGTCAAATTTATCCATGCATATATAGCATGTTGGTAACACCTAGGAGTCCATATCTTTGTATTGCTTTTTGAAAAAGCTCTAGTGGTTATCCACTAAACATCTGAGTAACAAATGTGGCCAGAGCCAGCACTGGGAATATCCATTTCTACCCTTTCAGCCCCAAATAAAACTATTGTAATTGACCGACTTGATGCTGCTCTGTCGAATATTATGCAACTACTGCTGTAGTATGTGCTTTCGTGTTTACTCTTCGCAGCCGCTTTTATTTTTAATGGGTGACTGTCACTGTTACCGTATCCATCAATTCATCACAAGGTTCAAACTACATTGGTCCAATATACGTGCATAGACTGGCTGACGAATACGTCATATGATATACTTGGTCCGGGCATACAGATCGTTCTTATATTGGGAATTGACTCCCTGCGTTCAATCTGTAAAACCTCCAAAGATTCAAATTCTCGGATATCCATAATAAGCCCCGTTCCGGATAGGTGATGGTGGAGTTATCAGATCATGAGCTCATGGTTCTGAACATTAAACAATGCTCTATACTCTCACGTACTGGCAGCTGATACTGTTGCAGCTCGAGCTGCCAAAAGACGGTCAAACACATCCAATGACACGGCATGATTAACTTGTATGCTCTTGCCTTTGGCGCAATTGTCCTTAATTGTTAGCCGACTGACTTCTCGCCATCCCTTTTCTCCAACCGGTCCATTGATCTGTAAAGCTTGGTCGAGTGTCACATTATTGAGAATTAACCGTGTGGTGGGAGAGCCCGCACCATCGTTTCCCAAGCATTCGAGCTCTTCATCGCCAAGCGCCACCGTGTTATCACCTATTCTATGTCAGTCACTTGAGTTCCTGCGCGAGTTCACTCTCCTTACCATCGGGTACTTGACGGTTGATTAAGTTGGCAATCTTGAGCCCTTTCCCCTCTCCAAAGGTGCTTTGAAGAAGACTATCGATTCGGTCAATGGTTGCAACATTTACCACCATTCTGTCTCCAACACTGCGCGTTAATCCAACATTCGCAACCTGAATTTTCAAACTCAGATCGTGTTTTGCCCGAATGAGCTGGTCCATAATCGTGCGCAGCCTTGCTTCGTCATCAGATCCACGAACTAGCTGATGTGTAAATTGACGGAGAGTCCCTTTGTCTCTTGGTTGTAATGTTTCGAGAAATTCTTTCATCCTTTCACCAATGTTATTGATTTCCACAAGACTTGACGCCACTCCTGCTGTTTGCAATGCCTCCTCATTCTTCACAATATTAATGATGCTCGTCGTCATTTGGATCTCATGCTGGTAATTTTTGAGAACAGCTGCGAGTTCCTTTTGACGGGCGTGGGCGTTGCGAACTCGTTCAACCAAGGCAACTGCCAACTCCAAAAGCCCCAGCGCCGCCGAAGCAACACCAAGGATCTCGGCCCCTGACTGACTCGGAATCTTAGCATGCACATATCTTGACTGGGGTTCAAACAACCTACCATTTTCAATCCTGTTTTGCTATGTAGCTCGCAAACGGCAGGTGCGGATTGTGAGTGAGTACAAAAAGACGAATTGTGCTAAGGAGCGCGATACAGTGTGAATCGCGGCTTCCTACGTGGCTCCAATCAAACACATGAGGGGAGCCACTCGGGACACTGCCTCTTAGAGCAGGCAGAGTAAGTACCGTGCCGTGAGCTGAACTTATTAATGTGGCTGGGGCTGTGGCTACCTAGCTACCCTGCCACTCGATTGGACCAATGTCACGTTAGGCCTGTGATTTCTCTTATAAGTTGAGGGTGGTGCAGATTTATCCTCGCGATTTGTCAGTGATCGGCACGGTGTCCTGACTGGTCTCAAACAATCCCTGTCCGTGTTTGCTCGGCGGGTTCAGCTGATCCATAGCAGCCGCTGACATTCTCTCGATTGTGCTACGATCTGTGTCAAATTACCGATCATTGAACCATTTCAATGAACGACTCTGACTGCATGCGGGTACGGGCTCAATGGTTTCATCGTCATTATGTCTACTGACGCTGCCATGTCCCTTCTGTCCGAACACAGCGGGGGTTTTGGCAATACATCTTGCGCGAACGTGTCAGATGGGAACTCCGTCCAACACAACGGCAATATTTTCAACATCTCGAACTTGACCAACAGGGTTTACGGCAAGACGGAACGCGCAGTGTGCAATAAACACCTGAAGCCTGTGCGTATAATACCACAGGCACTCTGTTTTCCTTTTCTGGGCCGGGAAACCGAACACGCGGAAATCGTTGACGCTTTGACTCGCGGCGAAGATGCCTCGTCGCGTGTTGTCGTATGGGGAACAATCGGGGTTGGTAAAACCCAACTTGCGCGACAATGCTTGGAGGATATTCACTTGCCCATGCATATGATCTGGCTGAGGGCATCTTCCATCCAAGAGTTGAGTGAGTCTATCTCATGGGTGCTGGAGAAAATTGAGATCAATCCATCTTTGCGACCGCGGAGTACAGCACTGGCAGACTGGCTAGAGGAATGTGGCACAGACGGTGAGGAATGGCTTCTTGTGTTGGATGACGTTAGAGAGACCACGTACACAGCAGCCCTTGCTACTATACCCCACCGGATGCGTCGGGGAAGGGTGCTTATCACTACTCGCACTAAGGAGCTTGCTATCAAAGCCGTATCGCCGTTCCCGTACTGTGAACAGGTGTTTATTGAATTAGGAGCATTCGACCTTGACCACGCGTACAAACTCTTTATGCACGTTTGTGATGGAGCAAGGAACCGGGGGGCCATCAAATACCGTAATCGCGATGAACAGGATATGGTGAACAAAGTGAAGGAAATCCTAACTCGATTGGGCTGCTTTCCACTTGCGGTCCACTCTGCTGCCAATTATCGGAGAAAGAGAACACTGGACGCAACATGGGAAGGAATAATGAGGGTACGCATTCTCTTTCAACCCATTTTGTTTCGTTTCTTGCTGACTGGAGACGTTTGCAAGGTCCTCGAATGGGAAGACATAGTGTTGAATTGTTACGGCTATCGCTTCTATCAGCAACAACCAGCGCTGAAATACGCATTGGACTCGTATTGGGAGTCGAAATATAAACCAGATCCTGACTTTGAAAGCCTCTCTGCTATCTTGAATATCACATGTTTTCTGAACCCGGATAAGATCAGTGTGAAGCTCTTGCGACAGCTCAATCACACCACTAACACTTGGTCATTGAAGTTTGCCAGATTGGTTCAGTCTCCCGTCACCAACTTCTTTTCGAAGCGTAATGGTCGTTTACTCGTTAGACATGACGACAAAGCGGTTCAGAGCCCCAGCGAAAGATTGGAACGCACAATCGACAGACTAGAAAATCTATCCCTTCTCACCCGGTTCGATGATGGACAATATTTCTGGGTTCACAAACTCATACAGCCACTCATCCAATCTAAAGCATCTGTGGAAGAAGCTGTGAAGCTAGTTTGCAACATGTCGCCTACTGATTTGGCAGAGTGCGAAGAGATTCTCCTTCATGTTGATTCGTTATCAAGACACATTGGAGAGTATTCTAATTGCAACGAGTTGCGGCGCGACTTGCTGGGAAAGATAGATGACATTGGGCATTTTTTGATGAAAAGCGAAAGGTTCGCTGAAGCCGGAGATTTATTTGAGGAAGTCTTATATGAGAGGCGCAAGCAATCAACACAGTCACACAAGGCAGATATCTTTCAAAGCCTAAATAATCTTGCATCAGCGTTGTGTGAGCAAAGGAGGTATAGCGAGGCGGAGGTTAGATATCGTGAGGCATTGAAAATACAATTGCAGGCCTTGGAATACGGACAGATCGACCACATTCACACCTTACCGACCCGCGACCACCTTGCATCAGCATGGCTCAAGATGGGCTACCTGAAAGATGCCGAGGACCATTACCGCGAAGCACTATGCATACGGCTGGCAAAGTTCGGCGAGGATGACGATGAATGTCTCAAGAATCGTGACATGCTCGCAAACGTACTTCAGAAACGAGGCCAATTGAAAAAAGCTGAAGAGGAGTACGGCAAGGCGCTATGTATAAGGCTAGAGAAACTAGGCGAGGATCATCCTGATACTCTCATGAACCGCGATGTACTGGCAGAAGTGTTTGAGTTTCAAGGCATGTTTATGGAAGCCGAGGACCATTACCGAGAAGCGTTAGAAATTAGGAAGATAACTCTGGGGGATCAGGATCATGATACGCAGGTGACCTATGAGAACCTGGCATTGGTTCTTTGCCATCAGAAAAGGTACGAGGAAGCCGAAAAATACTATAGAGGGTGTTTGAATTCCAGATTGGGGCTACTTGGAAGGGATGATGAATACACTTTGGACATTCTTCACAACCTGGCAGATGTCCTCAAATGTCAAGAGCGATTCGAGGAGGCAGAGGAATTGTTGACCGACTTTGGGTGTATAGAATAAGTGACGTACCTAGTAACAGTCTCCTTTTTCTGTTCACTCCTCCCTTGGGAACCATCCCACCTAAGAACCGTTCATAATGCCCTTGCCTTCTACCTTTCGCCAACCAATTTCATATTAACTAAAATCTTCGTTAAAGCACTGATCTTCCTTTACCCACTGGCATTCGTCGCCAGTATGGACGGCGTCGTAACTCCATAATCTAGGGTGTGGCTGGTAGTAATCGGCGAAGCTCGTCCTATTACAATCATCTACTTACTCATAAAACAGTTAATATGATCTGGTGAGAATACGTATGTTTGTGGTAAAGCAGTAAATATAAGGAGTGCGTGCGGCTAGTGAAGTGGGTAGAAAGGGGAGACGGGAAACTACTTGATGTTTCCCAATCCGACAAAATAATGTGTTCCTGGGGTATTCCGAAATACAGAAGGTTAACATGTTGACGAATTCTTCACCGATTATGGCTCTTTTGGCCCCCAATTGTTTTACGACGCCGAGAATTTTTCCACTCCGCGGCGACACTAGGTATCTAGCGTGGCACCATTCCTGCGTTGCTTTCCCGCGATGCTCCGTACTTTCCCGTCATACTTCCCCGAAAGACCAGCAAAGATGACTCGGGACCTATCAGACATCTTGAAGGCTGCTGCCCTTGACCTGGCGCCGTACGAGGGTCTCTACAAATACTTCCATGCCAATCCCGAGCTCTCCCTGCAAGAAGAAGCTACATCGCAAAAGGTTGCCGCACATCTGTCGGGGTTGAAAGCGTATGAAATCCACACTAACATCGGCGGCTTCGGACTGGCCGGTGTCCTTCGAAATGGTCCCGGAAAGACCGTTCTGCTGCGCGCTGACATGGACGCACTTCCTGTCAAGGAACTCACCGGACTCCCGTATGCCAGCTCGGTTACTATGCGGGATGCCGACGGCAATGAAAAGCCCGTGATGCATGCCTGTGGACACGATATGCATATGACATGTCTGCTCGCCGCGGCGGAGACTCTCGCAAACACTCAGCATGCGTGGAGCGGAACATTGATCGTGGTGTTCCAGCCCAACGAGGAAAGAGGTGGAGGCGCGCAGGCCATGGTTAACGACGGGCTGTATTCCAAGGTCCCGGTGCCCGATTATGTTCTGGGTCAGCATGTAATGCGCATGCGGGCAGGAAAGGTCGGCTCACGGCCTGGTACGATTATGGCTGCGGCCGATAGTTTGAAGATTACTGTTTTCGGACGCGGCGGCCATGGGTCGTTGCCGCATCAGACAGTGGATCCGGCACTGCTCGCTGCGCATATTGTCGTTAGGCTCCAGGGCATCGTGAGTCGAGAGGTTGATCCAACGGATCTAGGCGTTGTCACGGTTGGGAGCCTGCAAGCCGGGCAGACCGAGAACATCATAGCGGATCGAGCGGAGATCGGTCTAGATTTTAGAACCGTTAAGCTAGAGACCCGACAGAAGATTCTTTCTGCCATTCAGCGTATCGTCGAGGCCGAATGTATGGCCAGTGGTTCGCCAAAACCTCCTGTGTTTACCCCGACACGGCGATTTCCGCCAACTAACAATGACAATGACGCGATTGCTCAAGTGGCCAAATCGTTTGAACAGCACCTTGACGATTTTGACGGGGACACGCCAAGAAGCAATGTTAGTGAGGATGTGTCCACGCTGGCAACTTGCAAAGACATCCCGTGCTGCTTCTGGTTTCTTGGTGGAATTGATGCTCAGGTCTGGGACAAAGCCGAGGAAGAAGGCAATCAGTCCGAGATACCTTCGAACCACTCGGCGCTCTTTGCGCCCGCTATACAACCAACAATGGAAGTTGGAGTCAAGGCTCTTTGTCTTGCAGCTTTGACATTCTTGAAGAAATAGACCACAGGAGAATTGGGTAGCTAGAGTCGGGCAAGTGAAGGTATCTTCGACTGTTCGAGGTCTTAGTGACAATATTAAATTAGCTCAAGGAATCGGGCCGACTTGCCTAAATTTCATCCGGGCCCTATCCTATGATTCATTACGTTGAAGAGATATCTATCTGTGCAGAACTAACTGCATTTAACTTAAAAAGTCAGAGTGCAATTGTACGAGAAATAGTATATCCTTTGGTTAAATGTGTGATAGTTACGTTTATGAATTGAGGTGACCTACTTCGAGGATTGGTTGTATTGTTACGTTGGACTGCTTTTGCTCGACAGACAAGTTCACATGCATGTCTCTCGATTTGCTCGAGATCACACCATGACGCACAGCCATATCTTCATAGAAATTAAGAAATTAAGATTGGGCTAATTAGTGTAAGCCCCAGAGTGAGGGATTACACTTCATGGCTTGTACGGAACGCCATTTCAAGTTAGATGGCTGCAATTTTCGACGAAGCTCGGAATCAGAATCTTAGGAAGCTTTTGCGTTTGATCTCTCTCCGATAACACAAGAGCAATATGAATACTTTTTGGTCTTCCCATGTGACATTTCTATGTCTTGTACGCCATAGCAAAGTCTAGACGTCGTTCGAACTTCGAATAATATTATTTCAGAGGTTTTAAGAGTTTACCGTGGAGCTTCAAGGATAGACAGAGACTTTGGCTTCATGCCGATACCGCATTTTGATGAGTCAGAGCGCTATAGCTGGATGAGGCGGCATAAAGGAGACAGTCAGCGAGGCAGAGTCCTGACTTTGCGTGACAGCCATGAACCCTAATTCGTGATACCCGTAGGACGCGAAGTACTCTGGATTTTAAACAATACGGAACGATGTCCAGATATGACGCATGAGGCACTATAGTTGGACAAGAGGATTGGTAAATCAATTTATGGAGCTTGAAATAGGTCCAATTAAAGCTCGGGAAGAGCGCTCGAACTGGAGTGAAAAAGAACCACAAGAAGATATTGTTTTGCTAGACGAAAATGGGAGTACATAGGATCTTGATAGAACTTTGGAGACTATCGACGAACTAAAATAGAATAGGCACCAAGAGCTGAAGAAACTAGAAGGCTCTCCACTTTATTATTAGAAGAAATGGGTATTGGAAAAAGAAAGGCAGGATAGCGTGAGAGACTTTCGCCATCGGAGAATGAGCGGTAGGAGCATTCCTTTGCGACTACGATTACTACTCGGTATGCCTGCTTATTAGTGGTCTGGCAGGCCGACTGGGAGATGGATTGATTACTGTGTGTGTATCAAGGTTCCAGGACCGGATATTTATTTTTATCATACTTCGACACCTCTAGCTAATGGAGGGATACTTAGGCTTCTTTCGTTTTGTAACTCTGGTGCAGTCGAGACAGGCTTTATATGATCATCTGAAAAAGATGACGAAATGAGCTGACAATATCTTTATATAATGGCGATTGGAAGAACAGGCTGTTATCCATGGAACATAGTCAATGACCACTCCTTGGACGAGGTTTTTGCACTTTTTTAGCCTCAACCGACATGAAGAGTTACCAGCTGTTTTTATTGCGGGCAAAGGTTGATGATTTCACCTCCTAACATGTGATATTAAATGCTGTCCAGCCCGACCTTTTCCTTCTAAGCTCTTTCAAAGGGTCTGGAAGAGGTGTAAAGATTGGTAAGACTGGGTCTCGTGTTGCTATTGTGGTATTTAACGCATGTAGATTACACCAAAACAGCAACAGTCTGCAGGCATTGATGACCTTCAAAAAAGGAAAAAGGTTTTTATTTCCCTCCAGTTCTTGTTTATTCTTATGAGGCGCATAGCCTTGCTATTAATCGATCTTGTTTATTAGGGTTGAAACCTAATAGACCTGTCACGGTTGGATGTTATGCCTCAATGGCTACATGGTATTTCGTACATTGCAACTGATTCCTTGTTTCCAATCCTGATACCGCTCTACGATCGCCCTAATGTCTATAGTATAAAGAGCCCTTTCACTTCCCTAGCTTCGAAGGCTTAGGGAGCATTCATTAACAACTCTGTACTCATATCAAACACAACATGACTCAACCCATTCCACTCATATATCCTGAAAGGCCTTTCCTACAATAGATTGTCTGTCATTGGATGCAGCGCATTTACCTTTCCAAACGCGAGCACCATTGTCAAAGCACACAAAGCACACAAAGCTCCTTACGACATACCGATCTGACCACCCGAGTTCGATGTTCCTTGGCCTTCTTCGTTCCCGGCGGTTCGCCAATGCAAGTAATGGAAGGAGGTCCAGACATCCTGTGAAGACCTGATGCAAGAGATCCGAGCCCTGAGGAACCAGCAGATCAGGGTGGTCCAGGATGGATCCTCCCATGTGGGAGATGAACCGCAGCTGACACCGAAGGAAAGCATGATAGTAGCGACTGCAGTCAAGTTCCGCGACCTATATGGTAACGAATGCACCACGTGATCAAAGCTATAGCAAAGCTTTGGATGTTGCTTGCACGTATGATGGTGAGTAGATGAGTACAGAGTTCTCGCAGCATTAATGTCATGGGTTCACTGATTCGATCGTGTGACCAGACGTTGTTGAGTACAGTCCAGAACAGGCGGTTAGTTGTTACCCACTTGTTCATCAAAGCGGTTCTGTGACTACTGATAGCCAATAACTTATGGCTCGGCCGTTGTCGATGACATGATAGGCTCACTTCTTCGAGTTGCCAGGGGCTTCGAAGATCTACCGGGAAACGAAGCATGTGCTACGTTCAAACTGACAACGGAGCTTCTCGATCGGCCAGGAGGTCTCATGCAAACACTGTTAGAGGCATTCGAAGACTTGTTGGTCTTTACCAGCAAACATCAAAGGTCTTGGTTCGAAGGCTTGCGAGGTTTTCTCGATTATCATATGATTGACATTGCCATGAGATGTGTTCTTTCCCATCGCTGTTGTCACACACCCTCCTAACTGTAATGCAGCCTGATCCTGGCATCAGTGAGACTCGGTAATGGCCTGAACCTAACTCGCCAACAGTTAGAGCCACTTCATCATATCATTGAATTCCACATCACGCTGGTTAATGATCTGTTTTCCTTCGACAAGGAGAAACGAGCGGCGGTGACCGAAGGCGCTCTCCTACTGAACACGGTCAACTATCTAGAACAGGTATTATCAGTGTCGTCGCCTTTTGCCAAAGACCTCACCTTGCGTCTGATGCTTGATATCGAATCTAAGCTTCAGGATGAGCTCGGCCAATTGTCGCAGATTGACACATTGAGCGAGTCTCAAGTCCGATGTGCTCACGCGTTGGTCGAATGCGCGTCGGGAAATATGCTCTTCTCGGTTGATTCCATTTGGTATGGAAAAGAAATTAATGGGCCTACCTAGATAAACAATTGCATGGACTCTGTTCACATTTCAAAGGAATAAGCGCATTCAAAAGCTGTAATTGTCTCTTTCTATCACCCTTCACCATGATAGTCTTCAATGTGATGTCTTCTTCACATTTCGCAGATAGTTGGGAATATTTTATTCTCTATAGATTCAAGTGTTAGATCTCAGGCAAGGCATCAGTCAAGTGCACTTGGTGCGGAACAGTAGCATACTAAGCCGGAACAGAAAGAGTCTCCCCCCGGCAAGAAGTACCGATTTGTCATATGTTTCAGGGGCCAGAGTCCCTTCAGGGGCCAGAACAAGAAGCCTTTCGGCCTCCTTAGTAACATGGTAACTGTGGTCAGGCTTATCGCAGGTCTTCGCATCAACTCGGGGCGAATGACTCCCCGAGGCCGAAACCCCCACAAATCTAGTGGAGATAACGCGCTTTCTTACCAGCACCTATCCGGCTTTAAGGACCGGAATACGGATTCATAATTATTTAAGGAGCCCCAGATCCACTTGTGATACTACCAGATCATACACAACGTAATCAACAAACATGGCAGCTCCTATTTTGTTGATCAAAGGAACGCTGCTCATCCATGACAATGACGTCATCCGGGCTGAGCGAAAAGACCTCCTTATCGAAAACTCGATCATCTCGCGTATCGACAATAACATAGATCCTCCACATTCTGCCACGGTTATAGACTGCTCGGGAAAGATCATCTCGCCTGGCTTTATTGACACCCATCACCATGTTTGGCAGTCGTGTCTCAAGGGAACACATGCCGATCAGACATTGGTGGATTATTTCTGGGATGGTCCGTTGATGAGTGAGAACTATGAGCGTCCATGCTGACCAAGACAAGGAAACTTCATCAGCTCATTTCTATCGCCTCAGGACGTGTTCTGGAGTCAGTTGGCAGGGGCTCTGGAATGTGTGGACAGCGGCACCACGACGGTGGTGGACCATGCCCACATCAACTATTCACCTGAACATTGTATGACATGACAACAGCAAACATTGCCAAACCCGACATGTAAAACTAATAAACTATAGCTACCGAGGCCTTGAGAGCGACCATTTCGTCTGGTCTGCGATCAGTCTTCGCCTATTGCCCAACTCCTCGTGTAGCCACTTGGAAACCAGAGTTTGCTCTCGACAGGGACCTTCTGCCTCCGTGGGTGATGGAAACATTCGAAAGATTGGCCGGCCTGAACCCATTGGGGCCAAATGGTCGCGTTAGCCTTGGGTTCGCTTTTGATGGCTTCTTCCTTCCCGGGCCTATGCTTAGAAGCCTATATTCAAAGGTGCGGGAGGCAGGGGTTCGGTTGATCACGTCGCATTCAGCTTACGGCGTCCAGTTTGGCGGTAAGTGTTACTTGTTCATAATGGCTGTATCAGCACGTCTGACTTAGAAACTATCAGCTCCCGCCCAAACTTCTGCAGCCGCGACACTCGACAAGAATGGCCTCTTGGGCCCGGACATTCTACTATCCCACAACAACAATCCAACGCCACAAGACGCGCGACTCGTTACGGACAAACAGGCGAAGATCTCCAGCACGCCAGGGACAGAGCTTCAAATGGGTCAAGGAAACCCGGTCTGCCTGCGAGATGACTTTTACCCGTTATCATCTCTCGGGATCGACTGCCACAGTGTATGCAGCGCATACATGCCAGCACAGATGATGCTAGCGCTGCAGTGGGCACGGGCACGAAGGCACGAAGACTTGGAGTCACAGGAAAAGTGGTCCAGTGACGTTGGATTCAGTGCAGCCTCAGTCTTCAACCTCGGTACGATTCACGGTGCGCGTGCAATTGGCATGGAAGATATCATTGGCAGCTTAACAGTTGGAAAGAAAGCCGATATTGTGGTTTTCGACTGCGATACCCCCGGTATGGTGGTCGCTGCTGATCGCGACCCTATCGCCGCTATTGTGCTCCATAGTACAGTGCGGGACGTCAATACTGTAATAATTGATGGGGTAATCAGGAAGCAAGATGGCATCTTGCAGCCGGTGCTTGCTTCGGAGAGCATATCTGGGAAGGTCGATAGGGGACAAAAGATTGAGTGGAAGGATGTCGTCCCGCATGTCATGGAGCTAAGTCGGCGAATTGACGAGCAGAAGAAAACTACTGTCGATGGTAAGGCTGCCAGGAAAGTCATCATGGCAGCTTTCCATATGAATTCTGAAGGTCATGTTGGGAGCGTTTAACGAGAGTTTTGGGAACTATTTCAACGAACGGCGATAATTTATATATTGCGTAACTAATAGGGAGGGCATGGGTTAGCTTTGCACATACTGCAGACTGAATGTATTCAGCTGTGTTTCAACAGACGAGTAAAGCGGTGCAACATCGACACCTCGATCGTTTATCATAGGACTTGCACTTAAGTTCTTTCGCAGGTGTCAGCAAACAACAATCAACAGACCCGATGACGCCAGGTCACATGACCGCCATCGGACCCACAAGTTCGGGACGCGGCCTGAAATCGTTGGCCGCCATCTTTCTTCCGCGCACACTCGAGGCCAACAATGCCTCCACGTCGTCGTCCCAAGTTATCTCTGTGGACACGCTTTCGATTATGGCTTCGTTATGCACACTCACCTCTCCGGCTGCGGGCTAGCTATATACGACTAACCCAGAACCACAAACATCCCTTGCTGGCGCTTCTCCGAATGTTCATACCCTACCCGTCCTGGTACTTCCCAATTCCCGGGCCATTCCCTCTCAGGGCGCTTATCGACGACAAAAAAGATCAAATGGGCATAATAGAGTCGCATTTTGGCGATATCCATAACCTCCGGGCGATCCCTATCTGGCGAATGCGAGACACGCCGCTACGGTCGATATACCGGCTATACGAGCTTCACCTGGCAGATAGGTACGCGCTACTTGGCTGGGAAACAGAATATTTTTTCTTCCGAGAGGACTGGAGAATGGAGGATATACCAGATCCGAAAGACCCAGATCCGCTTCGTTACGCGATCATCGCCTCGATTGTCGAGGAGTTACACGAGGCAGTCAATTGGAGATTGGGCTTGGGATTGAGGAGAAACCGAGAACATGTTTACCGCGAGGAAGACGGAGACCCGTGGCCACCTTTCACGCCCGAGAAATTGCCCGGTTGGACGAAAAGAGTGCCCGCTATTGATAAGGCTCAACTGAAAGAGTCAGTGCCGCCTGAGTCTCTGGATTCTCATGGGAATCTAGTGCTCGAAGAAAATGGTAAAGCGACCAATTTCGCACGACGAAATATTATCACGAATACTGGCTGGCTATACACCATATAGATGAGAGGCGAAGGAACATACCTTTCGCTCTGGACTGTCGCCTCTATTTGAAGACCTCCTCCTTGTACCTCAGGCGGTATGCGTCGGCCACTTGCAACAATGTCTGGTGATCCGGAATCACGTCAAATTGGTTCATGTTCATTGTCCGGATCAATTCCAGGTCCAAAGGCCCGCCGTTATGTTCTCTCATGTGTTTCAAGAAGGTAACTGCGTCCACCATATCCAATTCCGCCTTCCTGTCCCGGTCCGTGGCGTGAATTCGCCTCAATTTGCGCTCCAAAGCCCATTCGATCGGAGCCGCGAGGACCTCCAGGTTCTTCCCCTTGAACAACGTTATGCCCTGTCTCTCTGCCCGCTCGAATAGCGTCCGTCGAGCTTTCTTGGTGACGAAGATGGCCATGGCTTGATTGACCCAGTCCTCATTGTAGTGTAGTCGAAATGAGACATTACTGATAGCGGCTTCAAGGGCGCCTTGAATATCTTTGTCTCCCATAAATTCCGGCTCGATCAGATAATCAAGGTCCCCCGTGCTGTCGCGACATTTAAAATAGGATACGGCTAGGAACCCGCCGGCCGTGATCATTCGAATCGGGGCGAATGCAACAAGCCATTCAGAACGGCCCATCTCGGCATCGAGCTCCGCGAGTCCTTTGATCTAGTTAGCTCTGCATTACTTATACTCTGATGACTTTGGTCAACGGTGTCTTATTTCGAATCGCCTACCTGCTTCAAAATCCTTCGCATTCAGGTACTCTTTTTTCGCGGCCATCGCGGAAGACGGGGAACATGACGCTGAAATGGGCTGGAGATTGGGGGGTGGGGGTTTTGTTTGTGTTGCTTCTGCTGGCTTGAGCCCAGACCTCCCTGTGCTGGGTCTGGTGTGTGGGCTCCCTGTATGATTGGCACCTGAAGAGCCCTACATGCACGAAGCCGCTAGTGGAAAGTGTGAGGAATGATGCCCGATTGAAGAAAGCTGTCCGCGATACACTTACGACATGATCACGTAGATCGGATGCGATAGGATTTCCGCATTGACCCATTGTCCAACCTATCATTCATCCCTAAACAATCAGGCCGCGCTCGACGAAGATGCAAAGAAAGTGGTTATTACTATCCACGACGGAGCGGTTCAATGGAAAAGGCAGCGCATGGCATACTAAACCGAGAAATCGCAAAAAAGATGTCATCAGTCAACGCCCACTCCTACGCAATACGCTCTAGCCCAGTCGAGATGATTCGGTAATTCTGCAGTTTCTCTCGACTGGACAGCCGCCAATTCTGCATATCGTTGGTCACCACGAGGCGAGTGTCTGGCTCTTCATGTCTGATCTTCAACACCTCGCCACCGTACCCGGAGATCGACAACGGCCACGCCTTTGTCTTCTGGTTTGTGATAACTTTGATATCCATACTCAAAAGTCCATTCCAATCCGCGTCCATGTACTGCAATGACGCATACGTATCTCTGAAGTAGTGATGGGCTACGCCAGCCTCCAGACGAACTGTTAGCTTCCTGCGGTTCAGGTCGAGGTCGACCTTCAAGAATCGCCGATCGCCGATGCCTCTAAAGTCGGTTTGGCCCTCGGCGAGGATAATACCGAGATGCTGTCGGTCATGGTTCAGTCCCTTGCTCATTCCTACTTTGTCAAGTCATATTGGGCGGACAAGGATGGGGATCTGTTTGCTTCTGATGGTCATGTTTGGGTGGCCAGGATGAAGAATTGATGCGTACTGCACGTTCAAAGTGATGAGAGTCCCACCTGTTTAAAAGGGGTGTGAGCGGAGTAAGATTCCCCAAAGAACCCTTTGAATAATCATTATGACCAAATCAATTCCATGGGGTCATATATCCTCGAATGCATGTCTCCAAGCCAACGGAATGACATTGAAACTCAATTTCACCTTTCGATGCATATTCATGAGCTGCTCAACGGCATGTATCGGCCCAGAGACTAATTAACGCCTACTGAAACTGTTTCCATTTTCTATTGGCCGGGAAATGCAACAGTTATTGTAGTTTGCTATCGGGGGCGCTCCGGAAACGCTCGGATTCGTCGGCGTGAGCTCAGAGACATGGAGCTGAGTGCACATACCCACAGAGTTTGTTTATGTGAGATCAGTCAGCTGAAGAGATACAAGAAACAGCCAGAATACTGTGAGTACGACATGTGATGTGATAAATCGAACCCTAGATGGTATGGCTGCGGTGAGACCAAAATGCTTGGTTTGATTTGATTTCAAAGCTAGCTACTTGTATTAGAAGCTGTTACTACCTGTATGGCAGTGAAACACGACTCGCCTGGTCAGAACATCCAGTTCTTTGTTGTAGCACAAGGAAGATTGTCGTTGTTGCTTTCTCAATTGCTGCGACTGGATGGGATTACTCCAGGACCGACGCCGCAATGCACCGTCCGAGCGAGCCAACTTGGGGTGCTAAACTTCGAATGCCTGTTGCCCACCGTAGGGTCTAGGCCCTGAGAGAAACCCCTACCCCTGGGTCTTGGGCGGGTAGTTCAACCCTAATGCCAAAGGCTGCCCCAAAGACGTATCAACAAGCGCCACACACCCCAACATTTACGTATATCCACGATTCAAGAACAACTACTACCTAATGCCAGCCGGGATCATATCCCTAGATCTGGACCCCTTCTGTTACAGACAAAAAATCACAGATTCGCACGGCGGTTCAGGCATTAAAGGGATTGATCAACTGATTCACATTACGTTTCAATAAGATTGTTTATTAACTAAAACTATCCTGGACGTGCCTCAAGGCTTGATACGTATCATTGCAACAAGTCTATGTAGGGAAGCATTGAACCCAATATCTTCGTGGAATGACCGCCTTTCAACAGTATCGAGAACACATTGTCCGAAAGAAACATATCAGCCAAACACTTCGGTCACAAAATGATACTCAATCTTGCTTCCATCCTGCCTTCCCCTCGCACTGAGCTCTGCACACCGATCTACCAAAATCTCGCCAATAACCGGAGCTCCGCAGAAAAAGACTCCGATCTTTAACCGTTCCCTGGAATCTAGGTCCTGTTTTGTCATGGACGCCTTCACCTTCCGCATATCCTCGTAATGCGCGTCCAACGCCTCGATAAAGTCCGGCCGCCCGAAATGCGTCGGATTGATGAGACCGGTTAGTGGCGACTCGGGGTGCTCTTCGGTACGGTGCATTTCGAGAAGCCAGCGATAGACGTGGGTTGAGATCTTCTTGCGACGCTGTGTCACGTACGTCTGGATGCGGATGTCGAGATGAGGCGTTCCCTCTTGGGCGCGATGGCGCATCTGGGATCGAGATACGGAGTTCAGGAGATCTGAGAACCAGAGAAGATAGTTCCTGTCGCGGACTATCCAGTGGAAGTCGACGCGGCGATAGTCGTCGGCGATTGGCGAGGGCTCATCTGATGATGATGATGGAGATTCGAGGTCGATGTTTCTTTGTGGATCACCAAGTTGTCGCGGCTTCTCAGTGGATGCTTCCAATTCTGTAATGTCTTCAGGTACAATGTGTAGTTGGTCATCATGTGCCTGCAAATCAGCCAGTATCCCAGAGAACGGGGTGACTCCGATACCAGCGCCAACCACGATGCTGTGACTGAAATCGTAAAAGCGCTGCGCCGGGGCACCAAACGGTCCGTTGATACCGACCTCGATTTGCGTTGGCCCCGAGCCTTCGGCAAGATCCCTCAATCGGCCAGTCCAGTCACCGTCGGTTTTGATATGGACTTGCATCTCGTGGCCGATACAAACAGACACCGTGAACGGGTGCCATTGGAAGAGACTGAGCTTCGGCACCTGCAGAAAAATGTACTGTCCCGCTTCATACTTCCACATGCGCTCACTAGGGATTGTTGCTTTGATCTCGACAGTGTCTGCATCGATAAGCTTCAAAGTGGCTGGGATACGATGGAACCCCAGCGCAACGCGAACAACGCGCTCGACGAGTATAAGCAAAGTTGGGAATGCAAGCCAGTACCCGAGCATTGGCCACTGTAGGAGCCCAGCTGTGCCATGTGCCATCAGCAGGCCGATCATCGGGTACATAAGAAGGTGGCCGATTTGGAAGGCCTCGTAACTGCGTCGCCGCACCACTGGCATGCTGAGTAGCGCAAGCGTCCAGAACATAGCGAGACACACGACGCCGCTCCACCCCGGGAGGGTAGCCACATAGTCCTTGTAAGGACGGGGGACTGCATCAGGCCCCAGCACTTTAGCAACTTTCTCTTCTTGTGCTGGTCTACTGGCATACAGAAAAGACCCCGTAAGGTGTCCGATAGCGTGCAATGAGGCCAATCCCAGAGCAAGGATCGACATTTTGATATGGAATGACTGCGATAGATCCCAATTGACAAATCTCGAGACATGGTAAAACTTCCGCAAGAACGTCGAGAAGTATCGCGACATGCTGAGCAGCAGAAAGAAGAAAGTCGGATAGAGCAAGCCTGCGCATGTCTTCGCTAGGACGGCGCCCCATCCGAACGCATGCCGGTACTGCATTGTCGTAAGGTATTTGACGAGCTGCCAGATTCCAAATGCCAGCTGCATAGAGACCACTAGCATGAGGAACAGAATCTTAGGCCCGTGGACGCTCCAGTATGCCCGGACGCGTCGCCACATGGAAAGACTGTGCACGTAACTGTTCTCGTCCTGGTCGTTTTTAGACTCCATCTGCAGTGAGGGAATCTTCAATTCTTGCACCCTTTGCATCATGTCCTCTCGCGATATCCGTCTGTGGTCGGATCCTATTATGTGGCGCAGGAAGGCATGTCGCGCATCGTCTCGCTTGCTATCATGGTGGAGGTGATGACGCTTCGGAACCGGCGCGATCTCCCTATAGACCTGGTCGAGCTTGTGCTCTACCTCCTCGTAATCTATGGTGCCATCTCTGTTGGTATCAAGGTCGTCGAGAAACTGGTTGATCTCGTCGGTGGTCAGGGACTGGTCCGGAGAAGCCATGGGGTGAGTTCGGTCGCGGTGATTCTCGGAATGGGCGGCGAGGAGGAAGCGGGAAGAAAAGTCATGACGTCCACCAGGTGGTTGCCCGAAGCTGAGTAGAGATTTCGTCTGCTACGTAGAGCCAAGGGCTTAGGACGGCCGAGAATGACTATCAGGCCCTATGAGCGACGGCAACATGGCGATGCCAATGTTCTCGGCTAGCCTTGCCCAGCCCTATGTGATGTCATGCATCTGGACCGTATCTTGCAGTTGCCGCTTGGCGTAATGTGAATGAAAGACTTTTCTCCCCGGTATTAGGTTGCCTCAATTACAAAAGTCTCATGTCAGTGTGGATAGGTCTCTGGGATGCCACGTGCTTTCAGCCCTACAGGTTCCAACCCCTGCTGCCCTACCTGCACCGGCATAGGGGCCATTTTCTACGTCCCTTATTCGCTTGACTGTTTCTTATTTCTTTCTTTGTTTCATTTACCCCCAATTTTGCCGCTAGAATGGTTGTGCTATATGCCTCTCAAGTTGCAATATTCGGGGCTTACGAATGAAGAGCTGACGATAAATCTTCATTGAGTTTTAGTCTATCTCTAACTATACACATCTATCGAGCTAACGTACGCTGCATGACCGTCTATATTACATTTTGTACATGGTTTATCCTTTCCACTTCCATTCTGAATTGCGATGGATGAAATAATCCTTGCTCTCAATCGCCTTGCGAATGCCCCAAAGCCCACCCAAGGGCCAGATATCCCGCAACTTGCGACTCCAGGATTCGCTGCGCTCCTTCCGGTCTGCCTCAACATCGATGCGGACCTTATCATACACACTAGGCAGAGTCTGTGCCGAGTACTTCTGTCGCAGGCCATCATACCATTTCTGGTCGTAAATGCCCCAGAATTCGTCCTGGTTGTAGTAGGTATGGGCATAGAACCACTTCATACCGCCGAGCTCCCGTAGACGTCGCTCGAGGTCACGGTTTGCCGCGACAAACGTGTCCGGGTCCTTGGGTCCGAAACCCCATACTCCGATGTTCAACATCTGTCCGGGCGTGAAGCCCTCGCTTTTCACGGTGGTCTCGTGAGGGTGGAATGTAGGCGCCGGGCTCTGCTTGAGAGGACAGAGCCACAATGGCCAGATCCCCAGTTTATCGCTCGTGTAGTCAATGAAGGACTCCGCCGTGGAGTACGGCAGGGCCAGATCTTGGATCATGTATCGACTTGACTCCCCGCTGGCATGAAGGGCCTTGTAGAGCATCCGCGTATGTAGGAAGTCGTCTAACCACCAGCGCGTCAACCGGTTGAAGGGGAAATGAAAGTATTGGAACGCAGACCGGCCCACCCAGAAACCAGCGCGGTCATAGCGAAACAGATACTCGGCCAGCGGGATGTAGTCTGTCACGGGGCCACCAAATTTCCTTGTCTTGTCCTGGACATGCAGATAATACCAGGGATCCCAAGCATGGCTGAACGTCTGCACCTGTGTCGCGGAGGGTAACTCGTCCGTCATTTCGCCCGCGACCACAACGCCGTGTTCCTGTCCGTATAGGATACCATCAACATAGTGATTCCGGTCGTTCAGAGTATGTTCGTGCACCGAACGCACGGAGTCCCCGACACTGCGTTGCGGGTGATAAGTCGCCTTGACGAACTTCTTCGCCTCAATCAACTGCAACTCAATCAGCGTGGTGACGCCCAAACTCCCAACCGCACCAGCAGCGCCGTGGAAGAGATCCGCATTTTCCGTCTCCGACGCGTTCACCACACTGCCGTCTGCCAGAACCATCTCCACCGAATGGATCGTCTTGTCAAAGAACCCGTACTTGAAACTCGAACTCTCGCCGGCCGTTCCGGCAAATCCACCACCCGTTGTGATCCCCGGAAACTCCATCACCACCGGCGGCACCAGCCCGTACTTCATAGTGGCCTCGACAAGTCGGTCCATGGGGACATTGGGCTCGACGAGCGCCCTTCGCGTTGTCGGATCGACTTGGAGGACATTGCGCAGGTCACCGATGTCGACTTGGCGGTCGCGGCGGATCGGTCGCGTACTGTTCGTCGAGCCGTGGTTGATTCGGAAGGGTTCCTTGCGTTCGTAGAAGCCACGGATGCTGCTGGCAATCCGCGAGACCGCCGTCTTGTGCCGTGAGAGCCCCATGGCCGGTGGGTGCCTGGTGGTGAATCGAGGGCGTGGATGCGGTTGTGATCCTGGCGGCAGCGTGTCTTTTTGCCTCAATTTCGCGACCCAAAGATGCCAAGGGACCCACTTGGGAAGGCGATTCGAACAGTTGATTGAACAATGGATTCTCTACTGATAGCCTCGGTTCCTGATCAAGCAGGCGGAAGGCTTTTTATCCCTTGCGTTGCTGTGCCCGTTTTCGCGCAAGTTTGTTCTGGTTATTTTTGAAATTGTCTTCGGATACCGATGTGCAGTGTTCATATCTCAATAATCCCCTTGATGCATCCAGAAAGACAACACAGACGAAATTCAACGGCAATGGCATGATTGACTCGTCCACCTTGAGAGATAATATTATGCGAAACCTACGAAGGGTCCTATGAGCTTCCTGTTCGGGGGCCAAAGGATAAAGCAAACCTTCCCATGAACAGAAAGAACAGACAGGGAAAAGGATACAAAAGAGGATTTGAAATTCATAAAGCGGTAATTCAGAAGAACCAAACTCATGAATTTGCTCCTGTGTTCATGTTGACCTGTTAACCCGAATAAGGCCATGGCTACTCTGACTTTGGCGCGATAACTCTTCGCTTCTTCTTCAAATAGCCATTCTCATCAACTCTGTTCCTCCATGTCGACTGCGCCGAATAGCTTGGGTTACAGTAGATAGATACTTCGGTCTCGCGGCCTTTCGGGGCTAATCCTATCCTAACACGAAGTTAGTACGGAAGTCAAATGAGGCACAGGCTTCTGAAACAACTCACTCGCAAATATATGCAGTAGGATCGGTTGATTGGCTCATCTCCCTGTACAGGTATTGTCAGTGAAGTGATTCTTAAAATGGATAAGGTCATGCATACTTGACAATGGCGGCATCTCGCAAAACCGGACAACTATCATGAAGACACCGCGCAACGAATGAATCGACGCGAGGAATCTCCTGGCACATGACGTATAATTTGGCCGACATCTTCTGCGACGAGACCGCTGGAAGATCGTACATCAGAAGGCAATATTTTGGCCCCGTACCTGGGATAGAGTCCAAGCCCTGGCTAGTGAGGGAAATCCACAAGTTGTTGCAGGTCTCGCGGAATGAGGCGGAAAGACTAATAGCGCCTCCCAAGGTCAAGTGAGGTTCTAGGTCTTCAAAGCGATTTGTTTCTCGGAAAATACATCGAACATATACTTTCACTCGCCACTGTGGGTATCTAGTTGTATCGATTGAGAGCATCCGGGGTTGCAGCACGCTCGGATAGCGGCTGATATATTGCTGAACTTTCGCCCAGCTTTCCATTACGGTCGAAAACTGGGGTTCGACTGCAATACATGAACGCATCGTGCGCATAATACCTTGACAAACGTCAGGTGTCTCCAGGCAAACTGGGAACAACCAGTAGAATTTGGCAAATGCCTCAGAAGCGACCAGGTCGAAGGCCACGAAGACACCCGATGGCGAGCACCTAGAGCAAACGGTCGAGCGATGGGCTTGACGCTCAAATTCGATCATTTCTCTAGTAACCTTTGTCCATAGGCCTGGGAATGTGCGCAATACCAGTCCATTCGTAGCATTAATACCTGTCCGTTCAAGGCTCTCAATAACGGCCAGGGCTGTTTTGAATGCAGCCATCCGTGACGGTTTCAGATTTGAGGGAATAACATCGATGACATAGCGGACAACTGGTCGTCCCTTCTGCTGCTTGCTCTTCCAGCAAAGGCTCAACTCGAAGGGTGTGTGGTCATTCGTGAGCGATCCAGGGAATGGGATTTCCATCATGCCGGTATCGTGGTTGAATGTAGGGCCAGGACCCAGCCAGCTAGCTACACAATCGCGGAAAAAGTCAACATGACGAGTGATTTCCTCAGCGCTATACCGCCCCTGACAAGTCAACGCATGCTCAAGATATGGTTGAAGAATAGGGCCCCACTCCCTTTCTTCGAGGGAGGTGTTGTCAGTCTATTAGATATTATCTATTAGCTACTTGAAGGAGAAGTGTATGCCGTGGGCTTACCACTCGAAAAGGGTTGACTGGGCCTTGCACTATCGGTTCACGCATTTTCAAAATCAATGAACAGATGAAATCGAAAAGATTTCCAAAACACCCTCCTGCCTCAACCCCGCCTGAATCTGGGGTAGCATTTAATAGCCTCGCCAAGGATCCAGACCTAACTACGGCTTACTCGATACGACCAAGGGCTTATCTCAGGATCGTTTAATTGCTCGGCGAATGCTCACTTGATACGCGTCAGATCGTTTAGGATCCCTGTCATATTTCGACCTCCTATTTTAATCTAGCCTATGGCTGGACAATGGTACGGCAAGGCGATAAACTTAGTTGTGGCGGACTCAGTGACAATGGTAACTCTAGTCTGATTGGACACTTGTGTCCTCAACGCTTGGGTCCTTGGCGTCATAGACAGGCTTTTGGCGTCCGTTGTTTTTGTATTTAGACCGACTTGCTCATTTGCCTGCTAAAGTAGCTCCCATAGCACGAGGCAAAGCGCCATCCACTACAAGGACACAAAAAAAAAAAAAAAAAAAAAAAAAAAAAAAACTAGGACGGCCAAAGTTTGCGCACCATTTAATTGCCTACAATACATCCACTCATCTGCAAAGCAAAGGAATATGTGGTATATTAAGTTTTATAAAATTGAGTCGAAAACAATTGTTATCGATTGCAGAGATAAATGGCATTGTTTCTGCCCAGAAAATGAATAATTACATATGAAGAGAATTATCGGCCGCCACGCTTTCTCGAGAACTAAAAAAGAGGCGTCCTATCAGTTGACCAAGCGACAATACAATCACTTAGAGCTTACCAGCGCCCGCGTTGTTGGGGACACTGGACTGGGCCTCGGTGGCGGATGTAGCAGGAGCAATCTCAAGGCCTTTGAAGTCAGAGAAGAACGAGGTATCGGTCGACTCAGTGAAGTCGTTCGAGTCGGTGACAACGTTGACCTCGCATGCGCGACCAAGAGCCGAAGTGCACTGGTCGAGAGCAGACTCAGGAGAGGTGAAGATGCGGCCGGCATAGTCGCCAATGACCTGGTTGACGTTCAGGAAGACGTTACCCTCGAAGAGACCGCGTGCCTTGTCCTCTCCGCCCTCAAGGGCATGGCCGTTGTTGTCTTCCCAGACGTTGTTGACGGCGTGCAGGAGGGTGCCGCCGCTGAGGGCAGGGCTGCGTCCGGCAGTGCTGAAGATGTAGTTGTTCTGCAGAGTAATCTGGTCGTCTTCGCCGACCATCTCGAAGGTCCAGTAGTGGTGCTTGTCGCCACAGCCAGTGGAGTAGGGGCTCTCGCCGTTGATGAAGTTGTTTGACAGAGTCACACGGGTGCTGGTGTCGAAGCCGAAGACGTAGTGCTGGCGACCAGGGCGAGCAGTCTATACATATCAATTAGCCTTGAGCCGGTGTGGCTAAGATTCAAGCAGGACACATACCGTAACGTGGTCAATCCAGACCAGATCAGCTCCGTCAAAAGAGATAGCATCACCTCCCCAGACGTATTCAGGGTTCAGGTCGGTCACGTGGATGTTTTGCACGATGATGTTGGAGACACCACCACGGAAACGCAGACCCTTACCCTTAATAGCACCGCTATCACCGACACCCAGAATAGTCTTGTCGGAGCCGACGTCGATGGGGTTCTTCGGGGCCTTGTACCAGGTTCCGGTAGAGGCAGGGTCGCTGCCACAATCCTCCTGGATGATCTTCTGGCATCCCTCGCCCTCACCCCAAGAGGCGCAAACGTTGCCGCTCTCGGTACCCTCGGATTCGGTGAAATCGTACTCCTTTGAGAGGAGGATAACACGGGGAGTGTCGTCGGTAAGCCACTCCTTCAGCTGATCAATGTCGCTGGGCTCCTGTCCTTCGGCATCACCACCACCGGTGACACCGGAGGCGAAACCCTGAGCGGCGCCAGAGACTTTCTGTGCTGCGCCGAGATGCGCAAGTCCCAGGAGGGCAGCAACACTGGTAGAAAGGAGTTTCATCGTGTATAGCAGCGAGGAGAAATGTTTAATCGATTTCAAAGGATACTTCGGTTGCTGAAGTTCATTCAGACCAGGGAACCCTGAGTCTTGATATAGGCGCTCGTCCACAGTAACTAAACTATAAACAGAACGGAAGCGTGTACAATAAAATTAGGGACTGTGTGGGGCATCCATTCCAGGTCCCACTGGGTTAGCGTGAGGCTTGGGATGGCATGAAACAGTTCGGTCATCCCACCCCCGTAGGAGCCAAGACCAAGGGTTGACATGCGCCGGGAAAGGCCCTTCAATTGGATACAGAGATCCTGCAAGTTGATGCAGAGCGACGATACTTTCGCAAAGCAGAAGACTCGGAAACTCATTTGTCCATTAATAGGGTTATTAATAGGGCGAGGCCTTTGCTTGGACTGATGATGCAGAGCTAAAGAGCGAGGAACTGAATTGTCGGAACAACATCAAATTTGTTGTGGAGTCTGTGCAAGCTAGGCATCGTTCGGCGGAAGAAGAACCATATGATAGTTGTCTATTTATTATCAGATAACACGGGAGTGACATTTGGGTCAGCGATCCAATTTGGTCGCTATGTATGCACAATATGCATACGAAGTAAATATTCTAAAACTGCGGGAAACCAACGTTGAGGTACTCCGTGGCGTGCAAGATGCAGGGAATTTCCCGCATTCCAATATCGACCAGTAAGCTGCCTTTGTTTAGTCCTCAAACGGTGTCCTGCACGGAATAACTCATCTAATCCGTAGCCGATGCTAACAGTGATGTATTTGTAACAACGGCACCAGATGATCTTTTCTGGAAATCGAGAAGGACAAGGTACGGTAGGAATAAGACAGAAGTGACACCATTGGTTGAAGTTTAATTAGTTATGTTGCGAACATGTTCCTGGGATATGCCGAAGTATATCAAAGTCAGCCTCGCAGGTTACGCGCTGCTCGGAGCATTTTCGGTGCCTCTTCGCACAAACGGTCCCTACCGAGGGTAAGAACATAATTACGGAGTCGGAGTACGCATGCTGTTCTAGATTATAATATCACGTCCGGTCCCTAGAGGAAGAGTGGACACCTTGATCAAGCCTTACGCGTAGTGGTGGGAATGAAAAGGAATCACTGACTTTGATTCCATCAGAGAATGGTTCTTCCTAGTGGCCATGAGAGGCATTCAACCCGAAACGCAGGGGCTTCCGAGGGATGCCTGAATGGGGATGATCGGCACCGTGCCAAGAGTAACGTCCAGGGGCCCTCCGTAGCCGACAGTCTGACAATCTTGGCATTGTCTGGTGTCTTAGGATAAAACTTTGGTCCCATGGCTATGGCATATGGCATGTCTGGCCAGTGAAAGAAGAAAATTGGAAGATTTAAAGGATTGGAGTTCTCGAAAAGATAGATAGCTAGCACATGAGTTGAAGGTCGGACCATGACTATGTTATCCAATGTCTTTCGATTCCAATGACACGGCATTGCGAGGAGCGCTCCATGCCTCGACACGATATGCATATCTGAAGCACTAGTTACAGCAAGAGCTTATCATGAGCCATAAGTTGACTAGTTATCCTCACTCTTGACTAAGCGGCAAACGGACCTTGCGGACTGTTAACTAGAGGAGCCAGGCAAAGTACGTACTAAACTCGGGTTCTAGTTGCCCCCTTTCTACGTAGTATTCCGGCGCGAATGACTAGTGTACAGTTGATGGAACACAGGGAGACTCAACTGCACTGACTCGTCGTTTTGTGACCTTTTAGTCCCTATTCCAGGCAATGAGAAGGCCGTGCTTGTGTAAACATGGGGGCCGGAGAATATTTCGGGGATGTGCTGATGTGCCCCGTCGCGGGCGTAACCGCCATGGGCAGGTACCAGATATCTAGAATTCAACGCTCTCAACTTGCCGATGATAAAGATGAGCCGAATTCCATAGTTGGAATAATCAAGAGCTTCAATCAAACCGGTGGAAATCACGTAATTCAGTGCTTTTAGTCATTCCTGCCAAGCCCCGAAACTGCCACACATATACTCCATTGCACACACAATGCCCTGCTACTAGGATGCACCTTTCTCTGCCTTCGGCCTTGCTCCTTTTTTCGTCGGGCATTTTGTTATCGCTTAAAAGGTTCTCGTCGTTACGATTGTGATGCAAACGGGCACTGCACCTTCCTAGAATATCTGAGGCGATGAGGCAATGCATGACTAGATAGTATCCGTGGTTCGCTTCTCTTTGAACAATTGCACATTCTGCGGATCCATGTACTATCCCACGGTATTTGGGCTGCTTTGCTCCATCAAATTGACCAAGGTGTCCTCATTTACTACTTTATTGTAATATTGACTCGTCTCGTATCAATTTGTTCTGCTACTATTATCTGACGATATTCCCTTGTCATTATTTGCACATGGATGGCGGGATGTTTTTCTCTATTCTTCGGTTCCCGATGGAAACGGTAGTTTAGAATGCTATTGTGATGGGTATAGTGTGCAAATATCCAGTACTATTGACACACTTGAAGTAAGAGATGGAGAGAGGCCGGAGAAGGAAAATCGCACGAACGAACGGTTGTCACTGCATAATTTCAATTCACGGTCTCTGCATTCGCACAAAGGCATAGGGAAACCCGGAGTAGGAAAAACCCATACCAAGACCGTTTGAGTAAATGCATTCCATTCTTAATTCCAATTAAAGACGAGACCCTTCAATTCCATTTAATATATAGGACGTGGAATTGGTTGTCTAACTTGCCTAACAGATGTATGGGTATGGATCATTTTCATAACACCACGAAGCAGCCTTCACACCCTTTCCAATGGGAGTTGGTGGGATATTCCTAGAATGACCACAACGGTTAGATATAATATTCATTACCTGGGTGCTGGGGTAATAATGCTAAAATCATATGTGCTGTAAGAAATATAATAGGATCCTAGGAATATGAATAAACGTACTGAGAAGGGTCCATGTTTTGCTGGTAGATTTGAGGAATATATTTCATAAAAGATAGGGCCAGATTAAATGTTAACGAAGCTTGTAGGTTATTAAAACTAACATCTGCTATGCAATCATCATACACAGCTTTATAGGTAAATACTATTAAGAGACAGAATAACAGATAAAAAATGACACGGGAGTCTAATACGTCAGTCTTAGGTAATTCATCCTCTGAAAGCGGTTATAATCATAAAATGGATTAAATCATCACTCTAATCGACCTGATAGATACTAGTAAAACTGTTTAGCGATATTTATACCGTTTGCATCAAACCTCTTTCCCATGTCTACAAATGGACTAAGGGACGAATGTGTCTTGCCGGCTGCATCTACTTATCCAGAGTCGAATACGTAATCACTATCTAGTTAGCCTATAGAATACTACTAAGGTTGATTTAGTTTAAGTTAATTGCCAAAAACAGATAAATGATAGCTTTATTTATATACTACCGGTAGCGTAGCACTCGGCTTTCACACAAAAAAGTTATTTTACCCCCTAGAGAAGACGATAGAAAACGTATGTAGTAGCGGAACTGATTTAGACTATAAATAGCCTAATAGTAAACCCTTAAAAATTATATGCCAGAAAACTAAATCTAATATTGTTTTTATATCTGAAATACCAACTGCATAATAAACACCTGACTGCCAAAACAGGCTATACCTACCTTGAAAAGAGTAGGGGAAATATTAAGAGGTATTATTAACCCCTTCTGTAGCAGGCGTCCCTATACTAAACTTGACAAATATCAGATTATTCTTCTCAACTCAACTATAATGGCAGCAACAGTTACTGAGGCTGTATATAACCACAGTGTGTACCACAGTGGCACCAAGCCTTCCCTGCATGCTGCGATAGAGACTTTCAACTCCCGAAATGTCCAACACTACATCAACACTGTTATCAGAGACTGCTTTCTCAAGCACAGAGTAGAGAAGGCCTTCAGTGCCTGCATTCTCCACAGACACTTCGACCTCAACCCCGGCGAACGTAATATTGAAGAAAATGGCCAAGCAGTCGCGTCGACGAATCTGAACAATATTCACGCCTGTAGCTGGCTGTTTCACAACGAAAAGCTATTCCCATACGAGTTCAAGCGTGGAGGACCGTTGCCAAAACCTCCAGCGGAGTTTATCACGGAACTGGGATCGTTACTACAGTCCAACGACCTGTGCGACATTATTGGAGTGCAGGTGTACGAGGATGGTATTGTAGGAATGGAAAGCACCGACCACGCGAAAAGGATCAGCACAACAATAAACTATCCTGAGATGGCACCAGAGCTTAAAGAGCGCAACGCAAAAATCGCGTCGTTCGCTTTTTTTTAGGATGGATATGGAGGAACGATATCTTGTCAGCGGAGATGAGGCAATTTTACCGCTAGGATTCAACACCTTACCGCTCCACGCCTAGATCAACTCTATGGCTTCAAAACTGCTTTTCTCAATGAGGACACCTGGCCGTACTAAGGAATCTTATATAAAGACATTATGTAGGATTATCGATTTTGGATGATCAAGACCTTCGCTACATTTCAATTTTCCGTACATATTTACTAGGCGATACGAACATTTCACGATCCAACATATCTCTATTAAACCTGTCTATTGCACTACATAAGGTCAACTCCCTGTAAATGCTAAAATTAAACTATTCGCTTTCCACCAAGCGTGTCATGTATCCTTCCGTACGCTTGAACTCTCATGTTGGAACATGGCATCCTTAAGTTAAGAAATTGAGTTCGACTGACTTAATAGCGAAAGGACCAGCAAACCACTCTCCTCATGTCGTGGTAATTGTATAAACCTCATTCTAGAAACCTTTAGTCGCAACTTGTTTCACGGATGGTGTTCAGGATACATACTTGAGCACCGCTCCCGGTCCCAAACAGAAACCGAGGGATTACGCCATAGGGACATGCCATGTCATAGGCCCATTTACTATTACTCAGAAAATTTGGAATCGATTCGTCTAGTAGAACACAATATCCTGCCAATTCCTCGTCTACCGCCTCAGAAATCCGATCATGATAAGGCCTTTGAAAACAGGCGCGTTGATTGGCTCAAGCGGATGTGCAGCAAACAAGACAAACAAACAACAGACGCGGTCCACATTCCCCAGATTCTTCGAGTTATATCTCTCCGTTTATCGGCCGATTCTTCAAACCCTGAATAACTACCTACATCCTCACGATCGCCGGCCTACCGATAGTACCAATATTATAGCATTGGCGTTTCGTATATATTCCAATACAGAAGATTCAGTCAAAAGGGCCAAAAGGCCAAGATAAGTATATTATCAAAAATCATCATAACACCATCAAGGAAACTGTCCTAGAGCAAACAATAAAACACCTAGAAATCTAATGTGTTGGGGCAGCTGCACAAAGTCTCGCGAGTATCTTATGAACGTTGTCCACCATGAGCTTGGCTTTCATTTATATAATGTCACTTAAGTACACAGTCCAATATTCCAAATCAATTGAAAATATCCGCACCAATGCCCCACGTTATTCACGACGTTTGATCGCCACTTAAAACGAATGAATCAACCCATCCTTCAATACAGCTGCAGGCCAAAGAAGGATTCAAATCAGCTCTTAGTAGGCCGCAGCGCATGCACCGGCAGGGGCGCCAGCAGGAGCGGGCTTGCTCGCAGGAGCAGGCTCACTAGAAGGGGCGGGGTCGCTAGCAGGGGCAGGTTCGTTGGAAGGAGAAGGAGCAGGAGCCTTAGGGGCCTCTTTAGTCTCTTCCTTCTTAGAGCCACTGGGTGAAGCCGAGTCCTTGGAAGAGCCACCCTTGCCAGCCTGGTCTTGGAAGTCCTTGATACCCTTCTGGATAGCCTCCGAGATACCGCCAGCAATGCTGCCGGCAAGATCCTGCAAGCTATCAGGGACCTTGGAGACGATGGTGTCGGAAAGCTTTTTGGCCGCGGTCTTCTGCTGGGTCAAGTCATCGTAGGTCTGACCACCCTTGCCGGCCTTGACGATTTGCGACTTCTTGCTGGAGAGGTGGGTGATAGTGGTTGATATCTTCTCCTTGAGCTCGTTGACGGGGCCGGGAAGACCGAGAGCATCGCCGGTGCTGAGATCGGAGGTACCCTTGACCTTGGTAGTTCCGGCATTGATGGCGTCAACAAGGTCGTCGGATGCTTTCTGGACCTTGGCAACATCACCACCCGAGTAGGACTGGATGGCGGAGTCAAGAGCCTCGACCTTAGGGCCTATGCCAGATAGGACTCCAGTAACAGTAGGGAGATCGCGCTCAACGCGGGTGGGCTGGGCCAAAGTACCAGCTGTGAGGCCGAGGGTGAGGAGAGAGAAAATGGAGAGCTTCATGGTGAAAGATTATAATGAACGGTAGAATGGAGATTATTTGTTTGAATTGAAAGAGTAGAGATAATGGATGATGACAGAGAGAACGATCGAGAGATACCTGAGTATTTATACATTTTAGAGTCTATACTTCCCGAAAATACTGTAGATCATCAACAATGGAGTTGGATCATGATGGACGAAAATTGGAGTGTTCTAATACAATTACAGCTTAGTGGTACCTTGAATAAAGCTAAAGGCACCAAATAATTGGTGATCGACGGGAATTGAATCGCCGGTGGTCTGAAATCCTGGGGAAGGTCCCTGTATTAGACCCAAAAAGCAGTCATTTTAGGGTTTAGGCTTCGGGAATGGCCCAGGCGGGATCGAAATAGAAACCTCAAAAGCCGGGGTCAGGAACACTTATGCTAGAATGCTACATATCCACAATTTAACTGGTGGTCATAAATTGAAGGGGACGATCTAACCCTGGACTAATCTACTTACCTTGCTCACCATCTCGTTATCCATATTTTGGGTCTTGTCCTTCAAGGTCTGCGCTCGAGGCAGAAGCTTCTTGATACGATGAAACAATAACGAAAGAACCCCTTTTTGAAGGTGTTTCTTTAAGCGAAAATGTAGCTGTACTTGGGAAGGAGTCCGTAGTGAGTTTTCCTTTTGCATCACGGAAGTTAGTTTGCTAACAGGGCTGTGAAATCGACGTTGATTAGGTCAGAAGTTGGCATCGGAAGGTGGTTATAGACAAACGATTCATTTTTGCAAAACCAAAATCTTTCAAAAATGAGACAATTATGACGAAAGTGTGTCAGTGTGTACATACCAGGTTTAAAGCCTCGTAATGTAAGTTAGTTACTAGGTTGGGCTTTTCTCATAACCCCATTCTCCCTATGCTCGTCTCTTCTGGGAATTGAATAAAACCATGTTGCTCGTTCTTATACCATTGATAATAGTGTTCCTCATCTGTCCATTCTCACTTCAATTGAGCAGGAACCCCTATTGCAAGATACTCTCGGCCTGAAATCAATCTATCTGGCCACATACGTCAGGGAACGCGGCGGCAAATATAAACAACCACCACCAACAGGCTCGGAAAGCCATTATTTCACAATCAACGAGTACGAACTCCCTAGCTGGATGTATTCGTTTTTGCAATCATAATGTGCGTAGGTTATGATAGTGTTGCAATAGGAGAGATAATAGATGGTAAAGCACAATATCATCGAACCGTGCTATCCGGCCGTTCCGCAAAGCCCGTAGCTGCTATGAGTGATAAAAGTGGTAAAACTACCGAGAACGGAGCATGGCGGAGTTAGTTGATAAATGAATACAACATTTCCGGCCACTCGTTGGCCAACGGATCCATGGATTCTTGGATCCACTTTACATAATGTGCCGGTTTTCGCTGTCCACCTGTATTCATTAGGGTCGCAGTTGAGCCGGTGTATGAAATTTCTCGCCCGGTGTAAGAAAAATCTCTTGGCATTCATACACCGGATCAGGTCTTATCAGCTGATAAGCTCAGCCGGTGTAAGAAATCCCGATCCTTACACCGTACGAACTTATCTAACACCGGATGAGTTCCTTTTACACCGTACGAATTCTTCTTACACCGGATCAGATCTGCCAAGACGAATCCTCCTTCTTTAGCCTTTAAAACACAGCTTGAACTCCAAATATGCAAAGTTCCAATTGAATTTGAATATACTATATTATAAAGAATTTAAACAAAGATCGCGGTCTCTAATAACTAATTATTTTGTCTATAATTGTTTAAAACACGTATACACAATATATATTGTTTAAACTCGCCTTGATGTTTCCCTTTTTTTTGCATATTTGGAGTTCAAGCTGTGTTTTAAGGGCTAAAGAAGGAGGGTTCGTCTTGGCAGATCTGATCCGGTGTAAGAAAAGTTCGTACGATATAAAAGAAACTCATCCGGTGTTAGAAAAGTTCGTACGGTGTAAAAAAATTTAAGCTGATCCGGTGTAAGATCATGTGATTAAGCTGAGCGGCTTTCTTGGCATTCATACACTGGATGAGGTAACGTGTCTTAATTGATTCTTACACCGCGCGAGAAAATTCATACACCGCGCCAACTGTATACCCTATTCATTAAGCCATCGAGATGCTACATGTTTGACCTGGAGCTTCTTATACACCCAATGGAGCGATTCAATGTACTCTTTTTGAAATCCAGCTCAATCGCACTTTCTTATTCACTCTTCAATCTGGAGTCGACGTTAGTCTTGAAGTTGCACATCAAATCCTGAATTGACAGTCTCCTTAGAGAATCCAACTAGTCTAGCAGTGATCAGGTTAATCTGTGAACAAGATTGCTCGAACGGGTTCACTGCCCAATATGTTTTGTCGGATCGCACCTTTTTCCTCAGGAGTAAGAGCCTCGCTGTCTTTGAAGCGATTTCTCTCCTCCCGACCACCTAGCCTCCAAAAAATGGCCCACAAGAGTACCGGTGTCCAGTCTGATTGGAGTGCTTCCCAGTACTTGAAATTCGAAGATGAACGCACTCGACCTGCTCGTGACCTTCTCTCACGAGTTATTCTTCAGAGCCCTGAAAATATCGTCGATCTCGGCTGCGGGCCGGGCAACTCTACAGCCATTTTGGAAGAGCGCTATCCTACCGCCCAAATCGTGGGAATCGACTCATCCCCGGATATGATTAAGAAAGCCAGGTCAACTCTGCCAAAACGGGAGTTCTTCATACAAGGGCTAGAGACTTACTCGCCCTCAGAGTCTGTGGACCTTTTCTTTTCAAATGCCGTTTTTCACTGGCTCAAACGGGGAGAGCGGTTCGAAATCATTAAGAAACTGATAGGAACTCAGCAACCTGGCGGGAATTTTGCTTTTCAAATCCCCTACAATCTATCGGAGCCGTCTCATGTTCTGATGCGAGAAACCGCAATCAATGGACCTTGGGCAAGCACATTGAGCCACGTTGACCGGGATGAGTTCCAATCGCCCCAGGAGATATACGATCAGCTCAAGCCGATCTGTTCTGCGGTGCATATTTTTCAGACAGATTACTTTCATCCCCTTACTGATCACAAGTCTGTGGTGGAATGGGTCAAAGGAACTGGGTTAAGGCCTTACCTGGATCCACTGGCACCGGAAGACCAAGAGTCATTTATGGAGACTTATTTGGAATCCCTCGAGAAGGCGTATCCTAAGTCTGTCGACGGGAAGGTCTTGCTTCGCTATCCTCGCTTATTTGTGGTGACTGTGAAAGGATAGAACACAATAGCAGCGTTTTGCTAACCATGCCATTCAATCCCATGTTATATAGCTGTCTTGTTTATATTGTACATTCATCTTGCTTTAGTGACTAGTTTCCTTCATAAAAAACCACTGCATACATCGTGAGTTCTTTATGAGAACGGAACATCCTGCATAAACTTGACAGCATAAATTTAGGGTCTTGGCTCGGTTAAAACTTTAACTTCCGCGACCATTGTGTCAATGAAGGGCGATGGAATCTATGAGTTTGATTGAGGATTGTCGTTCGCTGCAAATTTCCGACCCAGAATGATTGTGAGCTCCGGTAGTCACTTAAATATAGCTGCCTTTCGTGAAATGTTTCTACATAGCCCGAGAACAATATCTGAGCTATGAAAACAGTCTGGAGACGAAACTCACACAAGCTGGGATTTTCGGGTCACCACCGAGGACTATAGATTCGTGAGGATATCGATTCAGGGCTAAGGTTGAGGTGGGCCGCCATTCGGAAATAGACCACCTAAAAAGACTATATAATTTTGCTTGTTTAAAGTAAGATTATGCTTGTGATTTGTGATTTGTTGTTATATGTTGCTCTCCAAATTTTGAGACAGGAGAACACAATGACGAAAGACCGCTATGTAGAATTTATGCGTTGCCTAACCGGCTGGGATGCATCTCCGGCTTACCCTTGGAGTATCTATCTCAATTCATGCATGTGTGGATACCGTACGATCTGAGTTGAGGCATTATTCAAAACAAAGTTCCGTTCTCCATTGCTCGTCATCTACCTTCTTACTCTGAAAGGAAATCTAAGCCAGTTTAATTTCGACTTACCCGACAAGTCCTAAAAGACGAGTTAAAAAAGCCCTTTAGCTTTGGAGAGAGAGCAACTAGTTGTTCAAATATATTGAGTTGCAAGACTTTATAGCCAAGCTAACTCACATTGGAATCTTGAGGTGCGTTAAACCCTTCCGGCAGTTGCCAGTGAAGGTTTCCTTTTGTGCTTAACTTAAACCTTGATTCAAACACGCGTTGCACCTCAAACCCGTAAGACGTTTGGCAGCGTTCCAAAGTTTAAATTTCAGGTATAATACAAAGCTGAGTACTGAGACGTTAGGAAAGAAGAAAGGTATTCCTGCGTGAGCGATATCAAATTTCTGGCTTTCAACGGACAGGTCAGGCAGGACAGTGGGAAGGAGTTCGGGATGTAATAATCTAGGCGATGTTGGAGGAAGTCCTTCAGGATACCCTGCCATTTCTAGTAGTAGTAGCAGTGGCCCTGGAAATATAGCGCTTGGAGATGCAATTCCGGCGGTATATAAGGCTAAGTAAGTCTCCAAAAGAGCGCTGAAGCTGGTGCAAAGCGCACCCGTTATTTGTCCTTCCAGGAAATCAATTTTTCAGATTCTTTTAGGGACGAAATCAAAGGCACTACGGTTCGAGTCCCCGACCTCCTACGTTACATCTTCCAGGATTGGCCTCATAGCATAAATCCACACCACGAGCAGGTAGCAGCATTTCTGGACAAAGCCTATGATAAGTTTAGGATAATACATCTTTGCCATTATTAGCTGACTTAACACCACTCCTTTTTCCGGATGACGAAGTAACACTAACTCGCGTTAGATCTTATAAGATCCAACCAGGGCAAAGAGATGCTTACCTCACAGAGTTCATCTCTTACACACAAGCGATTGAAAAGGAGCAACGACTGAAAGACAGCGGTATCATGCCCTCGCCGGAAGAGTATATCAAACTCCGACTAGACTCTAGCGCGATAGGACTGGTTTACGCAGTCATCGAGTACGCTGGATAGCGTTTACATTTCACATAATTTGTTGCTTATGCCTGTGTAGATTCAGTGTGAACAGAAGAATCCCCGAGATTATTAGAGATGTGTCAGCAATGAAGACTCTCCGAGAAGAAACAATCTCGATCATATTCATGTAAGATATGACTAGATCTAATTTACCTGTTTGCGTGGTAACGATTTCCCCCTAACAGTGTCAATGACATTGCGTCATTCAGAAAGGAATTGGTGAGTTACGAATAGCTGTCTAGGTACCAAATACTAAACCTTTCGGCAGAGGGGAGATTGTCTACACAACTATATTCCAGTCGCCTATAGCGCAGGCAGCAGCTTACAGGACGCCATATAAGAAGCAGTAAAATCAATCGAGGAACGCGTTGAAATATTCGAGAAGGCCGCAGATGAGCTTGTGGACAAGGCGAAAGCCCATGGCTGTGCTGAAGATGGCGTCCTGTGGTTTATCCAGGTGTGTAAAACCTATTGCACTGGAAACTTTCAATGGAGGTAAGTAGACGAGGACATTGATAGCTGGTTGGCTACTGACTTCCCCATAGCATGGATTCTGTCCGTTATGCTATTCGAGGGGCTCATCACCAGAGCACTGATGGACAGGTCTTCATTAAATTTAGCTTGGAAACGGTATGGAGATGGCAAAAGATAGAATTTTCTTCGATTATTGAACCTGAAGGATTTGTTTCATTCAATAACCGAGCCGCGTTATTTCACATGGGCGGTCCTTGATGCAGTGATATTGAATTCTTGTTGAGATGTTAGACTTGAGGCTTGAAACACATCAAACAGCGGAGCAGAGGGATGCGGAACAGATTCATTCTGAAGGAAAAGACCTGAAGTGGTGAACCTTGTTCAATCGCTTATGCTGAAGGCACTGTCAGTTTGAGATCGTAGTGTACTCTTTGTCACGCGATCATTGCCACAGTGGACCGGCATATACAACCTTCATCATAACGAGCAATTCTAGTTCTTGTTTAATGGAAGTAGGGCATTCGGGTGGGTATAACGCGATAGCCGCTTTCATATCCGAGTTTGGTCAGATATTGCCCACTACCCCATCTCAGTTCACCCAATCAAGCTACAACACGCAAAGGTCTAGATCCGTAGATCCTTAGTTATTTACCCAAAATGGCACTCGGATCGGCTCGGGTTTCCTGCACCTCGGGTTCCCCTTCCGACCACCTCGTTCCCCAGATTATGGATATGCCCTCGGGACGCAACTGACTGTGATGCACCCAAGGTAGGCTACATTTCACTAGCCAATAAGGGTATATTCATTACACTAATGGGTTTTGTCTAGCCAGTCATCAGATTATCATGTGAAGAACGAGTTAAAATCGATAATATGTATGTCGGCAACTGCGATATACTAACCCGCTATGCAGGTCGTCTCCTTTTCTTGGTCTCTCATCTATGCAAGTCTCTTTAAGAGGAGCTGGATTATTTACGGTCAACTCAATGAAACTAGTGGACCTGTATCAAAGTTTATCAAAATCTAGTTTTTCAGTGACGGGTTCCTGGATAATATATCTCATGAACTATCCCTTGTATCATGCCTTCCGCTTGTGATTTACTCACTATGCCTACTTCTCCACCCACCACTCGAAGTTAATGTGACTCTACCGACTTCCGTAAGCCTGTTAAAATTGTTTTGTGTTTAGGCACATCAAGGGAGAAAGGAAAATATCTCAATCTGGCCAGATACTGAAGAATGGGAGTAAACGATAGACACAAATGCAGAACGCCAAAATTGGAATAAGAAAATGGCAATGGCACGCTAAATCTGCCTACAATTTTATCTAACTACACAACCTCAAACATCTCATTCAGCATTGAGTCCAAATAGTCCCTCTGATCACGGATCCATGCTCTCTCCTCCTCAAGGTTGAACGGACGGTAAGCCGACTCTCTTGCGCGCTCGGACTTTCTCCGAGCTCTCATGCGCTCCTCAAGCACCTCGAGTCGGTAGTCGTAGTACTGAGGGTACAGCTCAGCAAGATTACTGATACCACGAACTCCGACGAGTAGAATCTCATCTCGGACAAGGGGATCCTTAGGTCTGAAGGGTGTGACCATGGAGATACGCTCGCGACCACCGATAGCCTTGAGAGCTTGGTGGTGAAGATATCGGCCTTGCATGACCACCGCGTAGCCCTATTCGAGTCAGCATATTTTCCAAGTAGGACGCTACTTGCTTGGCGAAGGAGAAACATACCATTGCCGGACCGCGGACCTTTTTGATATCACCAGAAGGCAACTGGATTGCCGTTTCGCCACCAATCATGTTCGTGCAGTCGGAAAGCATCGTCACACAGACAAAAGGGAAGCTATCATAGTGCCATCCAAAGGCGGCGGTGTTATCCTCTTTTGCACTCTTGGTTACGTTGACAGGGCCATCAACTTCATCGTCATCCTTGACGGCGATGTTGATATTCGCGATCTCATACTCCCAGGCGGGGATTAGGTCGATACCGGCGACCTCGGAGACCTTGGACAGAACTTTGGGTGATTTCCAGGCATCACAAATAAAGGGCGCACGTCTACTCAGTATTAGCTAATGTATTGCAAGAGATTTTAAAAAAAGTAAATTGACTCACTTATGTCCCATCCCGCGAACCATGTTGGTGCAAAACGTTGAGGCGAATTGACAATCTGCTAGGACCGACTCACTGAAGATCTCGGCCCTCATCTGCCTGATTGCATCCTCCGAGAAGAGCGGGAAAGGCTCGGAGATTGCATTAGGAGAGATGCCAGCGCCCTCGAGACCCAATTCTTTCATAAGATGGATCTTCTCTGGAGGTTGGAACACAATGTGCGTGTCGGGATCAAAGGGCACCTTCCTCTCTACCTTGGCCCCCTCAATTAGGGACCAGGGAAGAGCTCGAGTTGGGCGAGTGGCCTTCTTGGTGGTAGGGCCTATCACCGCTGGGGGCACATGTGGAATGAGTGCAGAGGGAGCCATGTTGAATTATGTTGGAGTGAAGAAGGTTGAAACTGATGTTCAAAAACCGTTGAGGCTGAAGGCAAAAGACGGTATTTAGGTTCGCCATTGAAACCCCTTACTTATACTGGATAAACCGATGGTCCAAGCTCATGAGTCCGGGGTGTTGTTGCTTGGGAAAGACCCGAATGTTGAACGTCATGAGATGCCTGGCTCCTTTGCTGGATGTCCTTATTTCAGTAAATTGTCCTTCTGACATCTCTTCGGGTGCCTAGGAAGCTTGAGCCGATAGGGCGTTTTGGTGACTGTTGTCACGTCGCAGCTCACGAGTGACCTGTTACGGTAGCAAGCAAAACAACCGCAGCTCGGGATCTGAGAGTTCTATCTTCGGCATCCGCCCGATGCCTGTCTTTGCGGGCTGGTCTCAGGGCACCAAGTCACCTTGCTCTGGACAGCCTTTCCAAAAAAGGGATTGTATTGCGGAGTATACCAGACAGGACGACTGAAGGCTAGAGCTTCCTACAATTATTCATATCATGAGTATTCGTTTTGTGGTATCGCGAAAACCGTCATGAGACCCAAAAGCCTTGCCACATACCCGACCTATGCTCGGAACACTTGGTGGCAATCTATGAGATGGCTCTTTGTCCCGATGGACGAATGAGTTCAGCCCTCGTGATAGCGCAATGAGGAGATAGAGTGTTTCAGCGCGAACCCTTTGTGGTTTAATCTTCCCCAGAAAGAAAGTACGAATGCTTTCCAAGCTGTCCTATCTCGGGAGCAGCAGCCTAGGTCATTGCGTATGTAGCTGGTCTGGGTTAACAAGAAGCAATCACTTGATCTTGCGATAGTCCAAGGATAGATTGCAATGGTACCTGTGTATCAGATAATAGTAGTGACCAGTGACATTCTCAGATCTTCTGGTTGTCTTTGTCTCGGATCTCGGAAACCAATTATCGGAAGGAGGATCCGAGAATGCGACAGATACCACAGCAACCGGCCCCTAGATGTACTACGAAGAAGGCATATTGGGCCTGGACAAGTATAATCACTCTGTAGACTAAAGCCTTCAACAGGGTTTGTGGTATCTTTTGAGGGGTGCTTGCACTCGCAAGTGACTTAGTACTTGGTTTACGTGGCAGGCAAAAATCACCTACATACGTCAAATAGATTCCCGACTTCTCGTACCAAGTTGTTATAAGTCAGCTTTGGTATTGGCGATATGCGCTAGAATACCAGGGAAACCAGAAGCACACACGCACAAAAGGGCAATGAGTGGTACTAGTGGTTGTCACTTGCTCCCCAAATATACCGGAGAGAACCAAGCAGGTTCATCCTTTCACTTCAAGCATTGGATCTATACCCGGACAGGTTCAACTAGCTTCGTAGCATGTCTAAGAAGAGATTCCATGTATAGTATTTTAGTGGGTCTCCGAGACTCTACATTCTTTTCTCAATGGAAGTCACAGAAGACGGATTCTCAGAAAATAAATAGACAGGAGTGTCTATCAAGCTGTCTAATGAATCTATCATGAAGCTTCTGCGCGTCTTTGCTTTGGAGACGATTCAGCCTATCGTCCTCGGCCCATATGGTTTCCGTCAAGCGCATCGCGGCATTCCGTTGTAGCTCTCGATAATAGCCAATCATGGCTTCATGTTTGCGGCGGACCCAGCTGCGGTCCTCTTCTGTCACAGCCTCTCGTGCAGCTAGATAGAATGGCTGTGGTAAGGAGGAGTCGGGTCCACATCCTGTAGGTAAAAGGTCCATTAATCGAAAGCAGGTCCATGCAAGATGCTGAACGCGGATTGAACGCGTTTCGTCCCGAAAGATACGACGAGCGAGTAAGATATGGGCAGTCCAATAGAAGCACTCCGCGAGAATTTCAAGATGTGACCATTTCGAACGGTCTGCGGTAGTGTTATTATATTGGGAGCCCAAGGCGCGAATCTCGGTCTCTAGCTTGAAAGCTTCCACAAGGAGATCAGATATAGGCTTTCCGCTCTCTAGGCGGTCGTCAACATCGCAAGCAAGATGCGAAAGCAGGACTAAAAGACACATTAAAGGTTGTGGACAGCCTGTCATTTTCAGAAATGATGGCTCAGTCCGGTCCCACCGGCTCTCATCCGGCTGGTAGAGAATGAAATCGATCGGAGCAAACGGTCGGCGCTGGCGTGAGATGGCAAGCATTACATCGACCATTGCAAACCTCTGCACACACATGCGTACTAGGGGAGTCCGGGGTTCTTGTCGGAAGAGACCAAGGGCTCGGATAAGAAACGCTGCGCATTTCACGTGTGGTTCAACTGCCCCATCCTCCGTTTGGGCGACGACGACGCCCTGGAGGATGATTGCAGCAAGAAGTGCTTCGTAATTATCAACGCTCATCACACTCCCCTCCAAGCTTATGCTCGTACGATTGTCCAGGGTGCGAAGACCTTGAGCAATGGAGCGCAGCATTTGACGCTGCCGCTCGGCAGCTACGGACACACTGCCTAATCCAAAGTTTAGCATATGTTCCGTAGAGATACAAAGAATGGTTTCTCGGAGGACCGGAGACGACAGCGCAGTGACGGATAACTGGCGATAGGGATTGTCGGGGCCGTCTAGAGCCGGAACATTCGACGAGACTAGGCGGATGTCTATCGTCGTTGATTAGCAGTGTCAATTTTAAATCAAGCCTTACACGTACAATACTCCCATGCTGATTGTTCATCAGCAGATTGGAAGACAGCATTGGCCAAGATTAAGGGGGCTTGGCCTCGCACATCCGACCAGCCTTCTTCTGGCGATCTTTGGAGGCGGGACTTATGCCTTGACAATTTCGGCTGCTCTCGCTGGACCCAGCGCAAAGCCGAAGGATACTCGCACTTCTGTCGGTGTGTGATACAAAAGGTGCAGGTAGATTGTTTCTCATCGCACTTCCGGTGTTTGTGGCGGCACTGTAAACAGCCTGTAACTGCATTAGGCGGAGCTACCTTATTTCTGATGCTAAGTCAGTCTCACGTACCAGTGCGTGACCTTGAAAAACGTTCACCAGAGAACATATTTCCTGTCCTGCAAGATTACTCGATCGACACACATCATGTTGGGGAGTGCCCTTGAATTGAGAGGCAGTGGAGCTTGTCATCCGAACTTAGCTGCTTGAGTCGCCTGAGGCCCCGCTGGACTCGGGTTCCCTTTTTGGGTTAGCCGGTCGCTGCGACTAGGGCTTCCTCTTTGGGCATGGATGTACACGTCGCTCAGGAGGACAGTATGACGATGTCTTACCGATTTGTTCAAACAAGTCCTATATAATCAGGATTATTAGCTAAACGGCAGTTGCATTCAGTTCAACAGTCGCAGGTGATTTGAAGCAATTGGTCAGCTTAGTTGATTTATAGCTCTACTTTGATCCGATAACCAACACCTTACTTTAGTTGCTAATATATAGAGGACAACGAGGAGCTATGTCTGTGCGATGCAGCACTTCAAGCACCGATGTACTCCACAGAAAACTACCAATCTTCAGCCGATCCTTAACCTCCAGTTCTTGGTCAGCATTAACTCAAGCCATGTAACATGCTTCATCCCGGAATCGTGGATTGCCCACAGCTCTTCTAGCAAGTCTATTACCCATAGGGTAGCTAGTATGCGATTTGTTGAGTACACCTCATTTAGCCTCGTCCTGATCCGATCGCGTATTGATGTATCAAGCGAAGTCATTTCTGCTCCAGCACTCAACAGCGGAATAGTCTGAATGTTTAGATAAGGCGAGTCTGACTTGGTTCCCAGCATTAATTCAGCGATTTCTAGCGCGAGCTGGTGCGCGTAGTTGTCGGTCCCTATGGCAGTAGAATTGCTGGGTTGAGTGGAGAAGCGATAAAGAAGTAGAAGACCATGTTTCCGGAAAGCCTCAGTAAGCGACTGTGCGGAACTTTCGGTCTCAATTGATACATGTTCGTTCAGTCTCCTCCCACACGATGCTTCATACACATGGTCACGAGCACCCCCTTCCACGATCACTCGGCAGTACCGACCGAGCTCTCCGAGGAGATAATACAGATCTATCGAGTGAGTCGTGATAGCGTGGAACCTGTGACGAGCTTGTTTCACGTACGTTTCAAGTAAACATGTTCGATCGGTAGGATGATACACTGGGTCAAGACAAAAGGAGCAGGCCATGTCCCAGTAAACATAGATACCCATAGTGAGGTGATCAAGCTCGTCTAGCCTCGAGTAGTCCTTCTGGAGAATCATGTCCGCGACGGTTTGAGCGGCAAGCAGGTGCTCCCTCCCGTAATCTGTGGGACCTAATGACATCCAGGACGAGGACATGCCGAGCATCAGCAAAGTGAGAAAGGAATGTGATAAGGAGCTGCTTGTGCTCTGTAGCTCCTGCCGTAAGGCGGAAAATGCTTTCCCCCGCTCACTCAGGCTAAGTGACAGCTTGGGTTGATAAAAGTATTCCTCCTGCGCGGCGCTGGCCGACTGTATGCAGTGTACCAAGGAGGGAGAATCGGTAGCATATCTGAGAATGGGGAAGGAAAAAGGATTGTTGGTCGGATCGACTGACAACATCTGGCACGTTGCATCAAGCCAATACCGCATCAATCGTGCGTCAACTTTGACATCCGCGTTGGGAACAGGAAACACAGTTTCCAAAGGATAGCACGCCAGCCACGGAGTCTCGATCCTCCATTGAGATTTGGACAGGCTTGGATGGCAAACTGTTGCTCGCCGGTGGCAGCGTTGGCAGACAGGAAATGTCTCGTCGCATTTGACTCTCCGCTGTCGACATTCACGACAACCCGAGCGACTCCTTTGCCGGGCTTGTAATTTATCTTTATTATCCTGGATATGGCTCTCGACGGCCGACTGGGACTCGACAGGAATGTGGCCAGGTTTGCTTGGCGAGGCGAATCGAACGCGGTATACGGCCATTGTAGACAACCTTTAGCGAAGGGGACGAAGCAGACGAGACCTTTGATACTGGCCTGTATCACTTATATCTGGAAATCTAATCGAGTGAACGAGAACCGCCCTGTGCACTCTTATCGAACCCCACGGCACAAGATACACAATCCTCGAGTCTCTTCATTGCGCGGAGAAGATAGGCATTGACCCACTCGGCGTTGAACAGCCAATGTAATGTCAACTAGTAGTCAGAAAGTTGGAGAGAAACTTGCCTCTTTCGGTCAATACGCGAGGGCTCCACTTTTGGGCTATCTCATACCATCATACTAATCTTTTCAAGAAATAACATGTGCGGCGGTTCGAATCCCAATCATGACTCTCAATCCGACCTAAAAGATTGAAATTACTCCTATCGGTATTCCACGACCAATATATTTTCATAGAACTTCAGGAAGTGAATAGCACGGATGCTAATTGCATGCAAATAGAAAACCCAAACTAATGACCAGATACTAATGTTATCCGGAAGACTCGAAGTGGCCATTAAACATCAGTAACGAACTGGCCGCGTAGGGCTTCACACCCAGATTGAGGCCTCAGTTTCCGGATACCGGAGGTTATCAAGGTCATCTGCCTAGTCCATGTTTCTTGTTCCGGTAGACCCCGAACCTAATGTAGAGTCATTCAAATGCGAAATGTGGCATTATGCCTCGCGTAGGAGCACTATCCCCTGCGAGGATTATCCGTGCCGTCTTCTCAAACCTGGCAGTAATTACATTTTATGCCGCTTGAATTAATCGTCTCTCGACCTCTTGTGCAAATCGGCCTTCATGCCTGCCCCGATTTGAATGTGTTTATTCCTGTAGCCACCGGTTTTTAGTACTTGCAGATTCCCAAAGCTGAAGATGACCGAGAACTACGGGTGATCTCTGTGGATAAAGCACCTGGGTTGGTAGATTTTGGCCTCAGTAATGTTGCTTTGGACCCTAGGCTCTCATCTCCGCGATGGAACAATCGGTCCAGCCTCCTAGAGGTAGCCCTAAAGTCTCCGCATATGGCCAGTGTGTGCATTATAAGAGCGCAAGATTACTTTTCTTTGCCTATTTTCTATCATTATCTATTTTATCTAACACACCACTAGGAGCAACAAGATGGCCCAAGTAACCATCGTTGGAGCAGGGTAATAATGATATTCCATTTGCTAACCTCTCTACTTGCTGGTATTTATATTAACATGTCAGGCTAACCATGATGCTTCAACTCCCAGTATCATTGGCATGGCCACTGCCTCTATCCTCTCGCGAAACTACAAAGTGACAATAGTGGCGAGGAACCTCCCGGGTGATGAACCTACGATTGAGTGGGGCAGCCCATGGGCCGGAGCCAGCTTCATCGCTGGAGGTTGCCTCTCGCGCCGCGAAGAAAAAATGCAACTCGATGCATTTGCAGAATTGTGGCGCTGGAGCGTCGCCTATCCGGACTCATCCGTCAAACAAATCACTATTGATGATTTTCATGACGATAAAACAGAAGAGGATATTTGGTGGAAAGACCATATGCCAGAGGTACGTCCGGCTAATTTCTGTCCTCCGTGTTCAAGTCCGTGTGCTGAAGAATGTTTTCTAGTTCCGATTCCGTCCGCTGGAAACCTTTCCTGCAGGTGCAATAATTGGAACATCTTGTGGGTTACGAACACATCATGGTTCAATACACTAAGCTAATGTGTTCATGTCAGACAAGTCCCTCATCCTCAAACCCGATGTGTTTCTCCCTTGGTTGAGAGCGAAGTTAGCGAAATCGGGGGTTCAGTTCAAGAGAATGGATCTCAAGTCGTTGTCAGATGCTTGCGAGCTTGGTCATGACATCTTGGTTAATGCTACTGGGTTTGGATCTCTCAAGCTTCAGGATGTCCAGGACCAAGACCTTGAGATGATCCGAGGTCAAACTGTCGTTGTCAAGAGCAACTACGACAAACTGTTCATGCATGATACCGGCGAAACTTATACCTATGCCATACCACGTTTGGATGGAACGGTAGTTCTAGGTGGCACGAGGCAGAAGGACTCTGTGTAAGTTCGACCTATCTACTGAGTGCCTTTATCAGTTGCTGACGCCGAGAGATTGCGTACTGAAGTTCGCCTGACGTTGACTGGGATTTGGTACGGGATGTAAGCAAACAGTTGGCTGTTCTCTGATTGACTGATGTTAACCCTAAATCTAGATCTTCAAAAGAATCAATCAGAATTTACCAGAACACTTTTCAGCGAATCCAACGGATCACCAAATTCTTAGACACAACGTCGGCATACGCCCCTCTCGGAAGACTGGCGTCCGTGTTGAATCAGAATTTGCCAATGGTCAACATGTAGTTCATGCTTATGGTAAGCTCAGACGTACCATACAGGAATGGTATCATAAATACAGTATATCTGACTCATTCTTCAAAGGTGTTGCCGGTGGTGGGTACATCTTCAGCTTCGGGGTTGCCCGCGCGGTTAGGGATCTCATCGAACAAGTTCTGTTCCCGTTCCCGGCTAGGCTTTGAGACGGTTCCTTACATTGTATAAGGCATCTGTCGAGCGAGTTAGATGAGGCTGGAGCCTCAGGTTACATTCTAAATAACAACTTAGACCAAAAGGTTCATGAAGCCAGCATGGTTACTGTGTCGCATAATGCATGATCGGAGTTCCCGCATGGTCTGCTGGAAGTAAATCTGTGGGTTTATTGTTTTTACCCTTGTATAAAAAGCGTAGAGAGATTCACAGATCTTGGCACAAGATGTAATCGTAACCTTCTTTCCTTGATCTAGACCGCGCACATGTGGACATAACCTACAATGGGAAACGGTTTCTTAAACCCTCTATGTCCATAGTGGTACTTCTCTACCTGTTCTACTAGACGATAAGAGCTACACGTTAAGTGATAAGCTTGACTATAATAATACGAAACTAGACCGAAAGGAAATACTCTCAAACGGAAGATTAAAGACTATTTTGGTCGTAAGATGCTATGGATGATAACTCAAAGGCCATCGAGGAAGTCCTGTTCGCATAGATCCGTCGCACTTAAAGCTTCTGCTGCCGTTCTCTTGCCAGCCCAAGAATAGCATCGCTCAGTGTCAAATCTGTGAGACTCACACCAATGCTTTTGTAAATCACAAGTCCTTCTGAAATGAATCGATCTGTCTTTTGAACGGCCGTGTGTGTTATCGACGCAGATGATAACCTCCCGTTCTTCAAGGCAATGATCTCACCCAGCTCAACAACATCGTTTGCAATAGTGTTGCTCTTGACGAGCTCCCCCGCATTCTGGAGAGCAAAGTCTCGATCATCGACGAGGATGGCGCCCTTGTCTTTGCCGGTAATAGGATTGTATCCAGCATTATATGCAACAGCAAGTTTCAAAAGCGAAGGATCCAGCTCGATCATGTCCGGCTGCCAAGAACCGATTGCGGAGATGAACGGTTGCCGGCTGCTTCTGTTGACCACAGATCCTGCTGCAAAAAGTGGCTTTTTGGACGGCGTAGTGCAGAAAATGCAATCAACGTTGCGCAAGTAGGTCTCAAGATTTTGCTGGAAGTCGGAAGCGGTGTTATCCACAAACTCAAAGGAGCAGGTAGCTTTCCAAAGCGCACGATTCTCTGCGGACACTGTGGCAATCAACTGTTCGGCCTGCTCTCTGAAAGGCCCGATGTAGGTGATATTCCTCACTTCCGAACCTCTGAGCATGATGATGAGTCGAGTATGCCACAAAGCTTGCATGCCAGTACCGAAAATGATTATGTTGTCAACATTTAGCCTCCAAGAGAAGGGAACCATGACATTCATTGAGGTGCGGTAGCCGGTCACTTCCTCGGAGCTCAGGAGACCCTTGGGAATACCTTTTCCATCACACAGAACTATGATGCCATGAAGGGGGTCTTTCTTGCCGTCTTTGTCGGGTGCAGGTTCGACGGTAATCTTAGTGCCAATGACCGTGTCCGATGTGAACGGTCTGAAGAGGGTTCGTTGCTCGTTTGGACGGTTTGCGAAGCTTGGCATAGGCTGGTATTGCCGTTCCCCGTCGACTGAAAATTCTTCAAATGTCCGTTCGATCACTTTCCGAAATTCAATAGTCTCGCTTGTAGAAAGATTGATCAATAGGTCATAGACCGTGGAATTATCCAGGAGTCGAATCTCCGACATCTCCGACATTGTTTAGGTTTCGAAATTGAAAGATACCTAAGATAATAGTGAAAATGGCAAATTCATAAGCAAATGGACGTATGACACTTAATTCTGAAGTATTGTAGTTACTTCTTGGAACGATCCCACGGCCTTTTTAAGAAGATTCAGCGTAGATCACAAAATCATGACGGAAGCCATTATCGACTAACGGTAGACCGGCAAGGCTCCCGAGAGATGCTATGAAGCGGCAGATGTACCGAGAGATCTAAAAGACAATGTCAGAGTGAATATACAGCTGGCCGAAAGAAAGTAGGGCGAATAAGAACGCCAAGAGCGTGTCAGCAGAGGCACACATGGAACCCTCTCGCATATTGGCCGAAATAGGCAACTTTTTCTGCAGCGATGGTGCGGGTGACCCACAGTGAGCCGTGATCGTTGTACGCACTAATCATGCGTAACCATGCGTTCTTTACCATCAAGTTGTTGCTCCGCATGGTTTGTTTTAGTGAACCAAGATATAGCCCGCGGGGTAACACTTTTGCCTCATTGCGAGTATGACTATACGTTATGCCTACTGTCATAATGCCTAACGTCGACGTTGAACACTTTGTTTGTTGAACTCTATTATCTCATCCGGAAGAGGACGAAAGACCCAGTACCAGGGTTGGTAGTCTCTCGCTCTAGAAAGATTTAATGCACAACCTACGGCCTTCAATCGGCCGGATTGCCGACCTGGAGGGAGCCCCAAGGCGTGTGGGGCCGACTTTTGGCTCTTTTTGCAAAGAACCTAGGCAGTTGAAAGGAAATTGGTCCTAAAACGAATATCCTCAGGATTGTTCTGAGGTCATTGTTTGTTTTTCGAGTAGAAGGCATGTTGAAAGTTTTCTCAATATGATGTTAAGTTAGAAATATATTCGCAGTAACCGAGCCAGTCGCTTATCTACCCAAATCTGCTTCAGAAGAGACCTGAACATATTGCTATGCTTCTAGAGGCGCGCAGCCTGTGCTCTGGGGCTACTGGGCGCAATGATGGCCACATCAAAATTATGGCTATGCTGACTGGGAGGAGCACAAAAAGTTGTATGGTGTTGGGGAAGCCATTCGTCAAGCAAAACTTCAGCACGGTCACCTAGAGGCAATCAGTCAGGCCGCCGATGAAGGCGGAATTGAATGCGACCTTACCCGCACAGTTGGTGTCGATGCCTACTACGATGAATCTACTTTTACGAAAGCACTGCATGACCTGGAAGATATGAAGGTCCATATATCTGAGCTTGCCTCGCAGTACACCGTGCATACCGATAGGAACTATACTCAAGGAGACTCGAAGCTCGAAGCTATCGGATAGGTGCATTGACGCGATCACCGTTCCTGCAGCTTCATTCTGGCGATACAAGTTTGTCACTTGCCTGTTAAGCCATCTGGTTGAGGAAGGTCGTCTCAATCTTCAGACCAATACCGCCGTGAAGGGAGTCAAGGATGTCACTGGTGAGTGGTATGCGCTAGTATGCACCGATCGTGGCAGCTTCAGGGTAGGCACATAGTGCATGCTACCAATGCCTGGATGGGTCATCTGCTACCGGAGCTACGTCCCTGTGTATCGCCAGTGCGTGGTAATGTCGTACATTATGCAGCAACAGCTGGCCCTACTGTTCAAGGCCCCTCTGCCTTCGGGTTTGACAGTCGATTCTGCGATTGGCTGCGCTACGGCAAGAAGGATTATGACTACTTGATGAAAAGAGGGTGACGTTGTTGTCGGTCGTGCGAATGTCGGACGGCGCGCAGTCAGTGATGACACTCAGTCTGACCTAGCACCCATGTCGCACTTGCGCGGCCTGTCAAGTGAAGTCGCCTTGTCACCATCGCCGAACGCCACCATTGACTTTGCCTGGTCGGGTATATTAGCCTTCAATGAAGACGGGTCTCCTTTTATCGGTCGTCTCCCTTTTGAGACCCATGCTCATCAGTGGATATGTGGTGGCCACCATGGCTATGGAATGACGAAGGCATCCCGCGCTGATGAAATGATTACACTTGTGCTCTTAGGGGACACGGTGCCGCATGAATATCCTCGCTCCATGTTTCTTACCGAAGAGCGACTCCGTGTATTGCGAAGTGCAAATGTGTACGTCAAAGATACATTTTGGATAAACAATATGTTTCTGATGGAAGTTTGTGGGTTACCAACGTATGGTAGTCAGTGCCTTACAGTTCTGTATGACTTCGTAGTATCAGACATCAGGGGTAGACTAGCTTTGTTTCCGCGTAGAATCAAATGGCCCACATGGCGACCATCTACAAAAAGGTTCCAATGGATTCCCTTATTGCGTTTAATACAAAAGCTGCTTTAGCAGCCTGAAGTGGTCCCTAATACACTTTGACCCTGCAATACACATGGTGTTCTAGCTAAATAGCATGCTTCACGATGCAAGTGCCGTGTTTGGAAGAAGTGTATGTAGCATGGGTTAATGCAGAGGATAGATACCCTGTGAGAGTTGGACATATTGCTATCAAAGAAATTGGAAAATATCGAAACCTATAATTATGAACCTCTTCCTAGCCTTGCTTGGGAATATTACAAGTACATTCCAATAAGCTTGTTGGTGTGATTCCATACCGTATCAGAAGCTCCAGTTTCGACAAGCGAATCCAGAAGACCACCGACGTTCAACGTCTCCAGCTTGTCACCTACACACAGGAGAGATCCAATCCTCGTTCCCTGAACAGTAAGTCCAACCTCCTGTCCCTCTCTAATAGGCACTCCATTTCCACCATACTTAGCACTAGTCATGACAAAAAGCGAGCGCTCCCCAGCCTCCGCAGGAGTCGAGCGTTGCATATCAGCCGGGGCGGGAGGGCCACTATGCTGTTTACTGTTGTCCCATTGATCACCCCAGCTTTTCTTGAAGATGTCGGTAGACACGAGTCCGGGGTGGTGGTGGATGATCGCAATCTCTCTATTTTCCTCCTGCTCGGCGAGGCGTTTGAGGCTCATGGAGGTCATGGCAGCAACGTGTCCAGCATAGTTGGGTATACTGAAATGACCGGGCTCCTTTAACTGCAGGTCATCAAGGAATAGGTTCGCTGTTTCCGCGCCAGCGGCAAGGACATTCACGACGCGCGGCCGAAACCACGATGATGATCCCTGGGCCGCGTGCTGGCCCAATGCTCGGACTCGCAGGAGGGGAAGCAGGCGGCGGATGAAAATTTGTCGGCTGTAGAACGCGACAGCGGTGGATAGCTCAATGCCTTCCATTGTTTCTTAGAAAATCTGTCAGGACCTCTATCTTTCAACGTTCCCTGGGTATCAAATTCCGAGCTACCAACATACCTTCTCGTCCCAGAAAGGGAAGAAACCCAGCGGAAAGGAAAAGTAAATCAATAGAACCTCCAGTCCCACCTTTCCGGTTGATAATAATATCTGTAAGCCGCTTGGCTTCAGCCATCAAAGAGATCTCGCCCTGCAGGAAGATCAAAGTAGCTGAAGGATTCGAAGCCTGCAGCTCGCTCAGGGTGGGTTTAAATGCTGCCTCATTGCGACCGATTATGTACGCCGTTAAAGGAACACTGGTAGAGACAAGCTCTACCAGGGCTGCCTTGCCGATTCCAGCCGTTGCACCGACAAAAACGGAGACCTTGGGGATGTTTGCAGAAGTGAGTTGGCTGTTAGATGCCCTAACTTCAGTCAGAGAAACCATTGTGGGAATTTGGAGTTGCTAAAGCTTTTGACTGAGAATCGTATTATAGTGAAACACAGAGTAGTCAATGATGAATGATATGTTCTATCCTCGGCGCTTTTATATGTCGATCTCCTGGCGATGCAAGAAGCTTTACTAGACCCATCCACCTGGGGGTGGATGTAATCGTCCTGAAAACCCGTTTCATATTCCCGCTGACAAATGTACAAACTTAAGTTGGATTGGAATCTGCGTAAGTTCTTCTGGATTTATAACTTACCCTTGGCTCAGAGACGCAGTATGTAGTGCCGATTTGGAACGAGTCTCCATACGTAAATTAGAGTGATCTCACATTGACTCTTAGTACTATGACTGATTGAAACCCCTATTCAAAGGATAGCGAATATTGAAGTACTAATCCTAAAAGATCCAAGCTCCAAATACCAAGAAAGAGAGTAATAGTAAACTAGTAGGACTCCCGTGTAGAGTAAAGGGATCAGGTTTGCTATTTCGGCGCAATCCTCCGCCATAGACGTACGATCTCTCGTTAACGTACCTATGCCGGACCACAGTACGAAGCCCACTGACGTAACTTGTAGTTACATAAGGTTATGTTTATTCAGCGGACGGAAAGGCGGACGGAAGAAACGGACGGACGGGCGGAGCGGAATTCCAGTTCAGTTCTTCTCTTCCCCCTCTTGTGCTTCACCAAAGGACATTGCATCCAGCAACCTGCAATAATTCTTATTTTTATTCTTATTTTTTGTTTTTCGAGATTTCCGGTCATGCCGTCCGACGGTCCTGTGTCAGATCACCCAGCAGTATGTCAATTACGACATTCAATATTCACGGTCCAGGGCTAATGCAGTGATATGCATAGTGCGACTTCTGCCATGCGAGAAAGGTGATTTTCACCCTCATTACGTCCGTTTAATTACTGAGACCGACCTTCATGTAATAGATAAAGTGCGATCGACACGCACCGTGCGACAACTGTACAGATGCGCGAGTAGAATGCCGCAGGGACCGACCAAGAAAGAGTAGACGGCGGCCAAAGGGATCCCGGCAAGTCCTCAGGCTTCATAAGAATGTTCCACATCTAAGACGCATTCACTGACGGACCTGACATAGCATATCCTTGTTTAATAGAAGGCTTTCAGCACTCGAGAGAGCAGCTGCAGCCATACCGAGCGACTCGGATCCTGTAACGAATGGGAGTCCCAGCCAAGATGTGGTCGCCCGGGCTGCATTAAGGACGGAGAGCACAGATATTCCCAACACCGGCCCGTCCGGCCGCCAGCCTAGCAGTACAGGGAGGTCCCGGGGGGCGACAAGCGCTCTTCAAGATGGCTTACTGCAGCAAACTTTGGAGGGCACGAGATTCTTGCAGCGAGAGCTGGAGTCGAATATGATGATCGGTCAAGACAGGTCTGTCGTCTTGCGACGTGCTATTGATTTCGTCAGTCGCATCTCCAGTTCGGGAGACCTGTCTTCTTCGACCGGCATACCTAAACCTAGCACAACAGACAGTGATGTCGAACCCCACAAATTACCACCGGAATTACTATACATGATGACAATGAGTTAGTAAACGGTCAAAGCAAAATCGTAAGGCTGATTAAGTGCTAATCGACAGACTCGGATTCCGAGCCAGGTGCCATGAAACGGTCATTCTGGCCTGATCATGTATCTCTCAAGACCTTAGAAAATATGTGTCTGTCTATCATCGAAGAGAACGAGGATGAACAGACGCTTATCTGCTACCGCATATGTGTGTACATGAAAGCTATCACGCTAATCAGCCGCCTGCCCGGCAGAGATCGAAGTGCTCGCGTTCGCCGTCATCTGGAGCAAAGCAAGAGTCAATATGATAACGAGATACACCGAGCGCTAAGCAAGTTGGACTTCCTCGCTCCTCCAAATTTACATTTTCTGCAGGCCCTTTTGTCGGCGGTGAGTCCGAACGACCTTTCCTCGGTGTTCAGTATGACTAGCTTCGTCTCGTAAAAACGCTGACTTATATTCAGGCCCTATTCATGCAAAACCAAGGTGACATGTCTAAGAGCTGGACACTAACAGCGTTTGCTTCAAGAACTTTGGTCTGTCTTAAGTACCACACAATAGACAGATACGTACCATCAGATGGAGAAGCGCAGGATGTTTATGGGGCTCTCTACGTGTGTTACTATCTCGACAAAGTCCTGAGTGTGCTCCTACTGCGGCCTCCTTCTCTCCCAAAGCTGAAGGTAACGCCAGCAGACATGGTCCGCCTGCAACCTCAGCTTCCACTAAGTGCCTGCGTCAAGGCTATGGTCCGTCTTGGACAAGTACAGGAAGGTGTCCTTGATGTACTTTTCAATCGCAGCGAGAAGAATGATCAGGTCATTAAAGTCAATGCACTCGTCCAGGAGATGTATCACGTGCGTGCATTCATGGATGAGGTAAGAAACCCGAAGCCTGGAATGGAGATTAATTGACGAACATTCGCCACAGCCACGATGTCAGACAATTGCTCAGGAAACGTACTTTGAATGGTTAGCTATCGAATTCGGATACCACGCCCTTCTAGCAAGTGTATTCCACCTACAACAGCGCGTCATGAAGAGCCCCTTATCTCGGCAAGAATGTCTCCACGCTGCACGGCAGTCACTGGTCCAGCTCACCAAGCTGCAGGACGAGATTACCATAGATCAAAATTTCCTGGGCGAATATCCTTACTTCCTTACATGGCAGGTCGTTCCAGAAACATAGGAAATACCCGACGGTGCTGAACTAACTGTATCACATAGGACCCTTCTTTTCTTCCCATTGAGTCCATACTTTGTTGTCTTTTGCAACGTAATATACACAACAAACACGGAAGACTTTACCTTACTGTCCACGGTCACGAGCGGGATATCCCGCTTTTCCAGCCACAACCGCTCAGTTGCCGCGCTGCACAAACTATTCTCGGCTTTTCTGGACATGTGTGAACCCCTCTTTAATAGTGCAAGTCGTCGCCCTGACAACGGCGTTATTTCCTCTCAATCACATTCGATGGATCCGACTCTTCTGCAGCAGAATTCTGGTGCCGACACTGAAAGCGTACTGGGTGGATCTCTACTGTTGCCACGGTACAATCTTTCTAGTGGGTCAAATCCCCCTGGAGCTGGAGACGATGAGGTGCAAAATCAGGCTGCATTCTACAACCAACCGATAGAATCTGGTACCTCGGATAGTGAACTTATGTGGGATCTTCTACAGTCCCAGCCTTGGTTGGGTTGGATAGGGTCTGATGCCTGAGGACTCGGGCAGGCTCTGTCATGAACTGAGCTAGTACCTTATTTGCCGATATATCCGATGAGGTGGATTTCGTATCATCGTTCAGAAATGGTTACCACAAGGTTAATGTCTAATAATACTTGTGCAATAGTCCAGGCTCTAGACAAGACGCAACACCCTGGAAGGAATGAACAACGGAGACATTTTCTCCGTGCGCTACTATGGATCTGTAGATGTCGTAATCTTTGCCAGACTGCATATACTAACAGCCTTTGTAGTAGGTGGATGGGGACAGTCGTCGATACCGACATAGTTGAGTGTGACTTCGTGGATAGGACAAGGAACTCAAATAAGGCTTAGTATAGAAGTACTAGAGATCGGGATATCTAGGACTAGGGAAAATGGCAAATCTAAGGGAGCTTGTGGAGGGTGCGTCAATGTTGAATCTTTCACGACTATGCAATCTATGTTGTGGGGGAATAAAGGATGGGCGCGTGGCGAGGCGTGCACTTCTCTCTTCAGTGTCTAAAAAGACTCAAAAGCTTTAATAACCTCGGATTCCCTCGGCGATACTGTCCTCGGCAGTTGTCCAACCTTTCCTCCCACAGAAGTCCTGCAGCAACTTCTCTGCCTTTTTGGCAGGCAAAATGATACTCTCCTCATTCCAATCAATCTCAGGTGCGTTAGGAATCTGCTTATTTTCAGGTCGAAGCTTTCGGAGAATGGAAACGATGTCGGTCAAATTAAGCGGACTCCCAAATCCAAAGATACGCTGGGAGACAATGTTTGGGTTGAGGAGAGCCAGTGCATGGAGACGCGCAATGTCAATCACATCTACTGTGTGTTCTGAGAATTGATTAGCACCACCTGTCCAACCATCGAGTATTTTGGGGCCATTTTCTGCTCTTACGAGGGACATATAAGCTGAAGATTTGTCGGTCGCCAGTAAGAAGGTCTCGAACCCAGCCCATCGTTGAGCCGTTGATTTTCTCGTGGAGTACCCGTCCGATCTTGGTAGATTTTTAGTATCACAATTATTGTGCAAATTTGTGAACTAGCTCCATTTACTCACTGTATAGCACGGGAGGATAGCGTTAAATGTGAACCGAGGATTATTCTCCTTGATCCACTGCCACGCTGCCTTTTCTGCTTCGGTCTTTGAGGCACAGTAACCCAAGAGCCCCTTTGCTCTTTCCGGGGTGGTCGGATCCAATGCCGCTTTGATGGCCTCATCGTTCCAAGTATCTGCGTACAACAAGCAGGAGCTAAGCTATGCAGCCTTATAAATGTAACGAGGGAGATGATCGTAACTACTTACCTTCATACACAGTGACGTAGTCCTTGTTGGGCTTCGGGGCCCTCGCTGTAACACCCGACGATGTCATCACAACCCGTTGAACAGAGGGCTGTCTCGATGCAGCTTCCAGAAAATTCTGAACAGCCCTGACAACCCACGGGATAACATCCTTCAGGTTTGTCCCAAAACTGACATCCGACGCCTACAGTACATTTCAAGCCGTTTAGTGACATCTCGCATGGGGAGGAGGACATACCACGTGAGCCACACCGCTCACATCTGCCATAGCGCAAAAAAGCGAATCAACGTCATCAAAATTAGGCAAAACCACGGATTCAAATGAATCTTCTCCAAAGTTTTCTTTGAACATCTCGTCTAGCCATGGCTTTGGAGTTCGGACAGTCCCGCGGACCTTATACCCAGCTTCCACTAAATGTTGGATGACATTACTCGCCACATATCCATTTGCACCGGTGACTAGGATACGAGAGCCTTTTGGAAAATAATTAGGCGTAACAGACATGATGAAGTGTTTGGGGTCCCAATATCTCACATTTTACCAGGATATAAATACCTCGAGCAAGGCCGGAAGGTCCGGACAGAGTGGAGTGAAAAATAATTGAAAACGGCCCACATATCCTGCCGTCGAATATCACCAAGTCAAAACAAGGCACGTTTGGAGTGATCATCGTAGGGTTAGGCCGAGGATCTACAGTTCTGGTCCAATTTGCCATTATCATTTGGTTGCCTTTCAATCAGTTAGTATTAGCTACCTAACCCGCGCCGCAGGGTGGAATTTTGATCTTTGTCAAAAGCTAGGAGAAGGGACCAGGCAGCCTGGTCAATCTAGCTTCCTTAGCCCCATTTTGCATTTCCATCCGTTAATGCCCTCCGCTCACCGGTGACTTGACGGTCTTCATGTTCCCAAAAGGATCGGACGGACGGACGGACGGATTCTGGCATGTTCCGGGTCCGGAGTGGCAACAGACTGGGTGGAACTGCTAAAGGCAACTTCTGTATATCATTAGAGAACCTGATTAGAAATTGAAGAAAGATGTCTACTCAATGCAAGTAATTCTTTTCTACTCGTTTAGGGAACATAAGAGTCGACAACGTCATGAAGGTGGATGCTCTACCTCCGAGACTCCTTCCGCTTATTTCCGGCGCTCCTCGTAGATATCATATGGGCACGAATTAATCACCCACTCGGGGTTAATCAAGGGCGAGGGCGAGGGCGAGGAATGATCCAGACCCAGTTAACCTTAATCCCAAGTGGTATATAAGGCACACATCGCACGGGCTATTACACAGCTTAACGAAAACGACTGACTCACAACCCCTAGTACGCAGATTACATCTTACAAGATGTTGATCTTAATCGCTGGTATCACCGGCTTTATCGGCATTCCGTGTGCTAGATCCGCCTTTGCGCGTGGTCACCAGGTTCGAGGCCTAGCTCGCAATATCGATAATCTTCCGCAGGACATTCGGGACCGTCTTGAATCTTTCGAGACGATGGCGAGCCCTTATGGTATCGCTGCAATGGATCGAGCCACTAGAGGTGTTGACGCCATCATATGCTCCTTTGCTGCGCTCCCAGAAATGTACATGGAATCGCAACTGTTGCTGATTAGAGCAGCAGAACGCGCGGGAGTGAAGGTACGTACCGCCACCATTATTCATGAGCGATTGGCTGAGCAGTCTGTGGAATTTAGATTTTCCACGCGGCCTCATGGAACTATGACTGGACACTTTCGCCTGGCTCACACGAATTATATGACGATATGCGGGCCTTTTCTCACCACGTGGCTGTGAGCTCGAGCATCAAGCCAATCTACATGTTCACCGGTGCAATCGCCGAATACTACTTCAAAAGAAGCCGCTATGATTGGGACCCCGACACCAAGACCTTCAACTTCCATGGGCCTTCGACATTCCCAACTCGATATACCACCGCGGAAGATATTGGCAACTACGTGCTTGAGGCCATTACAGCCCCCGATGCCGCCGATGGAGGCTTCGTTCGTGTGCAGAGCTTCGAAGCATCCCCGGAGGACATCGTCAAAGCATACAATACTGCGAGAGAGGGACGCATGACTGCCAAAATCAACTGCTTAGGATCAGTGAAGGATGCAGCAGACAAGCTGAATGAAGGAAGAGCCAAATATGGAAAGAGCGGCTGGTACAACTACCTTCGGTATTGCTACCAATATCATATCCCCGCTCGATCTTGGGATTACGAGCCCGTGGATGTTGCACGCTTCCCGAACGTCCAGCAAACTAGCCTGGAACAATTCTTCCGCCAGAATCCGGAAGTCTAGTCCTGATTACGGATCGGATTCGCGGGCAGGATCAGCAATCACTCTTTTCTCCCCCTCTCCGTGGATCCTGTGGACAAGATGACATGGCATGGCTCGAGGCTCGGGGCTATCGGCGAATTTTCTCATATCTTCGTACTGTAGTGATATGGACAAAACTCACCACTGCATGAAGATTAGCTTGTTAACTATCGTTATTTACTCCAATTGCCCTTTCCTTTACAGCATTAAAGATCATCATGTATCCCAAATTTCAGGTCAGCGTCCCAAAACGGTGCCTTGGACATATGAACCCTTTGCTATAAGACAACCTTGAATGCGTACAGGTAGCTTCGCTTGTCAATAAACTGCCTAGGCGCCTCAACCGGCCTCAGGAGCTCGACCGAAGGTGAAGTGATACTGGACGACTGGGTATGAATTCATAGCAATGACTGCCAGCTCTTGGTAACCCATGTTCTTTTATCGGGTGTCCCTTGCTTTTAATCCCGGAATCGTGACCAGCTCGTGCGTGGGTTGCACCCAGAAACGTTCCGAAGATGAGCTGGTCTATAAATGGGTATTTCGTGAATGGAGGTAGTGGCTATGAAACGAATAGATGAGAGTTTGAACTCTTGAAATGCGTGTAGTATCTCGTGACTTTACTATTTCGATTTGATTCTTTTGGGAGTAATCGTTAACTCTCTTAACGTAAAGATCCAGGGATCATCCTGGTTGTTGTACCGACTAATATCTGAATAACATGTTTCACTGCTAGTATCCTCCGCCAGTAGTTTTGACTCCCACGCCTAGATGACTATTCGCCATTAGGTTCTCGCCTCTGTTTGCATTCATAGGGTTCGCTTACTATGCTTCTATTAGACTTCACCTGTTTTCTCTTCGTTTGGTTGGTCTGGGTAGGCAATTTGTTCATTTCGCCAATTGATATATCATTCCTACGTACCTCTTTCTCATATACTCTAGGTAATTGCAGGAAGCCCAATCTAAGATGACTAGATAGTGAGGGAACATTCTGGCAAAAGAGCTACAGCCGCAAAGAGAATCCGTTCTAACTGTGTATGTCATTTATCTGGGTTAATGGAACTGGCTCAAGTTATTTTCGTAAACCGTTCATTTATTTGCACTGTAGTGTATTCTGAAGAAAGATTCCTGAAGCTTACTCTTGATTAGATTCAGAACTTAGTTTCGTTCCCTTGTCGGACGGACGACGGAACGGACGACGGAACGGACGCCGGTAATTTGCCGTCAATTTGTCAACCGCCATCATCAAGTATACTTTCCAGCTCTGTAACCTCATGTCAAAAGATGATTATCAACCATTTCCAGGCAATTCCAGTTAGTCTTTGCATCATCATCCGGAAGGACCTTATAAGCAAGGAACAAATGAGCCGGGTAATTAGCACAATCTTGAGTACAATCATCTCAGCATCACTGCGACAGTCTCAGGATTTCTTCTACTCTTCTCTTGAAGTATCAACAGGTTTACCTTGCCCCAAATTCTTTCAATATGTCCAAGCCCTCTTTTGTTCACTACACTACTGTCACCCGCGATATCGACGCCCCAATCTGCGAAGTTTGGGGCCTCGTGGCAGGCTTCGGCGCCGAAAAGGCCTGGTACCCGGGCGCCAAGTCAGTATCCCTTGAAGGGTTCGGACTGGGCAGCGTCCGCACTTTCAACTATGTCTATCCCGCGGGCAAGAACAAGGGTCAAGAATATACCTTTTCCGAGGAGCTCACAGCCTATGACGCCTCCAAGCACTCTATGACCTTTCAAGTCCGAAGACCTGACTATCCGGACATGATCGCTTTTGGAACAACCGTTTTGGATCAGCTCGCGTCAAACAAGACTCGATTCCGCTGGATCGCCGAGGGCTCTCCCTTACCAGATGAATATATGGCAGTTTTGCGCGAGGATCTCAATGAACGGTTCGATGGACTTATTGTCGCTATTGCCAATCAGCTAGTCTAGGGGCATTTGGTTTGGTATGTCGGAGCGGACAGAATGACAGGATAACTTGGTATTTCTCCTTTGTTGCAATGGCCGACTCAAGCTCTAAACAATGGTCAGAAGTTGAACATTTCTAGGAGAGAGCTTGATTATCTTCAACACGACAAGAATGCGCTAACTTGGAGAAACGAGGGAAATTCTTTCGAGGCAGAGACCAAAAGAATATGCACGTCCGCGTCAGACAAAGCTTATCGGTACTTTTGCATGTCCCTGCATGTGTCTCCTTAGGTTAGATTGGTGGTATTAGAAGCAATTACATCGCCCAGATTACCTTCCAGGAGCTGAAGGGGAAACTGCGACCAGATTCGCCATAATTGATCGCCTCACCTCTTATGTTCCAATATCTTTCAACTAGTAGATACGTAGAAGCACACACGGTATCTGCGTTATTTGAGGCATCTTACTTTCCGGTCCTGACTACTAGAGTATTGGCAAATTCCTGCCACAACGGCCCCCGGATACTCTTGGAATGATCAGCGCTGATCAATGGCCAACAAAGTAAATTTCCCCTCAAGTCTTAGTGACCATACGTGGCTCATAAACATTGCTTTGATATATAGAAGCAAAGCCAGAACTTTGCCGTCGTTGGGCACAGACACAAGAGTACTGCCTATTATTTTCAACTATTGGCATTGAAGCGTAACTCGTGCTGTGCCCCACACGCGTTTCCTGTCATGCCAGGAGCCGTGGGGTTTTCCCGATCCCATAGCCGGGACCCACTCGGGGGAAATAGTTGATGAGTTAGAAAGACAAACTAAGCAGGTTTCTTATTTAGTACGGAATAGTGCACCGTACGGCGTATGAAAAAGTACTGGCCAAGTGGGTCGCATCCAAAAGAATCGGTGACCTCCCGCAGACCGAAGGATTACGCTAAATCAGAAAATGCGAACATGCCACATGGTGGCTCTGGGATTCCATACTGGCCGGCTGGGATGATAGTGCTAGCCCCTGAGGCCAGGCCTCGTCCCGGAGTTGCGAGCTCGACTAGTAGAGGGCGGCATCCTCCGGAGCGTGTCGATAACCTGAGAAATAATGGCTTTTCAATACATTGGCCTCAGACAGAAACAATTCGATATCCTGATGAAAATAAACATTGGCTCCGTCTACTCTAAATTCATAGAGTCATATAGAGTCATTGAGTCTGGATTAATGAAAAATCACAGTACTATCTGACTGACTCATCAACTACGTTCACTGTTCAACCCCTTGATTCAGTGTTGCATTTTGCATTCGCTTCTGGCAAGGGGGTGCGACCTCGTCTCGGTGACGACTGGGATTGGGGGCCAAAAACGCCCCCCGGATGTCAACCCCTCCATTCCAATTAGCGCAATACAAGAGTGCATATGGTGTAATTGTATTTTGTAGCAATTCGTCTCAAGTCAGCCAAGTGGTCGGCGCGGACTGCGCACTGCGCACACTTTAGGTTGTCGCTTGGCACATATTATTAGCGTGGCACTGTCGTTCTACAAGCCTTGTACTTCGAAGGACATCTGCAAAATTTAGAATTTCACGTCTTCTGCTTTGCTTTCAATCTTCAGAGGTGCTCAAAATGTCGTCCCCTTCGGTTTCTGCAATGTTACAAGATATTGCCTCAACTGGAAAGGCACTTGAAAACAATGAAGCTGGTGCAAGAGAGGGCCTTATTGAACTTGGCCGCGCTTTGGTCGCGCAGCTGGAAATCCCGAGCGAGTTCATACAGCACAGCTTCTGGGCACAGGTAAGAGGAGCTGGCTTTACAGGAGATCTACTTGGTGGCTGTTTTCGTTTAAACTAATGGCTTGAGTTATAACAGCCCGCTATGTCCTCCATCATCCGCCTTGCCGTCGATATCAATTTGTTCCAGCATCTCAAGGAGGCTGGCGACGCCGGATTTGAGCCTAAATTACTGTCTGAGAAGACCGGGGTCGACGTTATCCTGCTTCAACGCCTCTTACGCCATCTCGTAACCATGCACGTCATCGCATACTACAACGGAACATTCCAAAGCACAATATTGAGCAACGAGCTGGCGAAGGAAAAATACCAGCATAGCATCTCGTTCTGCTACGATGCATCAAGACCATCCTTTGGGGGTCTCCCCGAACTTTTCAAGAAAACAGGCTACAAATCTCCTACGCTTGGAGGAACAGACGGTCCATTCCAGGCCGCACACAACACCCAGCTCCCTTTCTTTGAGTGGCTAGTCTCGACGCCGCCCCATCTCCAGCATTTCGATTCGTTCATGGCGGCGTACCGAGCCGGTAAGGCTGATTGGTACGAGCCTGGATTCTATCCTGTCTCCGAGCGCCTGATTACGGACTGGGATAGTAGCGTCAGCGACGTGCTACTTGTAGATGTAGGCGGCGGGAGAGGTCACGACGTCGCGGCTTTCACGTCCCGGTATGGCTCCCACCCTGGTCGGATCATTCTCCAGGATCGAGAGCCTGTCATTGCTGGCGTGCTGGCTTGTAACAGCAACAAAGTGCAGCGATTCGAGGTTCAAGCCCATGACTTCTTCACGCCACAGCCTATTCAAGCGGCGCGAGCATACTACCTTCACTCTATTCTCCACGATTGGAGCGATGAGGATGGGGTGAGGATCCTACAGAACCTGATCCCTGCTCTGAAGCCAGGATATTCGAGGGTCCTGCTCAATGAAATTGTGGTCAGCGAGGAGAAACCGACTTTGGCAGCCACGAGTATGGATTTGATGATGCTGGCTCATTTTGCAGTCCGGGAACGAACTGAGGCAGATTGGAGAGCAATTTTGGAGAAGGCTGGGCTCCGCGTGGTGAAGATCTACACTTATCCTGGGGTTGCGGAGAGCGTGATTGAGGCAGAGCTTGTTTGATTCACAGAGTTCATGTATTATCATAGACCATCTTAGAAATGATACGTGATGTATCCATAGATGCCACGCGAGTCATGAGCTTTGCAAGCGCCCCTAATTACATAGGATTAATTGATGCATGAATTTACCATGCCGCCTTGACTCGCTTAACATTAGGTATCCTCGTCCATGAGAGATCACATTTGCCGAAACGTCCACAAGGTATAGTGTGGGCCCGAACGACGGCGGCCTACACCGCAAGTAGCCCACTGTCCGACAGGCTCTTAGCATAATTACAGGATACAAGGGATATGAATCGTACGTTCGGGCACTTCTCTTCCACCGACTCCGTCGTATGCCCCTGACATGAATCAGACTACTGCAGCACGCCATCTTGACGGTCTAAGGCCCGGCTCATTCGGTGTGGATCGTCGGCGAGTATGACAGGTCCGGGGAGCGACCAAACAGGGTGGAGCTTCTCGAAGATCCACTCCTAGCAAGGTTGTATTCTGCCATGGCTTTCTGACTCCACAGAATTCGGTTCCCTTGTTTCGGTGGGCTATTTCCTTGGCTGGTTCTGCGATTGGACTATCTTTCTGATTCGGCTTGTCCCCGGGCAGTTTTCCTTTGTTTTACTGCCTTTAGTTCCAGCCTATGGATTAGAAACCCGGTATATGGCCAAGGGAATCCTGCGATATGTGGTGGCAAGGTCGCTTCGGCCTGTGAGGCGATCTTTGTCGGACTTGGTTACAAAAAGCATTTGAAGGATTTGACCTGCATGTTCTAGTGCAACCGATATTGGCAGAACAAAAATAGCGGTTGTAATCAAAATCAGGTTCAACCGGCAATCTACGGTGTATGTTTAATATGTTAGTCGATAGGACCCCGCTGAAAGGTAGGACATGTCAGACCGCGAGATCTGGCGAGCCGGTACGAAGTCCATATGGCAACCTTGAATACCGATGTCGACTTCAGCGAGAGTCGAGCGACTGAGATCCACCTAATCGGCTGGGTCTTTACCGGCATTGCCATTTTGACTGTTTTGTTGAAGCTTGTCTCCCGTGTTGGGGTTGTTAAGAAGGCTGGCTGGGATGACTTTTTCATCTTCTTCTCGCTGGTAAGTCCAGAGGAGATTCAACAAATCGCTCATGTCTAATGCTTTCCCCAAGGCTCTCAGCATCATTGCCACGGCGTTCGTGTCATACTCAGTCACTCTTGGCCTGGGTCGACACACCGCAGCGGTCATCGCTGAACATGGCATGGAAAGAACGGCGATGACGGCCAAATGGCAGATTATTGGATTTCGTATGCTCCTTTCATATGCCCACTTTTCTCACAAGATCCAGCTAATTCTCAAGCAGCATTTAATATCGGTTCGTCAAAGCCAGAAATTTTCATTAATTCCGGTCTCTCCTAACATACCTACCTAGGCGCATTCAGCTTCCCTAACATTTCCATCTCCATCCTCGTCAGCAATCTCCTCGATCCGAACGTTCTCCGCACGCGGCTTCTCTACGGCATGTCGATACTACAAGTCATCTTCGCCATGGTCTCCGTCTTCATCGTGTTTCTACAATGCCGACCAACCCAGAAGCTATGGGACGCTTCGATAGACGGTACATGCTGGGATCCGGCGGTGTTCGACGACTTCTCGTACTGGGTCAGTGCGTACACAACGATGACGGACATTATTCTAGCGATCGTCCCAATCCAATCGTTCTGGAACCTGCAGATGCGGTCCTCGAAGAAACTGAGCGTGTGCATCATGATGGGACTGACGCTACTTTCCGCCATCGTGACGATCGTGAAAGCGACGTATTTGCATCTGTTTACTGATAAGGTGGATCCACGTAAGTCTTTCGTCTAGGAACCTTCGGTTCCGTCATAGCTGACATGGCTGGTTTAGTTTGGAACGTCGTTCCACTGGTAATCTGGGGACTGTAAGTGACCCCTTGTTCTTTGCTCGCCACGAAACCCTTCAATGCACTCAACTCATATTTTCCAGTATCGAGCAGAATGTCGTCATCGTTGCAGCCTGCATTCCAACCCTCCGCCCCTTTTTCCGTCGCGTCTTTGGCACCAAAGGATTCACTACCAGTGGCACCGGCACCGGCACTTCTCGCACCCACTCTAAATTCGGCATTCATCTCTCCTCGAACCCTACCCACACAGGGACGAAGCACTCCATATCAGTATCGGAGCTTCCGCTTGATGAGAGACAGCATAGGGGCGATGGATATGATGCTGAGAGCAATGATAGTCAGCAAGGGATTTGGCGCACCAGAGAGGTGCGAGTTGAGAGTGATGCCGAGGAAGATGAGCGTATGATGGATAGGAATTATCGGGAAGGGGTGCCAGAGAATCTGCGGAGTCCGAGGTAATGCTATAGAAATATAATAAAAGCGTCCGGTATATTTTGCCTTCTTGCCCAACTACAGAACAAGGAGGCGGATCTATCACTTTATTGAAGGCCTTCTCAAGACAATACCTTTCCAATTTCACACATCTATTTCCTTTCTTCCACGGGTTTACCAGAAATACATAAAGTCTCAATACAGTCCTACTCAACGTTACACTCTTGATCACTTAGCATAGACTTGTGTTTGGGCTATCAACTAAGAACTACCTCGCCAGGTATACAATTGTTGCCTGTGTTTACATAACAAACTCTTATAATTCTTTCTAAGTCCCAGATGTTCAGTCTCTGGGCAATCCACTCAAAGGGACCCGAGCCTGAGATGTTCTACTAGGCGCATTGAGAGATGGAAGCCAAAAAGAAGTCTCTCATCCTAACAGACAATCTCCATATCAAACCTCATTCCAACCCGCCGCTTGGCGCATTCGCAGACCCAACATAAACATTGTAATTGTAAAACTCACACTGGTCCTTGATGTCCACCCCTCCCTTCCCTTCCAAGATAACCTTCCCTCCGCGAGTTACCGAGAACGACTGAGCACCAACGCCCATAGTAAAGTTCTTCGTAACAATTCCAGCTCCAACTTCAACCGACTCAGCTCGCTTAGACCCACTTGTTACCGTCAAAGTCGCCGGTTTTGTAAGCAGCGTTGTCACAAACACACTATCCGACAACATCTCAAGACCCCTAGGCGGACCAAGAGGGTCCCGGGAACACCTCACATTCTTGGGCGTTGGCCGGTACCAGTAAACTAGTTGATCTGATTTGACTTCCGGTGTTGATGCTCCGGATTTGTACGCCGCGATGTACGGCTCGGATATGATTCTCCATGCGTCATGCGGGAACCCTTTTGCCCACTGCGAAGCGCCATCGTCAGAGTGTTGTGCTGAATATGGGCCGATGTAATGCGATTCGCCATAGTCTGAATAATCGTGCGGTTAGCTGCGTGCGCAAGAAGGACGTTTTCGCAGTGAGTCTTACCATTCCAAGAAATGATCTCAATCAACTGTGGTTTCATCTTCAGCATCTGTTCCCATCTAACGGTGATCAGGTCTTCGCAGATGAATACCCAATTTTTCGAGTTGAAGTGGGTCGAAAACCAAGGGGAGACCGCTATTCATAACATGTCAGCCTATTCAACCAGGTAATACCTCGACTCGAGACATAAAAAAAAGGGAAATCCCCAAACATACGAGCCATATAAGCCCTCCCTCCTAGATTTGCAATATACTTATCATCCCAAATAGTTGTCATCGGGCCAGGGATAACACTATTCCCACCATCCGTCGGCCACGCATACCAAGAAAAAGCCCCATCAAGGGAAGTGCTAATCGATCTCAACTGGGCAGGGTCCTGGAGATGCGGGACCGCGAAAATCGGATGTTGTGTCCCCCTTTTCACAGGGCCCCAGTCAAAGTAGTCTCCGACAAAGGTACTAACCAGCGCGGCACCGTTGTACTGTAGCTGGGCAGGATGACTGCTGTAATTCTGCATGTACGATGTGATCTTGGCGGTATCGCCGTTGTTCCAGTATACAAAATCAAATGAGATGAAGACTTTGAAGTCGACCTGAGAGGCGGCTTCGTAGGCGTTGGCGAGCTGCTTGGGAGTGTACCAGTCGATGCTGGCGCAGTTCAGGGCAAAAGCATCAATGCCAATATCCTTAGCGAGTTTCATGTCAACTTTCCAGTCTGCGACAGTGTAGTTCTCTACGATTCCGACCTGTTTGAGACATCAGCCGCTTTCCCCATGGATGTGGAGGGGAACCGGAACTTCAATTTTTACGTACCATGAAATGGGCAGTGACATATCTAGGTGCAGTTTGAGTTAGTTCGGGTTTATCGTCACGGCTCTGGACGCTCAGCTGCGATGAGGGCCCAATCAGAGCGAAGAAAAGAACGATGCAGATGACCCATTGGAAGGGCGATCTGCGGTTGACAGTCAGTCTAGCCATAATACAATGTAAACCCGAGGGAACCTATTTAGAATTCAGTTGATGACTTTCGGGGCTTTAGCAGCGCGGCGATGGTTTGGGATTCATATAAGGAGCTTCCTTGCTGCTACTGACAAGGTAGGACCCAAGCCAGCGATGACAATTAAAAACCCCCAATGTGACGAGAGATGCATCAGCAGGTCTTCTTGTGTAGTGCCTCTCCTCAATACAGCATATTACACCCTGCTAGTTAATGTTGCATTCCACGCACGTTTCCATTTCGGTCTACCCCGGAGAGATGTCATAGATCAATTCCGGGTGGCCAATGTAACCCTAATATCCATGCATACTTGCAAGGTGCATATATTATCAAAACCATGTCATCCCCTAAGATATCCTACCCGGTCGCACATAGGATTAGCTTGGGTGTTGGGATACTGAACAGGATGAAACATTATGGTTGACAAAAGCCGCTCCAGTGAATGTGCTGTGACTGTCCTACCAGTCTGACAATCCTTCCAACCGCTCAATCGTCCTGGTTCACATTGTTCTAATAAACTTTCTGTTTCCACTGTTGTAATCTACTACGAATAGTTCATCCGTGGCTTCTCCCTATTCTCACAGTTGAACATTTGGTTTTATAAATTTCCTTCTGATAGACTGCGCTCACTACTCACCACAACTACCCAGCTGTTTATAAATCTTATAACTACATTTCCGCTGAAGAATGCAGTGTAACGTTCCATCAGCGCCCGGAAGCCAAGATCCTGGTAGCGGCCTATGGCAAGAAAGGCTAACACAATCACAAGGCCCAAGCCACCCGGTAGAAATGTAACATTCAACAACATTGGGTCTTGTGACAGCTGCTTAATTCTCCGATAGATGCGGTTGAAATAGTTTAGGATGGACTGTGTGAATCCTGGCCTGGCTTTCCTGGATTACCCTGACCGCTTGGCTCAATTCTCTTTCGCTGGCTTTTGGCCGGGATGCCAGTGGTAGGTATGATAAGCAAGGTTGAAATCGATATCCCCATCATGCACCATAGAGTAATTATTTTGCTTGGAGATTAGGGATCCGTTGTCTTGAACATTGTACAAGCTGATATCTTAATGCGCGGGGTCGGTTCTTCTGAATCCGGACCTCTTATGCAGCCAAACTATTAAGGAATCAGACGGGCCACTAGGCTCAATGCCGAGAAGATATCAAATGTTACGTTGCTTCCTATGATAGTATGTCGATCATATATCCCGCGGTAGGCACCGCCGAGATGTAACATATACTACATGCCAAAAAGCCGCGGCATGATTGTCATGCAAAGTCAGACGAGACCTCTAATCATGTACAACTAACCGACCCCTCCGGAAACCTGCGGGATCGCGCTAAGGGCGCGATCCCGCCAGCCAAACAGCCAGACGGGTCATACGGCCAATTTTAATGCTTGAAGCTATTCAAACTCGAATATCTCAACAAATATTGAAGCTATTGAAATAAAAATAAATACAAATGAAACCTCTATTCTTCTGCTTTTCGACACACTTTTCAAATTTTTTTTGAATGATTTCTCGCTCCAAACACGCATCAATAAGTTCGGGAAACACTTGAGCATATTTTCACTTTCATTTCTTTTTTTCATTGCTAATATCGATATTCATCTCTCGACATTTCATTGACTATATAAAATAACTTGATATAACTCCTCCAGAACGAAAACAACATTTAAAAATCTTTGCACGCTCTGCACGTTATTTAAAAGATTCTGTATAGCGTTGTATCTCTTTCTGCATAATCTCTGCATACAAAACTAATTGAATTGCTTCATTAATGATCTTATTTAAACCATCATATAAGAAGAAAGACTCAATATCATGTAAATGAAGAATCTTATTTTGCAATATTTTGAAGCGCTCAACCGTTTTTAATATACTGCCAACTAACATAATATTATAACTGCTAGACATTAAAAAAGTTGCTGACCGCGCAGATTCAGCAAAATGATCAAAAACGATTACTAAATTGAATAACGATATTTCTGTTTTTTTGAAATCATGTTGGATAATCGTTTTGTTAAAATTTTGATACAAATTGTCGAAAAAACATGTAAAAACTCATTTTTGTTGAAATGACCACATCCCAAATACATTGCATTGAATACTGCTTTAAAATGTCAGTGTTTCATTGCATGAAATACACCAACGTCAAAAAACTGTAAAATATGGCTTAAATGAAACAAAAAAAAATAAAATAATATTGTGATTCTCGCAGAATTCAACAAACTTTTTCTTACAATGAGATTCGAAACCGTCACAAATAAATAATGTATATTGACCTTTTCGCTTATTTTTAATATCACGTCAAAAATTTTGAATCCATTGAAAATCTAATTCATCTGTTATGAAGCCATTTTCGAACGTAACAACATAATATTGATCTTCAATAATAATGACATCAAATCATTTTTGAATAATATTATTTCCGCGTAAAACAATAAATAACAAAACATTCCATTCATCAATTAAAATAACTTCAATTACCGTGATCGATTCTCACTCGAAAAAGATATCAATATAAGACTTATCTCCAACTAAAAGTTTCAAATAATTATTCATTAATTTCTGTCTATTCCTATACAGAAGCCTATCTCATCAAAATTCTATATATCATTTTGTACAATTCCATTGATTTTGATAACCTTTTTTAACAATTCAAACCAAACAGCGATATTGGCTTTATCTTAAACTTGTTTTCGCTCGATTTCAATTGTTTGAAAGCATTGTTTTTTGTATTAAAAATAGCGTTTAAACCAACGTTGAAGCCAATGTTCTTCTACTACCGACAAAGGAATTGTTAAATTAATATGAAACCTTTTTAAAATGACATTAATTACATTCACAATCATTCGAAACAATGAACGAACGAGATAGCCTTCTAAAATGTTTAAATATTGACAGAAAACTTTATCTTTCTCTGGATTCAACTTCAAGTTGATGAATGCTCGTTGAACAAAAAAGACTCTATCCTTCCATCTTACATCGAAAATTCATCGATTGAAATTAAATTCTCGCACAGTTTTTGAGACACTCAGTTTTTTTTGATTACGTAATGCGCTAATAACTGCGAGAATTCTATCTTCAACTTCCTGATTGAATTTGGCCATGTTGTGGTGGAATAATGACGCGTTGAAGTAGGAGGATGCAATTATTGAAGAAATTGGCCGTATGGCCCGTCTGGCCGTTTGGCTGGCGGGATCGCGCTAAGGGCGCGATCCCGCAGGTTTCCGGAGGGGTCGGTTAGTCTTTCCCGCATGGAGCCTAGTCGGTTTAAAAGTCACTCGCATCCACATACTACATAGTATGATCAAAAGGAGATCGGACTCACGGTCGACTGGTGATACAGCCACTCATAACCTGAACGGCCTTTCCCCCAAGATGTAAAGACTCCAGGGTCCTGGCTCCATCGATGCCTATACCAACCTCCGTATCAACCAACATATTGCTTTCCCGCCCCATTTCAACCCCCTGAGTGATTTCAAAGGTAAGAGACGTCTCCTGGAAGACATGCAAGCTCAAAAAGCTCGACAGAGCACAAGCCGCACTTCCCGTCGCAGGATCTTCCATTCTCTGATTCACCATCCTCGTTCGGATCTTATGAACACATCTCCCGCCAATCGACTCACTGCCCAACCGGACGAAATAGTAGCGGCGCGTAGCCCATCCTTCCCGCCAAGAATCATCCAACAGGTCGACCGGCAACTCCGACAGAGCGCCAACACGCACGGACCCCAGCAATTCGAGCGACGACAGCTCAATAAGCGCAAACGTCATTCCCTTGACGATACTGAAGAGTGGGGCCCCGCGCTCTGCGTCTGCGACGGCATTATCAAGCTGCGACTGCGATCTTGGTTGCTCGAGTCCGGGTAGCCGCCGTTGGTGTAACCGGACATTGTGCGGGATTGCAGCCCGCAGAGCACCATTAGGGGACTCCTGGATGTTAATCGGGCCTGCCTTTGCATGCAGAGTGCGCACGCCACGCGGGTACAGGAAGACTGCTGTGCCGATGGTCGGATGGCCGGCAAAGGGCAGCTCTGCCAAGGGGGTGAAAATATCGAAACGCCGCTCGGTTGAAGTCTCCGAGTCCTCTACATCGTGCACGAAGACGGTCTCGGATAGGTTGAATTCTCGAGCGATAGCTTGTTTCTGGTCCTGTGTCAAGGACACTCCGACTGGGATCGTCACCACCGCTAGTGGGTTGCCCTTGAATGGCGCTTCGGTGAAGACATCGACAAAGGTGAAGGGGAGCGGCGTTTCTGTCATTTTGCGTGAGTTGGCGTATCCCAGGGAAGTTGCCCTCCTCTATGGTATTTCTGGTTCTATCGCAGTACTAAGGAAAATTGACGGAAGTGTAGATTTTATAGAGGTGAACAGCTTTGATTGTGAGTCACCGCGCGCCGGCTAGAACCACGAGACTCTGTCTCGGCAGAAGATGTACAAACTGCCCAAAGCGTAATACGGAGTAGTATAGCTTCAGAGCGGATTGTGGATTGGACTCCATTCCAATGAATTCAATTTCTTGGTAGCTCAAGTGGGTCGAGTCAGGAATTCCGTCTTATCATTGCACGCCCTTCGATGACAAAGTGGAGACTCGGCAATGTGAACTTCGGGTTTCTTCGATTGCAGGTTTCATTGTGATTCATCTTCTTTAGGCACATCTGCTGACGACATATAAGTTGCAAGACGGGTTTCGTAGCTACAAACTTTGATTCCGCCATTACGAACACGCTCTGGAGCGATGCAATCGAGCAATGAATTAACTCCCTTCGGGAAGCCGATGCTGAAGCACTGGCTCTTTGATCCGGCATTTAAGAACCTCAACCATGGTCTGACTTCCTTCGCCGAAGGGGATGGCATCACGTAACTAATCTTTCTGCTTCAGGCTCCTTTGGTGCACATCCTACCTCGGTCCGCGATGTCCAGCGCAGCTTCATGAACAAAGCGGACGCACAACCAGACCCATATATCCGGCGACATCAGCATGACTATCTCACAGAGTCTCGAGAAGCCGTCGCGCGGATTCTAAATGCTCCGCGAGATGAATGCGTCTTCGTGAAGAATGCGACCACCGGTGTCGCCACTGTTCTGTACAACCTAGCCTTCCAACCCAAAGATGCAGTCATCTACTTCGAGCCCATCTATGGCGCCGTCGAGAAAGGTCTCGTTTCTCTACACGAGCACACGTCCCTGCAACCGCGCAAGGTGCGCTTCCAGTATCCAATTTCGGAGGTTGAGCTGGAACGTCGCTTCCGTGATGTCGTACAACATGCTCGTGAGGTCGGGAGCTTAAACGTTCGCGCTGCGGTGTTCGACCTTATCGTCAGTAACCCCGGCGTGAGGTTTCCATTCGAGCGTTTCACTACTGTTTGTCGAGAGCTTGGAATGTTGAGTATCATTGACGGCGCGCATGGCATCGGTCATATCCCCTTAAATATGCAAGAGCTGCAACCGGACTTTCTCGTCTCCAATTGTCACAAGTATGACCCTCCTGTTCACCCCCTTCTTTATTCAAGGCGAACACTAAACCAATCATCCAGATGGCTCTATACCCCCCGCAGCTGCGCCGTTCTCTACGTCCCAAAACGCAACCAACATTTCCTTCGCACCACTCTCCCCACCTCATGGTCTTTCATCCCCTCCCCCGACTCCCCCGAGACAGGCGTCTCCACTCTCTCGGACGCCAACGCGCCCTCCACGCAGTCTCCATTCGAACAGCTCTTCGAATTCGTCGGCACAACCGATGATTCAGCCTACATGTGTGTTCCCGCAGCCCTGAAATTCCGAGCAGAGGTCTGTGGCGGCGAAGACGCAATCATGTCATACTGCTGCCGGCTTGCCAACGAAGGCGCAGACATCGTCGCCCAGGCGCTTGGCACATCCGTGCTCCAGGAACCAGATCTAAAAGAGGGCGAGGAAAGCCGGATGCGCAAGTGTGCTATGACTACGGTGCGACTGCCTATCGCAATCGCTACCGCCGCCGATGTCAATAGCAATGTTGGTGCCGATGCCGAACTTGCGCCGTGGGTTACCCTCTCCGAACAAGACGCGCTGCGGGCTCTAGCACGCATACATCGTGGACTGATGGACGAGTATCGCACATTTGTGCCGGTTTTCCCTCATGGTCCGTGGTTGTGGGTGAGATTGAGTGGCCAGGTCTATTTGGAGAGAGGTGATTTCGAGTGGTTGGCAGCTGCGTTGGGGGAGTTGTGTCGCCGTGTGGTAGATGAGTTTCAAAGTTAGTGAGAAGAAATATCACAGTTGTCATGGCGTTACAGTACTTACGCTTCTAATATGAGGTCATGGAAGATGTTTTCTAAAGCCGAGCCTAGTTGAAACCCAGGCATGCATTATATTTGCAGTGTGTCCTGGTATGACATGGACAGAGAATGAGTTACTCTACGTCACTTACTTCACGGACTCAGAATATAAGAAGGTATGATGTTTTGGAAAGCCAAAGAGGGGAGAAGGTATCTTTTCAATGGGCGCCTAAAAATACATATAGAATCATCCAAGAACAGATAGACAATAATGTGACGACAGAGACCCTGGGTGGTGATGTTGATTCTTCTTGCTACCAGGCGAAGGATAGGTTAAGGATAGTTCAGGGTAGATGCACCAGCTATCCTGGCACGTGCTCGGAAATGCAATGCATTTAAACCAGAAATTGGCCATAGATTAGGTCTGCAAAGATTTCACGGCCACTGTTTTCAAAGCAGAATGGAGGAGGTCCTGTTCTGACCTGCCATCCTTCGAGGTTGTCGCGATAATGGCGGCGCATCATGGCAGCCATAAACTGCAAAGCTCGAGGGTGACAAACCCAGAGACGTGCAACGTTGTGCACGACCTGGCGTAAAGTTTTGCTCTCTTTTCCAGAGGGCACCGGGGCCTCGAAAATCAGATTCGGCCAAAGGTTGCAATCTAGTCGATTCACTAGCGTAAACAGCATCCCGATCTGCTTCATGAGCACCTCACGTGCCTTTGTAGGACGGTCTTCCTCAATCAGATGTTGGCTCCTTTCCACGTACCAATTGGTTGCGGCGAAGCCCTTGATTTGGATCAGGGTCTCTCTCGGAACCAACGATCCAACCGTGTAGGTGGCAGCCTCCAGCGTCTCCAGGTCCAGCAGTATTTTCACCTTGATGAAGGCCACTCCCACGCACCGAACAAGTGTCTCACCAATGTCTTCGAGATCTATGAAGTCCTTGCAGAAGAAGGTCTCATCGTAGAACGGGTCATTTCCCTTTGGGTCACGATATGCCAGACCACATTTGAGGACCTTGGAGATGCTTCTCTCAGGCTCCCATCGAATACCCTGCCGTATAAAATCGTAACACATCTCATCTTGACGCAACTGAAGAAGGATTGTTGGGATTTGGTGTTGGGCAACCTTTGGGAACACCATATGCAAGCGGAGCAATTCTCGGAAGAGAAGTAATTCCTTACGCAGTTCGACCATACACATCTCTGTGAGGGGAAGGTGCTTCTGGCAAAAGTACGCGAACACATACTCGGTTACAGGTATATTGTACCCATGCATAACCCGATGACGCGAAAGCATGCCGATTTCTTCAAGTACCAGCTTTCTCAGCCCCCCTTGGAACATCTCGTGGTACCACTTAATAGTGCTACAAATCTTTGCGCACTCAGCCTCGTGGTCCTTCTTGTCTTCCTCTATTGCTTCTTCATCGCAATAGATGGCAACGTCGCACTTGGGACATTTGTCATAATCGTGGTCGGGCCGAATATCGCAACACGCGCAAAGCCCTGAACAGTACAGCAGAGGGATCATTTTGAAAGTAGGTAGAAAGTGTGACCTGAAAGTAGATCGAGAGGTTTGCAGAGAGGGTTGAAGCAGAGGGTTATTTTGAAAGGTAGGTAGGAAGTGTGACCAGAGGATAAATCAGGAGGTTTGCACAAAGGATTGAAGCAGAGGTACAATGGCCATATTAATATCAATGGAGCAATGACGGCGTTGAGGGAGAATTCCTTTAAACCCGAGGATAGGCACGATGGAGCTCTTCTGTGTCTAATGCCAACTAATGGCTTCCGTAGACTTTGCATCCTTTTAGTATATTGTCTTCCTATACCGGGTTTTCCCGAAAAGCCTTTCGTGCATCATCTTCCACCCGATACATCGTAAATCTATCCTGACTGGGATCAGAAGATCCCTAAGGATATGCTGGGCCCGTTGAAGACTATGCCCATTGATAGCATCTTGCAATTGGCACTCGATCGTTGCAAGGCAGTTTACCTCAGTTGCAGATGATATAACTGCAGAAAATCCAAGATGCTTTCCTGATGAAAGCCCTTGAAGGCTGCTGGCTACCTGTATCCACACAGCGCTAAGCCCTACCAGGCAAGCGAAGCCAGACAATAGGCAGTCCAACAATAGCTTGTCGCATTAGTTGGTCATGGGTTCATATTTGCTTTGCCACCAGTTTCGGTGAATCCTTCTGACTACTCTGGATAACATTATGCAGAAGAGGGATTTCACAGTGAAACAAATGGATGAATCCAACTATCCTACATAATGCGGAGCCGGTTGGTAGGCGCAGGAAAAAGACATCTCCAAGGCAGTCTAGTCAGTTCTCATAGTTAGATGAAGGGGCCTGACTGTTGAAAGCTCTAGAGACCTGGTTCGAATCTTGGCGGCTTCTCAAGTACCTACTACAGATCTAGCCTTCGAGTCAACGATTTCTGATACAGAATATCAGGCAAATGGAACAGTAGTCACATTGAGAATGTTTTATGCATCTCCTTCTGACACTAACATTGTCCTCCAGAATCTCCATGTATATAATCTGAGCTTGACATGTTCCCCAGCGTCCCTATGGAGGTCATAGGGCGCGGGCTTCCCTCAGAGTTGTTCGGACTGTCGAAAGCAAAACAATACCACTACTACTAGACTTCGAATAGACTTTTATTGTGGAATACACATGAGATAGGCTTAAATGCGGATTGCTGGCAAACTGCGAAACCTAAGACAAAGTTCACCACAGAAACCCAAGCATTCTCAGCTCCTAGTCCCCTGTTATCCTGTCAATTCTATTACAGTATGGCACAATTCCAAAGCCGGCCCCCAGATGCTTTAAACCGGACACGAGGTGAACACTTCTCACATCGCATAAAGTGCCGAACACTCTCAGTGCCACAGCAACTATAGGGACGCGACGCATTACCCTGGATTAACGAGATATTTGATTTGCATGAAGGAATAGGGTAGGCCATAATGAATGCTCTCATGAGATACCCACCGAGACATGATTAATGACCACGTTTTGATGGTTGAATTTGCTCTGTACATCAGCTACTGTAATTCACGCACTCTCTCTTTTGTACTTTTATCTCCATTCAATAGAACCAGCATAGTACCAGTGCCTGAACAAAAAGTACGCAATGCGCATTACTCTGCCGTTGGCCACGTGATATATTTCCTCCCCCAAGGACTCCCCGGTCCCTTTCTTACTTCACCGGTCAGTATCGATATCATTCTGGGCATTTCCTTGCCTAACTTCACTTCATTCGATCAGGATATACCGGCACAGGGTCGTGTGCTTCAACAGGCAGCAATCATAAGATCTTCCCGGATTCAGTGGGCTCTTACACTGCCCCGTTCACAATGCCTGCATGGAGCCGGATCCTGTCGCCCAAATGTCTCCGAGCATGACATAGCGCCTGCGACCTGGCTTGGGTTGGTTGGGCTTTCAGGTGTTAAGCTGACCCCGCGATCGATCGGGGATTAGAAGCTGGGCGCCGGGGATTAGATGGCCAGTGATCAGGCACGTTTCCCCACACTCCATCAGCTACAGGAGCCAGTCCTGTGGCTTTTCATGACTTGCTGACATGAACCACACAGGAAAGTCCTCTAATTTTAGCCGACTACTCTCTCCGCATCTCAGCTAGACAGGTACTTGCAGAGGGATGCGACCTGTAAAATCCAACAGTGAGGCTGCCAGTCAGAGCTACATCGCGTGCATCTTCCAGCTACGTGTTTGGCCTATCCCGATGCAAGGACCCCAGCTCTTGACGTGGCGACTGTCATTGCCTCTCTTCTTTCCAACCATACCCGAAGATCGGGAACGGATCTCACCCTCAATCACCCATCCTTTTCTCTTGCATTTATGGGGAGCCTAAGGTGGCAGCCCAATCCGACTTAGTCAGATACCGAAAACCTACGCAAGCAGTAAGGAAACGTGATGATCATCGATCTATAAGACCGCCGACCGTTTTTTCTGACTCCTTTTCTTTCTCCTAATTTTTGTTCTTTTCGTTCCAGAAAGTTGGCTTCCAATAGTATCCTCCTTTATCATATCGCTGTGATACATGTTCTAAAGTGATTTCTGTCATTTCGTTCACTAGGGCTCCGAGATCTTAGTCGACTTCATAGGTATTATTTTTCGCTTTTAATCAAGATACCCCTCCTGCCTTTGTCTTTCCCGGATTCTCGTCTCCTTCTGTCTTTCTTTTCAAATCATTCTCTCTGCGAACCTTCTCATTCCTTGATTCCTGTACTGTTCCAGGTTTCTCCTGCGTCTTTTGCTTTTTACTCCTCGATGGTATTCTTTCTGTTTGCCCTGCTTTATCCGTCGCTTCTATTGCTTTCTTTGTCCTCTTTCTTCTCTCCCTTTTCGTTCCATATTTCTCCTCCGGCTTCATAAAACATCAAAGCTCTTTTTCCGCGTTCCCTATCGAGTATTCAAAAGGTAAAGGGTAAGGTTCACTCAATATCTATTGATCCCGCTATTTTATCCAAGGACAAATCGAAGTTCCAATCGGAAGACAAACCATGTTGGTCATGTCTACGGACCTCAAAATCTCCTACCTCAAGTTGTTTAATGTGGCACTTGAGAATCGCCGATAGTTGAAGCCTTACGGACTATCAGACCAATGGACCCCCCTGGAAATTGGCCGTTTAACTAAAACAGTGAACCATCCAATTAAGGCCTCATTGAAGATCTTATCCTTCAATGGATATCAACCAGCTTTACCCGTTGGATCGCCGGAAAACTCAACACAAAGCATATCCATGCTGGATGACTTATGCCGCGGATATCCTGGACAATTAACCTTTCACCAAAGGGCCGTGAGTTACTTCCCGGATGTATTGATAGCCAATAACGATGGTCTCATGGAGGTTTTACCTTTTTCATTTGATACTCCCCGGATTTAATATATGGCCTTGTTCCGCAGGATGTTTCTATGTTCACGGCCCACAAAAGGATTACAGCCCATTGGATTAGAGCCCTGTTGCATGCCACTGCCAGGGTTGGATAATTAAATCTGGCCAGTTTCATTCATATGCAGCTCATTGCTTGCTCATGCTATCAAAACAAGACAACTAACTCAAGCTTGGGAAATACGGGTAGACAATCGTGTCCCTGCAGCCCCGTGGCTATGTTTCCTTTCTTCCTCGAATATAGCTTTTTCTCCGGTTGCTGCCTTTTTATCTCTGTTGTTTCTTTCTTGATCGCTTCTCCTGTCTTCTACAACCTTCCTTTGTTGGTTTCCTATATATCTTCTTCTGATCTCATGTTTCTTATTCGTTATCTTGTCCTTGTTCCACTTTCTACCACAAAAGGAGCTATTCACAACAATTATCGCCATTTACACAGCTAACATGCCAAGCTGACTGGTCATAATAGTACCAATTCGCTGGAAGCTCATTTCTGGCTCCTCGGTCAACCTTCGCTGCTGGAAACCTTCTCTCAAAATGTCAAACACAACCCATCCAATTATTGTTCCCATGGACGGGAATCCATGGGGCCCGGAAGCAATTGGCACCCTCACATTTGGATTGGTTGCAACCCTTCTGTCTTTGGTTACTCTGATAATGGCCTGCATCAAATATGCCTGGTGTCCTTGGCAAAGTCAGTTTACGGTCCTCTCTCGCAAGGATCTCGCTATCGACGAGGGCTAATCTCAGAAATAGTCAGCAACTCATCGGAGTCTCTTGTGGACGAGGAAATTGGTCTTCCGCATGCTGGGGACACGAGCCCTGAGAATCAAAGCCAAGTCGATATCACGGATTTGCGTCCTGGATCTGGACAATCCTTTGTTCCATGATATCTTCGATTTCGTCATCCCAGGAACAATATTCCAGTGGCAATATTGCGTGTACTAATGTGATGTATTGGCGATTCGATCATTTGGTTTTATGTACTTGTGACAACACAGAAAGACTCTCCGGGCTCCTCGGTTCTTTCGCTTTCTCTCCCTCTTTCTCTCCTTCGCTATCTTCTTTTCTGTTGTTCTTAACTACTTTTAAATTTGTCAGCCCTCTCATTACTAGCCTTTTGAATGCTTAGTCCGTGTTTTGCTTCAGCCTCTATCGCCATCTATACATTCTTGCGGACAGGCTCAAACAAGACACAGAGTCTAGATCACATATCCCACGGCCCAGGCCAACTACTAGAGCCGAAGATGGGCCGAGACTGTTTGTAATTGCTTATGCACATATTAGAGATCCTAAGGACTGGAACCAACAATCCACGAAGGTAGACGTCTACCCAGTACCCACTACATGGCATTGCGGCTAGCCCCGATTAGGAAGTCCGGACCGCGGAATGGGCCCCCAAATCATGACTCGAACAATATAACAGTCGTGATAGGTGTATAGCTTGCGAAGCTTGTTTCGAATCAAGAATTCAAAGGGAATTACACGCAAACACTCCAAACGATGAAAGATCCACGAAGTATAAATATGAAGCTGTTTCCAGCAAACTTTGATTCCTCGTTTATTCCAAGTCATCCATTTCAATCCAAACGTCTTTCTGTTCACCCCTGAGTATGACTTCCCTCACATTGAATGTCTCCCATGAGGTCTCCTTACATGCACATATCACTCGACCGTCTGTCCCTCGGGACAAACCTCTTCTTGTCTTTCTCCACTACTGGGGAGGATCCTCTTCCACATGGCACAAACTCACATCACCCAACTCACCAACAACCTTGTCTGCCACCTACCCAACTATTGCACTCGACCTACGAGGATGGGGCAAGTCGACGGGGCCAACAGATTCAGAAGAAGCTCCATATTCTATCTCTGCACTAGCCTCTGACGTTGCCTTTACCCTGGAACACATCGCGTCCAACAATACCACGCAAGATCTCCTGACACATGGCTTTGTCTTTGTCGGTCACTCCATGGGAGCCAAAGTATCGATGGTCACCCTCTCTTTTCTCCCACCTCAACTCCTCCAGAGATTGAAAGGTCTATTGTTAGTGGCCCCCGCGCCTCCAGGAGCGCTAGAACTGCCCTCCGAGATGAAAGACCAACAAAAGGTTGCTTACCAGAATCAACAATCGATCCGGTGGACGGTCGAGAATGTACTTGCCCAAGCCAGCCGGCTGAGCGAGCACGACATTGACTTGGTAGTTCGGGATAGTTTGGGTGGGCATCAGCTGGCGAAGGAGGCGTGGCCGACTTACGGCATGCAGGAGGATATTAGGGGCAACTTAGCGAAGGCTCTAAGCTCAATTAACGGCGATGAGTTCCGAGTGTGTGTGCTTGTTGGGGAATTGGATATTGTTGAGCCGAAAGAGCGGGTTCTGGATCAGGTCATCCGTTTCTTGCAAGATAATGGCGTCAATGCTTCCTTGAGGATCGTGAATGGCGTGAAGCATTTGATTCCACTGGAGGATCCAGAGGCGATTCAGGAGGAGATAGCTCTGTTTTAGAGTGATTGTTGCGCTAGGCATTAGATTCTACTATACCGTTGTACGTAAATGCGACACATTTGTGCAGATGGTTGCCTTTTGATTACATTCATGTCTCTACACTACAAAGGACAGTTTTCCTATCAGCTATTGAGCACTGAGTACAACAGAACTTGCAATTAGGCTGTCGTGATTAGGGGCTATGACGTCGATTCTAAAGTTTACATTCTTTTCCGTCGTCGAAGTTAGGCTCCAGCATTTGAACTACATTGGAAGACAAAGACAACACCACATGCGTAAAACGGAACGGTCAGTTATCGGTGAGATAGGGCAAGGGGGTAACACATGACAGACTGAATGAAACAAAACGAGCGCTATAAACCATTGGCTTTCAACGCGGCGTCAATTCCAACTCCTATTTCCTCTTGTCTATGAGGGATTTCTTTCACGGTCGAAAGTCATTTTACCCTCCAAAGTTGTGCCGTCGGTCAGATAGGGGCGTGTTGTGACGATAGGCAGAATCATCGATGCGTCTCATTTCTGTCCAATGCAGCGACATATCAACTATAGCGGTAGCTTAATGCTCTGATTGGTTTGCCTAAAGACTCAATCTGCATGACCTACCTATGGCTTCTTTCTTTCTCCCGCTTCTAGGTCTTTGACTTGCATTCTCACTCTTGGGGGAAGAGGTCAAAGCACCAAGGTCCATGTCCCAACAACAGCCAGAACAAGCTCTCAATCTGTCCAATGGATCGATTAATATGCATCCCTCCAGACTGCCACGCCAATGGCTTCTCGTTGTGTCTGTTGTAGCCACCGCCCAGTACATGGTCGATCTTAACCGCTTTGGGTAAGCCGCCGGCGAAACGCCGTGCGAGACGAGGCGCGCAGGTCATCACATCTCGCGGCGACAAACCCAGCCCCTGCAATACCCCTCCATGTGCTCCAGGTGAGGTGGCACCAAATTCAAGGGGGAAAGCGGCACAGTCATGCATCGGAAGTCTGAGCACGGTTCTCGCTGGATACTGGCCAGGCTGCACACCAACAGCCAACATGCCGAGCGATTCCGTGCTTCAACCTATCGTGCCGCCACTTAAGCGCCTGGTTAACAGAAGGATTTGAATCACGCCGCGCGCCTCGATGTTGGTGATAGATGCAATCGTTCTGCGCTTAACTTTGGCTTCGGAAACGGTCACGACTCATTTTAGTCCTCCAACCTAATTCACAGCCTAAGATTCCAAGCACATTTGAACTCGATACGCAGTGATCACGCACGGCGTAGCGCCATGGAGATGTGCCACACAACTGCATCGATGCATATACACTCAACTTCGTTTTCAAGCCCGTGCGGAATGGCATTTAAAGCCGTGCTCTTTCTCTCCATCTTCGCTCCATTATCATTGCATCGAAATCTACTTCTTCATTGCATCTATCTGCTTTCTTCTTTCAATCTACGCTTCTATCACTCTACTCTTTGCAATTATGGCTTGCATCCACTGTCAGAGACGCAAGAGGGACTGCGATGAGAGAAGACCCCGATGCAACTTCTGCAGGGCCTCTCGCCTGCGATGCAGATATGAGCAACGTCCTGCCCTGCTCCGGGCCCGGCGTGAGCAGAGAAGGGTAGAGCCAGAAGAAACTCCAAGTCCGACAGAGAGGTCCGAAACTGTTTCTCTCTCTGAGAGGAGTACTGAGAGGTATGTATGCTGCCTTCTCCAACATCAACGTATATCTGACCGACGGCCCCAGCCCCATCAGCCCCATCAGTCCTCCCTCTATGCAACAATACATCCATACATTGGACCCTTTCAAGAGTTACCTACGGCAGGAGAGCCTTTTTGCGAAGTTCCTCGCCTCGTGGGATGACGAATTCCCGCACCTCAAAGAAATGGAAGATGTCGAACAAACTGCCATTCATTTCAATTTCGATGAGCCGGGAATCCAACTTCCACCTCCGTATAACCCGATGGGTAGGAAGCCCACAGAGTCCGAGATTCAACAGGGAATTGTCTCTGTCACTTGGCCTAGCGAGTTGACCCCATCGCCGTTTCAACCGCCCAGTCTGCAGGGCCTCCCTATTCGTCTCCTTACCCAGTATTACGGACGGGTCTTGGACGGACAGCTCACGTACAAGCGGCCGGATTGGACTTATTATACTTTCTTCTTCCATCGCTTCAACGCGCATTATCGCTGCCTGTTGTCTGCTATCCAATCGTGGGCATCTGCGAGCCTTCATGCTGCTGGGAAGAAGGAGTCTCTGGAGGATGCACTGCAGAGCTACTATGACAGTATGTCGATGATGATCAAGGGTTACGGTATAACGGCGAACTCGCCGAGTACTATTGAGCACAGGATGGAAAGGACGGCCAATTTCTTGACCTGCACCACTGCAGAGGAAAGAGATGCCATGTTCGTGACATACTTCTTTCTTGCGCTCTTCGACCTGATGGCGGCGCGACCACGTCAGTTTCGTGGTATACTGTCGTTCATTGCCTCATTCCTGAAGAACCCGAATTTCAGATCGCAGATGACCGGCGTGCAAGCGCGTGTCGCCTACTGGGTGAGTCAACCTCCAATTCATCCTAATATCACTACTAACTGAAACCACCAGTTCTGCATCCTTGACAGCAAAGCATGTGCCTTCCAGCGAGGTGCCGGCGCCGTCCTCAAGGCCTTGGGCGATGAACAGTATCAAGTATCTGCCTTGCATTCATCGCACACTGTCCTTCAACAAGCCTTCCGCACCACCCGCACAGAGAGAGAGCAATCAATCGAGCACACCAAACTACTTCTCCAAGACCTCATGCTCCGTTTGACAATCCTGCTCCACCAAATCACCGAAGCCAAGCATCGGCTCCCCAATCCCGAGCTCGTCCAATCCATCCGCGAGAGACTCAACCTCCACAAACAAACCATTGACATGAAATTCTCGGCTGTCGACTACGAAGACGCTCAATGCCGAGCAATGTTCTTGGTTACTTCGGCCCTGTACCACGGTCTCGAGATCTCGCTTTCGCGATCCCTTCGACCGAATGATGCGAGACACGCTGCCAGCCAGCACGCGATCAGCATCATTCAGATCTCGCAGAAGCTCGAGACTTTGCAGCCCGAGGGGCTGGTTTTGAGATCGCCGTCGATGAAGATCTGGCCTCTTCCGCTGGTTATGGCGGTGATTGAGGTTGAGGGTGCCGTTCATCGCGAATGCGCCATCAAGCTCCTCGCCTCGTTCGTGCCCATCGCTAGTGAGCATCATACCTGGGCGAAGAAGTTCGCCGAGACGGTTTGCGAACGCGAGGACAAGGCAGAGAGTCGACTTGACTGGGAACCTATCATGAAGGATGTGAACGATGGTTTGGTTGTTTAGCTGTTTCTTTTCTGTTTCCTCTGCTACGTGTTCGTTGTCGTTTTGAAATGATTTGATGTGATTTGATCTATGAATTGGTATTTTCTCTACGGCGTCCTGATTATGGTTTCTGTGTTTTCCTGCCATTCTCGCCCCTACTTTCGCCACTCGTTTTGCTTTTTTCACGTTTTACTTTTTTTTGACTCGGCCTCGGTCCCTAAATTGCTCTTAGTCTATCAATCAGACTGTCTCTTGGCCTACAACCTCTTCTCCCTTTCCTTCTTTTCCTTACCCAAAAAAATAACTCAAGATCTATACGCCAACAAACTCCCTAGAGCCCATATATCCTACTTACATCTCTCTTCGACCACTCAAACCCACCCTCAAAATTCGCCACTCTCATCCCCCTCCCACCCTGCGCCTCAAACCCCATACTCCGTAAGCAAGACCAGACCCGACCAGGCCAAACCAAACCAACATGGATGCATCCAAAAAGCCCCAACCTACCCCACACAGATGCGGAGTAATCATCGGACCCCCCGCCCAATCCAATCCAACCCCCAAGCACAGGCACAGGCACAGGGCAGCACTAGCACTGAGTGACTCTTACATGTACTAGGTAACAAGAGCGAATCGCCCTACGAACATCTCCGAGCGGCTAACTAACTCTCCCCTTGCCCTTCTCCTCATCTATCGCCTTTCCCCTCTTCTAGATCCCCTCTTCTAGGCAGGTCACTACCTAGTCAGAGTCGGGTCAGCTGGATGTGTGACCACCAACTGATCTACCTGGTTAGGCTGCCACGGAGTATGTTATGTTATGTTATTTTATGTCATGTCATGTCATGCGTAGGGAAAATACCAAACTAAATCGAATACCTCCATAGGTACTACATAACTACTACGTCGTGAGCTAATGAGCTAATTAATCTGATCCTTATCCTTTTGGGGTTTAATCTACTTGATGACCTTTTTACGTAATTGACTTTGCGGGGATACGAGATACCTAAATGCCTAACAGGCATCTATCGGTTTTCGTTCAGGGGGTGATCGTGTGTTTTGACCTTTTGGGGATATGTGTACGGGGTAAGAGTCATCGGTGTTAGCGCTGTTTAGGTGCGTTGGGGTATGTATCATCTCGGTGGAGAGTGTTCCTACAGAGTTGGAAGAAAACAATATGGGAGTTATAGATATGATCCAGCAAGCGAAGATTAAAAGTAACCATGAAAGCCTCAAATTACCCATTGTTGAAACATATGTATATACCCGACCGACCAGATAGATCGTTTTGTGCCTCCTATGTACAAAAATGGAACCCCCCTGTCACTAACCAACCGACCGACCTAGCATGTCCCCTGTCTTTTCTTTTCTTTTTTCACCCCCTAATTGTCCGCCCCGCCAACTCCGTAGATAACGACCCCAGTATTGGACAAAAACAAAGAATAGATGGAATGGAACCGCAGGTAAGACAAACAGCACGGAGCCTAAAGAGTCGCCGAGCGATATCCAGCCGGAATCGCCTCCGCCATGGTCATCCCACTAAGCACGCTATCTGGGAATGACTGCGGCATTATTTCCGGGATCAACTGGTCCAAGCTACCATACCCGTCCATCATGCCATCGACCAGGGCTCCAGGGGGCGGCGGGGGTGGCATGAACTGGATGTGCTCCATGCTCAGCTTCCGGGCATCTCCGAAGGAAGATTGCGAGCCATCCATGGCGCCAGTGCAGGGGTCGTTGCATTCGGCGCAGCGGCGCTTGAACTCGGCGATCATGCAGGAGAAGCGGTAGGCGATGTGGTCTTCGTTGGGGGCCAGGTGGAGCAGGTACATCTGGATCTGGTCGATGAGGGGATCGAGGAAGTTGAAGTCGCAGAGGTTGAGCGCGGCATAGCCGACGATGATATATGTCTGGTCGACGACGCTGAGTGCGGTTGAGAGGCGCAGTTGCAAGAACTTGGAGATGATGAGTCGTGAATCTTGGATGACTTCGGCTGTGAGTCGGTCGGATTCGGACTGGAATCGCATGGCGGTTCTGTGAAGCAGGATTTGGCAGTACCACAGGCTTAGTTCAAGTGTCAAACTCTCTTCGCCGGCTGTTAGGCTGGTTAGCTTGATTTTCCTGGGGGGATTTCGGGGGACTGACTGAATAAGTGAGCCCATTCCATTTTCCAACGCTCGATCTCCTCATACTCGACGTCGGCTAGTCGCATGCGTGGATTGCTTCCCTGAAGCTTCAACGTGATCATATAAAGCTGAATCTCTGCCACGACTTTTCCATCTTCGAATGTCGCGCTCGTGTGCTCTAGCAGCCGAGGGCAGTGATCTAGATATCGCTGCTGTATATGCAACGGACGTGCATTTCCGACCGCAAATCTGGCCACAGATCAGCAAAAGTCGAGCCTAGATACGTTTTCCCTGGTTGGAAACAAACCGTAGCTGCGTCAAGCAGAAAATATTCCACAGCCGCAATTGCGTGGCCGTTTTGTTGTCCACGATTAGCTCGGAAGGTGCATAGTTGAGGAAATCAAAAGTGATAAGCGAATGATTGATCGAATTCCCGCTCAATAGCCAGCTATCGATAGGAGCCTCTCTTTGAACGGCCGCGGGCCATAGGCAAAGTAGGGCAAGGGCTTGAAGCGACTCGTACTGCAAAGGAGGCTTATCCCAGAGCGTATTGACTGCTTCTTGTCGGACTTGGAGATACATGGCGCGGGTCACTGGTGCTGGTATGCCCGGGACATATCGCGAGGCCAGCAGACAGGCTGTGTTGTATAGTAGCGAATCAGGTCCTTTCATCTCGTCCTGAATATCTGACAAGTTATTGATCGAAACCCAGGGTCCGAAATGCTCAACAAATCTAAATTAAGACGGTTATTAGAAGCTTAGGTTTGGTCAGTGTTAGGAAGGGCATTCGTACAATTGCATTAATTTGAGCGATAATTTGGAGTCTATGATGCCTTTCTCCATATTGCTCCCACAGAAAGGGGAGCTAGGGGTGATGCAACTCGGTTCACCGAAAAACTCGGATTGGAGCTCTTGGATCAAACGGATGGGTTTGGGCAGAAACGGAGAAAACTGATTTCCTTCGATGGAAGCCGTTTCCTCCGTATTGGTGCTTTGCGTCAATTGTGGCGCGGACATGCTCGAAATGCTGGGTGGTTGGTTTATGATCTGGCGCAACATGCCCGTCATTTCGCGCATGCTCCGCTCTAGCGAAGTGAGACGCTCTTCAATTGAAGGAATAGCGGTCGTCGCGTCCGACCACATCGACGCATTGTCTTGGAAGCGCTCGCTGGTCTCGGGTAGCTGGCACTCGATTCTATTGAAAGATCCAATTTCGCGTCAGAGCCTTAATTTTAAGCATTGCACTTCATACGTTCTTCGTGCTCAATTTTCTGTCATTTCTGTGGGAAACACATTGCATATCACATTTACTCCCCATGGGAAGTTATGTCCTACCTCAATGACAGGCACCGGCGGCATGCATGACCGCGAGGGTCCAGGTCGCACCGAGTCTTTAGTTTGCGACAGGTATTGCAGGCCGTCATTGACCGACGTATACGGCCTTTCGGGCGCGCAGCGTCATCATTGACAGAAGAGCTCAGTCTCCTGCCATCTTCTGCAATTTGAACAGTTTTGTGCTCCCACGCAGGGGCTTCAAATTTAATTTCGTCGACGGTTCTCGTCATGGCATTCGAAAACACCCACTGGTCAATCGGCAACAGGATTGATAGAAGAAATGGTCTTGGTTGGAATCGATAGGCAAGGAATTAGATTCAAGGGGGGAATCTCTCGTGTAAATCATTCACAATTAGCATCGGGGAGAAAATCGCACTTATAACCGGCCACCGGGCCTTGGGCGAGGAGCGAGAGATTGTGCTAGCTTGCTAGTGATTGACGAAATAAACCCCCTAAGGGTGGTCATTTAGTCTTGACCTGGGGTAAAAGTCAACGCATTGGCGAATAGCAGGCAGTCCGTGTCCCTAAGCGCCTTCTAGAAAAATAGAATGGAGGTTGCGATATTATGCTGCAACAAGAGAGGGGTTGATTGACGTGCGCCATTGTAATCTGCTGTGGTCCCGATGTAAACCGGGTCACAAATTGAATCGAATAAAAAAAAGATAAAATAAAATAAAACTGGAAAGGAGTCCCGCCTTGGGTGAGGGGTTGTGGTTGGACTGACACCAAAGTAAAATGCGTTAGGAGCTGGCCGCTGACCTCCGATGATTTGTCGATACAGACAGTCGTTGCTTATCATCGTCGTTGGTGGTGATAATCGGGCAAGACGTCCCGAATCAGCAATCCCCCGACTCGTTCGAATTTCCAGCATTTGATTGATGAACAGCCACAGCATTTGGGCTCTTCCCTCTTTTTTTTTTCTTTTTGGTCCCTTCCCCCCCTTCCCTTCCTTCGTGCCTGGTGTGGTGGTTGGTAGCCTTAGGGCCCTTCACCCTCCTAAATCTGGCTCCCGCAATCCCGCCATCCCTTCGCGCTGTCGCGATCCGAGCGCCCTTGGTGATTCGAAGTCAGAATAATTAAAGATAATGAAGTCAAGCCGATCCCGCAGATCATCGAGATATCAGATCCTTCAACGTATAGACACTTGGACATGTGCCATTCCCTTATAAGGTCGTATAAGTTGAAAATTTCTGTCGATTCCGTGTCTACATCAAACCGCGAATCCTGCAATGCAACCCTGAACCCTTGGCTGGACGGCTACCAACGGAGGTGTTCCTGGTTATTTCGCACCGTACGATAGCGCTGGGCTACCCATGTTTAGGTTCTTAGCCAACAAAACGCTGTCCATGCAGGTGTATAGCATGGCCTGCTCTTGCCAGGAACATCGTAAGAGGGGAAAAGTGGGGAAGTCAAAAAGGCCCAGTCCCAAATGCGACTCATTCGAGACAAGCGTGTCATGGCCAATATAACCTGCTGTTCTTCTCTTCTCGTCCAAAGACCGATTGTGCAATATGACTGGTTGTCGCCATAATCGCCGAGGCCGTTCTGCCAAAGACCATGATTTTCGGTCGACGGTGCCTAGTCCATGATGTTCAGGAACCCACTCGGGGCTGTAGGATGTGTGGATCCTGTAAGATGGCCTTCTCGGTCAGGGTCCCTGGAGTATACGGAGTCGGGCTGGCCACGACTTGACTTGGTCTGAAAGAAACACACATCACTTCCTTTCCTTCCTAGCGGAGCACCTTCAATTTCCGCAAGTATGCGGTGTAGACTCTTGCCGCCGAATCACCTCCCCAAGACAGATTGCACCCCTAGTCTATTTGCAATTAATATTACGATGTCAAGCAATTTTAGTGTCATACCGACCGTGCTCGTTCCCGTCCTAGACCGTTTATGGAACACAACGCATCCGGGCTGCGACACCCGCTTGAGGGGAAAAGGGCGCATCTGGCGCTATTGTGCCGCGCTTTCTTCACATGCTTTCGTTGACCGTGCCGTGGCAGGGGCGAGAGTTTCCAAGCCGCGAGTAGGCAGGATTGAAGGCCAGGGTGGTTATAGGTGCCAAGCTTGAAAAAAGAAAAAGGGCCGGGATGTCGTTGGGAGGAGAATAAGATTGATTCTCAGCCAATCCCCAGCTAGCGTTGACGCTAATTCGGCCCTTTTTCCTTCCCTTCCCCTTTTTCTTCCTTTGCAAGGCAGTTCAGTGGGTCTTGCGCCCGTCCATCATTGGCAACTGAATTGATCGTGTACTCCACAGGTCTGATAGAATGGTTGCATTGATATGGCATGTCTCACATGTTATCATTTGCTGGATTCTTCAGTGATCGAAAAGAGATTACTGCGCGGTTTTGACTGAAGTCAGCGGCCTGAAATGGAGCTACTTGTTGCCTAGAGGTAGTGGCAATAAAGCCAACCGTTTCGGGGAGCTCCGAAGTGCAAGCACAGCCTTGCCATTCTTATCACAGGAGAAATAAAAAGAACGCATAGGAAAAGTCCAGCGCGTACCTGCAGCTTTCTCATAACGGAGAATTCTCCATTTTAGTTGGTTAGTCCTCTCCCTACCTTTGCGGCCTGACACTATTGGAGGAAAAATTAGGTGCACAGAACGAGGGGAACGCAGAGAAAGAACAACTGGCTCAAAAGCCGCCGCATATGCTATGCTATGTCTCTTTTCTTTGTTTCCCATCTAGGAAGGAGGATAACTGAAGACCACGATCCGAATCCTACACTACTCCGTAGCAGGTTAGCAGTCTATCCAGCACCAGGGTCTGTTGGCTGACAGTGGGGGAAACAGCCTTATCCAGTCACCTCCGAACGATCTAGGTTGTGGCCGAGTTTTGCCTTGAATTGGATCCTGCAGATTCAACCGGGAATGTTGGTTTTTTTTTTCTTTCTTTTTTTGGAGGTCATCACCAAATGGCTGCAAGCCCATCAGAAGCCTAGGCATCTGAAGATTATTTCGCTCATCTCCTATCATTCCATCGGATAAGCCGTGCGGAAAAGGGGGCGATGAAGTTGAAGATCGGGGCCGGGAGATGGAAGGAAGGGTGGGAAAAGACGGGAGAAACCTCGGGGAGGCACATGACATGCGTTCCTCAGGCTGCATGTATTCCATAGAGACTCTAAGGTACCTACGGAGTAGAACGTTGCTCATGCCCCAACCCAGCGTTTTCTCTCGCTCTCTTCGAATTTTCACGATTGTGTCGTTTGCAACAAAACTTAGGTAACACATTGACATACATGTTGCACCACATCTCGAGGAAGCTAATGGCCCTCAAATTTAGAGCGCCGTTAGCCGTCAGTTTCCGCTACCCTGGGCTTACATCGAAAGACGTTGCATTCTCTGCAACGCCATCCGAGCATGGGCCTCAGGGACTATGCGCCAGCGGGACTGCCCCTGGGCTTATGCGACCGCAAGCGAAGGCCTATCGAACCTATGACAAGCCAGGACCATCCCACGGGTTTTAAGGGTCGGTTCGAATAGATGGCTCGAACCGATATCTCATGTTGCTTAGGTACCTTGAGCCTTCGACTGTCATTGTCAAGATCGCCATCGGTCCGGATAGGGCGGTTGAGTGGACTGGCGTAACCGCCCATGTTGATGTACCAACCGCTCCTTGATGGCAACTAACGGACTAGAGCTACGCAGAGTGCTCCAATTTCCCAGGAGCTGTTGTCTATGAAGTCAGTCAGTATATTCGGCTTTCTATCAAGATATCGTGGCTACCTTCGCAGAACCCTGCAAAGTTGCTCCCTCCAGTCTCCGTCCGAGTATCCTTCGATAAAATGCTACATGAAAGCAATTGCACCATCTGAGAGCTTGTTAAGGAACCGTCACTTCACGTGGCTGTAGCTGGTCGTACCCCAATGCTTGATAGCTTCCCCAGAGTGGATGGTCTGGACCTGCCAAGTAGGGTAGACCGACGCCTCATCCCTGCCAGGTGAGGGCCTCCGGAGACAGCACACGCTTGGGAGCGGTTATTTCTGGGGGTGGATAAACGTATGACAGAGCTTAGAGCAGCGGCGTGTCATACTCTTATTCCGGTTCGGGAGGATCAATAAACCTCGATACGGTTATTGTGGTGCTTTGTCTGCGATGCAACGTCATGATGATGTTTCAACAGAGTCAAGCGTGGAGCTCTTTGCTACTAAAGATGAACGGCAGTATCTGTTGCATTCCGCGGGAAAGCCGTGTCAATACAAACCGTGTACCTCTTCATTCCTACTTCAAAATTCTTCCAACTTCTAGCTTACAAATACAGACCTTTTCATCAGGACACACTTCGGCCAACCATTTGCACCCATTGGAGATATACTTCAACTCATCTCAACTTCATCTATCCCCGCTCATTCGTGGCATACGAAAAGCAATTCAACTAGATGCGGTACGGTACGGATAGCTTCATGCGGCGCTTTGGGTGGACTTATGCTTCCCGCAGCACATTACATTGGCACATATTTGCGACCGTGTGCCACCTCAAAGTCGTATGATAATCATTGATGTTGGCTCGGACGGTCAAGAGACAGTCCATTCGTTCGCGAGAATATGATATTGTGTGCCGACTCCATCTCGCTCGGGGAATAATATATATAAATGTGTGCTCGATCGTTTCATCTCCAGGCCACCTTGCTCCAGCATCATCCTTTGGACCCCGAATGAAGCAACATACTTCATCCGAATTCAACCTTTTTCATGTTCGAGATTTAATCAATTGTTTATTGTTGTCCTCGGTTCCGAAGGCTGGTTGCGTTCCACTGTGACAATTCTGGGTGCATATATCAGAGGGTGTGAGGTATCAGAAGTGGCAACATCACTACCAGTGATATATAAATCTACTCCGCAGAAACAATCGTTCACAGAGTATGGGGAAAACCGGTACATAAGTCATAAAGGGAAACATTAAGAGCATGACTACTCGGCAAGGGCGTACTTCAGCGGAGGATTCGGTGTAGATACACCTGCCGACCACCGATCAACGTGGGATGATCCGCCACATCCGATTATCTCGTGGAGATGGACGAAGTGGTGGTCGGCAGTCAAATCGGACGTCAACCCCGACGCCACTGGACCGATGGCGAATAGCTTAAGTGATGTTCGCTCCACCCCCAGAGATTGATTTCTTCATGCACAGCTGATCCGGGTTCTTTCCCTAGATGCCTTGACGGACCTTACGGAGTCCAGAGTAATCCTGACATTCACGTCCAGACGACGATCGTTCCTCCGGTCGAGCTCACCGGTCGAGACTCCATATACGAGGCTAGAAAAGAGTCGAAAGGCCAGGGGAGGAGCAGCGATTCTCCGAACCACCAACCACGATGAATCCGTGACAAATCAAACGACGGCCGAAAAGAAATTTCGCCGCCTCTGGTGGAGCGACTCCATTATGACTCCAGACACGCCGCCGATGTCGGCCACCCACCGAAATGTCTCGAGCGCCCGTTAGAAATTGCGCAGAGTTTGGGCCTTTTAGCTTTCTGCTTTGCCACATGGGCTTCTATAAACAGACAAATACCCCAATCCGTCGTGTTCCTGCCGTGCCTGGGTGGTTTTGACATCTCGTCGGTGCTGTGATAGCTTCATTTCTGTTCAACCCAGAAAGCTACTCCGCCCGTTCCGTCTACGCTCGCAAGCACTTCCGGACCACCGACCGACCGATCGATTCCTACAGTTCGGTGCAATCATGGCGTCTCTGGACACGAAAGACATCGAGGGAGTGCCCAACTGGAATGCTACGGATTCCACGGAGAAGCAGCTGGAGGATGAAAAGGCGCCTCCCTCCCTCGAGAATGATCCCTTCGGGGCTGAAGAGATCGCAGAGGTGAAGTACAAGACCTTGGACTGGTGGTAAGTTCTCTCATGGATCGTGGCGACACTTCAATTGAACAAAGGTGGCTGATCATTATGTGCTCTCTAGGCAATCTGGAATTCGTATGACTCCGAACAAGCTCCACCGTTATGAACGTGCTCATTCTAACTCGCACCGCTATAGTCATGATTGCCGAGACAGTATCGTTGGGTGTTCTTTCGCTGCCTGCGACCGTTGCCTCGATCGGCTTTGCTCCGTACGTTGCACAACCTCGAATCCTCATGGATCAATCGTTCGAATTCTAACATCCATTCAACAGTGCCATTGTCTTGATTATCGGCCTCGGCATCGTGGCCACATATTCCGGTTATGTCATCGGACAGTTCAAGACTCGATACCCTCACATCCACAGTATGGCTGATGCCGGTGAGGTCCTGATGGGGCCCGTCGGTCGGAACATTTTTGAGGTCGCTCAGCTTCTGTTTTTCCTCTTTGCGACCGGCAGTCATCTTCTCACCTTCACCGTCATGATGAACACCTTGACGGACCATGGAACATGCTCCATTGTCTTTGGAGTGATGGGCTTGGTTCTCTCTTTGATCTTTTCTCTGCCGCGAACCATGAAGAATGTTTCGTGGCTCGCCTTGATCTGTACGGACTTCGTTTCTATGATATCTCTTATATGAGTGCTAATATCTGCCACAGCGTTCATCAGTATCTTTACTGCAATGATGATCACCATGATCGGTGTTGCAATCCAGCGACCGGGAGACGGTGTCACGGAGGTCACTCGCAAGACCAGCTTCGTCAACGGCTTCACTGCCGTTACTAACATTGCCTTTGCTTACTGTATGCTTCCCTTGTCCTTGATTCTCGACGCAGTCACTAATCATCGATCCAGGTGGTCATCCTGCCTTCTTCGGATTCATCTCCGAAATGAAAGACCCCCGAGACTTCCCCAAGTCTCTGTGTATGCTTCAAGGCTTCGAAATCGTCATGTACACCATCGTTTCGGCCGTGATCTATCGCTATGCCGGACAGAATGTCACCTCTCCCGCCCTAGGATCCACCGGCCCCATCCTTCGCAAGGTGTCCTACGGAATCGCTATGCCTACCATCGTCATCGCCGGTGTTGTTCTGGGCCACGTTGCCATTAAGAACGTCTATGTCCGTCTGTTCCGCCACACCGACATCATGCACAAGCGCGATTTCCGCGGCATTGGTGCCTGGGTTGGTCTAGCAACGGCATTCTGGGTCATTGCGTGGGTTATCGCCGAGGCGATCCCCGTCTTCAGCAACCTGCTCAGTCTTGTTGTAAGTACTTCTGTTGGCCTTTCCGCAAGACACCCGCTAATGTTATTTTCCACAGAGCGCTCTCTTCGCCAGTTGGTTTTCGTTCGGCCTTCCCGGCATTTTCTGGCTCTACATGTACTGGGGCAACTACTTCACCTCTACCAAGAAGACCCTCCTCACCCTTGCAAACGTCGGACTCGTCCTTATTGGCGGGACCATTTGCGTCTGCGGTCTCTGGGTTTCCGGAGTCGCAATTCACAACGACGGTTCCAAAAGCAGTTTCTCATGCGCGAACAACGCATGAGCTAGTTCGATCTTTTCTTGTTTTTCGGAGTTCAAGCGCAATCTCTTCGTTTCTTAGCAGCATTGGCATAGGAAGCCATCACCGTTTGCATATACACCACGTCCTCATCAAAACTGGGGCCAATTCTTCTCTTCTTGATGAGATGAGACGACGCGGGTACGACTCGACGATTCAATCGAGATATGAGAACTATCCGACCGTATCGTCGACTGCGAGAGTAACCCGCTCATCACAGTACCTATCCAGACACTGCACGCAATGCCAGATATGGCGTCTGTGTCGGGCAGCTGGGACTTCTTACTCCCTGTCCGGCCATTCAGACTACCTGGTCTCTGTTTCGCGTGGCTCTGGAAGCACGTGTCTACCGCTCACCTTCACACTACGCCGTGTCTGATCACGGCGGCCCTGTATAATACCTCACTGTATATAGCTATAGATATAGATACCTGTCATAGATCATAGACTATGATTGCATTTTGCATGTCTTGCGAAATAAACTTTGGACTTTTCATGGTATCAGCCATTCTTTTAACATGTCATTACTCCCACCTTTCACCACAAACAAAACACGCAGTATTCGTTCTGCACTGCTTGCGATGATGATGACTGATCCTCCTCTTTCATACAACAATCCGCTTCTGCATCATTCTCACGTGTACCGAACCCATTACCACTAGTTCGAGAAAAGAAGTAAACTCCAATCCACTGCTCCATCAATAGTCGCAACCATCTGCGCCTAAGCCTAATTACTTCGCGATGCAGGGAACGCTACCATTGATTCACGGTAGAAGCAGCATTCAATTCTCATAACCTCTTCCCTGCTTTCTACGCCCAAAATAGCCCAGCACAACCAACCTCAACCAAGGCAAACCAGCCTCATTTCCAAGCATCAAGACAATACTACCCCATATACTCCGTCGCCTGACCTTCAGGCCCATACCTACGCTCGGAAAAAAGTTTCCGCATTGAGCGCATCCCAGCTTGTACAACGTCCAGCAACCAATACCCGATCACTTAATCCATAGGGTTAGGACTACCTGTCTGCTGTCTGTCTGTCTGTTGTCCCTTACCTATCCACCCAGCTACATACGACATAAGACATACGACAACGACCAGTGCACATATGCACCAATAACGGCGACGCTACATGCGCGCATACGTTACCTACACACCTACAGATTCTCTTCTCTCTTCTATTTCCGAGGACGTTGTGCGACGTCAGAAACCAAGGCACCGGCCCCCTTTTTTGTCGTTTTGGGTCGTTTCAACCCAACGACAGCTCTCCCAATGTCGCACGGAAGCATGTAACACAGCAGATTGAACATGCCGCCGCACGGACGTGAAAAGGCTTCAGGACAGACCTCCTTGCTAATCGGTGCAGTTGCTGGATATGACCACGTAGGAGCCTGAGACGCGATTTATGCAGTTGGTCGTTGGAATCCGAGGATCTTTCTAATGTTATTGCTTTTTCTTTTTTTGTAAGAGAGATCGCCGGGTCGGGTACATTGACATGACACTGTGGTTCATTTTGGCTGTTTAAGTTATATCGTAAAGCTGAGTAATGAAGTTGGGTGGGAAGTGACCAATCTCATAGTGAATTAGCTATTCAGGTATAGTTTTATTCCGGGTGACCTGCCTTATGCATGAGCTGGAAAGTGACTTGCATGTGCCAGTTGTTTGTAACTTATATTCTTTTGTTAGGATTTAGGCCGAATATTGATTAATCGATCAAGCAGACCACCGAATCAGTGAAATTAAATCCCCTTTGGACCTTAAACTTCAATCAAAACTGCACCAGGGTAGCCTGTCGTACTACCTAGCTAGGTACTTCCCCCTCGAAGCACCACCGACCTAGACAGCGCCCTAGGTATGTACGCTACTGTATGCATGTCTGTCGGTCGGTCGGTCCCTGTAACATGCAGCGCAGTCGTCCTGTCCTACTGACGTGGTTCGGATCCCGATGCAGCTTAACCAGGGTCATTGACCATTGTTGCCTTATGACTCGACGCCGCCGTCGTAATTGGCTGGAAACGACATCCTGACTGGCCTGTACACAGGGGGACTGAGCGTGCAGAAAGCCCGTCTCGTCTCGTCCTTTGTGTTTCCCCCCCCCCTGTACCGCGCGGAGGTACAGGTACATACAAGGTACATGCATGCCTTGAAGCTGCAGTATGACCTGGGCGGAGGAGGAGGGGAAAGGGTGTGACAAAATCAAGGATGGGCTGCATTTCATGAATGGATGCGGGTGCAATGGGGAATGTCCTCCTTCAGGTGAGGGAGCCTGAGGGGTCTGTGTGTCTGCCGATCGTTGTGGCTGGGTTGAGGCTGTTGTGGCGATGCATGCTAACTCCCATAATTATCTCCCAGCAAATTCAGTGACTTCCTTACCTCCTTTCTCCCACCTTGCAGACGTGCCAAACTTCTAACCCCCTCCCGACAGCCTTGTCTCTTTCTTTTCCCCCCACTGTCTGAGTGGCGAACCTGAATATAGGGATAGCTTGACTTCGGACTTACTCGGTGGTTTTATTTCCTGTTTAGTTGATGTTTTGTCGATCAGTCTATCCCAACTTTACCCGTTCCCCGTCATTTGTCTGTTCTCCTCCTCTCCCCTTCCTTCAGACTTGTGACTGTGACTGTGAGTCGACCTCCACACTTCTCTCTCCCGATTGAAAGGACGATCTGCCGCATCCACGGTGGGGTGCAGATTGGCCCGTTTCCTGGTTCCGGGAGAGAGGGAGAAAAAAAACCGAAGATAATTCCTGATTGGATTTGGATTGACCGTGAATTCGATACAATACAATAGTATATATTAATGATACAGCCATTCCAATTGCATGTCGAGCGCCACCATTTCCTCGGATGCATTCTGCAATACCACCTGGTCCCATCGAACCATCTTCTTTGTGTGTGTGTCTGTCCTCGATTAGGATTTCTCGGGCAGTCAGACGTTGCATAAACCGGTAGCCCAATATTGATGTTTTCCTTCTCTAACTTTGCCAATCCCTAGTACACATACTCTAATTTACTTTCTGATCTCCCTCCATTCCAAGGAAGTGTCACTCCGCCACAGAGTAGATCAATGACTGACAAGCACCTATCACGCCATACGGTGCACCCTACAGCGTACAGATACACCTACACCTACACATACGCAGTGCGAATGCCTACGGAGTAAATGTTCCTACACCGATCCACCAATCCAAGCGTCAGGCTGGTCCACGATCAGAAAAAGCCAGCCAGGGAATCCCCCTCACATGAACACGGACATGCAAAGAACTGCTGACAAGACAGGCAAGAGGGACAAGACATTCCGATGTGAACTTTTTTTTTTTTTTTTGGCATTCGCGCCACGCGCCACAAGGCCGATTTCACCGCCATGTGATAGATCGTATAAGATTCCGTGACGTTCCTTGCCTGACAGGGTTACTTCCATCACCTATGGAGGAGGTGGTTGGTTAGGTTGTTATTGTGTTGTTTTTACTCCGCATATGTTGTTCGCTAACTAGTTGGTTAGGTAGGTAGGTATTAATTTCTGTCATGTTTTTTTTTTGACAGTTACTTTCTTGATACTTTGCAAATTTTCCTTTTTTATTTTTCAGATCTATTACGTATCTATTCATGCCATTCTCCTCCCCCTTACCCCATCTCCACCCCGTGCTTCGTGCGTGCAGGGGTGATCGATCTACATATCTTTGTGTCACCTCGGTGCGACAGCAACCCTATCTATGCTGTTCCGGAGTTCCGTCCGTCTGGATTCGGGATCTGGATCTGGCTCTGGATCTGCATTTAATCTGACTCGTGACTTGGTATGTTGTTTTCATGGGCTATCATAACTAGGGAATGGACGGAAGAAGACAGGGAGGGGACTTTTTACATAGGGTTATAGTTTGGAATGGTTGATCCCTTTCAAGTGGCTGGGCTTGCTGGCAGTTGGATGCTACCTTAACTATTTGAGGCTTAGTAGGTGGCTGACTCGAGTTGAGTAATGTGCCTTTCAATTGGTTCTGTTTACTAGATGATATTTTGTGAAACCCTATCGATATAGAGTGAACATACATGTATTAACAGCGCCTGATCTACTGACTTCTCTGCTCACTAGGTAGTATACACCTGGCTAACTGGCCATCCACCAAGTATTTAGTTACTTGGTTAGTAATGTATATAGCTAGGTATCAACTATACGACCGCCAACACACCCCGTCAAGCCATGAACAAGAAAGGAAAGTAAACCAAAAACCTCTCCACCCCCGTCTCCTTCCTCAGTGCTCACTACACGGATCAAACCTATGTTTGTTCATTTGTCTGTTTGTTTATGCATACATGCACGTATGCACTGGCAATCATTTATACACCCATACATACATACATACAAACATACCTACCTACATACTCCATATACACCGTACTGTACAGCTCCAATCCTAGAAATAACATACATGAATATTCGCTTCACATGAACGTTTCTGGAATTGTGCGTAGGGCGGTAGCGGCTCGATCGGATGACGGATGCCCCGGATGGTTCATGACATTCGCCACCGGTTCCCCAGCCCGCATGAACATGTTACACAGGAACTTAGCCAGCTGTTGGTTTAGTTAAGTTACCTACCTAACTAGCAGTCTGAGTCAGTTTGAAACGAAACATGGACAAAAACCATGTTCTTTCTGTTTAGCTTCGGTTCGGTCGGTTGTGTAACTATTAAGTTAGTATGAACTCACCAGGGAACTAACTAACTAACTAGTATCTCTTTCTTTAAAAATAAGAGAAAAAGAGATAGAAACTTACTGATCAAATCAAATCCTTTGGCTTACGATAACACCAAGAAAGAAAGCTATAAAACAAGCCAGTAACAAAAGAAACATAACCCCAACACAAAATAAAATGAAACAAAACCCGTTTCGCCAAGTACAGAGAACGAACTGACTCGACTCGGTAGATACACCACACCTCAACACCCGATCCCAGACACTCCCATGGCACGGTACCGGATGTGGCACCCGATCCAGAGAGGAGATGCGGTTCGTGAGATTTTAGGGTTCTGTTTCAACATGACGTGGATGACAGGACTCAGTCAGGGACTCGCTTGCTTGACCAGTTCGATGGCGACTCCGTATGGTTCATGGTGAATTTTATGGATATGGTTTCACGTTCTGGGATAAAGGGACCCGTAAATATCTAGACGAGCCGACAAATAAAATGCTATTAATCTGAAAGGAGGGAATGGATGTATGTACCAAGGTAACAATTCCAGATCCAGATTCGATTCGATTCCGATTCCGATTTCCATCGCGATCTTCCCCTTTTCCAAACCAAATAATCAACCGACATGGTTAACAAAATCAAAAAATTTTTACCTTTTCACCGCCACGCAGAATCGGCAAATCTTGGAAACGGCAATGGGGTTTGGCGGGTCTGAAAACCTCTTCGTTCTGAGGTTCTCGGAGATATGATACGGGGATAACCATGGTTCGGCTGTCATAGTGGACTGGGTGTTTGGGGCTTTTTCCATGGTGCGGGCGTGAGATTTCCGATTTCCCTTTTTTTTTTTTTTTTCTGAGGCGACAGGGGATGAGAAAGAATTCCGGTATCTAGGTATCTATCTATCTGGTCTGTATTGAGAAATTGCCATCATGTGCAGTTATTATAGTCTACTTGGTGTGAATATATACATCGTATGGCCAAGTTTGTGTAGGTAGTTACACTTGTGTATATAGTAGGTAGCTACATGTTTTAGGATTGTGAAACCAACTAAACAACACGATTGTAACAGACCAGACTACCTACCCAGGTTCTATTTCTGTTCCTGACCTGCCAAGGTGTCACGACCGTTTCGAGGAACCGGATCGGCTCGGCTGGATGTCTTCATTCTCAAGGTACGGAGTACTTCCAGTTCTGTCTTGTCAGTGTCTGTATCTGTCCGTGTCTGTCAGCGGTACCTAGAACCACAGGATAAAGACTCGCTACCACTAGGGTCCTCAGTTGGTACCTACACACTCTAAGCAAGTCATCGTTGCCAGAAGATAGGATTCAATCTGCACATTCCGATCTAGCACCCAGAAACTCTATATGTTCCGTTCAGTTAAGTTCAATGATCTCATGAATTTTTATTCTCAATCCTGTCTGTCTATAAACAAAGCAAAGCAAATGCAATCCAAACTCTCTCAGCAAAAAGAAAAAAAGAGAAAAGAAAATGAAAACAATCTAGTTAGGTAGTTTCGACATGGTCACATCAGCCATACTTATACTATACATGGAGATAATATGGAAATAAACATAAGGAAAATCATTCAGATCCTTTCACCGTACTTTTCCTGCTTCTTTCTTTGCCGTTGGGCAAGGAAGGATGAGGGGAGGGACAGTTAACGATGAGAGCCGACTGAGGTGCTTCTCTTCGAAATACTGTCCCCAGAACAAGTCCAGAAGGCAGACGAGCAGGGTGAGGATACCGGATATGCATATGTAATAAAGACGAAAGAAAAAAAAAACAATAAAACAAACAAAAAAAGGAAACCATAAAACACCTCGTATGCATAATCGCGTATAGTTGGTAAGTTAGGCGGAAAGAAAGGGGTGAGAGTGGGAATGCCACTCCCGCTGATTGGATTATCGTCACATTTTCTTTTTCTTTCTTTTTTTTTTTTCGTTTTGATTTTCTTTCCCCGAGGACGGGGTGTGATGATTGGCTGTGGCTATGGCTATGGCCAGTCATTGCCATTCCGGCATGCAAGACAAGAAGCCAGGGTTGTGATTAGATAAAGAAAACGACAGAGGGGGTATCAAAATCGATCCGATCTCACTCGGTTCATGAGAATCTTGATAATCCAAGAAAAAGGGGTGCTGTGCAAGCGAAAACAGAACAAAAAAAATCAGAGGCACTAGACAATAAGGAAAGGAGAGACGCTTCATTTACAGTCTCTCTTTCTCGTATGTATTTGGTGGGTGGATGACATCCTCGGTGTCGTAATTCATATGCCTGAATGTCTTGCGTGGTTCAAGACTGGTTGAGCATGTGAGGAGACGGCATCGACTCCGAGGAGGTCTGCTCGACGTCACTGAAAGGCGACTGTCTTTGGGGGTCGAGGTCGGATCCGCCGTTTCGCATTTGGTTTCTCAAAGCGGGGAGTTGTCGCCTCCTTGCATTAATGAACCAGTTGCTGATCTGTCGGTTTGAAACGGTTAGCCTTGCGGATACATTTCCCCATGCAATAAAATTGTCATCCCCACCCCCTAAACAGCAAAATTACAGAACAAACTTACCTGACTGATCGTAAGCCCCGTACGGGTCATAAACATCTGCTTGTCCTCCTCGCTGGGATACGGATGGTCGAGATGCTCGTGGAACCAGGCGCGCAGGATATCAGTGACCGGCTTGGGCAGGTTCCCGCGTCGCCGTTTATTCCGCGAATCGGCCGGGTCGCCCAGGATGCCGAAATTGGATTGCGGGCCATGCGCTAACGCCTGCGGCGACGTCTGTTCGGAATCACTCTGGTACGCCATCCCCGAGTACGGGTACGGCATCACGGGCGCCCCGTTGGCGCCCACGTACGCTTCCGCGCTTCGTCGATCCCCCATCGCTCCGGGGTAGTTGGCTGCGGGGGCCGCAAAGGCGTGGGGAGGAGGACCGGAGCGCATGTCGTGCGCCGCGGCGTAGGGATCGGGACGCGCGAGGGCGCGGGCGTCGGGGAAAGCAGCGTTCGAAGGGTTCATTCCGCGGTCTGGGAGGGATTGCAGGTCCCGGATGGGAGGCAGGATGGGGCTGGGTCCGCGCGGGGAGTAGGTGGTAGGCGTTGAGCCGGCGGTCTGAGGTAACCGGGGATCTCTATGGGCCGCTATCGAGAAATCGCGAGAGGATTCCGCCGAGACACGGGACGGGGAGGCATAGGGTGCCCGCTCGGACATAAGCCGGTGGTTGGAGGACAGGTCATGGCTGGCGGATGCGGGACGTTCGTGCGAATGTTGCCGCGACGTGAAGTAGGAGGTTGATTCTATCTCGTCGTGAAGGTGAGGGGGGAGAAGCTGAAGAAATCCAAGTCAGTGTTCTGTTCGTACCTCCTGCGGATCTAAAGTCCGAGATACTCAAAGATCGCGGTCATCTTACCTCTCGGAATGAAGGGAGGGCTTGCGTATGATCAGCCGGAAGGCCGCTGGCGTATGAGATGGCCATGTTCTTGGAATCCTCGCCCAATTCACGGGGCTGGGACATAGACAGCGAAGATGGTGTTTGGTGGGGTAGAGAATACAATGGTGGAAACCGCCCGCTTGTGCTGTATAGTCACGGAAAACACCAAGATGCGTCCCAAAGCCGAATATCTGATAGTCGAAGTAGCCGGCCTGCGGCTTGTTCCACACAATCCAGGAAACCGTCACTATCGCGATCTGGCGAGAATCACCCTGATAGATAAGAAGGGACCCTGGGAGTTGGCGCGAACTCAGAGTCTAAGTCCTGGCGGGGAAGAAGGGGAGGAGATAGAATGAGAGGATGATTTGACCGGAGAATGCGAAAACCTGAAGATGCGGAATCCGAGGGAGGAATCAGTCGATGTATAAGAATAAGAAAAGAAACGAGAAGAAAAAGAGAAGAAGAAAAAGAAAACGAAGAAGAATAAAAAAAAAAATTAGGCTGTTGTGGTTCGATGGTAGAGAATCGAGGGAAACATGGGCAACAAATAATACTTACCAGGGCGTGAGTTAAAAGTACCTTGACATTGCCGCACACGATGACGATGGAGACAGCTGAACCAAGGTTATGCAAGGTAAGGAGTGAGGCAGCTCAACAATTGGATCTGGGCTGGGTGGACCAGATCTCTTCTTTCAAAGGTGGTTCGGGGTTCAAACAATTGGATTTTTTTTTTAATTTAATTTCCATTTTATTTTTTATTTTTTCGATTTTCCGATTTATTTAATTCCATTTCAATTTGAATTTCGAATTCCTTATTTTTAATTTTTTTTAGTTCGTTCTTTGGGTCATCATTTTTATTGTAAATTATTTTTAATTTCGCATTCCATTATTTTTTTAACTCTCGTCCGTCTATTTATTTTACTTTTTTGTCTGTCCCTATTTTCTATTCCCTTTTCTGGGGCCAACAGTCATTCCGTGAATGGGCAAAAAAGAGAAGAAAAGAAAAGGCAGGCCGACATCCTGCAAGACCACCCGTACTGTACTGTAGTTAACCTAGGTAGACACCCCAGACGCAGAAAAAGAAAAAGCAAAAATAAAACACAGAAAGACATGATTGAATCTCTGAAAACGCCAGACACCTGGCCCCCGTCAGCTGTCCCATAGTATTGACCAAGCCATACCAAGAAAAAAAAATAAGAGGGGGGAGAACAAAGAAAGAAAAAATAAAATAAAAGGCAAGAACAGGGGGGGGATCCTAGCAAAAACCGACGATCGTGGGTGGGTGTGGATACAATAGCCACAACCTATGGAAACCACAGTCTACCGTCACTCACTCCGTCGGTATCCAAAAGGCATGCAGAGAGAAGACTAACTAAGAGAGGGGGGGGCCGGCTTCAACAATGAGGGAGGGGGCGAGAGTACACCGTAGGTAGCCAGGTACTGTAGGTAGGTAAACTAACTAATTAACTACCGTAGGATTCGTATTTTTATTTCATTTTGTTTCAATCCTTTATTCCTCCGTATGTGTTGGAACTTGGAAGGGAGAAGACCAAAAAAACATATTCCATAGTGTCGGAGTAGAAGAATACTCTGTAATATCAAAAGATGAATGACCCCATATTAATTCCCAGTATTATTAACATTTAATTAATGTTTAATCTGTTCTCCGGGCCCTACTAAACATGCTCATCCTTAAGGTTGTCCGTGACAGATGGTGCCAAGGGATCTGGAGGAGATTTCCCAGGAGGGAAGGCACCAGTCACCAGTCACCACTAGGTACTGAAGGTGTCGAAAAAAAGACGATTTAAATCGTCTGAGGCGGCGCCGCGGAAAAAGAACAATTCAGAGGAAAACACCCTGGCCCTGCCTTTCTTGAAGATCGTCTGGCGGTACATCCTGCAACTGCTACTGTAGGTATGTATGTATGTCCATAGGAATAATGTTTCGTTGCCGCCCTAATTCCCGGAATGAAGAGGGGAGCAAATTTCACCCGAAAGAGGCGCACCAGTGCCACACATAGTTTAGGATTACTTGTCCATTTCATGTGGTGGTGTTCCCCTTTCCCCTTTCATGACTCGAGTACCTACAGACCTAGTAGATCTCCAACACCCGTCAACCGCGCTCCTCCCCCATGAACAGCGAGCGAAATCGACAGAAAAAGGGGGAGAGAATGACAACATCATCAGTTTAAGTGTACACCAGCACAAAACATAGATGAAACTCTCCTAATTGATAATTAGGTTCACGTCTCCTTTAGAACTTCCAGAAACGAGCTAAATCCGTCTAGTCCCCATCTTTCTCAAACAGTGATGGATATTTTTGTACTATCGTCGGTTAGTGTTTTAGCGGACTTAAGACCACTAGGTAATGACCTCATGACTTGGGGTAAGTCACTCTGGTATTTTTATCTGACGGTGGCGACCGACCGCGATTTGGTTTCCCCCTGGCCGGGCTGCCACTTTGTCATCGCGCCTCTGCTAAATTAAATGCGGTATTAAGTGGGGATTGATTGAAGGGGGTGGGAAGCTAGGGAAAAAACAGACGACCCGATAAATGGAAGGAAGAAGGGGGGGAAAAAAAGAAAAAAAGAAAAGAAAAAGAAAAAGAAAACCCACTGTACCTGAATCAAGAAGGCGGAAAAAACTTCCCGCAGTTCCTTAAGTGACCTGTGATTGATCGAACCAGACTTGTGCCAAAAGTAATAACGCTCCTGTGGCAAGATAACCAGGATGTACTTGTATGTACATAGGTAGGGAGTAGTATCCGGCAACGCCATCCTACCCGAAGCAGCTAGATGCTTACCACCAGTGCAAAGGCGACTGCAGCAAAGGAGCAAGGAAGTCAATCGTCTCACAGAGGAACGGTCCGGAGCAGGTATAGCTGCAAAGTCTAAAAAAGGGAGGGAGAGAAGAAAGCGGGGCGTCTTCAAGAGTTCACCTTTTGTAGGAGGCAGTTGGAACTTATACGGCGTACGGAGTAAATAAATCGAATCCACCCGCATCTGAGCTGCAAGTTTATACCCTGAGTAAGTCGATCGACTCAACTGGAAGGAGACTTTCACAGGTGGGAAAGAGAAAAAAAAATTAATAATACAGGAAGTATTAAAAAAGAGGAGCGATCGCCCACTGTCCCTCACTGAGTCGGATCCACATCGCTTGGTGTGTCAGTCAGTCAGAAGTGGTTAAGCCAACTAGCAGAGATCACATAGTCGTAGCTTGTCCCAGACGGTGGGTTGAGGGGAGGAACAAATAAAATAAAAATCATAATTCAAAGAAAGGAGGGTGGATGGATGGGATGAATCCCGTAAACTGGCTGCAGGATCCGTCTCTTCCCGCTGCAAGGTGATTAACGGGCCAGTTCGATCGAGGTCTGAGAGAGGGGGAGGAGAAGAATGGAGATCGATCACACCGAAAGCAGAGTGACAGACAGGCAGCAGGGGGGGTGTATTGAAGGGGTGGACGGGGAGGAGAAGGAGAGGGAAAGAAGTGCGAGGTGACAGAAGCCGACTAACTCACGTCGAGTCTTGGCTCGTCGACAAGATGTTCCAACTTCCTGGACAGGGAAGGCCCGATCGCCGAGGGGTTCCTCTCCAAGGACCCCACCCATCTTCTTTTCGAGATGAGCTGCCATCGCTGGTGTGCCCAAGACCCACCTCTTCCGCCACTGTATGTACACTGTCGGACTACTCAGTACAGTGTACACCGTTTACTTTTCATCATCCCAAGCATTCGATAATAAAGTCATAATTGACACCTTGCGAGGTCAAGGGTTAAATTATCAACTTCATCGTTGCCTCCCTTGATCAACGGAGATTTAAAAAAAAAATAAGAATAAAAAGAAAACCTCCACCATTTTTGCTTTATTGCTCTTGAAATCCCGGAATATCCAACCCGCCTTGCTCCCCTCGTCTCCGCACGGCTACCCAGGCACATGCGATGTACAGCATATTGCTATATCAAACTCCGGTATGGACAACAAAGGACAAGGGATGGACGCTCGTCCCTCAAGGGCGAAAAAAAACCAAAAGGGTGTGACCAGGGAATTTAGCCCAACCCATGCAGATGAAGAGTGGCCGGCCATGATTGGTGTAAGGGCACCCATCTGTTATGCAAGATCCATTGCCCGTGCATATGACATCTCAGGTTGTCGGCTAGGAGGTGGGTAATGGGCCAAATTGACATGCCACCAGGGCCAATCACCCAGGTCCTTTGTTCTTTTTGCCCCCCTGTCTCTTAATTCGGCCCTCTTATGCCTCCTCCCTGGACCAACTAGTCATCACCTTAGCGACTACTACCTTACCGTGGACTGCCCTCGTCATCATCCATCGTTGTTATACTCCGTACGGAGTGGTGATAACTGGAAATTAATCCATGCGACCGAAAAAAGAAAAGAAGGTAAGTATCGGAGGCTGGTCAGTAGTCACAGCTCGGGTGATGTGTTTCCTCCGTTACCGAAGAAGAATCTCACACGTCAATCATCATCAAAATTCATTAACGTCCATAAGCCATATCAAATTAATACTCGCATCTGAGTTTGATCTTCTTGCAAATCTTTTGAAATCCTTTTACCTTTTTGGCCAGATGATGGCAAAACTATTCAGCCACGAGGATTACCCGTTCCAAGGTTCGGCTTAGCTGATCGATGGGTCGCTGGAGTTTAATCATAGAAACAACCACGAGAAAGGATGCCATGAGGAGAGGTGACAGGAACGACATCTGGACCCATGGACGCCCGCGGTTACAGCAGAGACAAGGCCGATCATTGCGCAAACGGGGAAGGTGGATGGATCATGGATCATGGATCATGGATCACCGAGACAGTGTCTGACGCTCTAGTTTTCCCACTTCCCTCCACCAAAAGGGGGTCACGGTGGCACCTGTCCAGTACGCGAGACGCGAATCTATCCCTGGGTGTGGTTGTCGTCGCCTTGTCAGGATCCAGGAACGTTTCGGCGGATACCGTCCAGAGGCGCAGTGATGGTGGAAAAGCTGAAATCAGGCCACCGACTCAGTCAATCAACGTGGACAGCTGAAAAATGGAGATGGACCGAAATTGATTTCGGTCGGGTTAGCGCGATTGTCTCGACTCGATGCGCCAGTCACGAATCACCGGTCTGTGACGCATCTCCACCTGCTGGAGACGATCGGAAACTCCATCAGATTCGGACCCGACTCATTGGTTCTGCTGCTCCTTAGGACCGAGCGTGACGTCCAATGGAGGGCCTCCTGGAGATCGTGAACTATGACTGGAGGGTGAATAAGTCAAATGGTTAATTAATTGTTCCTTCGCCCATTAATTAATCTAACAGAATTTTCATTCTGGTCAAATCAACGCGATGAAGTGGTCGGTAGCGCACGTCATGCCGGGCTGGTGCCTGAGGTGGCAGCGTTCTGGAAGGCTTAAATAGATTAATTGCGATTCCTCGCCGATTCATTCCCGAAGGTGTCAATCTTCAATGTCCACTCTTGTTTCATTCTGACAGGTTTTCGATATTGTTTGATACTGACTTCATTTCAGGGCGACACTGGAAACTCCAAAATCACTCCAACGCCGAGTCAGAGAATCGGATTTACCGAGCCCTTCCTGTCAGTTGGTCAGTGTGAACAGGGGGTATGCCAAAGAAGAGGACCGAAAAAGAAAAAAAAAGGGACAAAACCCAGCCTTGTTCGGCCTGTCTCCGTCGATCCAGCAAATCTATCGGGAGGATCCCTCCTGTCGGAAGGAATAGCATCAATTATCAAACTACCCAACTCAACAAAGAGTATAACCTCCGGACTGATCTCTGGAAAGAGAAAAGGAGGATCGCCGGCTTGCTCGAGATGGTAGGCAGGGCCGCGCCGGAGGGAGGCAGAGTTTGGTACGGCCAAAGAGGAGAGACTCGAAGCAACAGAGTTTCTCTGGTTCGACCCATGGCCCAAAACCAAGCCGAGCATCCCCGTCCGAGCCGGAGCTAAACGAAGGCACCTCCCTCGTGGTTTGGCGGCGCCCATTATTTGTCATGGAATTTGACACACAGGGGAGAAGGACGACGGTTGACTGACTGAATCAGGGTAGCCACCTACGGAGTAGTTTCATGCTATTTGAGGCTGTTTCCAATTCTTTGGATGCAGGATTGCAGCCGCGTATCGGGGAGTGTTTCGATGCACAGACTCCTTCTTGAAGAGGCTGGTAGGAAGTTGGAGCATCGCAGTTGCTGCCTACAGACCATGCAGGGAGAGGGAAGAACCAGCCGCCAGCTGGTGACGAGTAATCACTAAACACCACCTAAAGTCCTGAACGCCACCGGGGAGGGGCGTGTCGGGAATGCCCCCTGCGGCTTTAGTGCGCCCTGGCTGGCTCCCAGATCCCTCGATCGCGCTGCTTGGAGTAAGGGCGACAGGCAAACGCCGATGGATGACGCTCTGGTGAAACGGAAGCATGGATCCAAAAATTGTCCATGTCCAAAGGCTTTGTTCTAAGTTCCGCTTCTGTCAGTCGAGTCAGGGAATTTGTCACCGCTCAAAGTCAACTAAGTTAGGGTTGACAATCCGTCGTGACTTGGTTCCCCCTTCTCCGACAGCCGGTGGACGTTCTTATTTTTTGCAAAGTCTATTCGATGTTTATTTTTATGTTCCAACTTCTGGATCCTCTGTCAAGTGTCTTCCGAACACGAGCAACACGCGCACCTTTCCACTCCGGGTCATCTCGTGTGTCCAGGAGTCCATCGTCCATGGTTCATGCTTCACATCCGTCTCCGGTTCGTTCCAAATTGGTCGTTGAAACCCTCTGGAACCCAAAACTGACATCATTTGAGTTCCAAAATGTCTCACCGTCCCATCCAATCCTCTCTTCCCCACGAGTACATCCGCATCAAAATCCCCCGAAGTTTTCCCAATTGCTGCTAAGTTAAGTTCAGCCCGGTTCGTGACCCCGTAATGTGTTTTCAATAGTGCCTGCATAGTGCCAACCTTAGCCCTGAAAGGCTGTCCAATGACGCCCCCACTTCGCAATGCCTTCTAGAAATATACTAAACTAGCCACTAGGGCGCCCCCTGCCACGCCTCGGATCATTCCACTTTTTCGCTGAATGTCACGAACTATGGTTCCTTGACTCGGGCTCCTTTTTGTGTATTTTCATTTTGGTTTTCCTTTCCTGTGCGGATGATCGACGTCAGATTTCCCTGCATGTCGGTCACGTCGGTCTGTCTGACTTTGGTGTTTGGATCTTCCACTTGCCTCATTTGGTCATCTCGACCGTTGGTTCGTGCTGCATATCCCTATCGACTATCGTCTTTGGCCATGCGCTTGGGGAAATGGGGGTGAGAGAAACTTCACACTATCGATTTTCAAACCCGGTTCGAGTCCTGACTGAAGACTCTGACCTTCCTGCTGGGTTCCCATGTGGCTGATCGAGACATTGTTCACGATCCTTGCTTTGAGTTTTTGACCGCTGTCGCTTTCTTTTCTTTTCTTTTTCTTTTTCTTCTTCTTTCCCTGGGTCTTTGATTGAGATCTCCTCCCCTTTTTTCGTCTCTCCCCAGGTTAACTTGCATGGTACACTGGGCAGTGAGCAGTCCGAACAGTTGAATGGTTCGCCCCGAATGTCGGCGATCAGCTGGTCGGGTCATGCCGACCGGTTTTTGGGGCTCCTCACTCCGCCATCTTGACGGATGTCGTGATCTGTCCGGGTCAGGGGATTCGGCATTTAGCTGTCTCCTATTACTCTTCGCGACAAGGAGAAAACCTTGGTTTTGCGTCGCCACGTTGAATCTGTCTGCCTAGATACGAGTTCTTCAGAGGTCAGTTCCCACGACAACTACGACTCAAAAATCCGATATTGACTCCGCCGCTGATGACGATGACTTGGATTTTCTCGTTTCTTTGCTTTTCCCCTTTGTCTCTCCGATATTTACATCTCGACTAGGGAATGTCACCAGGTCCTGTCATTCCCTCATGCTGTGCCTCTGCCGAATTCCAATCCAGCCTGGTCTGGCGGTATGCATAACACTAGGTATACCCGTGACCCAGGGAATGGCGTCCCAAATAATGAATAGCCGGCTTTCCAGTCGATCTTGAACACTCCGCGGGAGATTTGCTGTCCAATGCCATGGTTGGCAAAGCATGTCCCTGTCTATCATCATCTCGTCAACCGCTGACCGGAATGAAGTCATCTGATCCTGGACCGGAGATTGGTAATGCTAGTGCCACGTGAACTTGGTGTCGAGGGCTCATGTTCAAGTCTATCGGGCATGGGTCTGGTGAGACAGCCGAGGCTAACTCGAGGCAACTATGCTGCACGATGACTTTGGCGTTGGTGCGAGACTTGATGTTTTCAGACAAGCATGCAGCGTTCTTGCTCTCGATGCGCTGGCTGTTGCCAAATACCGGAGAGGAGCTCGTTGGCATGGAAATGCGTCTACTATTCCCAACTCACGATCTTTGTGCGGGTTTATTGGAACCTAGTCTTCGTATCAATGAGAGCAGGTAGCGGCATAGCGATCGAGAGTAAACTGGTTTATACCAAGGGAGGAAAGAGAGGAAACGCAGGAAGCAAAACGTAGAGAAAATCGCGGTACGAGATGAGTGGACCGAATCAGGTTCAGCATGTTACTTCTGCCATTCTAGGTATACTTGGTTTGAGATCCTTCGTCTCCTGCCTTTGTAACCTACGACTAGCCATGGATGTGTCTTACAGAGTAGATAATACAATACTATCAAATGACACCGACCACATATTGCTAAAATGTACAGTAATTGTATACCGTCGGGACAGCTTAGTGAAGACAGTCTCTCTCGGGTCTTCGCTTGTCTTTCGAAAGTTCTCCAAACTTAGTAATAGCTAGTCACTTCAACGGGAGGATATGTAGACTAATTCGGAGTCTCTACCACAGCACGTACACGGAGAGACTGCTGTATATTGTTTACTCGGCCCATGGATTATACAAAATAGGCAGAGCAAGAGAAAAAAACACAGGAAAAAAAAAATAAATAAACTGATGACTCTAAGAATCAATCATTCGCCCTTAGCTTGTGTAACAAAGAAAAAAGATATCAGAAATTTCGACAATTGCAAGATTCGACTGCGCACTGGAGAACGCGCTGACTATGGTTGTCAGGACAATAAATAGCAGGCGCGCGCGCCTTGACGACTCGCCAAAGCTGTTATTATTCAAAACTGTTCGTGATCTAGGCATTGAAGATAGAAGGAAGGATTTTTGAATGAATCATTTGGTCGAATTGTTGAAGATGATGATCAATTATCTAGTATTTTGTCTCCGTTTCTCTCTCTCTCTCTGTGTCTCTCTTTCTCTGCTCTGAATGGTTTGAGTTTGCAAATCTCCTTGTCGTACAAAAAGTGTTTCATGACTTCTTGTTCACTTCGAAAATGTGCTAGATGGAATATATACAATTCTTTCAATTGAATCCTAATCACAACTTTAACCATGATAGTTGACGGGAAGGTACTCCTCTCTTCCTTCCTTTTTACATATCTCCCTTCCTTTCTAGCCTCCTACCTACCTTCCTGCCTTATTTAAACTGCAAAGCTACCTGAATCAGAACATCTCCGATTCAGATGACAGCTGACGCAAATCATATAAACTTCAGGATAGATATGTACCCATCCACTGAACCGGATCTTGGTACGTAGCTTTAGGAGGCAAGCTTAACCAACATCGTCGGGGCCCGGGGACTCCGAGCCCGGAGATGGTTCGGCTCTTACCTGAATTAAACCAGATCAGCCCTAAGTTAGAGTGCCTGGAGGGAATCCGAGGCGATGGGATATGTCCATGGAGAAAGGTTAGGAACAATACCTAAGGAGGCGTTTGTTGTATACGTTGGCTAGGGGGGTTATATGGTTATGGAGAGAGGAAAAGGGAGGAAGACACGGTCAAGGCATCGTTGCGATTGTACCTCTATGAGTTACTTGCTTCACTGTGTGGCTTTATTGGGGGGAATGTCTGTTAACTGTGGAACGATAAGTAAAGCTGCTACATGGCGGATTGCACCTCGGGCAGTGAAAGCGTTGATTGATTCTCCTGGACAAGGAAATCCGATTTTTCTTCTTCCTATAATTATGTTCAGGCATAGGCAGTGACCTACTATGCTGAGTCTTGATCGTATCATGATTCCAGTAGGGTTAGGGTATTGCAAAATACGATATTGTATATAGAAACAGCCTTCCTTTCTGTCCTCAAAGCACCTGTCATACTTGATTTCAAATCGAAAAGAGACGATATGGTTGCCGAGGCTGGATACAGATTAGGTTGGGCTCTAAGAGCGTGGTCTGGACAAGTTTGTTTCCTAATCTGCTAGTCATTCAGTTAACGTCAGTCAATATAAACGACTGTAGGGAAAGGAACGAGTATTATCGACGCTTGGATAGTTCACGTTATATCTTTAGAGTTGCGTTTACCTTAGTTTCCATAACATAGCAAATAAGATAGAACAAAGTCACGATCTACTTCCTTCCTACTTCGATACCTTATCTGCCACAATCCGTGCCAGAAAGAGGAGAAAGGAACGAGTAATCCTAATTTTTTTGGGTTAAATCTAGGTTAAGTCATCTGTGGTACTTTACCATAACCTAGATTGAGCTGCGAGAATTCATTTCTTGCCCTGAGACTATCTACACGACCACCAACTCTGTTCGCCTCCCCCTGACGTAGGAGAAATACCTTCGTTTCGATGAACTTCCAAAACACCTGTCACCTGTCACCAGCGTGGATCCTATAGTTTACCTTAGATGATCATCTCGGGGCGCGCGGACTTTTCATCTATGATGTCTTCACATTTGATTGACTTCTTTCTAGACAAAGTCAAGGAAATCCGACCTGACTCCGCCAAAAAAAAAGCCACACCCGATCACATGGAAATCTGCCCGTCTCCCTACTGTACTAGGTACTTCCTTAAACTTCAACAGCCAATAACTACCTTTGTCAGACAATGTTTCATCTCGACTATCCGCAACTCACTCCCCGGATACGAATATGGTAGTCATACCCGATGGAGAAAGACCAATTGAGTTTCATGGTGCCGTGGGTGTTGAGATGCCACTGGGAACTTTGCTTGATATTTCGTTTGGATCGTGTGGATGTGGGTTTTGGGTGTTGTGCATTGGGATGTTGCATGAGGGGGTTGTTGGTGGTTATGAATGTAGGTAGGTTGGTTGGTTTTCTGGGGAGGGTTTCTGGATGAGTTGGTGATGTTTGGGTTACTTTCTGTGCCTCTGTTTCCTTTTTCTAGTGTTCTTCTTTCTGTGCATTATTTTATTTATGGTAAATTATTTATGTGCGTACTGCGTGATCACTTCAATGACTCGACTGAGTTATTGAGAAGCGAAGCATGTCGATTTGAGAAAGCCTCGGTAGATTCATGATATGCAAGATTAGATTGACGCTTTCGGCCGAATCCCATAATGGTGAAATCGAAAGTCTCCGGATGAGAAAGAAGAAGAAAAAGACAGCAAGAGAGATAGAGTTAGGAGGGTGGGGAGAGAGCTGGGTTTTATCCTTTACCTAGGTAGCCTGGACATGCGAGTCTTTTGGCTTCTAATAACTTGCATTAAATGAAGTAAATATACCTATGCATGCGAGACTGTATAACTCTTCGTTTTTAGCAATCGCTTTCGTCGTTATTTCAACTGGATGATTTCATTCATTCTTGGTCATTTGTAGCTTTCTCTGGATCAGTAGAGTACATATACACAGAAAGGAGCATAGTGATGAGGAGAATGAACATAGGAATGAATCTACAAGGAGAACTGGAATGCATGAATATGGGGCTGGGATAGGTGGATAAAATGGAACAGAATAAAGTTGAACAGAAGAAATCAAGAACCAGATAACCATTACCTTTTAGACCATGTATCATTAGACAATAGAGCCTACGTGACCACGACATCGAATCCTTTCGCTATCATAATACCTCCCCAACCTTGATTCAACCAGCTGTCTATTCCTCATAACGACCTTCACGAGCCATCCTATAGTATCAGAACCTACAACTATAACAGTTTCACCCAGTGGGGCGGGGTTGATTAAAAGGCACGCGCATGCCCACATTCCTACTTGAAAACTCTCCCATCCAACCGCCAAACAATATAAATCAGTATGTAAATCCCATGGATTAGGTATTGCTACCATATGTATCTAAATAGATAAATGCACAGCCTGATCCCGAACAGACAGCAAATGAACACGTCCCGGCACAGCCGAGAAAAAGGATAATGGACATAGACAGATAGACAGATCGAGAAGCAGAAAAAAAATAAAAAAGAAAAGAAAAACAAGAAGCCACCCCGCTAAAAGCACGCAGATATCCAAGACCATAGACAATAAAAAGAAAAAAGATGAAATGGTATGTTGATCGGCGTATGTCACGGCTGATGTGCAGATGCAGACCGGATCAAATATATGACCAGACATAGCAGATGATAAGGATGCAATATGGTCGGTTGAAGTCGACTCAACCGATGAGGATATGAATATGACACGAAAAGATGTACAAATTGTGGTGTAGATTGGTTTACCAAGTTTCCTGTGAGGTTGTTAGTGAGTGAAGTTATTCGTATTGGTAGGGGGTTGCACTCACGGCAATGTATTGGCCTGCTTCTTTCTTGTTCGCCCAGAACTGCTGGGCTTCTTCCACGTTCAGGTTACCCTTGGCCATGGCGACGTCGACCAGAGCGGCCTCGACACCCTCGCCCATGCCCTTGCCGCTACCGCAGACGAAGACCCGTCCGTCCAGCGCGTTGATGACGAACCAGACCAGATCGGCCTGGTGACGCACCTCCTCCTGAACGTACATGCTCTCGCCGCGACGGCTTTGGACGACCGTGCGCACCTTGTCCTCGTCGACGCCCCATTCGCCGCGGTAGAGCTCGTCTAGCAGCGAGTCACGGACACCCTGGAGCACCCAGACCTTGTTGGCACAGTTGGCCGACTGCAGGCGGCGCTGCACGAAGCCGCGGAAGGGCGCGATGCCGACGCCGGCGCCGATCAGCAGCATGGGTCCGTCGGAGGCGAACCGCTTGGCCAGCGGGTTGGCCATCAGGCCGCGGAACATGGGGACGTGCAGGTCGAGCGTGCGAGGGTCGATGCCGCGCTTCTCAGCTTGCATCACCTGCTGGGCCAGGCGCTCGAGATAGCCAGATCCCACGCCGGTCCGCATGCCGCCCTTCCAGTCGTCCGACTCGGCCACGCTGACGGCCACTTCGACCAGACGACGGGGCTGAGCGCCCTTTGTGCACGAGAGCAGGGGGTCCTGCGAGAGAGAGTAGAAGCGGGGCATCAGGGTGTTCAGGACGGAGAGGAGGTGGTCAAGAGGGGGCTGCGAGGAGGGGAAGGCGTGCAGCAACTGCGAGACACTGACGTGCGACGCGGTACGGAGATCGCAGAAGGCGCCCTGACCCTGGGCGGAGGAAAGGAACATCAGGATCTGCTTCTCGTTGATGTCGCTGGCATACTCGGCAAGCAATCGGAAGAGGCCCTTGGTAGGAGCGTAACTCTGGATATCTGCGCACCAGTTGAGAAGCTCTCGGCGGGTGGTGATCAGCTCGCGCGGCTTGTCGTCACCCCAGATGGTCGGCCAGCGGCCCTTGGTGGTGCGCACCGAGACCTTCTTGTCTCGGATGGACTTGGGAACACCCAGCTGGTTGAAGATGTCGTCGACCTCTTCGTCCTTGTTTCGGGGGCACACGCCAATGGCACCGCCCACGACGAAGTCTACCATGCCGCTCTCGGCGGGATAGTCGGTCACGTCGATATCAAAATGGTACGTTCGCTTCTCGGCACCGGGCTTGGTGAGCTCCCGGGCATGATGCAAGGGAGCACGGTACACATTGTACGGAGGGTGAGGCTGGACGAACGGAGGCGGGTGATCCGCGGGTCCCAGCTGCATATCCACGGCAGATGCCGGAATAGCCGAGAAGGAGACGGTCTTCTCGGGGAGCTCGACCACGTTGGTCAGCTCGCTGTCCATCGTGAGATAGTCCACATTCAACTTCAGATCCCGGTAGGCCTTGTTGTCGGGGGCCGTGATAAAATTAGACCCGGAAACAGGTTCCGAGGTCCTCCGCAAGGGCTGACTGCGGCAGCATCCACCGCCACAGCACAGAGGCTGCACCTTCTGGGTGCCTCCAATGCCGACATTCTCCAAGAGCCGTCTCATGTCCTCTGAGTTCTGGGAGATGAGGACGGTGGAGGCGCGGCGTTCACGGCCAGAGTCATCGTCCCCGACAGACTGCTTGCGTGCTAGGGTTTCAGTGTCCGACTGGAGATCCGTGGCGGGCGTCGAGGGCGACTGCGAGTCAGAGCTGGACTCAGTATCCTGGGAGGCAGCGGCAAAGCCATTGAAGGTCATATCAGTCACCGATAAGGATCGGACGCCGCGAGGTTCCTCGGGAACCGGGTTATCAGGATGAGAAGTGGACGACACGGGAATAGCCCGGTGGTCTCCATTGATGGTGGGCGAGGACCTCGGCGCATTGGTCCTCACCGGGGGTTCAAGTACTGCGTGAACTATTTCATACAATCATTGATGAGCAATTGGTCTTGCTGATGGGATGAAGATAGAAAAGACCGGGGTGACACGGCCGATAGATAGCCGAGCAGGGGGGGGGGGGGGGGGGGGGGGGGGGGTGATCACATACCCATTGGGCCGGTTAAAGCTTGAGGAAAAGATATGTAGATGAAAAGGAGTTAAAGATGAGAGTATGGCAAGACTCCAGGGAGTATAATTGCAGAGTCGAGCCTTGGAGAAAATATGGAGGAGATGGTTGGAGGAGGTATGGTTTAAAAAAGACAGAGCGGCCAGAAAAAGCAAAAACAGGAAAAAGAAAAGGAGAGCAGACGGAACCGAACGACTGGGGACGGACTAAATTAAACGGGTGGGACGGTTCAATCCAACGTTTTATGAGCCGATCTGACTGATCGTAGGAAGGAATGCAAATTGCAGACGCTGGGGGCGAGCGGAAGGGAAGGGAGAGGCAATCGACGATTTTCGGGCCTGGGGCAAAACCGGGATGGCGGTTCCGCTGGGCGCTAGAGAATGATGCGTCCTTATTAATAGTTAATCACCGGAGCTGATCATTCGGGATCGCTTGTCTGCTTTGGGAGACGCCAATGATTGCTTGACAGGAAGACAGCGGAGGAACTGCAGGTTAAATAAAACAGATCAGATAGGACGGGGTGAAATCAGAATGATGTGGAGAGGGCAAAAGCGAGGAAAAGAAGGCGGGAAAAACGCACACAAGCGATGCTTTCTTTCTTTCAACCAAGTGGCAAAACTTTGGCAGCGGGAAAACGTCATTACCGCGCCCGTACCGTCTGTAACTTTACCCGCTACGCATCTGGCGGAGTATACTCTGCCTGGGTGAGATCGAGGGGATATTGGAGAGTGTCCTCCCTCCAGTCTCCGTTTGATCCCCTCGGCGTGCTGACTATGACCCCCAAAATGATAGGACGACGCAGACCCTGGACCATCGTGGAGGTTGACACTTGTTCAGATCTGCAGCTAGGCGGGAGAGATTACTCTAGCGGGGGGGGGTTCTTTGCAGGAGGCTAAAAAAACCAACAAGTCAAAGTCTTGGGCAGTCCCCATCCCCGGGAGCTACTACGGACTTCTCTCCAGACTCCCGGAGGATTTGTTTACTCAGAAAGGGGAGAGCTCACCTTTCTTTCCTGGTCTGGCGAGTCCATCCATGAGGACGGGTGGCGTATCGGTATGTAACGGCACGGCAGCCGAATACGGTATCGATCTAATCTGATCCGGTTGCGACCATCCCTTGGATTTTTTGTCTTTCGAACATTCTTACTACAGTACGCAGTATGTGAACGAGTCAACTCTAGCCCTGTCCCATGAAGCTGCAATGGGTGCCTGATGACTGCTCACGGTCTCAGGAGTAAGCTAAGAATGACCCGACCCCTGTCAACCCATCCCAACAACCCCCTTTCGGCTGTCGGGCCCTACGCCGGCACGTGATCGCACGGAAGCCAGCATCCGGATCAGATAACTCGTTACAGGCATCCTTTTGCTCCGAGTCACCCCACCCGGCGTCACCCCATCCTCAGACATTCATTCCTGTCGTCCCGGCAGTCACCCCCTTTTTCCTCTCGGTTGTTTGCTTGCTTGGAATTCATGTTCCGTCTGTCATGTAGTTATTCTTCCCTTGGTCCTCGGATGTCCAGAATACGGGATCCCAGGATACTTGCAGATGTCGATTGCCGCCGTCCGCAGCCGGCTATCATGTGACACGTCAATAAACCGGGTGGGGCGCGGCCGATGTCGGCTCTGGATCATATCAATCTGATAGCCACCGGATGTGTCATCGGCTTTCTGGCCTGCCGTTTCGGGCAGGAAGTTGCTGCAGGCCAAAGACAGTCGGTCTGCTGCCCAACTTTTTTCAATATTGTTTTAGTTTATCTGTAATTGCTTTTTCTGTCCCGTCGCCGGATCTTTTCTGGAAGTTCGACGATGCTGATCATCGGCTTGCTTGTCCGATTGCCAGCTATGATCTAACCCTGACTTCTTCATGCTGTAAAGTATAATACCTTAAAGATTCAAATACGACGATATGAGAATTGGACAGCCATATCAACCTGACAGACGTACCGCCGACTAACTCTACTCTGTTTTCTGTCCTACCTCAACTGAAACCCAAACAGATTCCGTTCCAAACCTCAAGATCAAACAAAATCAAACTTAAATACGGAGTATTTTTAAGGGGAAAAAAAAGCCTCAACGTCCCGTCCCGTCTTACCTGTCTCCGGTGTAGACTCTAGAACTCGTTTGGAGTCTCCACTTCCAATCCAGAGCCTCCGTATGGAATCCGTACAGTATAGGATTACGGGCACTTCATTCCCCTACGGTGTAAGTAGTGAGCATCAAACGCGGCTCACGCCCACGAATGGGAGTTCTAGCCGTCATCCGACCCGTTCTTCGGCTTATCTGATTGAAACTAAGACCGTCTGTTTGGGTCATGCACGCTAGACCGGGGAGTTTGGTCTAGCCGGTCTGTTTGGGTATGTCGTGTCTCTGAGTTGAGTAGTCTACAGGTCCAGGGTCAGAGACAGGACTCCCTACTCATCATAATATTAATCTAGTTGGTCGGTTAAGTAGACTGGTCATGAAGGTCGTATAAAGTACCTCAGCAGTCAGCGCCTCAGCGTTCGGTATAAACCAAGCAAAGTTTACTTACGGTCACAGAGTCCTACTGCCCTTCATCGTCCTCGGTTCCACTACTTAGTTAACTCTTAGACCCGGACTAACTAAAAAAACGGAGCCACTGATTGATAAGTCGATAACTCTGGGCCGCGCAGATCATCAATGGTTTCTTGGATTCTTGCTGGGGCTTTGGGGCCAAAGACCCCCTTGACCTTGTCTGGCTGGGAGGATGAGAAACTAGACTGGCTTTGTGGGTACCTGCGGGTTGAGTTGCATGCTGGAGCGGGTTAGGGTTGGTTTTAGTCGGAGTAGGGGGTTTCTAGAAGACTTTTCTGGAGTGGTCTGGTCTGGTCGGCTGGCTGGCTGGCTGGCTGGGGTGAGTTGGACTGGTCTTTTTGGGTGTTTGGTTTTGGTGAAGATTGGTTTGTGAGTGTGGTAGGTCAAATGTTCAGTTAACCTGTCGCTGCAAAATAAATCCCATGCAACTCGCTTATTTTCCTTTTGCCCTTTGCTGCCTTTTTCTTCTTTCGTAACCTCTTTCAAGACTCACGAGTGTGTATTTAGCTAAGATAAGCTAACCTATGAGGACCATACCAAATCCTTTCTCAAAGCCACCTAGGTAGAAATAACGACTACCCTGAACCTAATCTTTCCAAACGCGATCCTCAATCCTCAAAAGCCCATCTCGTCCTCCGTACTTTTGTCGCTATCGCCTCACAAATTCTCAAGCTCTAGACCGAATCTGTCCCTTGCATAGTCACCGCATCGCCATGCGTCATGCAATACCTTTACCCTCCGACAGCCAAGACTAGCGGTGATGATGACGGTGAGTCTATGGATGATGGACTTACGCGTCGAGGTGCCCCGTGCGAGTGATATTCATTCAGACACTACAGAGTATGTAGATGCAAGTTTAGTTGGGCTATTTTAAGGATAGATTTTGGTGGTTAGCGTTGGTGTTCCAGGGTAACATGTTGTTTGGTTTTGAGTACTTGAGTGGGTAGTTGTTGGAGATATTCATTTGAGGTTTGGGGTATAACCAGAGGGGATTTATGGATTCATTCTGATCGTGGTCTTTCTTTTAAGAGGAGATGGCAACGTTTGCTGACGTGAGCTTCTTCTAGGCTTGAGTGTCGGTGTTTCTGCGTCGAGTTTCAACGCGTCACTTTGTAGCTACCAGGGCCCACGCAGCACATCGCTGTCGCTGATTACCCATCGTGATCAAACCTTGCCAACTAACAATAACCTCCGCATAGAACTCACGAAGTATAGAAAGAAAGTCCAGCTTCCTCATCCATCCAACATAACCACCACCCCTCTAACCCCCTAGCTATAGAAACAACGCACCACCTACCTCACTCACCGTTCCCTCTTCACCAACGCCACCGGCGCAATAAACTGCCCCCTCCCCTTAACCACATAATATACCGCCGCGAACCCAATAACCCCCAGATACATAACAAACCCCCAATTCATACTCTTTGGATCAAAGTCCCGACTGAGCGGAAAGAACGCAAACATGAAGATCGGCAACAGGAAGGCCAGCGAGACGATGTTGATCGCCATTCCGAAGGGGCCGAGGGACCAGCGGCGCGGGGGGAGCGGTTCGCGACGGAGGCGCTTCAGGAGGACGCAGCTGATGGAGAGGATGTAGGCGGACATGAGGGAGGTTATTGTGAGCGAGACGATGGCTTGGAGGGCAACGAGGGAGCCGATGTTGATGAGGGAGAGTAGGATAGTTACGCCGAGGGAGACGAGGACTGCGTTTAGGGGGATGTTCCAGGTTGGGGTGACCTGTGTGTTGGTTTCCGTTGTGCTTTATGTTAGTGGTAGGGAGAAGAGGAGGAGGGGAGGGACGTACGTAGGAGAAGAAAGAGGAGAATGGGACGCCGCCGTCTCGCGCGAAAGACCAGAGCTGGCGTGAGGCTGTCGCGACTTCGGTGATGGTGCTGGCGATTAGGGTTAGTATCAAGACGAATGTCATGGTGTTTGTCGCGGCGTAGCTGCGGGTCGTGTTTTGGATGATCTGGATGAATGGGTAGCCGGTCGGACTGGCGAGGATGGTGGTAAGGTCGCCCAGGGTGAAGCAGATGGTGATGATCATTGTGAAGCCGAGGACTGCATTGACGCCAACGGCGGCCATCATCGCGTTCGGCAGGGTTTCGGATGCATCCTTGATTTCCTCGGCTGTTGGTTCGTAGGACTTCAGTGGAAGATACTGGTGATAGGTCAGAAGGAATACTCACACATATGGACAGAGCAGTCATATCCGATCATCGAGGTGATAGTGGTCGACAGCCCAACCATCATCGCACTGGCATTGCTATTCCATCCCCCGCCGTTATAGAATTCGGTGAAGACAGCTCGAGGGTTGTTCCGTGGTGCGAGCACCCACAGCGGAATGATGATCGCAAAGAGGCCCACGACATGAAGGATCAAGATAAGGCCTTCCACCATAGGAAGGTTCCTGGCCAGGAAGGTGTTGAAGAAGATCGAGAAGCCCGTGATGGCTATCACTAGTAACGTGCCATGCCAGCTCTTGAATTCGTACGTGGGATCATTCAGCACGATGAGGCCTTGAATGATCGTCCCGGCGAGAAAGGCGATGGACACGATGGCACACTGCCAGCCCATCACGCAGAGCCATCCTGAGCTGTCAGCTAGGCGTTCGACCCTAAGTGCTAGACATACCTGTGATATAGCTGAGAAACTTCTGGCATCGACGAGGAGCAAACTCGGATACCCAGTGATACTGTCCACCGGACGTGGGAGCCCTACGGAGTCAGATTGAATCACCAGAGAAAGAAAGAACCCACATCGAAGCCATTTCGGCAATGCTCGCAAAGACGAGCGAGAAGCCTGCAGTCACGATGATGAAGCCCCATACCAGCCCGGCCGTTCCGCCATTCATCAAGCCGGTACTCAGTAGTCTGTGCTGTGATCAGAATCGCGCTCGTACTTCCGAACAGTGACATACGTCAAGATCACCTCCCAGGTGGCTATCAAAGTGCAAGCGAATCCCAGGATCGAGATGAATCGGAAATTTCTCTGCCATGGAGCCGTTATTCGGGGATATTTGATGAGACGGACGAGCTCACTCGCAGGACCTGCACTCGGCCTAGATCGCTCATGTCGCGTTGATCGGCCGTCGTTCCCAGATACTTCGGGGCCACCAGGGCTTTTCGACCGTACTCGATGTCATGGCGATGGGTCTGTGCCTGAACTTCCACTCTGGTAACATTTTGAGGCGTCTCCAGGACCATAATGAATCGATAGCGGTATTCTATAATCGGCGAGAAGACGCTTCAAGGATAACTGAGCACCAACAAAGCAGGGTATATCCGTCTATACGAGCAGCAATAGCTTCCTGTCGCCATGCGAGCGAAAGATGAGAGAGCCGACGGGCTAAAGATACGAAAGACTCATGCAACCCAATCGGCCATCCTTGCTCCTGGTGCCTAAATCTTAATGATCGGAAGATAAACCTTGGACGGCCTAGTCCTGCCTTTTTCTTCATTTGAGTTTCACTCTCCGGTGCCTCGCACGGGGTACTTCCTTTCAAAGTCTTCAAACTTGATAGATCGACTCCCGTGACGGATGATCCTTGAACTATATCTCCTTCCTTTATACCCTAATCTTATCCACGCTGGAGGAGTCCAAAAAGGGGCCCGAGCAAACAAATCCCCAGTACGGAGAGAAAAAAAAGCAAAGAAAGCGCACTGTTTGCTGTTCAGCTCTTGTGTAACACCACCAACCCACCTCGATGACTCCTAAATTATGGTGACAGCGGAGATCCAAAATTGAGATCACGAGTGTGGTGCGTCTTCCCTGCTGCAGAGATCCAATAGTAGGTGGGAGAGTCGGGGGATAAATGGCTATTCGGAGTTTGTGTGACAGTCACAGACTGTTTCTCCTTTTGTCCCAAGACATGTGGATGGCGGTGCCCTCGTGCCCTAGGTGCGTACAAACAACTCTCAAACAGAGCCAGGCTCGTGGGAGATGCAGTAGACTGAGGTACCTCCCTTTTCCATGCATGAGTAGCCAGACTTTTCCTTCTTCACATACAGTACACTCGAAAATGCAATAGCTAGCTTATTCCCTCTCACCAAACCAGTAATCAATCAGAACAAAGAAATTAAGAAGTGACAATCCCAACTCTTAGATCCCTCCAACAAGCGAAAAGCAAAAACGAAAGCACCCTAACTCCCATGCCCAATAAAACATCCCTCCCCCTCACAATCCTCTACCTCTACCCATCACCCTCCCTCTCACGTCTACTGTTCGCCTGAATCCGATACCCGACGGTGTACAGAGTCCGTCAGGCTCAGCAATGAGCTCCGACACCCCCATCCCCATCCCCTCGGGCTACTCTCCTCCCTTCGAAGTCGTCGATGACCTCCACCATGGCGCTTGGGTGATCATCGCGACGGCGTTGGGCCTGGTTATTGCGCTCGTCTCGTTCCTGATTCGCGTGTATGTGCGCGTCGCGTTGAATCCGCCGTTCGCGGTGGATGATGGGGTCTTGTTGGGTGCTACGGTGGGTTTCTTTGTTCTTGTCCTTGGTTTCTCTCGAAGAGTGGGAATGTATTGAGTCGATGTCGATATTGAATCGATATCTGTGACTTAAGGCCAGAAGACACTCTTATCTAATATACACACTGTACCGTGCTAATCCTCGGTGGAAGTCAACAGGTCGTGGCTGTCATTCAATCCACGCTTCTCTTCCTCGCCGTCTCAAAAGGCTTCGGTACCGCGATGGATTTGCTATCTGTTGCGGAGGTGAATGTGGTTCAAAAGGTATGTTCCTTCATCATACCTAATATAACATACCATACCACATAAATCTATCCCAGACATGGATACACAACACTCGAGGATGAAGCAGAGCCAACAGACCAAACCACACTAACAACCTCCCTCACGAGCGTGTCCGAGAAAAAAGCTCATCACCACATCCGACATCCTCTACCTCATCACCATCTACATCACCAAGGCCTGCGTCGTGGGAATCCATCTACGTTTGACGCCGCAGAAGCGACATAATCAACTAGCCTGGGCTACGTTGGGCCTGTGCACGGCGTGGATCGTGACGGCGTTGTTCCTGGTGACTGTGAATTGCGAGTTGAATAAACCGTGGAAGGGGACGGGGGCGGAGTGTGTTAACCTGGTGAGTCCTCACTTTCTGGTTTGGCTCTCGTCCTTGGACTCCATTTGTCAGAAGATTTGTCAGAAGAGGGGGAGGAGTTAGAGCAAGGCAGACTGACTTCTTACTTCCCCATGAACGGGCGAGGTGGAAACAGCTCCCACGATGGCAATTCATCGTCTCCATCGACATCTTCACCGAAGTACTTCTCTTCGGCCTCGCAGTCACCTTACTAGCCGGGTTATTCATGCCCTTGAAACGCAAGATAGCGATCGGGTGTGCCTTTATGTTTCGATTACCGTTAGTCCATCCTCCATCTACCACTCCCAGGATCACAGAACACCAACTGACCCCTCCCCCCTTGTCTATAAATCCAGGTTAATAATCCCATGTACATTCCACCTCATAACGCTAACCCAAAACCTGCATTCCTACGACGCCACCCTCGCCTCCGTGTCCCCGATCATCTGGGCCCAGGTCGAACTGGACTATTCGCTGGTCGCGTGCAGCGTGTTTTGTCTGCGGCCGTTCATGGCGGCTGTGAGTACGAATTATGGGACTGCGGGGGATGAGATACTGGAGAGTGGGAATGCGAGTGAACAGAGTCGGGAGCAGCGGACGAGGGTTCATGGGTATAACCATACACATGGGAATGGGGAGCCAGGGCAGGAGGGGGGTCATGAGACAGGGAGTAAGAGTAAGGATGCGGGTGGGATAGGGAAAGAGGGATCTGAAGGGGGAACAATGGGTCGTGTTATGTCAGAGGAAGGGGGAATAATGAGATGGTTTTCGAGAGGGAAGAGGAGGACTTCCGGAGAGGAGGGGATTGAAATGGAACGAGAGACCGGGGAGGGTCATGATGGGAGGAAGATGGTGATTCGGAAAGACGTGCAGTATTCGGTGGAGTTCAAGAACAACAGTCGAGCGGATGAGGACGTGCCGAATGAGATGGAGTACTGGGATCGATATTTGGATCCGAGGCCGTGAGAGTAAATCTATTATCTTCAAATGTTTTAATGTATATTCAAATCTTATCAGACGATTCATATATCTACAGAATGACCGAACCCTAGATCCATAACACCATGCGCCTTGAAACCACAAAGAATTAATCACGCTGAAGGTGTTGGGCGCTTGAAAGGATGCGCTTCGGTGTTTCTGTCATCTTCGTTAGCATCTGATTAGACAATTGCGCAAGAAAGCACATACAGTACGTATTCGTCCAGACTGACCACGTCCGGCTCAGAGAATATCAGATAGAAATACTTCAACGTCTCGGCCAGCCAGAAACTTTCCATATAGTCCATCTGTTTCGCATGAGGATCGCGCACGTCGTCAATCGCCGCGTGCCCATATTGCGCGCGCGTCATCTTGTCGATGTTTCGGAACATGCGCCACGCGGCGTCCTGGAGGCTTTTGTCGCCCGTGATCCGATACATGATAAAGACGGACTCGATAGCCTCCGGTCTGGAACCCATAAGCATTCGTCCCACAAGACAGATTGGGCAAACTTACCTCAGTTGATAGCCAGCATCCGGAATGGCATAGATGCCCGGCTGAAGACCGTGGCTTTCAATCAGCGACTTGGCCTCGGCCACGGTATCTTCCGCTTCCGAGCCTTTGGCCAGTCGAAAGCGCAAGTCCCGGTACCATTGCTTCTTGTCCCACTGACAATTGTTCATGTCCTTGCAAGGAGAGACGTACATGATCTCTGGCATGATTCCTGTGGGCATGACGTCGTACCCCCAGATACAACCGTCGGTCAGCTTGCGCGCAATTTCCAGATCCTCCGGGCGATCGAATACTTTAGCCCCGATGCCGACGGTGCCTCCCAGGTAGCATTTAAGGTGCTCGACCTGGGGCTCGATCTTCTCGCGGCTGTGCGAGAACGTCGTGTAGATGTTCCCGGGGAAGAGAATGTCCCTGCCATCCTCGGTCATTCCGCGGAAGAGCAATCGATCTTTGATCTTGTTCATGGCGGTGTTGTACATTTTGCGGTACTGGTTTGTTTGAGCGCCCAGCAGCATATGCTCTTTGGGAAGATATTCGTATGTGGAATCGGCCATGGCGCCGACGCTGAATCGGTTGTCCGAGAAAATCATGTCCTCGCCATTAAAAGTGATGGGCCACAACCCGGGGAGCTTGGTAGATGCCTGGGTTTCTTCGAGAAGATTGGTGAGTCGCTGGGCGGCGTCGTAGTACTTGGAGTCGCCTGTCAATTGCGACAGCCGTGTGAACTCCAGGTTCAGCGAGCCGATTTCGGCAGTAATCGTGTTGCGACTCGGATGAATTCCCATGCCTTCGGCGGATCTATCGTTCAATTAGTAAATTCCTGGCACCGCTGACTACCCTTTAGGTGATCCGACCACTGCCCGATACATACCTGGTCCATTCCCACCGCGATTGCGGAATTCGATAGCGAGTATCAAACGAGGCGTACAGCATATCCGCAACCTCGATCGACTTCTTCAGCAGAATCGGATAGCTGCCATTGGTCAAATCATAAGCCCCCAAGAACCCACCCAGATAGCGAATGTTGGTCTCGAAAACGTTGATCTGAACGGCATGTGTGGTGGTGAAATCGATATGGTCCAAAGCTTCCAGCGCTTCTTCAAATTCGTTCTGCAGACCCAGAATCACGAGCGAATCGAGCGAATCGACCAGCGTAGCTCCCCATCCCGCAAAGGACTCGCGCGAGTTCCCACTCAGAGGCGACACTTCGTCTTGTAGCCATGCGCGCTCCCGGTATCCTTTCCATGCATGTTTGAATGCTTCCTTCACGGCATCCTGTCGCTTCACTCGCTTCCAGCGACCAAACCACGACTCCTTGGGGAAATTATGTTGGATTTGCGGGATGGGCGATGGGGCTCCCGTCGGAAGAGGCGTGTACTCTGAAACCGGCCATTTCTCGGGTTGTTTCGTCCAATGGATGCGGCCGTCTGCTTTTAACGATTTTGGCGGGGTTTGAGGCGGGTTGTGAGAATGGATGGAGTGCTCGCGCTGCGGCAGACTTGAGATGAATACATAGGTAAAAGCGATAAGAAAGAACGTAGGGAGAATGTAGCTCCGTCGGCCTAATACCATGTTGCCGGACAGAGAAGTAGAGATATCGGATATATCAAATCAAAGATTGGGTTATGGATAGTATGCGATAGGAAACAGAACGAGAGAGTGTGAGAAGAGGACTTTAATAGCCCTTGGTAATGATCTAGAAAAAGAACGATGACATCTAAGGAGCGCAAGTCATTTCAATTAAACAACAGAAGTTCCAATGAACATTCTGAAGCTGAGCAGATAATAGTATCAGGATAAGCGAGAGTGCTGAATTTCTTCAACCATCAACCCTTCACATCAAGGGGGAGAAGGAAGGAAGAATTGAGGGACGGCCAGACGAGTGGCTTCAAGACATCACTTCCTGGAAGAATACGACGACAACTAAACAAATCCTGCGGCCAGAGCCGCCACAGTGAAATGGCCCCAGTGATCACCACCAAGTTGACCCTTGTTTTCCTTCGCATTGATTGGCAAGTGAACATGGGATTGGTATTTTGTATGTCGAAGGTCTGGCCATCACTTGCGCGTTCTAGGCAATGATAGACACCGCACAAGCTCGTAAGATTCCTAGCGTGGCTGAGTGTGTTGCCAAAGTCAGTAAAGGAGTGCCATCCGCTAAGCAAATGACATGGAACTGGGGCCGGCCATTGCGTAAGCATGTGGTCCCTGAGACCCTTAGGGTCTTTTTTGGGGGGGAAGGGATCTGAGAGATGAAAGATTAATCCGACTGCTGACTGGTGAGTGGGAATTGGTTTCTGCTATTCTTAACAGCTTTGTTGACAGGCTCAAGCCGCCCCCTGGTTTGGTCTCAGCCTTGAATTCGTCCCGCGTCTTGGCGGTTCTCAGGGCACATTGGCGTACGTATGCTTCAACAAGGGAGGGGAATCTGATGTGTCGAGCAAAAATTATTGAATGTGGGATGCTGTGATCCAAAACAGGTGGTTTTTCATTTTGTCTCACATGCCGATGAGTCTGAGTCTGAATGGAGATTCGATGGATCATGGGCCAGACCGGGGCAGGATGAGGCCAGAAATGAAGAGGCGTTTGGCCGGTGGAGATCATCGCCAAGGAGGAGTTGGCCTGGTGCTTAGCCTCTTGGCACGTTTGTCCCGTTTGTCTCTTCTGCTCTGTTGTGGCCTCAGGTGTCGACAGCCTCAGGCAACGGACTCCGGCTCGAACGTTGCCAATTGCAGCTGAAGCTTTATCTGATTCGGGCCAGACGAGGAACTCGATTTTGAGTTGAGCCAGTATTCTTACTGTCTATATCAGTATCTGAGATAATTTGGCTAGGAACTACAATTCATCTGAAGGTATCGTTGTCATCACACTCCAAATCACTCTTTTCTTTGTGCATTCACATGAACAGTAGTACATGTACTAACCTGGTGTTATAGATCTATTGGTTCCTCCTGTCATCTTGATCTACTCTAGATGCTGGATTCTGAATGAACCTGTCAATCTTTACTCTGCTTGCACGGTCACATCCCGCTTTGTGTCCGATACCCAAACTGCCAAAGCATCTCTTTCATTCCGCTTTTCTGAACCATTGCCTCCGCATCCACCACAACTACCACCTAACCAAGGAGCAATAACCAATATCATTATATCTAAACCATCAATCTACTCTACCAAGCACCAAGCCATTACCCCATCATGTCTATCACAGGGTACTTACCCCCCCCCCCCCGTCCCCCCAACCCACATGCATATCAACACATCATACATATCTCCCACGATATCACATGATATTAACAACACCAACAGCGTCTTCTTCGTCCCCTCTAACCCCAATGCCCCCACGGCTCTAGCAACCATCACCAACCGTCTGCACACCTCTCTAGCAGACGACCCGGTGCCCGTCGGCCGCTGGGCCCTAGAGCACAAGCTCATGCGCGACACCCCCTCATGTCTACCCGCGTCCGCATCAAGACCGGCTCTCGTCCCGCGGTACATGCAGTTTCTATCTCTTTCATATCACCAAAACCACGGGTTCATATATACCTCGGTGCCTGAAACCCCGAACCCGAACGCTACAGGCCCGGCTACACCAACACCAGCCCAAGCCGCCGTAGGGTCCCCAGGTGCAAGTCACCCCCAAAACCAGCCGATGATCATGACAACCGTGCCGCTACCTTCCAGCGGCACCTTATTCCAGCATTTCATGTACGCCGCGCAGCCGCTCTGGTGCCATCGCCATAGCGTGACGGTTCCGGGGGGCGCGGCGTACGATGTCGGTGACTACCGGGTCCGGGTGGGCGATGTGCGGCAGACGGTTCCTACGGCGCGGGTGCGTGGCGCCGTCGTCGAGATTGAGTGGCGCGGGCCGTCGTTGGTGAGGTCGATTGCGATGCAGATGCAGAAGGTGAGGGCTTCTGCTGCTGCTCGGGGTCAGGGCGTTCCGGACTCTGGCAATGGTAATGGCAACGGTAACGCTCGCGAGGGTGACGACTCGGATTCTGCGATTGAGCTGCTGTTCGCGGAGGGCATCGAGGAGGCAGATATCGACGCCGAGTATGTGGCGACGACGGCGCTGATTCGCGAGTTCTGGGCGAAGTTGGGGATCGAAGGGGCTAGGGAGGCGATGCTACTGCCGGATGTGGGGAAGGAAGTGAAGGGGATGTTGAGGAAGTTGAAGCAGGGCAGGCCAGTGTCGAGTCAAGGAGGGAAGGACGAAGACCCGGATCCGGAGGCGGGCGCGGATGTGGCCAGGCAGTTTATGGAGATATTCAGGTTCAATCGGTGATTTTACACATGTCCTGTCACCTTGGTATTGGAGGTTGTTGGGCGGTGTTGGTCTACTTGTTTGGAAAGTTCTCGATTTTGGATAGAATATGCCAGGAATTTAACCATCACAGCCTTAAAGACTAGGTAATGTCATCAGGTGCAGCCAAAGCTACAAGTAATCATTGACGGGCTAAAGACACAAGGGTAACGCGAAGTGATGAGATATGGACAATGATGAAAGACGAGGGACAAAAACCAAGCCAAGGAACAACAGAGCTCGAGCATGTTAAGAAATGGTCTGGTCATCCGGTTAAAGCTGACACCTGGACATCTTCTTAACCCACTCGGCTCCCAAGTCTAACGTCCATCCCACTCTACTCTTCTCCGAGGAAAACAACGAGGCTACGCATAGCCAGTACAGCCACAAGGTATTCTGCAGTCAAAAGACCAGGACTACAGACAAAGGCAAAAGAATGAGACGGGACGTGATGGAATGTAATTTCTTGGCCCCCACCTCTCCCCCCTTTCACTATCAATGCACGAAATAGACAAAAGGAAATACGTTTATTTTTGCATCATCAGCTGGACGAACTCGTTGTCTGGAGGATTTGATTAGTTGGGGTTCAGCAAGGACATCCAAAGGTCACAACATACAGTCAATCCGGCCGTCGCCATCCTGGTCCGCCTCGCGAATCATCTCGTCGACCTCATCGTCGGTGAGCTTCTCGCCGATGGAGGTCATGACGTGGCGCAGCTCCGCGGCCGAGATGAAACCGTTGTTATCGCGATCGAAGACCTTGAAAGCTTCCCGGATTTCCTCCTCAGAATCGGTATCCTTCATCTTTCGGGCCATCATCGTCAGGAACTCTGCGTGAGGTTAGCAGCTGAGTGTCATGATTGTCTCCCTTTCCGGATATCGGTGTGTCCATCATCGCATACCGGGGAAATCGATGGTGCCATTGTTGTCGGCGTCAACTTCGTTGATCATGTCCTGCAACTCAGACTCGGAGGGGTTCTGGCCCAGCGAGCGCATAACAGTGCCCAACTCCTTGGTGGTGATCTGGCCTGCAGCGTGGATTCACAAATTAGCGTCCTGGTCGCAAATCGGTCGGCGGAAGCAACAGGGTGAAAGAAAATTCCATATCGACGGAAAACAGCCGGTCGCGTGAGTCGATGAACTGGAAGGGAAACCGGAATAGCACTAACCATCGCCATCCTTGTCCTGTGAAGAGGCAAAATCTCAAGTGAGCTTGGAATATTCCCATAAGGCTGAAGGCGTAAAAAACAAAGCAAGATCGCTTCGTTTCCCCATCATTACATCAGGAAGAATGGAACACTTACGAACAGGGAGAAGGCCTCCTTGTATTCGGAGACCTGCTCTTCAGTCAAAGAGTCGGCCTAGGCAAATGCGATGTCAGCAATTCAGTTCAGAATGTCGGCTAGACCATGCCCCGCAAGGCGGGGGGGATTTTCCCACGCGCCTGGGCGAAATATGGGGAGAGAAAGGGGAGGCAGGGGAACGTCATACCATGATGAATTTGTGAAGATGAGCGAAGAGAGAGAAACGGCAAAGGATAGGATTGGGGGTTGGTGATGGTGGTGCAAGACAAGAAGCCGATGGGTTTAAGTTAGTGGGGGAGGAGAAGGGAAGAGCGAGTGTTGTTTAAGGGGAAGCCGACCCAAACTAGCTGCAATCATCGGCCTGTCCTCAGGCAGCCCGCCCGCGGATGCCTGAAACGTGACCCGCCGGGAGATTCAGCTCAGCCCGTTAGTCAAGATTAATGTTTACGCCTGCTCAACATCTGGAAAATTCGTTCGACCAGCCTTCGTTAACGCTTCTCACTACCGTCACTACCGTCACTAGTGTCTCTAAGCCGACTACTTGCTTCTAATTATGGATTACGCGTCGTGGATCCCGGTAATCAGCTGTAGAAAGGAACTACTGGTTAGCGAAGGCAGCAAGTATTCGGTTGGGGAATAGAGCGTTAGCATGGCATCGCCTAGAGGTAAGGCTGAAAAGGCAAATTCCAGGAACCAGTAGATTTTAGATATACAGCATCTTGCAGAAATTGGTATCTTGGTCCAGCTGAGCCTGGCTGTGCATCTTGCAGCAGGGCAAGACCATCTGGCATCCAGGCACTGAAGTATAGAGCACGATCCCGTTGAAGTACGTCATCTGTAATACCGCATCAGTCCTGGTTTCTCCAGAATGGCAAGCGATGTTCGACACGAGTCGCATTATCAAGATAAGTGCCCATTTCTTCTGGAGAAATGGAGAGTTACCAAAGTGACCATACCAAACCGTAGAATTACGGAGGACGGACCGCGCTTATCCCGAACGGGACTGGGGCCGTCTCCCCTTCACGTGGGCCGTCCTCGGAGATCATGCGGAAGGCACATAGTAGAGGTCCCTTGTATAGCGACGGTCTCTATGCTTCATATGCCAATCGAACCACACTCGACAGTCTCCAGTGTTCATGCTGATCTCACCATTCCCTCGAATTCTTTCGCATCTCGCCCCTGACTGCTCTCGGCTCGGAAGCTGGCCCCCGACATGATCCAGGCCGTCTAAAAGGACAACCGTCAAGATCACCCCGGCTTCTTAGCACCGCTGCTTATTCCTCGTCCATCATGTGGCGAGACCGAACGAATCTGTATGTATCTGCGTTCAATTCGACTCTTTCTTTGACACTTGAGAGGCGGAGTCTTCAAGGCTGTTCGGTCGGTCGGAAGCTAACTCATATCGCCCCGTTCCCCAGATACATCTCCTACCGGCAATCATTCACGCACCACCCGGCCAAGAAGCCACGGTATATCGGCTCGACCAATGGCTTCTCTGACACGCCGTCGCACGCGGAGGAAAGCAGGAGGCTGATCGGGGATACGGCGGGATTCGATGACGATGGCGACGCCGTGATTGAAATGGACGTGCTGCCCCCGCGCTGGGTGGACATACAGGACGAGGTGACGGAGTTGCTGGCGGACATTGCGCAGAAGTCGGCACACCTCGACAAGCTGCATCAGAAACACCTTCTGCCGGGATTCGGAGAAGAGGAGGCGCGCAGGCAGGAAGAGGCGGTCATCGAGCGGTTCACGCAGGAGATCACGCGAGCTTTCCACGACTGCCAGAAAGCTGTGCAGAAGATTGAGACGATGGTGCGCGAGGCGAAACAACAGGGTAGTGTCAGTAATGGGGACGAGACCATGGCGAAGAACATCCAGATCTCCCTGGCGTCGAGGGTGCAGGATGCGAGTGCGCGGTTTAGGAAGAAGCAGAGTACCTATCTTAAGAGTGAGCGGACTTTCCTTCCTCGCCCCTTTGGACCTGTCGTGTGCTGACTTGGACGTTTGCGTTATAGAACTACGAGGATTGGAAGCTGGCCCTTCGCCATTCGATCGCGCGCCTACACCGCAGAACCCTTACACAGATCCCTCGTTGATGGAATCCGACGCGGACAAATCCTTCTCGCAATCGACTCTCATGCAAACATCGCAACGAATGACCGGCGAGAACGACGCTGCGATCATGCAGCGGGAACGAGAAATCAACGACATCGCCAAAGGCATCATCGAACTCTCAGACATCTTCCGCGAACTGCAAGCAATGGTCATCGATCAGGGGACCATGCTGGACCGAATAGACTACAACGTGGAAAAGATGGGCACGGAAGTCAAGGCCGCCGATAAGGAGCTTAAAGTGGTACGTCTCATCTCAAGCCTCCACCATCTCCCCTCTGTCCCTGTTGCTAGCAATACAATAACGCAAACATGACATGCCAAACTAACACCCGCTCCTCCAGGCCGGCAATTACCAACGACGCACCATCAAACGCAAAATTCTACTCTTACTGGTCATTCTCGTCGCCGGCATGTTCATCCTCCTGCTCGTGAAGCCCAAGAACAACAACTCGTCCCCTCCAGAGCCCGCGCCCGCTCCTCCGTCTTCGCCGCCGCCTCCATCAAACGAGCAAGCGCCCGATGCTGTGCCCCGAAATTTCGAACTTGTTTATCGCCGAAAGAGGCGCCCGGCATTGGACCGCTCCGTGCGGAGAAAATGGGAAGATCCAGGCATATATCGATAATCTTTGGCGCTTTTTGTTTCAGATACCATGATAATAGTTTTAATTTAGCGGAATCAAGAGCTGATTTGCATCGCTAGACTGTCTAGATTGATGATTGCATGTCATTACAGTTTATGTATGTTTTCTATGGTAGTGAACAGGCCCTACGTGCTTAGGTTGTAGATGGTTGCTGTCATATGATTTTTAAGATATCCACGAAGCAATTGCCGTATAAACCATGCACAGGGTCCCTCAGATAGTCAATGGTTATATTTAAATCAATAGCGCAAATACCTAGTCGCTCAGTGGAACGAAATAAATGCAAGGCAGAGATCGGAAGCACGGAAAAAGCAACGAAAGATAATGAGAAAACCAAAAAAAAATCAAGAGACACCGCCCCAATAGTGACAATAGTCCTCGCAACAGTAGCGATATATCAGACTATTCTACTGCTGCTGCGCTCCACCCTCCTGCTGCAACAGCTCAGCAACATCGGCATCAAGCTCGCCGCTTGCAAATTTGCTGTAATCTTCCTCGCTATGAACAACTTTTCGCTTCTTAGCGTAGAATCCGTTGGGGTCCTGGGGGTCGCTATAAGCTGAAGACGGGTCGGTGCCAGGCAAAGAAGACCCTGTCGGGGGCAATGTGAAGCCCCCTAGGGTGAATCCTGCTGGTCCCTGCGGATCAAGAGATGTACCTGGAAGACTAGCCTCCTGCTGTTCCTTGGGAGACCCGACAGGAGTAATAGCCTCCACAGGCGGGGGAGTCAGAGCTTCAACCTCCGGTCGAGGCACTGCCTCGCCTCCAAGCCCAGAGTCGCCGAGGTTAGCAGCGGGCGAATTCTCAGCAGATAGTCCTCTCATGATTCCGTCCTCTACTTCTCTCTTCTTTGCTTCCGTTTCCGACTTTCTCTCGGAAAGCTGAACGGCCAAGGATTGCTCCTTCGACAGGGCCGAACGGTTGGTCTCCAGGAGTTTCTCGAGGCCGTCAATCAGAGCAGTTCGCGACTTGATGACCTCGGATACCGAGCTCTCAGCGTTCGCAAGTGCCTTCAGCAACTGGCTAAGACGAGCAGCGTGCACCGGAGGCGTCGGGAGGGGTGTGTTAGGATCATTCAGCTTTTCATATTCCGCGTTTGCGGTTGTAGCAGAGGCACCGGAAGCCACATTGTTTTTAGACAGAGCCACTTGCAAAGGAACAAGAGGCTGAAGCTCCGAAGGGGTGGATGAGCCGGACGGCCCAGAGAACAGGGAGCCTCCCAGAAGCGGCTTTTTGCCAGTGGAGCGAGTCTTATCGATTTCTATCGCACGATGAGCACAGCCCTTTGATCAGGAATGGCAAGCACATACCGTCCACTCGTGACTCTACAGCCTCCTGAATAGGCAGTTCAAAGATTGATCTTTGCCTCCACACCTCTACCACCCTCCGAAGCTTTTGTTGGATGTCGTTCGAAGCACCTTTGTATGCGGTGGCCACAGCCTCCGCGATGACCTTGGCCCCATTAGCTTGATTTTGTTTGTCCAGTAGAAGATACCACCAACCGGAGAAAAGGCAATAAGAAAATCATCTTTCCGTCGTGCTCTCGATTGTTGCGCAACCTCTAAAAACATTGTCAACTCCGAATCAATCTCGAGTGCCGGATCAAGCTGTACCGTTGGCAAGATAGACCAAATTCAATCGTTTCGGGGCAGGGGAATCACGGAGTTTCTGCAACCAAAGTTGCGCGGTTCGCTCGGCATGTCGTCTATTAGTTGACCAGATATCAGTATCTTTCCTTCACTTAGAGCGTGTAGACAGCGAATGAATTACCTGTGAAACATGACCCATTGCGCAACAGTCACAATGCCCTCCTGCGTCTCGTTGAGCGCAGAGAGCTTTGCCTTGACAGCATCATCGGTATAGGCCATTATATCGTGATAAAAGAGCGACGGTCGGATAGATGGCCTCTCTGAAGTAAACTAGAAGTGAGGCCTCTTAAGTAGCCCTGCGAGTAGAGCCAACACGAAGTCGGGGTGCTGTTGCGACAATCGCTTACGAGATGGCAGTAGGTCTTCTCGGTTGAAAGTCTGGTGAATAATGCTATGGATACTCTATTGATTCAAGATTAGATCAATAGAGCCTGTGGACAGACTTACAAGCTTGCAGTGGCTTGTCGAGGCAAGTAGTGAAGCTGGGCTCGTCGCACCTGTCTTAAGCTTGCTCACCGCCCGGACTGGCAGAATCGATCACCCCCGGCGGCTTCTCCCCCATTCATCGCTCCGTCCGGCAACCCTCATCTTGAAGCCAGCTGGAGCCTTACATTCCCGTCAGGTCACCTTTTCTCATCCCATTGATACGGAATTCTTTCGCGACTGACAACCGATACTACTACTCTCATCTACCACCACTCTTGAATCATCATGGCCGACCGTTTCCCCTCTTTGGAGGATTTCTCTGCGGGTTAGCAACCCGCATTCACTATTGCACCTTCCGGGATACTAATCGGCGTGCAGGTCAAACCGAAGTTGTTGACACCAACGGCGGCGCCGACGAGAATGACTTCCTAGCTCGCGAGAGAGCGATGCTAGGCGATGATGCCGAACAGTTCGCTACCTCGCAGGACCACGTTGCTACAGCCGAGAATGTTGACGATGACGATCTACTGGGCGGTGCGGAGGGAGCTCCGACTGGCAGCCCTGCTCACGAGATGTCTGGGTTCAAATCGTCGTTCCCTGCTCTTGAGACACAGAACGAGGTATGAGCTATCTGCCAAGAACAAGGACGTGCTCGCTAATGTGATCTCCCTTTTCCGAACAGCAAGTTGCACCTGGCGGTACCATCACTGGAACCGGTGCTCCCTTCCCACCCACCGGCTACTCCAGCTACCAAGAGCCTCAGGAGGAACCTGAACCCGTCAGGTATGTACTCTACGATATTTCGCATTTCGCTCCCGGCGCCAATTCCTTGTCCGATGTCCAAACAATTCGCGCTCTAACGCTGAGCTTTTTACTAGGGAATGGCGCGAGAAGCGTGATGCGGAAATCACCCGCCGTGCCGAGATCTCCGAGGAGAAGAAGCAGTCGACCGTCCAGAAAGCCAGAGAAGACATCGACGACTTTTACGTCTCTTACAACAACAAGACCGACAAGCTCCGTGCGCAGACGAAGGCCGAGGCCGAACAATTCCTGTCTAACCGGGAGGACACCTCTTCTGGTGGCACCAGCTGGGAACGCATCGCGAAATTGGTTGACATTTCTGGAAAGGGGACCAAGGGCGGCGCCAGTGGATCTGGCAAGGAGCGTTTCCGTGAACTGCTGCTTGATTTGAAGAAAGACCAGAAGGCCCCCGGTGTCAGTGGGGTCTAGATCGTGGAATCGGCTCAAAACCTCCCTCCAAGATACGGGTTGAGCACGGGGAAGGAATGCCTTAGCATGAGAGTCTTCCTCATTTCCTCGATATCACTGCATCCCAGCGCCTCTATCATGACTACCTTGCCGCTACCCATCTATCCCCTTTGTCTACCTCCAGGTGCTTGGCATGTCCTCTCGAATTCGCCCGTATTTTGTTACGCATGATTTTCTTACACCCATTCTGCTTTAGCTTATTATTCTGTCACCCTTGTCTTTTTATCTTAAACGCTTTCTTTCTTAATTTATGTAGGTAAATAACGCATACAGGTCGTTTTGATCATCAGTTATCTTGTCAATATATTTAGTAGGGACTTGCAGGTCGGTCTGTTACGCAAACCTGGAATGATAGAACACGACGCTTGTTCATTAATGCGAGGATTGTACAAATATATAGAAACCCCTAAACACGACAATTTTGGGGTAATTGGATAAAAGGTTGTCGGGTCACAATGCCCCTGAAGCCAAGCCAGCTGTACTATACAGCAATCCGCGGATTTAGTCCAGCTCGGCAACATCACCTCCGGGCTCGCCTATCTCTTCCTTCTTTTCCCTCTTGCCCTCAGCCTCGAGTTCCTCTAGCTTCTTCTTGCCCTCTTCCGTGGTAGCATCGACAATTCCTTCCTCCAGACTAAGCATGCCGCTGTCTCCGAGCTTCTCAATAATATCTTCGGCTTCCGGCACGCTCATCTTTCCGAGCACCTTGTTGACCTCATCCAGAGACTCCGAGGCCAGGGCCTTCTGAAGATCTTGAGAGAAAGACTCAAACACCTTGCGGGCCTCGATCTCGATCTGCTCCGTACTGTCTGCAGCAGGGATGTTGATTGTAATCTTCGTGTTGGGATCCACAGCATGAAGCTGGATTTGTTCCACCCCGGCAGGGTCGTTAGACGCGGAGCTATCCTTCGCGAGCTCCGCGGCGCGGGTCTTGATTCTGTGGTAGGTTTCAGTGACGTCTTTCTGGAAGAGGGTTGACGCTTGGTGATCCTTAGTAGTGATGCTACAAAAAACTCATGTTAGCCACCATTCTAGTGAAAAGGGGCGGTGATGGGTGCATACCGCTTGAAGAACAAGGAGATTCCGTCGCGGCCCAAAGAGCGGCAGTATTGCAGCAGCAGACCTTGGTGAACACACTGACGGGCATAGTCATCTTTTCCGGCCATTTGACTATTGAAAGCCTCAACCAGGAGACCGTCGGTTTCTTTCTCTGCGACAATTTGTGGGTTCTCGCCGATGAATTGCTGCAACGCCCGGTAGTCGCTACGGCTGATCTTCGCAAATCGCTTGGCCAGATCGCTAGCCTTCATGTTCTCTGGATCCTCTTCCTCGTCGTCATCGGCGCCAGGCTTCTGCGATGAGGCTTGGCTTCCTGCTCCCGGATTCAGAAGCTCAACGGACTCTGACTGAGCCGCCTTGCCCTTGTCGGCCTCGACCTTGGCGATATGAGATGTGTCGAATCCAGTGTGCAGCATGTCACTCGTAATTTTGCTGCTCTCTTCCTTCTCGAGCTGAGCGAGCTTTTCCAGAAGTTCCTTCTGCAGTCCTTGCACCTTGTCCTTGTGTCCCTGCACCCCTTTGATGTACGCCTTGGTCTTTTCCTCCGTGCTGACATCGCCGATCTCCTGCTTGACCTGGTCCACCAGGGAGCTCATCATCTGAGAGTATTTCGGCTGCTCCTTCACCTGCGAGTGGACACCTTCCGGTGCCTCTGGGGGCGAATCCTCGGCGGGGTTTGCTGCGCTCTCCATGAGGACCTGGAAAACGAATTCCTCGGGGGTATTCGAGCCTTCATTTTCCCGCAGGATCGCAAGGAGTTTGTTAATGCGCGAGAGAAGTCCGTCGTTGATGATCCGTTCGTATTTCAGGGTCTCGATTTCAAGCCGGCGATGCATCCGCTGCTGGTGGATTTGGTTCTGTTTGGCCTGAATGAACGAGCGCTTGTCGACATTAGGGTGGACTTCGATATCCGAGTCATCGGACAGCTCCAGAGCGTCCCACTTGCTGTAATCGAGCACCATCTTGGGACACAGAAATGACTGTAGCTTATGAGAGGGGCAGTAGAAGTGGGGTTATGAACAATAAAGGATTGAATCCTTGAGTTGGTGGACGGAGAAGTAGGTGTATTCAGAGAGGGAAAGAGTAATGTAAAGTAGACCGCTTGAAGTAAATCTCACCAAGAAGCGAGTCAGTCCCGACCAGCACTATTCCCTTCACTGCAGCAACACATCGAAAGCTATGGATCGCCTTGGATGCCAGCGGAGCACCCGGGCAGGCGGTGTCCCTCGGCAGAACCTTTCCCGAAGCCCGTCGGACGCGGCGATTATCGGATTTGGCTAATGCATCCCAGGTCTTTCCCAGCTTCACTCGCTTCGCCCCGTCCATTTCTCCTTTCCCTGCGGCGCTACTCTTCTCTTGCCCGAAAATCTTCCGGTGTCTACGGACATGAATACTCTCATCTCTTAGCTCTTTAGTGAGATACGGCAATGCGTTCTACCCCGTGACGTCCTTCTGAACAGCCGGCCGATTCCACTCTTCAATTCCGCAATGCGCGGAGTCAGGGTGCTTACTTCTTGGGCTCCAGGGGTAGCTTCAAGGCCATTTGTCCAACCAAGGGCTTCTGTCTTGAACGATTTCTACCCTGGAGCCAACGCTTCGGCGCCTGCGTTTGGTGCCCGTGGTCTTCTCAATCGCTCATTCTCCAGCTTCTCGACCCCGTTTCGCAATGGTAATACCAACGCCATTTGTCAGCCTACTGGTCTTCCGACCTTCCTTTACGCCAATGCCAGGCTCCAGCCGCGGTTCCTGCAGAACTCACGATTTCTTTCCTCCGCCTCACGCTCTCTAGAGAACAAGCCGACCGCGCAAACGACGGACACCCCGCAAGCAAACCAGAAAACCAACCAAGACAAAGAGGACGAGGAAGCCGAGAAAGGATTTGAACTATCGGAAAGGGCAGCGCAAGCCGCACAGGTCAATCTTCGGGCGAAACTCGCCAAAGATGGAGCTTCGGGCAAGAAGTCGGGTTTCTCCGAGATCTGGAGGCTGCTGTCTATTGCGCGACCCGAGGCTAGAAAGCTGGGGTTGGCGTTTCTGTTCCTGCTAGTGTCTTCGTCTATCACGATGTCGATACCATTTTCGATCGGAAAGATCATGGATGCGGCAACGAAGTCTTCCGAAGGCGGCGCCACCGAGCTTTTTGGACTGAGCATCCCGATGTTTTACGGCGCTCTGGCCGGTATTCTTACACTGGGTGCTGCGGCAAACTATGGACGAATTATCATTCTGCGCATTGTTGGTGAACGTATCGTTGCCAGGCTTCGCTCGAAACTCTTCCGGCAGACGTTCATCCAGGACGCCGAGTTCTTTGACGCCAACCGAGTCGGTGACCTGATCTCTCGCCTGAGCTCCGATACCATCATCGTGGGTAAGAGTATCACGCAGAACCTGTCGGATGGTCTGCGGGCAGGTGTCAGCGGTGCGGCAGGATTTGGCTTGATGGCATACGTCAGTCTCAAACTGTCCAGCATCTTGGCTCTGCTGCTCCCTCCTATTGGTCTTGGTGCTTTCTTCTACGGAAGAGCGATCCGTAACCTGAGTCGCAAGATCCAGAGAAACCTGGGAAATCTGACCAAGATCGCGGAAGAACGCCTGGGCAATGTGAAGACGAGCCAGTCTTTTGCTGGAGAAATCCTCGAGGTTAATCGTTACAACACTCAAGTGCGCAAGATATTCGACCTCGGCAAGAAGGAATCTGTGATCAGCGCCACTTTCTTCAGTTCTGTATGTTTCCTGACTCTTGGAATTGCTGAACGAACATGCTGACATATATAGACCGGATTCATGGGCAACATGACGATACTCGCGCTCCTCTACGTCGGAGGCGGAATGGTTGGAAGCGGCGCTATCAGCATTGGAGAGTTGACGTCATTCTTGATGTACACTGCCTACGCCGGTTCAAGCATGTTCGGTCTGTCCAGCTTCTACTCCGAACTGATGAAAGGAGTCGGCGCCGCCAGTCGACTGTTCGAGCTGCAAGATCGTGACCCTACTATCTCCCCCACCAAGGGTACCAAGGTCGTGTCGGCCCGTGGCCCTATTCGCTTCGAGAATGTTTCCTTCAGCTACCCGACCCGACCGGCCGTGCCTATCTTCAGGGACCTGGATTTCGAGATCCCTCAGGGCACCAACGTTGCCATTGTTGGTCCTTCGGGAGGTGGCAAATCGACCATCGCTTCTATTCTCCTTCGGTTCTACAACCCTACCGAGGGTAAGGTTCTCATTGATGGGAAGGACATCAGTCAGATGAACGCCAAATCTCTTAGACGAAAGATCGGCGTGGTCTCGCAAGAGCCTGTTCTTTTCTCCGGGTCTATTGCCGACAACATTTCCTACGGCAGCCCTAGGGCAACCAAGTCTGAGATCATCGCAGCCGCCCGGAAGGCCAACTGCCAGTTCATCAGTGATTTTGTAAGTTTGCCCGTATCCCTTTTCGTCATTCCAAGCTAATGAGCGATGTAGCCGGATGGGCTTGATACTCAAGTGGGCGCTCGAGGAGCCCAACTTTCTGGTGGCCAGAAGCAGCGAATTGCAATTGCGCGTGCCTTGATCAAAGACCCGGATATTCTGATCCTCGACGAAGCCACGTCCGCACTTGACGCCGAGTCCGAGACCCTCGTTAACAGCGCCCTTGCTGCTCTCCTGCGCGGCAACAACACCACAATCAGCATTGCTCACCGACTTTCTACCATCAAACGGTCCGACACGATCATCGTCCTCAGTCCGGACGGACGGGTGGCGGAGCACGGCTCGTATGAAGAATTGAGCTCTCGCCCCGACGGTGCCTTCACCAAATTGATGGAATGGCAAATGAGTGGCGGCGATGCAACGCAACCGCCCCAGAATGCTCCCGTCAGCCCGGAAACCGAGGAGAAACTGTGGAACCTGCAGAAAGAGGAGGACGAAGACGTAGATGAAGCGGTTACCAAGCAATCGAAGAACGAATAAGGGGCTTGTTAGAGACTGGCTTTCTTTCGAGTCCGACTTCATGCACATACCCATTCAATTGGGATTCTCCGGTCGGTTGTCCTTTGTTGACCTTTCCTTGATATTATATTAGCTCTTTTTTTATCTTTTGGAGCATGCTGGCACTGTAGAGTATACCGATCTTCCATTCTGTGCCTTATACACTTTATGTTTGATGTATCTAGCTATCACCGGACCATCGCCTCTCTGATGGGATTTCTTTAGTTATGGAGTGATGATCAGGGTGAGGAGTGGTATAGAGAAATAATAAATTAATCTCCACTTGACTACGCAGATTCAGGCAGACCGGAATGTATCCTCGCAACCCTTTAGATATATACTAGCGCAGGCTTCCGATGACGCTGATTCATGTGACCCACCCGCGGCTTGGCGATCCCTGCTCCTCTTGTCTTATCGGCCTCAGATGACTTGACCTCCTCGCGACAACGTCACTTATCCTCCATCGACCTCAATGATGGCCTGATTTCTTCAACTCCAAGGTCCCTTGTCTTCTATCCGAAAGGGACTTGAACTTTCTATCAACTCCATATCTTCAATCATGGATCGCATCCGGAAATGGGCAGCTACTCCTCCCCCGGAGTATGAGCCTATCCAGCAACCGCTCAATCCCGATGACAATGATCACCAGTCCATCTCCTCCGAGCATCAGACGGCCCCTCGTTTCTCCCGATTCGAATATGCTGTATTCTTCCTCCTGGGAGTCTCGATGCTGTGGGCATGGTAAGTCCGGAGCTCCGAGCATGCTTCATCCTTGTACCACTTTCTAACGACTCCGTCTTTATCAGGAACATGTTCCTTGCCGCTGCTCCGTACTTCTATCATCGATTCCAATCGGACGACTGGGCAGCTACCCACTACCAATCCTCTATCCTGACCGTGTCCACAATCACCAACCTGGGCTCGGTGTATATCCTCGCAAAGCTCCAGAAGGGCGCCTCGTACCCAAGACGAATTAGCATCTCGCTGCTCATCAATATTGCCGTGTTCACCTTGCTGGCATTCTCCACGATCATCGCGAAACATGTCTCCGTCAGTACCTACTTCGGCTTCCTCATGGTCATGGTCTTCGGGGCGAGTCTGGCGACGGGAATCAACCAGAACGGCGTGTTCGCTTATGTATCCGGCTTCGGCAGGGAGGAGTATACCCAGGCGATCATGGCCGGGCAAGGCGTCGCCGGTGTGCTGCCGTGTATTGTCCAGATCCTCTCCGTTATCGTGGTGCCGCAGAAAAAGGCCGATCAGCCGGAAGAGACACCGCAAGAATCGTCCAAGTCCGCTTTCGCCTACTTCATCACCGCCACCTTGGTCTCCTTTTCAGCTCTCCTCGCCTTCCTCTCGCTGGTCAAACGCCGCTCCTCTGCTTCCCCATTGACCCCGGACCTCTTCCAAACCGACCACCAAACAACCCCTACAGCTTCCCCAGAGGTCGATGACAACCAAACCCACAACCACCATGACCACCACGATCCCCCCACCAAAACCATCAGCCTCCTCGCGCTCTTCAAAAAGCTCCGCCTCATGGCCCTCTCCATCTTCCTCTGCTACGCCATAACAATGATCTTCCCCGTCTTCACGGCCGAGATAGAATCCGTACACGACCCATCCAGCTCCCGCATCTTCGACCCCCCCGTCTTCATCCCCCTCGCCTTTCTCTTCTGGAACATCGGCGACCTCGCCGGCCGCATGTTCGTCCTCATCCCATCCCTCTCCCTCGCCCACCGCCCCTGGGCCCTCTTCCTCCTCTCCCTGTCCCGCATCATCTTCATCCCGCTCTACCTCCTCTGCAACATCCGGGGCCGCGGCGCCGCAGTCCCCAGCGACGTCTTTTATTTAGGTGTCGTGCAGCTCCTGTTCGGTGTCTCGAATGGATATCTAGGGAGCTGCTGTATGATGGGTGCCGGGCATTGGGTCGAGGAGGAGGAGAGGGAGCCGACGGGTGGGTTTATGGGGTTCATGCTCGTGGGTGGGTTGACTGCGGGTAGTTTGTTGAGTTTTGGGGTTTCGAGTTAGGCTGTGTTTCCTCCGTGCCGTCTTTTTTTTTTTTTTTTTTTTTTTTTTTTTTTTGCTGGTCTTTGGCTTTATATATAGATGAACATCCCCTTGATATTAACCGGGAAGGGAATGAGACCGATAGATTGAATAAAACCCTACATATAGCAGATTCTGGAATAGAACATCCTCATTTCGATATATATATATATAGCGCCAATCATACATAAAGATAGGTCATAACATCAAGAATCTAGATTAAAGGTCTCTCACCAACCATGAAAAAATATCCTTCCTACCAGCCGGAGACGTTCAGGTCAAAGTTTAGGATACCAGAGAAACCATCAGTTACGTGGGCCTGACCAATCGCATAATTTCCATTGATAGTATGGACGTAGAAACAGACAAGACGTACTTGTATATATTCACGCGAACAATCCATTTTTGAATAGAAGGTAGAGCGAGAAGAGCTAGGGAAACAGAATAGCGTAACCCTGACATTCTGTCTAGTTTAGATAAAACTAGCGCGAAAGAGTGGTGGCGGTAGATTAATAGATTCTTGGTACTTGTGCTAATTTATGAATGGGTCAGGTTGAGTTCGATATATTAGAACCAGGACTACTTAGTTGCTTCATCGGATCTAGAACCAAATCGCTCGAATACCAACGCCGCAAGATCAAGCAGCAAGTAAACCAAGGTAGTAAAGACCGGACGATCGATGTCAGATTTTCTACTGAGTGAATCAAAGACCCTTTCAGGATCAGGATTCACCATTCGGTAACCAAGTTTCTCTACCGTATACATGTACAGAGTCGACAGGCCAACAGGGTAAAGATATCACCACAAGACAAGCCTCACTAACAATAGCATCAATGAGCCAATCACCAGCGGAAACAAATCCATCAGGATATATATATTCAATTGGCACCCAAACCTCCCTATCGGGCACATCAACGATACCAAAGGCGCTCCGACTCCCCCAAGCATTCGCCCACGGTAACAGCTACACAACAACCAGTCAGCAATGCTCTCCATTCATTTACAAATCAAGGAATTGCTTTCTTCAAAAAGGAAAGAGCAAAGTAAACATACCCTTCAGCCCCCTCATCTTCGCGCCCTTCAGCATTTCCCTCGTTAGTGTCTCCACCGTCTGTCGATGCGTATCATGCGCCAGCACGATCGTCCCACCAGCTTCCAACTCCTCGACGAACCGCTCGTAGCTGTGATCAATCAACCACGGCGTGTCATGCTGGTAGTCCTTAGTGTCAATGCTAGCTGAGATCACCCGATATCCGAGGTCGCCGAGAACGCTGAGAACCAGGTCGTTGACTTCCAGATAGGGCGGCCGCATGTAGGTCGGCGCTCGACCGGTGATGTCACGAATTTTGGCGCTGAGGCGGGTCATTTGCTCGTAGATGCCGTCATAGTCGAGGGAGGGGAGTTGAGGGTGGTCGTATCTGGGTTGAAAGTGTCATGTTAGTTGCTTTGCTCACCTCGATTGTTGTATTAATACAAAAAGATCGATAGTGCGGTGTATATAGAGGGGATTTACGTATGAGACGCAATCTGATGACCCTCCTCACTAGCCCGCTTCAAGTACTCCGCGTATTCATCATGTCGAAGATGATAGCCATTTACAAAGAACGTAGCGCGGACGTCGTATTCCTGAAGCACGTCGAGGAGCTTCGGCGTGTAGTGCGACGGCCCATCGTCGAAGGTAAGAGCTATAGTGTCCGGTATAGTGCACTCCGTGATCATCGTCCCCACCGGGACTGTTTCCGTGGTGGTGTCGTTCGGAAACGGTTTGAGACCGAGATGGGGAGTTTTGGGCCGAGTGGAGTTGTTGCCGTAGTATGTGGGAAACCTGGGGACGATGGGGATGTTGGTCGCGGTTGCATGTGCGTATATTGGGATGTCAGACTCAGGTGCGGCGCTGGATGTTGCGTTCCTGGGAGGAAGCACCGTCATGACCATCATTGGGGAAGCGAGAATGGATGTAAAGAGAGTGAACAGCAGGGTAAGGATAGACAGGAAACAAAAAAGAGTGGACGCCATGGCGATGTGTATGAATGGGATTTAAACTGAATGAGCGCATTGATAAAAGCATGATGATTAGGGATCGTTCCAATATCGGAGTAGATGAAGCTAAAGGTGGGAGCCAGATTGGTGAACGGAAGGAAGGAGGGACGGGGGAGAAATCGAGTTCCACTGAGGGAAAGTTCTGCTACCACCTCATACAATACTCATTAAAACAGCGATAACCATAAACATATTCAACGACATCAATTCGGTATTTCTGCTTTTCTCGAGCAGAAGACAGAAGCAATATTAACATCCTGATCTCCGCTACCACTCACCAAATAGATTAGGAATACATGATACATGAAGGTATGCCGACGCAGCATTATAAGCCATGTCGCTTTTCAACCACCGCTCCGTGATCCTCCTTCCTCTCACCTTGGGTTCGAACACCGAGTTTAACCCTTCTTGGTGTACCGCTTCATGGACCGACGCTGGCCCTTCTCACGCTCACGGTCAAGGAACTTGCGCTGCTCGTCGGCGCTCATGCCACGCAGGAGACGCTCGCGCTCCTCCTTCTTGATCTTTTCGGCAGCCAGCTTGCGTTCCTCGGCCTTCTCCTCCTCATCCACGCGACGGAGCTTCTTGATTTCCTCCTCGCGGGCGTTGCGGACCTTGCGCATCACCTCGGCGCGGAAGTGAGCCGACGCCACAAGCTTATCGGCAAAGCGGAGGAACTGGGTGAACAAGGGCAGCGTTGACGCATACCCGGATGCGGAGGACGGAAGGGTCACGCAGATTTGAATGCGCTTTCTAGGGGTGGTTTCCTCGATCCTGGGAAGGGTTAGACTAACACCGTAGGCAAAGAGGCAGACTACTCACTTCAAAGGCCTGTCAGTAGGCTGGTCAGTGACAATGAGATACTTGAAGTCGTCGCCAGCCTTCTCAACAGCCTGGATCAACTCCGGGGTGAGAAGTGCATCGGTGATCTCGGCATTCTCAGTCATCACGGTGGCCCACTGGGGAAGCTTGGCGTTGTCCTTGGTGAAAGTCATCGACGCATCGTAGCGATCCTGACGAAACTGGCGCATGTGGTTCTTGTGCACAACGGCCCAGATAAAGCCATCGTAGGCCGAGTTGTTGACCTTCAACGAGGAAGTATCCTGAGCAGGAACGGGAACCACATCCTTCTCTTTGCCGTCAAAAGTATACGCAACGGCCTCGTAGGTCTCGGTCGGCGCCTGCCAGCTTTCGAACAGGAATCCAAAGACCACATCCATCCAATAAGTCACGGGGTTGTAGCGCTTGGGCAGCTTGATCGTGACGTCCACGAAAGCCACGTTCTGTCGGCCAGTGGCGTACGAGGTGAACTCCTGAGCCGTCTTCTCCTTCAACAAGTCATCCGGCGAAGCCAGCTCCGAGGTAACCCCCTCCGGCTTCCGGACGCCGTTGAAGCCGACGACCGCGAACTCGCTGTGGAGGGCGGATGCGTGGGCCTGGGCCCAATCCCGGGCCTTGCGTCGGTTCTTACGCGTGCCCCAGAGATGGAAGACGACGATCAACAGGATGATGGGCGCCACCATGGCCTCCTGGATGAAATCTTTGGGCGATGTCCGCTCCCACACCCGGTACCATTTCGTATAGGGGACGCCGGCCCCGACGCCCTCGGTGTTGAAAGCAGGCACCGAGGAGGCAGAGGACGCAACGATAGAGGCGGGAGACGGGTCCGGTGCGTTCACAAAGTCGGCGAAGTCTATTAATGAACGACAATTAGCTGATAAGGTCCTTTCACACCGGGGTAGGGCGATGCTGACGGGCTCTGGCCCGGGGGGTCATTTCAATGGATTGCGGCACTTACCATCCTCAACCTTGGCAGCACCCGATGGCTGGGAGCCACCGAATACATTCTTAAGCAAACCCTCCATGACGAAAAGGAAAGGGCGGAAAGTAAAGGCAGCAGGCTCCTAAACTGTCCGGGGATTGACAACGTGGCGGAAGGAGGAGAGGGAAAAAGAACGGGAGCGAGTTGACGTTCGTCGCAAAGCGATCGCTTGACTTGAGCTAGCGGTGGAGCCGCCGCTCTGGGCACCTCCACGCCAAGACTTCTCTGCGTTTCCGTGGATGAACTGGATGGACAATGAAAAACGATACAATTGAGTATAAATAAACAATTAGCTATTGTAGAACACCGACGGCCGATCCCCGGATACCACCAAAGTCCCAAATATATCGCACAGAAAAAAAGAAAACGAGTGAAGTGGTATCCGCACAAAAAACAAAGTAAACAGAAACGCCCGGATTTTTAGGATACACCAGAAGGAAAAACAATGTACAGTATCTAGTCTCGCTGAAAGTCACAATTTGGTCGAAAGCCACAAGGTCGAAAGGCGAAGTCGAAAGGTCGAAAGCAAACAAATGATTAAAACCAAGGTCGTATCGGTCATTAGTAAGAAAGTATCCCAGACTCGCTGGTGCAAAGAACGTAGTAAAAAAAGGAGAGATAATGAGTGGCAGAGAACCGTCGGGTCCGTGTGTATATAAGTTCACTGGCCGTAGGCCGGCGGAGGAGAGCCTTCGTGGTTGGGGCGACCCCAGAAGGGACTGCAGGAGGTGCTGGGCATCAGCTTTTCGTCTCGCATCCGACGGGCGATTTCTCCCGCTAGTCTTTCGACTAACGCTTGGTCGACCGCACCGGAACTTGGCTTCTCTTCAACGAATGGAAGGATGGTAGACGGTAACTGCCGAGACGGTTCAGCCTCTTGCTTTTGGCTGTTGCGTCGAGAGGCGCCGTGAGGGAGCACGGTAGCTCGAGGAGTCGCATCGACATCTCCATGTCTCGTGGGTGCCGAAGAAGACTCCCCCGGCTCACGCAGCATCTCTGCTGCAATGTTGCGACGAGGCGCAGGGTGAGAAAGGTTTGTGCGATGGCGTTCGGGGATCGTGGGAAGGTGAAGCTCGCTGTCCGGAGATAAGGGAGGCGTCACCGGATCGTCAGGTTGTTCATTGACAACTGGGAGCGGGGCCGAGCACACCGATGGTGCACTGGTCGTTTCGGTGAAGGCGCTTTCATCGCTGACACTTGCTGAGTCCTCCGGAGCCTTGGGCCGGCGCAGATCCACGACGCGCTTCTTGCGCTTTCTAGAGTGGGCCTTCGAATGACGACCGGCCCCAAGACTCAGACCATAACTGCTAAAGGCGTGGGTTGAGGCAGATGATCGACTGTGTGTCGACACCATGCTAGCATTGTCCTGGAAGGAAGACATGCTGCCAGCGTGGGATTGGGTGCGCGACAGGACCGGGCTTAATGGCGACATGACGCTTCCAGTTCCGTCACCCTGGTCGGAAGGCGAAGTCCATGCACGATAAACTACTTCTTGAATCGAGGGGGTGAAGAGCGATAAGGTGCGTTGCGAGTCCGTGAGAGTTGCTAGTCGGAGAAGATTCTTCTGCGAGAATAGCGAATGGGTTTCAACCGAAGAGTCGAGCGAAAGCGACGCGATATCCGAATCATTCAAGGCATTTCCCTGAGCATCGACCGGGTCCTGAGGAGGACTGGCCAACGGATCTTGACCCGGGCCCTCGGCTGCCGCGTTGTCGTCGGCGCGGTTTTGCGCTTCCTCCCCGATGCGGTATTCGGGTACCCATAACCGAAGGGATAGTCGATGTATGATGGCGGGTAGCTCGTCCATGAACAGGATGCGAAGCTGGCCCTCGATTTCTTTTTGGAGGAAGTCGCGAACAAAGGGGATCGAATCGAATGTCGAAGAAACCTTAAGCGACTCGAGTGGGTCGTTTCGGAAGACGACGGTGATTCCTTTTTGCTTGGAGAATACTAGTATAACGAAACCGGAGAGTTTAAAGTCGGATAAAGTGATTTGAAGGGGAATTGTGAGAGGAGTTCTGTCGCACAAAAAGAACCACATTAGCAACGAAGCGCACGGCGCAAGTTGAATGTAGGACACTACTTACGCAGCAGCCAACGGCAACGGCGAGGCGAAGGAGGGCCTTGTGAAGAGATAGGTATTGAGCGGATTCGCCTGTACCCGAGTTTTCAGGGTCAAGAAGGCGTCGCCCGTGTAGGACATCTTGAAGATGCCTCGAAAGCGATCCTCGGCCAAGTCGCCGATTTCCAGGATTTCCAGGTCGGGCGGCATGGAGCCGAGATTGAGTTCGGTGACGATGATATCGTCGACGATAATCGGGGGTTTTGGCGATTTATTCAGAGCCGCGGTTAACAGTTCCTGGGCGCGAGTGTAAAAACTCGCGTCCGCCATGAGCGGCGACCAGTTGAAGTTGAACGCCATTACCAGTCATCGAGAATTGACGGGGGTAAAAATCTGGGGCGAAACCCGCAGGGCGTTAAGGTAGGACGGGGGCGAGGTCGACGGGCGCCAAAACCATGAGTAGTCGAGGTCGGGGGACTCGAAAGGGATAATGAGGAAAGGGATAAAAGAATACGGGGATCCAAGCACCCAGTGGGGGAGGAGAAAGAGGGGGGTGAAGCGACGATAAGCCGGAAGGACTGGGAAGAGAAAGAAAAGGAAAGGATGGAAGGAAAGAAAGAAATGTTCTTTTCCGAGGGTCCGTCACAGGCCCGGTCGGGACTCGCGTGATCTACGCGACACCACGAGATGCGCTGGAAACTCTCTAGAGGGGCAGGATTTTGCTATTTAGTTAGTATCTGATATCTATTGACCACTGACTACGACTAATGAGATTTAATATTTTTTTTTTTTTACTTTCGAAATGACTATTCTGGCTCTATTCTGGCATTTTCTTCCCCGTGATCTCTGAGGTCGAAAGGGGCCCGACCGGGGAAGAGGCGAGGAAAGGGAAAAAAAAAAAAAAGGACTAAAGACGGGCCTAAGGCCCAAGCAGGTTAAGTCTTACGTCACTCCCCCCGAAGCTCGCTCGACCTGAGCATCCTTCGCCTCCGATCTCCTCCGACTGCTTTCGGCGTTAAACACTGGAGAGGATCTTCGCCATGAGGTAGTCGGATTCTACTTCAGCCAATGTTGAACCCTCTTTCTGTCAAACTGGAGCCTTTCTTTGCTCTTCGACTTGGTGTTAAACTTTCTTGTGTTGTAATGTTTACCATCTTGCTGCTAACGGGCCAAAAGGAGTATGGATCATGTTGATCACTGCACAACTGCCGCCCCTTAACTACTGTGTACTTTGTACTAACTATGAGTTGATGACAAGTATATCAACTATTTGAGCTCAGTGTGGTTTACTTGGGATGAAGAAGGTATAAAGTACGTGAATATACTCGCATAACTCATATCAACATTTCTATGATGATTCTATCCACTGTCAAGGACACGGCCTGAATAGTTCGAACGGCACGGAAATATTGAATCGCGACAACCCACTCAAACATGCAGACCAACCAACTCATATAAGGAGACCGTCAACCAAAGCGAAAGTACAGCCAGGACACTTCAGACTCAGTCCCGCGCTGCGGCCTGTCTCGCCGATCTCAACCCGTGTCTCTTAACGTACCTCCAAGCCCAATCATGGACATCAATCGGATCCTTCGTTCCGTATTCCGACAAATGTTCGACGCTAGGGTCAGGCCCAGGGGTAAATATCATCGGCAGTTACCACCGACTCTCCTGCTTTCATCTGCCAACTTCAACGCTAGGAGATGATGTGACCTTTCATGTTTCATCGCCCAACTCTCGTGCTACCGCTACTGCTGGAGATGTGCAGAAGTTCCGAGAATAGACACACGGCTGACATGATCTGAATGCGACTCGCCGACTTGTGCGTGCGCTAGAAATGACTCATGAAGGATAGGCTAGGGCTTGAGCTGCCCTTTTAGGACCTTTAGCAATGAGAACGGCTGAGAGTCGTGTGGTACAGGCCTGGCTCGGGGATTGAGTTCTTCATCAGGGCTATCGCGAAACCTAGTTATCCAGTGTAGAAGATCACAAGGCAAGCTTTAAGTCCGGTTACTCTAAATCCTTACGTTCATCGAAGACACTTGCCCATAAGAACACAGCGCATAAAATGAATATCCGTATCTATACCCTCTGTGCCATCTGTAGAACTACACCCCGCCCATCTGATTGGCCACAGCCCACCTACTTACATAATCCGCCTCACCGCAGCAACCACCGCGCTAGTCCAATCCGGGAAAGGAGTCAATAACTCCCCAAACGGGCCTTCCCAAATGCCACCTTCCAAGGCAACTAACTACCGGGTAACTGACTGCACCGCCGAACTCACACCTCCCTCCCGATCGCAAACCACTCGCATCCCCTCAACGACCCACCAACATAGGCTGCTGGTTCTGTGAAAGTACAACCCGCCAGCAGCAATGGTCTCGCCACTCTCCCCCGTCGCAGGCGACGTCACGCCCAGACAAGCACCGTCGAAAGCGAGAACGAAACAACCTGCGAAATCACGACCTAATACGCAACGACGGGTCTATGGAAAGCGCAAGGTCGATGCGCCGAGGGCGGTCTTCGATCAGGGGAGTCCGGCGAAGACGGAGATGAAGAAGTCGTCCACGACGACGGTTCACGATGGTGTGGATTCGCTCCGGGAGAAGCTAGCTGAGGTGCGGATAAAGGGTGCGCAAGATGCGCCTCAGGAGGGGGAGTCTGAGCCGGTGAAGACTAGTGAAAAGACTATCGAGAAGATAGAGGAGCCTGTCAAAGAGATACCAGAGACAACGGAGAACGTTGACGAGATACCCAACACCACGGGGCGCAATGAATCGCCAGAAGCCGAGACGCCGGATACCGAACCAGAAAATGAGACATCCGAGTCGATCCCTTCGAAACCGCAGACAGCATCAAAGAAACAATTAGAGGCCATGGTGGAAGTGAGGGTCAGTCCGAAAACAACCGCACGGAGAACAAAGCAAGAGCCAAAGGAGGATCAAGATACGAGCGAGACAGGGAGGCGGGCAACGAGAAGGAATAAGCCCGCAGAGAACAAGCCCGCTCAACGACAGTCGGCCGGTTTCGTATCGGATCAGAAAGCCAATGCCTATGTTCGCACCATCCTCGACGAGGCCTTATCACCGGTAGCTGCGCAGAGTGTTCAAAAATTTGGCTCCTGGGCCGCTCGCGCTGGGAATATGCTGGAGGTTGTGAAGATCGCCGAGGGTTCCTACGGAGAGGTCTATAAGCTTCGACTGCGAGAGGAGGTGTGCAAGAAGGAAATGTCGAAGTCAAAGCTCGCTCGTCTAAAGGCCTACGGAGATGGCGTTTTCAAGGTTGTCCCTCTGCGGGCGCAGAGCGGTCCTGGCTCGAAGAAATTCACCAGTATCGACGAAATTGTGTCCGAGGTAAAGATGTTGAAATACCTGGATCCGATCCCAGGGTTCGCTCGATTCCGGGAAATCCACGTCGTTCAGGGCCGCTTCCCGGAGTCTTTTCAGAAAGCATGGGATCACTATAAAAAGACGAAAGATGACTGCCTGAACCCTAACCCCTCGAGCAAAAGAGCGTATCCCGACTCGCAACTCTGGGCCATTATAGAGATGGACGATGCCGGGTGTGAGCTGGAAAAGTTCTCCTGGACATCCATCTTCCAAATCTACGACATCTTCTGGGGAGTGGCGATGGCTCTTGCGCGCGCCGAGGAATATGCCCAGTTCGAGGTATGACCACCAGGCCTTTACGATGACAGTGTACTAACAGAGAATAGCATCGTGATCTTCATCTTGGTAATGTTTGTATCAGAAGTACCCGATCGGACGGCCGCATGGACCCGCCTACAGAGCTTGAGGTGATGCGGCTGCCATCTGCAAGCGGGTTTGGTATAAGCACGCTGGAGACCACCATCATCGACTATTCGCTCTCCCGAGCCGAGCTGAGGACTGCCGAGGAATCAGGCGAGGTTGTTGACATTGCATCGTCTGACCTTGACAAGAAGCAAATCTTCGATGCCGTTGGTCGAGACGAGGACGAGATCCTACTGAGAAATACCTATAGATAGTAAGTTCTTCGTCTTCCCTTCTGAAGAAATCTCAACTGACACCCACTAGCATGCGCGCCCAACTATACACAGGACAACCCTTGGACGCTACCAAACCCGCTGATATCCCAGGCATCTGGAGCGAATACGCTCCACGGACCAATCTCGTCTGGCTGCTCTTCCTTCTCAAATCCCTATTGAAGAATCACAAAACCGAGGCCCCTCCCCAACGACAGCCTCTTGCCCCACGCTCTCCTAACAAGGAAGTCCAACCCAAATCGAACACCCAAAAGAAAACCAGTCTTCTTTCAACCCAGGCCGCCACACAAGTGCAGTCCAACGTCTCCCAATGGCAAAAGACCCTCCATGGTCGACTGACCAGTGTCCTGGAGCTTCTGGATCTCGACCACGGACACGAGGATATGTGTTGTGCGGCCGACCTGGTAGCATACGCCATTGACTCTCAATGGCTGGGCGAGCAGGATTTCTTCTAACTGGCGTCTAATCATTTGCATTTCGGGTGGTGTTCTATTCCCCTGTGTTTTCTCTTTTCCTGCTGCGTATAGATATACTTGCATATAGACGGTTAGCGAGGTATGGTGTTGGTGTTTTTCATGCTATTTTATATTCTATCTGTTCTTTCTCTGACTATCACATGCATCGCATAGTTAATATCAAGAACCTCGTTCTGGAAGATAACTAGTCCCTCTCCACGAAGGCCTTCAGCCACTAAGGAAGTAATGAAAGGTACCTAGTGATTGATTGACAATTACAGACCCGGTGCTCAGACCTCTGCATAGTCAGATTATGACATCATAGCATAAGTACTTGTCGGTTCCTTGATTCTTCTAACTTAGAACCTCCGCATTAGCATTACTATCAATAGCTAAACCTAAATCCTAATAACAATTGCGATGGGAAACCCCATAGCAAGAGAGGTAAATAGGTGAGTACTCATACAAACACACATAAAGGAAAAAAAGCCACCCATGACCGAGATGCAATAATTGGAAAAGAAAATCAAGATAACAGGATTGCGTGCAAAAATGAACACAGAGCCGCCCCAGCAAAAACCGAAACCGAGACCGAGACCGAGACCAAGACCGAAACAAGAACCGGAAGATAAGGAATTAGAAAAGAAAGTGTATGGAGTGGAAGAGCGAGGCACAGATTGAACGGAGAAGAAGCTTCACGTGATGTGAAAGAGACCAAACAAAGCAATTTCAATGGAACAATCTCATCTATCGTTTCGTCGTGATGTGCGAAAGGAAATGATAGACCTGGCGTTTAGTGCAGATCTAGTATGGGTGCTGTGTACCCCCGATTGAACTGAGATGAGTGTAAGAGTGTATGAGAGAGTGATTAGGAAATTATGAGGGAAAGAGGGAGAGAGGAAAGGAGAAAGAAGGCCGACAGGGAAGTCTTATATAGATGATTGAGACCCCCGGGCTTGCAGCGCACATTCACTTGTAGAGCCACAGCCCTTGCAGCCCATGTACCAATCTTGGTCGATGAGCTGCTTCTCCAGGTCATGCCAATACTGCGCCTTACCGCCAGCACCGGTCTTGAGGTCTAGGTCGCCGAGACGGATCTCGACGGCACCCTCATCATCAAGGGGCATCTAGTATGGTCAGTCCTGTTTGATGCGAAAGCTGTCGGACGGGGAAGATAAGCAACTCACCTTGATGAACATCGTGCAGTCTCGCAAAGTCATGGCTAACGACTTTCCTCGAGACTGCGCCGGCGGTCCGTGGAGTCCCACCTCCCTAGTCGCCTTCTGGTGACTTAGCAGCTGCTGGAGGGTAGAATTTCGATAGAGCACCGTGGCCAGCCGCATCTGGTTCTTGCATCCCTTAACGTATTTAGTGGCCCGGAGGACATTCTCGAATCGCTCCGAGACAAGGTCCAGAGGACAGAACGAGCGATCTTCGGGTCTGCCGGCCCGACGGGCGTCGTGGTTCTTCATGTCGCGTAGAGCACAGGTGCGACATCTGCGGCTAGCTGCCGGTGCAGAGGGCGATTGAAGAAGCCATTTGGGCTTCAGCTCTGCAAGGATCATCCCGGGGTTCTCGAAGACGGTCATGTCCGTGATCAGGAGACCGAATGGCTCTGTGACGGATAGATAGACGCCGTGACGCCGTTTGGGACGTCGGCCGCTCAGCTCGGCGGCGTGCAACTGCTCGTTGCATTGTTGGACAAGCCCTCGTGGGAGATACACCAGTTCCTGGTCCACTAGTTCCTCCGGCTTGAACAACGGACGGATGGTTCGGTCGAAATTCCGCGCAATTTCCTGATAGGGGATTCCTGACGACGTATCCTTGCGAAGTCGAAGCAGTTTTCCTTTAAATTCAGCAGGCACGCTGAAAGATTCCCTGCCATAAGAGCTGGCTTTCTTAGATCCCTGGGCCGAGGATTTGCTTGACACGATTCTGTAAATGACATTGGCACCACCTTCTGCAAGATAAACGAGTTGAGCTCCCAATGGGAGCTCCAGCAGGTTGGGTTTTGTCATTCGTTCAAGTGGTCAAGTAGGGTGTTGGGATTTCCTTCTGTGGAAGAACCATGGCCGCAATGCACAGTCGGAGGGGGAGAAAAGAGAAGGACGGCCTGGCTCCGGAGGAACTACAACCTCAGATAAAATGGCGTTGACAGTCTCAGACAAAGGAAAGGCACGGCCGCAACGGTATGGGATCCCTGACAACGCTACCAAGTGCCGAATAAATAGTTGGAGGAGAAGGCAGCGGATTAGCAAGGGGGGCTGAAAAAGCAAAGAAAAAACCTGGTTCAGTGCGCAGATGCAGTGAACCCAAAAGGGACGGTCGAGGAGGCTCCCCAGTTGTGCAGACCGTTCCAGCACAACCACGTTAGATCTCGAGATAGCAAGTTATTTTCTTTTTCCCCCTCGTTTGATTTAGTTTTCAAAGAGACAGTCCTCTTTTGAAAGGAGGGGTCTTTCTTGTCTTGTCTTCGTGTTTGTAAGAGGTAGTGATTTGCCTCCGTTTCGTCACTACTGGCCAATTGAGGAATGGGAAGAATTAAAAACCAATCCACGAGGCAATTTATGACCGATCTATCCAAGCTAGACCTCCTTTTTTAATTTGTTGGGGACGAAAATAAAACTCCCCGTTGGCTAATTCGGAACAGCGGATGACAACCCCAGAGACATTAAAGAAGGAAAATCCTCCAAGCCTGATAGCGTTTAGCGGGAAGGATTTCTAGATCAATGATTGAGGCCGGTGCAGGGGTTCTAGTGGTATCAGCACCTGTGGCGCTTGGCTCTTGGGAGTCTTAGGCGGATTTCATGCCAATCAGCGCACGTTCACCGACAATGAATCCAAGTGTTCTGATATCGCCTCGACGCGCATCGGATGCACGAAAAACGCATGCAAGCCCGTCGCACGCAGCTCGATAAGGAGGGAGGGAAGGAGACGGGCAATGTGGCCCAGTGGGAGTTCCGGGGATCCAACTAGATAAGTGCGTTCGATCGCAAGTGGTCGGGCACACAGGCAGCTTGGAGGCACTCGGACCCCAGGACGATAGGCGGTCAGCAAGGAATCGTGGGTGGCCTTTTAATTTGAATGAATTGTGACGAGTAAAATCGTTTGACGATCACCGAGGAATGCTGAGATCATGCGAGTAATAAGTAGTTCCTTCCCCGTAGTTATTCTGACTGAGCGACGGTCAGACCAGCCCGGGAGGTGCGTCACATTCAGCCTGCGAGAGTTTCCTTTGCCACCAATCACCGCTTCCTGTCTGGGGAATGACGAGCAGAGTTTAAAGGAACGGCTGATGGAAGAGGGAAGAAAAGGGGGTGAATAGGGGGTGGATAATATCAGCCCTCTAATATGACTGAAGAACAATGTGAGTGAGCTGAGGAAGAAATTAAAAAAAAAAAAGAATCAAAAGTTCGGATCGCGAACCTAGGTTTCAGGCTCTGGCTGGCTGACTCGCGAAACATTTAAACAAAGAAAGATGACGCAGGGTCCATTTGTCGATGGAGAAACGCCAAGGTCTATCGTTCGTGTCCCCCCGGTCTTTCCTTCGTTCTTATCCACCCAGCCTTACGACAGAGGGAGCGATAATCCGATTATCTTTTCGTTGCTTTTTTTTGTTCCTTTCTGGCCCTTGTTTCTGATGGTTTAGCAGGGAAGCGAAGGCCTCTTGGCGTCGACCTTCCCTGGGTTCCATCGGGGTTTTCTAGTAAATTCTTCGTGTCATCACAGCGACGTGTCGAAGCCGATCGCTAGCCTTGTTAGCAGCTGTCCCCAGGATCATTAGATTCAGATCCAACCGTGTTCATCGGGGACTCGGAGACCAGGGATTAGGGGCTTAGTGGTGATGGCTCTAACGATCTGGGGTAAGGAGCGCGAAAAAGAAAAGAAAGATGGCGAGAGACGATCCTGGTCGGACTCGTGTCCCCAGAGAGATCCAATCGACGGTCATCATGTCATGGACGCATTTCGATGCATCATAACCATTGAAAGGTGGACACTTTGCTCCGTTCGCAGGGCAAGCATCGCGATGAGTTGGCCCACATGTCAGCGCTGCAATCGGAAGATCTGGAGAGATTCTTCGACCGAGACTGGTATCAGGCTGTCTGGATCATACTATTATTGATCTGTTGGGTGATGTCCATGTTTGGAGCGGACATGATCAGGAGAAGAGATGAACGAGAAGGTCGCTGACGGAGTAGATTGTAGACTGTGTGTGGTAGCAGTAGCTAAAGCAGTGCCCCTCCAACCCCGCGTTTTCTCTCTTCCTCTCTCTCTTCTCTTCCCTCAATTCCCTCTCGTCGGACTTTACACCGTCTCTCCCCAAATTAATCTATTCCTGTCACTGCAAGATACCAGAATAGGCCATCCCAAGCGGCACGACTACCGGAGACGACATTATCATACGACGAGATTCCAATACCAAGGACAGGCAACCACCATGGCGTCCTCTACCGACATTGCCTCCATCCCGACTCCCGCCCACTGCACCGCCGACTTCTGCTTGATCCCAGTAGGTCTTTCCTTCTTCCTGTTTTCTCTTCCTTCGTCCCCTCGGACTGCTCGACTCCAATCCAATCCGACCCTGAAGTCGTGATAAGCTCTTCCCCGTCTATACGATGCAACCCTCCCCCAGCCTCGCCTAGTGTTATCAATCACCCAATCCTAAAGAATCCCGCCAGAACGCCGCGACTAACTCAATTCCTCATGCTAATAAAAACCAATAGATCGGAACCGCTTCCGCCTCTGTCTCTGCCCAAATCGCCGACGTCCAGCGTCTGATCGAGAAATCCGGCGTCAAGTACGTGATGCATTCGGCCGGCACAACCCTGGGTACGTCGCTTCAGAGTTGCATATTTGATTGATTCGATCGATTGTTTGTCTCACTGCATCTCCTTTGTCGTACAAACTTCTGCATCGAATAGCAATCCTGTCTGATTGGCTTTCCGAGAGTGCAAACTTCCCTATTGATGGTCTCTCCTTCCCCCTCTCATCTTCATCCCCGGATCCCACCGCTTCTTCTATTATACCCCCTCTTTCTCATCGAATATATGTATGTATCTACCACAGAAGGATCCTGGGACAGAGTCCATCAAGTCATTGGCCAGGCGCATACCATCCTCCACGAGCAGGGTATCGTCCGCATCCAGACCGACATTCGCGTTGGCTCGAGGTACGTGCTTTTCTTTCCCCCTTTTTCTTACCTACACCGTACGCTCCCCCTGGGCTATTTTCTCACAAAAGGGGAAATATCATTGTTAAATGATAACGTGACTATGGTGGTGGCGTTTCTCCTGACCCGAGCTAACTGTCCCTCCTTTTCCTTTCGCCGACGGTCCAGAACCGACAAGGAGCAGTCATTCGACGATAAGGTCAATAAAATCAAACAGTTATTGGGCAAGGAATAATAGACCAGTGAGTGGTATGTTTGTGTTTGTGTTTCCTAGATGGGAATGACATGTGCTTGGAAAATAGGAGGCGCAAGATGTTTCACCCCCGTACTTCGCACTTGGCACTGGCACTTCGAGCTTTGCTTATATTGGGCGGTTGATATTAACAAACTAGTTGCCACATACTACCTTACTGGAATGGATGGAAGACTACGGGAGTTGAGGACTCATAACAGTCATCAAATTCAAGTCGTGACAGTGACAGTGACTAACAACCATAAACGCCCGTTTTTCTATGCTCTGCATAACGTGCCGACTTATGTATAAGTGGGGAATAAAGGAAGGTCGTGAAAAGGAACGCAAAAGATAAAACACGTCCGTCCCTTGTCCAAAGCTCAAAACGCTGATCTAAACCGTTGTGTCAAATCGGAAATATGGTGCATGATGTCCGAAACAGACAAGAAAAAAAAATTACATATGAATGACAAGACATATTCACGGGCACTTAGATGGTGAGACCACCACCCAGTGAGCCCCAGTCACCACCGGCCCAGATCCATTCGCCCATGCTGGGGTTGGAACCGGCCTTGGCCTTCTGAACGACCTCGACGAGGCCCTTGAAGACGTTCTTATAGGTCGTCGCGGTGCTGGTTTCCGAAATGGCGGTCACGTTCTTCCGTCCCGTGGGCGAGCTCACGCCGTTGAGCTTATCCACCGTGTCGATGGCGGGTCCCTTGTCGAAGAAATCGACCAGGATGAAAGCCGGCTGTCGGCTCCACGCCTTCTGGCACTTGGACGCCGCGTCGCCCAGATTTCCCGTCCCGCCGGAGGGCGCGTTCGTCGTGGAGATATAGCTGGCGTTGGGCTGCTGGATGTCGAAGATCACCGACTGGTAGAGGAAGTGGTTCATGAACGGTAGGCGGTTGGACGACAGGGCCGAGGAGACGTCGCCCTTCAGGCTGCTCGGACGGTCGGGCGTGCAGGAGAAGTTGGACGGCGAGGTGACGTCGTACGGGTTCTCCCAGATGAAGTTGAACTCGTCCATCAGGTACGGCGCGTCGGTGTTCTTCGAGGCATCGAGCGAGGCCACGAAGGTCAACAGTCGCGTATCATCCTTGATCAGCTCTTGCAGGGTCGGCCACGACGAGGGAGCGGAGGTCTGCGAGGTCGGCTTGTAGGCGTATTTCTTGATTCCGGCGGATTTGAATTCGGAGTCGATGTCCGACGCCGAGGCGCTGTCGGAGTTGACCAGCAATACCGTGACGACTTGAGCGTTGTCAGCTGTATCCATCTTTCCTCCCCAGACCGGGTTTCTCCAGAATCTAGAACGTACCATCATTCTTGTTGTTATCCAACCACTCCTTAATCTCAGACAACCACGAGCTCAACTTCCCCGCATCCAAATAATCACACCCGGAATGACACAAATGCCACTCGGAATCCTTCTTATGAACTTGGGCGGTGACAAGCCGAACTCCAGCATCCAGCTGCGACGTCGTATTCACATACCTAGAAAACAGCAGATTGGTTAGCAACCACCCAAGCAACCCAAACCCAAAGAAAAGAAAAGTGAAGGAGAGGAGAGGAGTCGACGCACTGATTCCCAAAACTCGAATAACTCGTCGACGCATCCTTCAAGAACGGACTATTATGGCATCCCAGGTGGGTGATGTCGCCGTAGGATTTCGAGCACAGGTCGGGCGAGTTATTGCATGCTGTGGTGGCGCGCGGCGAAAGGACGGCTTTCGCGCTGACGAAGGGGAGAAGAAGAAGGCCGAGGGGGGCGAGGCGGCCGAGCATGATTTATTTGTTTTTCTTTTGTCGGATTTTGTTTGCTAACGTGCTGGTCTGTAGGGTGGGTGTATGTAGGGCGGTCGCAAGGGTCGAATAGTGCGCCGGGGGGAGATAGAAGATGATATAAGTTTTAAGACGATCGATCGGGAGAAAAGAAAGGAGGAAGGACGAGAAATGAGAATGGAATGCTGATGGGCCAGACCCAAAGCAAAGACTAGATCAAACACGAGGGAAGTTTAAGTTAAATGAAAGGGACGGAAGACAAGGAGAGAAAAGAGGAGATGGAGGCTGTGACAGGTGTTGTTGGTAGTTGGGACAAAGTACCAAGGGTCGGTAAAGTGCAGGAAATAACAATAATAACAATATTGATGTAGGCAGGAGGAAGCACTATTGACCACCACTTTGAGGATCCTAACCTAAAGAGTTCAATACCTCTTGGAAATACGGAGAATTAAGGGTTTATTGTATTATATAATGTTCACAGTCACACGGTCAGCCTCTCCAGGCAGCAAAGAATGGCAAAAATGAATGGAAATGTTTTGGTTTTGGATCTTTTCAAAGCCGTCTCCACTGCACCGTCGTTGCACCGGCTGCAATGCCAGTCAGAATCTCAGAATCTGATTCTCACGGAGCCCAAGGTGACGCATGTCGTGTCGATCTGACGATAGAAATGACCCACCACGGCAACCGTCTGGCCGCGTTGCCTCCGCGACTATTCTTAGAAACGGCGTACCCAGAAAGGACGCGCCAGCCTTGGGTGGCTCGGCGGATGGCGGTGTTCATTTTCTTTATTATCACGTTTATCATAGTTAGTCCATACTGATGGCCTCGTGTCTGTCATACGAGGGTTGGACTGAATAGGACATCCATACGGATTATGTGCGACTGAAGGTATGTATATCTTACATGGTGATCTTGGTCTATTATAGTACATCATATGCCTCAAATCTATATACATTACTCTTCATCCAGGCTCCTAGAAGCCGCCCTTCGTTGACGAGAGTTCCTACTCATCCGCCGAAGGGACATCTTCGAGATCGGAGGATTCACTAATCGAAACAGATCCACGTGTTCCCGGCCGCCGAATAGCGACGGTTCGCCCCAGACCCGATTGATATCGCCGATGACCCGCTCCAGACTGTAAGGGTTCTCGCGCCGCAGCATGCGGTTCATGCGTCGACTCGACTGTATCGCCGGTCCGAAAATCACCTTCAGGCGCTGTCGACATGTCTGCCGGATCTCCCGCACGTGTAGATGCACCCCGTGCTGCTCCAGTTCGCGAAGCAGGACGAGTCCGCGCACCCACGGGATCAGATCTTCCTGGTCCGGTCGGAATGTCGCGTACGGTCTGTCCGGTTGGCGCGAGATTCGCATTTTGAATCCCCATGACACGATCGCCGCTTGCATTTGGCCGGTGAAAATCGTCTGGAGAAGACGGTCGTCCGGGCTGCTGGATCGGGGTTCCGACGTTGGACTGGCGGCGTTGCGGTTGACACCGGAGCCCACGGCGTGCTTCGGTGCGGGCGAATACTGACGGGCCAGCCATAGACAGCAGTCCCGGAGGTCGTACCAGCGATTGATCATGCCCAGTCGCTTCAACATCTCAATCCAGAGTTCGGAAGACACCGGCGTGCCCGATTTAGCGGCGCGCTGCAGATTTTGAACGACAAAGGCCATGTCTTTGAAGAGAGAGCGACCGCGGATTTTCTGTGGCAGGTGGCCCGGTTGGCGGTCTGGGAGAATGTGTTTCACCATAAACTCGACACTCTCTTTGGATAGGGAACTGCCGCGCAGAGCCATGTCGTCGACAAGCTTAGAGGCGAAGTGCCATTCATCCGCGCCGATGAATTTCCGAAAGTGGATGTTGGAGAGGTCCGGCCCCTCTGGAGAGATTTCGGCGAGGATGGCCAGCGTCACGTTGTATTGACTCCAGTCACGAGCGATGTAGAAAGATACCAGTAGAGATTCCTGCGCCGCCGCGTCCTCGAGCATCTCAAAATGCTGATCGCTGCGGAGAAAATCGGACAGAAGGACCTCGCGATGCTGGCTTGCTAGCTTGCGCACAAGACGTGTAAACACGGTATCCACAACCGAAATCCCCGCGGCTTGGAGCTGTCGAAGTTTCTCTAGTATGTCCTGCCCCCCATGGGCCCGAACAGCCATCTCGCGAACTGTTTGCGGCCCAATAGCCGGCACGCCGAACATTCGCAGTCCCGAAAGGATCATTTCAAAATTCAAGGCTTTGGTCGCGAAAAGGCGCGCACCGAGTTCATCCTTGAATGGCTTCTTTTCACGCACCGCTCCTTTCTCCTTTTGTGGTTCTTCCGCGTTTGGATCATCTTCGATTGTAGTCGTCCGCTCGGGGAAACGAGATTCAACGTAAACATTGAGTTTCTGGCGGCGATAAGGCGGCCATTTTCCTTTTGCATATTCCAGTAACGGTTGGATGTCGTCGTAGGTTTCGGGATGGTCGTTCTGCGCAATCAAAACCTGATGCATCCGGGACAGATCTTCATAGAGACCGTTGCGCAGCAATGTGGAGATGACGGGTCCATATATCCGATGTCCCTTCGTAGAGCGACAAATGTTCTGGAAGACCCATAGCCCGGTTGACATACGCTGGTTCTTCGAGGGGTGGGCTTGCTTGTGAGATTGGCGACGAGGCGCGATGGCTGATTGGAGGATTCGTAAGATGTCGTTCGGTTCGGATAGATGAGGGTGTTGCAGCTTTTTGTGCCATTCAACGGCCTGTTGCGGCATCTCACGGGCAATCAACCCTCCAACGACGGCCTCATGTAGCTTATCCCAGCGACTGCCGGTTTCCTCCCATAGACGAAAGGCGTAATTGACCAGCTCGTTCAGCATGATAGGTCGCTTTAGGGCCAGGTCCACGAAGCTCTGCCAGAAAAAGTCTGCCCGTTCACCCTTGACAGGCAGCTGGACACCCTCCACCCGTACCACCAAGCCCTCCCAGATATCTTGCGTGCCTTTGTCCCCATAATGCCGCTGTCGATAGCGGAGAAGTTCTTCCCACAGAGCAAAGTCATGCCGACGGGCCGGGTCGTCCACCAAGCGTGTCCCAATGCCATCCGTATGTCCGATATCAGACTCGTACTCTAATTTCCCCACCTGTAACCCCACCCCTCGCGTCGGCTTGGTGATTGATGTTGTTGTCGACTCGAGTGGTCTTGTCCGGTCGCAGTCATTTGTCGCTTCGCTCTGTGGTGATTTGATATCGTAAACGCGGAAACTGGAGGGCCACGGCGATGATCGCGTCCGAAATTTGTGATTGCCGGGCTGTTCGTGATCGGCTCCCTGGTTTTCAATCTTAGGCGATGCAGCTCGCGAGTGATACCGCCGGCATTCACTCTTGTATTTGGATTCCAGCTCCTCGATTCCAACCGGGATTGAAATGAGAGAGTCAAGCACCGAGAGAGCTGACGGCCTCTTCAGGAGTCGGAGGAGAGCCGGGCGCATGAGTGATGAGAGAAAGGTGAGGGTAGGCCAAGGTTGTAAGTCTGAACATCCTCCTTGTCAGTTTCCCATAACACACATTCCATTAGTGGGTGTAGAAGATAGAGAACGGCCGTTCAATGCTGTTTTTTTGCATGCGCTCTCTTGCTTCCGCGGACACTTTTTTGGAATGACGGAAGCCAGGCATTCAGGCACTCAGGCATAAAGGGCCTTGACGCAAGGCATTCAAAATCACGTGTGAGCAAAGCATTACTAAGCGCGGCCTGGTGAAAGGCGGAAGAAGGAGGGATGTCACGTGTTGCTCTCGTCGGATCCACACCTCACGACATCGTCTGAGCGACACTTGCGAGCATTTCCCTGGTCATCGTCGTTTTTGTTCTCCCCAGAGCTCTCACTCCTTCGCACCGCCAAAATGTTCCGCACCGCCCCTCGTATGGCCGGGTACGTTGTTCCCATTGTCCACAATTCTTGCAATTCCAGATCCCCGTCTGGAGGTCCCCAATTGAGCACCGAATTCGTCGGTGTAATGGGGCCACCCCAATTGGCCGGACATGCAATTGCTCTTCCTCGCTTCCAGAAACTGTGCTAATATGGACTTTTTGCCTATAGATTCGTGTTCCGCGAGAACCGTGTCCCCTTCTACCAGCGTCTTTTCCAGCAGCACGACGGCAAGCGTCAGTGGTGGAAGGTCAGTTGATCCGCAATTGACATACAGAGCTCGAGCAGAAACAATTCTCTAACATGTTTTGGCTGCTTCAAGACCGACCGCAGCCCCTACGTCATGTACCCCTACCTCCTCTCCGTCTACGGCCTGGGTCTTGGTGAGTGCTACCGCGACACGTCGATATGGTGACAACTCGAAGCTAATCTTTCCTAGCTACCACCTACGCCATGGGCCGTATGGTCTTTGTCAGTACTCCCTTCAAGCTCGTGCTCCCACTGTCCTCCCCCGGGAGCACAGATACCCTGCTCGATCATCGCGTACTAACCTCCCAACAGGGCCACAAGACCTGGTTCGGCAAGAACTAGACGGTGTCTATTGAATAGCATCTGTCATCAGATAAAATAGCATGCCTAGTTTCCAATTGGCGGTGTATCTCTATTTTCTTTTATGATGGGTTGGTGAAGAGGAAGACATTCTACGTTGTATATAAGATAAAGCCTGGGCGTCAATGTGAATTCTTTCCTCGGTTTAATCCGTTTGTCTACTGTCTTGACCGGATCCGTTTGATCATCTCGACCATGGAATCTGGTGGCATGATTTCCATGCTAGTGCCACGCTTTGTCCCTTGACCAATCCTTCCGACTCCCGTGTGCCCAGTTCGCTTTCGGGCTCGAGTAACAGAGCAAAACAGGTAATTCTGCAAGTAAACCATCTATCATTGCAGAGTATCGGCTTTAATTGTCAATTGGAACGTACAAAAAAGACCGCGTAGTATAGCGATCACAGCGTTGGGTATGCTTCGAAATGTTGCACTACGGCCTTAGTCAGCTCCTTCCGGACTGGTAGATAACGACTGGCAACGGACCGGATCTCCATGTCAACCACCAGGAAAAAGGCTATGCGTAGTTCTTGCGTAGCTATGTTGCTCTATCAAGAACTCGAGTGACATTAATATCTTGTCGCTATAATATGACATCATTTACATCATAGGTGAGTCCCTTGAATCACTCCAACTACCTCCACGCTCGATATTGACCTTCTCTAGACCTGGATCCCTTGTCATTTATGCCGCCTCAACTATGAATACTGGATTCGGGGAAAGACCAGCCAAGCGAGTGCGGCAAGCTTGTGAACCCTGCAGGTTGGTTTCTTCAACCCTATTCGGGCCATCTTGCTGAGCTGATCATAGGCGCAAGAAGGCGAAATGCCCAGGGGAACAGCCGGTCTGCTCACTCTGCGCTCGTCTACATCAAACATGCAACTATGCCGAAGAGAGGCAGAGGTCGTTGACAAACGGGCCTTTACAGCCAGAATCGACCTCTATGCATGTACCATCTGATTCCGGCCTCTCGCAGACCTTGGTAAGCATCGCGAGAACTTCCTTTTCATAAATACACATCAGTAACGCCCAAGATACAGGAGGAGCGACTCGGTGGCCTTGAGACTACGATGGGGAAGATACTTGATGTTCTGGGGTATTTGATCCCTAAGCCGAACAAAAGAGGGCGGAAAGCTAACGTACAGCAGACGGAACGTGTCTAGACCCGAGGAAGTGCCTACAGCAGCGCCTCAGATAATGACTGCCCCCAATGGCTCGATGCCGCTCTCGACATCGAATCAACTCACGCCGCTTCCGATGTGGGAAACTGTGCTTTCAGTAGCCAAGTTATACCTCATGTACTGCGAGTCGCAGCCGCTTCCTCTCTTTCACCGGGAAACATTCCTGACTAGCATTGGGACGCGTGATCCCGAAGTTATCTACGCCATGCTTGCTTTGGGTATCAGGTTCTCCGAGGAGCATCAACAGAGGCCAACTCATCTGATATCCCAGATCAGTGGCTACACTGAAGTAGCGAGAAGCTTGGTCATGAAGAGGGTGCTTGAGGGGCCGGTCGAGCTTTCCACCCTACAGTGCCTATGCCTTCTAAGCTTGGTCGACTTTACCAGTATGGATTTGGTTTACAGCATTGGCTTAACGGTATACTGACTGGCTCATTAGATGGAAATACACATCGTTCAAGTGTTCACAGCAGCTTAGCGATGAACCTAGCTCAATGCGCCAACCTAGGCTTCGAAACTCAAGGGCAACTATCCCCAGTCGCGCGCGAAGAACGAAGACGTTGTTTTTGGAGTATCTGTCTGATGAAGCGGCTTCACGGCGTTGAATTTGACAATATGGACTTCCCCGACGGAAGTTGTCCCAACTTCCCACAAAGTCCAAATGTACCCCCCCAGCACTGCTCACCGAACATGGCAGAGGGGACCCGATCAACCGATCTTGAAGATCACGGTATCATAGCCTACGTCATAACCCTGAGCGAGGTGTTTGCGAAGACTGCGAGATACGTTCGACGACATGGAAAGCCAACTAGCATACCTCCGTGGTCTTCCGAGTCGGAGTATTCCAAGATAATAACCCTCCAAATGGAAGTGGAATCACACATGCCGTACATCCACCGATTTAAGCCCGCCAACTTTAGCGACAGAACGTTTGATGAGCTCCAGGCCAACAGGGACTATTGGGGGCCATTCCTCTTGAACCAATTTCTTTACCACACGATCCTATGCCTCCTCAATCATCCTTTGCTCTTGTCTCTGAGTCTCCGAAATTTTCGAAGCAGCATTCCTGAGATTTTCTTGCAACACACCTCTGACCTTATCTCATCTCACACAACCTGGATCATCTATTTTCTCAACTACTTTGAGGAGAGGTCTTTCCTCGTCTCGGATCCATTCCTAGGATATAGTGCGGCAGTGGTCGCCACCATTGAACTCCAACTCAGCTTCACGGAGAACCCTACCATCCGTGAAGAAAAACGGGACCGATTTTTCAAGTGCGTCCGATTCGTGCAAGCCCTGGGGCAACAGTGGCCGCATATGGCTCGAATGGTATTATTCTCCGGTCCACTCAATTGAGACCCTAGCTAACGCAATTTCCACCTCCAGGCAAACCGACTGCAAAGACTAGAGGACGCAGTCTCAGCTACCTATCAACCTGAATCCGGGGCCCAGAACAAAAGCCTATTGATTGATCTTTCACGATTCTGGGAAATCCTAGAATATTCATCCAATAGCGATTCCGACTCAGCGAGGCGCATGTTCGGCGATTCCTTGTATTCCAATTCGCTCGCCTTCACGGCTGAGGTCTCACAAACATCGCCTCTGCCAGAGCCAACACGAATGAGCGCACAGCAGGGGATGTCACAGTCTCCAATGCCACATTACAGTCTCCAAACACCATTGGGCACAGGCATGCAGGGCGCCGTCGATTCGATCACTGTCTCTCAACCCTCCGACCTGCTCAACGACGAATTCTCCATCCTGGCAGCGAACTTCTTCTCCCAGGGCCAGGAGTTTTTGCGAAGTAGTGACAACCGAGAAGGGTTTGGGAATCTCTAGCATGTCTAGTCTGGATCCTTGCCATGTGCTAGTCGCGCCATGACATGACATCAATCAGCTGTGTTTGATCCTGGTGTTCGTAAACATGGAGCAAGTCAAAAAAATAATATCAAGTGATCCATCCCTCTCTACACGAACTCTTCCAGGATATTTCTGTGCTTTGACCTTGAGCCCGGCCCAGTAAGGACTATCAGTCAGCCTACACAGCTGACCCGTATCTTCTGCATTGCTAAACCGATCAGCCAGCCAGACAGTCCCTTTGCTTAGAAGCTTCGAGCTTCGTGAGTCAATATCCCTGCAAACAATGCAATTCCCACCCAGGAATCAGAGCTTCCTATCCCGGATACATGCACATACCTACATACGACATATAAATATGATCCCTGTTTCTCCTGTGTACCGAGTAGCTCTGCCTTGGTAGAGGATATTCGTAACCTGGCGACACGTACTATCAGAACACGGCTTTCTCCTTCGTATCTCACCACCCGTATTCCCTCTTCCCTACCTGCCTAATCCATGTAACAATCTCCATCATAATCCCTGCATGACAGCAAAGTAAACCCGAAAGAAATGCTAGATAGACAAGAAAACGAACCCCGGTAACCACCTCCACCCAATTAACCACCACCCTGACATACAAACCAAACACACAAACCGGACAACCCAGCATAACCACTTACATAGAGACACTTACCACCTGCTACCTACCGGGCTATACCTTACCGAAGTATCTACCAATGACCCAATACCCAACAAGGTTCCCTACCCGGGACCATTACATCATTCCAAAAGCCTAACCTTGTTATGAACTTATGACCTTGCGTCTACAGTGTACTCCGTATACCAAGGACAGGGGTACCTAGATGATGTCAAGCAGAGAGGGGGAGGGAACGGACGGGAAGGGGATGGGGACACGGATAGCATCCGGACCCGGATCCGCTTCCGGACCCAGACCCAGACCCAGATCCAGATACGGACCCCCGATGATAACCATAATCCTTGACAATCTTCCCGTATAGCTAGATGAGGGGTTGAAGAAGGGTAAAGTCGGGGCTTTTCTGCAGACCATTGAGCGTTGTCACTTTGACACTTTGACACTATGGGCATTGTTGATTTTGCCAGGGGGCTAAAGTCTGACGTTAGCACATGGGTTGCCTTTACTTCACACGAAGGGTCCAATGGGATGTTTGATCTAGGTTCGGGGAGTGAGAAATTGGTTATTAGTTATACTTTGACGATTCGTCAGACGGGGTTGGATGTAACTCAAGAGTTTAAGGTGTCGCTGGTGGGTAGGTGGGTTATTTATAACTATATTCGTTAACCTAGGTTTAAGTGATTATTTTTGTGTATGGTGCGCCATGGTCATGGGGGTGTGTTTGGACATATGGAAGACAAGTAATATAGAATAAAATGCTAATAGATATTATTAATAAACGCCTTTGCGAAATGTATGTACAATCATCGTCACAGTCATCATAGTCACGTACTCAGCTTAGCTCAGCTCAGCTCAGTTCAATCAACATAGCTCGCCGCTGCCTTTGTCGTATCTCTCGTCTTCTTTAAAAAAGGAATCAGGTCTGTCCCTCCGGTTCCATGCAGCCCACCCGTGACTTTCTCATTCAGATCTTTCATCTGGGTCGAGGTGGTCGTGGCTAGGTTGACCTGCGCGGATGTCGGCTTCGTGTTCGGGTGTTTCGTCTTCGCCGCGAGGATGATATAACGCGTTACCATTTGCACGTGAGAGTCACGGAACCGACCGAGCGACATCACGGCTGTGTTGTAAGCGTCGCGGACCGCAGAGTCGGCCTTGTGGCTCATAGCGTAGCTGCGGACGTTGCTGATTTGGGAGAGGAGGTTCAGGAAGCGGTGATGGGGGCCCGGCATGTAGTTGCGCATTTCCTGATTATCATTGGACTGTTAGATTGGCCCGACAGAGCCAAGACAATAAAGGGGAGAGCAACGAAGAGATATGCAATACATACCTGCATGAATCCCGTCTTCGCTGCGGGTCCTGTTACACCGCTGGATTTCATATCCCCCGTGGCGGTGTGTTCCACGCCCAGGAAGATGTCGAAGGTTTGGATCAGCGAGCTCTGCGCGTTGCTCCCGCCACTGTACTGGTGCCACTCGCCCTGGCCGTTGCCTTCATCGTAGAAGACGCCGTTTGGGAGGCCCGCCGAGGCCATGTTCTTACTCCCTGCGAGGAGAGGACGGAGTTGGTGGAAGAAGACGGCCGGGGAGCACTTCTCGTACATGCGTTCTAGCAAGTCGCGAAGCTCGGATAGACCCTTGGTGAATTGATCAAGAAGGTCGCATAGGCGTTGGCTCTCATCGATGCTAACGGCGTGGATGGCTTCGAGGATTAACGGTATGAGTGTTGCGCCTTTTGCTTCGAGGGCGACGGAGATCATGAAGAACCATTCTTCATCTTTGGTGCCGGTAAAGGACGAGGTGGTGTAGAGGTTGTCAGGGTCGGTAATATCTGTAGCGTGGTCTTTAATGCCAAAGTTCCACAGGTTGAGGGCGGCGTAGGTAGCGCAAGGTGGGAGCTCTAGGTGGTTGGAGACTTCGAGGAAGGGGCATGATATTGCGGGTGGTAAGATCTGGAAGATATTAGATGAAGTGGCAAGTAAATGAATAAGAGGACATACATCCTCGGGTCGTTCTCCTCCCCAGATGTAGGCATGGGTGAGGAAGGCAAGCAACATATACGCTCGCCTCCATTCTGGCTCGTCACGGAGTCGGGAGGTGGAAAGGACGGGGAGTGCATCGACAGCTTGCCGGATAGTCCTGGACTCAATATGATTTGGTAGGTCAAGGACTATGTCCTCCCAAGGCCAGTAGTAAGGGTCATCTAATAGCTGCAAAGGAGGGACAGTAGGAAGAAATCCACTCCGAAGAGAGACGGCATATTGGTCAAGAGTGACTTCCGGCGAGATAAGCATGATGAAGTATGTTTAAAAGAGCATGTAGGGTTTATCAATTTGTAGGTCTATGTGCTGAAGTGAACAGAAAAGGCAAGAACGGTTCAAATAAATATATCTCTTTGTCCATGGTCTGATTAGGGCTGGGCCGGAAAGGAGACGGATCCAGGGCGGCTTCCGCCTGACGCTGACGCCGAGTAGTGGAGATAGTCGTAACATCCCCGCCCTGACCGGGGATTTTCATGGTTGTCTTTCTTCGCCGAGATAGCTCGTCATTGACTGGTATGCCCCACGTGTGACTGGACCATTAGTCTTTGCTGACAGGAGGCGGAGTTGTCGGGGAGTTGTTCGCCCCCGGAAAGGGAGGCGGAAGCGGAAGAGTATCCGGGTCCATTCAAATAATTGTATGTCATGGGTGACTCAAGGTATAAAGCTCGGCTTTCTCCAACGTCTAGAGTCAAATGGTCAGCTTGTAAAATTCAGCGCTCATCCACTCAAAAATGACCATCACCCAGGCTACTTCGAAACCCACCTTCCCCGAAAATGCGGGCACAAGGGAATATGCCGCCTCTCTCGATGCAGCAGACCCTCTGGCCAATTTCAGAGACAAATTTATTATCCCTTCAAAGGCAAACATAAACCATAAGAAGCTCGCAAAGCCGGGTAGGTCAAAGTGTTTTCTGACTCCTTGCTTTCTCAACGCAGCATGTCTAACAAGACGTCCAGGCCTCTCAGCTGAACCCTGCATCTATTTCTGCGGCAATTCTTTGGGCGTCCAGCCAAAAGCCACGGCACGATTTCTAGAAGCACAGCTAGACACATGGTCGTCTATTGGAGTCTCAGGTCACTTCGTGGACCTCGAGGACTCTCCACTAAGACAATGGCAGCTCCTATCAGAGCAAGCGGCTGGATCGATGTGCAAGATCGTTGGAGCAAACCCCGAAGAAGTCGCAGCGATGGGAACACTGACGACGAACTTGCATCTACTTCTCGCAAGTTTCTACAAGCCCACCGCCACCAAGCACAAGATTCTGATGGACTGGAAAGCGTTTCCTAGTGACCATGTAAGTCCTTCGGCAAAAACCTGTCGGAACACGGGGCTGACTTCTGAGGTAGTACGCCATCGAATCTCATATCTCCTGGCATGATCTAGATCCGAGCAAGTCCATGGTCCTCATTGGGCCAGATGAGGGCGAATACGAAATTTCCACGGACAAGATTTTATCGTACATTGACCAACATGCCGACGATGCCGCTCTTCTCCTCCTTCCGGGCATCCAGTACTACACCGGACAGCTGTTTGACATCCCGAGGATCACGAAATATGCGCAGTCTCGTAATCTCGTGGTCGGCTGGGACTTGGCCCATGCATTTGCGAATGTCGAGCTGAAGCTGCACGACTGGAAAGTGGACTTCGCGGCCTGGTGCACATACAAATACGGAAATTCTGGTCCCGGCACGATGGGCGGCCTTTTCGTACACGAGAAACACGGTCAGGTTGATTATAGCGAGGGTGAAGATGCACCTAAGTTCCGCCATCGTCTGACGGGATGGTACGGGGGTGACCGATCTGTGAGGTTCAAGATGGACAACAGTAAGACATCACGAGCTGATCCACCACTCTCAAAACAAGTCGATACTAACAGTCAGCAGAGTTTAAGCCGATCCCCGGTGCCGGCGGATTCCAAATATCGAACCCCTCCGCCATCGATCTCACGGCCCTCTGTGCTGCGTTGAGCGTATTTGATGAGACGTCCATGGCCGAGCTCCGCAAGAAATCGCTACTGCTGACGGCATATCTCGAGCATCTGTTGTTGGAGGGAACCTCGGATGAAACCCGCCCGTTCCGCATCATCACTCCATCGAATCACGAGGCCAGAGGGGCCCAGCTGAGTCTGTTGCTCAAGCCCGGGTTGTTGCAGAACGTCTCGAAGAAGTTGCAAGAAGCAGGTGTGGTTTGTGACAAGCGAGAGCCAGGTGTTGTTCGTGTTGCTCCTGTACCGCTCTATAACACTTTCTCGGAGGTGTGGACCTTTGTGCAACAGTTCAAGAGTGCACTGGAGTGAGACTCGTATCACCTTTAAACTCCGTACGCTGCGTGGACATCATGGGTTGAGCAGAAGGCCAGTACAGTCACTTGGCATTTTCCATCAGTTAGAAGCGATTATTAGCATGATTAATGATGCATGATGATACTATGTCCCTTCCAGATCTTATTTTGGCTGTAGCAGCGTGTAAGACATCGTTTTGGCTTGGTACACAATGTTTTATTTCTTCTGCGACTTAATTGTAAAGTTCATTTCTCATAACTCTGCGGCCAATATGCATTTGGCGCAGCTAGCTCGCAGGAGGCACAAGGGAATCCATAGGTGTCTTATGTGGTGGGCCCTAATCAGAGAATACCATCTCCCTTAAATGTAGCGAAGCGCCACTTAAGCCAGAACTTAAGATTCGAGGCCGAGCTTTTTTCCGAATGTGTTGATCGTCCATGGGAAGCCCCGTCTTCTTTAAAGGTACCCGGAAGATGCGCTGGCAGCACCTTGCTCTTTGCCGGCGAAAGTGGAATAGCAACGCTGGCTAAAAGTGTATCGAGCAAGATACGTCACGTCCTATGCTGAGAGAGCATAGGTTCTTGCAGTGGTCATCCATCAATCAAACCATAATTGCAGCATTTTATCTTTTCTTCGTATGGGCAGGAACCCCTTCACTTTCTCGCAGCTCGGCCAGCCTCTTTTCTCGACCGATGAGTCGTTCCTTTTCTTCCTTGATCATCTGCTCCACGGTCTTTCCCGCTTCCACCAATCGATCCAGCTCCTTGTTTTCGGTCGTCTTGCTATAAGGATTATCCGCGGTTTCGTTGTATGGAATCTCGGCTGTCTTCCCGGTTCGCTGCGCCGCCTGTTTCGAATTCTTTCCACCCTTGCCCTTCGGCTGCGGCGTGGGAGAGCCCCCAGTGAGTAGGTCATGGAACTGTTCCACCGGCTCATTGAACACGATCTCCTCGTAGTTCTGGCTGATGACGACCTCTCTCCGCTCCTTCTTGGCTTCAGCATCGGGCCCGTACGGGTGCAGCTTCAGACTATGCCACAGGGTCTGGGGCTTCTCCATGGACTCGGTCACGAAGTAGAGTTTGATTTGAATCTCGAATTCTCCCCATCCGGTTTCGGTCACTTCGAACGGCGGTTGTTCGATGGTGCGTACGTTCTGCGCGTAGGTCTCGTGGAGCTTGAATTGTACTTTTTTCAGCCAGTAGGAGATGTCTTCATCGTTGACTCCCTTGACGAATACTCGCCATTGATGGGTGTGGTCTGCAGGGGCGTTGGCGGGTTTCTTGTCGGGGTCGAAGGGTTGGGCTTCGCTGCCGAAAACTGGACAGGTCAGTCTCATGTAACCAGGTCGCATCGATCATTTTATGGATACGGAATGACGATAAAGCATACCGAAGGGTCTGTAGATGGAGACGCCCTGCGCGATAAATAGATATTAGTCGTGATCACCGAGTCCACCCTGGATTCAACGAACCTTGACGCGTTTTGTACCGGTCGCAGAAGGCATGCTGGGACTGTTTTCGATCCTCTGGTTCTCGCCAATAATATCGGGTATAGTCAAAGGTTGAAAAAGGCGTTCAATCAGGTATGTCGATATTATAGCTCCGCGGAGGTTATGCACGTCGGGTGTCTTCCACGGAGGGTTCCTGTCGCGACAAACGCTTCCGGCACGTGACAGCGCCGATAGCATGACGATAAGGTGCCATCGGAAGCAAACGTTCCAGAGCTTTAGCACAGCTTTGGCGCGGTCGGACAATCAGACAGACGCCGGCCATCATGATCGACAAGCCCACTTCGTGACTTACATTGATCTTTCTATATTCTCCAACGTGTGGTTAGACTAATTATACTACAATATGGCCGCCAAACGAGTCGTGGTAGCGGGCGGGAACGGTTTCCTGGGTTTGTATAACTATCCTGTTCGCCATGATCCAGTACTAGAGTATGCATACTGACTCGTATGGTTCTTGACAGGGTCTAGAATCTGCAAATCGGCGGTCGCTAGGGGCTGGTCCGTAACGTCCCTCAGGTACGACTTTCTCCTCCCCTCTCCGGCGCAATCAGTCATCGCAATGCTCACCATCCTCACAGTCGCTCCGGGGAACCAAGATGGGATACGGTCACGGGCTCTCGAGAACGCCCGGACTGGTCGCGATCTGTAGAGTGGGCCAAGGCAGATATGTTGGATCCGAAGTCATACAAATCATTCTTGAATGGCGCTACGGTCGTCGTCCACAGCTTGGGGATCCTGCTCGAGGCTGACTACAAAGGCGTGGTGCAAGGAAGGGAACCCCTTCTTAGTGGGTTACAGAAGGTTTTCAGCTCGTCCAGGCTAGGGAGCCAGAATCCTCTTCAAAGACGAGAGGGCGAGGCACTGCAGGCAAACGAGAAGAATGGGCAACTGACTTATGAACTCATGAACAGAGACTCTGGTTCGTATATGTCCTAAGTTCCAACATGCGAAGGCCGGATCTAGCTAACAGCTCGACGTAACCAGCGATCGCACTGGCGCAAGAGTCCTCCAATGAACACGTCCCGACTTTTGTATATATTTCAGCAGCATCCGGGGCCCCCGTCCTTCCGAGCCGATACATCACGACTAAACGCGAAGCCGAAACAGCCATATCATCAAACCTTCCGGAATTGCGAAGCATCTTCATGCGCCCTCCTTTCATGTACGATTCCAGCAGGAAATTCACGATGCCGATCGCATTGGGTGGTTTTGTCGGATCTCAGGTCAACGCACTTTTGGGTAATAGACTCGGCTTCCTCGGAACAATGGTGGACAAGCCCTTCCAGGTGGACACGGTTGGGGAGGCTGTGGTTGAGGCAATGGAAGACGAAACTGTTCGAGGTGCAGTGGGAACGAAGAAGATGGAAGCTCTGGCCACTAAAGCCTGGCGAAAGAGCATGCTTTGAGTTCCTAGTCTGCAAAAGATGATGCTACCACTGGCTTCATGGTCGGTTCTCGTGGTTTAGAATGGCCACCCTTGATTCCGGAGGCCCTTCATTGTGCAACAGTTGGCGGACGATTGAACGTGTAGTCATAACACATAACACAGGACTGTATAATAGAAACCTCATGTATTCATATCAAATCATGGTACCACGCTCGAAACTGTCACGGATCTCCGTAGTGTACTAAGGGGTCGTTAGCATGCCCGTCCCTAGACCTCTGCACTCCGAATGACCATAGACATACCTTATTATAGAAGCGGGATAGTTTCTGGTTGAACTGCTTGTTCTTCTCATTGATGTAGGTAACATCGGCATCATCATCGCCACGGCGATCCTTGCGTTTCTTGAGCCGCACCTCTTCAGCCTTTCGCAGATCTGAGACCAGCTTGTCAACGGCTGCTCGATCAGGCTTGTTCTCGGTAAACCCGACGGAGTCCGCCGTGGAGTAGAATGAGCCATTTTTATCAACGGCGATCATTTCACCGTCGTTTGTTTCCACAATTTCTAGGTCACCGTTGGCGGCAGCCTTTTCAATCGCTGCCATCTTCTCCCTCTCGTAACCTTCGAGGTTAGGTTGCATTTCACGCAATTGCCTCTTGTACACCTTGCGCGCATCTTGCGTGTAATCCTGGAACGCAACGTCGTCTCGATGGCGTTGTTTCTTGTCCATGCGCTTGTCCCACTTTTCGGATTCATCGACGGTCCAGTCCCATGCACGCTTTCGTTCAAAATCCTCTCCAGAGGCTTCGGTGTCCGCTTTGAGTAAGTTATGAGAGGCAAATGCGTGTTTGCGCGACAGCGATGAGACCAAGGACGGATCGGTTGCAAGGCGCTGGGTTTCGGCTGCAGTTTCTTTCAAGTTACGTTCGGCGGCGGATTTCTTCTTCTAATCAGTATCGACCATTCAAAAGAGACAGGGAAAACTCACCGCACGGGCTTGTAGGGCCTTGAATCTTTCCTGCCTTTGTCGGGCTTTGGAGTTCGCATCCTCTTCCTGACTGTCCGCCTTCGTCTCCGAGGGCTGAGTAGCAACTGCGGAATCTTCAACAGCACCTTCAGGTTGCTCTCGCTCAGGTGACTGGGACTTGGAGTATTCTTTGTCAGACATAACGATGGACTAGAAACTCGCAAATGTTGTAGGACACAAATATGTCGATCGAGAAGGAGAAGATATCAAGACGGAACTTCGCTGCTATGCAGGGAGGAAGTGAAGCGGACGGGAAGGAGAAAAGACCTGCGGATCGTGTTCCCTGACCGCCTTCGAGACCGCCCGGAGGTGCACGTGCCCCCCTCTTCTTTGTTGACGTCGGGTAACTCCACACGTTACTCCACTTTCTACATACCCCATCCGACGGGAGGCCCATTCCTTTCCCTTCTCGCTCTCTTGTGGCCAGCATTCCTGTTCGGAATTCAACTCTTTTTCATGCTTCGCAGACCAATGCCTGGCTATAGGCAATGGCATTGCCGGCCCGTATCCTGGCGATATTCCTTCGCGCCCCGCCACGTGTCACAATCAGTACGCCATGCCTCCGACATAGATCCGAAGTACCACCACAAGTGGAGGACTGAAGACATCCGACCTACTCTTCAGCCCTCGCCTGCAAATTTACTCCGGTTTGCCTTGACGGGTACTACGGTGGCGAACAAACCCAATAAGAAACCAGCGGCACTGCCCATGGAATTGAAGGCGGTCTTTGAAACAGACTGGTCCTCGGATGCCGCTTCTCTTCCAGCGTTTTGGAGTCAGCAACAGAGAATGTACAACACCCCTACATGGGAAAGATTTGTATATGGGTTGCGATTCAAGACGCAACGTGTTGCGCATTTGCAGGTTTTTATCCAGAGGCATATATATGACGAGGAGGGCGTCGAGCTCTTGCAGGCACGCGCATGCCGCTTGCTGGCGTACGCATTGGAGAATTGCCAACGTCATAATTCATATCAGGAGATTCTTGCTGTTCTGAATGCAATAATTCAGCGGTGCCATAAGCTAGGCGCTCATGTCAGCAAGCATTTGCATGCCCTCGCAATACACTATGCCTCCCTAGCTTTTTCAGCCGACGCTATGAGGCCACACGTGGAGGAATTTGCCCGTCGCGACCAAAAGCTAAAAGGAAGATATAGTGCTTCTCTTTCCACTACCTCGATTTTCTCTCTTCATTCTCTTGAATCCCCGGACCTGCAGCATGATATGGAGTCGATGCGCTGCTTGATCGGCACTACCAGCAGTACAGAACAGCTAGAACCACACAACTTACACCCGCGATTGTTCTGGGGCCAGGATATTCCAACTCATCGCCAGGAATTGTACTTGCCACTTTTAGCCGAGCTCCATATGGATGCCCTTTTGGACTCTGTGTGGGAAACGATCAAGGGAAATAATTTGGCCAAGAAGAATTTGTGGCCTATATACCTTTGCGTGGTTTACATGGTCAAGAGGGGGAAAAGCTCCAAGGCCGGTGTCTATTTGAAAGAGATATCGGACCTATTCGATGGTACTCTGCCGAATATCTCGAAAATGAAGTATCTAAATATCCTTCTCGAAGATGAAGAAATCGGCAAAGCTCTGCCACAACTTGCAGGGGCGCAGGAGCGTCTTGGTATACTCGAGGCACAGCTCCAAGTTTTGGAGCGAAGACTTGGAATTCGCTGGGAGCCGGGGGAGTCGGCTCATGTGGGGTTGTCCGATCCGGATTGCAATGCCACAGAAAAACCACTATTCGACATGGATGGTGATACTCCTGGATATGGCAGTAACGAACGCTTAGTTGCTGAAATCATGGCGCTTGGATGTTCAAAGTCTGTGGAAGAGTTGGGAAGGATCGCAGACCTCCTGGATGACCATGAAGGGCAACTAGTGCCTATATCAACTCCAAACGAGAAGTTGGAGTTTGCTTGGTCCCCCGAACGATCGCCGATCAAGTTCTCTGACACCCCTCCCACCCTGCAGACCGATTTCTCGAAGCCTTACCCCGTTTCATCTTTGGGGCTTCTTCGGATTCGACTCAGGGATAATCAGATCAGTCCAGCACCTCAATATTCAGCCCGGATAATACAGCTCGGTCGTCTCCTTTTGCGGCGACGGGGGCAAAGGCGACAACAGCGGCAGCCTGGGATAAATGAATGGATCTATGTTGATTACGATTGGACGCCAACCGACTACATAGTCGGATGGGATCGAGTTCATGCCCGTTTTGTCCTTGTCTACGCTAGCAAGGATGAAGGATTCCAGCCGATGATACGATGCGCCTCTATTATTCCGCCGGCGGGGCCTATTAACACAGAATACACGGAGCCGTGGTTTATTGGTGCTCTCCAACAACCGCTGAGGAAAAGCCATTTCTACGGAGCTGTCGAGGAGGACCCTGGCTTGGACTTGGTCGACTGAGTTGATGAGCGCTAGCGTTTTAGTCCAGCTGGCAGCGCACACTGAAAATATTGCTTTCTTTACTTGTCACATAAGCAGTACTTGCTCTAGCGATAAGCTCCTTCCTAAGCGTTTCTCTTACATATCAGATTTGTTGACTGGCTTCTGGAAGCACTGCAACACACCATTGAATGAAACAATTCACAAAGCGTTAATGACATTCCCACTAAGTCAAGAACAGGGGTATGATAAACACTCTGAGTACGGAGTAGAGACCTCGATGTTCTTTCTATCTCTCTGCGATCTCCCAATATCACTGGGCAGATCACTCCATCAGCCGATCTCGCGCTGGTATAAAGAATCCGGACCAATCCATTGTCGCCGTGGCAATTAGCTCCACTCTAGTTACGTGAGGGATTCGGTTTAGTTAGTGGCCTGATGTTGCCGACAGGAGTCATTTCATGATAGTGGGTCCTCAGGTGTGTACCAATCGTTGGGTCTTCGGAGCTCATTTCCGGTCATACATCTTCGTGGCTCTTCTTTTCCTGCACCCTGCACCCAAACTGTACATGTCTCAATTTCAGATCCCAGGGCTGACACTAATTGAGGAATGTTACGAGTCCTCGCTTTTCGAGCTGGCGAATCTACAATTGACGCATATTGGGGCTCGATATGGGGTTGTTGAAAGTGTTGGATATATGGATCTTATCCCTGGAAGCACGCACAAAGCCATTATCAACTCCGACATCCATAGTTGCGCTCCGCAGGGCTATGTGACACAGCCTACCTCTTAGGTGGGACAGAGACGTTCTAGAATGTTTAACTCACAACGTCAAGCTTCCTATTGAAATCACCTTTCTCTGATCGTGAAGGTTGCTATCCTGAGTATCCTCTCAAGATGATGGAGACCTTGTTGGGCCGAGTTAAGCCGGAGACGGCTCGTACGCATATATATCCACTCCTTCACTAACCTACCGTAGCCCACCAACGACAGGCGGTGGGTTAGCGAGATGGCGGGTTACCCGGAAATCCAAAGGTTTAGTGGCGTTTTCGATGGCAGCCACAAAAGGTGCCATTCGTAAAGAGCATTTGGCGAGGGGCCAGAGCGATGGAGATGGAGTCTTCTGTGTGGGTGCATGATTGACCATGATAGCTAGAAGGCACACGGTACGCCGATGCATACTCCGTACAACCTGTACTAGTCTCCAACTCTAGCGGTGTCTCAGCTCAGCGATGTAGTCGCTCGATGGAGAGTTCGAGGGAGAGTTTGAAGGATCTGATGTCCCTGAAGCCACGCTGAATTGTGGGCCAAGGTGCATGGTGAGAGAACCAGGAAACCCCCATTGACCCGCCGTAGATTATGCAGAGGATGAAGAGTTCATCGAGAGGGTCGAGTGACATCATTATGTTTGTGATCGCCATTATTAACTGTCAGTATACACCCTAGCTAGATATTGTGGCAATAATCTCAATTGCATCATTATGCGTCGCCACGTGAGGTTTTCGAGACGAACTCCCTAACACTCGGGACCAGAATTGTACACTTACTTACTTCGTTGACTCTGAATATAGAAAGAGAATGACGTACGCAGAGTACATTGTCGACAACATCCAGATGGACTGAAGAAGACGAAGCAACCACTCAGTGACCCGTGATCGCTGTCACTTGACCCGCGCATCACCCCTTCCTTCCTGCTTCCTCCTCGTCTTCCCCTTCCGTGTCTCTTCACCAATGGTCGGGGCTTTTCTTCAGTTCGATTGACCTAAGAGATCTATTTATCTGCGCCTATCAATTTAAAAGATGATTTCACCATTTTCCTGAAACTAACTCGTGCATAGGATCGCTCGGGTTTGTCCGATGCAACACAGCTGTCGGCTATTTGCCTTTCTGTATCCTTAATTGCTTGATACGAGCCAACGAAAGTGCACGCCAAAATTCTAGCATCGAGAAAACAAGCTCAGTGTTTCCTGATTCTTGATGTACATTCTCCTACATCGCACGCCGTCAAGCTCAGCTCTCGCGAAAAGTTTGACTGGCCAATGCTGTTGATCGCGGTAGACGACGATCACCTCTCCCCTCCCCAAAGTCTGCAACCGATTACGATCCACTTCCTACCCTCCAGCACAATGGCTGCCTGAGACAGGGATATGGCGCGCGTTCATGCGCCACACAATAACTTCCGGAATTCGGGGTTGGACAGGGCTCTTTGATGCCATCCGCCTGCGGAAATCCTTCGATTACTCCCATGGAGCCACAGAAGAGCCAATTATTCCCTTCGATTATGGGCTGGTGTTGGCACTTGCCAGTGAACCTACGTCTGGTTAATATTGTGACACATCACTCATATCTATCGGCAAGGCAACCTCGCATGCAGTAGCTCGGTCGCTAAGAAACCATTATGAGCGATAGAGAAATGGGGAGAAGAGAAGAAAAATAAAATAATACGACGCGAGGCGAGGCCAATAATCCTTCTGTGGCCTGATGCATAATCAGTGTCTTCGCTGCTAATGCAAAATACTGGAAAACCCTATGCACCTAAACGAGGTTGATCAACAGGACCTTCCAGCTGAGATGACAAAACGACCATTATCTGTGGCGGTGACCAGGGCCATGGGATGTCAAGCGGCGAGGACAGGACCACACCCCTTTGGCCACAGGCTGGGCAAGAAATGGATTTCGGCGAGGCTCCCGCTAAGCAGTGCTTTAGCTATCCAAGGAGCCGTAGGATCATCGCTTTTACCAAAAAGAGGATCATTCTTTGTGGGGATTTCTTTTCCTCTTGCCGGACACTTCGACGACTACTCCTCATTCTTGGCTCGAGGGATGGCTCACGTTGTTCTGACTTAAGTGGCTCAGTTCGAATGGTCCGTGCAAATGGTCTTCATCAGGTATGATCGGATCCCTATCCAGGTTTTATGCATATCCGAGTCCGACTTCACCAAGCTTCAAGCCCGCCGTGCTCCGTACTTCATTTTTGAGCCCAGGGTTCGATTCTTATACCTTGTAAGGTGTGCGCACCAATGGCCATGAGTGGCCTGCAAGCTCGCCCTCCGGGCGCACTAGAAACGGGCAGTCTTGTCGCAAAACTGCACAAGTAACTGCGGCTATACAGTACTGCGGTCAACAACATGACTGCCTGGGTATTGTATTGTTACTCGTCTATACTTCTGCAAGACGTGGGCCTGAATTCTATCACAAGGTAACGGTAGATTATTCAATTTGACAAGTGGTACTGACAAACCCTTGTACTGGGCTTTGCAAATGTGAAATGTTTCAGGCTGGCCACTCTCGGTCTATCCCTGGAAATACACCGAACGCGTGTATTACTAGAAGTCATACATGACCCATAGCTTACAGTTTTCCCTAAGCATCCAAGTCGAAGTTCTTGCATACGGCAAGGCAGGAAAGGCTATTGAATTGCACTTACATAAAGTAGGTCAGGTTGGGCCGTCTCTTCTCCATCCAAGAGCCATCATATGATGACAAGAATTGTCTGTGGAACTAGGTATAGCGACTATGCACATCCCTTATCTTTGTGTTCCTTCCGATTTGTTCTGCTCCTTTCTTTTTCGTATTGACTAAAGTTAGGAATCTCGCATCTGCATGGTTCCTCCCACTGGGGCAAATCATTACTCGGTACTCGGCCTTGTTGATCGACTGCGCATTCTAGATCTAGGGGAGAGTATCTCAGTCAGTCAGGTATCCAGGCGCTGGGTTTGTAAGTAAGACTGATCAACTGTGTTGGTCTATAGTGACAAGGAGGGGAGTCCACGCTACTTATACGACCGAGTGGGCCGGAGCCAAGCAACTAAGAAAGTACCGTCCATCCATCCGTCCCAAACTTCCAGTCTCCGCTTCACCAGCGTAGGTTGGAATTGAAACCCACCAAACTAACAGCGACAGTTGTTCTTGCGTAGGCGGAACAGGCAAACTGATCTTGGGTTGAACGCTTCCCCCGAGCCCAGGGCTGTTCAGGCAAAGAAAAGAGAAGCCCAAGAGAATAACAATCAAACATCAATTAAATCCAAGTCACACTTTAGTGTTGTTTGCCGAATATCACACGGTCTGGCTTCTTGATTATTATATTGTCTTGGACGTCAAACGCTAACCATGTAAAGACGCAGAGTAGGCAAATACGTACTATCAACTGGGGGTCCTCGGGAATATAGTTGATAGCAGTCTGTCAGGGACGCAGGCCTTGCTGCAGGTCAAATCGTTCTATTTTCCTTTTCCTCTTTTCCTCCTTCCCTCCCCCCCTTTCGTTTTCTTTTCTTTTTCTAACACCAATGCCACACAAATACGCAGTGGGCACGCACACTGTCTCACAAAAGCATCGCCCAGTCCATTTCCCCAGATCGGCTTCATTTTTTGCACGGCCACACCTGGGAAAAGCACCAATAAAAAAATATCCTCATTGGTACGACCATCCTTCCGTTCCCCTTTTCCTGGACTTCCTGGGCTTCTTGGGCGATGTGGTCATCAGACATCTGGTGTCGGTCACACACACTCACACTCTTCTTAGACAATCCCTCTGGATCATAATTGCTATTGTTATTCCGATCACTTGTGTGAGTTGTACCAATCTCATTTTGTTTGGTGGTCACGATCATTTCTGTTTTTCCCTTGGCTCCCTTCTTGAAATTTTTCTCATGTGGGCTCTGTTGCCTTGCTTGCCTGCTTCTTTTCTGATTTTATGTTTAATCATTCTCACTATGCTTCCATTAATTCTGTCTTGCGGTTTAGCTTTTCTTCCGTTCTGTACAATTGCATTGTGCGGTCATATCATGCCCTGAGAGTCGTTATAAGCTAACGTATGCATGCCACTATTGTAGATCGAAAGCTTTTCCAATTATTTGGAGTAATTTTCATTCATCTCTATTTTATTTTCTAATACTTTCTAATCATTATCTTTATCTTCATCCCAGGCCTAAGAAGAAAAACCCGGCCAGTTCAATCTGCTGTGCGACTTGTTTTTCAGTCCGAATTGCCAGTTCTGCGGCATCTATATGTAGCATATGGCTGGTCTTGTCCTCTCCTGGTGCTATTTTTTAGTCGGTTATTTCCACACAGACGATATCATTTGACTTGCAATACCCATTCACGATACACTGCTGCTAGCTTGCTTCCTGGTTTCCACTACGGATGCCTGCCTTGCAACACGCAGACACTTATCATCTGGACGCATCCGACTCTAGGAAGAATCACATTGAGAAAAGGATTTCGTGCTCACCACGCCAAGATTGCATAGATGTCGAGGACCCCATTACAATGGCACACTGCACAACCAAATGGCTGGTACTTTGACGGAAGGCGGCGTGTCTCTGATGATGAGAATCAGAGGCTGCCCTCGCCATCTAATAACCCCTACTCGACAACACAGCAGCCGCCACAGTTCCTCCATCCTGAGAACCGGGGCTACGATCCCACGATGATCAGCCCGTCGCAGTCTCGAACGTCCGTTTATGGGCGACCCCGAGAAAGCGCAGCAGAGCCGGGGGTCACGTTTTCTTCGGGCAGCACGAGCGCCATGGCTCAGCACGGCGTACAGCGCTCGAGTGTGTTGAAAGGCGTGGACTATAGCGGGACGCATGGCTCTTACGACCATCGTGGCTCTATAGGGTCTAGCGGACGAGTGAATGATATGGACTCTCAGTAACCTCCCATTTTTCCTTAATTACTATTAACCACCCACCTTGATCACTTTCTTGAACTTGCTTCGACTTGCCGTTATTACCCTATCTGGCTTCCATTCATGCTTGGGAATTGCCTAGGAGTCATCTGAAATCGTTATCACTTTTTGAACTAATTCAGCGTCGCCAGATATAGCAGCAGTTCCACTACCTTTCCGAGTCCGGTTCATTCAGACAAGAGCATGGCCCTCTATTCTCAGAATGTGCCTTTTGCAAAGCAGCAGCAACTACCACCGCCACGTCCGCAACAGCCTTCACAACGACATACCACATCCAGCATGCCCATAGGCTTTGAGAAACTACTCAACCATTCGCCATCTCCCCCTCCCCCTCCTCTTCCTCCGCCCAGACGGCCATCCTCATCCTCGCGTTATCACCTCCACATCCGGCAACAGCCTCTCGCAGCCCGAGCATGCGGCGCCGGCGACAGAGATCGTCGACCTGTCGACCCACCGCCCATCATCCAGATGCTTCTCACAGACTTCGACCCCCAGTCTGAGGCTGACTCGGACATCCTGCAGGATCCGCGCTTCGCAGTAGGCTGCCTCCTAGTTCCTGTATCTGCTTCATCCGACATCGACGCCGAGCCGGGGCTTCGCGACGACTATCCCGCCCAGAGAGATGCAGGAAGCGGAGGCGGAGGCGGCCAAACCACACCTCTTCTCTCGGGCAAGGCGTTCGTCTCGCCTTTCTACGTCGACGCAGACCCCGACCCAGATACCGCCCCAGTCCACCCATCCAGCAGCATCATCGAGTCCCTCTACAACACCGGGACTACAGCCAAAACCCCCTTCATCCTCCCCAACCCCAACCCACCAAGCAAGACCAACACGTCCATCCCCGCCACCTTCTACATATTCTCCGACCTCTCCGTCCGCACGGCCGGTCTGTATCGACTCCAGTTCCGGCTTATGAACTGGGGCAATGTCGAAGATACTGGCAAATCTATGCCCATCCTCGCGGAGACCTGGTCCGATCCGTTTCGCGTTTATCCGGCGAAAGACTTTCCGGGTATGCGGGACTCGTCGGCGCTCACGAGGGGTTTGAAGGAGCTGGGATTTGTGGAGCTTAAAACGCGCGGAAGAGGTGAGGGGAAGGGCAGGAGGGCAAGATGATCATTCTCTCTCTCTCTCTCTCTCTCTCTCTCTCTCTCTCTCTGTGAGAGATGGACGGACAGAGGAAGACAAAGAAGAGCAGCAGCAGGAGGGGATTAGAGGAGCCGATTTCAGGTGTGGTGTGGATTGGAAGTCTGGGATATTTCTTTGGTGGGATACTTGTTTGATCGTGTCTCCTTGGTCCTAGAGTGAACGGGATCGGGGTGAAGGAAAGAAGGAATATGCTTATGATATGATGGATGATTTGAATTGGATATATGGGTGTTTAAGGGATCATGCAAATCTACACTTTTCTTTTCATTTCTTTCTCGTCTTTCTGCATTGCTTGTTCTACATAAACGGTTTGTTAGATTCTTTGAATGCTATATTATGGATTATAGCTCCTATGTGTTAGGTACTTGGAGCGGCAGTCAGTATAGGTAAGTGAACCTTTCAACTCATTCAATTCCTACAGCTCGACCAACCAACCTTCTATGTTCTTACAGACGGGTATCATAAACAACCTACACAAACCAACGTACTCATACATATACAACCATCTAATGCAACACCACCAACCACCCTACCTAGAGATCCAACATCTCCTCCGGCACGACAGGCACATAATCCTCCCTTTCCCAATTGATCCTTACCGACCGAATCAACCCCGCCATCTGCTTCGAGCTCACCACAAACTGAAACACCTGCTCCACCTGCTCCCGATCATGTCCGTTCTCCCTCATCAGGATCGCCAACGCCAACGCCGCCTTCGGACACCCATGCCGAAATCCCAACTCGTACCACTCGATCGCTAACCCGCGATACTCATGATACGGCTGCGGGCCGAACAGACCCGCCAGGAACTTGCCGAGCGGGCCACGGGTCCGCGCCGCTTGGGTTTCGCGCGCGAAGTCGCCCTCGGGATCTGTGGATTTGGTGCCGCGGCGCGGAAACCGGCCTTGAGAGGTGAGGTAGTAGAAGTTGGCGAGTTTGCGACATGCGGTCGCGTGCCCCGACGTGGCGGCTTTGGCCATGTATTCTTCGTACAGAGGTAGGTCGTTATGCTCGTGCATCATCTGCCCCGCGTAGGTGACTAGCGCCTCGGGGTCCTGGTACTCGAGCGCTGCTGTTTTAAGCAGTTCCTGGATCTCGGACTCCGGGGCCCCCCTGCGTCGCTTGAGCCAGGTATACGCGGCCCAGGGGGTGTCGACCAAAGGTACAGCCATGCTACGGACGGGCGGTTGCTGGGTTTTGGAGGGGTGGATCATGTCCATGACGGATTTGAGGAGGTGCTCGGCTTCGTCGTAGCGCTTTTGCATGCCGAGGAACTTGGCTTGGAGGATCATGGCGCGCGGATCGTAGGAGGAGGCGAGTTTCTCGATCGTTTGGAAGATTGTGCTGCGGCGCGTGCTGGGGAGGTTCGTGTGGCTGCTGTTGTCGGCGATGGCGAGCGCTCGGCCTGCGGACATGAGGGTTGGGATGGCGGCGCCGGCTTGTGCGGTGGACGAGATGATCCATTGCATGAGGGAGGGGGAGTCGCTGCCGACTACGTTGCCGATTTCGAAGACGAGGTCGGGGTCTGTGGAACAGATGCACTGTTAGCCGGGTATTGTTCATGTGTTGTTGCTTGTCATGTCATGTTCTCGTCCTTCCTTCCTTCCAACGACAACAACTCTCGCGCATATTTCCAGAGGAGGGGCCATCAATCCCAAGAAAACCACTCACTTGGATGAACCTCCAAAACCGCATCCGCGGACGGAGGCTGATACGTCGAATTCATAAGCAAGGACTTAGCGATCTCCATGAACGTCTTCCGATCAACATTCTCATCCACGAACCCTTCCACGATACTGAGTCTCCAGAGCTTCGGCCCAATTTTCTCCAATTGTTCGAGACGAGCGCGGATGTCGTTCTTTACGCCGCCTTGGTAGAGCCCGTCGCCCGAGAACGCGGGGCTGAGGCGCGAGCGCGCATCTTCGGCTCTTCGGACGCTGGGGGAGCGAGGGGCGCCGCGGAGGAAGGGGGAAGTTGTGTGGAAGGGTCGTTTGGTGTTGGTTCGTGATGTTGGGGCTGGTCCGGGTGTGTTGGTGGTGATGCGATTAGATCCGCGGGGGATCGTGGATCCGGATATTTGGCAGCTTAGGCGAGAGTAACTGCGGTGTTTGTTTGAGGTTCGGAAGGGATTGGAGGCCCGAGGGAGGGACATGGTGGTTGTTTTGTGCAGCTGGAGAGAGTTGGAGATGGGAAGTTTTGCGGCGGAAGAATCAATCCATGCGGAGATCCCGTGACACCGGTATAACCTCAACGTCGCTCGACGTCTTTGCTGATATGTGATTCTTTGGAGTTTATGAAGCTAGACTAATGAAAGCATTGAGTCAATTGAGCTACAGGGCTGGAGGAACTCAACCATGGCAGACCGCAGCTTACTTTTCTCCGATTCCCTCCCATCTACGATCTCCCAAACATCAACATATTGGAATACAAGTCGAAACCGATCTATCATGCCCCTAGATCCAAACTCTGCCCAATCAATAAGATGATAATGTACATTGGCCGCCCCTATTCCCGCTGTCCGTTTATATCATGCACAAGAGATATATCACGGAGAAAGGAAAACCTAAAACAACAGGGTAAAATAAAACATAAAAAGGGAAAAATAAAAACACAGGTAAATATAAAAAACATAGTGGCGAGACAAAACTCCAGCTCGATGATATGATGATGCACAGAGAGCCCAATCACGTTCAAATCATCCCGATCCCTTTAAGTAAATCGCTCCATCTTCCATCCTACTCAGGCTCTGAAGAACAAGGCTTGGATCCCGGTTAATATTTCGTCATTTTTTGGACGGGTTGTTTCTTTTTCTTTTGATTTCCGTGTCATTCCTTGTTTACTCCATGGTGGCCTTAGCACCGACAGCCTTGAGGGTCTCGATGATCTTCTCGGCGTCCTCCTTGGGCACAGACTCCTTCAGGACCTTGGGCACGGACTCGACGAACTTCTTGCTGTCGACGAGAGACAGACCGAGCATGGTCTTGATCTCCTTGATGACCTTGGCCTTGGAGGCCGCGTCAATGGACTCGAGCTTCAGGTTGAAGAGGGTCTTTTCCTGAGCGGCGGGAGCGGCCTCCTCTTCTTCGACGGGAGCAGCGGCAGCCTGTCCGGCGCCGGGGGCCATGGCGAAGCCGCCAACGGGGAGGTCGGGGATGTTAAGGCGGGTCTAGAATCAAGGAAAGAAGGCAAGTCAGTATCTCAGAAATTGAGCTTGCAGGTCAAAGCTAAAACAAATTTGCAGCTTGTGGAAGCTTAATTGCTTGCTTGTTTGTTTGCCCGCGATCCGACCATCCCCGGGTTCATGAAAAGATTAACGGACCTTCAGGGTAGACACCAGGTCTGCCGTCTCCAACAGAGTCAATTGACTGATCTGGTCGACAATCTGGTTGATCTTGGGGTTGGCAGGAGCAGCGGCCTCCGCCTCGGTGGACTGCCATCTCCGGGTGATTGTTCGCTGAGACAGGTATGCGGAGGACGAGAGACGCAGCGAGGCGGAGGGGCGGACAATCTGTCGGCAGCAGCGAGCTGCGGTTTGCGAGGCGAGCGACATGATGGAGAGGACTGAGGCGGACCCGAACGGCAGGGAGAAGCGAAGGCGAAGAGGTGGACGGGGAGAGAATGCGCTGCTGGACTTTGACGGGCAACTTCGAGCTGGACTGAAAAAGAAAGTCGAACTTTCGGCCCGGAAAATCTGGGCGGGTCACGTGATGTGTATGTTCCGGGAGGGTATCGTTACAACAACTCCGCCCATGTAATCTATGGTATTTACCGCTGTCTAACTCTATGGCCATATGGTCAAGGTTACTATCCAAATTCACATTATAGACCGTTCCAAGATTATTAACGAGCACTACTACTGCTACTCCCACAAAATGTGCATTTCAATCCCTCGAATCAACAGGACGTTTTTTCATAATCTCATGTCTCTATCCCATTCTGATTTTAAACACCCCAATTGGATATAGAATCACTTCTAGCTAGGTCATTTCATTTAATCCTCATCCCAGTTGGGGTTGGGGCCTGGCGGCTTGGGACCACCCGCCTGTCGGGCCACGATGATCTGGTCCACGCTGAGCACCGTCCGCGCCGACTCGCTGGCCAGACGGATGGCCCAGCTCTTGGAGGCCATCAAGTCGAGGATACCTTCCTCCACCGCGTCCAGGGTGCCGGCCGTAGAGCCCTGTTCCAGGTCAACACCGGTAGTCCAGTAGGGGTCCTCCTCCTCGGAGCTACCCTCGCCCGACGATCCTTCCGAGGCGTTGTTCGAGCGCTGCTGGTGTGCTGTGTAGAGACGAGACAGGACCTCGGTGGCGTCCAATCCGGCGGATTCGGCGAGGGTGCGCGGGATCACTTCGAAGGCCTCGGCGTACTTGCGGATGGCGTGCTGGGGCAGACCGGGGGTTCGATCGGCGAAGGCAGAGATCCTCTCCACAAGCTGGATCTCGGAAGCGCCAGCACCGGGCACAAGGCGAGGATCCTTGGTGATGGCCTTGACGGCGTTGACACCGTCGTCGATGGCACGTTCAACGTCGTCCAGGTGGTTCTGGGTAGCGCCACGCAGGACAATGGTAGCGGTCCGGGTCACGGTATCGGGGTCCTCCTGGCGGAAGACGGTGACACGGTCACCACCGATTTCGGTCGTCTCGACCACGTCGACGTTACCCATCTCGTCGGGCATGGGAGCACCCAGACGAGCAAGAGGGGTGGCACCGACGACACGGCAGAGTCGGCGGAGCTCGAACTTGGAGAGGATCTTAATCACGAGGATGTTGAAGCGGTTGAGGTAGTGCATGGCGAGATCGCCGACGGTAGAACCGCAGACGACGACGCGGAGTCCCGAGTCGTACAGCTCCTTGATGGCGGCCTCCAGACGCTCCTCCTCACCCTTCGTGAAGTCGAGCATCTCCTGGGCGTTCTTCAGGAGCACGGTACCCTTGGTCTCGGTCTGGGAGATATCGATAGGGCAGCTGAACACACCGACCTTGGCCTTGCGGGCCTTCTTGACGGTGCCGTCGGGTTCTCTGCCGAGAACCATACCCTTCACCACGCGGGACTGCTCCAGACTACCACCCATGATCTTAACCACACGGACGTTATCGACGTTGAAGTTGGCGGGGTTCTTAGGAAGTACGGCGAGAACGGCCTCGGCAACCAACGACGCCAGGGTATCCTCCGTTCCGGACTGCTTGCTGGCGACCACCGTGCGAAGAGCCTTGCTGAGTTCCTCTTGGGAGCGAAGTTCCTGCAAACGGTCGACCTCGAGATCTGTCGTCGTAACAACCATTAGCATACCCGACAAATAGGGGGAAACATCAAGACAAGCATCCGGATAAAGATGTCAGGATAACCCCTGAGCGACAAAGATAACGCAAAGAAAACCCACCTTCTATTACTTTAAGGGCAAAGTTCTGTGCCTTTTCGTAGCCCTGCACGATATCACTCGTCTTCAGACCCATGCGCAGCAATTCCTCAGCCTTCTTCAACAACTCTCCGGCCAGGATGATGACCAGGTTAGTGCCGTCACCCATCTCCGCATCCTGCTGCTGACTGGCCATGACCAGCAACTTAGCAGCGGGGTGCACGACATCCAGCTCACGCAGGATCGTAGCGGCATCCGAAGTAAGGATCATCTTCTGCAGGTGGTTGATGACGATCTTGTTGCGGCCGTAGGGACCAAGCGACGTTTGGACGGTCTGCGAGATAGCCTGGCAGGCTTCGATGTTGCGAATGACGGCACCATCTTCGGCGTCGTGGCTGTAGAGTGTTATTTGTTAGCAATTTCAGGATAATTGGGTAAGGTGTTGATGTGCTTGAGTCGGCATCTGCGTATGCGTCTATCCTCCCCCTCCCCCTCAATGGAAGCCCGGAGACATCTGGGGCGGGAAACATTCCACAAGTGGGCAATTCACTTACGTCTGATAACCAGGCTTGAAGAGGCCCGCCTGGGAGGGACCGGGCATAGACAATGACATGATGACGAAGAACTTCCTCTCGTGTGGAACCGAAGGGAAGCGAGCAAGACCTAAGGACGGGATCAACAACGACGCTGTTCCCTGAGCTGCTCTGGGAATTTTTGACGGAGCTTCGAGGCGGTCGCTGTTTGCTTGGTTTGCTCCGTTTGCACGCCGAGGGGCTAGGGCATTGCCGTATCGGGTTAGTGTTGGCTGAGTCATTGGCATAATAACAAACATGCCTAATATGCACAATGCGACAAGTTATTCAGGTAGATTATCTAGTTTCTATGATACAGGAGGGAGGTCGCTCTCATTTGCACTTTACTGCGTCCGGTCTACCACCGATAGTTACTGGAAGCCCGTTCGAAATCGGGGACTACGGAGTGCATCCTCGTTAGCCTTCGCACTCCACATCTAAGATCAAGCAACTCACCGAAGCTTCCAAGCACATGGCATCCGCTATCTTCATAGATGGATTCGGCTTTATACATACTGATTCTCGATCAGCAGATTTACTATAGAAGTCATCCCGATCAACTTACCTCATGCGAAGGCTTTCCATGCGGTCGGAATTCTGGCGCCAAGTTAGTACAGCATCAAAGAAAGCAGTGCCTCGAACAAAGCTTACCGACGGATGAGTGGACAGGAACTGAGGGGGCTGGCTTTCTGCCGTTTGATTCATGCGGTCCCAACTAGAACAAATGTCAGTTTTCCATAACAGCATTTTGGCAGAAGAATCTTCAACTCACAGTTTAACGGCGGCTTCGGGGTTGAAACAAGCCTTCGACATGATCACTATAACACAATGAGCTATGTGGCCATGGAAAGGGATGAGCGGTTACTCGTACTTAGACCAATCTCGTCTGCCTCAGACTTGGCAAAAGTTAGCTTCAGTTGAATGTTGCCATCTAGGGAGAGCCTGCTTACTTCCTGGGAGCGAGAGTTCGGCAAGCCATACGCAAGACTCAGAAGCAACGACGAAAGCTGACCGGAAATATCGAACAGGAATGAGGTGACGAATGCCAGCACGAGCGAGATGCCGTTGTTACTCATGCGCTCGGCCGGATGATGCGCGACAACATGGGCAATCTCGTGCCCCAGCACGGCTGCCAGTCCATCTTCATCTTGACAAATGGGCAGCATACCCGTGAAGACGAATACCTTGCCACTGTAACTCAATTAGTCTTATCTCCTGCGACTCAACCCAACAACCTCCGGTGTGGTCTTACCCAGGGAGCACGAAAGCGTTCGCCTGGTTAGGGTCGTTGATGACATGGACCTTCCACTCGGCGTTTTCAATCGGCGCGGCGGGGATCAATCGTTCAAGGACACGGGTCACGTTGATGCTCAAAGGATGGTTTTCTGGGAGGATGCGACCCTGCAGTTCCGCCATGAGTTCCTGATATTCTTTCTTGCCCACTTTGAGCTCCCGACTGGCGGAGATGCAGTTGAACCGTTTGCGACCGCTCATCTAGCAGGTTGTTAGTATCCCGTAGCAGACTGCATGATGGTCGCAGCCACTGGGCGAATATGGTGACACACCTCCACTGTCTCTATGTTGTATACATAGAAAAGGCCTCCGCCAAGTCCAATCATCATATAGTGATGCGGCTGGAGGCGACTCAGCAACTGGATGAGCGGCGGCGCGTTGTTGAACCGCTTGTAGTTTTGTCCATTGTTGAAAGACCGGCGACCGGAAGTAGAGAAGGGCTGGGAACGGAAGGGCCGAAAGGGCGATCGAGACTGCGTTGTCCACGATCGCGAGGAATTGGAGAAGCGGGCTGATCGCGTGGTTATCTGCGGAGATGGGACGGACGGGATGCGCTGGGCTCGGAGGAAGGGTTTCGGGGCTGTAGCTGGCGCAAAGCCACTGAAGAGAATCTGAGTTACCCGTGAGCGAAACATGGCGACGACTTTGGCATGCCAGGCACGCGAAATGCCAGCACGAAATGATGTGGTGATGGGTTCGTATGACGGAGGAAATGAAACATCATCGGGAATCCACCGCCATCGATTCGCCGGTGGAGCGCATGTGACTGTTGGTGCCTCAGGCAGGGATAACCATCTATACGATCCTATCGACATGTAGATTACCACATAGCTGGGGTTTTGAACACTCAACTCTCTTCTGAGGATTCCTTATTCTTCTCTATCTAATCTTACTCTTTAAAGTCAGCTCAGACCTTGCTGTCTTGTTGCGTCTGCATACTTCGTGTGGAGATATATTTATGATGTACGGAGTAGAGCTAACAACAAAATCTTGGTAACAGATGAAAATCACCCTGACAGGCAATTTAGGACAGAAACCTGAGCATCGGACAAGAAACCCCTTCATGATTCCAAAAATCAGCATGATTCAGCAATACTGTCGTGGCCCAGACCTGTAGACTCATTGGTACATACATACATGCTATATCGGCCCGGAGGTCACATACTATTCATGGCGCCAGTGGAAGAAAGGCAGCAGAAGAAACAACTTATGCCTATTTTGAGAGAGAGATGTGAGAGTTGAGGCACGACTGAGTCACCTTAATTCGTTGTATATAGTATACCTTCTATCCACCGAAATCTTTGACCTGCTCTTGATGAACACCATGTCAAAGAAATAGCCGCCAGTTCCCACTACACACGACAGAACATTCAAGACAAGAGCCTGCTAACCCTTACTTTCTCAAGTGAAACACAAGGACCCGATAGTACTCGACCCCAGAGCTCCTTGGCTACCCCAACGGAACAGTAAGTATGTAGTGTGTAGTATGAGCAACGTCACCGCTCAGCCGCACCCAACTACAAATGCCTGCTTGGTTGATTGGAGATCAAGGATCTAGATGCAAGGGAGACCTGCGAATATGCCGCATGTACAGCAAGTAAGTAAGAAAGGGTGTACAGAAATCCATTCAAATGCATAGCAACACGCGTACAGCTCACACCAGGCACCGTAGAAGAACGCCTTCCAGGGTCCACTCTAAGCGCCCATCTCATCTATCCCCAACAGGCAAGTTATCCTTCATGATAATAATAGCCATTATCGGTACCTTGTTTCTTACCCACTCGAGTGGCAGTCCTCATGGCTCGAGGCTGAGGCTCCACAAGAAACAGACGTATGCACGAGATGGAACCAACAGCGTCACGCCTGCCAGGACAATAAATACCGGCGATTAACTCTGAACCAGTGAACGATCGACGCCATTGAGGTCGTGAAACAGGCTATTCTAGAAACTTTCGGCCTAGGTGATTGGGCGAGAAATTTACTTCGAGACGGTTATTTTGGGAACAGATCTGGAGCCAAATGCTAACTTAGTATTGAACCTAACTGGGCTCTTAGGGCTTGGTGTAGCCGCCGTTAGGATCTTCGAGACGCCGGAGATGATGACCAATGGGATGGGTGGATTATCCAGACGCTGAGCGTGATGGCCTTCCTACTAGGTACTTTCTAAGGGAATTGAGTACTGCCAATTAAGCGCCGTGGGTGATAATGTCGCGAGATGTTGGTTGCCGTGGAGGCCATGAGTGTGGAAGCCCAGCACTTCCAGGGTGCAATGCATGCGTGCATTAGAGCGAGGCAGACTTCCAGGTCTTGACACCACCATGGCCAGGAGGCTAGGAGGCGGGATAGAATGCCATGCCACGTCCACAAGGGTTACGGTGTGCTGATTGCCCCAACACTTTTCCATGCAGTGAAGTCGCACACGGCAGGAACGGGATACAGGCATGCCATCGTCGGCTAGAAAAGAGCTGAGCGGTCTGTTACACTGACCGGATAGATTGAACATTATTGCAACCTTTGACAAACATTGGCAGCCTAGTTAACTAGTCTAGTGTAGGTCCAAAAGTCAGAGATGGACAAAATGTAGAAATTAGCTGCATTGGCAATAGACTAAGAACTGATGAACTGCGGTGTATGGCAAGGCAGTTTCGCAGGGCAGCAACCCCGCTTGAGGACATTGAGCTTTAATTTTGGCTGTCGGAAATTTAAGACGCAATCAGATCAGGATGCTATTAATAAAAAGAATCTTAATTTGTCAAGTCGAAAAATCCCCTTATCGCGGTAATTAAGCATCAAGCGTGCTCGACAAGGACCGGAGCCGTGTGCTTCCCCAACCGAGCGACAGCAGGGACAATGCAGTGAGAGACCCAAGCAGGTACCTGGTACATGCACATCCGGGCTAAGTACATGAGGAGAATTTAGTCTGAATTGCAATATCGCAATCGGCAAGGTTGACGGAGTACAGACTTCGGAACACTGCGGAGAATAAAAACAGACTGCGCACATCACACGGTAAAAAGGAGCCAAAAAAAGAGCAAATGCCCAAGCTCGGACCCCACTCGACAAGCAAGCATGACGATATGGATTGACCCTCCCAAGAACAGAAGCAAGAGACTAAGGAAGAACAGGGCCACAGGCGCAACGCTCAGTTCCTAGCGGCAGCGATGGATGTACCCGGTACATCCAAGTCACAACCTGGCTTGTGCGCCGTTCAGGGTTTCTGCAGATTGACCATACTTTAGGGGCCGAGGATTGGCCGGTGAATGGACGCTAAATGCTAGTGTGCAGCTGCAGGAATGTGACGAGGAACGGCAGAAGCGTTGTGATCACTTTCTGGCGTCAGTCACATCGACTGCCGGCGCCCACGAAATGCGGTCTGCGCTTCTGGAGACTGCTTCCTAGTAGAAAAGGAGGGCCAACATTCTTGTGGTTGAAATTCTGCTGGTTTTCAATTTCTTTCGGGCCTGGTTGGGACACATTAAGAGTGCAGATACCCGTGAATCATTGATTGTTCTTGTCTTTGGTCATCCCACGATATCTACCGTGGGAAAATGCTAAAGTGACCCGATGTGACTCGAGGATCGAGGCTGCAGAAGTGCGATCATGGGAACGGGCAGGAAAAGCGGCCCATGCACGGCGAGCAGGAACGAAAAGCCATTAATTGGCGCCGAATGCAGAGATAATTATGGAAGACGATAATAATAGTAATGACCCGAATGAGGGGAAAGAAGGGGAAGAACCGAGTTCTCAAGGTGCTGATTGACTGGAGGCCAGCGGCTAAAGGAGCCAAAATTAACTGCTCTTTCAATACTCCGTGAGGGCTATCAGCCTGTCACTTCGTTAGCGCCGTGCGATCACATCTTGGCCAAAGTTTCCCAACCCGCACGGTTGGCTGCGGGTTTTCCGCTCTGCACGACACGAGAATCGACGGCCACCAGTCGTCGTGTCGAAGGGGAAGCTTGGCTCGACTCCACTCGGCGCTCGTGCTTTCTTGCTCACTCTCTCGCTCTTTCACCCTCTGCCCCTCCCCGCAATTGCTGTCTGTGATCGCGTCCTGCATTCACCGGATTGACCTTGGTCCGGTGGTACTTCGGCCATGTACCACCCCCGCCATCCACAGCCCATGAGGGACTTCCCCCCTCGTACGATCATGTTGGCTGCCAGGAAGCCGTGAGGTGGTTGGCTGCTCATTCCAAATCCAGGTTAAATGTAGTAACATGCGCTAATTAGACCGTGGACCACCGCAACATCCATTGGTTGCTGCAGGGTTTGGTTATCAAACCCTGCGATATTGGTGCTAGTCCCCAGCCCCCAGCCAGAAATGTGCTGAACACGACATGACGGGAATAGGTGTCTTTCAAACTTCATTGCACTCATCTACATGATATTTCCAGGTGAAATACTTCTAGAAGGGCGAAAACTTGTCCTGCTGGTCTATCAAGGTAGTCACGGCTGACCACGTGCAGAGCGGATGATTCAGGAAGCCCTAAAAAGGAACGACGACAAAAGCCAAAACCAAAAGCCAAAAAAAGCCCGCATGCCAGCCAGTAGCACGAATCCCACTTAATTCAGGGATGTCGGAGGATGGCAGTTACTATTTGCGATAGATCCAACTCCAATCAATCTCCCAGTCGCACGCTGGTCACCAATCACTTGTCTGGATGCCGTGCATGGGCGCCAATATCCTCCAAAATTAGCCTGGCTTTGGCTAAAGAGTCGAGCTAGTGAGAGCAGGCCCCTGTCCGTGCATGATCTTCCTGCGATCTGCCCTCTCATCCCATCTCCCCGCCAATCTTCGCTGCCCACCCGCTGCTTGCTCTCGGCTATCTGGAATTCCAAAATAGAAACATGGCCTGCTTGTCCGTCATGAACTCGGGTTTTAAAGCTTCGTGCATCCCGCCACTCCTCCATGAGTCTTGGATCGTTGTCTCTCCCACACGAGTTCTCCCCGTCGCCTCGTCGTCCTTTGCAACCGCGCCTTTCGTTCTCTTATACCTAATTAGATAGCAAAGGCTGCTGGTTCAGTCTTGCCCTTAATCAACACGCTCCTCCCTCTGATTGCGTCGATTGCGCAAGCACCTCGAACGTCGATTGTATTCTATAACACTACCTATCCGAATCACATCAGCAGTTATCAATCAATATGCCGGCCTCCGCAAAGAAGAAGTCGACCCCCAGCAGCGATGCGCCGACTAAGCTGGCTTCCGCCGATTCGCAGCCTTCCTCCTCCAGTGAAAGTACCCCCGGAGCTACGGAGAAGAACGCAGCCAAGTTACACAAGAGATCTCGCTCTGGTATGTCACAATAATGTCTAAGACAGACATGAACTCAATTGAACTCCCTCCTTAACTTAACATGTCTCCAGGCTGCTTCACATGCCGTCTTCGCCGAAAGAAGTGCGACGAGAAACATCCTTCCTGCGGCGCCTGCATCAACCTCAACGTGAAATGTGAATACAAGCGCCCTATCTGGTGGGGGAACGCCGAGCAAAGAAAGATCCAGAAGGAGCGGATCAAGAACAAGATCAAACAGACTAAGATGAATGAGCGCAATGGGTCCCTGACCGGTAGGATCGGATTCCCAAACCATCCCTCGTTCATGCCGTCCCCTAACCAGCCCGTGGATCACGCAGTCGACGCCTCGGGCCTCAGTCGCAGCGTGGCCGTGACATCCCCGACGTCGCCCGAGTTTGAATTTGGCCGGCCCGTCTTCCCAGATCAGTATGATATCTTCGCCTCGCATCTGCCCACGCCCGCCATCAACCAGCCGATCTACGGCTCGTATCCGACGCCGTTTGAGATCGATGTCAAGACCGAGCGACAAACGTACATCAATGAGATGCCTCTGCAGCACAACGCGGTCAGCTCCACGTTCAGCAATTTTGCCCCGCCTCAAATCAATGCGCCCTTGCCGCCGTTCCAATGCGAGGAGTGGTTCCAGGACGAATGCTTCCCTCAGGTCGCCCCGGCGCTTCCGGGGATTGACCCGGCCCTGTGCGAGCAGAGTATTGAACAGACCTATGCCATGCTGCAAGCGAATATTCCCGTCAGCGATCACGATCGGCCGCTGCTGGATCACTTCATCCACAACGTTCTGCGCATCATCTTTCCCGTCCTGGAGGCTCACCAACGCGGACACATCCGGGCTCAAGCCATACTTCAGGCCCTCGAGACGAATAAGTGCTACCTACACTGCTGCCTCAGCGTCTCGGCTATTCATCTGAAGACCACCGAAGGGATCGTGAGCGAACAGATTGACCATGACATTATGCGCCACCGGTTTGAAGCCGTTTCTCAGCTGTGCCTGGCGCTTGGAGAGGACACCAAACACGAGGAGATCTTGGACGCGACCCTCGCCATGATTTTCTTCCACTGCTCCGTTGGACCGGCCGACGACTACCTGCCCGATATCCCCTGGTTCGATCATTTCCAGGCCGCCACGAATCTGGTCCACCGACTGGGTCTTCCCACCGCTGGCCCAACATGCGGGCATCCGTACATGCTCCCACCCTTCAACATGACGCTCACCTCATGGATCGACATCCTGGGCTCGACTATGCACGGCCGAACCCCCGAATTTGCCCACATGTACCGATCCAAGCACCTGAGTGGGGCGTCGTCGGGTCTGCGCGAACTCATGGGCTGCGACGACCGAGTGATGTACCTCATCTCCGAGATTGCCTGCCTGGACGCATTGAAAAAAGAAGGCCGAATCGACGAAATGTCCGTCTGCTCGCATGTCTCGGCCTTGGGCCGCCAGCTGGAATTCACCGAGCCCATGGATCAAACGATCGAGAGCCCCTACTCGTCGACGGGGGCCCTCCGACCAGACGTTCTGACCAAGAATATGACCGCCGTCTACCGCATCGCTGCCCGCATCTACCTCTGCAGTCTGGTCCCCGGTTTCGACCGCAGTCAACCAAGCAACCTGAACCTCGTCGCGGCGGCCGCCAACACCATCGAATGCATCCCGTCCGGACCGGAGGGGTACGATCGCTCGCTCGTCTGGCCGCTGCTCATCACTGGCGCATACTCCTCGCCGGGCAGTCATTTCCGCACGCTCCTGGCCGAGCGTGTCGTTGCTCTGGGAGACACGGCCGACCTCGGCAGTTTCGGTCGCATGTATCGACTTCTGCAGGAGGTCTGGCGGATCAGCGACGATGCCGCTGAACCATTGTACGGCGTCGAGGAGTGCTCGTCCTCTTCATCGGCTAGCTCCGTGAAGATCGAGGACTCTGACACTCCTCCACAAGACTTTAATGACACCGAATGGGTTCTGAAGGAGGTTAAGCCGCCGCCCGTGCACTGGCGCGATGTCATGCAGCAGAATGGATGGGACTATTTACTCCTGTGATCCTGGCTTGCTTTTTTCCGCATCCAACATCCATGCGATCGAGTCTCATGAATATCACGTTTTTCCTTTTGCATTTCTAGATCCCTCGAAGGGACTGTTCAAGCTGGCTTGAACATATAACGACTACAACTTGGAGATGACCGAGACCAGTTCTAACGCTCAGTCAGGAGATGGGAAACATGGTACAACAGGCCGACAAAATCCGAATACGCAGCTGGCCCTTCGTCATTCGAGAACCAGACCAACAAACCTGGGGTCTCAAAAGCTCGTTCTACCGTGTTCACCTTTTTAGAAAAAGGTACCATCTCCGCCTATCACCTTCGGTCGTGTCCTAGACCCAGACAGGACCCAAGGACGTCGATCGATCGGATCGGTCTTGGGAACACCATCCCAACTTCCATTCTTTTTACATAGTTACCATTCTACCCATTTATTCATGACCTTCACTTCTTTTTCTCTTCCCTGCAGGTCAGAAAGGGACACGTCACGGAACGGCACGGCAACGCAATGCAATGTATTACGACGGACCGGAGGAGCAATGACTGCGAAAAGGGCGCAGGAAGAGCAATACCCCCTCCATCACCTCACTTCATCCCTCTCACCCTTTGATATCACGGAGTCAGCGGCGTTATGGGTGTTTGCTTGCTTGTTTTGGATCGCATGCCTCTTTTCGCGGGCGTCATTACTATGAAATCTACATATTGCATTTGCTTTGGGTTTGTGCTTACTGGGCTTTTGTCTAATTCGGTGTTCGATGGTTGCGATTTGATGTTTATGATTGATGGGTCTGCTTTTTGCTTTTGATGTCTTGTTCGGAGAGAAAAAGAAAAAGAAGAAAATCTGATACTGTTACTGTTGATGTTGTGTTTATGATTATGGATGTGGATGTGGTCGTTGTGCTTCTGTTGCCTGTTGTCGGTTCTCTGCTCTGCTACTTTTTAGCTGTGACTTTTGTTCCATTCTCACTGCCTATACTATACCCATCGAGCTTAGAAAAATGAAGAAGTTGTGTGTGTATACTCTACTCTGGTCTTACGTATCTCGTAGTATCTGGATTTCGTCATTCCATGCCAGAATCACTAACTAGAGAAGGCCCCTCCGGTCTCTAATCCGCATCTTCCTCATTTCAAGACTCTACTCGACCCTTTACCCGCCTCGGTCCTACCCTCCTCCACCTGTCCTAGGAACGGAGCCGCGACAAAGAAGCACATAGCAAGGCTTCGATCTTTTGTTTTGAGGCTGGTATGGATAACTCGATTGTCGGATGCAAAGCGAGAAATGTTAAATAAAGTAAGAAAGCCGAGGACAGGGTTCAACAAAAGCAAGAATAGCGAGAAGACCTACGCAGGGAAGACCCAAGAACCCATACTTCTAAGAACCCAAAAAAAGAGGCACGGGAAGAGAACTCCAGGATGGATATCATGCATCTAAGTTCACAATTCTTTCCCAGAACCCATTTGGCTACCATGAGCTCGCTCGTCGGCGATTCTGCTCCCGTATAGAAGTGTATAGATCTGAGAGTCAAGGGACCCTCATCGCACCGGGGACGTTTGGCATTGGCTAGTCGGCGAGTTCAATGGATGACGACCCTGGAGGTGCGAATGGGAATCGACAGTCGGGCATGTTCTATGTGTAGGTAGTTCCTAGGTATGGGTCTGCTCTTGTGTTCATAAAATCGAGGAGTAGGCACTTCGGCTATCATGGCTTCCGTTTAGGAATTGATTGAACAATTTATAACTGGTTTCGCCCATGACTTTGTGGACAACGCTGGAGCTAAGACAGGGGAAGACGAATCTTGGAGGTGTATCTGCTTGTTCGTGTAGTAAGTTGTTTCACAAATGCGGCGTAACCTTTATTTTGTAAAATCTTAATCTTGCTGAGAAGAAAGTCCCATGTCATAGATAAACGCTCGAGGACGCACCCAGAGAGTTGAGAAGCTGGAAGGCCTTTGCTGGCATAGATTGGCTGGGCGCTCAGTAGTGATAGGCTCAAGGCACTGTACAATCGGCTTCTGCAGTGTTGGACTAATCACAGAAGGGGAACAATAGGAAGCTATCAAATGAGAAGCTCGTTGAATGAGTCGCTAGATCCAACCTCATTCCGTCTCTGATTCTCATGGAAGATACGCTGGAAAAGATTTTGAATCCGAGCGGATGAAAGAGCTCAAAAGGTGAGCTGATGACTTGGTTTCACGTCCCGTAAACGTTCTTTCAGGGCACCAAGGGGGAGGTTGTGATGTCAAGGAAAATTGCTATGAGCTGGTGCTCCTACGGGGAATGCAGAGAGCAGATAAGGAATCTAAGTGTCGCGCTAGATTTTGGTACAATTGACGGCCGGCTAAGTACATACTGATCAACAAACACCAATAAAAGATACGTCCCTAGGCCTTGAATTATCAATCTCATTGTACTGGACGATTTCCATATTATAGATTGATTGATCTAAACCCAAAATCTCTTTTCTGTAGAATCCTTCCCGCGCGCGAAACTATCGTAATTATCTCCCATCACACTCTTCTCCAGGGACTGCTCCTTGGCCGCCCGGAACTGCTTCTGGGCCAGAGTCTGTGGCAACCCAGAAGGAGGGCAGATGTGAATAAAGAGATCCTTGAGCAGACCCCGCAGGCAAGCCATAGGCTGTACTACTCGACCTGAAAAAACCCACTCATTTTCCTCACTAGCGAGGGTGTATATTTCGAGCTCCATGGTCAATTTGCCAGCAGGGACGGCCTGAGAGATGTAAGAGAGAGATTGAAGCCAATCCCATGTCTCCTTTTTATCAGGGTGAAAGTGATCTTCAACGCCCGTGTGCATGAACTTCCAAAGAATGCGACGGAGATATGGAAAGGCGTATTGTGGGAAGCCGCACAAGAAATCCGACTTTTTCGTGCTCCACCATTCCAAGCAGGATGGCAAGTTAGGTGCCCCAAAATGAGTTTTGAATGTATTTTTTTGAATAAAAGATGGGAAAGACGAGTTGGCGCACTGTCTTACTTACGAAGAAGAGCATGTATGGGGTTCGCCAGCACGGAAAAGCCGTACTGAAAGCCGTATTCAAGGATGGGCAGAATTGACCTTGCTGTGGCTCCCTATCATCGCAACACGCTGAACTTAGACAGAACCTGCAAATAAATTGGTTGCATTTGTGGGAATAACGAAGCGGTTCCTCGGCCGTAACAAGATCAGAGAGTTCCAAGATCCGAAGTTGTAGTTCGACAGGCAAATCGAAGAGGCGAAACGGCTCTGGAGGAGGTGGGCCGTAGAGCTGAAATTGTGTCTTTTGCCGGATCGTCGTCATGACCATATGCTGGAGATCTGGATTCAGGCGAGGGCCCAGGCGGATAGACAAGTCTCTCAACCGGGGTAACTTGTAAAGGGGATCCAAGAAGGCTGTCACGTTCTCTTTGGTTGCCGCATCGCAGATCAACTGTAGTGCTAACTGATCATCGTGTTTGATGTGGACTGCCAGCAATTCACAGGCATATAGCCAGTTGCACAAGGGTCCACTGGCCTTACTCAACTGACCATCTCTCCTGAGAATTGTGGTCATACACGGGACATCAGGGTCATCTGAATAGTACCTTTCGCTAAGATCAATGGTAACGGATCGCAGGGATCTCAACATCCCAGGGCTTAGATTATTCAGAATTGGCAAACCGGGACCCTGGGCGCAATAGTCAAAGACTATGACATTTTACCCGTAGTATGTGGTCCGAGCATCTTCAGATACCGCACGCGAAACATAGAACAGCTGGTTTGGAATCCGATCCTCCCATTTGAGTCCGTCTTGCCTGTCGTAGAATGTCTCGGTTCGTGAGCACCATTCTCCTGCAACACTGTAATTCAACTCCAGGTCGTAATCCAAGAGAAGACCGAGCTCGAAATAGATTCTCTGCCTGGCCCTAAAGGGAAGACGAAGAAAGAAGGGCAGATGTGAGTCGGACATGATTGTCGTAGATAGTTATACGAACCGCTGACTGTTTGGGTGTATGTCCGATGAGATCATTGTCATATGATTGACAGGTCGCCAAGAGAGCTAAAATTAGAAGTCCAGGAGGAACCCCTCTCGAGGAAGGATTATCAGAGGGGTGTTATGAAAGATTCCAGAAGTGAAGGGATCCTCCATCAATTCCAGACTTCCCCCGCCCGTCCCAAACCCCGTGATCCCGCCAGCCCTCGCTTTCTTTCTTTCTTTCATTCATTTCCGCCGATGTCTTTCCTTCACTCTTCTCTCGGGTTGGGAGGCTGACCAGCATCGATGCATCACTCGTCTGGCCTATTTTTATCCCAAATTTGACTTTCTCACCAACCGCTGACTTCTCTCCATCTCACCGCTTCACTGCCCCTCCTTGAGATTAAATAAGATGTCCCAATCTCTTCCTCCGCCTTTCACTCCGGATAGTGAATTTGCTGCTCTCGAGACGCCCCGCGCTCCGGCTGGGAGTCTTTCAATCACCGCTTTAGCCCGCTTTGAGTTTGAGGCCGGAAAAGCCAACGATGGAACTAAGATTCTTATGATTGAATGGGAGGATGATGATCTCGCCCGGTGTGCTTCATCTGTCACCACTACCTCATCCCCAGCGGCAGTTGAAACCAAGCCCGATGCAGAGACAGCAACAGACACGACGAATACAACGACAGAAACGACAGAGAATGACCAATTAAAGAAACGAACAGGCGGACTATGGCACGTCTCCTGGGAAAACAAAACGGCTGTGCTGCCCGCCTCCGAGCAGACGAATGATCACACCCGTCGCGTCTACTTCCTTCTCCCGCCCAACGTGACCATCCCGCCTGTCGTTACTCTAGCCTACGAGCCTGCCCCCGCGGGGCAGCAACCTAGCGACTATGGCACCGCAGCGTCAGAGACGCTGCAGCTCAATCCGCTGCCGGCGATATTTCCCCCGGAACTGGGTGCGGACGGCCGTTCTGCCGGCAAGAAGGGTGTGTTGCACACGATATGGGCAAAGAAAAGACTGCAGGTGCTTGAACGCGAGATTCGCGAGGAGTGTGAAAACAACGTCGAGGGCATTGCGCTGCAGATGGCACTGCAGGAGAAGGAGTGGATCGAGATGAACTTTGGAGTCGGGGGTGCGCAGGCGGCGGCGGAGGCCGTGCGCAATCGGGTGAACTCTCATGATGCGTCGTATCCAATGGGACCGACGACGCCGGTCTCGCCAACTACTGGAGGGCGGTTGGGCGAGAAGCTGAAGGGACTGAGATTGCAGACGGGGGCTGGGGGCAGGGGAAAGGAGTTTACATCTTCGCCATTGAGTTCTGAAGGTATGTATCTCCTCGTCGACGAGAGACAAATTGTCGTTGGACTAATGACATGGGAAAAATAGGAATGCCCCCATCTTCATCGGCTCATCTTCTGTCGCCGCTCTCCCCCGACATCGCGGTCTCCTCGTTCAACTCGTTCCACGGCATCCAGCGACCTGAACCGACGCCGGCAGCTGCTCCGGCAACTGTCCCAGCCTCTGTGCCCGCTCTCTCAGACCCGGTGAAAACAGTCGCACATTACCCGCCCGAGTCCTTACAGGCGCAACAAAGTACGCGGGATGGTAGTAGTGGGTTTGCGCCCATGGGCACTATCACACACACGTCGGGCGTCGATTCTGGTGAGGAGCTCTTCGCCAAGGCGTTGAGTCCGCGCACGCCGGATCTTCCCCGGAGTCCGTTCTCTTTTGCGCCGGAGACGCTGTTGCAGCAGAGAATGTGAGTGCAAATGGTTGTTTCCCGGATGGGAGGAGTGTAGATGAAGTTAGCGATATGATGCGTTATGATTTATGTGCTTGAAGCATGATATCCCTGCAGTATTGAATTATTGACTCAACTTGATGGTATGGTTTGCAAGTCGACAGCCAGCGATGGAACGACTGGGCCCATCAACGAACATAAAAAGGATGATCACACACAGTAAAAGTGAAATAGAAAAACCACCATCATAAGATTGTCAACCCATCTCAACTGAACCAAGCAACGAGCAACCTACAGTATACATATTCATACATCGCAGTGTATCTCAAATCGCCCTCCAACCGACCCAAAGTTCAACTCTTAGCCGTTGCATGTTACCAAAAATAACCCCTCTCTCCTCCGTACTCCGTACTGTACAGTAGCCGCCTTCCAAAAATAACCCACCGGCATCTGTACACCGTGCATTAGCAATACCACGACCACCACCCGAAAACCCAGTCTAGATCCCTTCCCCTCGAAGCGCGACGCCGACGATGTGATCACAAAAGCCCTAGCTGCAGGGCGACGCCACACCACCCAATCACCTACCCTCCTGGGACTTCCATCCCGTGGCCTCTCATCAAGCATTCCCACCTACAGTCCATACCCTCTCCTGCTGCATCATTAGCTCCGGAGCTAACGTAGCGTGGCGCGTTCGAGGGACTCGAAAAGGGAGGGAAAGAACTCGGATTGGATGATGTGGAAGCGCCCGCCGCTGTCACCGGCGCCAAGCTCGAGGGAGGGGTGTGGTAGGAGGGTATTTTTGGAACGGGATGAGGGGTAGAGGAGTGGAGTTGACGCGCGCGTTGTTTCTGGTTTGTGATGGTCTTGTTTACTTGGTTGGGTATTGGATGGTGGGAGAGTTGACGCGCTGTGTGTGATGAAAATGCTTCTTGATCTTATTGTTTACTTACCTAAATGTATCTAGCGCGTACTGTGCACCTTCCACTAACACGGTAGAATACCATCGAATCCGACACCTACAGTACAAGAAAACAGGAAACCCCCCCATTCTTAAGTATCCAAAAATAGAACCCTAACCGCCCCTCCACCGTAAGTGCCTATCACACACCCCACCACGATATCACAACTCTATCTCCCACCCAGAAAAGGATTGGATATCAAGGTCTCAAAGCAAGTTCCCCCTTCCACACGTCATCCGTCCCCCGGTCTCCACCGCGCTCCACCTGATCCAACCAGCCGCCGCCGAAGCACGGGGATCTCCACTCCCCGGTGGATCATCGCCGGAAGGATACTAGCGCCGGCGCTTAATTGCAGCTGCCACGCTTCCCTTTTATTTTGGTTTAGGGTACCGAGATGTGTGTGATGAAATGAATACTGTACAGGAATAACCAACTAAAGCCCCAATCCAATCACCAATCTCACCTACCTACATACACCGGAGACATATACCATAAGAATACCTAGTTAGCCGCCCACCCAACCCACCTACCAACCAGGCTCCCCACCACCAACCAATCCCAGCAAACACCACCCCCCGACCCCCCAGCCTGCATTCTTCAGCAAAACATGAAACCGGCCCCGCGCGCCTTCTGCCCCAATCATATTACTTCACCGGCACTTGAAGCCTCAGGTCTGGTCAGCTTTTCATGGGTCTGCGTGGTGGCCTTTCTATTTACTTACGGAGTAGGTCTAGTTCGGGATTGTGGGACTAGTAGGGTTGGATTGGCTTGTTTACGGTCTGGTTTTTCAGTTTTCTTCTGGGGCGATTTGGTTTGGTTCGTGTATTATTGCCTGTGTAGGTTGGTCTAGTACCTAGGGAATGGAGAATATGGTGTAGTGTGTATAGACCAAATACGTAGTTAGATGGTAGGTAGGTAGAAATTATGATTTAGTAGCATCTACGAGGAGTGGGTAGACTCGAGAGATGGAAATAGATCCGAAAAGAGAGTCGGTAATACGACGTATCAGTATCTTACAGACTGGTATTCGTGTGTATTGGTTTCTACACGCGTATGCGTTCACGGTCACTACGTGTTGACCACCTACAACACCCACCTAAGAAACTTGCTTTTTCGTACCTTTGGACATTTGCTAAGACTCTAATTCAGTCTTCAGGAATAAGTAGTTACAGAAAAAGGAGTAATCGTATATAATGGCAGTACTAAACAACACCCGAACGCAGGCATCTATAGATGGTTACCTACTGCACTCATGTATATACTACAGTTCATCACAGGTACTAAGCAGCTATATATCCATTTCATATCCATCTAGCCCGTAAATATTGTCTGACATCAACAAAGAACAAGACATATACCTATCACATACCCAACCCATTTTCCGAGCCTCAATCACATCAACCAACATCACCCATGGCTTGGCTTACACGTGGACTGATAGTGGAAAGGGACGATGCGGGGTTGGGTCTGTGACGCTCGCTGTGATGGCACACACGGTGTCAATAGGGCCACTATGGTGAGTGATTGGGGGGGGGGGGTGTTGGTTTACTACCGTACTTAGGGACTCTAAATTGATATGAAGGGTAGAATGCAGACAGTCAGCACATAATCAGGTCAAAGTGCATAGTATACGTGCTTTGGATAACTAACAGAAGTAATGGAAGATAGGTCAAGTAATGCAGTCATCAGTTCATTTCGATCATCAGTACATCGGAACGTAAGACATATCAAGATTACTCGACTAGATGGAAAGAGATGAAACAAGAAAAACAAAACAAAACAAAACCCGAAGTCAACAAAACCCATGCTCGCAAAATAACAGCAAACGTTTTGAAACACAAAAATCAAATAAAATCAAGCGGAAGTCAAGTCAACTCCGGACGCCGGGCTCCTAACCTACCAACCAACCAACCAATTTCTGACCCTCAATCCTATCCCCAGACCCAATCAAACCAAACGGAACAAATCCCTGAAAGATGATAACGAACGAATGTAAGAAAGAGAAGAGACACGTAAGGGGTCTTGCCCCCGGTCAGGTCCAGCCTAAAGACAATCAAGCTCAAGCAAGCGCAAGCTCAAACATCCTCCGAATCATCCGAATCCGCATCCTCCCCTTCATCATCCTCGTCTTCCGACTTGACAGTTTCCCGCTCAGTGACCTTCTCCGTGATCTTTCTGCGCTTCCCCTTGGGCGGATCCTCCAGCTGAGTCCGCTTATACGTCACCGTATGAGTGATGACATGGCGCACGCTGACGCGGCTATTCGCGCTCCTCGGGCCCTCGTAGTACCGCGCTTTCCAATCCGAGGGGGAGTACGGCGAGCGCAGCATGGTGGCACTGCGCGGGGACTCCGCACTCATGGTCATACTGGTGGGGGAGTAGCGAGGCGGGATAGGCCCCGAGGGGATGCGCAGCGAGCGCAGGTTTCGGGGATCGCGCCGCGGGAACGGAGCCCCGTAGGGCGTTGGGGGTGGCAGCGACGCGGTAGCCGACCTGGGAGGGTCGTTAGAGTTGAAGGAGGTGCTGACGGCGCTGCCGGGCTGCGAGGTAGGCGCGCTGGTCGGGTTGCTGGTGTTGATGCCGCCGGGGTTCAGGCCGTTGATGTAGTGAGTGACGGCGGCATTGGGGTGGGGGTTGCTGCGCTCGAACGGCTTGTCGAAGCGGAACCGGCCATTCTCGCCTCTGGCGCTGTCAGGCGAGAAGATGGGGGTGAAGGCCTTCAGGAACTCCGTGTAGGCGGCTGGCGGCGTGATGGGCGTGCAGAGAGTCTCGTCTCCAGGCCGGGCGCTGTTATTGCCGGAGAGACTGGAGGCAGTTTCGGGGTTGCCTTGGAGTTCGGAGGGGAAGACCATAGGCTGAGGGGTCTTGAGAGGGTGAAGGGCGGGCTTGATGGAAGGCATCTTGAACGGTCTTCTCGTGCGTGGCAGTAGATGCAGCGGAAGTATACGTGACTCGCAACCAAGGATGAGTCCAGCCAGGTCAGTTGGCAGGTGGTCTGGATGAAGGCCCTGAGGAGAGACTGATGGAAAGGAAACAAAGTCCCTTAATAGGACTTCAGGGAGAGCGAGAGGAGTAAAAGAGGAGAAGAAGAGAGAAGAGTGGAAGAAAAGAGAGAGAAAGAGGAGGAAGATTTATGGAGGGAGGATCTTCAGGCAGCCGGGTTTCCGTACGGTTATATTACCATACCATACGGTACGGTAAGGATACGGCAGGGAGTCCCGTGGTCGAGTCACGCCCTAAGAAGTGACGACTTTTTGGCAGCGCAGAGTAGATCCGATCGTCTGGTCTGCAGAAACGGGGAAGGGGGAGTCTGGTGTGTCAGGTGTGCCAGATGTGCCAGGGGATGGGTGGAGGGGAAACCGGACGACGATCCTGGTTGCAATTGATCAATGAGGATGGATTGCCAGTGAATTGAGTCGATGAAACCAGAAGCAGCAGAGCCAGAAAAGGAGGAGATAGGAAAGATGGGATGAGAGACACTGCTTTGATTCCATGAGTTGAATTGAATCCCAATCTCGTCCATTGCCTCCTCTTTATATCCCTCGTTCCATCTCCCCCCTCCTGTGCCATGCACACATACCCTCCGTCCCATCCATCCAAACCAACACGTCAAGCAAGCACCATCCCAAACCCAACTCAAGGTAAATTAAACTAAAGTCAAAGTTATCGCCCGGCGTGCTGAACCCGGCACGTCGACGTCGCATTCCCTCGTCCTGACTGGCCCGTTCTTGACGCGCACGGCCTCATCCCAAGCCCTAGTGGCGGCTCGCCCTTCTCCCAACCCAACACGCTCCGTCGCTTAGCTCCATGCTCAGAGCAGACACGGCACGACCACACCATTCCCGCTGGCACAGGTCCTTCCACGCGGTTTCTAGTCTGGTTGGTTTCCTCCGATGCTGCTTGCTTGTCTCTAGTTTATTTTTTGGGGGCGAAGGATGGATCCCGGCGGTTAATCGGGGGAGGCCATGGTGCGGAGTATGGCCTCCTACATGCTAACTACTAACTAGTAACACCTGGTCTAGGTACTTTCTCGCGCCCTTCCCCTCCCTGCAGTGTAGAGGGGTCTCGAAGCGCGTGATTCCCACGCCCCTATGGCCATGATTTTGCCCCTCCTCCTTCTTAGCACGAGTTGGTTCCCGTGTCCATGTAGGTGATTCCAAGGACACAAGCGCGGCTTTTCTTCTTAGAGGTCAGATCCATCCACAGCTGGTATCGCCGGCGCTGCTTTCTCGCCAGAACCCCTGCCCGTCTCTGTCTGCCGCAGCTAGGGATCGGAATTATGACTCCTACGCACCTCTTGGCACGGCGTTTCCATGCGCATATCACATCACTGCGTACCGCATCTGTAGAGATTAGACGCCGTCACGACGGTTGGACGCTATATGCACATGCGGTAGAGATTTCGGCGGGATGTCGTGCATGATGGTGTTGTGTTGGTGAGTCGGCCTCTCAAATATTGTCTTTGTGTCATTCGCCATGATCATACCTACAGCATACATATCACATGCCGAGACGCAAATGTTGCGAGAATTTGACGCTGTATGTCACCAGGACGAGTGATGGCTTGCATAGCGTGGGATCTTACTCTGGTTCGATCGCAACTTTCGGTCGACGGTTAATGTCTGGCATTTCTGGAGGCGAGACATAGACGCCGTTCAGACCTCCTTACTGTGCCTCATTCACAGGGCTTCATGCAACATGCATATTTTTGTCATCTTCTGTTGGTTTCCTGAAAAAGACAGACATTGGCCAGCCATTTACCCCCTCCTGTAGGCTATTCTCGAAGGATCAACAACTCGTGAGAATTCATCCCTCCTACCCACACCACCAACCTGCATACTTTTAACGCCGTGATTGAAGTCCGCGAAACGCCATGCATGTTGACAGGTTCGACCTCGTGCATATTGTTGGTTCCAGCGCGCTTGTGTGGCGGATTCGGAGCGTTCTACTGTTCCATAGTGCACCGTTATGAGGGGTCAAGGCGGACGTTGGTCTCTTTCTTGCTTTCCACATGCCGTTCCCTGCAGGTGATACTGGTTATTGTCCTGGGTCTGGGAGGAAATACACGCCGTTGGTGATATCGAGCCACATCCGTGACTTGGACTAAATGCATGCCGTTGGAGTTGTATCACATCTACTACGTACAGCCAGACAGGTGCGTTTGCGCTGTTGGATGAGGGACGTCTATGCGCGTCTTATGACCTCGACGTCATTGATGGATATTAGGAAGCTGTGCTGATCTTGGATCTGGATTCCGACGTGGTAGTGGTAACTCTGTCTTTCTGTGTCGGGCTTCCTGTCTTTTCCTTGAAGGTCTAGTCTTCAGTGGTATACCTGTCTGGCTGTCCCAATCTAGGCTTGTCACGGAGCTCCACATTGTATTTGACATCTCGCCGATACGATATACACTGATTGGAACAACCGGCCATCAGCAGTAAAATTGAGGGAATAGTGTTGGATATTGATGGTTTGTATCAACGTTGACTTTAAAAAGATCATTTCAAAACACATAGCAGAAGTAGTAGGTCTTTCCCGCAACTTAACCTAGGATGAATGTTTTGACAGACGAGCAGAGGAACTGAAGAACAGACAAGCAGACAAACAGCCATAGAGGTCAAGTTTTGGACTATCCGTCCATCCATGAATAACCCGCAATAAACCCTACAGTATACCCAGTAGACAAAACCTAGACCCCAGGAGAGAAAAGAGTACCCATTAACATCCACTTCTGTCATACATGAATCGATCCACCAACAAACCCATCCTCAATCTCAATCCCACGCGAAAGAAGAAAACAAGCAAACCACCCATTCCCCATCAAGTCAATCCAACCCTCATACCATAACACAAATCAAACCAACCGCTCCCCCACTCAATTCTTCTTCTTCTCCTTCTCCTTCTCCTTCTCCTTATTCTCCTCACCCCCCTTCTTCCCCCCTTTGAAACTCTCCGCCTCAATCTGATCCTTCCTCTCGGCATACCACTGCCCCGCCTGCAACGCAAGCACACCCACCAACACAAGCGCCAAAATCGTATTACTAGCCGCCAACACCTTCAACGAGTCCTCCCTCCCGAGAATCTGCTCCCCTTCCTCCAACGCCGCCTTCCCCTCCACGCCTCCCAGCAAATCATCCCCATACACGCCGTCCTGGACCAGACGCAGGCCCTTGACAATGTTGGCGATGTAGACCGTGATGCCGCACATGTAGAGGACCAGCGACGCGCCGTCGAAGAGCATGTTTGACTCCGAGGGGCGGTAGAGTTTGGTGATGAGGCCGGCGAGGCCGAGGAAGATGACGATGTGGAGGATTCGGGGGATCAGAGGGGGCGACGCGTGTAGGAAGCGGAGATGTGATTCGAAGTAGTCGTAGTGGGAGGCGGGGGTGGGCGAGGTGGACCATAGGATTGGGTAGTCGTAGGGGAAGAGGGAGAAGATGATGCCGAGGAAGAAGCTGGTTGCTATTGGGGTGTTTTCTTTTGGTTAGTGGTTTGGAGTTAGGAGGGGAAGGGAGGGGGAGGGACGTACGGCAGACGATGAGAAAGGTCGCAAAGGACCCTGGGCGGAAGGCCATGGTGGATGGCGACGGTCTGGTCTGGACGTTGACGTTGACGGGTTTGAAGAGGGAAGACGAAGATGAGAAAGAGCCGATGGAGATGAGATAAAGTCGCGATTTGGGGCCAAATGCCAAGACGGTCCGGCCGGGTAAGCCACTCTCGCCGCTTTAGCATTGGCTCTTATCCTCCGTTATCGTGATAACAACTGGAGATTTTATGACAATTAATGAAGAGTGATAGAGTGGGAAATGAGAGTGAAGGTGTCACTATTGATATCCTATACCTAGTATATACAGGCTTCATGTCGACAAGCGATGCCCGTCTACCCGAAACGCCTCGCATCTACTTCGATCCACTCCAATCGCTCTCTCCAACAACCAGTCAATCAATCAAAACAATCAGGTGCGATATTCAAACATATAGGTGGTATCTCCCGGTTATCCCAACCGTAAATGCAAATCCAGATATTCAAGTCCAATAATATAAAGAAACAAAAACAAAACCCCTAATCAAACCCATCAATTCATATAAACCGGTGCTTCCTTCTCTTCCTTGCTTTTCTGTGTTAACTTCAGACTATCGTTGATAGCGTGGGAGAGACTCATCGCCATGCGCCATACCCCCAACCAACTGGTGATCGCCATCATCATGGAAGACCGGCGCACTCGGCCCGTCGGCCGATTCCGTATGCGTGGACGGCGATTCAACGTCGCCCGGAGCACTGGCCTCCATCATGAGTCGTTGTCGCTCCATTTCCTGCTTGTCATCGACAGGGTTTTCCGCCGCCTCTGCGTCGGCGGCCGTCGCGCTGCTGCCAGGCACCACGGTGTGCACGGACTCGGCCGACATTAAGCCGGGCGGCATGCTTTCTTCCGCCGGGGATGGCAGATGATGGTAATCTTGGACCCGATCATCTTCGGGTAACACAGGCGCCGTTGGAATCACCATCTCCGTCGACGGTCCCGCCTCGGGCTCGTCCGGCGGCTGACTAGGCAACAGTGTCTGTTCGGCACGGCGCATCCGGGCTTTCTCGTCGCCCGGTTCTTCCAATTGCGGCGTCGACACCATTTGTCCCAAGGACTGATATGGTTGCGGGGGAGTCTGCGATTCTTCTACGTGATCCGCCCATTGCAGTTCCTGAGGGAACCCATAGTCCTCCTGCGCCGGACGTTGTTGCTCCGTGTCGGCCGTGGGCATGGGGTTTTGGTCGGAGAGCCAGCCGTCCACCTCCGCCGGTTGCGACGATTGGAGGTCCGACATGGCCGCCGTGGACGACGTGCGCTTTGTCTGGCTTTTCCGCCGACGCGAATCGCGCGTGCCGATCACTACCTCGAAGGCAACGGCCACGACGCCCTTCTCGCGCCGGATCTGGTCGGTATCCAGGATGTTGCCGGCCCAGTTGGCGGTGATCACGTTATTGTTGTTGGAATCGGCCGGATTCAAGATCTGTCCGCTCGGGGAGAAGTTGCTCCCCGAAGTCATCAAATTGAACCGTGGTAGGAGGCGATCGGGGGAGCCCAGCTTGCCCCGCAGGTCCACCACCACCTCGACGTAGTATCGGAAGTTGATCATGCTGCCCGGCGTGCGCGTGATCGTGGGGAAGGCATCTTCAGGTATGCGAATGGACGTCTTGACGACGGCGGTGAGATTCGACGGGTCTACCACCAAAGGCGCAAAAGTCTGGGTAAGGTCCTTCCGGAAGACGCTGCTGGTGCGACTCGTCCCGATCGTCAGACCCCCGAGCCCCGTCCGCGATCGGGGGTAATAGTCCTCGTAGACTGGCTTTTTGCCGTCCGCCGACGTGCCGATGGGGATGGCCGGATGTAGATCGATTCGTCCCTGGCGATAGAGAGTGACGATGATGCCATGCGCGCTGCGCACTTGTTTACAGTGGTTGATGGTGACTTTGATGGGAAGCGTATCTCCGGGTAGCACGCCCGCGCGCAATACCTCCGTCTTGGCGGTGATCGTCTTATCCGCGATGGAAGGTGTGGTACTCCGGCCCTCGCTATTCCGCATCCCCGTGCTGGTGGAGGAGCTGGGATCGCTGGCGATTTGGAAACTCTGACTGCTGTTGCTCAAGCGACTTGACGAGCTCACGTTGCTCGGCGCGGGACTGAGGGGGGGTCGATTATCGGCGGAACCGGCGGTGCCGTTGGTACCGTTGACCGACGGCTCTAGTGACGTCGAGTCCTGCGCGGTGTCCGATTCTCCTGATCTGCCCTTCGCCTTGGATTTCGATCGTTTGGATACCGGTTCTAGGGTGACCACGCGGGCTCTCGGGGCTGGAAAAGGGGCTATGTCGATATTTTCCAACAAATTCACGCGTTTTCGGCAGGATATGGTAGGGTTCATGGTCGTGGGTTTGGTTAGGGTGGACGTAAGCATATAAGTAATGGTGCCTCTTTCAAACTAGACCAACACCAAACAGAAAAGTCAGTCAAACCGCGGAGAACAACCAAAACAGAAGGAATAGGGCGGCAAGCCAACACGCACACTGATACTACTCGGCAAGGCGAACGGCGGAAAGGACATCTCGAAGCGGAACTTGTAGACCCCCTCCTTAAGGCGACCCTCTCCGCAGAGGACATCCTCATTCTCAAATAACGTGGCCAATCCATTGCCCAAATATTCTGCGCCTCGACGCCCGCGTCCAGGACCCAAAAATCCCGCGTCCGGAGAAGCCTCTCCCGACGGGACGGTGTTCTTAAAAACCTTGACAAAGCCGTGTAAACAGATGACGAGATGTGTGATGCGAACGGGACGGACGACGGTGAGGACGACGGTGCCCTTGATCACATCACCGGGGAAGTAGGAGCGCCAGGGATCGTCGGGTTCGATATAGTAATCGGCGATGCTGCGATTCCGTTGTGAAAAGGGCGAGCAAAACCGGGACAGCAGGGAGCTGCGATTCCGACCGAGCGGCGAGGAGGAGGGTTGGGCGGGGGGAGAGTTGACGGACATGACCCACAGTCACACCTCACTCAATCCATACAAGAAGGAAGAGGGTGTGCAGTGGAGGTATGTTGTATCAAGACTATAACAAATAGACAGACGTAAAATGAAGAAAGAAGAAAGAAGTCAACTAAGACGTAGGAAAGGGAGGCGAAAAGAAGCCAAGAGCGACAAGGAGCAAAGAATGAGACAAGACGACTTCAAGATTTCCCACGTCAATGGACCAAGCCAGAACTGACGCGGAGACAAGCAAGGGGGAGGGAGGAGAGAAAAGAAAGTTGCGAGTGACGAGGATCCACGCCGAAGAATGAGAGATCCCAAGACAAGCCGGGGAAAATCTCCACCAACCCCCCAGTCGTGAATGAATGAACGACCGAGGATGGGAGGGAGTGGGCTGGCAGGTGTCTCCGAGTCAGGGAGATAAGAGACAAGAGGACCCAGACAGAGAGGCTCCGTTGCGTCGAATGCACCGAACACGTCGGGAGATTCGGGCAATCAATCCCACCAGGCCCCGATGTAAGCGTCGGGCGCAAAGACACCACCCACGGGGAAACCCTGCAGCTCACGCGATTGGCGCTGGTCTTTTGACTTTTTCGTTTCTTTTCTTTTTCTTTTCCTTTTTTGTGTTTTGTCCCTCGTTCCCGGTAGATATTGCCTTGTTGATTCTGTCTTTTCTTGGTCGGAACCCGCGGAGGTGGATCGGCGAAGGTATCCGATCGAGGGGAGGGACGAGTGATCGAGGGATCGAGTTGCGAAGGGAGATAGGGAGAGAAAGACGTTAAGAGTCAGGACAAAAGGAACACGGCGGCATCATTTCTCGCAGTATTATAGACCGTCAAACACGGGGAGACGAGGAGGGTCGACGATCGGGTTAATCCCCTCCGTGGATGGAATGGAGTGAGAGGGGAGGGAGAGAGAGAGAGAGCGAGAGGTGTTGGTCTGGTCTGAGGGAGGCGTTCGGGAGAGGCGGTCGGACCGGTTGACGCGACTCAGAAGAGAAGGCGAGCGAGAAAAGCGACGAGAGACGAGAAGAGGGAGTCGGGATGGGGGGAGACGAAGGGGAGATGAAGAAAGAGAGAACAGAACAGAACAGGTTCGCGATAAGCGGAGAAAGGAAAAGCCAACGGAAGTCGCCAGCCGGAAGTCAAGCTTCTCTTGGGTCTCTCTCGGCGCCTCCACTTCTTTTGCTGATAATCTTATTAATCTTTTCTGTCATTTCCTCTTAACTACTCCGTAGTTCGTAGTTACTCAATAGTCCATCTTCATCTCGCGCAATTCCCCCTCCACGTACTCCTCCCCGTAACACTCGCGCTGCACCGCCGTGATAATGTCCCGATCCCCCCCTGCGAGGCGACGCAGATATCCTTCCAGCACGTAAACGTTATCCGTCCACATCTGCGCCTCCGCTCGGAATCTCTCCGTCTCTGCCTTCATCTCCATAACGCTCTTCCCCTCTTCTCCATCATTCATAATCATCACCTCCTCTCTCACCCGTTTCCACTCCCTTTCCAACACCTCCTTCCTCCCCAACAACTCCCCCCTCAACACCTCCACCTCCTCCCCCTGTTGTCCCATCATCGAACCCAATTCCTCCCGCTCCCGCTGCATCTCCCCCCTGCGCGCCGCCAACCTGCCCGCCATCTTCTCCCACCCACCGCGTGCCCGCTCCACCTCATTCTTGACCTCGTTCCGCGCCCGCTCCTTCTCGCCTCGCTCGTCCCCCGCAAAACTCCAGTACCAGTTCCCGCTGCCGATCTTCTCCACGCGGATCCGGTTCTCGTCCACCAGTTCCTGGATGTACTCTTTCACTTGCATCCCGGGGATCGAGGCGACCGGGGGGAGTGTTTTCTCGAGCTCTTTCAGCGTGTGGCAGGTTTGGGTTGTTTGGAGGTAGGTGATTATGAGGGATTGTTTTGTGCTGCGGGGGAGTTTGGGGGGCTATCTTTTTTGTTTAGTTTTCATCTTCTTTTTTTTATATTTCCTGGGATTAGGTGGAGTGTGTAGTGTAGTATGGAGGAGAGGGGGCTAGGGATGGAGGTGAGGATGGACACACCATGATTGCGATGCTAGGTTGTCTTTTGCGTAGAGGGTCTTCTCGGGACTGTGCCCACCGAACCGGTCGTTCAATCCGGTCCAGTGGCTTGATGCGTTCACATGGATCGATCGATGAAAGTCGGATGTCGGACGAGGACAAGGAAGATACTCGGGAGGTCGAGGTGGGAGAGCTCAGGTCATGCCACCCGGTCCTGTTCCCAACAGGTGATCGCACAAGACCTAATTAGGGTCTGTTCCTCAGGCCGGATGCACATCTACGAGGACGCAGGGACTGGTTGCATTAAAACCGCTTAATTGGATTGCGTATGAACTGGATTATATAGATTGCAGTAAAAACTAGTACCCGCCAGGACAGAACGAGACACATCACAAAAGCAACGCCCAGATAGCTGGTAAGCTACACGGACTTCTCGTTGACCACGCCGCCATCCTTCCCGGTCTCGCTGGTCACCGTCTCCTCGAAGTGCAGCGTCGTCACCAGCTCCTTGGCTTTCTCGGTGCCCGCGACACCTCCGACCATCGCCTTGTCGCCGTCGAAGTACTTGGCGATTTCTTCCAGCGGGGTCTTGCGCGTCTCGATGTAGAAGAACCAGACGACGGTCAGCTCAAAGCCCAGCCACACGCAGTAGAAGATGTAGTATTTCCAGCCGATGTTGTCCAGCGCGATAGGGTTGATGTACTGGTTGAAGAAGACTGTTCGGGTCAGTATCATTCGAGGCACAATAAACACGTCAAGGAAAACTTACGGGCAGCGTCAATACAGAACCACATCACTGTCATGCCCTTGGCACGGATACTGTACGGGAGAATTTCCACCGTGTATCCGACCAGAAGACCCGACCAGGCGATGTTGTAGAAGAGGTAGTAGACGTAGATCATAGCAATGACCGCGTTGGCTGTTCCGGACGTATGCGAGATATCATAGCGAGCGGAGCAAATTGTCCAGACAATGAACGCGACCAGCATGCCAGCAGTGGAGACGAGGAAGAGCTTGCGACGACCGATCTTGTCCACGAAGAAACACATCGTCAGAGCGACGATGAAGTTCATGATCTGAAGACAGCCGTTGATCAGGTTCTGCTCGACGGAGCTGGTGTAGCCGATCGACTCCAGGATCTTGGCGATATAGTACGACACCAGGCCGTTACCCGACCATTGCGAGAACAGGCCGGCAGAGATACAGATGATCATACGGTGACGGTTGCCCTTAGTGCGGATCAGCTCCGTCCAGTTGCTGCTCTCAAATTCCTTCTCCAGTCGGATGGTCTCCTTAATCTCGTTCATTTCCAATTGGACCACCTCATCCATTTGGTCGCCATTGGCGTGGCAGTCGGCTAGCACCTTCAGCGCTTGCTCGTTCTTGCCCTTGAAGATCAAGAATCGAGGCGACTCCGGCACGAACCAAATGAAGATGATTTGGAGAACCGAAGGCACCGCCTGGACAATGGTCGGGGCCCGCCAAGCCCAGTCGCTCTTGATGTTGTTGGTGCCGAACGTAAGCCACGCTGCGACAATGGCACCCAGGTACCACGTTGCTAATTCCGCATCAGCAAATGTTACCGAATACAGACCAAAAGAGACGTACTGTTATAGATGGTGGTAAAAACAGCGCGATGTTGCGTGTGCACCAGTTCGGCGATCAGCAGAGGCGAGGCACCGTGGGCAATGGCCACGCCAAATCCAATCAAGAATCGAGCGGCGAGAAACATGCCGTAGTTGGCACTGATACTCTGCAAGACAACCCCCAAAATCCTAAATGGTGTAAGCTTTGTGAGAGGGCGACAGGGGATGGTAGGTAAGCATCAGAATGGCTTACATGATCGAACAACCGATCAAAACGCCCATTCGACGCCCCAGCAGATCGGCAGCATAGGGCACGACGGGCAAGGCGGCCAATGATCCCAGCGACATGATCGCGCTGAGAATTCCTAAAAGGGACCCGGACGGGTGGTTGAAGTATTCCTGCCAGTAGTCCAGGGTCTGGAGCCCGTTCATCATAGATCCATCGTAACCGTTGGTGGCCTGTCCCGGGTTAGAACTTTGTCACAAATGTAACAAACCAAGGAAAGCGCACCGAAGTCAACACCACAAACATTAGACAGATGTAGGTCTTGCGCATGCCGGGATTCTTCCACCAAGTTACACGGGGGAAGTGCCGACCGGCAAGCTCAAAAGTTGCGGACCCCATTGCGGCGTCAGATGCAATCTGTCCGGTATAATGATACAATCTCTCGGTTCAGTTTCAACGGTCCGGTGTTCAAGGGAAGACCCAGTCATGCATGGAACAAAAAAGTGAAGCTGGCATGCGGGATGGGGCCCGTCTTATGAACCACCGGACGGCGTTGGCCTCCATCCGGGTATTTTCCCATGTATCAAGTTCAGTCCAGGGATCGAGCTGCCTAGCGATGCCTCCCTCATCTTGTAACGGCTAAACCGGTCCTGGAGAGCAAAAACGTGGCGATTAAATGGCAGACTCGTCTGATAGGCCAACAGGTCGCAGAGGCCGAGCTCACGGACATTGTCCAGGATAAAATGACCCCAGGATCGCCACAGCGCATTCCGACCTACGAATCTCAGCCGGTCCGATAATTTACCCCGGCAGAATGTGATGATTCGTTCGCTGACTGCCAAGGTCTGTCTGCCAGGCGAAGGGAGGGATCGAAAGCGATTTCAGGCTAATTGACAGAAGGCGGCCGCCCGGGAAAAGAGGTCAGGTCACGAAGAGTGGAAGTCCAAGACAAAGTAGTGAGTCTGGGGTTAGCGAAGAGTCAGTCCGAACGCGGGGGCGAGTCCGGGGTGCTGTACAAGACGGTCTAGTTCCCGTGGTTCCATTCACAGACGACGCTCTAGACCGCAAATGTAACGGCCAAGACCCTTAGTCTACGCCTCAGGTTATATTAGGCCATGGGTGCCGACACCAGGCGTTGACCGGTCACTGGTTGAAAAGAGCAGGCATCCTTGAGGCTAGGATAGAAAGGGTTGGTCGTGCGGAAGAATTATTCCCTCAGTCCGGTCAGCCGTGTGCTTGGAGTTTGGCAAAGCGCAAGGTCGACTGTTGCTTGTGCCGCCACTGGACCTACTGGATCCATAGGCAAGCGGATAAACTGGTTCTTGCTTGGGAGTCATTTGACAAGTCCAACGCCACCCCTCGTTGTCTTGCAGGGTAGCGAGACCTGTGGTTCATTGTTGGGCGTGGCATATTGCTTGTTTCTCGAGCACCCAAAGAGGCCCGAGGGTGCAACCAGCAACATGATTCACGAATCGTAACGATTTTTGTTCGGAGCCAGAGCCGGGGGACCAAATACAGGTTGGGGACGATCGTTCACCGGTATGCCAATTCACAGGGAATGGTGGAAGGGGGTCTGGCCTCGTGTTGGGTGCAGGACTAGTCCAAGCAACCACAAGCTATTGCTCGATGCGCAGTAGACTGCATGGCCTGTCACATTTTTAGTCCAATTCGGCGTCCCCATCCATCGTCCACTTTCGGCGGGCTAGTTTGCGCTTCTTCGATGGTTTTCGCTTGACCACGGGCTCTGGTTCATCGACGGAGCTGGGGAGGAGGCTACTCTGCGTGTTGGCCCTTTTACGACCTACTCGTCGAGGCTCAGTTTCTGAAGCCAGTCGACGCATCTCGTTGTCGGACATTTCTTCCCCCTCGACCAGTACCATGTCGCCAGTTTCCCCTAGTGACTCGCGTGCCATCTCCTCCATCAGTATCCCCATGGCTATCAATGCCGTCTCGTCCATGCTCTGATAATCATCCTGACCCCGATCGAGGGTGGCCCTATCGTAGAAATCGGCCGTGTAGGCGTGGATAGCCTCGAGCAACTCGGAGCTCGGCAGAGGTCGGTCGGAAGGCAGCGACTCGTGCGCAAAGTAGAAATCGTCCTCTTCGTAGCGAACCGGCGCGTTCTGTCGACGGAAGAGGACTTCTTCTGGACGGACGGGGCGAAAATTGGAGGACGCCGTATCCCGGTGTTTGGAAGGATAAGGGACGGGGGGTAGAAAACCATGGGCATTGATACGGCCTAGCAAATTAGATGAGAAATAGAACAGAGAACACGGAGATCGAACCGGCTACGGCGTCATAAACATTTGCTAGTCGTTTCCGACTCGAAGGCTCGTTGGCTGTCTTCTCTTGCGGCTCGTCATGACTTGGAGGCCGAACAAAGGTGTTCTGGCTCATGGCCGGAGATCTGCCGAGAGACATGGTCCAGCCTGTACAAGGGCATCCGATGGGTTCACCATGAGATAGGTAAACGTCTGCTCTGTTGTTGTTGAACGATTTGGATAGATCCATCAAAGTGTTGGAGAATGCCGGGGCGACGTTGTTCCGTGCCGCTGATAAGATCGTCGATGATGCAACAGTCACGGCGAGAAAGACCAACCTGACACTCTCCGGTTGATCCTCAACCCCCTCATGAATGAATTCGTACCTCCTCAATAGGGCCCTAGGGTCCATCACTCCGTCTGATTTTCACGTTGCTTTGACAACCCGACTGGTTCAGCATCTAGAGCCAGCTCCCGGCCTTCGTTTCTCCAGTCGCAAAGACCCTGGATCCGGCGCAGGAGATGCGCAGATCGGTTGCGACGATGAGATCTACGCTCATAAAGCCGGCGTGAACGTGCTTGCTATCGATCAATATGATGGCCGATTGTAAGTTCGAAGGACTCGATAACTGGATGCCATTTACTAACTCCGCCAGCATGGTCTCTGGCGGCGCAGATCCCTCGATCCACCTGTGGGATCTAGAAAGTCGAGGCTCGCAGCTATCCCATACTCATCGATCGATCGTATCCATCAACAAGTCGTCGCATGAGGATGCTCATACGCGCGCCCTCACTTCTCTCTCGATATACCCCTTCGATCCGACGCCATCGACCGTACTGTCAACATCACACGATGGGACTCTGAAGCTCTCCGCCCTAGAGCCTACGGGCATCACGCCGGTGCATACGTTCAACCTCGACTGCACACCCTACGCGCATTCCATGTCCGCACATAACGGATCACCTCTCCTTATCGCCGTGGGCACTTCCGAGAAGCCTGTCCGGCTGCTAGATCTACGCTCGGGTCTCTCCACACACGGTCTCCCAGGACACACCTCTTCCGTCCTATCGGTGTCATGGGCTCCTCACCGACCACATATCCTAGCCTCCGCGTCGGCCGACCACCGCGTGATTCTTTTCGACATTCGTCGCGGCGGACACAACTCCGCCATCGCTGCACTGGATATGGACGATGCCGTGGGCTTGGTTCCGCCGCACACAGCCCCGCCGGGCTACGAAAGCCGCCCAGCCTACTCCCCGTACGTGCGAGCGCACGGCGGTGCGGTGACTGGCGTCCGATGGACCTCCAACGGCTCGCATCTCGTTACAGCGGGTCAGGACGCGCGCATTCGCGTCTGGGACGCCACGACGGGCGCCAACACCCTCGTGCACTTCGGCCCACGAGTCCGCAATAGCGTTTCATCACACCTGGCCGAACGAGCGCCATTAGTGTTGCCAAAAGGGGTGATGGACGCCGGTCATGAGACGCTGCTCTGGCCAAATTTCAACGAGAGGGACGATCGCGGCGAGATCTTCATGTTCGAACTCCGCGAAGGGACATTCATCAAGCGGTTGCGCGTTCCAGGACTTGCGATCAACGCCCAGAGCATGCGCGGCCGATCTAGTGCACTCAGCGCCGCGCGGATCAACGCTCTCGCATGGCGTGGCAACGGCGCTTCAGGCGAAGGAATTGAAATGTTCTCAGCGCACGGTGATGGCACGATCCGAACATGGGTGTCTCGAGAACCGGAAGGCGAGCCAGACGAGGAGCAAGAAGCGGAACAGGCTGATCGAAAACGAAAGCGCGATGTTCTCGAGGAGATCTACCAAGGTTTTGTCAGCTGAAGATCACCTCCACCGAACAAATCGTCCAGATTCCAACGACTGCTCTCCAATTCTTGGCACGATTCGCCGCTCGGCTTGGTCGTCAGGCCTGCGATCCAGACTCGTCCCAGGGTCCCCACCGCGCAATTCGATAATTATGAAATCATACGCAGCGTTAGATCTTTTTCTTTTTCTATTTCATTCTCAGCATTTCTTCGATACTTTGGACGGTGTTCTTGGAACGCAGTCCAGTATCCACCTAAACCGGGTGTTCAGAGGGCAAACTGATCTCATCAGTTCATCATCGGCCCGATTCCTGAACTGGGAACGGGTGATGTCACCACCAAGTATACATCCACCACTTTGCATATAAAGCAGATTTACTACCTAGACTTAGCCAGCTATTCTCATCGACTAATCTACTTATACCACAAGAACCTCTTTTCTTCCTTAGCCAACCAAATTACCACCTCTACTTTACCTCTACCAAAATTCCTCCTACATCCAACCAAACCAAACAACCAAAATGTCTCCTCAACACCAGCGCTCCTCCTCCCCCCACCAGGGCGGCTCTCTCTCCGACATGGCCCCAACAGGAACCTCCATCCCCAACGACGCCGGCATCCAAAGAACCATCCCCTCCGTGCCGCGCCCCGATCAGAGATCCGAGAACGCGCAGTTCAACAACCAAGGCATCGCCGAGCCCACGACCGCCTTTGCCGCCGACAACACCGCCAGCATGCCCCGTGGCCCTGGAGATCTGGGCGAGACGGGCGAGGTATTGACTGGCACGGGGAATTCTTTCCCGGCGAGTGGTGAGGCGAAGAGGAATGAGAACTCAGCTGGGTATCCTGGAGGGAAGTACTAGATTATGTTTGTTTCAGGGATGAATTGTTATGATTATGATTGTTATTAAGATGTGATGGGATGGGATGTTATGAATGAGTGGCTTCTTTGGTTATCCCTTTTCGTACTATTATTTCTACTGCATCTTAAAGCCCGAATATGATACTGCCGAAATACTCTCCATTGGTGTCATAACACATATGAAATGTGTAAGATTGTCAAAATACTTCGGTCTCCATGTCCTTTTAAGAAAATGATTAGACAGGTTAAGGCATCAAGAGTCCATCAACACGTTTCCTCCCTGCCCTGATTCTTGAACACATAGCCAATGATGGTCCGTGGGAAGGCCACCACGTTCCGTTAAGGCACAGTGCTGCTCTACTTTTAGAACCCCGAAAGAAACAGTGTTCTTCGTTCGTCTATTCTGAACCTAACTTTGTGCACCAGACCATGCTGAGATCGCGTTGTGGACTTTGTTTTTCCAAAGCGTATCTGAGGATGCTCCAAGCAATTATGGCCGAGGAGCTGTGCAGTTGTGGGAAGACAACGTCTATAGGAAGGAAATCAACTGGCGATGGGATTCACTATATCCAGCATGGACTGACTATGAGTACCTTGGTGCGCAGAGCGCGTTTTCGTCATATAATCCACCAACTCGACGCCCCAGCCGCTTCCTAACTATACATTACATAGCTTTCCCGAAGCCGCGACATGAGAAGAGATAGGATTAGCGGCAGTGGTGAGTCAATGGCATGTCCTTCAACGTACTATCTATAGATGAGCGCCATTGATCGGGGCCCTATGGGGCTATGTTTCATAAGCCCGGTCAAGTCTGTTAGAAAGGACTTGATAACCGTGATATTTGAGAGAGAACAGTACATCGAGGATAGTTGGGACTCGGTTGTTCCGAAGATCAGTGGTTGTAGGCAAGAGGGGGCACAGTATTCAGCCCCTGGACGAGCTTTATGGACATGGTACTGGCAGTCCATTCAGAGCCTTCTTACGTTTAAAGATTACAATATGTGGAAGAGATTGAAAGAACTTAGAGAAATGCATTTGCACATTAAAGAAGAAGTAAACTAACAAGACCACAAAAAGGTTATGCATTACAATAATTCGAGCGAACGAAAGAAGACAGCTAAACCCTCGACAATAAAACAGTCAGACCAAATCTGCCTCAAAAGAGTGAACTATTCTCAACCAAACATTTCAGAGGACGAACGCCAACAGGCCAACGACACCACAAACGACTGAGAAGACGCCAGCATGGGGGGTGAGGTGAGCAACACCGCCTGTGAAAACGGTGTCAGCGCGCGAGGCGATGGCAGCGCTCGAGGCCGCGGTGGGAGAGGAGGCGGCGACGCCGGTCGGGTGCACCACAACGGTACTGGAGGCGGGACCATGTGCAGCAGACGAGACATCCGAGGATGACTGCGGCACGAAGACGGGGATCTTGGCGAAGGAGGAGGGCTGGGGCACGGTCACGGTGGAGGTCAGGGCGACATGTGCGACAGAGGACGAAGGAGCGGCCATCCCGTGGAAGACAGCAGCGGGTTGGGTTTCAGCAGCGTGCGCGACCGAGGTGGCAGGACCAGCTTGCGATGGGAAGTTGTAGGCAGCTGGGGGAACGGGCTGGTAACTGTTCTCATTGAAGAACGGGGCAGACGGAGCGGGCGCCGCAGGAGCACTGTGCACGATGGGCTGGGAGAAGTCTGGTCCCGTGTTGCCACTCGGCATGTTGGGCGTGTTCGGCACGTACGGAGCGGGAGAAGCAGGTTCATAGTGCACCGAGGGCTCAGGAGATTCGACTTGGGGGCTGGGAGGCTGGTGGGTTTCCTCGCCCTGGGGGTTGTGCTGGCCGACCGCCTCAGGAGCAGGGTTAGGCTTGGGAGGTTCGTGGGGAACATGGGCTTCGGCGGTAGGCGCCTCGACAGGGACAGGCGCATGAACAGGAGCGGGGGCTGGTTCATGGTGAGGAGCAGGAGCAGGCGGCGGCTCGTGGTGCTCCTCGTGCTCAGGGTGGTCGTGGTGCTCCTCGTGCTCGGGGTGGTCGTGATGCTCCTCGTGCTCGGGGTGGTCGTGGTGCTCCTCGTGCTCAGGGTGGTCGTGGTGCTCCTCGTGCTCGGGGTGGTCGTGATGCTCCTCGTGCTCGGGGTGGTCGTGATGCTCCTCGTGCTCGGGGTGCTCGGGGTGTTCGGGGTGCTCAGGGTGATGGGGAGCAGGCACAGGGTGCGGGACAGGGACGGGATGGGGGAAGGGGACAGGGTGGAAGTGCCCATCAACATCAACGTCAGTCTTGGAATCGACGTCAACCGAGTGGTCATCCTCGTTGTACTCGCTGTACCCTGTGACGACGTGGTTGTTCGTGGGAGCAGAGAAGCCATTTCCAGTATCGATACCTCCGGGGCCATCGATCAGGTCATTTCCGGAACGCGCATGGAGAGAGCGACGGTAGTCAATGTCAACATCGGCCTTGGCCTTGGCGTCGAAAGAATGATCGTCGCGGTTGAACTCGTCGTAGCCACTGGTGGCAGTATTAACGCTCGAAAGGTCAGCGGTGTTGCCGGTGTCGATGCCGTGAGGTCCTCCGATAACGGTGACAGGACGCTCATGATGTCCGCGAGCCTTCCAGTGATGAGGGTGGCCAGGGACGGGGACAGGCGCTGGGTACGGGACGTGGTTGTCAATATCGACATCGGCGGCCGCCTTGCTAGTGTACGAGTGGTCGTCCTTGTTGAACTCGTCATAATCAGACAGGAATGTGTTGGTCGTCGAAAGATCGGCGTCATTGCCAGTGTCAATTCCACCAGGGCCATCAATGAGCGTGACATCCTTCCAAGGATGAACAGACGGGTGTGAGCGAGCCTTCCAGTGATGGGGGTGACCAGCAACAGGGTGATGGGGGTGACCAGGGACAGGGTAAGGGTACGGGTACGCGTAGTGGTTGTCAATGTCCCAATCGGCAGAAGCCTTGCCCGTAAAAGAATGGTCATCCTTGTTCACCTCATCATAGCCCGAGGCAAACTCGTTGTCGGTGGGAGCGGAGAAGCCATTGCCTGAGTCGACACCACCCGGGCCATCGATGAGCGTGTCACCCAATCCTCTGCCGTGGAAGTGGTGCGGGTGAGGGTGGTAGTGGACAGGGTAGGGCACCGCGTGAAAGTCCGTATCGATGTCAATATCGGTCTTGGTATCGATGTCGACGGAGTGATCATCGATGTTAGTTTCTTTGTAGCCGAAAGCCAACGCATTCTTGGTTGGGATGGAGGCATCGCTGCCCCTGTCAACGCCTCCTGAGCCGTCGACGGCGGTGTTTCCAAAGTTACGGCCCTTCAGGTGGTGCGGCCCGTGGTGCGGCCAGTGAGGGTGAACAGGGACCGGCACCGGGTAGTCCCAGTGGGTGTCAACATCGACATCAGTCTTGTGGTGAATGTCAACGGAATGATCGTCGATGTTGGTTTCACTGTAACCAACTCCGAGCTCGTTCTTCGTGGGGACGGAGGCGGAACTACCAGTGTCAACACCGCCGGGGCCATCGATGGCAGTGTCACCCAGGTTGCGAGCCTTCCAGTGATGGGGATGGGCGGGCACAGGAACGGGATAAGGGTGAAAATGATTATCCTGATCATAGTCAAACTTCGTGTCGACATCGACAGAGTGGTCGTCCTGGTTGTGTTCTTTGTAGAATGAGGCAAACTGGTTAGTCGTCGGCAGGGAAGCACTGTTACCACTATCGACACCGCCGGGTCCATCGATCAGTGTAGCAGCAGGGTGCGAATGACCAGGTTGGCGCTTCCAGTGAGGCACAGCCACCGGGACCGGGTACGGATGGCCGTGTACGTCGTAATCATACTTGAACTTCTGGTCGAAGTCCGCAGAATGGTCGTCTTGATTGTGCTCCTTATAGACAGATGCGAATTGGTTGGTGGTCGGCAAGGACGCGCCATTGCCAGTATCAATACCACCAGGGCCGTCGATGAGAGTAGCAGGGGGTTTGTGCGAATGACCAGGCTCGCGCTTCCAGTGCGGCGCAGGAACAGGCACTGGATAAGGGTGGCCGTGCACATCGTAATCATACTTGAACTTCTGGTCGATATCGACCGAGTGATCATCCTGATTGTGCTCCTTATAGAAGGACGCGAACTTGTTGGTGGTTGGCAAAGAAGCGCTGTTGCCAGTGTCGATACCGCCAGGACCGTCAATCAGGGTAGCAGGTGGGTTTCGACCGCTGGGCTCACGCTTGTGGTGGTGCCAGTCCGAGTCCACATCGACCTTGCCCTTGCCCTTGTAATGGTCCGAGTGGTCGTCAATGTTCGCTTCCTTGACACTCGACGCAGCCTCATTCTTCGTGGGCAAGGCCGCGTCGTTTCCAGTGTCTATACCGTTGGGCCCTCCGATGACGGTGTCACCCCCGTGGCCACGGGCCTTTCTCCAGTGAGGCCGGCCGTCCGGGTGCCAGTGGTGCCAGTACGGGTCGGGGTAGGCGTCGTAGTCCACATCGACCTTGGTCTTGGTGTTGATATCCAGGTGGTGATCGTCCTTGTTCACCTCGGCGCTCGCTCGGCCAAAGTCATTGTCGGTGATGACACCTCCCGTGTTGCCAGAGTTGAAGCCGTCAGGTCCACCGATGACATCAACTTGAGCCCTAGCCACTGCGGCCAGGACCGCGATGGGAATACCTCCGTGCAATCCTTTCATGTTGCTGTGTTTGGTTTTGTCGAATTAAATACTATACCGGGTTGGCGAAATTATGGTCGAGAGAATGGTAGATAACAAAAAGAGCGACTTCGGGCCAAGCGGCCAAATGTTAGGACTGTCGAAGGGGGAAAAAAAGAAGAAAAGAATGAAATTTCGAACTATATCCTGCCGCGACTCGAGATTAACCTACGAACCAACATCCAGAGACTCCCTGGCAGTCCTGCAACCTTATATCATGCATCAGGTGTTGTGATCCAGGAGCGATGGTATGCCAAGTCCGCCGCACGAGCAAATAAACAAAGATGGTCACAGCATTGTTTGGAGGATGAGAATGTTCCTCAAGAATGGGTGCGATCCTGGCACCGAGGTGTTCAGTGGCCTCGCGGGAGAGCAGTTCCAAGATTCCCTGTCTGGGAGGACATTCCTCATATCCCGAGCGAGTTTCGCCTGTGGATCGGTATGTAAACAAACTAGATGGGGATGGTCTGCCGGCGGGATGACCGAATGATTCGATGAATGCAAGAACGGAGCAAAGCTCGTCATGCAACCTGCCGTTGCTGGAGATGGGAGCCAGTATACGGAGTCCTCCGTAGTTCCTTCGACATCCGTGGAAGTCTTTACCGGGCCTTTTGCCAGGGCTCACACGCTGCCCGAGGACTGCAGTGCTTGGCATCATTGAGCTTGGCACAACAGGCACCAACAGCCGCGCCTACAAGATAGCATGGCAGTCCAGCATGTCCACACGCGAAACAGAATTCGACTTACAGCGTCCTCGTTCCAGACCCGAATTGAACGAACGGTTCGACCAATTCATGATACGATGCTGAGGCGTACGCCTCGAATGACTACGAAAAGATTTGACTATGAAAAGGTATGTATCCCGTCTATCGACATTCCCCCCTCATCGCCCTCACTGAAGAGGACCCAACGAGAGGCAAACTTCCTATCAAGGAAATTATTCTCCAGAACCGATCAGTCCCGGAGGACCGAAGGCAACGCACCGCCGTGGGAAATTCTGGGCGGGGGTCGTGGCAGGTTCTGTTAACTTTTTGATGTGGAAAGAAAAAGAAAAGAAGAGGAAAGAAGGGATGAGTCGAGGCTCTTTTATGTGTGGCATATATCACGTGGTCGGGCCGTTGTTCTTCCGCACAACCGAGACTTTAGTGTGCTGCCCTTAGTTCCAGGCACCCAGGCACCCAGGCACCAGCCCGGTGGATCGTCGTCAGCGTAAGAATATCATATCAATAGCTTCATTCTTCCACCTCGTTCAACTGACTGCATACACGCTTCATCCCCATTCCCGCTTCTGTACAGCCTCCCGTAGCGAGTACATTTACATCGGAGTCGCCATATCAATTCCCTCCGTTGCGAGTCTTGCGACCCAATATGCCGCTGTCCAGTCCATCCTGACAACTTATGGCTCAACTCCGAGGATGAAATCACACGCGCAGCTCAGGAACATTTCCCCCTCCTTAGCCAATAACTCGATGCTGATGATCTGACCTCCACACCCCTCCTCCAACGGCCGCCGTAATCCCCAGCGCGATGGCCATCATACTCCCTAGCGTCCCGATCGCAATGACCGCCTTCAACACCAGCCGTTGTCTCTTCGACAGAGATCTCATACACCCGCACCGTCGCTTCTCTTGAGCCCAGAGCTTCGATTCCCGATGGCTTCCGTCCTCCCCCATAGACGCTTGTGTAGTAATCAGGGTATTGTTCTCGAGGTCGTAGAGATTGTCGGCGCAGGGCGAGGCGGAGTTCTTCGTGCGGCCTTTCAACTTGGCCAAACTGACCGATGGCGTGGCGTGTCTGTAGAAAGGCGACGAGGGCTTTGCGCCCACGCTGGGGTCGAACTCCCCTGGTGGAGGGGCCGTGAGGGCTGTGGCGGGCGGCGGGAGGAAATCGCTCTCGGAGACAACGGCGAGGGTGCTGGAGGACGAGACGGCGCGCTTTTCATCTTTGAGGGCGAATTTGACCCCGACGGGTGATAGGTCGGGCGAACTCATTTTATCTTTGTTTTGTTTGCTTTCTAGGTTGGATGGATAGGGCGTAGGAGGTTCGAGGATGTCAACCAAAGGTATCAAAAACATGCAAAACACACGATAATCGATGCAAATGCGATAACCGAACCCCTCCGCAAGGTCCAAGTATGATAGGGTATACAGCGAGAAGTATGCGACGATCACTTAGGATTTTATCAATCAAAATGCGACAGACGTTAGATCGAAAGAGTGAAGAAAGGCTGGTTGGCTGGCAACTGCCTTAACTTGCTTCTGGCGGTGTATAGCTGCTGGCACTTGCCAAATGAACTCAACGTGGTGCCTGAAACATTTCACTGCATTCGGCCACTTGCATTCCTTTGGGACCAGGGATTCACTCCGCTGTCATCTCCGGGGCAATATTAGCTCGTATCCTTGGATCTAGACTTTGACTGTGGACCGAGGATATGGATGCGGCGGTTGGATGGGATTCATCTGTTATAAAGTATACTATTACTTTGTGTTATGGTTTCAGGGTAGGATGTTTGTTCTGGGCCGAACAGCGATAGGAGTAGCCCCTCGATACTATATATATAACATGTGTGGACTGGGTAAACCTATGGATATATATTGTTGCCCTAAATAGATTGTAGTACTTGATATATATATATCCCTATTGTATATAGTTACTCCTAACACTTACAACTCTACTATCTTTGCATCTAGAACCTGTTTGTCAGTACATTTTCACCCACACTCTCAAAATCGTATGCAATCCCGAAGTGACGACCAAATGACTCTATCGTCTTTCTCCGAGTTTGAACCATTACCAATAATGACTGCTCTACTTATCATCAACCACGAAAGCATCAAAGGTTCCCATCCATACAAGCTCAAATTATCAAGGAACATGAATGGCTTTTACGTTCTATACGAAACCTTCTATTACTAATTATATTGCGACAAACTCGCTATGACTGCGCCAAAACCCTCACGATTAAAATAGCAGCACCCTCCCCGTTCTTCGCGATGTACTCCGTACACTTCTAAATATAAGTCCTCGCACAGAACATCTGTTAACAATTAACTAGAGAGTAGAAACAGCAAACTCTCGCATCCCTTATTTTCTCTTTCCTTTGCCTTTTGCCCTTTCCCCTTTCCCCTCCTTTCTTATTCTCTCCTCGTTTTCATCCCTTGGTTCAATTCCCTCATCTAAACCTCCGTCCAAACCTACTCCGCAGACCATACGGAGTAGTTATCCTCAACTCCCTTCATTCTTCACAATTGGCGAAAGCAAAAGTAAACTAGACGCAAGAAGTCAATGGCAAATAACTCCGACCAATACCTACGACCATAACCCTGAATTACAATATTCTCGCACCCAACCCCTGCATACCGGAGAATTGGCCCGGAAACAGCCACCAAGGGATAAATTCGAGACCGGTTGCTACGGCATCAGGGATAGGAGGTCCCTGATCATCCGGTGCCTGGATTCAGGAATGCATGGGCTCCTGGTTTCGAACTCCCTCGTCTCCCTGTCCCGTTATCTCTCTCTCTCCCTTTCTCCCCTTTCTCGCACCTTATGTCTTCGTCTGTCTAACTGTCCTTGCTCGTCTATTCATCTATTCTGTCGAGTCGTAGCATCTCATTTCATAGCACATAGTCACATAATCCGCCATAACTCTGCATAGCACAATGTCCCCTTTCTACTGAGAGTCTCTCCCCAAAACCCAACTTCCCACCACCACCAAACCATCCAACCTGAACAATCAATCAATCCTCAAACCCCCAATCCCCATCAACATCATCATCACCCCAAAACTCCTTCAAATCTTCTACCCGCCACGCCGTCGCCCATCCCGTCTCGCGCTCGATGCGCGTCAATGTGTCCACGATCGCGGCGTGTTCGGAGTAATGCGACATGGCTTTTCCGGCTACCCAGAGCGCTTGGAGGGCGTTTGTCCAGCAGCCACTGTTTTTTTGATTTTGGGTCAGTTTTGTTAGGGATAGGAGGTTGTGGGGATGGGGTCAAGGGAAAAAGGGAGTTAGTGACTGGGACTTACTGGTGTGTGTTTGATGCCGAGATGGCGCAGATTTGGCGGGCGTGCCAGAGGGGGGATTTCTGGAGAGTGGAAAGGTAGATTAGCTTGACTGTGTGGTGGTGAATCGTAGATGCCAGGACAGGCATGTATATTTGTAAATATAGATAGTATTGAAACTCACCGGCCTCTTCGCCAACGCCAGTGTCTTCGGCTTCCGTTGTAATAAGAGCAGCGCACACACATGGTACAGCTGGTTTCCCGAAACTAGAAGCAAAATCAGCATCTCATCCTCATCCAAATGATCGACGTAAGAAAAAAGAAAGCATAGGAAACATACTAGCCGACCCATTCCCATACAACACCGTCGGAAAGGGCCTCTCCCTCTCCCCTCTCCCCCTATCTCGACCACCTCTCCCCCAACCACCACCACCACCTAGGGTACCCCCCGCCGCGACACTAAAAATACTCTTCATCTGACACGGCCTCTTCTCGTACCACTCCTCCACGCAATCAAACAGCCGTTTCCACCGCACTGGATACGACTCTTCCCCGGAATCATCCCGCGGACTACCACCTAGGTACTGACACGAGACACAAGATGCAGACGACGCCGCCGCCGTGGATGTACGCGTCGACGATGACGCACCGAACAGCACGCCCAGCGTCTGCGCACACAAATACACAGTGTAGTTCGCGTACGTGTCGAACGTGCAGACATCCGATGACGAAAGGAATAGGGCGCTGGCTTCTCGTGGGTCCATGTTCTTGGGGATCCAGTGGCTCATGGGGATGATGGTTTCTTCCTCGGAGATGAGGCCACCGCAGACGTCTGTATGCCCTCACATACGCATTTGTCAGCATATATGCACAGTATCAATGTGAAGGGGACAAGGACTGACCCATCCTCGCAAAACACCAAAAAAGCGCCTGTTCCTCTTTCCCTGAGAACCCGTTAATCTCAGCCGCTTGAATAAGATACGCGCAGCCGTCTAGATGTCGTCGCCATTCTTTGGGGTTGCCTTCCCACCACACTCAAATTAGCATCCATCCTATACCAAACCCCTACCATATACTCTAGGTAGGGAACAAAAAGGACCAAAAGGGCAAAAGCAGACATACAACTTAACATTTCCAACACGCAAAGAATTACACACGACGCGATCACCGGCGTCGATTTACTTTCCAGCTCCGGCAGCAGCAAGTGAATGGCTTCCTGATACAGCGAGAGGCTCTCGGACTGGGATTTCTCGTTCTGTTTGCGTTCGATCTGGCGCGCTGAGAGGGCCAGGATGGAGTAGCGGAGGTGGGTAGCTGATTTGGCCATTTGGGGAAATGTGGATGCGAAGTGGCGGTGGTTGTCGAACATGTCGAGCTGTTTCTCATTGCTGTCGTTAGCTGGTGCTGTTCTTTGTTGTGCTGAGGGACTAGAAGGTATAGAGAGGTGTGGAAGGGGAGAAAAAGGTAAAAGACTGAACGCACCCACAGACAAATCTCATTCAAATAATTCTGCCACAAGACGTTCTCCCTCTCCGGCGATAACGCAAAATACCGACCTGGACCGTGACCCGGACCGTGACCCGGACCAGAACGCACATCATCCATCATCTGGTCCGCGGACGCAGCCACGCCGCCAAACCCATCCGGCGAGCCGCCCCGACTCGGAATATCTGGTCGAGCGGTCCACAGCTGGCGATTGCGCAGCGCGGTATGCAGCGCCTCATACGCCGAGCCAGGCAGGAAGACATCGTTGTTAAAGTTCGCAGGGTCCGAGAAGACGTTGTGGTCGAAGAGCGGCGACGCGATGGTCGGATAGGGATCCGGGCCTGAGGATGCCGCGAATGAATGGCCTGCCGCGCCGTGGGGGAGGTGACGGAGGGCGCCGAGTTCGTCGACGACGTATTCCGGGCTGGAGTGGAGATAGGGCTGGTGCTGGGTGGTCGGTGCAGGGGCGTCGTCGAGGGGGATGGTGTCGGATGGCGAGTGAGGGTCGAAAGGTCGGAGTGATGATGGGTGGTATGAGATGCCGCTGGAGAGAGACGGCGAAGGCGCTTGACTGGGGCAGTTGAAGTCGGGATGTGGGTGAGGGTGAGGATGTGACAGAGGTGAATGCATCTGCGTATGCACTGAATGATGTACCGGACCCTGGACCTGAGTCTGAACCGGAACCGGGGCCGGAGCAGGGGTCTCTACACGTGGCGACGCCAACGGTGTACTCGCATCTACAGCCTCCTTTTCAGCCTGAAGCTGACCCGACCCTGAGGCCGAACCGGGGCCGCCATGCTTCCTCCGTCGGGATGCCGACGAGGATGCCGAAGGGACCACGTTCAAAATCTAACAGATCAGTCAACACTAACCCTGAACGAAGCGACCTCAGGCGCAAGTAGGTGGGTGGAAAGAACGATATACCTTGAATTTACTCTGCCTCGCACCCCTCCCACCATTCCCAACCCCAGAACCACCACCCGCACCACCACCCTGATTCATAGACGGATGCTCCGGCCCCAGGACCTTCAGATTCGCATCCCGAAACGACCCCAACATACGCCATTGGCATTTGTCGCCGCGACGCTTGCATCCCGTACATGTGGGCTTAGCTTCGTCACCTGCAAGGAACAAACGAGCGAGAACGAGTCAAGTTAGCCCGATCTGATCCGTCTAGCAACAATAATAGTCATAGTTTGCCTCGGCATAGAACTAAGATCAACTCCAGCTCCAGCTCCAATCCAGCCGATGTATTACCCATTCCGGTAATCATAGTCATCACCATTGGAATACTACGGTAGGTAAGAAGAACACGCCCAGCAAAGAAAGGACATACATTTCCGTCGTCGACGACTGCAATTCAAGCAACCCGTGCGGGTGCGTTTGCGCGGTACGTGGCCATGGCCATGGCGATTGGCGCTGGCACTATTCCCAGTAGGAGTAGTACTAGTTGTACTAGTATCAGGGGCAGCTGGTGTTGGCGTTGGCGTGGACGTCATGGTGGTGTGATATTGACTGACAATGTTGGATGTTGGCAAGTTGGCCGTTGGGATGACGACGACATGGATGGGAGAGTGAGGGTGTCAGTTTCAGTGTGAGTGTCAGTGTCTGGACTCCACGGATTGCGACGATAGGAAATGGAGAAGACAAGTCCGTCCGGGGCAGAACTACTCCGTTCTGCAGGAATGACGGCAGAGATCTCGTCTAGCGTTGCCGAATCGGGTAGATTACCTGTTTGGGTAGCGATAAGCGCAGGCTCCCCGGCCTCGGGAAAGACTGTGGGGGAACCGGGGAGTGTCCGAGACGAGGCCGGTCGGGATGTTGGTCGAAAGAGGGAAAGATTACGGAGTACAGTCGGAGTAGAAACACGTAGTTGCTAAAGTAAATAAAAAATTATAAAATTTTGAGCGATAGAAATGCAGGTCCTAGACAGAAATGAATATAAACATAACATAGAATAGAAACAATGACCATAATGTAGACAGATCTAATAGTAGCAATACGGAATTTAGGGTACTCATACAAAATTGAAGAAACATCAGACCATAAACAATCGCCATCCCGTCTAACTCAAACTCTTTGCATATTCCGTAATTTCTCACTCGACATGCTGCACCCCCACCGACTCCGCTTCTTTCTCGCCCACGCGATGGTTCGGATCCCCCGCGGCTCCCATCGACGGATGCCAGTGCAGCAGCACCTTTTCGCCCGTGAACAGCCGATCCACCTGCTCCAGCGTGAGGTTGCGGGGCTCGGGGTAGAAGAAGTAGATGAGCGGGAGGAAGGAGAAATTGAATACTATCGAGGTCGTCAGTATTATTATTGTTATTGGTGTTGGTGTTGGTGTTGGTCTTCGTGACCTGGAGGTATGACTTACCCGCAAAGTAAATATACGTCTGGTAGCCAATGTTGTCGATACTGACGGGGGTGATTTCCACGACCAGGAAGGTGAAGATCCCTAGTTACTTGTTAATTGGGTCTAGATATATCAACAAAATGGGAGGGAGGCGTACAGTTGGTTGCCGTGGCCAGGGCAGCTGCGCGGGTTCGAATAGCCAGGGGTGCGTATTCCGCGGGTACTATAGTGGGTTAGTTACGAGACAACAATGTGAGAGAGAAAACATACACAACCACGGGATGGCCAGCAAGCCGACTCCAAAGAAGAAATTGAACAGGAAAAGCATGACGGTCGCCACCAAGCCGGACGCGTGGCTGCCGTCCCAGACTGTCCCGGCTAAGATGGCCATGCAGGCACATTGTCCGGCAGCGGCGAAAAGCATTAGCTTTCGGCGTCCAAGACTATCATTTGTTAGACACAGTACAAACAAAGGGAGGGCGTCACTAACCGATCGATCGTCCAGATCGGAACCAAAGTCGACAAGAAATATGCCACGCCGTTGAAGCCGGCCAGCAAGAGCGCCGTGTTGTGACTCATCCCGACAGATTTTTCAAAGATGACGGTGTTATACTACGACACCATTAGTTTCGTCATGAGAAGATAGCAGGGAGACTCACGTAGGTAATCAGATTGACACCCGACAACTGCTGCATCATCTGGCCACCCATACCCAAGAGCGTGCGGTGGAAGAACCGCTGCGGTCCGTTCTTGAACACCATCTTGAAAGAACCCTCCTCGGTGGCACTATTCTCCTCGGCCACGGCCTGTGCAATCTCTGCAACGTCGAGGTTGACAACGGGATCGGTCTCCTCGATCTCTCGGGCGTTGGGCTGAATGGCCCAGAGGACGTGACGAGCTTCGTCGGCTCGGCCGTGTGCAACGAGCTATTTTTTATTAGAAGAGGTCATTATAAGTGGGCGAGAGGCTTACCCAACGAGGCGACTCCGGGAGAATCAGCACGCCAATAAACGTGATGATGGCGAAGAGAATCTGTAGGGCAATTGGGAATCGAAACTGTGATTCGTTGAGCACGTAGCTCATACCGTAGTCTATCTCGTTAGCTGGATGGCTGAGAGCAGCGGGAAGAATCTCTGAACATACCAACCCAGTAGGCAGTCATGACGCCGAAGATATTGATGCAAAGTTCGATAGCAAGCTGAAATTTGTTAGAGGATGGTGAGGTCGATGGGCACCAAGAATACTCACCCCCTTTCCTCGACTCGCAGCCTTGCTCAGTTCCGAATGCCATACAGCTACTATCGTCAGATCCCATTAACCCATATAGCCCGAGATACGTACGAATAGTACTAGTGTTGAGACCGTTTCCAATGCCCGCCACAACCCGACCGACAATCATATGAGGGATCGAGTAGGCACTGGTCTGCAGGGCAGCACCGATGCTGAGGATGATGCAGCCCAGCATAATGCACATACGACGGCCCAAGCGTTCACCCGCAAACAGGGAGACCAGGGCACCGAGAAAGCAACCCTAACAAGTCAGTATACTCTCCTGGAACGTCGTAAGCATCAACATACAATCTCGTAGATAGCAACGCTATATTCAGTCAGCCATCAGCTCTCGACCTTTAAATGCAATAGAGACAACTCACACCGTGCCCTGTAACGACGAGCTTCCATTCCCGCCCGTAGTGGTATCGATCTCGGGGAACGTCTTGACAAAAGCCTCGCCGCTCAACAGACCGGACATAACACCTTGGTCATACCCAAATAGTAGGAAGCCACTACCGGCAGTGGCCGTAATGGCGTAGGTCAGAGGCTTTCCCACGAGAAAAGTCATGATGCCGTCGTGTCTGATGATACCGGTTCAAGTCAGGGTCAATGACCCCATGGGGCCATATCGGAATTTATATACGACAAGTTAGACACGACACGGGATAAAACGGGGAAACCCTGTCTGCGTCACAGCTGAACGATGGACTGATGGATCCGCGAATTGCGGGGAGAAATTGACGACGGGGAGGATTTAATGGCGCACCGGTCGTCAGGAATCCGGTTTCGGTTCGGACATGAATTTTATTTTACTTGATCAGTTGGTTTAGTCCTATCGATCTATCTTGCATGACTAGCTCTGCCCTATACTGTTGTAGCAATTGAATTAATTACTACAGACTCTGATCATTCTTACTTAGATTGCTAGACATCACCCATCTATCACTGACATCCCTTACATCAACCCCGGATTCCGCCCGGGACAAGTCCGTACGCCGAAGCCATACGGGACAGATATCAAGCTAACCCCAAGGAACTAATGTTTTAGCCGACCCAAGCTTCTCCAGACCAGAGATGACGGAAATGTGGGGATCGGCAACAAAGTCTGGCACCCGGGTTACCCGATCGGGAAGCCCTAAGCGCTGCAGCACGAGAGGGTCCACCGTTGCTGCTTTTGTGGAGAGAATTTCTCCCCGGTCGAAGACTTGCTCTCGTTGGTAAGGCTAAGCATTGTTTTGGCCCTGATGAGCAACTGATTCGAAGATTGGGGTCTGATCCATGTCTGGTGGACTCTGCAGTCAGTGGAATCTGCAGTATGAGTTGTTCTTCTTCCCCTACCTACTCAGTTAGGTTGTAGATAAGCGCTGTGAACTCGACATTCAAATAGATGGAGTCGTCACCGATCTTCCTCCAAATTACTTTCTTTCACAAGTCCACTTTTTAGAGAAAAGCCGTCTACTCCATACCACAACACCTCCCTGTCTACGCCCGTCAAAATGACCCCCTCCATCGCCCCCGAACTCACCACCCCCGGCGTGCCCGCCTCCATCCAGAACCCCTCCGTGGCCACCAACCTCTTCTCGCTCGGCCAGCGCACCGTCGCAATTACCGGCGGCGGTCGCGGTCTCGGTATCGTTCTCGCGAACGCCGTGCTCGAAGCCGGCGGCGACGTCGCCTGCATGGACCTGATCGAGCCGAGCACCGAATGGGCGGCGTTGCAGAAACTCGCGACGGCGCGCGGTCTGCAGGCGACGTACACGAAATGCGATATTTCGGATGAAGCGGCGACACAGGCCGCGTTGGAGGCGATTGCCGCGGAGGGCTTGAGACGGGGGATGCCGTTGCGTGGCGCGATCACTTGCGCGGGTATTCAGCAGATGGTGCCCGCTTTGGAGTATCCGATTGATGGGTGGAGGAAGATGATGGATGTTAAGTAAGTCGTTTCTCTTGGGTTTAAAGGTGTAGGATTGGAAGGGGGTTGCTAATGAGTGAACAGTGTCATTGGAACTTTTATTCCTGCGAAACACTGCGCGCGGATCTTCAAGGAGCAGGGCACCCCTGGAAGCATTGTTATGATTGCTTCAATGTCGGGGCAGATTGCGAACCGGGTATGTATTGCCTTTGCTTTGGATTCTTGCACCACGATCCTGCTGGAATGGCCAACATGGACCCCCCCCCCTCCTAGGAATCATTCGCTGATTGAACTATTACAGGGTCTCACCTGCTCGGCCTACAACTCCTCCAAGGCCGCCGTGCACCAAATGTGTCGCTCCGTCGCCCAGGAATGGGGACAGTATAACATTCGCGTGAACACTCTATCTGCTGGTGTATGTCCCGACCTCCCTCCCTTCTTCTCATACCCTTTGATGAATGCAGGAACTAACACTCAATAAAATTAGTACATCCGCACCGCTATGACCGACGCCCTCCTTCAAGAAAAGCCCGAAGTCGAGGAGACCTGGATGCGCGGCGCGCTGCTCGGCCGCCTCGGTGTGCCCGAGGACTTCAAGGCCCCGACGGTATACATGCTGGCTGATGGCAGTGGATTCATGACGGGGACAGACTTGCGGGTGGACGGCGGCCACTGCGCTTCTGCTTGATTGATGTTATGATTATCATATTGGCGTTTTAGATTAATGGGTTTGAATTATTGGACTAGACTCGAATAGATTTTAGAAAAGAATAACTACATTTGTTTAGATTTACTGGGACTTGCTACATCTATACCACTTCTCTTATTCTACATTCACTAAACTTATTTTGGAGTATTGCTTCATATAATACAATTTGCTAGAAACTTTATAAATCTCATTGTTAGTACAATCATTTGTTCTAGTAGAAAGACTCTTTTCATGGTAGCTAATTACTGGAACTTTCCGCTGCAAATGTAAGATCTTGTGTTTAAAGATCCAAGTACCGATTTCTTATATAAATACTGGGATCTCCCATACACTTTGAGGCAGTGCTCAGCATGTATAGAATGATATAGAACGCACCAAGTGATATGCCATATTGCTCATTCATATCCCTATACTCAGCGCATAGAACTTTCATCGAGGCACCACCTGGATAGCTTCAACATAGTCTACTCAAAATGCCTGACTCTCCTCCCACGAAAATGATCCGGGCACGTCTTGCCGTTATTGCCTGTTCCATTCTGGGCCTGGCATTGGCTGGCCTAAACTCGGCTATTGCAAGATTCTCCATCATCCTGCGAGACCGAGCGCGATCAGAAATCACAGACCCCGAAAATGGCATCGTTGCCCACTCATTCGAACGGCTGATGGGAAACGTCTTCGCAAATGCGGTGGTTGCTGTCTTTCCTCCGGCCATCTCTGTTATCTACGGTCTTGCGCTTGTGCTTTGCACAAAGTGGCTGCGCGAGAAGGGCTTCTACTATGGGGCCATGCAACTGATTTTGGGCCTTTTTATGGTGGTCACCGGGGCATATCTTGCGTTTAATGTACGCGGGTTCCAATCATCCTTTGCGAGGATGCAGGGGGATGATAGAATTCCGTATTATGCTATCATGTATTACGGTGGCGTGGGAGAAGCCGCTTCGGGGGCTCTTGTGATTTTTATGTTTCTTGGAACCGTGCTTTTGGCTTTGGTTTTTGGAGGATAAAGATTGGGCGGGCTGCTCATGGTGTAGTTCAGATGAAACTGGTTGGGTTCTTTATATTTCCCGCAGTGGATTGGTTGAGGCTCTGAACCCAACGCCCTTCAATCAACTTCATCCTGTGCTTGGAGATCTCGGGAATCAATTCCGATAGTGCTCCTGGCCTGTATCAACCTCGTGCTACCCCAATGTATCAGGAACTCACCGAAGAAATTCCCTTACCAGACTCTTGTGATGGTCTAGGGGCAAATATGCAAAACGGTGAATCCGCGCGGCTGCCAATTGGCCTAGGGCCGTGAACAAGCCTCAACCAGCGTTTACAGTCTACTCTTATTATATCATCTACTCCTGTTCAAACACCTTTCTAATAGTGATAGAATCCTTTTCTTTCATGCCTTTTGTGCGGGAAGCCTTTAAGTATGACCTGTCTTGTAACATGCACTGGTCAAGCTGATCTCGAGCAGCCTCGTAGTTCGAATTTTCCAGGTCCTTTCGATATTCATGTAGTGCTGCCTCGGCCGCGATAGCCTCCATGTTTTGATATGCTTCAGACAAGTTTGCATCCCGCCATAAGCTCAGTGTGACCTCCAAGAATCTATTGAACCAATTCCGAAGTTAGAGTGTGGCATGAGCGGAAGTATCAATACCCTTACTATACTTGACTACTATGGTTGTTTAAGATAGTGTATGAGGGTATAGTTAAGTAGTTATAATACTATGGGTGTGTCTAATTCATTAAAGATAGTGCTATAATCGTAAATAGACATACATTTGGTCCTCGTCCTTCCTGCAAATGCCAGCCCACATCAGGTGGCAATCATCTCCCCTCCAACGCATCAAAAGTCCGTTCGGCATTGATCCACTTTCCCGTTCGGGTAATTCAGACGTCTTTCCTAATCGGGTAGATTTAGGCGCTCTCTGATGCACCTGTCGTCACGCGTTTCCGGCAGAGACAGCATCATCAGGAGTAGTTTATGTGCAGTGCAGCTCTCCTCCTTCGTGGGTGTGACAGTTCTGTGAAGCTCAGTCAGTGTCACTCATTCACACATACTCAGTCCTCGATGAACCCATAATAGGAAAAGCAAGAAAAAATGGAAGCTCGTACCTCAGGAATATCCTCCTTCTCCTCCTCCTCATCCTGATGATCATGGCTCTCCCCTTGCTCACCCTCACCCTCATTCTCATCCTCCCCAGCACACCCCTCCCCAGGAACAACAACATCGAACGCAAACGCCTCCAGCGCAAAATACTGCAACGCATTCGAGTCCCTCGTAGCCAGACTCGACTGATTGCCCCTTGCCAACTCAATCACCTCCTCATAGTCGTCCGCATAATGCTCGACCAGGCCCTGTCCGATCGCAGGGAGATGGTACAGCCGGTGCAGCAGGTCCGCGGCCCAGAATGTGTTGGGCTTGGATGCGGAGACTGTGTAGCCTTGGCTGCAGAGGGTCGTGAGAGAACGGCGCGTTGTGTAGCTGAGGTCGCAGATTACCGTCTCGGAGGTTGCGTTGGAGCCGCGCCAGTGGCCGGCCCATTCTGTTTTGTTGGACAGGGTGTGTTAGTGATTGTTTTGATGTGGATGTGTGTTGTGAAAGAAGTAGGAGGTTATAAGGAGTGAATGGAATTGAGGAAGAAAGCGAGGTGGGTAAGTACATACCGTCAAGATCACAGTTTCCATCAGGATTATCGCACCGAAACAACACGCCGCCCTTATCGCCGTTCACGACGATATCATACGCGCCGATGGCTTCGATGGAGGGACTATCGCCGAAGTATTTCCGGTAGATAGAGCTCTCGTTGCCCCACCGCAGGATATGGGCTTTAGCATGATCCGCCAGCGCGATGGTCTCGTTTAGACCGGTCTCAATCTGCAGACGCTGGGTGGCGTTGCAGCTTTGATGGATGGGGTATTGATTGACAGCGCCGGCGTCCCACGGGGAAAGGGACTTGTGAGGGAGGGTTTGGCTGTTGCTGTCCCGGGGGGTGAGGATGGGGGCTGGGATGGCTATGGCCGGGACAGCAGAGAAAAAGAGGAGAGAGAGGAGGGAGGGTGTCATTGTAAGTCGATTTGGTTTTTCTTTCCTTCCTTTTTCTAGAGGGATGCGAGCTGACGTGATCGACAAAGTAGGGTTTCTTGGAGCGACTTGCGCCCTTTTATATTTCTACCATCTATAAATGTAGAGATTTCTTTCCGATATGACATCCCGTGTTTTCGCCCGTGGCTGAGTGCCAAGTTGACTTGAGTCTTGGAATTGAGGGTATACCGAACTACGAGGGTGGCTTAGTACCTTCCGGATATAAGGTCACCATCTCGACAACAACGCCAAGAAGGACCTTGATAGACACTATCCTCTATTGTAAGAGCTATACCTTCGTTAAAGCCCCTCCGGTGGAACGATCCCAAGCCCTCCTCTCCGCCAAGGCTTGGTACAAGGACCTTGTGAGCAACAAGCCCTAGAGTATATCCACGCTGACGTCCAATGCCCGCGGAATCGTACGTTCTTGGTTCCTCTGGCCGCTCTTGGCAGGTGTTTATTATACAAGGGCTCGTGCTTGGCAATAGACACCTTAGTAGTTAGCCTCGATGCAGGGCCTGTTTGGAAATCTCTGCGCGGGCGGAAGTGTGGTGGAAAGTTTGATACCCTAGATGATATACTAGACTTTCATATAGGAAATCATTGTTGGAACACAATGTCAGTTGTCATACTTATACCAACAGTTAACCTGTGGGATTGAAGGCTCTATACATATTAGAGGAGGTAGATGAGAATGCCACCCAATTAAGAAGGTGCATAATCAAGATCCAGTCCCACCCACTAGGCCCAATCAGACAAGCCAATCGTTCTTGATCCTTCGTTTTACAATGTCCAATTCGCATTTTTAGAACACAGGCCTCTCAATCCTCAGATCGTTCGCACATCGCAGTACAGTAAAGCAAGAACAGAGGCTGCCGTAGCAGTCTCTGTAGCAGTCTCTGTTTACAAGCTAAGACTAACAGCAAAGATTCCTCGACTAAGGTATGATTGGGTGCAACTTGTTCTAGACGTATTGAGCGTGGAAGAATACGAAGCGGAACGCAATCAGAGAAGAGATTGTGAAGATGGCGATTTCTGACTCCGTATAGAAGACAGTACGTAAGGAAATCAGTCTAGCCAACCATATTGTATCGCTACTGTTGAACAAGCCTGTGTCTGCAACTGCCCGCCGGATCGTCAGCACGGGATGACCGATATTCGGTCAATAGGAAGCATAAACTTAGGTGAACTGCACACTCGCTTCCTCTGCTAATTTGCTGTTCATCATCTTTCCTCCGAGCAGGCTTAAGAGCGTGGCCTGGCATCTAAAGTGGAAAACAGCCAGCTCTCCAGCTCAGCTGCAATCATACTATCAATCCCATCATTATTGAGTAACATTCCGGTGTCCATCTCTGCTTATACTTTACGGGGTTAATGGACTTACTCTGGCATATGGCTCGTGAGTAGGATCTGACTGAAAGACACCGTCGACGCGGGCAAATGCATCCAGGAACGCATTCGAAGCAAGGTAGATGCTTTGGGTTACCGTTCCAAACATGACGGTCCATGAGCTCCACATATCGAAGTCCATTCTCTTAGAGAAAAATAGGAAATTTTATTGGTAGAATTTACTTTCAAGAACAGTGAAGACTCTAGTGTTCGTAAAACAGCCAAAGTTAAACCGTTCTTCAGTCCACCGTATGAATACGCTTGTACGGTGTCCCTGTCCATAATGAACTATGCGTACAAGATGATATAGTATATGGAAACCGAAGTGCCAAGCGAGCTTGAACCGGTCGCTCGAAGCTACTCCACGCGGACGTGATCGAACATGAAGCCTAGAGCGGTGCGCTCAAACCAGCTTCGATTCTTTTCACGGCCGTTGATGACCAGGTCTGCAGCGAATCGCACCATATCCTCCGCCAGCTCTGGGGTATAGCCAGACCCATGCAATACATAGTCCCAGCTGAAATAGCCAATGCCAACGAGAACAGCCACGTGAAAGGCAAGATCCTCGCTTAAGGAATCATATCCGTACCCATCGATCACGCCACGGATCATCCCGTTGCAGGTATCGTCACCATTCATCCGACCTGCTACAGATACGTGGGCGATGAGGTGACTCAGGTCGTGCAGGCGCGGGCCATAGTGGCAGGTTTCCCAGTCCACGAACCCAAGGGCCGGGGTTTGAGAAGCCGATGTGCAGACAAGGATACTTTCCACAATCAGCACTCTCGTTTCCTTTTTTTAACTGGCTTTGAGAAGGGTAACGTGGAAAGCTTACTTTCTCGGGGTGAAATCCCCATGTATAATCCCGGATTCACCTCTATCCTGCTGGAGCGCTGCCGCCGCATAGTCCAGGATCCTTGACCTCCTGTCCCCTATGATATGCGGGAACGCGTCGCAGTTCCGTAAGATGGCCCTGAACTTGAGGGCAGCCGTTCTTTCTCTCATGGTTCCGTTCATGGTTACCGAAGATGCCAGATCCGGGTTCGAGGTTTCTTCCACGGTCGCCCAGCGATGGAACGAGCGCAGCCAGCCACCGACTGCGAAGCCGGTCGCGTATTCTGCAAGCGGCAATTGGCGCGACACGAGTAAATCAAGAAGCCTTTGATTGTCGCCAAAGTCTTCGAACACCAAAACCCTGTACTGAGGGTCGTAATGGTACAAAAGGGGTGTTTTGGTTGCAATGTGGGTTTTATCCCCGGAAAGGTGGCCACCGTTGAGAGCCCCCAAGAGGACTTGTTCTGTGTCCTAGATGTGCGATAGATAGGTAAGTACTTTCTGTTGGTAACGAATAATGATGGCAGGGTATAGGGATAGCACGCCTACAAATCGGCCTGTTTCCAATTTGATAGCTGGGTTCACGGCCGCAGCCTCCTCGCCATGTTTCACGATAACCGTCTCGCGTCCGTTCTCCAAGGGATGCGCCAGTAATCCTCGATAGACATAATTCAGTAATCCTCCACTTAGCTGCTCTGTCCTTGAGCATGCATATAAGGTGTTGGTGAGTGCCGTGTAGACCTCAGCGGGACACGGCTTCTTCGCTTCCTGTATGCATAGCTTGGTAGAGCCCGCTTCGCAGACAGACTTGATCATTGAAGCGCTAGCCGCCATGTTGGATGTTCCGTGGAATAGTAAGAGGGTTGGGGGATCTCACCCTCTCTGTTGAAACAGAGGAAGCTAAGTATATCGGATGGAAGCAAGGGGCTGGGTGCTCGCATTTCCGAGTATCGTACTGCGTTTTTGACTGATCCTAGCTCTCGGCGCAGGGGCTCACCGCTACTCAGATCTGACATGTCTACTATAGTATCTAGACCAACCGGCAAAAGGCAGACAAGATTGCTGAGTTTAATGTGTGTGGGAATGCGGTACAAGAAGGCTGTGAATGACTTGCGGTGAGCACCAATGGTATGTTCATACTGATGCAAATTGACTTACATAGTAGCTGTTTATGTGATACACCCTTATATAACAAAGCATTATGAAAGATTTCAACTTAATAGGAATAGTTCAAGCTCTTTAAATAGTTGAAAGATAAAATAGTCAAGTAGGGCAAGTATATGTGTTTATGTGGTGTTCAGGTACTGGGTTGCTAACAATGATCTGTGTGGTTCGTCTTCTTTGTGATGTTGGCACCCTTATCAAAATTGCAGAATAGTCCGAACAACAATTCTACGGTGTTACACAACAGAATGACTAGGTACACTGCCCGTATATAAGCATGTCTATAGATTGAAGCCAGCGTCGCCAATCGACCTTCTCTACAGTACGGAGCATACCCACTATTTCGGAACCCCAACTCCAATTCCGACTCCTCACGCTAACTAAAACATCCAATAAAATGAGTCACAACCGGAATCTATCCCGAATCAGGACCCCGCCTGGAGTCAGTCATATTGACATTTTTACTCCGACAATTCTACGCCGTAGGAACAGTACGACCTATATCTACACAGTACATCATTACTATTCCCCTCCACCGATCCTCTACTCTCTCCATTCCAACCTCTATCTCCTTCTGCCCCGCGCAGAATCCATCCAAAATGTCCTCCATCCAAATCCGCCACTCCACCGAACCCGACGCCCCCACCCTCGCGGCCCTCAACATCGCCTGCTTCCAGCACCATAGCTACTGGAAAAACGTCTTCCCCAACATCGACCCCCAGTCCGCCTTCCCGCTGAAATACGCACGCGCACTCGAGAAACTGACAGCCCCGGACACACACATCCTCTCTGCCGTAGACGGGGCCCAAAACAATCAAGTGGTCGGGTGGGCGAGGTGGACATTCCCGGGGGATGTGAACGGAACAGTAGATGTGTCGGAGGAGGCGAGGGGGACGATTGAGGCTAGTAGGGGGGTGTTGCCGGAGGGTGCGAACGGGAGAATCTATGAGTTGTTTTTTGAGACGTTGAAGGATAAGAGGGGGGTTTGGTTGGGGGAGGGGGATTTGAGTATATCTCCCACGTGCCCTTTATGAGTTGTTGTGTCATTGATTTTGACTGGATTGATTGTGAATCAACCAACACGCTAACGCCTCGATCCCCTGATGGATGTAGTGCTCGATTTCCTAGCAACCCACCCCTCCTCCCAAGGCAAAGGCATCGGAACCAAACTCCTTCAATGGGGCATGGAGCGCGCCGATGAGCGAGACGCGCGCATATACCTAGAAGCCACGATGGATGGATACCCTCTCTACGTGAAGCACGGATGGCGCGAGGTCGAGAAGCTGGTGCTGGATTTTGAGCCGTATGGGGGGCATGGAACGGCGACGTATAGTTTGATGATTCGGGATCGGAAGTCGGAGAGGGAGAGGAAGTGAATCTAGATTTAAGGTCTTATATCTGGATACTGATCTAGAACTGAGTTTGTATATAGTTAATCGGATTGAGGTTTCCGTATAGATTCAGTCTGTGGTTCGGCAAATTGAGTTTGGTCTGGATTGCGCCGGACCAGAGAATTGTCACACGATTAACCGTGTTACCTATACCTATCGGTAGCTGCTGTTGTTTTATCAATACTAAATGTAGAGCGACAGAAAGAACGTTAGCACCGGAATGCTGTTGGCATGTACTGATTCTCGGACTAGTTGCTATTTGCTCGGAATGGTTGCGCTTGCACTCGGAATGAATTGCCCAGGTTCGGAATAAGTGTTGAACACTGCCTTCAGACTCATGCACTCATTCATTTGGTTGCCTACATAATTATACTACTTATCGGAAGGACAGCTAAACCATAAAACTCGGCTTCTGAGAAGCATGAGCATCCTCCGATCGCCACAACGAAGTCACAGTCTTCCACTGGGTATAAAACCTCAGTCCATCCTTTCCGTAAAAGTTCGCCAACCCTGTTCCTGCAACACTCCTCTTGTTTCCAGTAAAAGAGAACATCGGGAGAGGGACCGGAATGGGCACGTTAATACCCAGCTGGCCGGCTTCGATTCTCTTCTGGAAGTGCGACGCGCTGGATCCGGACTGCGTGAAAATCACAGCTCCGTTGCCCCAGTCGTTGGCGTTGATCATGTTGATCGCGTCGTCGAGCGTGTCCACCTCAACGCAGAGCAGCACTGGACCGAAGATTTCCTCCTTGTAACACTCCATGTGCGGCTTGACTCCGGTTATGACGGTTGGGCCGACCTTCTTTCTGTTAGTCTGGTTTCTGGATTAGAGGGTTGAGACATACCCAGTTGCCATCAGGGAAGCCCTCAGGCTTCCAACCCCGACCATCCAAAGCAATCTTAGCTCCCTCTTTCTCCGCACTGGCAATCAAGGCCTGGCAGCGATCGCGACTCTGAGGAGTGATCAGCGGTCCCAAATCAGACTTCTCGTTGAACCCACTGCCGGCCTGATACTCCTTGGCCTTTGCAACCAGATCCGGGATCCATTCTTGGGCGGCACCGACGGAGACCAAGACACTCAGCGCCATGCAGCGCTGACCGGCAGCTCCGAACGCCGCGCCCGTAATCGCATTAATCGCATGGTGCTTGTTGCTGTCGGGCAGCAGGGCAGCATGATTTTTGGCGCCAAGATTTGCCTGCACTCGCTTTCCGTTCGCCACCCCACGGTTGTAAATATATTCGCCGACCTTGTTAGACCCGACAAACGAGATCGCCTTGATCTCCGGCTCATCGAGGAGGAAGTCCACGGCGGGTTTTGACCCGTGGATCACGTTAACCACACCCGGCGGGAAACCCGCCTTTGCACAGAGCTCGGCGATAATCATCGCCGCCGCCGGAGCCCGCTCGGTGGGTTTCAAGATCAGACAGTTGCCCGTGACCACAGCAATGGGCAAACTCCACAAGGGGATCATGGCGGGGAAGTTGAACGGACAGATGGCCGCCACCACACCCAAGGGCATGCGATACGATCGCGTTTCCATATCCTTCGCGACTTCGAGGACCTCGCCTTGAAGCTGTGTGGTGATTCCGCAGGCTGTCTCGCAGACTTGCAGCCCGCGGAGAACGTCGCCTTTTGCGTCGGCGAATGTCTTTCCCTGTTCGCTGACGATTGCAGTGGCGAGGACGTCCATGTGGTCGCGGATCAGGCTGGTGAGCTTGAAGATGATCTGCTGGCGCTTCATGATGCTGGTCTCGCTCCATGCGGGGTACGCATTCTTGGCGGACGTGACGGCCGCTTTTAATTCCTCGGGGGTCGATTCGGGGGTTCGAGAGACGACGTGGTTTGTTGCCGGGTCGTGGACGTCGATCCAGGACTGAGTGGCGGATGGGCGGAATTCATTGTCGATGAGGAGTTCAGCAGGGTGGGGGGTTTGTGGTTTGGCATGTTCTTGTTTGTAGAAGAACGTGTGGAGGGTTGACGAAGCCATGATTGTGGTTGCTCAGAATGAAGGGGGAAAGAAGAAGAGGAGGGGGGTTGTAGACTCAAGTTTGGGATGAGGGGCGTGACCTCGCTGTACTTATAGGCAGGAGCTTCCGCGGGGAACCCAAAAGGTCATTGGAGAGAGGTGCAGCTCTCTCCACTTCCAATGTGACCGTCCATTGAGGCCGAGAGACGTGTAACAGCTGGCACCAGTTGTTCTTATGAAAGATCTGTCATGAAGTCCAGACTACTATGGAAGACTGTTCTGAGGATAGAAAGAGAAACCTCAGATGTTGATCAATGCCGCCCGATATAACCTCGGTTGTTTGCTTACGGTGGCCATAGTTTGGTAAGTTGAGACTTGAGTTGTACAAGAAAAACTACTTTTTTTCATCGTCTTGTCAGCATCATGGACAACCTGAGACTGAATGAGTGAGATACTCCATGGTTCTCTTATATCTCTATCTTATCTCGTCCTCTGATTGTTCCTGAGGCCGATAACGAGATAAGATAAAGCGATCTGAGATAAGCCCTATCCGAGTGAGATAAGATTTAGTATTCAATCACTTACTCCGTAGTAGTTTAGATGTTAGTGGAATGGCATTTAATACCAGACTGGTGCCTTGACGAGTAGTAATTAACATGCACCGATAGAATAAACCAGCATCTTTGGTTCAATTCGGTAGGGTGTATTCATGACCAGGGTTCACGAAAGGCTATCTAACCATGTGCACTAGATATTCTTTTTCGACTTAACATTATTTCTTTCTGTTTCTCTCGAACGAGGGGCTCCTTCGACTTTAAAAAGTTCACGCAAAAAGCAAAATAGCTGACTGCTAGTGCTGACAACAGAGGACAATGCCGATCACTACCAGAGATCGCTTTCTGTTGTCTCAGTGTCACCTCAAGCATTCCAGAGATTCAAGGACGGAGAAAGAGGACGAACAAAGTACGGTGAAGGATTCCATTCCGTCATCCTGCAAGCCCACGTTGCAAAGAGCAACTTCTCATAGCGTCACCGGGCGATCATTTGACCTCTCTCAGTCTCAGACAAGCGATAAGGTAACCGGCACAACCTGCCCGAGCGAGACTAGCGGCTTGGCGATCGCTCCCCGCCAGCGTCGTTGCCGATCTTTGGCATGATTTGCTCGTCTTCTTTGTGATGCTGTCCGCGTCGAACTGCCCAGACTGGGCTAGCCGGGAAGGGGGAGGCCAGCTGACTGTATGGCCACTCGGGGGGTATATAGTTGCCATGCAAGGACCACGGTCGTATCCTCTCTCCATGCCCGCTGTTTAACTCCTTCCCATCCTGTTCTCTCACCTCTCGATATCCCTAAGTCCCATTTGCCTCGACTTAGATGGCGCTGTCGTTATATCCCCTCCGCCGCCATTCGCACGTCTATACCATCGCTTTATCGCAGCCTACTCGCAGAGCCAGTAGAAATTGATTCTCTCGCTGTTATCCATCACTATTTTTATTACTATCCTTATCATTATTACCATCCATTCTAAATCATGGCCGTCGAGATCCTCCCCCTCACCAAACAGGATATCCCCGAGGCCGTAGAATGCGTGCAGACCGCGTTTGCTGACGATCCGTACTTCCAGTGGTTGTTCGACGATGCCAGCGTAAGTATACCAGACAGGGACAGGAAGTATCATACCTACCTATATTGAATGTGGAACCGTCTACCTATATATATGGCAATGGCAATGGAATCCACCCTTTTTCTCTCTCCCTCTCCCTTTCCCTTTGTCTCTCTCCCAATAGAACAGAACCTCCATATCAATACGATAAACCCTCTTGCTTGTATAGTACGACATCCACCGCAACGCCGCCTCCCTCGCCGCCCACTTCCAGTACGGCCTCAACTGCAACATGCCCATGTACATCGCCAAAGCCGCGCCTAGCGACAAACACCCCGCGAACAGCCACAATCGCAACGGCAGCCACAAGACCGTTGTCGGCGTCTCCTGGTGGTACGCCCCCCAGCCTGCCTCCGCCCCGCAGTCCTGGTCCGTCTGGGCCCAGGACTGGCTCCTCTCCATGCGCCAGCTTCTCTACAACATCCGCTTCGGCGGGCGCGGCGGCCTCAGCCTCGACCGGTACAACCTGTGGAAAGCGATGCAGAAGAAAACGCACGAGAAAGTGTGGACGGATCCGAGGGGGTATTACTTCTGTAATGTGTTGGCAGTGAGCGAGTCCATGCGGGGGATGGGCGTGGGGAAGAAGTTGGTGCAGGTGGTGACGGACCGGGCGGATCGGGAGGGCGTCAAGTGTTATTTGGAGAGTTCGAAGGGGGAGCCGAATTTGAGGATTTATGGGAAGTTGGGGTTTGAGTTGGTTAAGGAGATTGAGTGTGTGGATGGGAAGGATGTTTGCAAGGTATGTCCTATCTCCACTGTTTGGGGGACGTGTGCTAATGGGATTGAAGCTCTATTGTATGACGCGGAATCCGAGTATGAAAGTTTAGTTGGTTGATAAGATTGGCTATATAGTACCTGGTCACAAATCAGAAACAATACATTTTCCCACGTTCTTATATAAAGAACCAGCAGCCCGTTCGACTTTCTTTCGAACCAGAAAGCCCTGCAAATACCCCCTCGTCAACAGGCTAATCAGCCCTAACTTCTTGTACTGATCAAGACCCACATCCTGCAGCCCATGCTCAACATTGAATCGAAAATACACATCTGCAAAATTATAGAACTTCTCCTCCAACTCCTCAGCCACTAATTCACAACTCGTAGAGAAGTCCTTCTGGCTGCGAATGACATGCAGAGGGAATGGGAGCAACAACCGTTGTAAACGCCCTGGTTCTCGAACGGGGCTCACGAACTTCTTGCCCGTACCGATACTCACTATGCATCCGACCTGTCGGTCAAGGGGAAAAACTTCCCTGGTCTCTCGAAGCACGAGTTTGGCTGGGTTGTTGGCGCCCAAAGCTCCGTCTACAAACCCGTCTTCTCCATCGACGAGCTTGACAAGCTTTCGTTTGAAGAAGATTGGTGCCGCGGACGTTGCGCGCGCTGCGTCGCAGATTGCCACGTTGAGGGAATCGCCCGAGTATGAGCGGAAGAGATGCGTCTGGCCGGCAATATCTGAGGTGCGTTTTGCGCAGACGAATCTATCTCAGTCATCATTTAGTATCATGCATGGTGACCCGGAGTCTCTCTCTTTCACGTGGGGACAAGAAAGCCGGGCCAAAGAATGAAAAATAAATATAAAGGTAAAGATAAAACTAAAGGAAGAGAGAAGACGAACACACTTTACACCTCACATCCCCCTTCAAACCCGTCGGCCCTTCCTCACCCCCATACTTCCGTACAATACCCTCAACAGCCCTCTCGAGCCTTGAAGCCTTGAACTTCCCATCTTTCCAGAACGCCTTCCTCGGCCCGAAAATCACCCTCGAGAGAACGCGATACTCATCTATGGCCTGCTGGACGGACAGCTCTAACCGGCCGAGTAGAATGGCAATGAGACCGCCTGTACTCGTACCGCCGATGAGGTCGAAGATATCGCATGGCTTGGGCACCGTGGGGATGTCATGCCGGTGCTGGATTTGGCGCATGAGACGGTCGAGGATTATGAGTTCGCTGATTCCGCGGACACCGCCGCCGTCTGGTGGGCGTTAGTTGAGTTTTGGCGTTATTGGGTTAAGGTGGGTACGGACCGAGGGAGAGTAGTCGGAGAGGCTTGTCTGATATGTTGGACATTTGTATGGAGATGGACTGACATGGTAATGCTCATTATGGCTTTTATTTCCTCCTTATGATGTGGTCACGGATCTACGCAAGGCTGGCGGCTAATTGAACACATCACGCTGATGACAAGGCTGGTGGGTTGAAGTGGCCGGCGCTTATGCGAAAACGAGGCCTTAGTCTTGCCAATGTACAGCAACAAGGGAATAATGAATTAGAATATTGAATTCTACAGGACAGCTGTATGATGGTGTATGTTCAAAACGAATGGCCACGGCCCGGTGAACTAGGTGGGATATTGTTCTACGCTTTGGGACCTTGCAAATATTTCCACCCAGACCATTCAAATCAGATCGGCGGGCGGAAAGCAATTTCTTTAAGGCTCTTTCAGCAACAGTTCTATTAAGGGAATCCATAATGGGATCGAGTTCCTTATGCAGAAGCAGATCGAAAATACCGGTCGTTAACATTGGAATGCTTCCAAACTAGTCAATCCACTAACGAGATAGACCTCGTCATCACAATAGCTGTCCCAACACGAGGAAACAGCAACAGCCCAATCAAAGCCGTTTCTCCAAATCCCAGCTCAAGGCTATCCCAATCTGTATGTCTCACCCCAAATCGGCATGTCATGGAATGCACGATTCATTCCAGGGATACCCCACCCACCAATTACCTCCCCGACAACGGCCAAACGCATGCAAGGAGTCCCGGTTCCTGGCATTGGAATGCCATATAACATAAACAAGTGCACGATCTGGGGATGAAAACAGCCCTCGTTGTAGACAGGGCGGGACCTGATAAATTCCCGCCACGTACAAGAACTGGCATTTACTCCCTTGTAACGTGCACCTTTCTCTCTCTATCCTTGGAGCAAAAGCCAATCCATCTCTTTCCCACTCACTACCTCACTAAGACCAAATCAAGCAAAATGAAATCCACCCTCCCCCTCACCCTCCTCACCCTCGCCACGGTGGCCCTGGCCCTCCCCTCCACCGACCACAGCATGAAACAGCAACATCCCAACGACGCGGTCAAATTCCCCGCTCCCAAGGGCATGACGGTGAAAGAAGGGCAGGAGAAATGCGGCGACCAGGCCCAGTTGTCGTGTTGCAACAAGGCCAGCGTGGGCGGCGACACGACCAACGTGCACAAAGGTGGTGGTCAGGTGTCGGGTGTCTTGGGCTCTGGGTCTGCGTCTGAGGGTGCGAGTTTGTTTTCGGAGTGCTCGAAGTTGGATGCGCAGGGTATGTTGTATTTTTCATGTCTTTCAATTTGGGTTTTGGAGGAGACATTGTTGCCTGCAATGTGACTAACGAATTGGTACAGTGACCGTTCTTCTTCTCCTGGGTGTGCAGGATGTCCTGGATCAGCAGTGCAAGCAGAACGTGGCGTGCTGCCAGAGTAATGGGGCGGATGCTGTAAGTGCTGGCAATATATTTCACTTCTTTATTCTATCACACGACTTGGTGCTAATATCCCTTTCTTCGATATAGTCGGACTCGCTTGTCGGTGCCTCGCTGCCTTGTATCGCCCTTGGATCTATTCTTTAGGGGTATGCTAGGTCTACATGCCTACCGGTGTCTGTGGTTGGGTCCATAATGTTTAATTCTGTTTTAATATTGAAGCCGGGGTGTGGTGTACTATTTCGATTCCTGAGGTTAATCTTTCTACTGTTTGAATATACCCTTTCTGGTCTGGTAGACTTTTGCTCCGAGTTATAGATTTTTCCGTGGCTTTATCACTCCGATAATATGCTGCACGCGATGAAATGGTTTCTATGCTGGGTCTATAAGAGACATTGCATTGTCTAATGAACACCTCTGCGCCGCGAAATCACCCGGGCAGCAACATGCAATAGATCCAGCATCCCTTAAACCAAAACGCCACAAGATATCAAACCAAGACTTTCGAACGCCGAGCGAGCTGCTCAATCCCATCAAGAACCAAATAAGGAAGGAAACAGACCGAAATCTCTCACAACTTCGCAACCCAATCCCCAGTTTTCTCATCCTCAACCCACTCCCACTCCCCATCGCCATCGTTCTCCTGCTGCTGCTGCTGCTGCTGCTCGCCCTCCTCAACATCACCACCCTGACTGTGGCTGTGACTCGGACTGAGCCTACCACTCCCTTCCCCTTTCCCACCCAAACAATCACAGATAAACCCGCCAGCCGCCATAGTCGTAAACCCCAGTCTCGGAATATAATGACAACCATGGAAATAAACAACTCGATGATTCACGCACCGACGCGCAAGCTGCAGCGTCAAGGGCCCTGGGATGTAGGTGTCCAAGTTGCCGATGAAATGCATGACTGGGGTTTGGATCTTTGGGCGGTAGATGGCGTGATAGCAGACATGGCTCATCTTGAAGCCGCTGTAGGAGAGGATGAATTTGACGGGTGGGTGGGTTGTCTATTTATTTTCCTCGGTAAGTGGGTGGATATATAAGTAGGTAAATAGGTAGGTAGGTAGGTACGTAGATATGTGGACAGGTGGGCTGTAGATAGAAAGAAAGAGAAGAGAAGTATACACACCACCATCTTAATCTCCTGACACCCCTCCCTCAACTTCTTCCCCTCCAACAAAGACCCCAGGACAACAGCAACCGACGCGCCGGCCGAACTCCCTATGATACCATCAAACGGTCCGTGCTCTTCCATGTACCGCACCAAGTAGGTAATCGACTCCTGAAGCCGCGGGACCCGGTCGACGCGGTAATCGCCAAGACCCCAGGTCCACATGCCCGGCTCGAAGCCGGCAGGGAGTATCGGGGCGTTGGGGAAGTAGAATTCGACGTCGCGGTGGAAGGTTTGGAGGATCTCGTGGCGGGTGGAGGGCTGCAGGGCGCGGTATTTGTAGAAGAGGCGGGAGGAGGATGAGCCGTGGCCTAGATGAGGTTCGTCAGTGGAGGTTGGGGGGGTCTGGGGAGGGGGAGCTCCAGAGGGCAGGGGAATCTATGGGAATGAGGACTTGCCGTGGATCATGAGGATTTTGATCGGTTTGTCGACAAGCTCAGGAAGAGAGGTCTCAGGGGAGATAGGAGGGATGGGGAGAAGGTCGGAGGGGACATAATCGGCTACGTAGTTCATGTTGAAGAAGATAAGAATACGTAGAGATGGGTAAGTAAATAGACAAGAATAAGAGTAGGAATGGGCGTTGCATGTAGACAAAAAAGAGACAGGGTAGATGGTGGATGCATCTTGTTTATAAGCTGCCTAAACCTGCTAATATTAACGGAATCTTCCTGGTAGTGAATAAGCTCAGCAAATCATGTGGGTATTAGTATGAACAAAGAACAGCCCCTCACTGCATGCTTTTACACATATCAATTATTATTTCCAGCTCTTCGTAGACCGCAATATCCCATGGGCTCACGCCATCCGCATTACACAGATGAACGTTCGCCCCCAGTCGTATCAGCTCCAAGGCCGCCGCCTCGGAATCCTCAAACATCGCCTGGTGGAGAGGGGTCATCCCGTCAAAATCAGGTGCGTTGATGTCCACGCCCAACGCCACCAGCAATCGAATAACCGCCGGGTCCCCCGCCAGCGCAGCATGAAGCGGTGTCTGTCCTAAAGCGTTCTGACTGTCGCGTCGTGCGCCAAGTTCCACCAGTCTTCGGATGGCTTCCGGGAAGCCCCTGATGGCCGCAAAATGAAGGGGCGTGTCACCCAGAGAGTTTGCAGCGTCGACTTTCGACCCGCGCGAGCACAGATACGTCATAATCTTCATGCGAAGGTTCCGACTGCCGATCTCCCCGGACACGACGGCCTCGTGAAGAAGCGTTCGACCGCCATTATCCTGGACGTCCGCACGCGCCCCTAACATAAAAAGCTGCTTTAGCAAGTCGAGGTGGCCACGTGCAGTGGCGAACATGCTCGGGGTCTGGCCTTGGAGATTCCGCACATCCACCACCGCACCATGTTGATAAAGGAATACTATCGTGCGCGCTCGAGTATCGGGCCTGCGTCTGGAGATCCGGGCCGACGCAGCGCGGTGCATCGGGGTCGCGCCAGAGAAATTTCGGACGTGGATACAGGCGCCCAGGCGACAGAGAAAGCGCACGACATCGACATCGCCATTCGCAGCCGCATGGTGAAGCGGAGTATCCCCTCTGACATCCTGTACGTCGAGTGGAAGACCGATTTGGAGACACCGCATGATCAAATACTCGTTCCGGCTTTCGACGGCGGCATGCAGCAGTGTCACGTCGGCATTCAGAAAGGTTTGTTTTGTATCAGCCTTGCTCAGTCCCAGCACCTCCGCCATCTCAGCATAACCGTTTAGTACCGCGACATACAGCGGCGACCAGGACCGTTTGCGACCGACTCGATGTGGATCCGACCCCTCAGCCATCAGCCGTTGCGCCAGCGGAATGTTGCACGTGAAGGCAGCATAGTGTAGCCATGTGAAGCAGACGGTCTTTTTGTGACGACGAGATTCGCGACTCCCTGCGCCGATCAGTTACCAGGGCAGCCGAAAGAAAAAGAGAACAAAGACCTCATGGCAAAACCTACCGATTCGAAAGACTCTTGGCAAGAGCAGTTCTCGGAGATGACGATTCACTCGAGATAATCTGGCGAGATCCGGCAGGTCCAGATGATCCGCTACTTCGAGGATAAGTTCATTGGGAAACGAGAGAAGGTAGCTTAGGGTGAAGGGGCGGAACCGGCCAACTTGGTGCGTGAGAGCATCCCAGCGGGGATGGTGGATACTCTCGTTTAGGCCTATCCGGACGGGGAGCCTTTGCAGCAAGCCCCTATCATAGGATGACATTGCAACAAGACATATTCCGTATCCTGGATAGACAGAGCGAACTAGCGAGCTGACTAGCTGGCGTTGGCGGGTCACCGCATCTGGGGAAGTTGATGGATCGAGACGGTGTTGGTTGACTTTGTTGTCGCTGCGGAGAAATTGTGGACTGCTCCGGCCACTTGCGGTAGGCGGTCAGCTTGATCTTGTCAATTAGTCAGATGGACATGTGACAGCTCTACCTAATTGGGACTAGTCGGGTCACTGATAAGATAACGTACACCGATTTAATCGAGTATGGATTTTCTAGTTTATTCTTCTACACTTGTCGGTAGAAGCCACGACGGTGAACCCACGGCTGGATAACACAGAGGCCCTTCCACCATTTGCTGCCACCAATCTGCATTCCAGAATGCCTCCTCCGGTATATCATCAAGTTGCAGCTCCCCAATGCTATGACTAGATGCCGGGCGTCCGACCTGTCCAGGACTAATATCTGCATACCCATGAGCCGGTTGCCCATCACTGGCCTTTTGTCTCATATGGTCCTTCAACCAGGACAGCATGCTTCCGATGATATTGCGACTGTTCGCCCATAGATCTTGTCCGGTGGAGAGGGTTTCCATTCTATTCAGGATTGCCACTGTGTTTCCGCAGATACTTGCTTCGAGAGCAAATGTTTTCGAGTGGTCCATGTTGGAAAGGAGGAGGGTTTTGGATAGTACTAGCAGAGCGTACCACATGTATGTATGGAAAGGAAGGGGTAGATTAACGATGCGATCGGCGGGGATCCTAGGAAACGATGCAATAAAATCTTCAGTTGAGTGTATCAGGTAGTCGAGTTTGGTCATTTGCTCGATGGTAAATGTGGTGCACTGGTAGTGGAGGATTTGTCCAAGAAGGAGGATTGGTTTTGCTTTCACTTCAAAGTAATACGCCCCTATTACATGTAAGCAAGAGTGGACAATTTAGTAGAGCGACGTACAGTTATCGATGTGCAGCATATCATGCGGTGCAGTATAGCCCTTCTTTAGCTCATTCTGCCGGTGTTCAACTGCATTCCAGTATATTCCGTGCTCTTTCGAGCCAAAGCCGAGATTATCTTTAAGAATTGATGCTGAACCATCGAGATACGTCCTTAGAAGCCTATCAGTCGGATACTCTGGACTTTCAGAGAGGTTTGAGCAGCATTGGTTGATCCAATCCGTGTAATTCATCGACAGCTGTGGGCGGAACAAAGACAGCCTGTATTACATTAGTCAGGTCTGCGAGGTTCAAGTGTTCCACCTACACCGAGGTTAAATGAAACACCCCCAAGAGCGCGCGCTTTGCAGTACTAGACTGTTGGATTGCCGTTTCACTACCCTTCCCCTTCAACCCAGCAGTGATACCTCTCATGCTCAAGCCACTATTTTGATCGAGACTTAAATCAACCACGAGCGTGATAGCAAGCTCCAAGGTCAGATACATCTGGGTGTGGATCGTCTCAAATCTGTATTGGTACCACGCTGTATGTACCAGGAGACCTAGGAGAAGGTCCATACTGCGCTCGTCATTCATAATGATACGAACGCAGATTTGCCGCTTGATCTCGTGGTCGAGGGTCTTCTGCAGCGCGAAATCGTCTTCCGAGCAAGCAGCGATGATAGTCAAGAGAAGAAATGGGTACTGTGCGTGGAGTTGAGATGCATTCGTGGTAGCAGGGATCACGACGAATGGGAATTGGGGCATTTTGAACGAGCGAAATTTCTCCAGAAGAGCGTTGGCCCTGTCGGATGTAATGAGGCCGCTGGCGATCGAACCATTTTGTTTGTCTAGATCTATGGTGCTGGAGACTCCTAGCGTAGCATTTGAAGACGCTCTTGTATGTCCTGCGCCATTCTAGTAGGGGTCAGACATTGGAGGCGGTGCATGAGATCAAACGACCGACCTGGGCAAGTAGTTCGTCAACCCGCTCTTGCAATCTATCAATGCGGCTCTTTCTGGAACTAATTAGCTACCGACTACTTGCAATGGAGATAGCAGCGTACGTTGGTCTGCGACGCGTCGGTCTCTCCGGAAAGGCGCAATCATGGCCTAGCCGGGAGCAACGGTGGCATCGATCATCGTCCTGACTGGGTGAGCATTTTACTTTCAGCTCGACGCATCGACGACATGAGCGTTTTCTCGTTTCCGATGGTCTTTTCCCTGTCATCGCTAGGGTGTTGTCTTCGTGTCACCTTGAGTGACCGGGAAAGGAGAAGCAAACCGGATGCCTCGGTCGGGGCGGAGACGGAGTCGGGAGATAAGTCGGAGTCGGAGTCGGCGTCGTACGGTGTAGATGTAGTGGACGTTCCAGGCGACAGGGGCACCGCGGTGGTAGAAAACGATGAAATCAATGAACGGGAGAGTTGTTCTCATTAAAATTGAGTTATTATATTGAACGATTCATGTAGGAATAAGTGAGATATTCCATGGTATGCCCTACATAACAGGTGCCTCTGGGCGAAATGCTTGGCATCTTGCCTCAGGCATGCAAACGCCTGCAAAGACATGTCTGGTTGGATTTTCATGCTCTGTCCTCACGCCTCCGTATATGTCTTTTACACTATTTCAATGCTCTGCCCTCTCTGTACTCCAGTCGTTGGTTTTCAGGGCGTCCATAGGCTAGCGATTTTGTAGTTCGGGTTCATGTTCTTGACCAAAACGGGAAAATATATCCATGCATCAGTTTTGACACGATTCTCGGCGGCACGTTCGCCTTACTTGCTCCGGAATGATATCCAAATGAAATCCAAGTATGGCTAAAAATTTCCCTCGGATTGCAATGCATAGGAATATTCCAGGTTCCCTTGTTTTCGATATTGCTACACATCAGCGACCCCCTGAGCATCCAGACGCCAAGACAAAGGATAGCTTCGTTGGAGAATGAATAGGAACTGTACTAATTCACCATAATGATGACTGCCCTACAGTTGCAGGACTCCTGGAACCAATCAATTAGGATACTATCCCAGTTGATCCAACCCAAACAGACCAGGCATCCCTGTAGAAGAATCAGGTGCTTCGAGCAATCCGCCAAACCCTCGCTAAAGGCAAGTTCCGAAAACCTTTATATGAAGCGGAAGGTTCCATGAAAATAAGCGGTATTTGCCATGAAATCGGCCATGAAGACCACGTGATATTGAAGATATAAAGGGCCTTTTTATCCCCTAGTTAGCATCAAAAAAAAAAGGGCAAGCTTCAATAATTCATTCATTTTTTCTTCTACTTCGGTAGCCTACCCCTGGCACCCCAAATTCCTACAATCCCTTTACCCGGACCAAACCAGGAACCTAAACCGGATATACCCCAGCAGACAAAAACCCAAAGACACAAACCAGGCCAGAAACAAGTTTCCATCCCCGAATGTTCCCTCAGAATGAGATATATATACCGGGGTAAAGCAAGGGTCATCTCTATCGTCATGTTCTAGACGCCGAGCCACAGGATCCACCACCGTTGAACCTATCCATGGCTCACCTAATGAGGTTCCAGGAACGAGACCAGATTTTGTAGCTGTCAGGTACGGGGTGGGGATGAGTCCGTCAACCGGGCATTGGCAAGGGGTGTGTTTACTGGGATTTGAGTCTGGTCTGGGAATTGGAGAACTTAATATTGGTTGGGAGTTGGTTATGGGAGGCTTTATTTGGTCTACATTTTAGGGTTAAAGAAGCAGGGAACTCTTGATAAATCAATAACAACTAGAAAAACTAGGAAATTGACTAGAGAGATTAAACGATGGAGAGAAAACAAGCCCCGAAAAAAAAAGGCATGCACTATTAGAATCATTCAATGTTAATTACTTGCTAGACCAACGAGCAAACAAAAAACTCCGCCCGTTAAGGATCTGACCGACGCATAAACCAACCCCGTCTATACTTAGCATCGCCTCCAGTCCACCACAGTACTTTGTAACTGTACCATGGAATAGCACCACAAAAGGTCCCATCTACCTTCTGCCAAAGCATGGTCAGTCCCTGTCCATGACTTCATATCCTGGTCGCATCGCCAATAACGCCCGTCCTCCCCGATCAAGCCACCATCGCAGCCACGGATTGACCGTCGATTTTCCACGCGGCCCAGGTCCCCACCGACGTCATGGTCGAGATTCTCTGTCCTCGACCAAGAGGCAAATTGATCGGCAATGATATCAACATCAACATTCAACGGGGTGGGGAGGTGTCGGGACTAGTTGACTGTCGTGTTACTCGTCTATTCTCCGGTTGGCGGGTGGTCGCGATGATCTCATTCGGCGTTGCGATCGATCGAGAATCCGGATTGCTGGTCCACTTCGGTGGGGAATCAGTGTCATTTAGATTAATCTAGTCTGCTCAGGTTGGTTATTGAGACATGGTTGGATGTTTGAATTGCTCTTGCATTCAGAGAGTCATGCCAAATGTGCTCAATATACTGAAAGTATTGATTTTTAGTCATGGCATCTGTGTGCATTATCATGATAACAATAATAAGGTAAACGTCCCCATATCGGTCGGATGCATTGATTTAACCCCCAAAGACTTAACTACAGTACAACTAACCAATAACATCCCCCCAACGCTGCCACAGTCTCCAGATTTAATATAAATTAATCTAAACCCGAACCCTAATAACCCCAGAGCCAGGATTTATTTTATTCTCCTATCGTCGATTACAGTAAATTAACCCCGACCATGCGACGCCTGACGCAATGATGACCACGCTGACAGCCCTACCGTCTCCATCCCAGTCCATTCTCCAGCATCCCAGTTCCTGGATGCGTGGAGTGGCAGGCACCAGAGTATTCGAGGCGAGTCCTACTGTCCTTCAGTGTGGATGGGCTACTGTGCAAGCAAGCATGGCAGACGCTCATCCCTTCCTCTCTCAAACTCCCAGAATCTAGACTCCTCGTCAGCGCAGTGCTTCCAGGACCCTACCGACCAGTCATCGTCTGGAGTAGCCCGTTTCCCCCAAGCACAGGGTGCAGGGAGCTGGGCAGTACGAGGTCGGTTCCCCGGGTCGAGCAATGGTCGGAGCTGAGAGTATGACGTGCCTGTATTACCCGACGTTGCGATCGAGTCTCGATCTCAATTGGCCGTCGACGTCGCGGCCTGCATCTGAAGGAGGGTTGATCATGACGTAGTTTGGCTTGCAGCTTGCTTTGTAGGATGCTTGGGATGGGAGATATAAGGATGGTGAGGGTTGGGGGTGTTCAGGTTGCTTCTTCTTCTGCTTTCTCTTCCTCTTAGTTTGATATATTCAATTGACGATTTATTTACGCTTTTGTGACGCTATTCTATCCTATTCCTTTGACTCTTTTATACGAGCTTGTACTGTACTGTACTATACCCTACCCTACTCCATACGATCTAACGGCTTCGTCCACGACCCGTCAAGATTAACGAACACTACTCCAACCTCTACTACAACTACTACGTCCACCACCAGCAACAACACCGGCATCTCCATATTCACCAACACTTGCATCCCCAATCGCCGTCTTCACAGCCCGAGACTCCCCCGAAATCATCCACACCGACACCCCCAACTCCCCACACAACACAAACACCATCCGCGACAGCAACAGCAACACCACCCCCAGCCTACAATCCTCACCACCTGACTCCATCTACGTCCAAAACAACCATGTCCTCCGGAACCGCCCGCAACCTCGGCTCCGGCTTCAGCCCCTCTCCCAAACGAACCCCTCGCAAGCTCAACGTCCCGGAAACCAACCCCCTCAAGGACCCCGAGCCCCCATCGACCCCGTCCCCGCAGCGCTCCCAGTCCCAGACCGCGTCGCAGCTCGGCCAAGGCGTCGGCGAGCAGGAGCAACGCGATCTCAGCACCGCGTCGCCCGCCCCTGCCGCCGAGGACACGCAGTCGCAGGCCTCTGGCTCCGTCAGCGGCCTCGGCGGGAAGATGTCTAGCATTGCGGGCGGGATCGCGGGCGGATTGAAGAGCGCTGTCTCAGGTGTCAGTCGTCTCGGCCAAGGAGGGTCGTCAAGCCAGGTCGGCGATACGGTCGGCCAGGTCGGGGAGACGGTTGAACAGACGCTGGACCTATCCGCGCTGAAGGGTCTCGAAGTTGGCCAGGAAGGTGGCATCGCTGATTCAGCGGGTAACGTGCTGGGCCGGATCGTGGAAGGCGATCCCCATGACCTCGTTGGGTATGTGGTAAATGAGAACGGGGAGATCCTAGACCAAGATGGAGATTTGATTGGTAGGGCGGAGATCATTCCCGAGGCGGCGCAGAAGGTCGCAGGCGCCGTGGAGGAGGCGGTCGCTGTGACGGAGTTGTCGGCGTTGGCGGGCAAAGAGGTGAATGATGAGGGGTTGGTGAAGGATGATGATGGCACGGTGATTGGGAAGGTGGTGGAGGGCGAGGCTCAGGATCTCGTTGGGTTTACTGCCAATGAGGAGGGCAAGATCTTGGACCAGGATGGTGATTTGGTGGGCAAGGTTGACGTTGTTGCGAAGCAGACTGCGGATGAGGTCGCGAGTGTTGCTCAGGATGCCGGCAGTCTCGCAGAGGGCGCTGCGCCTTCGGAGGGCAAGACTTCTGGTGCGGAGAGTGCTGCTGACTCTGGCACTGCTCGCGCGAAGAGCGGTGTTGATGAGACCGCTGAGGGTGTCCAGGGCTTGTCTGTTGATGAGAACAAGTCTAAGGCTGACGATGCCACGTCCAAGGCTGATGATGCGACCTCGAAGGCTGACACCAGCTCCAAGGTCGACGAGACTGGTTCCAAGGCCGATGAGGCTGGTTCCAAGGTTGATGAGACCGGCTCTAAGATCGGCGACACTGGATCCAAGGCCGACGAAGCCGGATCCAAGGTTGACGAGACCGGGTCCAAGATTGACGAAACTGGATCCAAGATCGATGAGACCGGCTCTAAGATTGGTGACACCGAATCCAAGGCAGACGAAGCCGGTTCCAAGATCGATGAGACAGAATCCAAGATCGACGAAACCGGCTCTAAAGCCGACGAAACCACATCCAAAGCTCCCGACGACGCGACCGACGTATCAGCCGACTTCCAACCCGCCAAGGAAGAGCAAGAAGCCGAAGAGGGCGAAGATGGTGAAGCCAAGGAAGGCGAAGGCGAAGGCAAAGAGAAAGAGCCCGAGCTCCCTCCCCTCTCCATCCTCGAGGGTCTGACGACCAACAAGACCGGCAACATCATCAGCCCATCGACCGGCAAGCCCATCGGCAAGGTAGTCGAAGGCGATGTCAAGAAGCTCGCTCGCGGCGGCAACCAGCTGGACGCAAAGGGCCAGTTCTGGGACAACCGCGGCAACGTGATCGGCAAGGCCGAGACGCTCCCTACGCAGGAATACGAGGAAGAGGCGATGTTTGCTGGCCTGGAGGGTCTGCATGTCGTTGAGGACGGGTTCGTGGAAGACGACAACGGCAAGCGCGTCGGCAAGATTGTCGAGGGCGACGCGAAAAAGGTCCTCGGTCGCGCTGTCGACCAGGACGGTGAGGTCACTGATAGCCATGGCAATGTGATTGCGAAGGCCGAGCACTACGAGGAGCCGGAGCCAGAGCCTGAGGCTGAGCCCGAAGTCATCGATCTGTCGAGCTTGAACGGCCTCTCGCCCAACAAGCTGGGTCTCGTCATCGGACCTAAGGGCATCCCCATCGGTCGTGTGGTCGAAGGTAACCCCAAGGAGCTCGCTGGCAAGGAAATCGACGACGGCGTCATCTACGATGGCCGCAAGCCCGTCGGTCGTGTCGAGCTCATCCCCGAGGAGGAGCGCGAGAAGAAGGCCGAAGGACCATTTGCAGGACTGGAAGGTCTGGTCGTCGATGACCAGGGTTTCGTGATCGATGAGAACGGCAACCAAGTCGGCAAGATCACCGAAGGCGACATCAAGCAGCTGCGCGGCCGCTCCGTCGACGAGGACGGCGACGTGATCGACAAGTTCGGCAGCGTCAAGGGCCACGCCGAGCCCTACTCTCCTCCCGAAGAGGAGCCGCAGCCGGAGGTCGACCTCTCCATCCTCGAAGGAAAGGTAGTCAACAAATTCGGCAACATTGTCGACGGCTCAGGAACGGTCTTCGGCCGTCTCGTCGAAGGAGACAAGCGTCTTGCCGGTCGCAAGGTCGACCGCTACGGCCAGATCTGGGGCGATAATGGCGAAGTGATCGGTCGTGCCGAGCTAATCCCCGGAGCTGAAGAGGAGAAACCAGAAGGATCCTTTTACGGCATTGAGGGCGCGGTCGTCGGCAAAGACGGCGTCGTGGTCGACGGATCGGGCCGTATCATCGGCCGGGTGATCGAAGGCGACGCCAAAAAGCTGGAGGGCCGCAAGGTCGACGAAGATGGCGACATCCTCGACAAGAACGGTAACAGCCTCGGCCGCGCCGAGCGCTGGGAGCCCGAGGAGAAGAAGCGCACCGTGAACCCGATGTCCGGCCGTAAGGTGACACGCGAGGGTGAGGTGCGCGATGCTGACGGCAACCTCATCGGCAAGCTGACATCCGGCAACCTCCCCACGCTGGTGGGTAAGGAGATCGACGACAACGGGTTCGTCGTGGACAATGATGGCAACAAGCTGGGCGAATGTACGCTCATCGAGAACATCCCCGAGCCTGAGCCCGAGGAGCCCGAACCCGAACCCGAGCCGGAAGAGCCCGAGCCCACGAAGGAGGAGCTCGAAGCGCAGAAGGATCGCGAGCTCGCGAAGAAGATGAGCGCTATCGTTGGTCAGACGCTCGACCGTGTGCGCCCCATCTGCAAGATGATCCTGGATTACATCGACAAGGCGGAACGTACGCCGAAGGATGAGCTCGATGAGGAAGAGCTCGTCAAGAACGTGAAGCCCCTAATCGAGGAGGCAGGCAGCATCTTGCAGGAGTGCAACGGGGCGATCCGCGCACTCGACCCGGACGGCCATATCGCTGCCACCGCCAAGGCTCGCGCTGCGTCCCATGAGGCCTCTCCTGAAGAATATGCCTTGGCTGATCAGATCAAGGAGCTGACCGACACGGTGGTGAGCACGATCGAAAAGGGCAAGCGTCTTATCGCGGATATGCCTCATGCCAAGAAGGAGTTGAACCCGCTGTGGGCACTGCTAAGCGAGCCTCTGTTCCAGATCATTGCTGCCGTCGGTCTGCTCTTGACCGGTGTCTTGGGTCTGGTTGGTCGCCTCCTGGAAGGTCTGGGTCTGGGTCCCTTGGTTCACGGCTTGCTCGGTGGACTGGGTCTCGATAAGCTGCTGAGTGGTTTGGGATTGACCTCTTTGACTGATGCACTGGGCATCACCGGTAAGAAGAAGAAATAAGCGGGTGGAGTTTAAGGATTGCTCAAAATGATGGAGGCTGACGTCTTTTGCGCTCTGATTTTGATTCGTTTTAACCGTTGATATCCTTTCTTAACTTTTGGCATCTGCTTAATATGCCTAATTTGTAATTTATTATAGCAATTTCTCATTTTACGTGTTTTGCTTATCTTCGAACATTCAGACAGTGGATATATCTTATTCGGACCCATTCTGTACGAAATTCGACTGGCTACCAGATGATAATTCCCATTGTGTACATTACTACATACCAACCAGATTGAAGACTGATCATTGTGCAGTTATGGACTAGGATGCAATTAAAAAGGCTGAATAACATCAACTAGCATCATTGGTCTAGTGGTAGAATTCGTCGTTGCCATCGACGAGGCCCGTGTTCGATTCACGGATGATGCATTTCTTTTTTGCATTTTGTTTTTCTTTACGGTTCAAAGTAGACCATTCGTGACCACAAGGGATCTTGTTCCCTTTCCATAGATGATGCACTGCATAGGTAGATAGAGCACCACTAAGACGTACGAGCACAACTGCATATACTAGCCATACCTATCTTGTTCATCTCCAGTTCAAATCCCCTTTACCAACAAGAGTCAATCCAGAATCCTACCATCCCCTCGCCAACCTCTCCCTAACCCCCTTAACATGCCACACGCCTCCTCTGCCCACAATCCACAACTCATTCTCCCCAAACGCCAAACTAACCGCCAAATTATCGCCCCCGCCTACCCGGATACTCCCCACCGCGAACCCCGTCTCGGGATCAATCACATCCACGCCGTCACCCGCCCCCGCAAAGATCCAACCATTCCGCGACACGCGCACGCCGTCGTAGAAGTACGCGATCGGGTTATTCAGGAGGCGTTTATTCGACAAAACGGATCTTGACTCGGAAATGTCAAAGGCCCATAGCTCGCGCTTTCCGTACGGGTCCTTGTGGCGCGGATAGTAGGTTGATACGCCCGTGTCTGGGACGTAGAGGGTCTTGCCGTCGGGGGAGATTGCGACGCCGTTTGTGTTGCCGGTGGTTGTCCATACGACCTTTGAGCGGAGGGTGTCGTGTTGGATGAAGTAGATGCTTGGGTTCGTGGGGGGTGTGAAGTTGGTGATGCCTCGGCCCTTGGGGTAGATCGTGTTAGAAACCTCTTATAGGCAAGATAAGAATGAAGGAAGGAAGACAAACCCAACCCGACTTCGAATCCGTCAACCAAAAGTTCCCTTCCCTGTCCATTTCCAAATCATTAAATCCCGCAAACGGCTGAACAAGATAATTATTCACCAGCGTCTGCTTCTCCCACGTCTTCGGAACGATCTTCACCAAGGAACCGGACTCCTCGTCCCCATACCCATCCGTAACGACATACAGCGACTCATTATAGTAGACACAGCCGTGGGTATTATACGTCGGCGGACTTGTCGTGATCTTTCTGAGTTCGTTCGTCTCAGTGTCGAGCAGATACTGCCATGAGTGAACCCCCTCGTCCCCGCCGGGAGGGCCCCATTCAACGAAGAATAGCTGATTCGTTTCCTTGATGTAGCAGGGTGATTCGTGGGATTGATAGGCGAGTTTCTGGACGTGTTCGATAGTGGCGTTGGGGCCGATTAGGTCGAAGAATTCAGGGTCATAGGCAATGAAGTCGGTGGTGTTCAAATGGGCAAGACTGGATTTGTTCTGTTAGTAGTTGGTTGGGTGGAAGTAGGTAGGGCTTCATGGATGGTACGTTTGCGCAAGTCTATCATCCGAGATGGATTCTGTTGCCCATGGTGCTTCGAGGGCAGAGCGGTTGAATGTACCTGGGAGATTAGCAAACGCGGCTGAGGAGATGTAGGCCCATTTGGCGAGGGTGTTGTTGAATATAGAGGGGAGGGGGTGGAGGTAGGAGGATGTCATATTGGCTTTTGGGATTCGTGGCAGAGAAGTGGCTATGGGAAGAGATAATTCGATTGTAAGAGGCTGTATTTATTTATATACTTGAGCTCTAAATCACGGAACTTGACATCGGGGTATGGCGTACGAAGCACTTCGGGGCCCTTCCGAATACCCCGGGTGTATCCGTAGCATGATAGACAACAAGTTGAATGAAAGGGGGGGCCATATGAAGCTAAGGATTACAGCCTGGAGTCAGACCCGACGATCTAGGGCTACCCCGTGGAGCACCCCGTGGGGTGCATAGGGCTAACCTGGCGAGCGTGAACTATACAGGTTCCAGCCCGCATACTACTAAGCTATCTTTGCCATATAGTCATACTTCAAATTCGGGTTGGCAGTCAGGATAGGCAGATCTGCGACTCTTGGAGCAAAGAATGCTGGCATCTGTTCTAGCAAATAGAATGACTACTGGGTGGTGCTATTGTGCAGTCAAGTATAATAGACATATCTCGAGATTGCAATACAGATCGAAACATACACTAAACTGAAGGAAAGGGTTACAGATATATAAGCTACCTGAGCTTCAGCAGAAAAGCCCATCATGAAATACCACTACATGCTACAATTTACTCCCAACCCTTGGATAAACCACCATACCCTTGACTATCTTTCTTCCCTTACACCAGAAAGGTCATAGTCCAAGAACGCCTATCAGATTGTCGAGTTCCTTTGAGTATAGGGCTAATACTCATGCCAACTAATCACTCCTCAGCCCAAGACTCGCGGAGCATTCCGGACTCCACACCACGGATCGTTCCGACGCGGACCTGACCCGTTCCTGACGATGGTTGTGTGACCCCTTAAATGCTTCTTATCTTCCTGAAAGATTATGATGTGATCTTTTAGATATCTATCATATAGAATTGATGTTTATGAACTCGGTTCTGATGGTGAATCATTGGCTATCAGGTTATATGAGAGAAGACAGAGCATCGACTCTGGATGCTACACATCCTTAAAACTGTCATGTAAATGGATGTATACTGAGACCCCTTAGGAAAGACAGACAGAAAACAAAAGAGCTATAGGCATCATCAGATAGCAATAAAGTCCATCAAAGGCAGATATCCTAATATCAAGCCATAGACAATTGATGCCTAAGGTGTCGATTCACCCTACTTGGCCGCGATCGATCGGTACTCGGAACAATGCAATTCTGCCTCTGCAAATCAACCAGCCACCGAATAAACAAAAATGAAATCATGTCAAGTTTATCCTTCCAAGTCTAGAATTAGCCCGACTCACTGCGAAACAACCCCTCAAACCATCACGTCTCCATCCGTATCCCAAACCGTCGACGCAGCCAAGACGCCCCAAAACAGCCTGCAATTAAAAATGTGGAGGCGGCGCCAAGTGGCTTTCTCGACCTGGAAAAAAAAGAAAGGCTAATATAGTAAGACAAGGCACAATGACACAATGTGGTGCATCAATTGCCGTGAAGAATAGGCTGGCATTCAGGCGCAAAACGGTTGATAAAATCCCGGGTGAAGAACAGAATCGATCGGATAATACTGATCCAGGTAGCTGTTTGCCTGGTTTTCCCAGTGCGATTGCTCCTATAGCTCAGGCAGCTTCTGTTTATCCTATTATCCACGAGACTGTTGGAGGTTGGACCCCTGCAGAAGTCCTCGGCAAGTGACAACTATCAAACTACCGTTCAGCCGACGGTGGCTCGTCCGTGAAGCGGGGATGTTTGAAGAGACATTTAAATTAAAAGGGCAGGTAAGGTTGTCGATCATCACTCCTGCGCACTTGGAGAGCGCTTCTTGGCTCAAACGACGCTGGTTTGGAATGGTTCAAGTCCGCGCCCGATGGGGAAAGGGGACAGATTAGCCTAAAGATGGCGACTTGCTTTAGCTCTTCTGTTCAGAGGTGTTGAAATTGTATCATTTAAAAGGTAGTCGGATGCTGGAAGTCCAGGAGGTCAATCAATCCTGCAGTGCAGTCCAATTCAACTTATTTCCAGCTTTTTTTTTTTTTTTGAAACCTTCCTCGAACTTGATCAACATGGTGTATCTTAAGAACCTCGCCGGTACCATCACCCTCCTGGCGTCGGTTGCCTCGGCCAGAGTCATCGCTCGCCAGGCGTCGGCCAGCATCGACGAAGCCTTCACGTCGCATGGCAAGAAGTACTTCGGCACGGCTTCCGATCAGGGCTTGTTGCAGAACAGCCAGAATGAGGCAATCATCGCGGCGAACTTTGGGCAATTGACTCCGGAGAATAGTATGAAGTGGGATGCGACTGAGCGTGAGTTACTTTTGTACCTTTTCATGATAGGGAGGTTATGGGCTAATTTTGTAGCATCGCAGGGAAGCTTCACTTTGGATGGAGCGGATGCGCTGGTTTGTGGATTGCATTCTTCCTTATAAATGGGCGAAGAAAGACACTAACAATATTAATGTTAGGTCGACTATGCCCAGAGCAACAATAAGCTCGTGCGCGGTCACACCCTCGGTATGCTCTTCACGGATACTTCATGGCAAGATCCCCTCTGACGGCCACAGTCTGGCACTCGCAGCTCCCCTCGTGGGTTTCGAGCATCTCCGACAAGGATACCCTGACCAAAGTCATCAAGGACCACATCAATACCGTCATGGGCCAATACAAGGGAAAGGTGTATGCCTGGGTATGTCAACCAGCCGCAAGATAGACACCCAAGCCTAACAGATCCAGGATGTGGTCAACGAGATCCTAGATGAGGACGGCACCCTCCGCGACAGCGTCTTTTCCAACGTCCTGGGTGAGGACTTTGTTCGTATTGCCTTTGAGACTGCTCGTGAGGCGGACCCGGATGCCAAGTTGTACATCAACGATTACAAGTAAGACATTCCAGGCAGGCTTCAGCAAATCACGGACTAACTGGAATAGCTTGGACTCGGCCGATTATGCCAAGACCCAGGGCATGGTGAGCCTCGTGAAGAAGTGGTTGGATGCAGGCATTCCCATTGATGGGATTGGTGAGTCGATTGAAGCAAGTCTTGTTGGCTGAGTGGAGTACTGACTGCATGCAGGATCGCAAACCCATATCAGGTAGGCTAAAGCCAGAGCTATCCATTAAAAAACTAGATACTAATTCCATCAAGCGAGGGCGCATTCCCTTCTTCCGGTGTCTCAGGATAAGTTTCCCGTCTCGAGAAGCGGAATTTAAATTAACTTCAAGCACAGCTCTGAGCGCACTCGCGGGCACCGGTGTTTCCGAGATTGCCGTGACGGAACTCGATATTGCTGGCGCCGGCTCGGAGGATTATCTGAATGTGAGTTGTTCTGACGTGACACGAGGCCATAGCTAACAAGATAGGTCGTGAATGCCTGCTTGGACCTGGAGGCCTGCGTTGGTGTCACTGTCTGGGGTGTTTCGGACAAGGTAAGCACCGGAGAAGATTCGTGTCGAGGACTCAGCTGATTGGAATTAGGACTCGTGGCGCTCTGACAGCTCCCCCTTGTTGTTCGACAGCAACTATCAGCCTAAGGATGCGTACAACGCTATCATTGATGCTCTGTAAATTGAATAAGGACGGAGGAAATATCTATGGGACTGGGGAGGCTTGCATGTCAGGATCTACAGCTAAACATACATTACTGGATGCGAGGCCCTCGAATTGAATCAATCCATTTACCAGAGATATAAACCTACTATCACTAATCAACGTGAGGCAGAAACGCACGCCCTTTCTCTCATTATATTCCACTACTCCTGCTACCCTTTAGGCTCACTTACATACGTATACGATGTGTGACCTCGGTTCTTTCAGGCGAATTGTAAAGTGTGACCAATACGAATGCATACTGCGTCAGCAGAATGTTATCGGGCAACCTAATTCCAGAGAGGAATGTTTTCACACAGGCTCCAATATATGTGGCCGCTTATTATACGGGAAGCTGATTTAACATAGTCTAGATCCTCCCGAGAATATGAGGTCACTTACCTAGCAGTCCCACCATGATGGTGTCCTCTACAGTTCTTTGCCTCGTGGCAGGGGCAGCATCGCACATCGCCTACTTCAACAAAGGCGAGCACCACTTATATGGCATGGACTACCTACAAACGTTCATCGCTGCAATCGCATCCGGGGTCGCTTTCCTGCAGTATCAGCACAACCAGCCATGGAGCACATCCCTTTCTATCACACTCCAACACGCAGCGTGTTTCCTCCTGGGGCTTTATTCCAGCCTTATCATCTATCGTCTCTTCTTTCACCCTCTGCGACATTTTCCCGGTCCCATCGCCGCACGCCTCTCACCCATCTGGTTCACAACAAAGGTTCTAAAACGTGATGCTCATCGCAAGATCCTTGCCCTCCACAAAGTATACGGCCCCATAGTGCGCATCGGTCCATCCGTTCTCTCTATCGTCCATCTAAGTGGCATCGCCACCATCTACGGCCCCAACACCCGCTGCACCAAGGCCGCTTTTTACGACCTAGACCATCCCTCAAAGTCTCTCCAGTCAATGCGTGATCCGGCAGAACATCGTAGACGGCGACGTGCTTGGAGCCCTGCATTCGGCGACAGTCAACTGCGTGGATACGAGGTTCGAATGCGTCCGTATCGACAACGACTGTTGGACCGGTTAGCCGGGATGGCCGAGGAGCCGCTTGAGCTCCGCAAATGGTTCAACCTCTACACGTTCGACGTGATGGGTGACATGGCATTCGGGGAGGGATTTGGGGGGATCGAGCGAGGAGAGCTTATTGGTTCTATCAAGATGATGGGCGCCATGCTCGACTTCGTCGGGTTATTCCTGCCGGTGTGGGTGCTGTGCTTTTTTGCCCGTATCCCCGGGGCATCGAAGGGCTGGCATCAATATCTAGAGTGGGCTACGGAGAGATTGAACCAGCGGATCAAGGTATTCCCTGTTTTTTTCTCATCGGAAATTCAAGGAATGTGTACGTTGAATTGAGTCCCCCTGACCAACCGTTATGTGAAGAACCCGCCTGCCATTCCCGACGTCAGCGCCGCGCTCATCTCCCACCTCGACGGCCGCGAACCCACCAAGGAAGACCAACAGCTACTGGGAGGCGATTCACGATTAATCATAACAGCGGGCAGCGATACCAGCGCCACTGCGCTGGCGGCGATCGTTTACGAGCTGCTCAGGAACCCTGCGGAGATTTCCAAATTGCGCAACGAGCTTGCACCGCACGTCGAAGCGGATGGAGACTTCTTGCACATCAAGATACAGCATCTTGATCATCTAAACGGGGTAATTAATGAAGCGCTGCGCCTGTATCCTGCCGTGCCGTGCCACATGCAGCGGAAGACACCGCCGGAGGGGGTTCTCGTCGAGGGAGTATGGATTCCCGGAGACATGACGGTGATGTGTCCGCAGTATGTGTTGGGAAGATGTATGTTCCTCCTGCCTTTCTTTTCTATGCTATTCTTTTCTTGAGGGTTTGGGAAATGCTAACGAGGTCCACAGCGGAACAATGCTACGTCAGCCCTAACTCCTTCATCCCCGAACGATGGTATAGTTCTCCTGGGCTGGTTCGTGATAGATCGGCATTTGCTCCATTTTCGACCGGTAAGGCATATTTCACCTCTTCGTTATATACCCTTTGTTTGATATAACTAAGAAGGACCTACCATAACAGGACAATGGGCCTGCATCGGCAAACCGCTGGCGTTGATGAATATTCGGACGACCATCGCCCGGTTCGTCATGGAGTTTGATTTCGAGTTTGCGCCGGGCGAAGATCCACGGCAGTTTGAAGATGATGCACAGGACAATTTTGCTTTATTTCCGGGGAAATTGATGGTTGTGCTTAGGAGAAGAGAGAAGGAGGCCGGGGATGTGAATGTTGCTGCCTGAGGCCGGTAGGATGGAGGAATCCTGGCATTTCGGGGTTAAGCAGGCCAGTTCTATATGTAACTGAGTAGCTGATGGTTTATTCAAGTCGATTTATGTGACGTATAACATGACTAGGTATCGTTTGCGCTAACTATGAGTAAGTTAGGTTAATAGTTCAATCTGTCTGCCACCATAGGCATTATGTCCTGTACCTGGTTATCGGCACCATCTAAGCTTTGGGGTCTGGACAAGCAGGAGATCACCACTAAAAGGAACTTTACTTCAGACAGCATCTAGACTTCGCACCAAGTGAGACATCACCGCAACTCCGCCACACACGAGGTCCGTCGTACAACGCAACAGCGCCAGTTAACCGACAGCTTCCGCTGCCAATGAGAATTCCCCGCATCAGGACGAGATGGTCACTTGACAATTCCTTTTTCCAGCGAACTTTCTGTCTCCTCATCCCTACTTCTTCACCTCCATCTTCATCTACTGTTCATCCCTCTCTTTTTCATCCCAGTCGCAATATGCCATCAACCCTGCCCACCTCCATCTATCTAATTATCTATCTTTCAACCGACTATTAGGTGACGTGACACAAAGCCAGTCAACAAAGCACAGCACATCTCAATCTTTTCTCATCACCCGGTGATTGAAGCCATCGTCTCCATCTCACCCCACCGCATCAACCACTCAATCTCAATACCCCGCCAATAACTCCACAATCATCATCCCAACTCGACAAACCCAAGACTAGCTAAATGGGCATCCCTACCGCCGCCATCATCGTCATCGTCGTGGTCGCCTGTCTCGCCGTCGTCTCGCTCGGCGCCGCCCTCACGAAACAATGGTTTCCTTATCGGACGGAGGAGCAATTCAACCCTCCGCGCGAACAGGAACTTTACATGCGGTCGGTGAGATTGAAAAATATGGGCAGGCTTCATCGGGAATCGAAGGCTGTAGGGACGGGAGGGTATCATTATAATGGGAATGGGAATAGAGACGTGGAGGCAGGGTGTACGCTTACCCTCGTTCCAATTTCTCTTCTTTTAAATGGAAGGATGCTGGGTGATACTGATGCTGATGGACGTATAGATTACGAGACGGGGAGTGGGTCGAGGTACTGATTTATTTGCATTGAGTTTATCGGAGTCACGGGCGCATTATTTACCTACATGGTGAGTGGACTGATTGATTTCTGGGATTGAGTTGATTAACTGATCTAAATCCGTCTAGCAGGAATGATCTATGCAATGAATTCTTAATGATTGTTGATGAATGAGATTTTTGATTTTCGAAATAGCTCTCCGTTTCTTGTGCTCCATCTCAGCAAAGACAGACGATATCTGATACAAATAGCTTTGAGACAAGAAACGTGCTATTGCTATGGCCTGTCCCACCGCAGACCCTCACCATCCATCTCACTCAGGCAAACCAGACCAAAGAACACACCTCGGTTCGAATCTACCAGCAATTGCATCCTCGCTCTTCAATCTCCATTGGCATCTTCAGAGATCCCTAACCATCCAAACCCCTGAGCAACGGCCCCTAAATCCACGGCGTAGCTGTCGGCAACCCAACAACACTTGTTCCAATCACAACTGACACATCCGTCTCCACGACCCGACGGACCTTCCACGCCAGGCCATTGCCCTCTCCAAGGTTCTCATGTTCTTGTCCTCCATGTGCTGGACCATCGCCTTCACCCTCTCCGGGGTTCTGTCCCCCTTGTCCGGGACCATCACCTTCACTGCCTCCACCTTGTCCTGGACCTTGGGGGTCATTTCCGGGGCCTGGTGCAGGAACATCGGACCCTTCGTTTGGGATAGGAGAGGCACCGGCACCAAGCACGAGAAGAGCGAGGAAGATGGAGACGTAGGTTGGGATTCTCATTTTGAAGGGTGATTTGCTTTGGTCTGGTTGGGTATGCTTTGATTTAGTGGATTGGTTGTTTGACTTGCAGGAAGAGAACCCCAAGGATGACATGAGAATAGAAGCAGCTTTTATGATTGAAGTTGAGAAGGGTATCTGGCCCAGCTTTATATGTCTTCTATTCTCTGTCTACCTCCCATGAGTAATGATTGCGACGCAATGGTCACGAATAGGCGGGGCCAGAGTAGGATCCGACAGAAAGCCCTCATGTCCCAGCATTGAAACCGGTGGCTGTTTGAGCGCAGTGTGAAAGACAATCCTCAAGCGCACAATGTACATAGATTTCCACTTTCAAAATCGCGATCGGCTTCAAACCCCCTGCAAAAGAAATTGCCGGGAACCCCCATTCTCTTGGCGCTGGCTCTGTAGACGTCGACAGTTGATAAGAGAAGTTCGACCACGTCCAAGAATGTTTGATTAATTAGAAATCAGAGCACAGAAACGCAGATAAGAGTGAAACACGGGTATATCCTGCACTCGATTACAAAGTGCGCAGCATCAATAGCCCGATCCTTGCAAAGCAGGAAAGTATCCAATGGAAAAGTAGAAACGATATCAAGTAGAGAGGATCGGTCAGCAATACGAAGCTCAATTAAAGTTAAAACCACCCCCAGTAGACCATGAAACCCCGTGTTTAGTCCGATGCGGTCCGGGGGTAAGGAGGAGGATCTGATCTGGATCCACCAGGATCGACGCCGGTCAGCTTACGTTGTTTGATGTCATATCATTGAGGCGTGGGGGATTGGAGATAATAATGGAACGGAGGATACTCTGCATGATTGCTGTTACTGATGTATCTTTTCTTTTTTCCCCTCTCTTTTTGGGCCGATTAAATTCTTCCTAATTTGGGCTGCTTGACTCGTATCCTCAAACTGATACGGAGCACGAAGGTACGTGCTTCGAGGGAGGTACATGTTTTCCCAAATAAATTGGCCCACAAGAAATCATTGATACTCTATCTTGAAAGAAATCCCCCAGTCAGTTATTTGGGTAAGATTAGATTAGGTATCCACGCCGGGGCCGGGCCGTACTTCCGTATACATCTAAAAATAAACTCCTTCAGAAAAGCGTGCATTTGATCAATTTTGGTACCGACTAGGATAAGTCCTAACAGTAACAGTTTATCATATTCTCATAACATTTAACATCATTGACCCGCAGAGCTAAACAACAAATACCCGGACCTAAACTCCATCCATACCCAGCTTGCATAAATCATGATCATACCCAAATCCCTTCCCTTCCCTTCCTAATACGCATAGAAGTTAATCGCCTCCGAATCCATCGCCCGGATACGCCGATTCTCCCTGATCAAGATAAACTTCATAATCCACGCGCAGACCACCACGCCCGCCGAGAAACCAATACTGCAGTACATGGCCAGCGAGAACCTCGGCGCGTCCGAATCCGGCCACAGATACGGCGTGTACACACTCGCCAGGTTCCCGAGCGTATTCGTCAACGCGATAGCCACCGCTTTTTTCTCGTCCGTTTGCCCCACCGTCGCGGCTACCCAGGCAATGTTGATGTTATTGACGCCGTACGTGGCGCCCACGAAGAGAACCATGGCGAAGTAGCGCGCGCCCACGTTCAGTGTTCCGCAGGCGACTGCGAACCCGACAATCGCGAGTGCCTTCGAGACCGTGACGTGCCAGGTGCGTTCGTTGAAGCGGCCCGAGGACCACGACACCGCGATCGAGGTGAAGGTGGCAATGAGGTAGGGCGGACAGGTCAGAACCAACGTGACGGTGGAGTTGAACCCGAGCGTCTTGACGACCGTGGGCATGAAGTTCTTGAACCCGTTGGCTGACAGGTGTAGGTTGCACATTAGCGCGAAGATCCATGTTCGGTAGTCCGTGCATGCTTGCCGGAGTCCGACCCAGGTGCTGGTGCCTTCTTGCTTTTGCGTGGTGTCGCGGGCGATGCGGTCGTGGGCGAGTTGGCGCTCGTCGGGGGTTAGCCAGCGGGTTTGAAGGGGCGAGTTGGGGAGGAGGAAGAAGGCGGCCAGCGCGACGACGAGCGTGATCACGCCTTGGATGAGGAAGAGCCAGCGCCAGCCGGCGAGGCCGTGCGAGCCGTCGAGTCCGGCGAAGACCCCTGCGGCGATGAGCCCAGAAAAGGCGCTCGCGAGCATGTTGCCGGTGTAGAGGATGGCCATGCGCGTGGTGGCTTCTTTGCGGTTGTAGAATTGGCTGATCATGAAGAGGGCGCCGGGGTAGAAGGGGGATTCGACGATGCCGAGGATGAGTCGGCAGACGAGGAGGCCGTGGTAGTCTTTCACGATGCAGTTTAGGATGGAGACGATGGCCCAGGCGGTCATGAAGCCGCCCATGTAGAGGGATGGTTTGACTCGGTTGAGCAGCATGTTCGAGGGGACTTGGCCGAGGAGATATCTGCAGAGGAGAGAATTAGCCTCATGAGTTGGCCATGGCGTAAGGTCATCATCCTACCCAACAAAGAGAATGCTAACGCAGGTATTGTATTGCGTGCCTTCCAGCTTGAGATCCTCCGACAAACTGTTGAGCTTTCCATTGACCATCGCATTTCGGTCCAGGAAGTTGAGGAAATACATCAGCCAGAGAATCGGCTGACACCATATTAGCTTCACATAACATGACTTTATTCGGGAAAGCATACCATCATGTAGATATCTATCTTCCTCACTAGCGCAATCTCCTTTGGATCCGTCTTCTTCGCCGACCCAAACCGATCATATTGCCTCGTGGACTTCAACGGTTCATCGCTCTGCTCGACATGCTCAATATGCTCCTCCCCTCGTTTCGCCAAATCATTCGACTTTGTGTCCATATCGACGACGTTGCTCTATTGCCTCAAGGAAAGCCAACTTTCAAGCTCGAACAAGTCAAGATACGGTGTCAATCGAACGAAAAGACCACGTCCCCTCCGCATCCCATCCTGCATAATATAACCCATCCGGGAAGCCAAGCCTCGCACGAATCATCGGAAAAGCTGCTCCCCATCCCCTCCCACGACATGTCAAACGAAAGCATGGGCCTTCCCCACGGGGAAGCAGGCTGACCGATGCGGGGTGACCAGAAGCTTTTTGTAGCTCGCCCGAGCCAAGACCGTTCGGTCGTCTTGGCCCTTCTCTATCCGCGGGGCATGATTCGAGGATGAGGCCGTATATCAGAACTAGTTGTGCGCCTCTTCTTTATCCGAGCCTATGGGTGGCGGGGACTCGCCACCAAAGGTTGTGTTTGATCGTCGAAGGAATCGTTAGTGTCGGATAAACATGGGGAGCTTGTTATCCGGGGTGCGTTGGCGGCGTAAACTCGGGTGTAAGACTTGGAGGGACAGATTGGGTCGGATAACTGTGAATCCTCGCATTGTTACTTGTTATCCGGAGTTTGGAGGTTCGCTTTTCTAACTCGTATGTTGGGATTGCATCGGAGGTAAAGTTTTTGCTTATCGATCATAGTGATTACACATCCAGACAATGCGTCGCTGTCTAGGACAGGGGCTGTTCAAACGTGTCTGGATAAGTCGAAAGACATTTGGGATGCTTTTCCATGTTAGAGCGTCTGGCATGTATGATTGTGTCCTATGCTTGGCCAATTTCCATGGCACCTTACCCTGTCCCTAACAGCACATGATAAGTATCTCTACTAAAAGAATGGTCCAGTTACCTGATATGTCTCCTATCACGAGTATCTAACCATGTGCCCCCAAAAGTAACAAGCTCATTTGAATCCCAGGTCCGCATAGCACTCGATTGACAAGATGACATCGTAAGATTTGCCACTGGGTGGGTTCAAGAAAGGTTTAATAACGTACAGGCTGCTCGCTATATTCCCAGTATATATGGGGTTATGTAAGAAATATCCAGCTGGCATTTAATCGCTACCTGCTTTCGTTTCAAACGCAGCCCTCAAGAAGTACAGGCATGAATCCCCTATCCCGAATCAGGTATTCACCTAAGCCCTAACAGTTACCTTAGTCCTCCAGCCATTATTAAATTCACCATTACCATTCACACAAGGTATCCTCTAGTTTATCATAAGATATCATTCATCACCAATATTAGACAGAAAGCTTGTCACTCTACTAACCCTTTTCACAAATATCTCCCGTCTACCCGCCTTGACTCCTCACCACCCATCTCTCTTACATCTATTTCTCTTATCTTGACAATATATCTATCATGGCCCCGATTCTTACTACTACGATATCTAGTGACATTATTCCTTACACTTATAATAACAAATTGCCTCATAACTATGGGATTACACCCCTTTGTGTCACTATTGAAAAGCGAGACCAAAAGATAGAGCCAATCTCTGTGCTTTTCGCCTTCTCGGCTCTGGTGCTGCGTCGCCTTGCCTTCATTAAATCCAAATGTAAGTATCTCCCCTACTCTGTGCCTCGTGAGCCAATTTAATCAACTTTTGTTCCAGCGAATTGTGCCTCAAAGGGCTTTCAAGCCAACCTATCTTTGGATAACACCAATCGAAGAATGGCTTCTTTCTTCTACGCTCAACGCGTATCCCTCTTCGATGCAGAAGCCTTCAGACACCCCATTCAAATCCTGTACGAGAATTTCAGGAGCCTCTTATTCCTGTCCACCTTTGTCCACGACCTTTGGGGTAGTGCACGTCTAGCTTCTGAACCCTTAGACGTATCGAAGATATAACGTCAATTACAACTTTTTCTGAGAAGACATCAACTTTTCTTACAACCCTAAACGAGCGTATACGGATAAGTGGAATTCGATTGTCAATCAGCAAGCCGAAGCCACAGGTCTACTAACGACCTTGAACAATACGACAAATTTGGGGCAGGGCTCGTTGAAATTCTACCTCGGGTCTTTATATACCTGGGCCATGATCAATACAATGAGTGAATTCATTGCTAATGCTGTTGCTACAGCAGTCCAACCGCTTTGTGGATGAAAATGGACCCATCCTAGGCTAATTAAAGTCTTACAGGCCTTTTACAGACAATAATTGAGGAGGGAACTACGCAAGCATTGCCTGTCTGCCCTTTTAATCATTGTTTAGACATATCTTTGTCATTTGCACGTCAGTGGGCTCAATTCTCTCCTCGGGAGACTCCTAGAGGCCAAGCAGCCATCGAAATATGGCTCAAATCAAGTTCTCACATGACCATATCTCTTATCCTCCCTCATGCTCTGTTGGCTTACTAGGGCTCATCCCACTTCACGTTCATATCGGCTGTCTTCGTCACATTGACGTTTTTCGACTCGATATGCCTGCCAAGCGCAGAAGACTAGGGGACTCGTCCCCCTATGATCCCCTCCCAGTGGATAATTGCCTCTTAGCAATGGGACACTACCGCCGAGCACGGGAGCCACATACCTATACCCTATCCTGGGGCGGCCGCTCCTCAGTTTCAAACATCCGCATTCCAGAAAGAGCTGTTGCGCACAGAAAACTTGATTCGCACATAACGAACGATCATAACCAGCCAAACTCTACCTGCAGAAATGTCAAAAGCTAACTGGGAAACAAAGGGTTCAACAGACCCTCAGCGGAATGACCTGGAACATTTCCAGACACACGAAGTTTGTTCTAAGATGTTTCTCAAGAACAAGCCACAGCAGTGAGTGATGTCGTTCAAACCCAGTTCAACCATCGTCGGAGTATTGGTTGCAAATTGCACATGCAAAAGTATTGAACCTACAAAAGCAAGACGGTCACCAATCTAGACAATTCTGCGCGAGAGGCAATATCTTGAACCTGAAACAACACCGCAGCCATATTCATTACGTGTCCGAGTCCAATGAAAGTCTTTATGCTAGTTTGCATCAAAATACCTCCTGCAGCTAATGCCTCGCGGTAACGATGGGCTCATCTCCCGATAATGCAAGAAGCCGGAATTGATAATGAACCTGTGGGAAGCCAAGATAATGGGTCTGCGCTTTTGCGCAATGGGAGAATACAGGTACCGTGTCTTGGGGACCGCAAGCGGTTCCTCCTACTACCAGGCTATATCATACGCATTGTCTTATTATAAAAAGGGCGAACCAACTCTAAGTATACCGTATTTGTCTGTTTTCTCCAGAGAAGAATAAACAAATCGAACGATCGACATTCTGGAGCATGCTGCTGACCTTTTGAGATTGTGAGCGAATGGAAATATGGAAAATAGTAGCACGCGAGTCAGGTGGTATACACACCCAGAGGAACCTAACATTCCTTTTAACCCTTGTGCAAGACACGTGGGATCGTGCTCGTCTGGCTCTTGAACCTACCAAATATTGTCGAAGATATAACGTCAATAAGAGCTAGGTATTTGTGGTTACCAACGCGGGACGTATCTTCCAAAAGTGCCCCTTTGCGATCCCCCGCCGATCCCGGCTGACGCTGAAGTTCCCTCGCGTGCTCCAGCGTGGTGTTGTCGCTGCGTGAAGGCCCTCAGGAACATTATGCGCCTCGATGCGAGCGCAAGCATGGCTACATTACTTGCACTCGGGGCAATAAGAACAAGTCGGCGTGCAAGTTCCCAGAGTCAATTGAAGCAAAAGTCCTACCCTAGTATGACGAATAGTATCACTCGAGGATTTGCCAACGAATACCACAAAAGTGCTTCACCCCGAAATGGCCCCTGACATCACCTGAGAATGTCCAACGGGACGACGGATGGAAGTCGCTGTTCATCAACAACGAATACTCCAGATCATGGCCAAATAGACGTCCCATGCGGAGAATAACCAGAAACGTGATCAAAAGCTGTACCAGCAAGAAAAGGGCATCGCAGGGACGTTTCGGGGCACCAGACTAGATGAAGTGGTAGATAATCGCAAACACACCTTTCTCAGCGGAGGTCAAGTGCCTTTGTGAGGTACCTCCACTTCTTTCCCATGTCATACATTTTGATACCTTGGACTAGAACTGTTGAGGTTCCTTGTTTTAATATTGCTCCACAACGCCGTATTTGATGGACAAAAGCCAGACGAATTCTGGTGGCGTGCCGGTCACTAGGCACCCAGTTCTGGAGCCCTTTCCCAACTTCAAATTCGGAACCTTCAGGGGCTTCGTTCATTCGATGTCTCTGTAAATGACAATGACAGTCTTTTCGATTACTTCGTTCGCCATGTTGAGCATCTTGTGGGCCATCAGGAGACCAATTTTGGCCAGGAAGGTGGTCTCCTCGGGGAGAACTACTTCGCCGTTGCCCCGCCTTTCTCAGTGATAGACAAGCATTGCTTCGCGATGAGCAACCTCATCGACTATCCGGAAAACCCACAAAAGAATTCCAAACAATCGAAATGGCAGATACACTGCTCGCTGAAAGAAACAGCCCAAGACATCCTTCGCTTGAACCGTCAAGGTATTCCGTCAGCAGATAAATCAATTACGGGGAGTCGCTGAGCAGTAATTAGTGGGTATTTTAGTCCCTCTGCACTTCTTTGGGCCTTCAAGCTAATCGCAACGGATCCCTTATTACGTTCCCGAAAATTCCCGTCCTGTCACCGTCCTGTCGCATGCAACTGAATTTCAAAACCAAGAAGGCTTAAGCATGCCAACTATTCTCTCATCGGGCCGGTTCAATGGTGTATGCCTCAGGCAAATACCCGGACGTGGGGTAGATCTTGAACTTTAATCTCTATTGCGGGAAAAGAATATTTTAGGCTTTTAACCTTCTATTCCTTTTCTGGGGAAGTGAAAGTAATTCAGCATATTTATTTGGGATAACTGTATTGATCATAATCTAAACGTGTTGTATCTTATCTCATCTATGGGTATGTAGTATGTATGTATGTATCTCGTCGGGTCGAGTCGAGTAGTCGACCACGTCATCGAGGATCTTGAGAACTGCCAAGTGCAGTTCCCAATGGTCATAAGTATGTACAATCGCAACCGAACCAAATCGCCGTATCTACCCGGTCGTGGAGAGTTGTAGAAGAAGTCCAGTCCAGCCGGAGCCTTGCAGCCCGGCACTCAACCGGCCCGGTCAGGGCGCGTGGTGGGGGCGTGACAACTAGCCCGATCGGGTAGCCATGTAGGGCAACCAAGCATCCAACCCTAGGTACCAGAGCCAGGAAGGGAGCCATTAATCGGCCTGGACGGGGGAGAGGGAGTGGAGCCCGCTATTTCCTTGGGCATGCGGGATCCACTGATGTACCGATTCCGCCACTTTCCTCGCTCATTCCTCCCCGCACCGGCGCAGTTGATCGTGAAGGATGGCTCGGCCTTCTGTGTTCACGAATCCGCCTAGTCCGAATGCCGGGATGATTCGACACATGCGCGTGAGAGATGCGCCGATCCAATCCCGGCTTACTCGGGAGAAACGGTCTGCTGCGGGGAGCGCCGTGGGGCGGTTGTATAGGTCTAGACCGAGCAGGTGAATGGGGGTGCTGACGAGTTGGATTGAAGCCGGAATGGCAAGTTGTGCGATGAGGATTTTAAGGTATTCGGCTGAGGCGATGGAGTCCGGGATAGAAGCCGAGACCATGGCGGGAAGGCTGAAGGAGCCGAAGATTGTGAGGCCATCGCGGAGGAGAAAGGCGGAGTAGGTGGCCATGGGGATAGAGCGGCTGACGGAGCGGAGGATCTTGCTCTGCGAAGGAGGGGCTGAGGTAGAAGGAGCAGCGGATGGCGTAGGATTAGGAGGGGTGGTGTGTTTGTGGCCGAACAACTGAGCGAACTTGATGTCTTTCCAAATGCCGACGGAGGAATTAACAACAAAGGTGGAAAGGAACGTTGTAGCTCCGGCAATGGCTTGGTCGACATGAGGGTATACTCGCTCCAGAATGGTCTCGGACGCGTTTGCTGTTGCGAAAGTTGCCGCGTACAGGGACCAAACCAGTAGGGTAGGTCGAGAAGTAAGGAAGGTCGCGGGCTGCGTGATGGAGGCCCATAGGTGACGACGGAATGCGGGGAGGAGAGGTTGGTTATGGGATGATTTTTCGACCACCAGACTGTGGATGTTAGTCACCGAGCTCGATAGGTTATCCAAGCGACATACCGATCCAAAATCATGACCGAAGGAGTCACCAATGTTGCCGAACCTGCAGCAATCAAGGCATCCGCAGTCAAACATTCTGCAAGTCGGTTTCTGCGCATATTGAAGCGCAGGGCGGACTTGACGTCTAGATCTTGGGCCATGACGGTCATTCCTGGTGTTGCGGAGAGAGAATGTCTAAATTAGGGGGAAACCCCTGGGAATGACTCTCGAGATGGTAGGGAATGAAACAAATGAAATCTGGAGTTCATTAAAATTCACTGTTATTATAGACTGGGCCGGCAAGAAGATACTCACCTTGCGCTGAAATGCTTGGATATGCAGAAATGAGTGAAAGATGGGAACTGATAGAGAGAGATAAAGGAGGGAAAGACAGTTCAGTGAGGGGCTATATGAGTAACGGTCGAAACGAGTAGTAGATCAATGACGCCCAATTCCCACAATACCCATAGTCCGACTACTACTAGCATTATTTACTCCCTAGTATACTAGTTATCCCTCGACCAGGGCGATTCTGCACATGGAGAACTCGGCGGTACCGGCCAATAGCAGGCGACCGGGCCGGGAAGCCGGGTACTATCGGTGGATTCGGGGCCAGCATGAATGGCTGTGAGGCCGACAGAATCTCCCACCAGATAACTTATCGACCCAAGGAACACGAATTCCTGATCGGATTCTAGAAGAGAAAATGGCGGTGGCGGGTGGGGATGCCCTAAGGGGGGTGCCCTATCTATTGCCCTACCTGGCTACCAGTCCCTTACTGGACAGCTGTGGACAACGAATACGCTGCGTTGGCCGAGGAAGTCTTTGCCTCGTTGCACCGCCGCGATAGTCGGCCTATAAATAGGTAAAACACGAACGTTGGACGTAGAAATGCCGTGGTGCTCCTCTAATCTGTTTCAGTAGAGCGATTGAGCGAATCGCTTCAGCCTTTTCTTTCAGGCTTCAACAATTGAACACGTCACAAAATTTGTGCTGAACTTAGTCAGCGAAGCGAAAGTCACGTGCTAGAGTCGGATCGGTGAGACCGGCAAGACCGCAAGGCAACTTCAGATCCACGACTTAGCGCTAGTCTGGATTGCTGCCATCGATTGACAACTGCTCCAACCCAGCAAATGCAAGGCGTCAATATGTTGAGGTCATACTCTGTAGCACACAACCAGCTGGCAGTTGGACTGTTCCCAGTAGCCAATCAAAACAAGACGAATACTACCGTACATTGACGGCCAACAACCGATCACATATTCGTCCCTACCGCGCCGTCTGTTCTCAGAGGGACGATGCGGAGTACGGAGTCCATGAGGAAGCGATGGAAACGGCCCGGGAACATGGAGTGGCTCGCGGGGAGACCCGGGTGGTCTATATGAAAGCTAGCTCAGGGTCCAATCAACAGAAATTCACAGGCAATAGTGAGCGGCGGAGATCGGCGGAATGCTCCAATCGACGGAATGAGTCTCGTCGGCGAGAAGAAGCTGAATTTGGATATGTGGTGATCATCGTCGCGGGCAGAACGGCATTAATCCCAACACTTGCTTATGCACAATTTCCTGTAACTGCTCGTTAGCCATACCGCCAGAAGAAGCATAATGAAGCCAAGATCCACTTAGACTGGACCAAAATGCGCGGAACCGATTGCCTTGCGCTCAAAATTCTAAATCAAATCTTCCTATCATCAATTAGTCACGCGCCCACCATGAGCCCCATACCCTATCGCAAACCCGAGCAGAAACCGATCACATCAAGAATCCAAGATCAAGAAAAGGAAATTGAGAAGAATATATTAACTCTAAGAGAGCGGATGTCTGAGGTATCTCATCGTACGGAAGACCACCTATCATAAAGGGACCAAATCACCAACAACTTTCTCATGTGAACGCGATCGGCGAGAACTGCAAGATTGAACGCAAAGATGGCTGTGTAAAAGCGAAAAAAAGAAGCAAGACATGAAAGGAAAAACTGAAACGCCCCCGAGTAATATTCCACACAAGCCTGACGTCCGTCCAGAAAGGAAAATGAAAATGAAAATCCAGTGTGTGTACGGATGATAACACAAACTAGCAGATGACACAGCAGGAGTTCTGCTTCTTCGCCGAAGTGTAGAACATTTTGCTCTGTGCGCTGAGCCCCTCACTCTTGGTGACCAGATCGTCGATTTTCTCGCCTCGTTCGAGAACCTAGGCAACAATTATCATTAGCGGTCGGCCCCTTGCTAACACAAGTTCGAAGTATACGCACACTCTCGATAGTCTTGTGAAGGACGATCTTCGTCTCGTCCAGCTCCTTCTGAATCTTCATAATGCTGTCGACCTGCTGGGGGTCCTGGTACGTCGTGATGTACGTGCGCAGCGGGGGGAAGGTCACGGGGTTCCTGGAGGAGTCGGCGTTGGGGTTTTGAGCGAGGAACTCATCGAGGGCTTTCGAGAGGATCTGGTGTGCCGCCAAAGACGGATACTCCTTGTCGCTAATGATGACGGCGGCGATATTTTGAGTCCGGGCATAGACGTGAAAAGTGAAATCTGTAAATGACATGATGGTTAGAATCGTGGATAGGGGCCGGTGCGGGGATGCGACCGGAGGGAAACAGGCGATAACTTGCCTTGTTCCTCGATATCCTGTCTCTGGCCCTGTTTCGTTCGTTCGGCTACCGTCTTGCTGAACATAGTCATGAACTCGCTGATGTTACTCCGGGTGAAACGCGAGTAGCTGCTCAACTCGCGCTCGGCGCACAGCTCCACGGCGGGCTGCTGGCCATTATTGATAATCTGAGGAGTAGAAAGGATTCGTTAGTAGATGGGAATATTCTGGTCAAGAAAAACATACTCCGATGTAGAGGAGCTTCATTTTGAGGCTGTTCAGGGGAAGCTGGGATGGCTGACGTCGATGACAGCGGGAGCTGAAGTTGCGGGGGTCGAAGTTGGAGCGGAAAAGCCTGAGGCCTCACCGCCTCCCTACCAAACCGGTTTCTCTTTATTCACAAGTCGTTCATGATGGAATCGTGCAGGGGATTTCTGCTGTCGGGCTACCTTATAATATGAGGAGGTCTTATGGCTTTCGGGAAATATCACAACTTGCGATGAGAATATTCCGAAGTCATTGAAATTACCAGACCGATCTGGTTCTAAAAATAGAGAGATATATATATTGTCTCCGGTCCTCTCGTGCTGCTATGTTGAGGCGAGTTTCATAGTTTCGACAAAGTGCAGTGAGCTTGCAGAAGGGAATGATGAAAACGATAATCGGTTTTTTAGTATGCCACACTATCTACTGATATTACACATCGATTGCCGAAGGTAACTCGAACGCCATCGCCGAATCTGTAATTCATGTGTTGTAATGTACGAACTTTTACGCTTAAGCTGATGCGTGATAGTCGAACACGGTTGAAGAACATGGGTCAGACGACGCGATACAAGGTAGACACTAGGCTTGATTTACAGACGAGTTCATCGTCCAGGAGCCAGTCAGTCGTGTCACCCGAAGAAGAGCGAGTTGTTGGGATTCTCCAATATGACCAAATTGGGAATATGTATAAGAAAGGTCACCCTGGCTACGGATCCCTCGGATATGAGATCCGAGCATTCTTGGATGTATCACAAACATCTACAACATACTTTCTACTCTGTGCTTCGTCACCACCTATCACTAAGATTGGCCAACCTGGACAAGAAGCCCAGCGGACTGACGTTTGCATCCTGATCCCCGAAAATTGGCCCTGAATGCCATAACAGCACAAAGGATCTCCTCCTCAAAAGAGACTGAAAGCTGCTATGTCATATCTGCTGTATCATCTACTCTCGCAGCGGATGGCTCCTTAGCATTGCGCATCCCTGCAGTGCTGCCAGACGGATTGTCCAAACTTCGGTTGCATGGCGTTACGTTTGCCACGCCCGCCCCCCGAAACTTTGGGTAGCACAGTGGGGAAGACGACTGAACCCTGAATGCATGTGATGACACCCGAGTTCCACCATCTCGAACGGCGGGACGATGTAGTAATGAGAATCCTCGTATTCTCTGCCTGTGGACCTGTCGCTGCCCCGGGATTCGTCCGTCCGTCAACACCGGCTTGGCATAAAGAGGACATCCTTGGCGCCAACTGCCTATCATCGGTGTAACCATTTCACGTGTTGGTCGTTGCTGTGTTGTAGATCGCTCTTACTGGTGGAGATGACAGGGAACTGGATATTGCACTTCACACCAACAGAGTCCATCGTCTTGGCTGACTCTAGGCAATGGGCTCGATCACTTAAAAAGCTTGATGTCCGCCGCCGCGGACTTCAGTGAGATTTTTATCTCGGTTTTCTGCTAGACAAGTGCCATTGAGCTTTTCCCTTGCGATAGGAAAATTGCATATGACGGACGGAAAACAGCGTGATAGCCCCGGGGTCTCCGCCGGGGTCCCAGGCTCACCTTTGAGCCATCCCGCCCATACCCTCCCCTACCATGTGGTCATCAAAGAATTGGAGACCAGGATTGATGAGGGTCTGAGCAATGAGGAAGCTCAGCGTCGCCTTCAGGAATATGGTCCGAACAAACTGGAGGAAGGCGAGGGCGTATCTATCATCAAGATCCTCGTGCGCCAGGTCGCAAACGCAATGATGCTAGTTAAGGGGCCCACTTTCTTGTTTTCCTGAACTCCCAGCGTTATGAGAACTCCCAGAGTCTGATCCAATTCGTAATTGCAGGTTCTCCTGCTGGCCATGGCGGTCAGTTTTGGAATCAAGTCGTGGATTGAGGGCGGCGTTATCTGCGCCGTCATCGTCTTGAATATCGTTGTCGGTTTCTTTCAGGAATATGCTGCGGAGAAGACCATGGAGTCTTTGCATTCTCTGAGCTCGCCTACAGGAACTGTATCTCGTGGTGGCCAAACCTTCTCAATTCCTTCGACTGACATCGTCCCTGGCGATATGGTTGAATTGAGAACAGGTGACACCGTCCCGGCAGATATCAGGTGAGTCTTCGCCTCAGGCCAACAAGCCACATCGTGACTTGAGTTTCTACGAAACAGAGACGTACTGACAGAACTACTCCACAGATTGGTTGAGGCAGTCAATTTCGATACGGATGAAGCACTTCTCACCGGAGAGTCTCTCCCTGTCACCAAAGAATGTGACTCCACATTCAAGGAAGATACAGGCCCCGGAGATCGTCTGAATATCGCCTATAGTTCCAGCACAGTGACAAGAGGCCGCGCCCGTGGCGTGGTAATTGGAACCGGTATGGCGACCGAGATTGGCTCTATTGCTGCTGCCCTCCGTGCCAGCAATAATAAAAAACGCCAGGTCAAGCGTGGCCCTAACGGCGAGACTAAGAAGAGATGGTATATCCAGGCCTGGACCTTGACCGGGACAGACGCTATAGGCCGCTTTCTTGGTGTCAATGTTGGCACTCCGTTACAGAGGAAGCTTTCTAAACTGGCGATCCTGTTGTTTGGAGTTGCCGTGCTCTTTGCGATCGTTGTTATGGCTGCCAATTTGTTTAGCAGCAATAACGAGGTGATCTTGTACGCTGTCGGCACTGGTCTTAGTATGATCCCTGCCTGCTTGGTCGTTGTGTTAACCATTACCATGGCTGTGGGGACTAAACGAATGGTCGAACGGAACGTGATCGTCCGCAAACTGGATTCTCTCGAGGCTTTGGGTGCAGTTACCGATATATGCTCCGATAAAACTGGCACTCTGACGCAGGGGAAGATGGTGGTCAAGAAAGCATGGATCCCCTCTCGAGGAACGTACTCGGTCGGAACCTCCAATGAACCTTTCAATCCCACGGTCGGTGATGTGACTTTCACCCCATTGTCTCCAATGAAATTCGATGACGAAAAGGAAGGGCCTCCCGCAGAGGACGTGGAGGGTCTTGTCGCCGGAAATCGCCAGCTCGAGGACTTCTTGGATGTGGCATCCATGGCCAATCTCTCCCATGTATATAAGTCTGAGGAGGGAGAATGGAGTGCACGCGGAGAACCAACTGAGATCGCGATCGGAGTGTTCGCTTCGAGATTTAACTGGAACCGAGACCGTTGGACCAAGGGCCAGGGCGCTGTTTGGCATCAAAAGGCGGAATTCCCGTTCGACTCGACGATCAAGAAAATGTCGGTCATCTTCACCAAAATCACACCTCAAGAAGAACGCCAAATGGTCTTCACGAAGGGTGCGGTTGAGCGCATTGTCGATTCCTGTACCACGGTGATCTGGGATCAAGACTCATCCACTTCCGTGCCCATGACAGACGAACTCCGCAGTCAAATCTTCCAGAACATGGAGGAGCTCGCCAAGATGGGTCTCCGAGTGTTGGCTTTGGCACACCGACCTTACGTTGAACAGGCTAGGCTTCTTGAAGGCTCTGACCTCGACCGCGATGAGATTGAAAAGGACCTTTGTTTCCTCGGACTTATCGGTCTGTATGATCCACCCCGTCCGGAAACCGCAGCGTCAATCCAAGCATGTTTCCAAGCCGGGATTGAGGTGCACATGGTTACTGGAGATCACCCTGGGACCGCTAAGGCCATTGCGCAACAAGTCGGAATTGTTCCATCTGATCTCAACACGGTCGCTGCTGATGTTGCCGATGCCATGGTCATGACCGCGGGCGAATTCGATAAGCTTACCGATGCCGAAGTGGATGCCCTTCCTACCTTACCTCTGGTCATCGCGCGATGTGCACCTCAGACGAAGGTCCGAATGATCGATGCCTTACATCGACGTGGACGCTTCGCCGCCATGACTGGTGACGGAGTCAATGACTCCCCTTCCCTCAAACATGCGGATGTCGGAATCGCTATGGGCCAAGCAGGGTCAGATGTAGCGAAGGACGCCTCGGACATCATCCTTACCGATGACAACTTTGCATCTATCCTAAATGCCGTGGAAGAAGGCCGTCGGATCTTTGACAACATCCAGAAATTCGTTCTCCACCTACTGGCCGAGAATATCGCTCAAGCATGCACATTGTTGATTGGCTTAGCCTTCAAAGACAAAGACGGCCAGTCCGTGTTCCCTCTCGCCCCGGTTGAAATTCTCTGGATTATCATGATCACCTCCGGCATGCCCGACATGGGACTTGGAATGGAGGTAGCCGCGCCCGACATCATGGACCGTCCACCCCAAACCAAACAAGGAATTTTCACCTGGGAAGTCATCATCGATACCCTAGTTTATGGCTTCTGGACCGCCGCGCTCTGCCTTTCAGCTTTCTCTATCCGCATGTGGGGATTCGGCGACGGCAATCTCGGCCGCCGCTGCAATAGCGAATACTCCGAAGAATGCGAACTGGTCTTCCGCGCCCGAGCCACAACCTTTGTCTGTCTCACATGGTTCGCCCTATTCTTGGCTTGGGAGATGGTAAACATGCGAAGATCCTTTTTCCGCATGCAGCCCAAATCCAAGAAATATCTTACGCAGTGGATGCACGACGTGTGGCGGAATCAGTTCCTCTTCTGGTCCATCATGGCCGGGTGGATTACTATCTTCCCCATCATTTACATCCCCGTTATCAACCATGTCGTGTTCAAACATACGGTGATCTCGTGGGAATGGGGTATTGTCTTTGTGGAGGCCGTGCTATTTTTCTTGGGCGTTGAGGCATGGAAGTGGGCTAAGCGTGTCTTCTTCCGTCGGAGGATGAGGAAATCATCGAAGGACAGTGTCGAGAGAGAGTCTCACATGCTTCCTTAACCATTGCTTCCCCTGGTCCGATGTATGGGTCAGGGTGATAACAATAACTCTTGGTTTGTGGAACTGCGATTCGGGAATTGACTAACTGGTATCATGGACTTTACTGAAATTGAAGAAATGAGGGAGGTAGGAGAGAGGATGGTAAGGCTTTTTAAATCTAGTCACTCATTTGCCACGGTGCCTGGCATTCTGGTACCACAGGATGGTTCATAGCTAGTGCGGTATAGGTGTTATATATTTTGGTGGGAAATAGCAGTGGTAGCAAAAATAGCTGGAAGATTGGAGACTAGCTTGGAGAAAGGGGGTACACGTGATAACTGGAATCTTGGGGGAATTTATATAGAAAACATTGACATCAATCAACTGCTGCCTGGCGAACTGATTTCAAACTTTATCGTGCCCTCTGTGTTAGTGGCTTGACTTCGCTAGTAACTACTAGGATTAAGAGTTATAGGTAAAAGTAGAGTGCCATTTGCGTCTTTGTAATGCGTTCCAACGAGAAGGCCAGTTTTCAAAATCTTCTGTCGCATCTATTGAAATAGATTCATGTTTCATTCTTCCGGTCTTAGAAGGTTGTCGTGAGTTTGTGAAGAAAGGTGCATACAAAAACCAAGTGAAGTTCTTGGCATTCTGGGCACCTCAGACACCCATAATGCCTAGAGAATCAATCCTTCTCTACAGCATGCCCAATAAGCTCATTCGGTGAAGAAGAACAAGGATATCGAGTCAAGAGCTGGAAATTATGCCCGTGAAGATGGAATGGGTGGGAGCCGGTATCGCCGTTGTTCAGAACGATGTCCACGACTTGGTTGTGTTCCAGGACCATGGGGTGCGTGAATTCGCCGTAAACAGTCGCATCGGTCGCAAGGTCTCCGCTTGATAAGACTGAGTACAGAGGGGCACTTTGGGTCTTGTGTATGATATGTCGTTGAAAAATGCATAGCCGGCTCCGTCAGCAAGATTACCCATATCCGCTGTGACCTCGATCACCATATCAGGGTCTGGCAGAAGGGGAACTCGGTCATAAGGCACAAGGGTAATACTATCGAATGGAATCAGATCGGAGGAGTCGTCTACAGTCATTACAGCCACAGGATGATCGGCTGTGGCATTGTATTCTAGCCAACTGGTATGATTGAGCTGGAGGGTCGGCTCGATCACGTCCAACAGACTGGAATCAGCGACGGTGACAATTGGGTAGTTCTTGGCCGTGGAGTTCTTGGTCGTGACCAAGATTGAATATCTCTGAGCCACAGAGAGATAAAGGAGATCGGATTCAGTAGGCTCCGTGTACACCCCATCCATCTCGACGATTCTGAAGCTGTGGTCCTCTATGTAGAAGTACATGCCAACAAATGCACCCATGTTGATCAGTCTCAATAGGTATGTCTTGCCAGGCTCAACCGAGAGACTGCTGCTTTGCGTATCATTCACGAGGAAAGAGTTAGGAACGGGTTCGGCGCCAGTCGGGTTCGTCAAACTGATGAACGTGATATCTTCCACCAACTCGTGGTACCAATCACTCACAGTGAGGGTGAATTCCTCATCGTACATGTCATTGGAATAGGCCTCTTTGTCATGTACAATCAAGGCCTGGCGATATCCGTCGGGATAGCAATTGTCGGTATGGCAATGATACCAGTATGTTCCAGGCTGATCCACCGTGAAGTTGTAGGTGAATGAAGCTCCCGGAGCAATAGGACATTGGGTCACCATCGACGGGCCACCCATATCACTGGTGCCGTTATGGAACATGCCGTGCCAGTGTATGGAAGTGCGCTTATCTCCAAGATCATTGTACACATTGACGACAGGCCGATCCCCCTTGCTCACTTCAATCACTGGCAGAGGCCATTCCCCGTTGATTCCGACCACCTTCCGAGGTTGCAAGCCGTCAGGGTTGGCAGTGACCCAGGTGACATTGAAATCGTGTGTGACGGTTTTAGCTCGACATCACTGTGCAAAGAAGACAAGTGCTATGTGGAAGACGAGACTAAGATGTGCAAGATTCGCCATGATGCGTGCAAGCCAACTCCCAAAAGGAATTGAAAACGAAAAGGAATGACAGGTGCGAGGTCAACGGTCCCAGACCTGACGGGGTATGTGATTTTGTCTATCGCTAACGAGGGCCAAGGTGTATAGGACAATATCTGACCGGCGTAGATTGATAGACCAGATTATCAATCTCCCTGTAAGGCGAGAAACCACGGCATGTGGAGGCATCAGGTACATTACCTACCTATTACTGAGCTCGTTCTTTTAATGCAACCTTTGCACCAGATTATAACGTACGTTATGACAAAACAATCTGGTAACAGTCTGGCCTTGTGGGTCATCTGGTCTCTACGTCCGTAAACGCTGGATGGGACTATGGAACCATAGCATGCATCCGTGGAGCACCAACAAGACCAGTCACAGACCTCGTTTGGTGCGCGAGGGCATGTCAATTCTCCATGTGAACGTCATATATCCGTTGTATTACAGTGTATCGTCACCCTTGCCGCATTTGATTTCTTTTCTCGGGCCCGAAATGTGTCTATCAAAATGTGGATGCCGCGTAAATAAGTTACTAAAAGGGTAAGAGGTCGTCTGGTTCCGGTAAATATTCATCTGTATTAGAGAACAGTCTGCATTGATCTCTCGAAACCCTGGGAGGACACCTTCGCCATTGCGCTCAGTGTACTTAAGCAAGCTGCTGCTGCTAATACTTCAAAACTCATCGACTTTATCTGGGCCGTCAAATATCAAGGTAAGTACCCAACTTCCTTGAATATCCTCCAGGTATAATTAGGACTAACTTCAAGCAGAAGCACTAAGCTGGTTTGGATTGGGGCTCACTCGACTACGAGAAACCCCCAATGTCAACGTATCCATCTATGTGACAGGGGAAGACATCTTGTCCGGCGATGCCACGCCCCAAATCATGACTCTGAATGAGCTACCATCGGCCGCAGTGACTATCTCTGATCCCGAAAAGAGTGTTCCAAAGACCCCCGCGCATAGATTAATAGATAATGGATCTGAAATGTAACAAGGACGGCTAAATATATCTCGTCACATTTCAGACCACATCTCCATGTTTGGCTTGGAAGAACGACTGGGCATCGGTGCTTGTGGGCCAGCTGAGATGATCGATGTTGCCAAAAGGGCTGTAGCTAAGGCTGAAGCAGAATTTAGCACGTCAATTACGCTGCACACTGAGGTCAGTCGCCTACCTAATCTCTAGGGATATATTCAAATAGCTAACAAATGCAACAGGAATTCATGTGGTGAACTGCGGCGGGATGCCCTAGTGGTTTAAGCGTACAGTCGCTGCCTCATATGCCAACAACTGGAACGATCCAATGAAGAATATACCAAGTAATGCGAGGGAAGTAACGAAGAGAATCGATGGTTTGTAGACCTATTATTCTAATCATATTGTAAATACAATCGGTTTGCCACGTACGGCTAGAGTTCTAGAACGCATTTTACATATCCCAGTTTCTTGTAGTACTTACAAGAAAAGCCTTCACTGTTCAAGAAATGATCTCGCCGTGGACGATTGTATCAACAGAATATAAGTTTATAGCATTGGCCATAGACCTGAACTCATTCAATTTTATAGAGTTGCAAAATATGAGTTATTAAGACCTGGTTTTGGTCGACCTAGCTCCCGAGTTCCTATGCGTATCTCAGTGACCTAATTACTACCTCTTGTTTAGCATGACATGGAACAGATGGTCACATTGAACGAAAATTGATGAATCTACCATCTCATATATGCGTCCAGATAACCAGTTCATAAAGACGCATATATCGATGATATAAGCATACTTTATATCCAATTTAATCCTGAGCTTCCTGGTCCTGAAGCCACTGTCCGATAATAGCCCGAGCCTGCAAATCCTCCTTCACCAACTTTATCATCTCCTCTTTCCTCTGCTCTTCGTTTTCGATCTGCCGAATTTGCGCAAGCTTCTCAAACACCGCTTTTATAGCATCTGCTTGCTGTTGTGCATGCTCCTGCTCTGCCTCATCATCACTATCATCCATCCCAAACGCATTGCACACGTTTTCTCCCGCATCCTCTCCCTCGCTATCGGCTTCCGACTCCGACGTCTCTTGTGTCTCAGGTGTAACATCGATCGGCCTGGGTTTGGGAACAGGTAAACTGATTGTCTGTCTTTCTACGTCGACAGGCTGAATTGGTTTGGTCAGTTGATTTTCACAGCAAGCATCCCATAGGAAAAAGGCACATACCACACTTCGTTTCTTAGCGAGCCACTTGAGAGAGTATTCCACGCCTGCAAACGAGACGACGTAGCCATTCTTGGTCTATAAGATATCAGCAATCGGCTCCAAGTCCTGATGGCAATTTGCTAGGGGGAATTCGTCTGCAATTACCTTGTCTGGAGGGTATGTGGACCAGTTTTCTCTGCTGAGCTTGTCATAGGCTCCAATACCGCCGCCTACCTTACCGATTCCGGTAGCTCCCAAATCCAGTGACAAATCAACATCGCTTTTTTTCCCAGTAGTGAGCTTGACTGCACACTCATCGGTGACCCAAACAGCCATAATCACGAACAGTCCACGGTCTCTGATCTCGTGACGACGACGCCGAGGCTTGATGATCTCTGCCGCGTTCTCGTCCACCCAATCCATCATTTCATGCTTGAATGGATTCTTGAGTTTGTATTTGCGCACCGCCGAGCCGGTAATAAGCGCTGCGCTGCCAGTCGACGAAGTGTTGCGCTTCATCTGGACTGACACATCGACCGGAGCAGCAGCCATAGCGCCAGAAGCTTCGGCAGTGGCCCGGGAGCTCCGTCCCACTTCACTCTCGCCAGATTGCTTGTCCCAGTAGCACTCCTTCGCTTCACCCACTTCCAGGGTGTGGCGGAACGGCCCGTATCCCTTTGATTCTGGGTTACCTCTTTCCATTAGATTGGCCAGTTCAACCCAGTCTTCATTTCTGTCGAAATATCAGACTGACCCGAGTGGTAAATCACGAGCGTCTTGAGGCTTATAGAGGAAATTTCCATGGGGTTGATACCCCATGATTTCAGCATATTGTTTGGCTGGATCTGAGGACATGATGTATGGCAGAGAAGGGAACTGAACTAGAAGAAACAAGCGTGCTGTATTTTCTCAGAAGTACTCAAAGTGCATTGAGAGTGAAGTGGGCATGCTGGGCCTAATATCTTTCCATGGGAGGGGAAGTGCATGGATACTAAAACCTTGGCCGACAGGCGACATTATCGATAGTAGGTAAAGATCGTCGAGGGGTTGAGCAGTGGATTCCAAATCATGAAAAGTGTAGATCTGATCATAACCCACTTACTCGCGTAGCACGAACTGACCTTCACGAACGCAACCTTGTTGTAAGCACCTTGCTCCAAACCCACATGCGATCTGTGCAATAGGATAATTAACAGCCGACAATCAGCGGGAAATGTGGGCCCGGGTTTCAGCTCGGCATGACCTGTATCTCTTCGAACCAGTGCGGCTGAACCCCATTGTAATTGGACAGAAATGGCTATGGATCGTTGGAATTAATTGAGACTGCAGTTCAGCTCGCCCACTTCGTCACGAGTATAAAGACAATGATGCCACGTCACCTCACCGTCGTTTGTTTCTGTGAGCGATCCTACCGCGAAAACCCCCTGTTGCTGTAACTACCACTGAAATAGGGGCTCGAACCCTCTAGCCCGCTACTTGACTCGGTCAGTCGATCGAGCGCCATATGCGGAGTAGAGAGGGGTATTCCTATGACATCATATCTGAAAACTGCCAATTTCACTAGCAATGCAGGTGCCCCAAGTAACAACTTAGGAACTTCCTTTAGCGAATAGGACTTTTTAATAACTTTCAATGCAATAATTTATGTATCAACATTGTATAATACTGAATATATATATATCAGATCAGCAATAGCAATTAGCTTAACAAAGACTATACAGGCAGGGTGAGTGGCGATACTCTACAACAAGGGCTATGCCACCTAATCCCAGGATAGATCTTTGAACTCCATCAGGTGTCAATTAGATCAAGTCAACTACTAACATCCATCTTACTCGCTCAAACTAACTAGATTTAATTTTTCTAAAGACATAAACGCTCGCTTCCCCCATTGCTCGAACTCATTTATATTTGACGGATTCATAGTCCGTACATTATTCATCGCTACCTTGATCTCCTTCATTATCAATTCACGTTTTCTGGAAAGTATCCGATCATCGACTTCCATGATATAATCAAGTTTGACTTCTCGCGCTTTCACGCAGGCCAGCATGAGCTTTATCTCAGCCACCTTGGTGACATCTCTTAATAGCTGGGCCTTTTCAAGGGCTTGTAGCCCATATCCATGCGCTTGATGTAGATGCTGAGCTTGTTCTGGTCGAGCAAACGGACGATAGTAGCTTATCTCCATTTCGACAAACATCATCTTCGAGTAAACGTACGTCTGTCGGTCGAAGTCAATGGGGTTGAGTAGGCTACACGCTCGAATGAAGTAACGGAGAGCCTTCTCTCTGTCTTGTATGAAAGATGAAAGGATGCGGCGTTTAAAATATTCGTTGCCTTTGCTTATACATAGTGTATCTTTTCAAGTAAGCTTGGGATCCCATTCTTGTGCGTCCAGAGTCATGCGGGTTGGAACCTACATTTCCTTTCGTTTATCGTCAATACGTAGCGTCTCAATGCCCTAGATACGGCTCGAAAGCCGGGTTTTCGCTCGTTCTTGAATCGCACCATATTCAAATGACCGGCGTCTATCGTCTCGACTGGTTCCAATTTGTAGTCGACGCGAGCGGAGAAATCATCCACGACCTAGGTCCCTTGTGCATTAGCCTCATAGCAATATGGAATGACAGATCGCTTACCTTTCCAGTAAATCCCTTGATCCCTCTTAGTCCCTGGCCTTCCTGAAATGTGTGTATGCGAATTCTGCCCTCGCGGAGGATCTTTCGAAAGTTATGGTGGATATATTCGAGCATCCGACAATCGACTTCCAAGTCTCTGACCAAGGTCGGATTCGAATCCCGTAGAGCAACAACAACGAGATTACGGACCAATTGGCCCCAAGCACCTGCTTCGCTTACTCTATGCGGTGTGCCACAGAACACGACTGTGTCAACGCGGCGATATAGGGATTGATACCTCGGGTCTGTACTGGTTTTGCATGTTTGCACGGCCTGAAGATCTGATCAATGTCACTGAGTATCATGCTGAAGCGATTGTCGTACCACTTTGACAACGAGACCACCTAGGCTATGTGCGACGAATATGATGGGCTTCTGCGGCACCAGATAAGTATTATACATCCTGAGCAAGGCCTGGTTAAGACACCCTACCTTATTATCCAATACCCGCTCCAGCCTCACCATGAGATCATTCCCATGGTGCAAGATACTATTCTGGCTAGTACTCTTGAACATACCTCCAATAAAATCGGCGTCATATCCGTAAGAAAAGATCTTCGCGTTGGGAATCACAAACGGGAGGAGATCAGCGGGCCAGAATATCCCTGTCTCTGTTTGCGTCTTGCTGACATCCACGCTGTGCGAGAACGGCACTTTCGACCAGAGCTTTAACACAGACGACAATCTCGACGAGTTCCTCTCCGTGCCACGAGTGCCGTCTCGACACGCGCTGTTATACTCCCATGTTCGCCTAGGATGCCCGCGTAGACCGTGGACAAACACTATGCTTTTGATGATCAGTCAGCTTTGCGATAACCAGTTGCGGGGACGCGGGGAAGATCAATACTTGACTGCGGGATCTGCTAACTGCCCATTTACACCTCTTCCGTCATAAACAAGTGAAGGTCCGATGCGATCAACGGTGTAGTGATGGGTACCGTTGGCCATCGTTCAATTTGAAGAGGTGCAGGAGGAGGCATTCTGCGAGGGGTGGAAAGGGTGGGACGAACACTCGGCTCTGCTGGTTCCCCGCATTAGCGTCCAGGGGGTGTTTCGGGAAATGTCAGATAGTAAAAAGTAATTCGCGCCAGTGATTAGTAGCCACGTCGGGCTACTTGACGAACTAGGAAACGCTACAGAGTGCAGACCTCGTGTCGTGCTGATATGCAGCCTTGGTGGTTTTAGCGTCGGACTATGGTCTACAAATAGAGTAAGCTGATTTGATTTTCGGCAATGATATGCTTTGCTGGAGATTGGACCTTCAGTCGATATGTTAAGATTGACTTTATCATCAACTATCAAATTCCGAATAACCATGGAATGGTCGGTCGTCAGAAGTGGAACGCTTGATCAAAGTCAATCTTTATCTGATAATTAAAGATATCCGCATCGTCCGTCAACAATCCATGACGTCACGACCCCCTGCCTCCCTCAACCCTAATTTAATCCTACTTTCTTTCAACCTCGAGAATTAATCTCCGGACTGATCTCCAGCGGGATCGACGCCGGACAGCATGTCCCACCAAGATGATCCCCCACCCGTGAACCGATTCTCGCGCGCTCTCTGGCACTTCAGCCCGCAATGGTTCCTGGTCCCGCAAGGAACCGGCATCATCGCCGTGCTCCTACACCAACTGCACTACCAATTCGGCGCACTTCCTATCCTCGCCAAGATCGTCTGGATCTACACAATTGTGCTATTTGGTCTCACTCTAGCCCTTTACATCTTGCGCATCATCATCCACCCCCATCATGTCCTTCACGAGCTCCGCACTAACCTCCTCGAAACCTCCTGCCTCGCCAGCATCTCCATCACCTTCACTAGCATCATCGAGATGGTCAGTCTCCAATACGGATCCACCGCCGGCCTCGCCGCCTACATTCTCTGGTGTATCAGCACAGCCCTCGCCATCCTCGCAGTCATCCTAATCCCTTACATCCAACTGAAACTCCAACCCCCGGATATCGAACACATCCCTCCTTCCATTCTCCTCCCTGTCATCGCAGCCCTCACCTCCGCTGCCGGAGGCGGCGTCATCTGCACCACCACGACCATCAGTCCCCGCCTCCAAGTCCCCGCCATCATCATCTCGTACCTCGAGATCGGAACCGGGTTCGCCCTTGCCCTCGCCTTCACCGCCATCGTGCTCCTCGAACACTTCAACCGAACATATCCCACTCCGACAAAAGTCTACCAGGATATGGTTATCTGTGGACCCTTCGGACAAGGTGGATTCGCGCTGCAGGTTCTCGGTACCGCCGTCTTACAGGGCTCCTTTGCGTCGTATAACCGCGGCATGTTCCTCACTGCCGAGGCGGCCCGTCCGATCGCGTATATTAGCCAATGGGCTGGGTTGATGTCCTGGGGCTTCGGTACTTTCTGGTGGTGTTTTGCCATCGTGAGTATCTTGCATACGTTACTGGGTCAGCCTGGGGGGTGGAGAGCGACAAGGTTCAGTATGGCGGCTTGGGCGTTGATCTTTCCCTGGGTAGGTCTTTTCTTTCTCCCGGGGTGTTTTTCGTTTGCATATGGTTCTCTGAAGATATTGATGGTCACTCACTAGGGCGTGTATACCAATTGTGCGGTGCAATTGGGGAAGATTATGGATTCGCCCGCGTTGCATGTTTGGTCGACGGTGCTGGTCATACTGTTGGTTGTGATGGCTATTTGGTTGAGTTTGTGTACTGTCAAGGCAATAGCGACAGGATCGGTGTTTGAGTTGGAGAATGGTTGGAGGAGAAGTCGATTGGAGGTATTAGATGGGGGGAAGCTTTCCTAGTAGTTTATTGGTTTATAGTACGGTCCTGGGGCAGAATGGAGACAAACGAGGACAATAGAGCCGTAGGCCATACATGGGTTTGGTATTATATAATCTTCTACCATTATGCATTTCAGTATCTACTTGTCTATAGCTATGCATTAATATAAGCATCCCGGGATTGTGCTCGGGTCAAGGCCATTATTCAACCAGAGGAAGTTCACTTCTCCTCCGGTTAGCATTGCTGTGTCGGCGGCAAGTGTGCCAATCCCAGGAAAAGTCCCGTCCTGCGGGAAAACATAAGGAGTATGTTGAGTGCTCGGGTCGGTGGCGGTGGTTCCGGGGGTCCAGTTGCTAGAATTTTGATTAGAATGCGCTGGAATAACATTATCTGTGGAGGGTGAACCTACTCTAGCCAAGGAAACGAATCGACCAAGACCTGATTCGTATCGATGACAGGATCTGCTGCTTGTACCGCTTGCTTGGCCACCTTCATCAGATCCATGCTGAGCACTTTCCCTGTTGTGTATCCGGTGTGCTCGATCTCATCGAGACATTGGATGCCTTTTTCAACGACGGCGAATGTCTGTCGTGCACGGTCCGGCTCCGTTCCAAGGTTCAATACGTCATATAGCATTGTCATTGTCGCTGAGACGAGGAACGATGCAAGTGCCCCGTCATATCGAATGTCGGGGAAACGGCGGAAATATACGTCGTGCGCTAAGTTGACCAAGTTGCGAGCGGCAGATGTCGAAGCGTTAATGCATGCTTGAATGTCAACTCCACAGACCGCGCTCTGTTGCGCTTCTGCGGGGCTCGAGAAGAAAGTCGTCAGGACTAGTGCCGGTCGGTAGAGTAGCATCCGAAGAACGTAGTAACTAAATCCCAGACTGATCCGTTGGATTTCCTGCCAATCCTCGCCGATCGGAACATTCTGGTCAAAGAAGTGGAGATAGGATGGGAGAGAAGTGCTGATGCGTTGGAGGGCCGCGTCGCATTCCAGGCTGGTGTTGTTAACTGTAGCCAGGTCTGAGATACTTTTTATGCTAGCCGGGGAGTAGATATCCACGGATATTCTATCGGCGAGCTTTCCGATCTCGGCCATCGCGCGCACCCAAGCACATTCGATTGATGGTGCTTGATAGATATTTTCGTCTTTGTTGCACGAGAAATCCTCGGGGTATGCGGTGTCAATCTGGTTATCAGAGAGGGCAGATGGGCGCCCCATGTAGACAGATGAGATACGTTCAAAGACAAAGACGGTCCAAAAGGTGAGTCGGAGTCGGTGCATGTGTGGTTCTCGTCCGTCCGTCACTTGCGAGCGATGCAAGCCCAGCACCATAGCAATCCGTGTTGCGTGCCCAAGATAGAGATAGGCATCATTTTGTCGCATTAGTTGCAGAGAATACATGGCCTATGCGATCATCATCAGCAAGTATACTTTCTCATGAACCTCCCATGGCTTACCTTCAGCAGCATCAGATGCATTCCCTTCACACTTGGTTCTTGTAAAAATATCGGCCCTTCGGCTGCACGATTGGAGAAATGCTCAGCCCAGCCTTCGACACGTGCCTCGGGCTCCTTATCCTTCAAATTGACGACACGAGCCCCAAGAGCCAGCACCATGAACAAGATCTCCTGGTTTTTCAGCTTGCGACCTCGCACTGGGAATTCCCACATTTGAGCCCATGTTTCCATGACCTCCGAGTGCACAAGCACTGACATCTGCGGATGAATAATTTTGAAATACGCATCGATGAATCTTTCTCCTAAAGCCTGAGGGAGAAAGGCCTCCGTCCGCAACTGGGCTAGACGAAGGTCGCCATCCGTGTCGGCGGCGAACATGAACCGCTCCATGCCCCATTTTTGTAACGCATCTGGTACAGAGCAGCTTCGACGAGCCAGTAGTGACTGGTTGGACGAAGTTTTATTAATCCGCTGGTAAATCCGTTGCAGAAAAGCGAACCCCGACGAAGGACCTAGAGAAATTAGTTCCGTGGTGGCCACCAAGGAGGGGACTGGGGGCGTGCAGGCAGAGTACAAACCGTAGAATTGGAAATTTCCCGTCTTCGGGTTCGATACACCGATTCCAGCCCTGAGTTCATGCTGCCGTTTATAATGGACCGGATCGTCCATCAGTGTCACCGACGGCGACCATTCTGTCGGAATGGGAGACTGCGCCGTAGCCGGTAACAGCGCTGCTGGCGCCCGAGGAGGCTCTTTCGGTTGGCGGCTTTTCCTCTTGCGAATGTGACCCGTTCGATAAGCGCATCTTTGCGGATCTCGTGAGCAAGCATTACAAGGCTGTTCGCCATTACACTTGATTTTGCGCGCGCGGCAATGTTCACAGGCTCGAGGGACCCGCTCCCGAGGGGAGGGGGTCATGATAAGTACAGGGATGAGAATAAGACAGCTGAGATGGTTGAAAGATCGGTGTACGTGTGGTAGCCAGCAAGTCAAAGTCGCTTGCTAATCCAAGTTTTGATAGGTCATATCACAATGCATGTCAGGATCTCATTGGTTCGGGCACATTGTAGCACAGGCCAGGTAGTTGATAGTTGGGGGTTATTAAGAGCAGGGATCGGGTCAGGATCTCACGAGGGTGGATCTGACACAATCTAGTCCGTAATACGCACGAATCGTATAGAGGTCAGGGATGGGGAGATGTTGGATACGACAATGGAAAAGAAGCGGATTCGATGAAGAAACCCGGGCCGTTGATTAATAATCGCCCCAAGCCCTAATTGTTGCCCCGGTTGGCAAGGAAAGTCTCCGAATTTGTCATCATGGCATCATCCATCTGTCCATGAGGCATCTATGTTTACTTCTTGCGATAACAGCATAAAATGCCGGATCAGCCCCTCCCTAAGCTCTATGTGTACTATATTCATCCGTTCATCATCCAATTAACACCATGTCTCAGAAAGCTCTCGTGATTTCCGACGATTATCAGCCGGTTCTCGTCACTGATCGCCCTATTCCTAAGCTTCGCGACAACTTCATTCTTGTCAAAACTGTCAGCGTGGCTTTGAATCCGACCGATTGGAAGCAACTCGAAAATCGCCCTACTCCAGGCGCCTTGATTGGCTGTGACTATGCCGGCATTGTTGAAGAAGTTGGTAAAGGTGTGACCAAGCCCTTCCGCCGGGGTGATCGCATCTGCGGTTTCGCACATGGCTCCAACGCTGTCTATCCGGAAAACGGCGCCTTTGCTGAGTACATCGTCGTGAAGGGTGATGCTGCAGCTCTCATTCCAGACTCGCTGAGTTTTCAAGAAGCAGCCACATTGGGAGTTGGTATCGGTACTGTCGCTCAGGGTTTGTATCAAGATAAGAAGGGGCTAGGACTCGCACTGCCCACCAAGCCTCTTTCCCAGCCTGAGCCTGTCCTCATCTATGGAGGCTCATCAGCTACGGGCTCGCTGGCCATTCAATTTGCCAAGCTATCTGGTTATACCGTGATCACCACTTGCTCGCCCCGCAACTTTGATTTTGTGAAGCAGCTGGGTGCCGATCTCGTTTTCGACTACCGCGATCCAGACGCTCCCAAGGCCATTCGTGAATACACCAAAGACGGGCTAAAGCTGGTCTTTGACACCATTGGAGTGAAGGACGCTATCAAATTCTGTGACAACGCACTATCTACTCAAGGCGGTGAATACGTTACTCTATTGGTAGACAAGATCGATCGAGAGAATGTGAACTCACGCTGGGTTATCGCCTATACTACTCTTGGGGAGTACTTCAAGTATGGCCAGTGGGAATTCCCTGAGGTCCCCGAAGACTTCGAATTTGCTGCAAAGTTCTGGGATATCACGCAGCCTTTGCTTGCCGAGGGTAAGATCAAGCCCCATCGGCCAAATGTTGTCGCTGGAGGTCTTAGGGGAGTCGCAGAGGGACTGGGCTTGATCAAAGAAGGAAAGGTCAGTGGCGAGAAATTGGTTTATAACATCGCCGAGACTCCCTGATCTCATCGACAGCTTTTGAGGAATGGTGATGTCCAATTTCATGTTCAGCGATATAGCGGATGTTTGGTTGTTATTGTCCTTTTAGAAGAATGCCTGCTTGTCAATCTTAGAATCTCCAATCTTTTATAGAGACATTCCTAAAGCCCTTTCCCTAAACAGAAGAACCATTCGTAATATCATCACCCATCCCCCACGGCAAGGTAAATCATACAGAATTGGGCGTCATTGACTCCGGGTTATCATCAGCTTGTGAATTACCAAAGCGACAAAAAGCCCCTCTCCTGTCATGATTCATCTTCTATTCCCCTCCCTTCTATCTATATTTGCCTGCACTTTGCAATATTTTCCTCTATTCTGTCGGTATAATTTTTGAAGAAAGGCTTATTTCTCCAGGCAGTCATCAAATCGGAAGAAGATTCCATACTTGATTGTTGACGTGGCTGTCTATATAATTGTACTAGGGTTGCAATTAATTAAACTGACCGTATCCTCTTGTACTCACGTTGATATAAAGAGAGCGAATGAAAAAGAAACAAAACAAACAGGTCAATGGCAACTGTGGTGCTCTACTGCTTCCTCCGTCCGCTCTCTATACTGTGCCCAGGCCAACATACCACCACTAACGACAATCCGGCAGACCATGTTGCGACTAAGACCCTCCCGTCGTATTCCCCATGCTAGGGCTAGCAATGATATAGCCAGAAAGACGAGGCGCAAGTTCTGAAGGCTAGCCGCAGTCACGGAACCAGCAAAAACTAGATCAAGAACAGTCTTAGGCGGGACTGTTAGATAGACTGCAGATGATTAAGTAAGAATCAAAATCACTTACCGGTAACCAACAACACGAGCATGATAACAATGCGAAACCTTCTGGTAAAACTACCGAGCCATGTTGAAGGACGCGCGTTGAAAGACTCTTTTCATTTGGAGTTGAATTCGTGGCTTCCTTTTTAACAGGAGGGCAATTCTCACACGACATCTTTGATAGGAACTTTTTCCTGAAAAAGCTGGGGGTTATTAATTTTATGTGGTTGACGAAAAGGGTTTACTGGTTTCTTTATAGGTGTCCTTTGTGGAGCAGGGATGAGGCTGGGGCTGGAATGCGGCATTTGCTTTTCCGAGAATCCCCACACTTTTGATGTCTACCTACATGCCGTATCACATATATTATATTTACCATCTATGCAAAGATGTCCAATTTTGATATGCTACCTTGGATTAAATTTCCTTTTGTTGAAATGAACCGCTATAATCCAGGCCGATATGCAAGGCTGAGGCTTTCATCAAAGCAAGGGGTTGCAAGGATAGATTTATCAATAGAGCAACCATCATTCTCACTAGAATGGGATGCGGATTCTTTTGGGAACCTTCAATAAAAAGCGGCCTCTACAAGTTGAAAGCAAATTCTACTTCGAAAAGTTTGCTGCTATCCGTGCATGGCCTCTGGATTCCTAAGAGCATTCGAGCGTACATGTTCTCTCTTCAAAAGACAGGCCTCCCTAAACACAACGTTTTCTCGAGGTTCTCAACCCCCCGAAAGACACGCGGTCAATAATAATCAGGGAATACCCGGATCATGCGACCACGACGAAGATGAAGACGGACACAGCGGCAAGCAGTGAGGTGCGCCCATCCCCAAACAATAATCATCACCCCCCAGATCATTCGATACCATGCCCCATTCCAACGACAACCCCACCAGAAAATTCCATCAAATAATATGAAAAGTCCCAAGGCTCGGAACATGCCGTCAAACGTATCGAGGTACCCGTCGCGGAAGATGCGGATCAAGGCTACACATAAGCCTGCGAGAATCCATTGTAGGATTTCCCAAATGACAAAGCACGAAGGTAGCATCCGCTGCCGTACGGTGTGCTCCGGGCCCTCGATGAGTAGGTCTAGTGATTGATAAAGAGTGTATAGCACGGCGAATAGAGGGGGGAGTTTGTGGAAAAGTTCGTGGAAAAGATTTTGGAGGATATCGTGGAGACTCATATTTGCTGGCTTGGCTTCACGGATAGAGGATTAGATACTTTGAGATTTTTGAGGTATGCAGTTGAAATGGTATAAGAGGATAGTTTAGAAACGTACATAACGCGAAAGGTCTGGCTATTTATAAGGGCAAAGTCCAACTGATTGGCAAATACATGTTGACTGCGACAAACGAAACAACAAACACCACCCACAATTTCACTTGTTATTATTCATTTGCTCATTGCCTTTTCTTTGGCAGTGCCACTTTTCTTGGTCTTTCCAAACTTCTTTCATTTACATGTTGGGCTGTGGCATGTAGAGTGGAAAGCCATTCTCGTCATAGGCACCGAATTCGTCCGCCTTGAACATCAGCCAATGCTTTTTGCAAGACGTTTTCCATCAATAACTGTATCAAGCCCGGTTGATGCTTGCAGTACCAAAGATAGCTTCAAGATCCAGCATACGCGTCGCTGTTGCTCACAAGCATATCATTAATTTATAAATACAGAAACAAACAGCATAATGACCGTTTCTATTTTCAACACTCTCGAGAATTCAACCCATTCGAAACCACCAACAATATTATCGCCTTAGTTGCCGGTGCCACAGGCAACATCGGTCAACACCTCATCACCTCTCTCCTTTAACGCTCCCACCAAGTGCGCAGTCTCGGCTGTAACCCGTTCAAGCTCTCCACGTAAACCTTTACCACCCTAGAAAGCTTCGTCGAAAGCTCCTCATGGGCCGATATCCAAGCTCTGGCCACCGCTTGCCAAGGAGTCGATGCCATGATCTGCGCCTATAGCGGCGTCCACGAGCTCCAACTCGAAGACCAGCTTTCGCTCATCCGGGCCGCAGAACGCGCCGGCGTGCGTCGTTTCGTCGCCGCTAGCTGGAATTACGTCTGAAGCGACATGACCCTCGGCCAGCATGAGAATTACAATCCGTGCATCTGGCTTCGGAGCCATGTCAATCTCAGCGTTTTTATTTGCCCCATCTATAATTTCCGCGGGGTGTTGGCGGAGGTTCTCTTCTCTGTACCCGGACACGAGGAATTCTCGCCGGCTAATCGTGGCGTTTGGGATCCGGAACGGAAAATTCTGGAAATCTGGAGCGCTAAGAAGTAGATCGGACATTGAACGACGGAAAAGGACACTGCAGAGTTTGCAGGAGAAATTGTGCGCCGAGATGACGCTGAAAGGGGCGGGTTCTGGACCGTGGCATCGGATGAGCACTCGTTTAGACGGGTTGCGGATGAGTACTCGCGCGTGAAGTCCAAGCATGTGCACGACCTCATTTGGGGATTTTCTTATGGAGAACCCGCAGATATAGACATCCTCTGCATATCGGTACCGACTGGCGGCCAACGCAAGCTTTTTGTGTGAAATATTAAAGGTGCTTCCAGTCTTTCACCAGTCAAAACTTCCTGGCATGCGCGACTTCTGTTCCTCCTTCTTATTCTCCATGGCTCCCTCGCCCCACCGCTCCCTCCAACATGCCAGCTCCTCTTTCCAAAGATCGTTTACGCAAGGATCGCACGAGCTCCCGCAGCACTCGCCCAGACCCGGCGGCGGCGGTGGATCGTCATGGGCACGTTCGGCCGCGCGCACCAGCTGCTTGGTGCGGGTGGCTGTCAGGCGCTTTGCATTTTTGATCCGGGGGACCTCTTTAGGCGTGTATAGTGGAGCAGGAGACATGCTTGGTTTTGAACTGGTTAGGTGGAAGAACGGGATCTCTTTTGCAGTTTATATTCATCAGCCGAGGATAGAGGGGTAAACATTCTACCGGTCATTATCGTGCTTAGTCATATCTTTATAATTGGTCGGTTAACAGCCAAAGGACTTGGATAGCTTCATGATGTTCAATGCAACGATCTTTAAGCTTTGTTTCCGCTTAAGCGCCGGGGGGGGAATCTTCGTAGGGCCCAGCACGTCTCAGTGAGCTAATTTCCGATAAAAAACGTCTTTCCAAATCGGTTCGGAGATCCGCCTTCTCGGTCTCCGAAAGCAAATCCGAAGATCCGAATCTTCATACAAGCGATTAAGCTATGATCCAGAGAAACTGAAAAAAGATTTGTGAAGAAAACAAAATCCGGACTTAACGGCCCTTCTGCCCTGTATTTGTATTTATCATTCGTGGTTGGATTCAGGAAAGTATCCATTCTCCTGTCCAAACAAATCAGTGACATCAATAAACATGCCACTCTTTAGGAATCTTCTCCTCAAAGGCCTTCCAGCTGGTGGAGTGCTTGCAACGACAAGTTTTTTCTACACTACCCGTCACATTGAATTTGTCCCATTGTCTTCTTCAGATCCAATCCTCCATTCCGAATATCACAGAACCTATAATCCCTCCGGCAATCCGACCATCCATGACTTGCACGTTCGGAGGATTCCAATTTCGCAAATAGATCCTGCCCTTTTTCAAGACAAGCAGAAGCTTCTTGAACGATACTGCGGCGGAGTTTGGGCCGGACTTGGTAAATCTCCTTAATCTGACTTCATCTGGTTAAATTTAACTGCTAATCAAGATATCGCGAAGGCTTCGCAATCCAGCGCATCCTCCTAACATGTTTCCATAGAACAGCAGCTACCAAGCAGCAGCTTTGGTCCCCGTCCGAGCTTCTTGAATCCAAATTTGAGCCTGGAACCATGATCGTCGATCACTTCAATGTCTTGGAGAAGACGGGGAGCTCAATTCTCATCCGGGGCGGCGATGTAGTCTCGAATCAGGGCCTGCGGCCTTTAGATGCGCTAATGGAAGTTAGTGTTAAAGTAAAGCCAGACGAAGAGGTTGTTGAGTTTGGCTTCAAGACGCTGTTCTTCCAGGGACTTGGAAAAGCAGAAGGGTCGCTGATGCCGGCACCGGCCGTTTGGTTGCATGAGCAGTACGCCAAAGCGATGCTGGAGTCGGGGGTGCGATATGTCCTGCAATAAGATCCAGGGTTCAGTATTAGAATGAGTCACCGGATCCACCTTTGTATGATTAAATTCAGTTGTATGCCTATTATCTACGCTACAACCTAGAATAAAGTATAGAAGCCCGAGTCCGCCAAGACCATCAGTCAGCGGAAGAATCTCGACTCCTCCAAATGACTAAATCCGACGCGTATAACTTCACGAGTTCACTTGTTTCGCCAGTTCCCCTTAACTGGGCTGTCCACCTAGTTTGTCGAATATTCGGCGCTTCAGATCGATAGTTTAATGCCATCTCAAAAATTACCACCTAATGACTGGAGAAATATTACCTGCCGTAAGTGCGAACGCTGACGTCGACTTCCCCTATTCGCGTAAGCTTACGGTCAAGCAATTTACGGACACGCTAACGGACCGTTAGTGCGATCTGTGCTATTCGAGAAAAGTGAAATGCGACAGGCAGGAAAGGTGCTCGAATTGCGCAGATTCGGGTGTGGAATGTCGACGGTTACGGCCTCATCGGCCTGCGAAGCCGAAATCTCTGTCGGGGTATGTTAGCTGCAGGCCAGGACTTCAGATGAAGCTGACATCACCAGGGTGTCGGCTCTTGAGGAACGGATTTTGAATTTGGAGAAAGTAGCTTCTAGCTCACACAGGTAATTTCCCCGTGGTATCTGGTCTGCGTTGGAACAAATCATTTGACAAGTCTCTACAGGACCAGCCTGAGTCCAATTAGTCATATTCATGAGGCAGAAGATGAACCGCATTTAAAAAGAAGAAAGCTTGAGCATAATTCTCCACACAGCAGTGCGCCTCACGGCAACACTGAATCAATCGGAGGCCCGGATGACTCTACTCATCATGCCAAAAAGGCCAGGGCTATCATCCAGAATGAGCTTGAGGGGACTGAGAACATCAGCCGTGAGCGATGGACAACGCTCAGATCCGCTCTGAACGTTGTTGATAGGATGAGCAAAGGAGACAGTAACTCGGAGCCAGACAAGGATTTACCGCCCGAAGTGGCGAGTCAAGACCCCGATATCGTTGTTCCTAATTCTCCTCCGACAGAGTTACTGTATATGCTCCTTCGAGGTAATATGTTAGGAACCCTTGAATTTGGAATCTGCTAACTCACGGAGAATAGAACCCACAGTCACAGAAGAATCGGGAAATCGCCTTATATGGCCAGATCATATATCAGAAAAGGCACTTGAGAAAATGATAGTCTATCTTCTAGAGAACGAGTCCCGGGGGCAAGTATTTCATCAATACTGCGTTTGTGTCTACGTGAAAGCAATTTCACGTCTGTATAATGTTTCAAGGGTGTCCGAAAACAAATCAATTCACCGGCATCTCGCCAATTCCAGGAAGATATATGAAGCGGCCGCGATTCATGCTCTTAAGCAGCTTGACATCCTTGCCATGCCGAGTCTTGCTTTAATACAGGCATTACTGTCTGCTGTACGTTTTTATGTTCCCGGACACCCTTAAGCTGTGGCACTGACGTTCTTCACTCAGGGCCTTTTGATGCAATCGTTGGGACGAGCGAATCACTCATGGGTACTCACGTCCTACGCTGCTCGCTTGATAGTCTCTCTGAACTATCACGAAATTAGCGATCCTTCGCAAGGGGAAGAAGAAATTAAGAGTTCTCTATATTGGTGCTATTATGTTGATCGAACTCTCAGCGCTCTCCTGATTCGACCGCCGTCACTACCAAATCTTCAAGTATCTCCCACTGATCTAGTTAGGATGGATACATCGGTGCCGTACACGCCACTCATCCGCATCATCATAGATCTAGCTCAAATTCAAGATCAGCTGCTCGACATCTCGCTCAACGGAAAGCACAGAAGTCCTAGTCAAGTCCTCGTCCACTGTCAAGGTCTGCAGGAAAGGATGTGCATTATACACAACAACTTGCAAGCTGTAAGTCTCCCGCTGCTATCCGGAGGCGAAGTGGGACTAATATAGCTCCAAGGGCCGCGACTCCATCCCTGAGTTGATCATGAGCGACTGGGTATCTGTCGATTTCTGCTACTACGCCATTCTCGTCGAGATCCTACGAACACGCCTCCGATACGCCCCTAGTCCACTTACGCATCGAGAATGTCTCTCATACGCCCGAAGCTCATTGAAAGCGTTCCAATACCTCCAAAAACACGTCAACGAGCTAGATTGCGCTCCGTACCCATTCTTTCTCACATGGTTTGCATCCCCACCTCTAAACCTACCCAGCAGTTGATTCTCAACTAAATGCGATAATCAGGACCATGTTCATGTACCCTCTCAGCCCATTCTTCGTCCTCATCTGCAACATCATCGGAACCCTCGATAAAGACGACTACCATCTCATCCGCAACATCACTCAAGGCCTCGCCCAGTTCACCGAAAGTCCCTACGTCGCCAAGATGCTTAGCCTCCTGGCTTCTCTGCAGCAGCTCTGCGAGCCCTTATTACACACCGTCGATAGTCAGGACGCGCCACCGCCTCAGGGGCGACGATGGTATCCATCGGTCACGGCCACGTCGGAGCCTGAGACCTCAGTTCCTACGCACAATGCTACTGCGTACGGCACCGAGAACATGTCGGTGTCTTCATCAGCGGCGGCTGTTGGTGCGCCGACGGAGCTATGGATGCAGGGACAGTATCCGGCTGAGGTGACGCCTTCGACGGAGGGTATGATGTGGCAGTTGTTCAATAGTCAGCTTTCGTTGGGGCTGTTTGAGTCGGATTACATGGCTTTTGGGGCTGGTTGATCGGTGGGTTTCTTGGGTTGTGTATGTTGATAATGTGTATAGGTTTCGGTTTGGGGCTGATTGCGTCATTCGGTCGGTTCGTTTGTCGGTGTAGTGGAAGCGAGTATTTCGGGCTTCACCGTGTTATTCGGAGTACATTTCTGGAGTTGGGAGTCTACTTATATAATAACACTCAATTGGACATACACTAGCACAAGTACTTAATCTCAACCTACAGATAGATTCAAGTTCCAGCCATACTTCCGTATCCTCCAATCAATCGCTCGAGACAGCCATTCACATGACCAAGATCACATGATGCTTGTTTTCAGACCGCGGGCTTACCTCATCGCAGCAAACCCAGCAAACAACATCCAAACTCATCAAACCAAACAAACAGAGCAAAATAGACCCAAAAGAATCTCTTCCTCCGATGAGATGGACGTCAATAACCATTTTCTGATCCATTAATCACGCAGGGAGCGATAGATAAATGAGATAAAATCAGAACCACCGACGCGACGACCGGACCTGCATCTTCAATTCCCGCCTCTCACTGGTCCGAACCCATCGGCTCTTGGCTGCGTCTAGCCCAGGGCAACAGAAGCTAAGCTGCAAGTCTTACCGAGGGTCGGAGGGTAGAACTAAAACAAGGACCAAGGGAAATATCGCATATTCAGGGTTGGATCTGTCAGGTGAAAAATTCTTCATGCAGGTTGGCTGCATAAACCTACACAGGGCAGGGTGCAGCTAACTACATACAATAACATGAAGCTACGAAGCTGCTATTGCACTTATGAAATTTGTTCTGATCTGTGACTATCGGCAAACTCCGTGTAGTCCGTACAAGGATCAATTTCTTCTCCCAATTTAAGGGAGTGCAAGCGTAATCATGGAAGGGAACGGACTGCGGCATAAGGCCAAGCACAGGCAAGCTGGGTGAACTGAACCGGACCTGACGGCAACGGTGACGTTCACGATCCGGATCGCCGAAGCCAGGATCCACCACGGCAGAAGCCAGAAGGGCAGAACTGAGAGGTTGGGAAAGGAAGGGCCCCAAGGGAGGAATGGGGGTGTTTCATCACCTGCAAAAGTCGAGGACACATCGACACGTCGGATGGTGAATTGTCTATCTGTCTATCTATCTACACCGTAATCTATGATTGAATGAACGTGTCGAGGATCAGAAAAGCTACCCAGGGAAGAACGGATAGAAAGGGCCGTGTGTAGACCGAGACCCGAAAAAAAAAAAAAAAAGACAGTGCACATACCATGCAGTGCGTGTCCCCAAGAGCTACCCTCCGGTCCGTTCTCACGTCTCAGGCTCGTCTCACATTCCATAATTTTAATGAAGGCTACTCCGGCAAGGAGGCGCGTTCATTCCGGTCCTGCCACCGCTATTCCTGGCGACGCTTTGTTGTTGTTTTTCCTTTTCGTTTTGGATTTTCCTTCCTTTCCGGCGTCGTACGGTGACCGGTGTAGAACTGTAAATGGTCTAGTCTACTCTAGTTCTAATCTAGCTTAAGCTGAGCTTTGTTCTCGTGTCCATCTGCCCTGGCTGTTTGTCTCCATGTCTGAGCGGGAAAGGGAGCTAGGGAGGGAAGGGAGCTACCACGAACAATCCGGAGAAAGCTGCCAGCTAGCTCCAGCAGAGCAAGCTGGATGGCAGATGCCAATTCATTATTCAATGGTTCAAGGATAGCAGAGATTCATGAAGACACGTAAGAAATGGAGGGAAAGTCCGGGGTAAACCGCCCCAAGGGAGAGAAGAGTGCACGTATCAATTTCGATCCCGAATTCCTTTCAACCCGTTCCCAATTTCCCCAAAAAACCGAGAAAAAGCGTGAGAATAATACAATCATTGAAGATGGCGGAGAAAAACGACGTCAGTGACAAATGAAAGGTGGCTCAAAGGAGTTTTAGTGGCCATTTTAAACTCTATATGTACAAAATGTATTCGGATGATAGATGAGACGGAATTGTAGTACATGATATATAAAAAGACCACCACAAATTACCTCCTTCACGAGAGAACCAAATGACCGGAAAACCCCGTCCGCAGAGTTTTCGAAAAGCGAGCACGATGATTTCCCGACACCAATTCCCCCAAGGACTTGACAAAAAGAGTTTGCGTGGACGCCCACACGGTGCTCCCCGGGAGGAGAAACAGTCGTAAAGAATCCGCCCCCGACCAGCTCTCTTTTATAAAACCATGATATTTCAGATACTTTAGACGTACTTGCACATCATGGCAACCATCAGGTCGAACAGACCGATGGCCTCGACGAAGGCGAAACCCAGAATGGCGTAGGAGAAGAGCTGGCCACGGAGAGCAGGGTTGCGGGAGACGGCGAGCAGGAGGGCACCGAACACAACACCGATACCGATACCGGCACCACCCAGACCGATGGCGGCGGAACCCATACCAATGTTCTGGGAGACCTGGACCATGGCGTCGGCGATCTCAGAGGAGTACTGGCGGCGGGCGGCCTGGTTGGCGAAGACCTGGCGAGCGTTGGCCTGGATGAGGCTGGAGGGCTGCTGGCGCTTGAGAGTCTGGAAGGGGGTCATGGGGATGGTCTTCTTCTGGGAGGTGAAGGTACGCTTGGGGACGACAGCGTTGACGCGGGTGGCCGGGCGGGCGACCTTGGAGGTCGCGGCCATGGTGGAGGCCATGCGAGAGGCGAAGATACGAGTGGAGGACATTGTGATGGTTTGGTTTGTGGTGGTTTGGTTTTTTTTTGATGGTTTATGAGAGGAGTTGGAAAGGGTAGGGAGGGAGGAAGAACTTTTTGGGAGGGAAAAAAGCTGGAGAAGTTGACAACAGAGGCCTAGCAGGACATAAATACTCTCCCGCTAAATTTTCGTCTTTTTTGTGTCCACCCACCGTCCCCGTCGGTCTTAGTGCGCCTGCGCGGGTTGGGAAAAAAGCCCTACCTGCCACTAATGGTCCGTTTAGGCCTACGTGGTGTATCTCCCTATCCCTATTAATTCCCATGCCCAATCCGCTTTTCCACGCACATCCCTCTCTTCCCTACTTTCTCCCCTCGCCCTCGCCCTGGCGACGCCTGCGACTTATCGGGTTCGTTCGGGATGGGGCCAAGGGAGGATTCTTTCTGGTCCAGCCAATTAATCAGGGACTTTGCCGGCCGCGCTGCTCCGCGGATGGAGCTGAAGGTGAGCAGTCCACGAGTCCCGAGTCGTGATTTGAGTCCACCGGTGATCCAATTGACCCATATGGTGGTTGGGGGAGGGTTGACGGTGGAGTTGTTTCCATGGCAATTGAAGCTTCTACAGTCTTACTCCTACATTCTTTCCTTCCCTCCCTCCCCTGGGTTAGCCAATTGTCCAACCTCCCTTCCCATCAGCTCAACAATGAGCCAGTGCTAAGGATGGGAAACAATTTTCTACGGTATGTGAAGTGAGCTCAACGCGGTCATTCAAAAAAGAGAGAGTTCCAAGTGGGTCCCGAAGTTCTCGACTGGGTCCGATAAAGTGGTATAGACCCACATGGCGTTGGACCGGAATCCAATCAAAGCAGGCAGCGCGCATGCTAATTTCTGGATTTCTTCTCGGACTCAAACCCACCGGGCCGAATCGGGTATGCGGCTCCACTGCATCCGGACTTCCCTGGCAAAATAACAGTTCTCTTTGGTTGTCGTCCCGATGGAGCTGGTGGATATTGGGCTTTTTTCGGCTGGATGGAAAAAAATAATTTCGCAGGCGTCTTCCCTCGGGAAAGACGCAGCAAACCTGGATAAAAATGAAACCAAGAAAACCCTCCGACCTCACCGACTGTTCCCTATTTGGAACGTCTCGGAATCCGTCAGGAATGCTGACCATCCACAGCAGCTCCCCCAATCATCCACTTCTCACCCGAGCTTTTCTCCCTGGCTCTTTGAAAGGGCCGATGATCTAGGAAGGGTTGGTCAGAGGGTCAGATGGACGTGTAACCCCTTCCGAGGGTGGTTGTCCGGGTTATATATCTTTTTGGATAGATCAGAGAAAATCCTGCAGGGAGGCGCGCGCAGGCACCCAGACAAGAAAAGGGGGAAGGCGCTTCGCCGCGCCAGCGTCGCTAGCTAGGCAGATAGCCCAAGACGAAAACACTTCCGTCCGCGGCGTGACCTGAAAATTTTTCCTGCGATTTTCGGCCTCACTTTTTTTGTCCTTGGTCAGCACTAGCTTCCCCCGTCCACCGGAAAAATCCAACACGAAAAAGAAAAAGATCACATATCCACCAAATAGATCATAAACAATTGTCTGTCCTCCCTCATCCCAAAGCAGCTGGCAATTGACTCTACTTAAATAATCCCCTCTACCATCCCCCTTCCCCTGGGGATCCCACTTTTATTCTCCCCTATTAATCCGCTAGAGGTTCTGGCGATGATTTCATTTCAGCCGCCCTACACTCTTACGTAACCGGCATCCCTGCTCGCTCTCCGATAGGGAAATCTGAAATTACCCGTTCCCCCTTACTATCGACCACTTACATGCGGTATATGTAGATTCTGGCAGGGATGCGCCAGATGAACAGCTGCAAACCTGCAGTAGCTGGCTAGCTTAACCTCGCGCTTAACGGTTTCCGTCGTTTGCGGTGCCGGGTCTTTCCGATCGGGCTTGCCGGTTCGGAGGGCTTTTTCTTTCCCTTTCTTCGTTGTCACTGCCATTGAATCCAGTGAAATGGTACTCCGTACAAAAATAATATATAGATGATTATAATAAATCCAGTAGTTACCAAATCAATGGCTACAACAATAATTGATAACAAACAATTGAATTTGACCTCGGCGTTGGCGCTGGCCCGTTAAACAACACCGTGGCAGTAGCTGGGGGCCGCCTCAGGCAGTTGATTACCGTCTTCGGCTAGTGCCGCGGCCTCGGGCGTCATTCCCCCGGCCTGGAAAATCAGGAATCCCGCGGACAATTACCTCATGGCCTTGTCATCTCGTCTCACTCATCGGGACTGGAAATAGATTATTGGTTGTGGCAGTTAGGAAATATGAGGATGGAGGGAGGATGTATCTTATCTTTAATTTTACTGGATGTCTGATGGAGGGGGATTGTTGGTGCTTATTGTTGGATTGTAGAGGAATAGTACGGGTTATTTATATATCTGGGCGGGTTGCGGGATGGTCACGATGGGTTGGGTCTACTAAACGTTGATTAAATGTTGTCAAAGTACGGAGTATATTCAATCTGCTTTTGCATTAGCATTTCCCCAATGCCTTGGAATTGTAGATTTCCGTTCTCATCGCATCCTAATTCAAGTGCCCAAATCAAATCCACCATGGATGGGACCAGAGAACAGAGAGTATTAATGAAATGATCCTTCGCCCATTATCGACAAACAGAACAAACAGCTCATTGGCCACTCTCCAATATCTATCCATAAGACGTACCCACCTCACTCCCACTCGGTACTCGCGCCTCATACTCCAGCACAGTCCGCACCTCCTTGCCAGGCTCCAGCCGAATGCTCCATTTAATCTCCCCAGTTTTCCCCATGACGGCTGTTCCCTCCCCCACGTCTTCTCTCAGATCGAGGTCCGTCTCGCTTCCTTCCTCGGCGAGACCCGCCGGCTCGAGGATGTGCACGCGCAACTTGTCGTGCTCGCTCAATGGTACCTGATCCATCACGTTGACATCCACGGCCGTGTCCTTGGTGTTTTTGATCCAGCAGCTCCGCCGGAACACCGCTGCTTCTTCTTTCACGAAGAAGGAGCCCGACGCAGGCCGCACGGTGGGTTTGGAGTACTTCACCAGAATGGCGGGGTCACTTCCCAGCGAGAGGCTGAAGAACTCGTTGGGCGGGGTGCTGGGCATGGAAATCGCGCCTAGGAATGTTCCGTCCACGGACAAACCTACCTTGCCGCGTAACATATGCGCAGACGAGGTGTTCTGGATGCGCGCGCGGAGAAAGGCGGCGGTGCGATGCTTCGGCACGATGAGGTATGAAAGGGACATGGACTCCAGGTCCAGTTCGGCGAGGATATGACGTCGACTGACACTCGAGGGTATCACGGTGCGACGACCGGGAAGCTCATGGGTCGTGGTAAGCCCGTATTGTTGCGTGACCGAGTCCTGGTGGTCCAAGCTCTCGGCAGGCAATGCGGTCTCGTCTTCTTCATCCTCTTCATCATCTTCTTCACGCTCGAGCTCGTCTTCATCATACTCGGCATTGCCAAAATCTGCCATGGCCATGGGTGGTGGCGCTGCCGAAAATAGCATTTCAGGGGACGGTTGGGCCTGCTGGGCCTGCATTTGGGCGGTAGCGGCAGCATTTGAGGACCCTCTAAAAAGGGATCTTGCGCCACCGAAAAGACCCCCCGGCGCTGCTTGTTGAGGTGCTTGAAGTGCGGTCTGGTCTTGCTCCGCTTGCCTTGCCATCATCAGTCTCCTCTTATTTTGCTGTTCAAGCAACATCAGCTGCATCTCTTCATTCGATACAGGTGCAGGAGGCCGTTTCTCGCCAGCTTCGCCTCCACCCTTCAGGATTTTATGCCATGATGGTTTGTTAGTGACATTATCCTGATCTAGCTGGATGTGCCAAGCTTCCAGAGAAGGAACACGCTCGTGGAGACCAGAGAAGGACGCTTTCGAAGTCGACAGTGCCACTTGAGTATCGCGCCAGGTTTCGGAACTGGAATTACGGAATTCCGCGAGACAGGTCATCTGGGCTGTCGACGAAGGCGTATTGATATTCATCTCATATCGCGCCGCCCAGTGACTTCCAGGCAACACATAGGTCAGGAGGATCGTCACATCGGCTTCTGGTTTGGCATGTTCCACAGTCGAGTTCTCGTCAGCGACCGAGTTTCGCCGACTCGATTCAGGCGTAGGACCAGAATTGCTGTCAAGAGACACGCGCACCTGGCCGACATTGTTGGTCCAGAATTTCCGTCTTTCAAACCTTTCTCGCACTCGCTGCTGTCGTTTTTGTCTGCGCGCTCGCTGCTGCTCCTCCCGCGCACGATGGAAATCCTTCAGCGCCTCCTTTTTCGCTTTCTGCTGTTTCGATTCAAGCTGCTGCTTCTTTTTTTCAAGTTTCTCCAGCTCGTCCTCTATCTCGCGAAGCTCCACTTCGGCCGCGTGACTCGTGTCAGCCGCTTCGGAGCGCTGACGCGTGTACAGTTGCAGGAAGTCATTGACCTTGAAGAGATCCGTCGTCTCGGGACTCATGGATGTGCCGTATTTATCCAAGAACTGCAGCTTCGCAGCAGTCGCAGCTTTATTATCGGCGGCCTTCGACTTTTTCGCCTGGGCACGAGCAATCTGCTCTCGAGTGGCCAGCAACTCCGAGTCGTCAAACCCGTAGTCTATATCATCTGGGTCTTCATTGCCATCGTCGTCGGTGTCAGAGTCCTCGGGGTACACGTCCGTGAAGTCCTCTCGTCGCCGGATGATTTGCGTTTGGATGTCTGTTATGGTCGCGGGGCCGCTTCCTTCGATACGGATCGAGTCGACGTCGATTTTCGGATCTAGGCCGTAGATTGTAACTTCATTTTGACCCGGCTGGGCAATGTTAGCATCGGTGCTTCTGCTGTCCATCAGCAAGAGAAGAAACATACCTGGACCGTCGTGAGAATCTCCCGAACGACGGTGGCTTGATCACTCGTGAAAGTGACTAATTTAGTAGGGATATCAGCAATCAAGACTTCCTTCGTAGAAACAGCCGCCATGATTGATGTTTTTCAGTTGAATCGATGCTTGGAAACAGAAAAAAAGGGGACTGAGCCCGCTACTTATAAGCTGGGGCCATAGCGTGAATAAATGCGGGGGTAAGCACCGCCACTTAGGCTGCTGAGCATCTTTGTGCAACCAGGCTGTGTATTGTTTTAGTTGCCTAGTACCTAGTGTATTCGATTGACGTTGAAGTTGCCACAGGAAAATAGAGACAAACTCTGTTGCCCTGTCGCTACTCGCTAGGTAGTACTCGTCAGGCAATCAAATATCCACCTTTGATAGCTCTGAGGATGGACTCCACTTGGTGTTGATTTACGTCATTGCAGCTGATAGCTATACACCGTACAACTCTCACCAGTGAGGTTTTGATGCCAGTTTTTTGATGAAAGCCAATTTTTCATCTCCAGCCGGGAGCATTATAGTAAAGCGAACAAACAGGCTATGGCGTTGCTGTACTGTAGACTGTGTACACAGTGTACCTGCCACATTTGTGGCCTTCTGGATCAGGCACCTTTCAGCCACAGTGAGTCATCATCTGAATTAGCTAGCTGACTGCGCCACATTGGGCTTTCCCTAGATTGGATTAGAGCCTTTTGCCGTTTCGATGCCTGAGGCTTCACTCTGTCATCTGCTATCTGTGCTACCCTCACGAGGCTTCTTCCTTGCTTCGTCTTTCTTGCGTTGCCATCAACCTAAAACTGCCAGTTTCATCAAAAACCCATATCTCTAACACTTTGTCGAAACGTCAGTCTGTCAATCTTAAGAGCTCTACAATGGCTTCTATTGTACGAACAATGGACCTCATCTGCAATTGAATGGGCTATGAATACTACATGATTTATTTACACACTTTTCTTGCTCCACTGGTGGGTCAACGCCTTTCCAGGCCGGTTCTTCTCCTCGAACAGCTTCTTCGACAACTGCCGATACAAGAACAAACTACCCCCATGGTACCGGATACCATGGTCGGAGTCGGTGAACCATTGCGCCTGCAATTTATCAGGCGTCACGCCCTCACCAACCAGAAGGTCCAGTAACGCGGCAGCGTTTTGGAAATGCACGTTGTCATCTCCCGTACCGTGCTGAATGAGGAATCCTCCGCTAACACTCTTGAACCCATCAGCATTGTGGACGGCGCTGGTGTTGTATCCGCCCGCATTGGTGGCGAGCGTCTTCATGTACCGCTCGGTGTACATGGAGTCGTAGAAACGCCAATCGGACACCGGAGCCGTGATGAGACCGAGAGAAAACGCGCCGCTGTTGGTCTCGAGGACTTTACTGGAAAGGTACCCGCCGTAGCTCCATCCCCAGATGCCGACGTGGTCTCCATCAATAAAGGGAAGCTTGGCTGCCTCTCTAGCGGCATAGACCTGGTCTTCGGCTTCAAGAAGACCCAATTGGCGGGTGACGCTAGACCGGAACTTGCGACCTTTGTATCCAGTTCCACGGTTGTCAACAGTCCAGGTCACGTATTCGAGCTCCGGGTCGGAGGCGATATATGCGTTGAAGCCAACGGATTGCCATGCTTTAGACACTTCCTGCGCTCCGGGTCCGCCATATGGGGTGAAAAGGATAGGATATTTCTTATTGGGAGAGAAGTTGACCGGTAGACGCTGCATGACGTTGAGCTTCTCCCCCGAGGTGATCTCCAGCTCGAAGTAGCTAATGTTGGGCAGTGCATAATCCTTGATCAAATCAATCACAGCCGAATTGCTAGTGATGGTACGCAGGGGTTTGGTCTGGTTGGTGGAGTAGAGCTCTTGGTATGGCACATCGGGGCCCGAATACGACAGAATATAATAGCCTGACTTGGACGAGAAAGACGCGCCCCAGTACGCAGGGACGGTGTCATCAACTAGTGGGGTGATTTTGAAGGTCCGGTAAGAGACCGAGTACAGATGACGCTCCGTACTGTGGTGCTGAGTCGACAAGTAGTAGACCAGCTGCCGCTTCTTGTCAATACTGAGAATTGATGTAACCTCCCATTCTCCCTTGGTCAAGGCAATGGGCTCGCCACCCGAGAGGGGGAAGAGCCACAGATGCGCCCAACCCGACTTATCGGAAATGTCGATATAGTATGACGACGACGAATTTCTCGAGTTGATGGGGCCGAGATATGTGATGGACAGGAGATTATCTAGCCAACCATCCGTGCCATCTCGCTCGTTGATCACCGAGGTTCGGCTCGTGGCAACATCCACAGCGACTACCTTCTGCTCATCCTGGACACGGTTGAAGGCTTTCACGGCCAACTTGTCGTGCGAGTCGGTGAGCCAGGCCACTTCGCCAATAATCAACTCACTAGGATCAAATGCGTCAATTGGCACAACAGACGAGTCTTTGGAGCCCAACTCCAGGAGGCTGAGCTGGACAGCCGGGTTGGTTTGTGACACCTTGGGATAGCGGATGTCCAGCTCTCGAGGATACGGCGGAGCGATCTCTTGATTGTCCATATAATATGGTACTGTGAAGGTCGGTACGCCGGTTTCATTGAAACTCAGAAAGGCAAGGTACTCTCCATCCGGTGAGAACCACAAGGAGAATCGGTCTCCCAGGATTTCCTCTTCATAGATCCAGTCGGGGACACCATGGAACAGGTCCGGTCCCCCATCCTCAGTGATTGCTGTGGTCGTGCCATTGATCCAAGTGAACAAGTTGTTGTCACGAACGAAGGCAATGGAATTTCCGACCGGACTCCACTGCGCGTACTGGATATCCCCCACCTGATCAGAAACCAAGGCGCTCGATTCCAAAGACTCAACATCCTGGATGAAGTAGTTTGCAAAGAACGAGTGCCTGTACTGCTTGGTATAATTGGTGGCCCATAGCACCGACGACAAGTCGGGCTTGATCCAGTAGGTATACGCATCGGCAGGCACCTTGTCGGCCGGAACGAGAGTCGTGGTTTTGTTGGTGACAATGCTCTCAATCTTGAGGCTGCCGTCGGAGTCCTGATAGACGTACTCCCCATCCTGGGCGGTCGCGATCCATTCCACTGAGATGGATGAGGGAGCAATTGCTCGGCTCACCACGGTCTCATTGAAAGTCAATCGCTTATTGCCGCCGCCAGTGGGCGCGTACGGTTTTCGCGGCACTTCGATGGCCTGTGTGAGGCCAGCCAGGAGCAGCAACAGAGCGGCGGACTGAAACAATCATTTAGTCATCGCAACAAGAAAAGGAGAAAGCGACCAGGCAACAGCAATTGAGCGCTTACCTTCATAATGACGGCGTCAGACTGACTTGTGTTTGTCGGCCTGTCATTCCACCCCTGCGGGAGGGGAATGCGCTGGTTAAGTAAACAGACGAAGGATTTCCCCGCATACTGCAACTAGGAGCCCTTATCAGCATCACGTCTCCTGCATTAGTGCATTCAAGGTTTAGCTCCCAGATCCCTCCTGCCTTTTTGTTCACACGCCAAGCAGGTCATTTCCTCGCCGGTGATACCCGTCGCAGGTAGCACGAGGCTATTGGCGGTCTTTCTGGTTAGTGCTGTAACCCAAGACTTCTGCCGTGATTTACGTGAATTGTCACGACGATAACGAGTTGGTTTAATCTATTGCAAGAAATCATGCCAGAACGAGGGCCTGGTGTGTCATTTTAACTCAAACAATGGATTAACACTGATTAGGATACATTGACTATGTCGCTGAAGCGTCCCATTTGCTCGAAGTCTTTCAATCGCTTGATTCCTGGCGGCATAGTCCCTAATGTTTGATTAATCTGCAGGTCGCCGCTATGATCCAGGCGATGCATGCATGTCCATGTCCTGCGGTGTTCCAACGGAGGTTTTCCACTGCAATCTCTTTTATGCTTGGAAAATCCACGAATGCCTGTCAGGTCCTAATAGGGATTTGTCATCCTTTATTCTCGACCGGAGCCCCTTGTGAGTTCGAATATGCCAATCTCATCCGAACAATACGATTGTTCGGTCTTGGAATAGACTTGAAACCAAGCCAACAAGTTTGAGGCATTAGCGATTGCGAGACATCGCCCCGAGTGTCATCTTGAACATACTGGTCTATTTGTGTTGTCGAACTAAGGGATTCAAAAGTATTTCGAACCATCTGCGCCTTCTAATTTCTACCCAGGACAAAAAGATTCTATTCCAAGCTCACGGGAAATCTGTCGCACCAAGTCTGTCTTACACAGTGCCTCATGTCATTGCAGCTCAAACACATGGCTTGTACTACACCCCCTTTCTCATCAAATCCACCATCAGCTTCAAATCCCTCTTCTCTCCAGCTGGCTCATATTTCCTCCACATGGACTTCCACAACACATACCCCCGCCTCTCATACCATTCTGGAACACAGAAATCCAAGTATCCAGGCGGCAAGATCTCCCTCGCCGCGTCCCACAACGGATCCTTCTCCTTGAAATGTCGCTTGCTCAGCGTCGACAACGTGATATACTTGCAATTGGGACTACCGTAGGGCTCCGTCGGCGCCAATGCCTCCAGCAAATCCATCGCTTTGTGGCCCAGCCCGAGACGCTGGTATTCGGGCTTGATGAAGAGATTCTGAACGATGAGTGCGGAGCGATCAGAATTGGCTAGGAGCGGGTCGTTCAGGTCCGAATATGAGTCGAGGGATATGTGTCCTGCTCGGATTGCTTGCTCGCTGTCGCTGTCGCTGGATCCGGAGTCGGAGATACCGTCCTGTGGTAGTGTGATGGTAATCCAGAAGAGCGATTTCAGTCGTTGGTCGATTTTACTGCGCCAGTGCAGGAGATGCGCGGGGTCATTATCCCAGCCGCATTGAATGCGTTGAGCGAGCAGCTCTGCAAATTGATTCCGATCGTGAAGGTTGATGGGGACGAGCGCCGTTGTAGTCATGTTGAGTCCTGGGTAAGATCGAATGCAGAGCGCAAAGACTTGCAGCAGCGGTCATTGGTATTCTTAAAATTATTGCTGGAGCAGCGCGAGCGAGCGTGTGCCTGGTTATCGCAATTAGTCGAGTTTCAACTTCGCAGTGTGTGATTTGGAGCCTGTATGGCAAATCCTCATGCGGTGCGCTGATTGGCGAATTCGTCTTCTTAGCTCCTAATCCATGCATCTGACAGATTTCTGTTAGTCATTTCATAAACACCTTCAAACTCGAGTCTGTATAGATAATATCATGATCTTATATGCCCGGCCATAGATGATAGTATACGGCTTGAAACTGGGGAAGCAATTGGAGGCTCGAGGACTGAACAATACGCAGGTCGAGCTTGGTGTGTCCACTATAAGTCTTGGGCCATGAGCAGCAGAACACTGGTCGCAGTTCAGGGATCGGAGTATCCGGTGGAATGGAGTGGCCTTTATACAACATTTGAACTGGAACTAGAAAAAAGGAGAAGAACAAAAAAGAATGAACAAAAGAAATCTAGACCTGCACCGACACCGAGCGACCGAAGACGCTCACATCTCCACAATCCGGCCCCCGCAAAAGCCGACCAAAAGCCGACAAAATCCGCTAGCCTGGCAATTCCTGCTCATCAGCGGGCGAAAATAGCATACCAACTGTGTAAAACGGCTCGAAGTACCCAGTTTGAGCTTTACCAGCCCGGTTATCCCCCGATCGACAGTGCATGGTCTGATCGTCCCTCAGGGAAGAAGTAGCACTACTATGACGTCATGAACTTGGAGGTAGGTATAAAGCCTCGTCAGCCCCCGGTTTCTACTTTCTTTTTTGTTTCTTATCCTCTATTCCATCTGAACATTCAATCTCTCATATACACAAATACACAAAATGGCCTCATATCCTCCAGGAGTTCGCGTCGCCCAGGTAGTCGGCCTAACTGGCTCTGCCTGGTTAGCTGGTAAGTGATTGATGACCTCGCCAACATACCTCCTCCACGCTCAAGGAACAACACCCCCATCAACGCATAAACTAAACTGAATTCTCAGGAAACATCGCGGCCCTAAGCGTAAATGCCATCCCCGCCCTCCTCAAATCCCACCACGAAGACAACACGCCCCTAAACATCATCCTGCGCCAATACCGCAACCTCTACGACAACGGGCACGCCCAGAACCCACCCATCGCTGTCCTCACGGCCTCAGCGTTTGGATATCTCGCGTACGCAGTGCATAACGGCGTCTCGGTGTCTGCGTTGACGACGCGCGAGAGCGCCATCTTGTATGTGGCGTCGGCGGTCCTGACGGTGGGCATTGTGCCGTGGACGGTGGTGGCTATGACGGGGACGAATAAGGCGCTGTTGGCGAGGGCGGATTCGGGGGCGGTGGTTGAGAAGGAGGATGAGAAGAGGGAGGTTCTTGGAGGGTTGGAGAGGTGGGTTGTGTTGAATGGAGTGAGGAGTTTGTTTCCGCTTGTTGGGGGCGTTGTGGGTGTTGTTGCGGGGATGGGGTGGCCTGTTCTTGCGTAGGGGTTTGAACGTCCTGCCCGAGCTCTGTATAGTTTAATATAATTTTGTTGTATTTGTTGTGGGATTCCGTGGTGAGGTTGATGTAGATGATATATGATGGAGTGTTCTTCCCAAGAGACTCGGGGCCCATCTATAGGATTGGCGAGGTCATTGCACGCTTCTATTCAGAAACATAATAGCTCGGTGAAAGTTATAGAATAACGACCACGCCCCAGACCTACTCCAGACATAATGATTGACCTCTGCAAGTGGGTTTTCGCGATTGTTGAAGCATCCAGTTGAAGAGGCGTTCTTATTGGGCCCTGGGATTTATCACTGCAAGATGTCTCGGTCTTGAAGAAGGTTAAAATAATGTCCAAACTTGGAGGCTATTCACTTTGAACAAATAGCTCTGGGACTCTTATTGGTTCGGGACACTTATTGGACCTGAATTCAAGGTAGTCCTAGTCAGTTCTAGCCTCAGCTTTGAAGAGCGATGTTTGGTACTTTACATCGTTAGTATCTGGACTAATACTTGATATAACGTCAAATGAGATGCAGAGATATTTGGGAGATGATAAATTAGTTTGTGACAGACGGCTTCTCGATGGATTCATCTAGTACTGAACATAAGCATAGTCGTATGACTTGATCGATAGTATATCGAGACAAAACAGTGAGATGTTGACATGTTTGTCTACCAGACAAACACACCAAACAAGCCCATGCCTTCCGCTTCGCTCCTGTCATCCACCTCTTCACCATCTCTGATAAGAAGTCTGAATCCATCGATCGCATTTCAAACTCTTGGAGTGTCCATGTTGCATGCCCATTCAAGCAACGTTAGCGATGTCTGTGACCTCTCGATAAAGTTCTTCCTCAGCTAGCCTCGTTCTCGCTCAACTAACCCTCCATGCATGACAGGCACCAACAAAGCAATCTACTTCACGATCGTCCGTTCCGCAGGGGGCCTTACTCGTATGCTGAAATACGAGACGGCAAATTCCAAGATGCCAACGCAGACGCTACCGAAAATGCTTCGACATGAAAATGCTACGAACCCAAGAACCAAGCCGGAAATAAGAATACGATAAGGCAAACGCGATTCTTTGATTCTAGATGGTGTCCCCGCTCTGGCTCCTTGACGTATCCGTACTACTTGCCAGATTGACACAGGACTGAGACAGACCGACCCTGCGATGCCCCGCAGGACTAAAAAGGGATTTCCAGAACTTCCTCCACACGGACCACGATATTCGATACGGATGCGAAGACGAATCAGTCTGAAACCGAGCATCGGAGTAGCTTCGGAGCCTAGTGTCCGCACGAACGCACCAATCGATGCATAAAAATAATCTACGATGTCGATCGGTGGCTGTGTCGGCTGCAAGGTTGACATGAGGCCGTGAGACAGGGACAACAAATGCGCCGTATTCCTCACTGCCAAACGGGGTAAAGGGTACGGGGGCAATTTGCGCCGGTCCAGGAACTAAATGAGCCAAGACCTGCGACCCGTTCATTGCACCACCGCCAGACCGCGTGCATTAATACATCCTAATGCACTCCTGGATGGATAACGAACAATGGGATAACGAACAAAAAAAGCGAGAAAATTTTCACACTAGAACCGTTCGGTCGTTTAATCGTATCCGGCTACCGCATAGGGCGTTGGCAGAACCCTTCTTAGACTTCTTTTTGTGCAATGGTGGAGCTGCCAAGAGGAATAAGCTTGAATGCCCCGTCAGGCAGACAAGAATTGGTCGGCGAATCACCGCACATTATCATACGAATACGATGTTGGCCGGTTGGAGTGGACAGGGTGAGGTTCAGCCCTGCGGTGGGCAAGTTCTTATATGATTCTAATATGACCTGGCTTGTCTTACATACTTCTTGCTTTCTGCAGCTCTATTTTTCCTCACAGTCTTCAGCCCCGTCCAAACTATCATTTCCAATCAAGTCAATTCAACGCATCCTTCGCGCCATGAGCGACTCTTCTAGAGCCGGGTCTACCAGGTGAGTTGGAAGTCTCCCTATAGGGCTGTCCATACTCCCGATGTAGCGCAAAACTAACTCTACATCCACTCAGACCTTCTTCCAACTCAACATCTTCTTCCACAACAGCCCCAGCAACAACATCGACATCAAAAGCGCAAACCTTCCCTCTCGCTCATCCACCCCCCAAGGCCTCACAATGTCTGCGCCTTTCCCCCCGCCTCGTCCTCCAAGTCCAACAACTCACCCCCTCGTCGCGCATCATCCCCGTTCTTGAAGTCTACCAGCCCTCCCGGCTCGGCAAGTCTGTACCAAACGGCCAACCCAAGCTCCACGCCCGCGACATGTTCCTCACGCAGGGCGAGTCCTTCTCGCATATCCCCGGATCAGATAGCGCAAACGCAACCGAAGGAGCACCTCCCACCCACGACCTCGTCGGCGCCATCTACGCGGACCCGAAACGCACCTCTGGCGCAGGCGTCTACATCCCCGCCGGCGACCTGAAATGGGAAGCAACGCAGACCCCTAACGGATACCGATTTCAACTCAAGCGAGCCTCGGCCCCACGACCAGCCAGCAAGCAGTCCGTCGGGGACGGAAACGCCGCTGCATCCGACGCCGCCGCCCCGCCCCGCTCCAGGGGCCAAGGCCAGCAAGAACCTCTCGACATCTCACTAGACTGGGAACGACGAGCGCGCACCTCCTCCGACGAACCCACCGACTCCAACGCCAACACCGGCAGCAGCAACAAAACCAAACCCGACCGCTTCGTCCTGACGATCGCGGACCAGCCGCACTTCCGGCGTCCGTGGCTCGCAACGCTCACAAAAAAGGGGTTCATGGTGGGCGGGTGGGATCGGGGACAACGGGCGTTCCTGGCCGAGCGGCTTGGCGTGCAGGACGAGCAGGTGCTGTATACGTGCTTTTTGGCCTTGGGGGTATATGTGGCGCACTCGGAGGGATGGGTGAGTTAGGTTTTTTTATGCTTAGCTCCGGGTCCTCCGAGCTCCGTGTTTGGTTTGTGTCTTTTCTTTCGCTACTAGGCTTACTCCGCGGGGTTGGTGGTGATGGTGTCGGTGTCGGTGTCGGTATCCTTGTTAGGGGCTAGACTAGGCTAGACTAGTTCGCTAGGGCTTAGGGGCTCTGAGGTGTTGTTGGGGTGGAAGACCCCATCTTTTTTTTTTTTTTTTTTTTTTTTGTTTCTTTGTTTAGAAAAGGGTAGCTAGCTGGGTGTTTGGCGTTTTTTTCACTCCTCCCTACTCTGGTTGTTGGTTTGGGTATACCATTTGTTATTTTTGCCCATTTCTTTGTGGTGATTACTTGTTTGGTTCTATCTACAGTACAAAATATCGGACCGGATATCCATGCATAGAATAGACAGCGGAAGAAAAAAAGACCAGCAATGATTATTCTATCATTTGCTCGGCAGTTGATTTGATTTGTCTGCAAGGACGTAGTCTTTTTTGGTCAAATTTATTTTTAGCCCCAAGAGGAGGAAATAAAATATGAATGGGGCACGGGCAACCAGGAAAAGTATGGTTTAGTGTCGATCATCTGGTTGTACCTTTTTTTTTTTTTTTTTTTTTTCTCTTGTTCCTAAATCCTGAGTTGTGCTTGTTTGGATTGAGTTTGACGTTGCTTGGGTAAGGGTGGAGTACCGGATTTTGACTTGCCGGGGGGCCTGAGCTCGCAACTTTCACTACATATGGGGTAGGGTTGCGATGGGCTGTTACTGTTGGGACTTGTTCAGCTTGGGTTTGGTTGGGCGTTGGAGGGGAGTCAGATATAGGGGAGTAAGAAGTGGGAATTTCGTATTCATTTCAATTTGTGGACTGACTATTCGCTAAGATGAGTGTTCTTTGTCCTTCATGATTGACTTCGATAGCTATTCAGTTAGCGATCACTAATTATATAATCCCAATTCGGTCGCCTTGATCTGCAATGCCAACAACCGCGAATAATACCGACACAGCGCCAGGTTGGCTCCCATGAACCAGAAGCCCGGATGTCCGCTACGACGCCAGATGGTACGGAACTCGCCTTCCTGGTCAAATCCCCACACGTTTCCGACGCGATCGGCCAGTTCGTCCCCAAAGAGCAGACGTGCCTGCGTGCGCATGTTCTGATACCCGGTGGCCAGCACGATCTCGTCGGCCTCGAGCTCGGAGCCGTCGGCGAATTGGATTCCGTGCGGACGGATCTCGGCGATCTCTTGTCCGTGTTTCACCTTGATCTTGCCGTCCACGACGAGCTGGCTGGCGCCGACGTCGATGTAGTAGCCGCCGCCGCGCTGGAAGTACTTCAGGAACAGGCCGGCGTCGTCGGGCCCGCGGTCAACCTTGAAGCCGGCCCGCTCCAGCCCGTCCAGCGTGGCTTTGTCGTGCTGGGTCTGCAGGTTCGTGATCTTCAGCTGCTGCGCCTTGAACAGCTCGGATGGCATGCTCCACAGCCACAGATCGGCGTCTTCGGTTGGCGGCCCCGCTTCTTCGTACAGGCCCTTCAGGCCAATATCCGTCACGGCCGACGACGAAACCACGCAGGTCGAGCTGCGCTGCACCATCGTCACATCGTACCCCTTCTCGAAGTAGTCCTGCGCGATGTCGTGCCCCGAGTTGCACGATCCCACCACCACGGCCTTCTTGCCGCGGGACTGCGCGTCTGCACCCTTGAAATCGGAGCTGTGGCAGATGGTGCCCTGGAAGGTCGAGGCGCCTTTGAATTCGGGGACGTTCTTCTTTCCCGAGTGGCCCGTCGCTTGAACGATATGGTGCGGCTTGACGGTGACCGTCTCCGTCGAGCCGTCCTCTTTCCGCCGTTGCAGCTCCACCGTCCATTGTTTGGGCTGGTCGCTCCACGAGGAGTTGGCCACCGTTGTTTTGTTCCAGACGTTGAGCTCGAGTAGCTTGACGTAGCATTCAAAGAACTCGGCTAGCTTGTCCTTGGGTGTGAAGATGGGCCAGTTGGATGGGAAGGGCACGTAGGGCATGTGGTCGAACCACACGGGGTCGTGAAGCACGAGCTGGTGATATCGGGTACGCCAGTTATCGCCGACTCGGTCGTTCTGGTCGATGAGCAGGGCACTGATCCCGAGCATCTTGAGTCGCGCGGCGATCGTGAGGCCTGCTTGTCCGGCACCTTGAAGGGTGTCAGTTTTGTCTCTTTCTTATATCCCCGACAGAGGGGGATTGGGTGTGGAAAGAAGCGACATACCAACAATCAAGACCGTGGGATCCCCATTCTTACCCTCCTGTTCCAGATTCCGTCGATCCTGCCAGTTCTTCCGTCCTTGCTGCTCGCCATGCTGTACACCTACGGGCCTCCGATGATCGGTCAACTCGCCGTGACCGTCGATCTCCAGCAGCGTCGTGAACACGGTGAAGATCTTCCATTGCCCGTCCAACTCGGCCAGACGCACCAGACACCTGCCGGTCCCTACTTCGCTGGTCGCTTTACCAATGAGCTCGATCCCTATGACATCTCCGAACCCGTCGATGGGACCCACATGGGGAGCTCGGAAGGCCGAGGACTTGTCTAGTTCGAGCTTGACGAGACGCGGGTTCTCGTTGAGGAACGAGGCAATGTTCTCACGGCCTTTGATGGTATGGAGGTCCAGTGACAGAAGCAGGTGGTCTCGCCAGAAGCTCTCGTCCAGGAATAAGTCGGTAGCCGCCTTGAAGTCTTTCCGGGAGACCGCGGCATTGAACTTGTCGATCACCTCCGAGGCGACCTTATCGGCGTCGGTGCCGGTTGACGAGCACGTCTTGGGGAACTTGCCCACGGGGACGTTAATCGAGCCAGGCTCGATGCGGTCTCTCGACAAGATGGCCATGATTAAGGTGTATATGAGTGGTGAGCGTGTTGTGCCAAATTGCGGGATGTGTGGGGGGGAAGAAGGAAGAGAAGAAGGCGGGGAGAGTGGGGGAGGTGAACCACGGAAAACAGAAGGAGATGGGAAAGGGCTTGCAGGCTTAAATAAGATGCGCTGTCTGTCAACCCCGCTCGTCGTACAGGTCATACAGAGCCATACTGGATCCTCGATCATCCTCGGGTGGAGTGCCTCTGTTTGGAGCTGACGAGCTGTGCTTGCAGAGCTGCAGCATGCCTGCTAGTTTCGTCTGGCCGTCTTCGGCCTTTGGTCAGCTCTGGGGGGGATTATGTGGGCCGGGGTCGGAGGGGATGTGGGTCTAGACCTTTGATTTCTGCATGATTTGATTGTCATCTACTCCGTATAAGGTGCAGGTGTCTGTAAGTTGTAACACGCAGATTGTCCAAAAAGACTGCCCTCCAGCCGATTCGAACTGCGGCCACATGCCCCGTGACCGTGGAGACCTCAGGCACTAAGGCACTAGTGTCTGCCGATCTCAGGCCCCCATCGCCCTCGTCTCCACCGTTCTTCCCCCTTTTCCATTCGACATTTCTACCGGAAGATTGTTCCTATCCGCATCTCCCCTCTATACAACAAGGGTCGGCGAATCACCTGCGACTTCTCATGGACGCGTTATGGTCCTCCTGCAAGCATGCTCCATCCACGGAGTCTTTCCGAGCCAGATCTGATATTCCAGTGGTTCGCGAATCGTGAATCTCCCAGCTCCGATAGTTTCAGATCGCGGTGGCTCCATGGGACGGATCTTGCCTTCTCCACTATCTGAGATCTGCTTCTGCTCGGTTACCGAGCTGCGTTCAAGTGCCGTAATGGCCAACGGCCTGCAACAACGTGCATGCAGCAATAAATGCGGGATTGCCGTCACGGCAGTTACATAGCTCGCACGAGCAGTGCATGGCATAGATAATCCGCCTATCGAAGCACCATAATGCATATAGTCAGCGGTTTGGTCGATGTCCGGATAATTTTCCTTACATCATGGCTCTCAAAACTCTGGGACACCCGACTCTTCAGGCAAAGATCGCCATCAACAGAACCTGACTCGCGGCTAGGTCTGTCAAATCGGGGTGGTAAAAGTCTCCATCCTTCGGTATAAATGGTCAAGGCCCGAGGTTCTGGAAATTTGAAAGAAAAACTTTTTTTCCCTTGCTCACTTGCTTTTGTTCATCAGCCGTCAACATGCTATACAAGAAGCTACAATCCTTGGCTTCGACTGCCGCAGCAGCATCTCTGCTGTCTGCTACTACTGCACAGGCGGGAAACTGCTCCTCTGGAGGCATTGCTCCTCCTGTGATCCCCGAGGGTCGCGTTTTGAGCCTTTCGGCGTCGCCCGTACGGAACTACCAATCTGAGGACTCGACATTGAACTTCTGCAATGTGACCGTTACTTATACCCACCCGGGTAAGGATGACAACATCCACGTCACTGTCTGGCTTCCCCTTTCCGGCTGGAGTGGACGACTTCAAGGCTCCGGCGGTGGTGGGTACGCCATGAGACACGACGACAGCTACCTCGCAGAAGCTGTGGCGCTGAACTACTCGGTCGTGGCCACAGACGGCGGTCACGAGGCGGTCTCCTCCGTCTCGGAATCCTGGTCCCTGGACGCCGACAACAACGTGAACATGGCCCTGCTGGAAGACTTTGCCTCCATTGGTCTGAACGACGCTGCGCTCATTGGTAAACAAATCACCCGCAGCTTCTACGGACACGGCCCGCAGTTCTCCTACTGGAACGGATGCTCCACCGGTGGCCGACAGGGTCTCATGCTGGCTCAGCGCTATCCCACCGCATATGACGGCATCATGGCCGCGGCCCCGGCCATCAACTGGCCAAGCTTCCTGGTCGCCGAGTACTGGCCGCAATTCGTCATGAATCAGCTGCAGAACTACCCCGCCAAGTGCGTCACGGACGCCATCACCAACGCAACCATCAAGGCCTGCGATGGCCTCGACGGTGTCACTGACGGCGTCATCTCCGCCCCGGACCTCTGCCGCTTCAACCCTCTCAAGCTGGTCAACTCCACCGCGAACTGCAACGGTACGCCCGTCAAGATCACCCGCCGTGACGCCCTCGTCGTCCAAAAGTCCTGGGAGGGTCTGAAATCCGCCAACGGCTCTTCCCTCTGGTACGGCCTCAACAAGGGCACACCGCTGTCCATGGGCGCCTCCAGCCTCGCCGGAACCACCTGCGACACGCCCTCGTCCAACTGCAGCGGCTCCCCCTTCAGCATCTCCGCGGACTGGATCAGCCGGTTCGTCCTACAAGACCCCTCCATCGACCTCACCCAGCTCGACCACCACGACCTCGACACCATCTTCGCCTCCTCCAAGGCCCGCTACAACGCCATCATCGGCACCGACAACCCCAACCTTTCGGCCTTCAAATCCACCGGCGGTAAAATGATCACCTGGCACGGTCTCGCTGACCAGCTGATCTTCCCCAAGGGCACGGAGCACTACTACCGCCAGGCCGAGGCCCTGGACCCCGCCCTGCGCGACTTCTATCGCTTTTTCCCTGCCCCTGGCGTGAACCACTGTCGGGGCGGCGAGGGGCCTATCCCCGTGGACCCGTTGAGCGCGGTCGTTAAGTGGGTGGAGCAGGGCGTCGCGCCGGAGTCGATTGCCGCGAAGGCGAGCGATGGCCGGCGGAGGAATCTGTGTCCATGGCCTCTTGTGTCGGTGTATAAGGGAGGTGATGTGATGGAAGCGGAGAGTTATGCGTGTGAGGAGAGTTTTTAGTCGGTTTGTTGGATGGAATGGATGGGTTAAGGGTTTCGAAAAGGTTCTGTCAATGATAATGTATTCTATGATATCTTAATTTTCTAAATTTTAATTCTGTCATTTGACTTCTCTTGCTTCTAAGTTCTGTGGACACTCTATTTCAATCTACTACAAATGTCACCCGGATTGTGTTCTTGCTCACCCCAAAGCCTCGTTGTATACTCTCAAACATTTGTGTTAATAATTATAATGTTAAATAAGGACCGAAATAATATCAGCTAGCATCATTGGTCTAGTGGTAGAATTCGTCGTTGCCATCGACGAGGCCCGTGTTCGATTCACGGATGATGCAATTCTTTTTTGTTTTTGTTTCTTGTTGTTCGATGGTATCCACTATTTCCTCACCCAGTCTTTGATGCTTTTTGGGAAATGGTCTTGCTGGTTGCAAAGGGTCACTGGCCAATTGATCAATAGATGAGATTACTTATTTATATCAGTATTGACTATATAGTTATGCCGGATATATCACCCGATGCAATATCAACAGAAACCCAAACCCAAATATATACACAAGATACAATACGACCTACCAATATATACCTTTCCCGAAAGGTGAACTCCAATCCTCATCCAGCCCAGCCCTATATGTATACCATGGAGTATCAGCGAATATTCACAAAAGCCCAGCCCAACCCAAAAGACACAATAAGTAGTAGCCAACAATAATTACACTCCTCCACCGAAAAACGGCGACGCCCCGGCACTCCCAATCCCCCCAGACGCAGAGGAACCCCCCAAATACCACCCCGAATAAAGACTCCTCTCGCCCATCCTCCCCAACGCAAGAACCTCCAACTCAACCGTCTTCCCACCCCAAAATTTGCCCCGCCTTTTGCGCCCGGTCCCCGCACTCATCGACGTCGTCGTTCGTACCCTTCCCCCACCACCATCCGCCCTTACCTGCACCGCGGGAATCCAGAAGTGCGTGACCGCGGCGCCAAGAACCATGCATGCGGAGAAGACGATTAGGATCCATCCGTGCCGGATGGTTGGTTCGTCGCCGACGCCGGTGCCGAAGTTGTAGTAGGCGGAGAAGATCTGTACGAGGATCGAGCCGAGTTTTCCGGCGCCTGCGCTGATGCCGTGAGCTGTTGCGCGGTATCGGGTTGGGAAGAGCTCGGAGGGGAGGATGTAGGTTGTTGCGTTGGGGCCTAAGGTTTTTGTTAGTCGAGGGGTGGGGGAGGAGAGGAAGTGAAAGAGGGGATAGATGGAAGGAACTGGGAGGGGATAAATGGGCTTTACCGAAATTGAAGAGTGCCTGGCCGATAATGTATAATGCTACCGCGACGGGACCTTCTTTATGGACGGTGATGAACATGGTACCCAGGGCGATAAAGTGGGCGGCTAGGGCCAAGAAGCCAAATTTCTGGAGTCCGGTTCGGTCGAGCTTATGAATGATTAAGATCAGGGCGAGTCCGCCGAGGAAGCTACCGCTGTTGAGGATGACGAGGGCATGGGTGGAGCTGTTCAGGAACATGTCGTAGAGGTTTGCGCCGGGAGAGTCGTCCGTCTGCCAGGGGGGAACTTGTCCCGTGATATTCAGCGAGCCCCAGGTTTTGGCGAGGAACTGGGGACTCGATAGCCCGATGCCGTAGAAACCAAAGTCTAGAAGAAGCCAGGAGAGAGAGGTCCCGGCGAGAGTACGCCAGTTGCCCTCTGTCCAGAAATACTGGATGATGTCGCGGCGGCTGAGACGCCAGTGGGAGTTGAGGGTGGCGGGTTGAAGGAATTCAGTCTGCGAGGGAGATCGACCTTCGTCGATGGACTGGTTGGTGAGAGATATAGCAGGGAGAGGGAGGTGGTTCCAGCTGTCTTCTGTTTGGATAGATGGGGAGGTGAATGTGGAAGAGGGCTCGTTGAACAGGTTGGTGGCGTCGAATTCGGCCTTCACGGGGTCATCTTCGACTTCGAGGAGGAATCGTGGACTTTCGGGGATGGCGAATCGGAAGAGTGTTGCAATGACGCCGGGAATCACACCGATCCCGATGACCCATCGCCACATGATATCAACGGTGCGAGTGAGGTCGCCGAATCCTTGTTTCTTGCTGACTGCCACAACGACCAGGGAGACGAGGTTCCCTGCGATTTGGCCAAGAGGTTGCATAAAGAAGACGGTGGCTAGCATGCGCGCGCGATGTTTTGTGGGTGCGAATCTAACCGTCAGTTAGCTTGGAGATATCCCAGACCAAGGACAAGATAGAATTTCGCCATACTCCGATGTGATCACAGCACTAAGGGGATAGTCCGCCCCTACGCCAATCCCGACGATTATTCTCCACCAGATGAGCCACGAAAAGACATCCATGCTCTGGTGTTCGCCGTTGGAAGACATCACCACCCCCAGGGTTGAGATGATCATGAGCACCAGCTCCACCCCGTACATCTTCTTCCGCCCGTTGCGATCTGCCAAATATCCGAACATCACCTGTCCGAGGAGTGTGCCACCCAGCGTAGCGATGTTGATATAGGTCTGTCTCATTGAGGATGTTTCTTCTCTCCAGTAGACGTAGGCGATCATCGGGAGGGCCATATTACTTGCGAATAACTGAGCAGACGAAACCATTAACAACCAATCCTCAGCAGAAACCGATAAAGAGGAACATACCGTGTATCCGTCGAGAAAGAACCCAACCCCAGCCACAAGTACAACAATCCATTGGAATGATTGCCGATCTATCGTCTCGTAGATTTGTCGCATGCGGACGCGGCGATCCTATCCAAAACCAGTGTTACCTCGGAGAATAAAAACAGACAGACAAAGGAAAACGAACAACAATGGGTGAGTACCTGTTCATGCTCGAAATCCCGAGCTCGATCGGTCTTGTATAACCTCGTGCGAAGCTTAGGCATGATGCTGTTTTGAGGCTATAACGAAGTATACACATTCATGTCCGATGGAGTATCCGACGGAACGAATCCACAATGAACATGATGTGGATAGAGCCAACGCAAAGAATGCAGACGATGGATCAAAAAAGGACGAGAAAGAATAAGCGAGGAGAGCAAGCCGGGGGCAAAGAGAGGGGAAATGAAAAAGGAAAAAGGATAGGTATAAAACGCGATGGAGGGTGGCCTGGTCTCTCAGGCCGCATGATTGGAGGGGCGCACCAAACGTGCGGCGTTAGCGCCCGTCCGGTGGGTCCTCCGTTCAGGCATGCAAGGGCCACTTCTTCCCCCACGTGCTGCTCTCCTGACAGGATGATTGATAGTTGATTATAGTTGATCTCGAGGGATCAGTTAGCCCACTGGATGGTCTGCCCATTCATGCCTGTTAATATCACGAAATACGAAGCTCCACTTGCTCGTGCTCGTCGCTTGTTCGGGCAAGTTGAATCCTCGTCCGTGTGGCATGTCAGAGAGAAGCATCGCTGCACATGTGAGCTTGCAGCCTTGTCCACGGTTTCATAGGGGTTGCCCCGTAACCAAGGCATTTAGTATCAGCATAAAGTAATAATCATTCGAACCATCGTATAGCAAGCCTTGGCCGACTTTGATTAGGGCAACCAACGATACTAACCCCATTTAGGCGTTATCACGTGCACATTTCGAGATGTCAATGGAATTGGTAAATCTACTCAACGTATATATAGTCTACTTCGATGTCTAACTCAATTGAACGTACATCTTATCTATCAGGAAAGCACGGGTGAAGGTTGGGGTTGAAAGCCCCACAATTGACGAATCCAACGGTTCAAGGATTGGAGAAAGTGACACCGCAGCAGACACCGGTGACAACTTGTCTCTATACCAAACGTCCATATTGTCTTCCAGCACATCCAAAACTCAATCGCACGTTTCCCGATGAAGAACTCGAGCATAGATGCACGACTTACGTTCTTTCTGGGAAGAGCATTCCAACATTAGTCCCGCTTTGCCGTCCCCACGAGCCTCGCCACGGCCGGAAGAGGCCAAGCAAGACGTTTCGTGGCGTCCTTACCCACTTCACCCGAAATGATCATATCTATAATCGCGACGGCAATATAGCCACCAGTGGCAGTAAAAACATGCCACCTATTCGATCGATTTAGAGTCTAGCCCCAAGTTTCAACGGGGAAAAGAACCTACCATCCATGCAATTCGAACAAGAATGCCCAAGGCAGGCCAACGAAATGTCTCGTGCTGGTCAAGAACCCACAAGCCCAATCGTCAATCAACCACACGAAATAACCAAATGCAAAGCTGACTGAATAGATTGATTAATTGATCGTCACTTAATGCCCCTGTAAAAAGATTGGTCGACAGAAAACTTACAGCAACCAAACATAGCTATGTTCTGAATATTCTTCCTCGCCACCGGATCTGGAACTTGCTGGGGAATGAGCTTCAAAGTCCGCGTTGCGATCAAATACACCGCCAGCCCAAAGGTAACAGCGTGGAGCAGGAATTCATCCATAACCATATGCACGACCATGACGATGGTGAAAAGAAGCGAGAGAAGGACCCGCAACACGCTGGTGTACTGCGGAGGCTTCTGGAACGTGAGAATGCGATAAACCAGCGGCGTGGTTAGGAGATGCATGGAGAGTTCATCCGCTGGGGATAGACATTAGAATACCGCGTTCAACTGTGAGATACACGATCGGCAGACAACAGTCCAGCTGGACTTACACATCTGAGTATGATATTTCAGCGTCATATGGTAGCCAGCCGAGCAAATACCTACTCCGATCAACCCGCAATAAGGGATCGATCGGGACCCGGACTGGCCTTTCCGGTGAAGTTGCAAAAGGCCATAGAGTCCGAAAAGGACTGGAAAAGGGGTCAATTGCTGGTCGAGCGAGTTGTTGACAAGACATCTGGCAGCTTACCATAAACAAAGCTACTTAGAGTGTTGATAAACTCGCCAACGTATCGAGTGATCACATAGTCCTTTGTTACGCGGTGGATGGTTAGATGAGAATATAGGGAGGGCTGTGCTGAATTACCTCTTCGCAGAAGCTAGAGCATGGTTAGTGAGTGCCCAGTGCTTATAAGAAGATTGGCGGAAATGATAGATTCAAACCTACTTCAGATACGAGGTCTGGGGGCCCCAGAAGGGTGACACAGGGGAGGAAACCATGCTAGTCCGGGTGCCGCGTGTGATGTGCACAGGTGGCAGTTCCGAAGGGAGGTTGCCCGCCGCGGTCAATTTCACTAGTGCCTTGCCCGTCCACCGCCCTCAACGCGCTATATCTGCTACTGTTGAGCATAGACATGCTCTTTCGAATTCTGTCCGATTGGAAATAAAATAAATATGCATTAATGATAACAACAAGAATAATATCATTCCATTTCCCAGCAGAGAGAGAATAAAACAACCTAAACAATTTGTTTTATTGTTTTGGTGTGCCGAGCCTCTTATCAGTGCACCCATCTGTACCAAAGTTTGGTGAGTTCAAACTATACAAATTACATCTCCCGCCTCACAAGAACAAGCAGATGAATCCATATTCCAAGGTGCCTTTACCAAGCTCTGTTTACTTATATATTGCTAGGTGACTCCCAAGCAACCAGGCAATCACAGGCCCAGGCCCAACCCCCCGATTGGCCCAAACGCAGTCGAGCACTGTAAGTGTTAAGTGCTAACTGCATTAGCTCCCGCTTCGCGGGTCCGCAGCACCAATTCCTCCTCCACGTGCAGCGACTCTGCGGACCTGAAGCTCTCGCCTGCCCGAACCTCTCTCGCCAAGGGGTGATGCGACCCACTTATCACGAACAATTTCACTCCGGAGGGATGTTTGGACTTTCTTGGAAGGGGGGGGGGGACGGTGTGTGATTCATTATGTTGTGAAAGAAAGAAATGAGCACTGTACTAGAGCGCTATCACGCCATAGAGTGGCTCAGTAAATTACGGGGGTATATTCGGTACATTATTCGTAGACAGGTCATTTTGAGAGATGGCACGTTGTGACTGCCACTGAGAATGTTGGTTGTCCGCCCAGGTTCTGGGTTGAGTCTGGTAGGCAGTAGCGGGCATTTGAAATTAGTTTGTATGGTCTGCCACGAATTGGCAGAATGATTTGCGATCTGATGAGTGTTAGGACCGTATCATAAATAGAGACACAGATAATTGAGAGGATAATACCTTCATCATCTAGAAACTGAAGCTGTAGTGTTTTCATCTGAGCGAGAAGGTCAAAGTTAGGCGATAACTGCAACACTACTGGTCGCCCAGCCTTCTTTCCTGGATTTACACTTTCAATGCAAGTCACTATGTAAATGGATCAGCGCTGTCAGCAACTTTCTTTCACAAAGATCAACATACCCGGTATTGAGATATAGCGTTTAAATTCCTTTCGTTGCGAATTGGCAAACAGCAATATCACCTGCTTGCCATTCGGTCCTTGCAAAATGCGTAAATTCTGACTGATACATTCCTCCCCGCGGCCCTTGGATTTTGCCTCTGCAATCCCGGCAATGAAGACCAGCCTCGATGCCAGGATCAGTTCTTGAAACTGAACGCAGTCTGTGCTGGAGATTAGCACGGGGCGCTGTAAAGGCCGGATTCCTCTTACCGTTCCAGTCTTCGAAGATATACGATATTTGGGTCATGAAAACGGTGTGTGCTGTCTGAACGGTCTGTTCTTCTAGAAATGATATTCGAAGGGATGCTTCGTTTGGTAGCTTGGGGTGTTCGAGATGAGGGACAGGTAGTCTCGTCGTGTGAACTATGGGATGATCGGTTAGTTGGTGACTCCCAAAATACTTCGGTAGGATGCACTCACAGGTATGAACGAAAGGAGTTTGCTGGCCAACACCCCCGCCCAGCTCCAACGACTTCAAGCTGCCCCCCGAGTCTTTGCGGATGTCGACATATTGATATCGGAGTCGAAAGACTTTGTTGTGTCGCACAAACGAACTATAAGCAGAGCTATATGAGACACCAACCAGATATCCAAGATAATGTGGCAAAACATACATAGTCACCGCAGGGCTAAACGGCAGCCGAACCACCTCATCATATAAAGAATGACACGACGGCTGCCTCGACCGGGATCCCGGCGACGAGGTGACCGGACTAGGCGGAGGGAAAGGAGGATTGGACGTAAAGCTCAGAGTTCCCGAGGACTGGGTGGACGACGAGACGGTACTTTCGCGACGCCCCGGAGGAAGTGGCCAGTCGTGGGCATCGAGGAACGAATGCGGGCGGCTCATGATAACAGACTCCAGGAACTTAATATGACGATGATAAGAATTGACGGGGTGAATTGATTGACGATCTTGCGGATCCGCCCAAACTGATCGTGATCGACATGCAGGGGCAAGACACTGACAGGCTGTCCGTCATTCTTGTTCTTATTCTCGACACCGCCAGAGTTCATCGTGAAGGGCCATTGTATTTTTTCTTTCTTGTTTATTAAATTCCAAAGGAGGGGGTTCGGTCTTTCTAATTAAGACGATGGATTTAAAATAGCACCACGAGTCAATGGGGAATGGGGACGGACCGATAAGAACGTGGCCATGACCGGCCCATTGGCGCGAGTACGTCGCAACGTGCGCAAATGGATGGCTCCCATTGAAGGCCTGAGATGGCCGGTGGGGAATGGCCGGACAATCACGGTTTCGATGGCCAGGATGAGTCTAGCGAAAGGTACTGACTTTCGGAGCATTGTTTTATCGAGCTTTCAGCGAGCACAAAGAATTGAGACAGCATGATTCGGAGAATTAAGCTCGCGTCTCGTGGCTGTAGTTAGATGCCAGTCGTTAGTAGGTAGTTGGTACGGAGGACCTTGGAGAATAGACACGGAGAACGGAGTTACGGAGATGGCCCACCCGAGACTCGCAGCCCAAACACATGACCCAACAGTAGCCCAGTAGCCCAACGGATGGACCAACTCACAGCTCATGGTTCGCGTTACCTAACGTTAACGGAGGTCCAGTTCCATGGTTCCCTTCTTTTTCTTCTTTTTCTTCTTCTTTTCTTTTTGTCAGCTCCACTCGAGCTCCACTCGATTAAAAACCCTTCATGAAATTAAAGGAGTATCATTAGTCTATAGTATGCATCTATGGACAACCCACTCTAGTAATATGGGTATCCTGCCGTCGTTCACAAACCCATGACGATATGCAATGCAAAGAAGATATAACAAACAAGAAAAGCGATAACATCAACAATCGACCGGACAAAACTTGGGGTAGAAGAAAATGCAAGGACTATGAGGACCACTCAGTGGCCATTGGCGGGGCGGATCTAACCGGATAGTCGACAACATGGGCTGGAAAGGGCATTAACCTAGACATTAATACGCTTTACCATGCTGCGCTGAGAGTAGGTTGATCCAGAAGCCTTAAACGAGATTAGGGTATGTAGGCTATGCGGTAAGGATATGGGGTATAAACATCTTTAAAGAACGCCATGTCAGAGACGGATCGGCTGGGTATCCATGATGAAAAATGGCCACACTGCACGTGGCGAATGCAACCGGGCGGAAAGGACCAGATGCTCACCTTCTGGCAAACAATCAAGATTTCGCAGAACAGGGATGGACTCTGGGAAAGTAGAGTGCTGCGGCCGGATGCGATGTGGAGGCAGGCTCATAAAGGTAGCGACGAGCTTGGCAGACCACACAGGAACGAGTAGTCGAATGGACAGATGATCATGTCCAGCCAGTGGACATGTAGCACCATTGTGGTGTCAGTCGGCTGCTCTTCTCGATTTCCTTCTGACCAGAGAGGATGCTGTGTTCAGACGGACGTTGAAGGAACACAATGACAGGTCATTCACCTATCCTCATCCGGTTGACCCCCAAAGAACCCAGAACTACCGGTGCCTTAACATTCTTTCCTCCAGGTCCATCCTTGTACGACGCCTTCTCATTGGAGGGGCTTCTGCGCAATGATGCGGTAGCTCGTGGTCACCAGTCGCATTTTGTCCATCTTGACGAACGCCTCGCCATCCAAGCACAGACGGTTGATCAAGGTCTTAAAATGCCGGGGAAGCACGTGGGTCTTGACCAATCCTAGGATTACCTGTCGCATGGAACGAAAGTAGAAATCCACCTTCTCGATCAGCGGTGACTGCAACCCACCGACGCTAGCGTTATCCGATCGCGTCACCGTGAAACCGGCATCGGTCAAGGCCTTTTCTAGACTTTCGGGAGTAGGTGTTCCCACGGCCCCAATGAGCGGCTTCACGCGACGCATGAGCTCGGCGTGTTCGGGATTCGACGCGTCATATTCCGGAAAGCTGACCCAATCGAGCAGGGAGATCTTGGCTCCGGGTTTGACGACGCGAAAGACTTCGCTAAAGAGACCGGGAAGGTCCTTGCATAGACTCAGGGCTTGGATCTGGTAGAAGGCATCGAAGGACTCGGATTCGAAGGGAAGAGGAAGACTGTTGAAATCCTGCACGACAAAGGTGTTATCCTTGAAGCCACACTCCTCGTTGTAGGAGCGAGCCTGGGCGATCTGGTTGGGATCGATGTTCAGCCCCGTGACTTGGGCACCGGAATATTGCGTCATGTGCGCTGCGACGCGGCCGCGGCCGCAACCCAAATCCAACACTTTGTCGTCCTTCTCCAGCCCAATGTCCTCCGCAATCGACTCCTCATACAACAGCTGGTTCTCCAACACCGTCGCCTTCTTACTCATGAACGGGGGGATGTACATCTTTTCGACGTCGCCTAGCGCGCAAAGGTGGTTCAACACGCCATAATACGCCTTCAGGCAATCACCGACTTTCTCCTGGTAGTTGGGACCCAATTCCTCAACCATCTGCTTTTCGTCGGACCAATCAAGGTTATAGATGACGTAGGACGCCATGAAGTCATCCACTTGCTTGGGAGTCAGGTTCTGCAGATATCGGAAGGATTTCCAGAAAGTTTTCCATCGCTTGGGTGACGCAGAATTGTGCAAATCCGGAAGGCTGCGCTGCGACGATGAGCTGGTCGCGGCCAGCTTCTGCTTCTCGTTCGCAATGGCATCCATCGAGCTACTCTCGGAGCTCCGCCCAGATTGGCGCGACGCCAAGACCGTTTGTTGAGCTTCCATTATGATGTCAAGATGGGAGATGTGGTCGAAGGGTAAGCAGCAAACAGGAGGTATCGAGTATCAAGAAGATTGAAGCTGTTTCGGAGAGCGTATGAATGATACCGCTGCTAATGAGAGAAAAAAAGATCAGGTCATACCAGGACAGCGATCTTTTTTTCAAGAAGAGCGGGGCAAAGCGCAATTTATAAGCGTCACAAAGAGAGAGAGAGAGCGAGAAAGAAAAGGAAAAGAAAAATAAAATCCTTTTATTTTTTTTCTCTTTAAGGGAGTACCCCCTCTAGGCCAACGGCCCTGAGCGGCGCCGTCGGGGGGGATCCTAATAATATTGATTGATTTGCCATATGACTTGCCATGGGAGGTTTAGTGATGGTCACGGTGGATTGTTTTGTCACCAGATCTGGCAAGCATCGGATCAATCGGATGTGGCAGGCGCGGTCGAGATGGAGCGGCAAGAGACGGCAACGGGGGTCGCCGGATCTGGTTCTTTTGCTCTCTCGATAGTGAAAGGATTGTGCTCCTGGCGATGAGTCAAGCCTGCCGCTGCCACCTCAGAACCCGGTTCGTTTCCCCTCTTGCTTACTCCTTGCTCAGTACTTACGGTGTACTGAGGAGTTGTTTCACCATCCCTGTTACCGTCCACTCTGCTCGTATCAATCCCTGTTTGACAGTCAACCGCCAAGCTGTACGGAGTAGCATCTACCGGACGCAAGTACACGCTTAGCTCATTGCTTGCTTGCTGGTGGTTGGATGTAGCTACTCCGTACATTTAGCGGAATTAGTATTGACTATTGAGCCATATGATTGCTAAGTACCTCGACTAGTCCTCCGACTGCAGCTCCACCCTTAGTATAAGTGACGAGAGAGTGAGCTGATCCATTGAATAATGAAAATCCATCGTCATTGAGCATGGAAGGGCGCGGGCTTGGCGGTCAATGCTTGATGCGCGACTAATTAACTGATTAAGGGACCCCGAGAAGAACTAAGATTAAACACCAATCCTTGCCCTATAGGGATGCACCGGCTCGGCTTCGGCGCCGCTTTTTTTTTTTATTTTTATTTTTATTTTTTCTTTTATTTCTTTCTTTCGTTCTTCTTCGTTAAAGGCCCATTGTGCTTAAATCCATGGATCTCTTTTGGAACATTTCTAATTTCTTTTCCTCTTTTTCTTCCATTATTTCCAGCGGCTCTGACGGCCCAGACAGGCTGGATCAGGCAACTCTGCCCGTCTCTCGGACGTTGGAAGCCGAACCGTCCGACCCACCGGGAGGAAAAGGCTGCCATCCGTATCCGTATTTCCGCTGATGCAATCATCCTCGAGGATTATCACCGTTACAACCGCCATAACTTAGCATTATGATTATTAATGTTATGTGTTGGGTTTCCGCTCTTCGGCCTTTGCAAGGATTTCACAAGGCTGCGGACAAAAAGTCCGACCGGCCTCCCCCTCACTAATGATATTCCTCTTGTCAAACGTCATCCGGTTGGGGTGGACAGGTTCTTTTGACGATCACGATATCATTAACCGTACCTAGCGCTCGTGCCAGCCGATCGTCCGCAGAGTTTTCAGAATACGGCCTCGTTGGAGTTACCTCTTCCAGAATGGATTGACACCCCCAGATATATAGTGTCAGCCCTTACACACGGTCCTCCGCTAACTTGTTCGTGAACTGGATGGCCACGTCATGAGTGGAGGGACCGTGTGTAGCAGCCGATATGACAGAATTCGACTCACACGACAGCCGATCGTCTTGCTGAAGCCATCCTCGCAACACCGGATCCACACCGGAATAAAGTCCGATTTAACTCTGTTTTCAATTTTAACATCTGGGTTTTCCATCAAATTTTCCTTTTTGGGGCCATTCCATGAGTCGTGGATCTGACCGTGTTGCACGTGACTTCGAGCCCTACTTGCCGCAGCATAATTTGCCACTTCCGAGGCATCGGTTGTCGACGAAATGGGCTTGCAAGATTCGCCTTGAAGGCGGGCAGGATCGAATAGAACCGTTATGGACGTCCAAATAAGCTTATATTTAAAGTCAGCTTCCGCTAAACTCCCAATCGACCCTGAACTGCTCCATCTGGACCCTGGTGGCGATGTTGCTGGATCCACTCGATCTAGGCAGCAGGGTTTATCAGTTCTCGAGAGACGAACTACTCGGGGGTGGCGATGACAGGTCTCTTCTCCAATCATAGCTGGTGATGGACTAGAGGGTGCGGTTGACAGGGGGCTTAGTCAATAGCATGAATAGTATTTCGTGAGGTACCGGTACTTGTTTCGCCGTGTCGATCTAGGCGGGCTGGGATGTATCTCCGGTACATCCTGGCCAGCTCAAGATAGTCAAGGGCTGTAAGAGGGGCAGCTAGTTGCCCGGAGGAGAATTAGCACTGCCGTGGTGGTCTGCTGATGGGTTGCACGAGCATCCCGTTATTGGTGGATCTGTGGATGCGCGGGACCTGACTCGCCTGACGAGGCATTCCTCCTGTCATGGCTCATCTGGTCTTGTTAAATTATCTAATCTGACGTGTGCACGCGATGTAAGACATGCAACATGCCGAAGACGTTGGACCAGTGGGTTACACAATCCTGTGCGGATCAGCAGCACATTAAACAGCCGGTGCGAGTTGGGACACGGGCTTTAATTTCAGGCAGCTGCTGCTCTTCTAATTCTTTTTCATGCTTGTTATCCTCAATCGCTGTGATAAGTAGATAGTTGACTAGGGTTCTTGTGAATCTATCTTCACCCAGAACTTGTCATCTTGATATATGGGTATCAAGATCATTCATTCATTCATAAATCAGATAAAACCACATACAACCCTTAAAGCATGGTCTATTGTAGCCTAAATAACAAAGTCCATCGTCCCATAAGTCTGACCTGCCAGACATGTGACCTGTGTCACCCCTCCCATTTCGTCTCCCGCATCACGCCTTTTCTTCTATCCCTCTTCCCGCTCTTCCATCATCCACAACCACCAACCATCTCATCTCGCATCACCCACCCGGCATCCCATACAGGTCCACGGGTCCGTATCGCCAGAGGAGAAGCTAGTCTAGAGATTATGGAGGGAGAAACATGGAGTGAGCGAGCCGCTGCACGTCGTGACTTGGTACCCGACCCGTCCGGACTCGCTAATAGATACTCACCCGTTCTATATGTCTTTCCTTCCAAACCTCTCCTCTCGTCTTCCGCTAAACCGACAACAAACCTCCCCACAAAGACACCTCTTATCCAACTGATGCCAATACTGATTTGAATAGTCTACCGTGATCTCGCTTCCCGCCACCACGCCCCGCGAAACCACCACGATGCGCTCCTTCCCGCGCCAGTAGAATCGCTGAAACTGGCTGTTCGGTCGACACGAGTGATTGATGAAGCGTGTGAAGTTGCCCATCTGACCTTGGTAGATCTGGTACGTTTGCTTCTTGTGCGAGCCGCCCTGCATCACGTCCATACCGGAGATCCCGTTCGTTATGAGGCCGATGAATTCGCCGATGGCGGTGCCGCGGTCGATGGACTATATTGAATAGATGGGGTTATTCATGGGCTCATTGGCTCGGTTCATTGTATTGGACCTCCGACGGGAGTTTCAAGGACATGGTGGAGGTGTGGGAAAGCTGGTACAGGTTGCAAGCAAGGAGAAGGGAGGACATACAGTGCGGGCTACGACGCCGTTGTTCTTGCCGCTGGTCGTGTGAAACAGTTGTACCGGTATCGAATCACGAATGCCGCCTAATAGGGTTGGGAAGCAGGTGCATTGGTTCTTCTCGATCTCGTCGGACTGTCGTTGCTTGCAGACGGGGCAGGTCTCGGGATCGAGACCGGGGACCTGGCGTGGGTCATCGGTGCCGAACACTGTATAGTCTATGACACACTCGTCGATGAATTGATACTGGAATCCGTTGGGTAGGTTAAGGTGAGCGTATGTCGAAGCTATTGGGACCGCCGGTTCACCAGCCACCGTGACCCATTCGTGAGGATGACCGCAGTATCGAGGTGCTTCGACCTGACCGATGACTTGCAGGAGGTCTCGCCATTCTGGGTGCAGAGTGTCAGCCGCAAGTTCAAGACTGCATTTAATATGGCGCAGGCGCGTTGAGAGTCCCTCTCCAAACCCCGTGCGGTATTTGCAGAATCGGTAGACTCCAACACTGGCGAAGATCAGACTGGCCCATCCCCCGGCGTCTTTGATCTCCTTATAACCGCGCCAGATTGCACTGAATTGATAGGTCAGTACTTAGGAGAGTGATGGGTCAACGAATAGACATGACTGACATCCGATTTCGTAGGTTTTTCTCTTTCCACTTCAGCACGGCACAAGCTTCTTTCAGTGCTATCATTCGAGACTCCGTGATGGACAAATTCTGATTTTGAAGCCGAATCACGGCGATGCGGGCCTCGTAGCACTCTATCCAATAGGCTTGCACGATCATTTCCAAGGCCCGAGACGACTGGCTTTGGTTGGAGTATTTTAAACACAGCGTGTTGACAGCGCGGAAGACCTGTGATTGGTTAAACGGGAAGAGCAACACAGCATCCATATACATACATCTCCACTAACTCCAGTACGGATATTGATACTCGGCTCTATTATCTGTTCATCACCACATACGGATGGAAGCCGGCTCAACTGCACAGGCGAGAATACCTGACGCCATATGCCAGATATGAGTTTATCAGTTGACGTAGGCTCCATTACTGGAACAGAGCTATCTCGTCCTGGCTTTTTGCGCTGTGGGAATCCTGTGTCGCTATGTACTTGGCGGATTGAGGCTGTTTGTGGATGGGACACACTGCTTCCAGGAACCGAAGTATCTTGGTCATCCTTTTCAAGCTCTTCTTCGTTGGGCGAAGCTATCGACTTGAATGGAGCAAGTCGGAGACTACTGACGGTCTTTCGACGCTTCGGGGACCGAGGGCTAGCTTCATCTACCATGGACTGTGGTGTTAAGGGAACAACACCATCTCTTGATGGATCCTGCATGCTTGGTTAGGACTTGACGATATAGATCAGAGTATGGTGCATATAGCACTTACCACCGGATCTGGGTTTACGGAAGTAAGCCGTGGTGGTACGAGCTTCCCATCATGGAGATCGATACAGCCCTACAAAGTCAGCTAGAACAAGCATACAAGTGGTCATGAAAGAGCTAACCAGGATCAAGGAGCCTCGATGCAAATCGGCTGATGGGACGGTGCAGAGAGAAGCTTGAATTTGCAGGAACAAGTGATCACTGTTCTGACGCAGCTTTGACTCCTCGATGGCCGATGCTAATTGTGGGAGAAAGTCAGGGTTCTGGAGGATACCACAGAGCTGGGAGATTATCCCCGATGATAGTAATGGGTTTTCCATGTCGAAACTAGACCAGAGAGAGTATATGGGCAAGCGAAGATCCACATACTCCGTTTGTCAACGCATACGGAGTACCCTGGATCCAAAATGGGATGGCGAATTCTGCCCGTGCTACGGCACGGGCAGCCTGTAATGGTATTACATCCTTCATCAATATTATCCTCAACTTCCAAGTGCTCTAACCAGAAAAGAAAAGGAGAGATAAACAAGACGTACTATAATAAGCATTATTTAAATCCCCAATAAAATTAAGAAACCTTTCAAAGAGCCGTAAGTGATCCCTAAACTCCTAAGAGCTTCGAAGATACAGTAGTCACATAGTTGTGTACCTAGAAAAGCAGTCCCCAGATGATTGGTTAAAAATAGACCGCCTTAATTCTGCTCAGCAGAAATCCAGTATTCTATTACCTGATTTTCCTTCAGCTATCCTAACGTTTTCAACCACCGAGCGGTCTAAACCCCCGAGCGGTCCGTTTTCTCCACCACCCCCTATCTAATTCAGAACTTCAACTTCGACGCGTCTTTTTTCCACCACTATCATCGGAAATGCATCTTTCTAAGGAGAGTCGAATTCAGATGGCAGTATCTGCCTCTAAATCAAAAAAAATTCGATCAAAAACGCGTACGGCAGATCTATTTAGTGTTTCAAAAACGACTTTACTGCGACGGCTTAATGGAATCAAACCACGATCGGAAACACGCGCTAATGGCCACAAACTGACCGAAATCGAAGAGCAATTGCTTTTAAAGCAATTACTAGATGCAGAGAAGCGAGGATTCCCAATTCGGCCCGAATTTCTGCGTGGAATGGCTCAGGTATTGCTTGATAATCGCCTACAAGACATGTCTGCAGCCCTCGGAATCAACTGGCCTTATAAATTCGTTAAGCGTCATTCTGAGCTTCGTACGCGATATACTAGACGTATTACTTATCAGCGCGCAAAGCAGGAAGATCCAAAGGTTATAAAACCGTGGTTTGAGACTGTACAAGCAACTATTCAAGAACACGGCATACATGAAGACGATATCTGGAACTTCGACGAGACTGGCTTTGCAATGGGACTCTGCTCTACTTCAAAAGTGATTACTGCAGTTGAGCGAAGCGAGCGGCCGCGCAGAGTTATTCAAGGCAATCGTGAATGGGCCACAGTTATCGAGACAATCGGGTCAAAAGATGTATATCTACCGCCAGTTATTATATTGAAAGCAAGCGTCCAACAGGCTGCCTGGTTCCAAGAATCTAAGCTTCCTCGCGACTGGTGGATTTCTACTAGTCAGAATGGCTGGACGACTGATGAAATAGGCCTTCTTTGGTTGAAAAATGTCTTTGAACCGCTTTCTAAGCGCTATATGATTGGTGTTAAGCGATTACTTATTTTTGACGGCCATAGCAGCCATCTAACTGCTGAATTCGATAATTTCTGCAAGCAGCATGCAATAATCTGTCTCTGCATGCCTGCCCATGCTTCGCATCTTCTTCAACCGCTTGATGTGGGTGTCTTTAGTCCGCTTAAGAGAGCGTACGGAAAGCTTCTTGAACATCGTATGAAAGTCGGCAACAATCATATTGATAAAGAAGACTTTCTATCGCTATATCTAGATGCACACAAGGAAGTCTTTACTTCATCTAATATCTGCAGCGGTTTTAGAGGAACAGGACTTAAGCCGCTTAATCCAGAGCATGTTCTCTCTACGCTTACCTTTCAACTACGTACGCCTACACCACCACTAGTTGAAGGCTCAATTTCTTCTGCTTTTCAGACTCCGCAGAATACTCGCCAGCTAGATCGAAAGGTTCGAAGCCTGCAGAACAGCCTTAATAGAAAGCGGCAGCTTTCTAGCAGTCCTATTGCGCATATTCAACATCTTGAGAAAGCGGCGCAAATGGCAATGCAAACCCAGCTACTTTTAGAGCAAGAAATTAGGGCTATACGTGCTGAAAATGGACGACAACGCCAGAAAAAGGCAAGAAAACGTGCTGAAATAGGAAATGACCGCCTTCTTAATGTCCAAAAAGGTGAAAATCGCGTTCAGCAGCTTAACACGCAGCTTAATGAGCAGTCTGCGGAATCTACTCCGGCGCCTCGTCGACGAGCTCCGCAACGCTGTAGTTGATGTGGAACAATCGGACATACAATTCGGAATTGCCCTAGTAAATAGCTATTATTTCATGTATTTTAATTAATCAATTCTAATAGCGTTGGTGGTTTTAAAGGTCGATTTAGATGGGGGTGCGGAAGAAAACGGACCGCTCGGGGGTTTAGACCGCTCGGTGGTTGAAAACGTTATCCAATTTTTCTATAATGTAATCACTCTACAAAAGATGTTAAAAATCAAGAGCAAACTTTGGACCTAATAGACCGAAACCCTTAAATCCCTTAAGAACTCCAGTAAAGATAAGATATAGTAGAGTTGGGTTCCCTATCTCAAAAAAGCAATTTTGAAGCAGGCAGAGCGGATGAGTCAGCGGCCTCTACAACATGACGTTATCCATGTGCACACCAGCATGTTCAAAAACTGCAACTCTATGGGCATTGGTGAGAAATAAGATATAGATTGTAGCCATAGATTGTCCTGTCGAAAACTTCGAGGATCGAGTTTTGGGATTGCTCGGTGGACATGCTAGCAGCATTGCATTCATCATCACTTCCATCCTCTGCTAATAGGCAAATTCCGCGCCCAGCGTTAAGACCAGTGGCTAATGGGATCCCTAAGCGAATTTGATCACCATATAAGACTATAAATGACTCGTCCTTTCTTTATTCCATTTTCTTGTCGATCTGTTCATACCCTACCATCTCACGATGTCGAACACATCTCATCTTACTAGAGAGAAACCCTCCGTTTCCTATAGTTACGACAACCTTTCTGGATGGAAACGCCTACGTCCTTTACGACCATTTCGTGGCATGTACCATGATGTTCGACGGCGACTGCCCTACTACTGGAGTGACTTTTCTGATGCTCTGACCTACCGGACAATTGCCAGCACCATCCGCATGTACTTTGTCAAGTATGTTCTCCCAGACAAGGATGCGTTGAGCTGCTAATAAATGAGGATATAGTATACTCCCCGCTATCGCCTACACATTAGACATGTACCGTCGCACCGGTGAGTTTTATGGCATCAACGAGGCGCTCTTTTCCTCAGCGTTGGCTGCTATGGTCTTCAGCCTGCTTGGTGCGCAACCGCTCACCATTGTCGGGATTACCGGTCTCATCTCGTTGTTCAATTATACAATCTATGACATTGTTACGAGATACGAACCTGCCATTTATCCTAATTTCATGTGCTGGACCGCTATCTGGGCGGCTATCTTTCATTGGATCGTGGCTGTGTGTAATCTATGTGATTACATGCGATATGTGACGGACTTTTCGTCTGAGTCGTTTGGTGCTTATGTCGGGATTATATACTGCAGTAGGTTTTCTCGCAGTATTTTGGAGATAGGATACTGAAGATAAGCAGTCAAAGGAGTCGAGGAACTGGTTAACGAGTTCAGCGAGTACGGATCGGCTGCTGGCTTCATGAGCACCATGATTGCTATCCTGTATTTTCTGACCATTTATGGATTGGAAATGCTAGGGTCTAGCACTATCTGTCGGCCATGGTTCCGTGGATTACTAGCAGACTATGCCTATGTCGTATGTTTTCTGGTCCCCTTCACTTAGCGACCCTAACAAGTTACATCTAGATCGCTACAATCTTTTGGGTAGGCTTTGCCCATATTCCAGGAAATCTGAAATCAACTGGTATCTCCTTCGTCCCCATTACTCGGGCCTTTTATCCCACGCAGCCACGGGGCTGGTTAATCCATTTCTGGGAGCTGGAGGTGAAATGGGTCTTTGCGGCGTTGCCATTCGGCTTTCTAGTCATGCTGCTGTTCTACTATGACCATGTAGGTCTACCATCCTCGTCTCGTCTGCGTTACATACTTACCATCATCCCAGAACGTAAGCAGTCTCGGTGCCCAAGCACGCCAATTCCCCCTCAAGAAACCAGCAGGCTTCCACTGGGACTTCTTCCTCCTGGGCTGCACGACCTTCCTCGCAGGCATCACCGGAATCCCCATGCCAAACGGTCTCGTTCCCCAGGTATACAAACCAATCTCCCATCCTCAAACCCTCCCCTCCCCTCCCTCGAAAAAACAAGCTAACCCCAACCCAGGCCCCCGTGCACACGGACTCCCTCACCATCTACGAAACCAGTCTCGCCATCATCCCCACCTCCGAAGGCGAAGGCTCTGAGCTCCGCCGCCCCATCACAAAAGCCACCGCGGTGGTCGAGCAGCGCATCTCCCATTTCCTCATGGGCCTGGCCATCATCGGCACCATGACCGGTCCCCTCCTTATCGTTCTACACACCATGCCGGCTGCCGTCTTCGCTGGCGTCTTCTTCATCGTCGGATGGGGGTCTATCGAGTCGAACGGGATCCTGAAGAAACTAGTCTTCTTGGCTCGGGAGAATCGGTTTATTCAGAGGGATGAGCCGTTGTTGAGGGTCCGGAAGAGGGGGATTTGGGTTTATGTTGCGTGTCAGGTTTTGGGGGTTGCTGCTTGCGTGGCGGTTTCGATGACGGTGGCTGCTATTGGTATGATTGATCTTCCCCTTTCCTCCTACCCTACCCATGTCTCGATAAATCCCATCTTCTCCCCTCTTTTCAATATCTCCTCAGCCCAACAAACCTATCAAATCCACTAATGTAATATAAACCAGGCTTCCCAATCCTCATAACAGCCATGATTCCATTCCGCGTATACATCATCCCGAAATGGTTCTCGCAATCCGAACTCGACATCCTGGATGACTTGACCGCCAACAACACGGCCGTGTTGGCGAGTTTAGGAGGTCCGCCTAGGTTTCCGGGGGAGGGATATAATCACGGCATTGGTCTTGGTGCTGGTGGAGAGGCTGGCCAGGGACAAGGGGAAGAAGGGCGAAAGGGGCAACAGGAGGAGGAACATTATGGGGTAGAAAGGAGGTATTCGGAGCAGAGGAGGGGGTCGGTGAGGTATCGGTAGCTGGGTTTTGGTGAGGTTGTTAGGGTTGTTGGGTAAGGCTGCATGAATGGATGGGTTGAAGGTGAAGGTGACTATAGAGGGAAGTAGGTTACTTGAATGTGGTTGTATCATCTTGACGATCACGAATAGAGGTGGATATGAAGTTAGATATGATATTCTAATTCTTAGAAAAGAGGACCTTGTCAATTAAGAACACGGAATTCCCAGTTAGTTATCTCATTAATTGTTAACTTTTAACTGTACATCTTCATTCTTCAACGTAATCCCATAGTTCTATCTTTGCCCCATTAATCAGTTGTTTGTCCTTTCAATCTATCCATTCATTCATCCGTCCATCCTTATAATTCAATATATTCCATGAAAGCAAGACAATCATTACCTGGTTTTCGGTTCCTTCTCACCTCTGTACACCTTGTATACCTGTCCTCTCTCATTCTATTTCTCTCGAAACCATCCATCAGATCCCAGACCAAACCAAGCTAACACAGTCAATCCACTCGCTCAAACTCGACTCAACACCCTCTCGTCAACCAGCCAACCAACAATCTACGCCCCGAAATCCTCTCTCGAAATCCCACTCTGCTCACACATCCCTCTAAAGATACCCCCCCGTCGCTCCCACAACCTAACAGGGGTATCCATCTCCGCGATCCTACCCTTGTCCATAACACAGATCCGATCATAGTTGATGATCGTGCGCAACCGATGCGCAATGCACAGGAGCGTCTTACCCCGGAACCCAGTCGCCATGGTCTCCTGGACGCGTTCGTCGGTCTCAAAGTCCACGGAAGAGGTGGCTTCATCGCAGACGATGATGCGGGAGTCGCGGACCAGGGCCCGCGCGAGGGCCATGAGTTGCCGCTGGCCGAGGGAGAAGTTCAGACCGTCTTGATCGACGGTGGAGTCGAGGTGGAGGCGTTGCGTGGAGTTGGGGGTAGAGTTTGTCGGGGCAGGAGCAGCGGTGGTGGTGGTGTCGCTTGGGATGTCCTGGCCGACGAGATGGGCTTTTCGAAGGGCGGACCAGAGGTCGAGGTCCGTGTGTTCGTTGAAGGGGTCGAGGTTGGAGCGCACGGTGCCTTGGAAGAGGGTCGGGTCTTGAGGGATGATGGTGAGGCGCGTGCGGAGTTCGTGGAGACCGATGCGCGAGATGTCCGTGTCGTCGATCTTGATGCTGCCGCCGGAGAGCTCGGTCATTCGGAATAAGGCCGCCATGATGCTGGATTTGCCGGCGCCGGTGCGGCCAACGATGCCGATGCGTTCGCCGCCACGGATGTCCATGGTGAGCCCCTTCAGAACGGGCGGCATGCCTGCTCGATAGCACATCTCGACGTTGTCGAAGACAATGCGACCCTTTTCGGGCCACGAGGGGGTCACTTTGTTCAGCTCCAGCGGTGCTTCTTGTTCGAGGTTGCTGGCGTAGTGGTGCATGCGCTCGACGGAGTTCATGTCGTTTTCGACTTCGGCATACTCTTTGACGCAGAACTGGAAGTTTTGCGTGATTCCAAGCATGAGTGACAAGACCATGCCTGCCTCGCTGGGCCCAACATTGAAGCGCGAGGTGACGACGAGGATCCCGACGATGAGGATTAGAATAGCGCCCACCATTTCAACGCGGACCACAAGCCAGCCTTGGTTTGCAGCGGTGAGGAAGTAGGCCCCGTTCATCGAATCGACAGCTTTGTGGATGACCTGTCGGAAATGCTCTTCTCTGTTATACGCTTGGATGCAGGTGGTGCCAGTGATAGCTTCACCAAAGCGAGCAAATACCCCAGAACGGAGGACTGCTTCGTGGCGTTTCAAACTCCTGGCCGAACCTCGGTAGTAAGACGAGATGATCCAAAACAGGAAGAACATCGGTGGGATGGCAATGGCGAACTGAGAATAACAGTTAGAATCGTATTAAAGAGCACAGATGCCCTGGTCAGTTAAAATCACTCACATAATAGAAGTAAGCAACGACCAGACCCAAGGTAGCGACAATCATAGAGAACATCATCACGAACATTCGTAACGAGTTTCCGAGATCGCTATCCAACACCTGAACATCCTTTGAGAAGCGGTTGGTGATGCGGCCCAAGGGCGTCGTATCGAAGAAAGACATGGGCGCTCGCATGACACGATACAAGGCTTCTTGGAGCATCGCTTTCCCGGCGTTAGAAGAAGCGTAGGTGAGCTGAAACGAATAAACATAAACAATAACAAACTGAGCCACACAGAGGGCAGCGTAAATTCCCAAGTAGCCTCCTGGTCCCAGATAAGGGTACCTGTCGGACGTCCAATAGGCTAGCCAGAGCCCGTTCATGATGATTGCGCCATTGACAAGGAGTGTCAGAATCAGGAAAAGGAACGGGTGAAAGATGGAGCCAGTCGCGGATATGTAGGCTTTCCAGACATCCCACCCCATAGAAGCTGTAGCTCTCTCTTCCGTTTGCATCAGGGCAGCGCCTGAGCCCTCATTCTTTGGCTTCTCCTCAGTTGGTTGAATCTCCGTGTTGTGGCCGGGAGTCTCTTTGTCCGAAGTTTCCAACTGGGCAGTACTAGACATGATGGACCGGAACACTTCGTCATTTTGCATAAGGTTCGCGAAGGTGTCAAAGGCATGTATCCGGCCTTGATCCATCACGATGATCCGATCACAGCGGCCAAGCACATGAAGCTGGTGGGTTGCCAGGACTCGGCATCGATCTCTGAGAAGGCCGCAGATGGCTTTGTCCATGATCTGGCGTCCCACATGTGCATCCACCGCAGACAGCGGGTCGTCCAAAAGGACGAGCTCGGAGTTCGAATAGATGGCCCGAGCAATATTCAGTCGCTGCTTCTGACCACCAGATATGGTGATTCCCCGCTCACCAATCTCGGTCTGCTCGCCGTCTGGAAACATGGCGAGATCCGAGCGGAGGGCACAGGCGTCAATCACCTGGTTATACCTTGTTTCGTCATATTCATGACCAAAAAGAATATTGTTCTTGACAGAGGTATTCTGAATCCATGCATACTGAGGACAAAACGCCCTCGTCGTGCCCATGCGAACGCCTCCAGACGTTAAGCGCATCTCGCCCGCCAACGCCCCCAGCAAAGAACTCTTTCCACTGCCAACGGTTCCAATCACGGCGATTAACTCGCGACGACCCACCTTCAGATCGATATCGGAGATCTTGAAGGGCATTTGCTCTGCACTATCCCTCGAGCGTTGCTTGGCATGTGCTAATTTCTCCGTAGACTCGTCGGACGAGGAACCACGAAGGCTTGATTCGGTGCTGTTCGCTTCTGATCCTTTAGACGACGGCGCTTGCTCCCACGTAAATGATGCGTGATCCATCTCGATGGCGTTTCTCATACCCATATCCCAATCGACGAAATCTTCCCGTTCTTCGGCCCTGAAGAAGTCCTGGAGTCTGTCTAGGGCAGTCCAGGCATCCGTTGCGGTACTGATGACCAGATTCATCATGCTGAGAGGCGCTCGCAGCGCATTGAAGGCTGCAAATGACGCAAAGATACTGTCGGGTGAGGCACCGTGGCCCGAGAATGCGTAGGTGATGAAGGCGAACATCGCCGCAAAAGTAGACATTGATACAAAGCTGGCTATGACGGCATGTCGTACGGCGAGCAGTTTGTGGAGAGAATGCATCTCGATGTGTCGAAGTTTCCGAAGTCTTTCCAAGAAAAAGTTCTCCCAGCCAAAGAACTTGACAAACCTCGCGTTATACACGATCTCCTGGGTCAAAGACACACGTTGGTCCGTGGTCTTGTTGACCGTCACCCGTAGGTTCACAAGACACCGCACAATGTAGGTCAGTAAAACCACCGAAAGAAGCATGAACCCGTACCCGGAAAGCGCGCTGTATCCGATGGTAAACAATAGAACCACAAGGCCGACGGCCAAGCAGATTGGTGTGGCCCAAAGAAGGTGAATACTCCCGCAGGCTCTATCAACTCGATCCGCTTCGACCCCCATTAACATTGTAATTCGACCATTATTCCAGCCAGCGATCTCATCTGGGGTAGATTCTTTTTTGTCGTTATGCTCTTGGTCGTTCTCTCCAGAATGGCGCCCGTCCACTTTCGCTCTTCCTGACAACTTCATTGCCTTGGAGAAAATAAGCGAGACCAGAGCAGCTTTAACTTGACCACCCAGCACATCTCCCTTATAGAAGGATTGACTCATGCAGAGGGCTCGGATTACTTGCATGAAGAAGATAGCCAGGGCATAACCTATGCCCCAGCTAACATGCGGACTAGGTCGAGTACCATGTCTAGAATCATATGCCTCCATCGCAAAGGAGATCAGGTGGCGGATGACAAGAGGAGACAAAACAATGATAACAGTCCCGAGGATTTGGCATATCGCACCGATCCAGAACTCCCGTTTAAAGGTTTCATAGATAGCGCCTACCAGGGGTTTCTTGTCTCCTCGTTTTAGTCGCCGTTCCAAGCTAGACCCAAGCTCCTTTGATAGAAAGTCAACAGATCTGTCAGGGTTGACAGCCCAGATGTCTTGGATTTCTAACTCCCGTAGATAGCCAACCTATATACTAATGTAAGTATCATCCTGGCAATGTAGACTAGGACGATCTACTAACTTTCATAATAGGCTCAATCCATTGGAAAAGCATACGACTAGGCAAACGAGCCTCATGCTCTCGGCTTACTGCCCTTTCCTCCGGTATCGGGGGAGCCTTTTGCCATCGCAGCGGATTCAGACTCGGCAGTTTCGAGGACCAAGACTCCTTCTTTTGGTCTGCAGGACGGCTTTCCTGCACACTCGTCCGCGTCGAGGTGAGCTGAGATTCATATTTCTCGTCTGCAATCGGAATCGCGACCTTCTCTTGAGCGTTGTATGTCATTCTTGTCAAAAATGGATTAAGTTAGATTAATCCAAGACATCCCATGTGTAACGGCGTCGAGGCAAAGCCGGCACATTCGCAAGGGCGGCGCAAGGCTAATGCGGCGGGGTTGAGAAGAATGAGAGAGAAAGGGCTTGAGTTTGTATCGTTTCTCTAGACCTCGAGCCTATTTCAGCAATCGAGCGCCTTCCAGGATATGCCCAAGGCGAGATTCTCTTGTAGCTCCTCGTGGCAACGGTGGAATTCGCACACCTGATCGGACCAGGTAACCATGATTCCCGATCGGTGACGAGTGATCCGGGCCTAACCGGGCCCGAATCGTCGAATGGAATGTATACTGGCACATTCTTGTTCCTCCTTGCTTTTGGTCGATGATACGTTAGCCGTTGGTTCAACATCAGGTTCCCTCGACGAGGCATGGGAAATGCCAAGATGTAGTGAAGCCAATGACATGACCAATTGATTGGCACGGTGTGTTCATCACACGAAGTGGGATTTCACAATTATGTGCGAATGGCACTATCGACAGGTCCTTGCATCAGCAAGTTTTCCATTATGCAAGGGACACCGCAGATCCTTCATAGAATGTAACGTACGAACCTCGACCACCATCAGTCGGAAGACTTCGACCAGTAGCATGATCAGGACATCATGCACCGTGCCAATAAATATAGTTCAATTGACTTGTAAGTGCGGGATGTGTGTAAAAATAAATGCGGTGACTCGTCGGGCTCACCACATACCCGTTCGGGTTAAATTCGTAGGAATCGAAAAGACACATGGTGCATGATGATTAGATCAGGAATTGAGGCTTTTCCCCCGATGGACGCCACGTTGGTCCGATCCACGACTTTGGGGACGGTGTTTTGCAGGGAAGAAAAAAGAACGAGGAGTGCCGAGCAAGTGAAGGAGATGCGTCACCTGACCCCTTGCAACAATGACCACTTTCTCCGCGCTGAATCAAGATTGCACCTCTAAGCAACTATGGAGCAACTCGAAGATTGAAAAGAAGAAAATTGAACCCCATGATCATTCAGCAGGGTCTCATTCAATGTATATGCATGGATATTGCAGCCACCAAAAATGGCCTCGACAGACTGACGTGTCGAATATGACGGTGGCGCCAACGACGCCGTGTAAGGGATCAGTAATAAACAAGAACATTCCTTGGGATCAATTGTTTTCTGCTTTTGGCCTAAGTCGCGTGCCTTACAAACTCATCTTTGTCTCATGGATCGTGATCATGATCTCCAGCTAAAGCACCTGGAGTCATAGGGTATATCAACCTCTCAACAAAGGCAGCTTTGTCGCCAAGTTTGAACAAGCATCCCAAGCATCCATGGGCTGCTTGTGCCAACATTCAGGGAATGCTAATTATTAGAAAGTGGGGGAAAGTACGCACTCGGCCTTTTCACTCCTTCTACTATGGACCAATCTGGATGTTCGGTGTCTGATAATGTCTCAACAGTTCATGCACAACCTACAGGCTCTATCGCATCGATTGAGCCACCGACTCACATCAAGGTAAAGATTTTGGTCTTGAGCTGGGTAAGTAGACCATTGGCAGCGACAGATCACGACCGTGTCTTCGCCATCGAAGACAATCTTCTAGATTCTTCATCTACAATTTCTCTCCGTAAAGTTGCCGGGCGTTGACGTGCAGTGTAATCTCCGTAAGCCAGGTAGTGGAATGAAAGTGAAGTGTATGGATTTGGGAGCCACATGTCAACGCAATAGTAAGAATCATAGAGCAAGTTTATGTCATTTCAAGGGCACAGTCGAGATTTACCAATTCTGAAAAGTTATATTGCAAGTACCGTCATAGTCATGAAATGTCATTCTTCTGCTAATTCTTTGGTATCGTAAATAGCATTTGAGTTTCATAAATCCTGAAAACCTGGTCACAAGGGCAAACACCTTTTCCATCGCTCTCTTTCTTTTTGTGTTTGTTCCCCAAAAGCAGGAGGCACATATCCACCGGAGAACCTATCCTGGACAGGTAGACGTAGAGGTCTCCCTTGTCATGTCAGGCTAGCTGACGACAGTGGGTTCATCATCCGGCGAGGCCCATCTTCAGCATAAGGGTGGTGAGATATCCCGCGATCGCTGGGACTGTAGATCGGCCTCCCATGCTTGTCATTCACCCACAAGAGTTTTGATTCTTGGATGGGTCCTAATTCTCACCGGTCTTGGCCTTCTTCTCTGGGGGAGGTGCGCCACCCTTGAGAGTCGGAAGTTCATCCACAGCCTGTTCGATGATCTCCAGGGACTTCTGAATCTCTTCCTCGGTGATCACGAGAGGAGGAGCAAGACGGATGATGTTTTGATGGGTGGGTTTGGCCTGGTCGCGCATCAGTATTTTGGCTCTTTTCAGGGGAACTCGAAACCACAATTACTTACCAGCAGACCCTTCTCCTTCATCAGCATGCACAGATCCCAAGCGCTGTGTCCGTTGGTCTTCGACTCGTCGATGACAATGGCATTCAGCAGACCCTTGCCACGCACGGTCTGAATCATGGGGTTCTTAATGGCCTCCAAACCGTTACGGAAGACATGACCCAGCTTCTCGGCTCTCTCGACCATGTTCTCCTCCTTCACAACTTCCAAAGCACGGATGGCCACGGCACAGGCCAAGGGGTTACCGCCGTATGTCGATCCGTGAGTACCCGGCTCGACGGTGAGCATGACATCCTTCCGACCCAGCACGGCCGACACCGGGTACATACCGCCGGAAATGGCCTTACCCAGAAGGACCAGGTCAGGCTTGATTCCACTCCACTCGTGGCAGAGCAGCTTACCCGTGCGAGCAATTCCCGTCTGGATCTCATCGCAGATCAGCAAGGCGTTGTGCTTGTCGCACAGTGCCCGCGCCTCTTGCAGATAGTCTTCGTCAGGGACGACAATGCCGGCCTCTCCCTGGATGGGTTCGACCAGGAAGGCAGCAAGGTTGGGACCGGCCTTCTCAAAAGCCTCCCGCAAGGCCGCCTTGTCGTTGTAGGTGATAGGCTTCTCGGTGCCAGGGATGGTACAGCCAATGCCGGGTAGGTAAGGGCCGTAGTTTTCACGCGACTCAGGGTCTGAGGACAAGGAAATGGCGGCGAACTAAGCGTAGGGATGGCGTACATTAGCGAAGTCCGAACCTTGCATTAGCTTCATTTACGAGGGAAAATCAACACTTACGGTTCGTCCGTGGAAGTTGTTCTCAGCACTTAGGACCACCGCCTGGTTCTCCGGAATGCCCTTGACCTTGTATCCCCATTTACGAGCCAGCTTGATTCCCGTCTCGACAGCTTCAGCACCAGTGTTCATGGGCAGCACCATGTCGAAACCAAAGTACTCGGTCACGAACTGGGCGAACCGCGGGAAAACATCGTTGTAGAAAGCTCGAGAGCTCAGAGTCAGTCGCGAGGCCTGGTCGACCAGGGCAGCGACGAGTTTCGGGTGACAATGACCCTGGTTGACAGCGGAGTAGGCAGACAGGAAGTCCAAGTAATGACGGCCCTCGGGATCCCAGACAGAGGTACCCTGAGCACGAGCAAACACCACGGGAAGAGGGTGGTAGTTGTGGGCAGCGAAGTCCTTCTCAGCCTGAATTGCCTCCTGGGTAGAAGCAGCGTGGTAGGCACTGGTACCATTGCTGGTACCATTGCTAGTACCGTTGGAGGCCATGATGAGAGTGGCAGATCAATAGATCAAGGAGTGGGGGGGATAAACAGAGAGATGTGGGGGAGAGAAGCAATGGGACAGTCTATGCGGAAGAAGAGCGAGAAACGAGTAGAGAAAAGACGAGAAGGGCAGTGAAGTGAAGAGAAATGAAATTGAAGGAAAGAGAAGAAAGATCTTATAACCGTCTGACGGGAGAAAACCGTCAATCGCAGGGCGTGTGCAGGCGGTGGCCATGAATTGACCCCTAAGCGCAAGTCTAGCCGTTCATCCTGCGATGAACCTCTAAGTGCAGGTCTAGCCGTGACTTTTTGTACCAAACCATAAACGCCGACGCCCATGACGCCCTGATCCACTCAGTCTGGGAGAGCCGCTCTGTCCCGGCCAAACACGCCGTTCCCATTACACATTTTATCTTTAGTGCGCTGCTGTTCCTCGGATCCCCACGCTCCACCGCGGAGTCGCGCCGCTTGGCCGGCCACCTTGTCCTCTTGCAGTATCGTGTTGATGCTGGACTTGTCATCTGTCAGGCTCAGTTGTCATGCGCCCGGACTTCGGAAAATCGAGCACGGAAGATTGAAGAAACTAAATCCCTGGACTGGTTCCACTACCGCGATCGATCGACGATGACGAAGTCGGGGAATCGGGGAGTGCGGAGGGATTCCTACTCGGCCTGGTCGGTTTTCGTTGCGCTTGTTTCGTTGCGTCTGCTCAATGCGCTGTCGCTGCGCACGTTTTTCCAACCTGATGAGTTCTTTCAGTCGCTGGAACCCGCTTGGCAGGTTGCTTTTGGGGAGGATCAGGGGGCGTGGATTACCTGGGTCGGTCACTGCCAACGCGTCGAGACTCCGGTGGCTTCGTGGTCGCTAATAATCAAATCGCCGTATAGGAATGGAAACACCACTTGAGATCTTCGATCCATCCCTTCCTGTTCGCCGCCGTCTATTCCTCCGCAAACTTCCTCGCGCAAACTCTCCGCCTGTCCGCCGCGACGCGTGCCGACCTCCTCATCGTCGCTCCCAAGGTTACGCAGGCCTTTCTCGCCGCTGTCGGAGATTTCTACACATGGAAGCTAGCTCGTTTGGCATATGGAAGAGGGAGTCACGAGGCATGGGCGGCAGTATGTTTTCCGGACACTCGACGATGGGGATGGATGTGGCTGATACAATGCGGTAGCTTGCCTTGACGGTTGTCAGCCCCTGGCAATGGTTCTGCTCGACCAGGACGTTGTCGAACTGCCTCGAAACCACCATCACTGTGGTCGCCCTCTATTTCTGGCCTTGGGAATGGATTGGAAATGCTGGTTCGGCGACCGGAGGCAAGAGAAGTACGCGCGCCGTTAGCAGAGCGGCCGCCGAACAGGAGACCAATGACGCGGTACCTCTCAAGAGGTACGAATGAGAATCGCTTCTATTTGCTATGGCAGGGTTGCTAATACTTCACACTCAGGTTGCGCCAATGTCTTTCTCTGGCCGCTCTGGCTTGTATCCTGCGTCCGACCAATGGGTTGATCTGGGTGAGCTTAGCCAGCGTCGCCTGGCTGCGCGGCTCCTGGGCCCAAAGGAAGACTCTCATTCGCGAAGTCTTGATTTGCGGGTGAGTATGATGGCCTCACCAACTGTCCAAATGCTCATGCATCCTCTAGATCTGCCATTCTTGCCATTTCGACGTTGTCGGATCGCCTCTTTTACGGAACCTGGACTTTTCCACCGCTCAAGTTTCTCTACTTCAACATCGCGCAATCACTGGCAGTCTTCTATGGAAAGAATGACTGGCACTACTACATCTCCCAGGGCTATCCTCTCCTCCTGACAACTGCGCTTCCTTTCGCCATTCCCGGTCTATACCGCACATTGACCCAGCGGTCTGTCTTCTCTGACAATGCGCAGGCTTCAATGCAGGCCCAGCTGGGGCTGATCTGCCTGATCATGCCGTTCACTCTCTCCTTGATCTCCCACAAGGAAGTGCGATTCATCTATCCACTACTCCCCTCGATGCATGTCTTAACCGCACCGTCCCTGGTCGCGTTCTTTTTGCCGGCAGTCTCCCAGTCCAGTCGATCTTACATGCCTCGGCGGCTCATTCTGCTCTTCCTTCTCCTCGCCAACCTCGTCGTCGCCTTGTACACCACCGTGTACCACGCCTCTGGCACCCTCTCCGTCCTCTCCTACCTCCGCTCCCAGCATCTTTCCCACACCCCCGTCCTCACCACCTCCAATGCCCACCCTGGGGCTGGTCCCACGGTGGGCTTCCTCATGCCTTGTCACAGCACCCCCTGGCGCTCACACCTCGTCGACCCCGACCTCCGCGCCTGGGCCCTCACTTGTGACCCGCCCATTGGTCTCAGCGCCACCCAGAAAGAGACCTACCTCGATGAAGCCGATCAATTCTACGCCGACCCAGCCCAGTTCCTCCGCAGCAACATGCTCGGTGGTACACGCCACGTCCCGCGTCAACCATCCTACACCAACCCGCATTACTACCCCGCGACCTCCCTCACCACGGCCGAATTCCAATTCAACAGCCCCCATCCTTGGCCCGACTACCTCGTCTTCTTCGCCGCTCTCGAACCAACCCTCAACGGCATCCTCTGGTCCAGCACCTACCGCGAATGCCATCGCACATTCAACACTGCCTGGCACGACGACTCGCGCCGAAAAGGCGACATCATCGTCTGGTGTCTCGATCCCAATGAGCAGGCCGCCTGGTCCGGCGTGAAACGCGACCGCGACCGAGAAGCCAAAGAGCGCCATTTCGATCACATCATCGAGAACATTAAGCGTCAGGCGACGGGGCAGGGTGCCCGTCCCGCCTCCATCTGGCAGCGGTGGACACAACCCGCGCCTAAACCCTGGTCCTTGGCGTGGCCCAAGTCCTGGTCTTTATCCAAATTTTCATGGCCCGCTCCCAGCTCCTCTTGGTCGCTTGAGCGGTCGTGGAACTGGCCATGGGAACGTCGCAGACGGTCGGTCCTAGGCGTCCAACTGCCCGCCTGGCTGGACGAGCGCCTTCCGGATCTCTCGGGCCTGTGGAAGAAGAAAAAGTATTCGAGGATCGAGGACCGGGAGTATTGGACTTGATGTGAGCTGCCCTATATTGTGTTCATTTTTTCTTGTATATGATAGGCGTGTTCGTTGTGAGTTTTGGTTTACCCTTGCTGCTTTACATGCCTCTTGGGTGGTCAGTTGTTGCTATTGTTCTTTTTCTCGCTTTTTCTTCGCAGCCCTCCTATCTAGTCTGTTTCAAGTACATATTTCTTTCCTAATATTTGTCGGTCTTCCTCTTCAAACTACCCTGCTCATTTTATAGACTAGAATAACAACCAAGAAAACCAGCTCGCAATGTACCATGAAACACACACCTATATATCAACACGGTGCCTGTTTAGTGAGTATGATAAAAGATCTAGAAAGAAAAGTTTCTAGGAATCCAGAATAAATAAGCCATAAGTGGAATTGAAGCCAATGGGAAAAGGACTCAAGTATGGGAGTCTGTCTGGCAAACAAACTGTTCATAAAAAGCAAAGAAAGAAAAACCCCAGAATGTAGATGAACGCAGGTAAGTGGGAAACACAAAAGCAAAGCGCAGCAATGTCTCAACGGAGTTCTACAGCAGCGTGGAAGCAAAGCGGTACGATAATAAGAGGAATCAAGTCGGTTGAAGCAACGATGAAAGACATCTACACTACAATCGAAGGAGCGCTATACCTGAACGGGAACACAGTGTACTCTTACGTAACAAGGATCCCAAACATGGCCAAAACTCTAAAAAACCACAGCTTTCACAGGACAATTTGGGTCTGGAAAGATCAAAAGATAACAGAATTTCTATGGGCGAAAAATCTGACCGGCTTCTCACGACCTCAGTTCCCTCGTAGAATATACCAGATCCATACAGTTATGGCACAAAATTTTCAGCTACATGATCCCGTTTTCAAAAATGAGATTCCATGTTTTTGGCGGCAGTGAGAGGTTGAAGTACACGGAGGCGAACGACTGCTATGATGTTACGCGATCGAGCTTCCGCAGCCTACCTGCACCCGACCGGACTGCGGCGGGCAGTAACTACCTTTAACGCAAAAACCGCGTCATTGTATGGTACAGATCACATGACTTAAACTCTAAAAAACCACAGATTCAAAACGACCATCTGGGTCTGGTCGGGGGGTTGAATAACAGATTTTGTATGAGAAGAGAACTTCGACGGCGTCTTGTGCACTATACAGGGGGTCCTAGATCATAATAATCTGGTCTTCATGAAACCAAGCTCCGGGCTACAAGGCTATGGTCTTCTTCCTTCAATATCTCCTTTTCGCAACCGTAGGTGACGACTTTTATGATCGGAAATCGCTGTTGCTATGATTTCGTGAGGCCGAGCTTTCGCGGACTTCCCACTACGGCGGACCACAACCGCCACCGGCGCCGTTCTAGTGGAATCACATGACTGAAACTCTAAAAAACCACGGATCTCACATGACATTTTGGGTCTGGTTGGGTGGTGGAATAACAGATTTTGTATTGGTGAATAGGTTTGGATGAGTCCTGTTCGCTACACACAGGAGGGATAGTTGCAAAAAATCAGACGTTTGCGAACAAGGATGTTTACTATACAGATCCGCTTTCCAAATTAAGTTATCTCCTTTTTTGCGGGTCTGAGAGATGTTTTTATTCTCGGAGACGCTTTTGCTAAGGGCTGCTCATATTGAGGTCGGACGGGCGTTGGCGGTTAGGATCGTCGGAGCTAGTTTTATCCGAAAGGCGGAATCATGAATTTCTGGCAGAATTCTACAGACATGTTGGGCACCAAGTATTCACACTCGAGGCAATATAAGTATACCAGGAATATTATTTACCCATGTCTATATTGAACAAATTACTCAAAGACTAACTGACTAATTTTCATCAATCCATCCATCTACGGCAACCATGTCCAAGCCAAGACCAAAACCAAGAAGACCAAATGCCACGCTCGACGCATCATTCAATCTATGTTAGTTAATCTGCCCATTCCCCTGTCACCTTCAACGCCGACCAAGAAATGCAACAATCGCATATAATTACATTCGCCGAGACAAAAAGTATATAACCATGAATTTCAAATGTTTGAGAATGTAGAGAAGGAATGTGCAGGAAAGTAGGCATACCCTAGCCGTACCGCGCGCTCAAGCTGGCAAATGCATCAGGGCTGTGCCGTCCATTCTGGAAGCCGCTGATGTCCACGCTCTGTTGG